TTAAGCTAACTAATATATTATTAAACTTTATATTTTTTAAAACTAATATTATATATTATATAGTTTATTATATTATTTAATATAAGGGCTTTAATTATATTTTAAATTAATAATATAGTTTTTAAATAGGTTAATATTTTTAATTTTTAACTTTTAGTTTAATAGTTAGATAGTAAGGTATTTTACTTTAAATTATTAAAGCACTTTATTTTAACTTTAAGTTTCTTCTTAAACCCCTTATTTTTAAATTAAATAAAATATATTTATAATAGTTATTACTATATATATCCTATATTCTATTAGATAATAAGTATATATATTAATAAATATATTAAATTAATTATTATTAATAACTTTAAATTTATTAATAATATAATATAAATAATTAAATATAAGTTTTACCTAATAAAAGTTTTTAAATTAATTATTACTATATTAACTCTTATAATATAACTAATAATTAAAGATATAAAACTTTATTTTTAATTTAAAGTAATATTATTTATTCTTTAAATAATTAATAAAGTTAAAAAGTTAAAGTATATTAAACTTTTTACTTTAATATTCTTTTAAGGTACTTTTAATATAATTACTTTTATTTATATATTATATTATTATTTTAAATAACTTATATAATACTATATTTTAGCTTTTAATAATTTACTTTATAAAAGTATAGTTATACTTAATAAGTAGAATATTAAAAAATAGTATATAACTTTTATTATTAGTTAATCTTTTTTATAATAAGTTTATTTATTATTTTAATTATAAATAATATTATTAATTTTATATAACTTATTTTAAAATTATTTTTTATTATCTTCTTATATAATTAAATTTACTATTTAATTTTAAAATAATATTTAAATATATAATTAATAATAGCTTTAAATAATATATATAATATAATATTAATATTTATAAATTAGTTTAAAATAATCTTTTATATAGTTATTAACTTATTTATTATTTTAAATATTATTAAATATATTCTATAATAGTTTTTCTTTTATTTTTATTTAAATTATAGATTAATTTATTTAAATAATAATAAATATAATTAAAATAGAAATAATATACTTTTTTAAATATATAGCTATTTAGAAGCTTATATTTCCTTATATAATATATATTAATATAATTATAGATTTATATTTAATTAACTATATAAAATAAAGTATTAAATAAAATATTAACCCTTATAATAGTCTTTAATAAGTTATTATTTTATAAAAATAGTTAATAAAAAGCTTTAAGTTCTATATAATAATATATATATTTTAAAACTTTATAAACTTATTTTTATTTTTAATTAAAAAGCTTAATTTTAATATAATAAGAATATTATTAATTTAAATTATTTTATATAAATAAATATTCTTTTATTTTTATTATTTAAATTAAAATTAATAAGTTATAATATTAAACTTTAAAATTAAATACTCTTTTAAAAGGTTATAAATTTTATATAAAAGTAATAAGTTATAATATAAAGTTTTTAAAGTTTTTTATAAGATTTTAGTTTATTAGTATTATTAATTATTAATTATTTTTATATTTAAATATTATATAAGTTAGTAAATCTAATATAAATTAATAATTAAAAGATTATAAAAATATTAAAGTATTTTAAAATATAATATATAGTATAAACTTATTTTAAATATTATTTTAAAAGGGTTATATTCTTTTAATATATTTATAGATTTTATAATAAAGTTAATAATATTAAAGGATTTAAAAGCTTTATTATTAAAAGCTTTTTAGCTTTATAATACTAATAACTCTTTTAATACCTTCCTTTTATAATATAATAAAATTATTTTTTATTAACTTATAATTATATTATTATATTAAAAGTAATAAAAGGAATTAATTATATTTTATAAATTAATTATTATTTTATATTATTATATATTAAATTTATTATTTTTATTTATATTTTTAAATTTATAAATTATAAATTTCTTAATATTTTTAAATATTAATAATAATATAGTTAAATTAATAAATATTATATTTTAATTAAAGTTATTAAAAGTATATAATATATATTTAATATATTAATAAAGTTAAAAGTTAATTAGTTTATACTTTTATAGATTTTAAGATATATATATAATTACTTTAAATATAAAAGTTTATTTAATAAGTTAGTTATAAAATAATAGATATTAATATATTTAATAATTATATTTAAAGTTATAACTACTTTAAAAGTATTATTATTAAGCTTTTTCTTACTTTTATATTTATATATAAAGTTATAATTATAGTTTTTATTATTAATATTAAGTATTATAATAATTTAATTAATATTATATTTATTTAAGATTTTTATTAATTATTAATAGTTAATTATTAAATTTCTATATTTAAAATATTTTTAATAAAAAAGTAAGCTATACTTTTATAATAAAGTATTTAATTTTTATTTTTATTTAAATATATAAATAGTATAAAGGTTATTAAATATTAATTTTAATTAAAAATAATTATATTTAGCTTTTAAATAGGTAGGGTAGTTAGTTAAAAGTATAATAGTATTATAGAGAAGTTAATATAATATTAAAAATATTTAAACTATTAGTTATATATAAGTTTAATATTTATAAATATATAAATCCTATAAAGTACTATTTTTATATTAAGTTAACTATAATAGATTTTAAGGTATATAATTAAAAATATATTATTTTTTAAAAAGAAAAAGAAAAGGTCTTTATTTCTATTAATATTTATAATATAATAAGTTTTATATAAGCTATTTTTAATATTAATATTAAACTAGTAGTATTTATAGTATTAGTAGAATTCTATTATAGTCTTTTTATAAGCTTTTCTTTAAACTTTATAAAAGGGCTTTTTCTTCTTTTATAAAGTTAAGTTATAAAATTATTAGTAAATTTAAGGTTATTATAATATAAGTATTTAAATAGCTTATTAATACTAATTTTAAATATTATAACCTATAAGTAAATAATATTAAATATAATTTATAAATTGTATAATATATTAGTAATAAATTCTTTATAACTTTATAATAAAGTTAATTTATTAAAAGTTAATTAAATATTATTAAAAGATTTAAGATAATATTAAAAGGTTAAATAGATATATTAATACTATTATTATTTATATTATTATAATACTTTTAGTATTAAGTATTTAAATAATTATTAGTAATATAAAAGGGTTTATATTATTATTAAATAATATAAAAACTTTATATAAAGAATCTTTTATTTATATTAAATATATACTTTAAGAATATTATTATTTTATAATTTATAATTATTTATTTTATTTATATAATAAATATATATATTAGAGTAAATATTATTATAATATTTTAAATATTACTTTAATTTATAAATATAATATATAAATTATAACCTACTTTTTTAAAAGTTATTTAATAGTTATTATATTAGTTTACTTAATATATATAGGATTATTATTTTATTATTAAAGGATAGATTTAATATTAAGGGTTATAAATATTTACTTTTAATATAATATTTTACTTTATATTACTATATAATATTAATTAATTTATTATATATTTTTATATTAATATTATATATTTAAATACCTTACCTTAATAGTAGTATTAAATATTATTAATTTATAATTTAAAAGGAGGGTATAGTAGTAAAAGGGAGGTAGTAAAAAGTATAATAAGTGAAAAGGTTATTAAAATATAAAATTAATACTTTTAATAATAAAAGTATATTAATTTTTATTAATTATTTAATATATTTTTAAAAATAATATAATAAATAATATTAATATTTTATATAATAATTAACTATTATTATTATATTTATATTTTATAAAATATATATTTATTTTAAGTATATACTTTATAAAATATAAATAAAAAATAATATTTTAATATAATCTACTTAATTTCTTTATAATATATTATAATAATATTAATAGTTAAAACTATACCTTTCCTTTTATAAAAATAGTATATAAATTTAATCTTTTATAACTTTAATACTTTTTAAAAATATTAAGAATTTTATTTTTAAATTTTACATTTATAATTATATTATTTATAGTTACTTTAAGGTATATAACTTAAAAATTATATAATTATTATATTATAAAAGTATTATAAAAGGAAATAAATAAAGGTTATAATTTAAACTTAAATTAAAAGTTTTAAGATTATATAATATATTATATAAATAAAAAGCTAATAAATATTATTAATAATAAATAGAATTTATAATAAATAAAATCCTATACTTATTTACTTTTAAATATAAATAAAAGAAGTAGAATTCTATATTTATTTATTTTTAAGTATAAATAAAAGAAATAGAATTCTATATCTATTTACTTTTAAATATAAGTAAGAAAAGTAGAATTCCTTTAATAGTTAAATAGAGTATAAAAGAATAACTATTATAATAATATTATATAAAAAAGAGTATAAAGCTATTATATTAAAAGCCTATTTAAGGTTATATTTAAAAGGTATATAGTTAATATTTAGTAAATTTTATAAATTTTATACTTAAAGAAATATATATTTAGGTTAACTATATATCTTTTAAATATTAGTTAATTTATTTAAAAGTATAAATTAAAGTTAACTATATATTTTTTAAGTATTAATTAATTTATATATTTATATATAGCTAACCTTTATATATAAATTAGCCTCCCTTTTTATTAATAGGTATTAATTAGTTTTTATATAATAATTAGACCCCCCTATAAGTTAATAATAGATTTAACTAATTTCTAATTTAAAATTTACTTTATAAAAAAAACTAACTAATTATAATATAAGAAATATATTGTATTAGTTTACCTAAGTAGAGTAAGCTTCGCCTAGAGCGTCCCTCATGGGGCTCGGGCTACTCTGTTCTGCGCTTAATTATCATCTGGTGCTCCCCACCCCTCAACACACCTTCACTTCATACGCATCTTAGTCCGCCTCGAGAAGGATCGTCACGCACGCCACGCAGGTCCCCAGGATGCCACTCCCACCAGAAGACCTCTTCCCCTCCGAGGCCGCATTCGCCAAGTTCGGCAGCAGGAGGAGCGTCGTTCATAGCACCAAGGGCATAGTCGCCTGCACTCAGCCCCTGGCAGCCAAATGTGGCATCGCGATCCTCGATGCTGGAGGCAATGCAGCTGTGAGTCCCAGCGTTGTTCCCATCCAGGCGTCTAGAATTCAGGCTGACTGTCGCGTTCCTAGGACGCTGCTGTTGCCGTGGCGGCCGGCATGAACATGACGGAGCCATGCTCCACGGGCATCGGCGGTGACATGTTCTGCCTATTCTACGACGCCAAGACCTCCAAGGTCAGCGCGCTCAACGGGTCCGGGCGGACCGGCGCCAAGTGCACCCTGGCCGAGCTCCTGAAGGACCTGGGCCCGGACGCCGACCATATCCCGGCCGGCAGCGTGCACGCCGTGACGGTGCCGGGCGCGGCGGCCGGGTGGGTCGACACGGTCCAGCGGTTCGGCTCCGGTCTGCTCAGCATGGAGCAGATCCTCTTGCCAGCGGTGACCATGGGCGAGAAGGGCTTTCCCGTGAGCGAGCTGGCGGCCAGGATGTGGTCAGGGTCGGAGAAGCTGCTGAAGGAGGCGAGCCAGAACGGATACGAGATGCTCAAGAAGGACGACGCTGCCCCTGGCGGTTACCGGGCGCCGAGGGCGGGCGAGATCATGAAGAACCCGACGCTGGCCAGGACGTTCCGGACGCTCGCTGCGGAGGGGAAGGAAGGGTATTACACGGGGCGCATTGCGAAGGAGATTGTCAAGGTCGTGCAGTCCATGGGCGGCCGCCTGGAGGAGGAAGACCTTCGACACCACCTCGATCTGGGCAGCGGGTCGCCAGATCCCATATCTCTCAAGTTCAGGGGCCAGGGCCTGCAGAGGGGCAAGAAGCGCCAGGCGGACGGCGCGGTCAAGAACGGCGTCGACAGCAACGACAACGGCGTCGAGCTGTGGGAGCACCCGCCCAACGGGCAGGGCATAGTCGCGCTCATGGCGCTGGGCATCATGCAGGAGCTCGAGAAGCAGGGCAAGATCCCGACCTTCGAGCCCGAGGACCACAACACGGCGCCGTACCTGCACGCCATCATCGAGTCTCTGCGCATTGCCTTTGCCGATGCCAAGTGGTGGGTCGCCGACCCTGACGTCTCCACGGTGCCCTCCCAGGGCCTCCTCTCGGAGGAGTACCTCGCTGAGCGCGCCAAGCTCTTCGACCCGAACAAGGCATCCAAAGGCACCATCACGCACGGATCGCCGGCGCTGCGGAGCAGTGACACGGTGTACTTTGCCGTGTCCGACTCGGAAGGCAACGCCATATCCTTCATCAACTCCAACTACGAAGGCTTCGGGACGGGCATCATCCCCGCGGGCTGCGGCTTCACGCTGCAGAACCGAGGGTCCAACTTCGACCTCGGGCCCGCGGATCACCCCAACCTCTACGCGCCTGGCAAGCGGCCCTACCACACCATCATCCCGGGCCTGGTGACCAACACCGGGGACAACTCGCTGCACAGCGTGTTCGGCGTCATGGGCGGCTTCATGCAGCCGCAGGGCCACCTCCAGGTGCTGCTGGGCCAGATCGTCGCCAAGCTGAGCCCCCAGCAGGCGCTGGACGCCCCGAGGATATGCATCCGGCCCGAGCCCGGCAGCAATGGCCTGATCGTCGATGTGGAGCACGGGATTCCGGACGAAGTCATCGCGGGGCTGCAGAGATTGGGCCACCAGACCCAGACGGTGAGCGCATATAGGAGAGCCGTCTTCGGGAGGGGCCAGGTGATCAGGTGGACGGTGGACCCGTTGGAAGGCACCGGTGTTTGGTCTGCCGGTAGCGACCTGCGGGGTGATGGAGCTGCGTATCCCGCATGAGTGTGTCTTGGGTGTGGTTGCATACACAGAGATACATGTACGTACGTACGTACTCGTGCTGAGCGAGGCTTTCAGCCTGACCTTGTGCCAGGTTGTTGTATGTAAGCCTTGTTCGTATTGTACATATTGCCAATGTGCTTCATTAGTAGTATTGTACACCGTCTGAAACCGTGATATTCTTTGCTATGTCCAATAATGGCATACGCCCCATCTATGCAATGAATGGATGTAACTACTCCTTCTTGTCGCCTTCGGTGGCCTCGGGGGCTGCCAGGACCGTCTTCTCCTCGAGCAGCTTCGCAAGCTCGCCGTTCTGGTGCATGGAGATCAGGATGTCGCAGCCGCCGATGAACTCCTTGTCGACATACAGCTGGGGAATGGTGGGCCAGTCCGAGTACTCCTTGATGCCTACAGACGATGTCAGAACAGCCCTTGCCCCTTGGCACGACATGCGGTTTCCAGCATGGCCAGCATGGGGCCATTTACGCACCTGCGCGCAGCTCGGAATCCTCCAGGACGTTGAAGGCCGCAAACTTGTTGGGGTCGACGCCCTGCAGGCCCAGGATCTGGATGCTGGCCCTCGAGAAGCCGCACTGCGGGGTCTCTGGTGTGCCCTTCATGAACAGAACCACGGGTGCGGAGGCGACGGCCTTGTCGATTGCTTGCCTCGTGGCATCGGACAGGAGTCGTTGTTGTGCGAGCGACAGCATTGGCGATCGCGAGAAGGCCGAGGCGGCGGGTCTCGAGGCCCGCGACGCCAACGACGACGACGACGCCGCAGCCGGGCGGGCGGCCTGCCGAAGCAGCTGCTGCGAATCGTGTTTAGTAAGTGGTAGTGTCTGCAGCGCGAGGGGAGCATGGTGGACTCACTGGCGATAGTAGTGGCCTCATGAACATGTTGCACGTCTTGGTATGTAAAAGACGGACGGGTTGTTGACGGAGCCAAGATCAGCTGCTCAGTGGTGTCGCTCCCAAAGTTCTGATGGCGTCAGTTGTTAGTGGGGGGGGGGGCCCTGGAAGTTGGACCAATGCCGAGGCGCGATAAGTAATGCAAGGCGCCTGCGGTAAGTGGCGGTTGATGCAACGTCCCGTTGTAGCACTCCGAGTCACTTATTATTGCTCGCTCGAACGCGATATTTCAAGCCTTCCACCTTGATAATTTGCAGATACTGGGGGCATCATGTTTGTTAGCAACCAATTGCACCTCTTCACCTTTGCTGAGACCAATAGACCAATGAACCAATAAACAAGTTAGAAGTCACTCCAGCCGCAACCGACCTCGGCACCGTCTCTGTGTTTTGTAAGCCGCTTGATTTCTCATCTGCACACAATCAACTACTTAGATCCACATGTCTATGTCACCATCACAAGAGACCATAAATATTCGACCCAACTCGATCAGTGTCTTCATAGGACAAGCAGGGCGCCAGATCCTAGGTAGGTCTGTCAGGGGCCAATCCCTTCCCTGCTACATGTTCTCGGGCACATCATGATTTGTTGATGGTTCCACAGCTCGTTGAACCTACACAATTGCGGCACCCAATGGTCCCACATAAGTGAATACACCTGCCAGGTTTGAGTCCTCTACTGCAAGCCCGACTCTGAGTCTCTTAGAACCACACACACAATGTCAGAAACAACCCCGTCAACAACCACCAGCCCCGCGCCAACCAACGCCCTGGCCGAACTCGCAGCCTCGCGGAACGACGGCAAGGCGCACCTTCTCCTGGCAGCCTCAGGCTCCGTAGCAACCATCAAGATCCCCAACATCATCGCCGCGCTGACCAAGGCCCACCTGCCATCAACCCTGTCCATCCGGCTGGTCCTCACCTCCTCCGCCTCCAACTTCCTCGCCGGCCAGTCCGCGGAACAGCCAGACATCAAGTCCCTGCTCGCCACCACCCCAGGGCTGGACGGCATCTACCATGACGGCGACGAGTGGGGCCGCGGGCCAACCATCGGGCCCGATGAGGGCGTCTGGCGCCGGGGCAGCCCTATCCTGCACATCGAGCTGCGCCGCTGGGCCCACGTCATGGCCATCGTGCCCCTGAGCGCAAACACTCTCGCCAAGGTCGTCGCTGGCATCTGCGATAACCTGCTGACCAGCGTGGTGCGCGCGTGGGACGCCGACGGCCGCGTCGACGGCAAGAGGAAGAGGATATTGGTCGCGCCGGCCATGAATGTGGGTAACCCCTGCGCCTCGCGTGTCTCCCCAGACGCCGCCGCTCCCCCGCCCTCTTTCCCTTTGCCTGCCCCCCGTCACATCTACTGGAATGAGCACACTCGGGCTGACTGTAACAACAGACGGCCATGTGGCTTCACCCCATAACGGCAAAGCAGATCCGCGTGCTGGCAGAAGACTGGGGCGTCGTCGAGGCCGCCGACGGGACGGTAGAGTCGGGGTGGTTTGAGGTTCTGCGGCCGCAGGAGAAGAGTCTTGCCTGCGGCGACGTAGGCGATGGTGCTATGAAGGACTGGACCGAGGTCGTGAGGATAATAGAGGCGAGACTGGGCCTAGGGTCGCATCAGCAATCATGACAGTACGCCAAGGCCTCGGAATGATGGTCGTCGAGGATTCCCGTGGGCCATGCCTGGATCATTTCAGATGGCAAGCTTACCTTCAAGAAAGAGGGACGGACAGCCACGGCTCGACCAGGTCTAGGAACCCTGTTGTTGCCGAACCGTAACGGATCAATGGTAGATAACCTCATTATCCATTTCATTTCTACAGCGTCATATTACATTACTAAAGACTATCGTCAGTGGCGGGAGAGACCTGCAGATGTCTCCCCACCAGATGCACCGCTTTCTTATTCATACGTATCCTTCCCTTTTGGAATACCAAGCAGCCCATGCAGACCAAACGCCACAGACAGCCAGCCAGCCACATGAAGCGCCTGCAGAATTGATATCTGATCCCGCCCGCCCCTTTCCTGTAGATGCTCTTGCTTTGAAACTTTGTGCGTAAACGTAGGCTGACGTAGAAACATGCAGGTGCTCCCCATCCATTGAGCCTTATTTTCATGACTGGAGAGGAACGGCTCCGTTGATAACACAGATGAGTAGCACAGCCGTGCTAGGGGGGAAATATTGAAAACCACGCCATGCTTTCTGATGCAAGCTTTGCCAGTATCGCAGCCGTCGCCGCCCGTGTCAACTTGAATAAATGAGCCTTGGGATTGCTCGTGGGCGCCTTTGGCAACGTAGCGCATGGGCCATTCGTGGAACTGTCGTGTCGTGGAGTCCAAGGGCATGACGGATCTCCCGGCAGTCTTCACCTAGTCGTGTCGGAATGTGCAAGAGTCGCCCTTGCTGCACATTCCCTTGGCCCAGAATGTACAAGGCTTCGTGCCGATTTTGTTAGGATTGATGCCACGGGGCACGCTGTTAACGTGTTTCCCACCGCGTCCCTTGTCACGGCGGCCCGAATGATCACCATCTCTGTCTCTGTCGTACTCACGGTCGTCATCGGCCTGTTGACCGTTGTTCGTTGACTGTTGCGACCGCTGAGACTGGTCTGGGGCCTGGCCTGCAGCTAGAGACATGATGTATGCCATATAGTCGGGGTCCGATGGGTTATGGCCAGCATGCTGTGGTTGTTGCTGGACGGCGGGGCTGCCACCGAGACTTGCGAGCAAGGCCTGGAGGTGCGGGTCGGCTGCAGCCTGGGTTTGCTGTGGCTGGTTCTGGGCGGGCGTGGAGGCCAGGGCAGCTAGGACGGCTTGAAGTTGTGCATTGGATTCTACGGCAGCTTGCACCGGTGCTCCCTGCTGCGGGACAGGCTGTGCAACTTGTTGATAGGGGTCGTAGGCCTGCGCGTACGGTGTCTGCGAAGCAGATTGAGCCTGCTGGGCTTGGTACTGCTGGAGCTGCGCGTAGTAGGCTGCCCACGCTGCTGCTTGCTGATCGGCGGTGCCTTGAGCAGCCGAGTGCGCCTGAGGTTGCTGTGTGGCTGCGGGCTGTGCTGCCTGCTGCTGTTGGGCTCGTTGCTCCACGCGTTGTCTGTCTTTGTTGTATCCGTGCCACCACTCCGCTACCTTGGCAGCATCATGCCTCATCCACTCAGGAGGTTCTGTGGCTGGCACGGGTTTGCCCTTGAGCATCTCGGCCACCTGCTCAACCAAATCGGCTGCTAATTGACTTGCAGGATCCGGATAATCGTATCGACGGCGCGTCTTGGGGTTTGCTGGATCGTAAGGGTCGGGATCCCTCCACCTCTTGGCTTTTTCGGAGCTGAGAAGCACAAATACTTGATCTTCTTTGGACATGTTTTGAGGAAGGGCGGTCGCGGTCGCATCAAGGGCGCCCGACGCGTTGGGCTGCACATTGGGTTGACCCGCGGCGCCAGACAATGGGGCCTGTCCTTTCTGAGCCCTGCGCAACGCGTTCAATCGCGCCCAAGACAGGCCACGCGAGCTCGCTTCGGTCCAACGGAGATGAATCTCAGCGAGTTGCGGTTCGTCTTGAGGCAAGGATGAAACAGCGCCTGACTCCATGTCCGTGTCCTCTTGTGGTTGCGTGTGCGGAGATTTTGGCGTGGGAGGGATGTCGGAGGGATCAGTGTAGACGACCATCAATTCCTTGCTTTCACGCTCCGCAATGGCCTTTTGTTCTTTAGTCTCGAAAGCGAGCAGACCCCCGCGAGTGACGTATTGCTTGTCCCTCTGTTCTTGGGGTATTGAAGAAAAGTTGATAGCTGGAGGCTCGAACCACGGTCGGTAGGGTAGCTCGTCTTCTTCATCCTCGTCTTCGAGTTGGGCACCACCTTGCAGACCCTGTTTGAGCGCCATACCTTCGGATTTGTCATCCCGTGCATCGCGGATCATGTTGCTGGCTCTGCCCTCATCCTCAAGGCTCTCCCTATGAAAGACTCTGACCTCCGTCAGCGCATCATCTTCCTTCCAAGTGACCCTCAGGTGGCGTCGCTTTTCCTTGCGCAACCGCCGGGCTCTTTCCTCTGGGGTCTCGTCCTTCTTGACCTTCGACTCCTTTTCAGGCGTCGTGCGGCCGGCCGCCTTCGGCTTGGAAATCTCGTCCAGCAGAGAACCAATCCCGCCAAACTTCGAAGTAGCCGGAGCTTCGTCTTTGGTCAACTCTGGCTTCCTTGTCTTCGCAGCCTCTACTCTTGGTGGCCCGCCTTCCTTCTTGACATCAGCCTTGCTCAGCCCGCCTTCAGGCTTCACTGGCGGGGCTTTCGCTGCGGACTTGGAGGCGAGTTTCGCCTTGGCACCCAGCATGCCACTCCCAGCAAACAGCTTGGGCTGTGGAGTAGCGGTGTTAGGAGCAGAGACCGCCACCTTGGCCGGTGCGGGCTTTTGACCAGGTATGCTTGCTTGTGAGGAAGGTGATTCGGCTGCGACCCTCTTTGCAGACTTCGTGTCGGCCTCCTCATCACGAGGACGTTTCGCAGATGGAACAGTTGGCAGCGCCTTGAGAGTTGCTGTGCTCGACAGCTTTTTCTTGGCCGCATCGGGGGCAGCGCTGCTGGGAGCAGGCACGCTCTTTGAGGATGCATTAGGGGGATCTGGGGTCGAAGTGCCCTCTACACCATCCAGCTGGCCTTCTTTCAAGACCTCCTCCTTGGTTTTCAGGTTTTCCTTGATTTTTTTCACCATTTCCTTCACATCTGCATCGCCTTTAGATTCGAACTTTTTGCTGATCTTGGCAAACTGGAGGTTTGTCATGAGGAATTCCTTTTCCATGGTAGTCACCCCGGACATCAACCGTAACACGGATTTGGCAACTTTACCGTTGTGGTCAGCGGAATTGTTGGCGTGGATCAGACATGTCACAAAGTCACTGATGAGCTTCTGATTTCCACCCAGATTTGCCAGAACTTGGTGGTCACCCCACTGGTTCGCTCCCTCCACGGCTCGATAGATGATCTCCAACCTACGAGCCATCTTTTCCTTCAAGGCAGCAGCGTCCCCCTCTTTCGCTGACTTCAGCTTTTGCTTCGTCGTCTGAAATTCGCCCGTAAGCCCTCGAATCAGCTTACCGTATGCTGCCACAGCCGCGCCAATTTCTGCCCCCGAAGGATTTGATTTCGTCAAATAGACCACGCCAATCGAATCCCATTCAGCGGCATCAGCCTCGTCTGTTGGCCGAGTTTTGCTTCGTTTGGGGCCTGGCTTCCGAGAGGCTTTCTCCTTGGCAGCAATAGTCTCTCTCATTTTTTGTTCGTAGTGGACAGGCACGGTCCCACCGAAATGCTGCTTGAGACGCTGCGCTTGGTCATTTTGTCCGGCGATGTCATCCTTGTCCAAAGCCTTGGACCATTCTTGTATGATTGAAGACGCAAGAGGTCGAACTAAGTTGCTTTGTGTTGGGAAGAGTTGATCGATTGGCCTACCGGTGGTCTCGTCAGGGTCTCGAATCTCGCCGATTGGCGTCTCCTGCTCCGAGCCTTCATCGAGCTCCGCTTGAGGAGCAGCTGAGAAACCAACGTATCGCGATCTTACGTTGGGAATCGCATTATCGTCCCGTCTTATCACACGTGGCGGTGCAAGACCAACCACAGGAGCGTGTTGGAACGAAGCTGGTGATTGAATAGGCATGTCGGTCCTCGGTTGAACAATCGGCGGGGCAATCGCCTGCGCATTTGGCTGGGCAGGTTGGACGTACTGCTGCATTATCTGGTGTCCTTTCGGTTTGATGTTCTGCAATGGTGAAATGTTGTTCACAGGGAGTGGACCGGCCGCGGCTCGGGGTGCAACCATGTTTTGCGAGGACATCGCCTGCTGTATATGAGCCTGCTGAGGCATGAATCGGCTTTGCATCGTGGGCACATTCGAGAGATTCGGCTGCGTCTTGGAGGCATTCATCTGCTGGGGCGCCGAGAACGGCATTGCCGGACTGCCATGCCCACGTGGAACTCCAATTTGTCCCTGAGGCATGGGGACAGGAGCCATCGGATGACCATTAAATGGAGACTGGCGGAGCTGCGTATTCGTCCCAATCGACTGAGGAGTGCCTACTCTAGGTGCCTGTTGTTGGAAGCTTATTGGCTGAGGCTGAGTTGGCTGCGGATTTCCGTTCTGCAACTGATTGGCCTGCTGGTGTTGGACTGCTGCATGTTGCTGTTGCTGGTGGTGGGCTGCTGCATGTTGCTGTTGCTGTTGCTGTTGCTGTTGCTGTTGCTGTTGCTGTTGTTGGTGGTGGGCTGCTGCTGCGGGCTGCTGCTGGGGCTGCTGCTGGGGCTGCTGGGGCTGCTGGGGCTGCTGCTGGTGCTGCTGCTGGGGCTGCTGCTGTTGATGGTGATGATGGAGCTGCTGCTGCTGCTGCTGGCTCATGCTAGGCTGTTGGAACTCCATCGTATGTCTCGGGTTCATCTGTTGAACCACTTGTTGCGGCTGGGGTGGTTGTGGGCTCCTAGCACTTGTCGAGATTTGCTGGGCGGGCGAGTAGTTCCGAGCGGCGGATGGCTCTGCAAGATACTGGGGTTGCTGTGCCATCGTAGTAGGTATCTCCTGTGCATAGCCACCGGGCATGCCACTGTGAGAGCCTTGTTGAAGACCATTGCCATATGATATGTTGGTCAATGGATTGGGCTCGAAGCCAAAGTCGTAATCCCACAATTCCGGCTGGCCGTCCAGTGGTGCCTGTGCCGAGTGGGAGTACGTCTGAGATTGTTGATGGTTTGTGACATGAGGATTTGGGCCCCCGAAACCTTGGACCTGATATGCTTGCCCATGGTCCTGGGTCTGGGGCTGGTGGTGTTGTGAGTGGTGCTGGGGCTGGTATGATTGGAACCCATTCTCCTGCATGTAATGGCCGTCTTGTGGTTGCCATTGGTGGGCATGAGAAACGGAATACGGGTTGTCGTCCAGTCCACCGCTAGCAGGAGCGCCAAAGGTTGAGTTCACAAACGGGCCTTGGCCCGGATCAGCGCCGTTGTGATTAAAATGGGAGTAGCCCCATGGCTGATGGTTATCACCACTGGCCATCGCGACTCCACCACCCACGGACCGGTCGGTGACAGGCGTTGCCTGCAGTCTGCACCCAAACTCCCCCGGTGTGTGGAAAGGTAGTCACGTGCAGCCGGCGGAGGTTAATGCAGGTATCGAGCGTTGCAAGCGGCGATTGATGAGAGATTGCAATTAACGGGGGTAATGAGTTTCTCGAGGTATGAAAAATTGCAATGAGTGAAGTGTTCCAGCCAGGGCTTGATGCCGGACAGGGATCTAGGGACACGCTAGTCCAAGGAGGGAAAGATGGGAGAGCAAAGGTGGGGCCTAAGACGGATCGAGAGGTTAGCGGGCAAGGAACACGCCAAATCGACGGGTGTGAGAGAGAGAGTGTGTGTGCATGCTCGGATCTGAAAGTGCTGGAAAACAGGGGAGAAAGCTTGACAGGGCAGGGTCTGGCAGCCGCCACTTGGGCAAGCAATCCAGCAGATTGCAATCATCGGGTTCGTGTCCGAGACGGCATGGACAACAGACAGACAGTTGGACAAGCGGACAGGCAGTCGGATGAGGATGAGGATGAGGCATTTGCAGTGCGTGTGGTCGGAGCTTAAGCCTTGGCTCAGAACGGGGTTTTTTGTCTCTGAGGTCGCGACAGCCTCATTCTGGGCCGGATAGAATTGACAGGCGTTACAGGCCGATGTGTGACCAAGGGACCCAACAGCCATGCCGGTCCATTCCCATGGACGAGGCTGTGTGTGTGGAATCGCTGGCTGGTCGGGATGCAGAGGATCCTGGGGCAGCGAAACGGCCGTGGGGTGCAGCGCGGGCTGGTCTGGCTAGGCGGGCCTAACAGCGACGGCCTCGCCCGTTTGTGTTGCCCGTCTCTACCACCATCTTCGTATGTGCTGTTGTTCCCAGACTCGGCGCAGGAGGGGGCAGTTTAACAAAGAAGGATAGGCAGTACGTTGTACGTGCAGTGCAGCCTTGAAGGCGGAGCCGCTGAGTCAAGCCAAGCTGCTCTCACGCCTCAGGCCCTGGTCCGGTTTTTAGAGGTGCCAACTGCCAATCCTGACTATCGCCTTCGTTTCGCGGGCCGGTGTGGTGGGTGGGTAGGTGGATGTAGGTGCGAGTCTGCCTGTCTGTCCCGTCTGCCTGTCTGCCTGTCTGCCCAGCGCAAGGCCGGATCTGCATGAATCAAAGCCATAAAAAAAGCTGATTGATGAGAATTTGTTTTTCTGCTCCTGGCTTGCCTGCTTGCTTGCCTGCTTGCCTGCTGCTGCAGCACCTCCGATCCCTAGCTCGGACGAGGAGCATCTGGAGCCCGAAGATACACGCACTCAAATTTAACAAGAGCCTGGCAAGGGCCACTGAGGCTTGCAATGTCTGTGTCGCGAGCTCGCCGCACTTGAATCGCGTCGCAGTGACATGCACCCCCTCACGACAGGAGGTGGGCAATTCTTTTAGTCGTTACCATCTGGAGGTCTGCTGGCCGTCACAGAATTCCCCTGGTTGATCCAGGCACCTCGGGAGGCACCGGCGCGCATTTAAACGCGGCGGCCGGGTCCCAACAGGCACGCGAAACAACATTCAAGTATAGGTCATAATAACATACGGTGGTGCTGTGCTTTTGAGTGTGCGGTGGTTGTCTTGGGGTGGAGGGGAGATGCAGTTTGGGGGCTTGGAGAGTGTAGATGCATACCCTGGGGTCCGTCCGTCCGCCTGCTTTGGATGGATGTTTTCAGAGGTCCAAAGCCAGCCCAGAGATCCTTCCTACGCCGCTTGAATGCGCCTCGGAGGCTCTATCCTCCATCAAGACAAAGCGACAAAAAGCCGAGCACGTTACGACATCGCTCCCATCCTCTGATACCCGAGAGATGGCGACGCGTGTTCTGTCTATCTGAAAGGATTGACTTGACTGGCCTGGCCTGGACTGGACTGGGCTGGACTTGACCGCAACGAAGGAACAATCGAATCAACGACTTTAGAGTAAGGTGCAGCGCCAAATCCACGGATATTGAAAAAGTTCCCGGGATCTATCAGAATGGGTTGGCGATCCCGCTTCAGATGGTGGACTTTGGACAGTCTCTACGTGGAAGACGGATGTCGTCGCGTTGTGTTGATGGTTGAGAGAAAGAGGGAGGTCGGGAGGGAAAGGGGACGGTGGATGGGATGCCGCAAGGAAAAGGGAAAAAGGGCTAGCTGGCTGGCTGGCTGGCTGGCGGGCTGGCAGGCTGGCAGGCTGGTCATTGTTTCATCAGCACCCAGCGCCCAGCTGCCCAAAAATGGATGTCGTCCCTCACCAGCTCAGTCATAGCATCGGCTAGCGGCCGTGCCAGCCACGGCAGGGAAAAGCTATGTGCCTAGGCAGGGGATGGGCCCCTGGCTCGCCCGAGCGACACGGACCAAGGCCAAGGGAGAGCCTGAGAGCCTGGCCTTGCAACTTGGTACCACAGCGCAGGCGCCTCGGCTAGGCTGATACCTGCTGTGCAAGCACCTACCCAGGGCAGGTGGGGGATTCATCAGGGCGCAGGGGCAGGTCCGGAGTACCGAGTACCGCTGGCTCGCACGCATTATGTCAGCTTCCAGGACGGCGGTACAGGCGGTGCAGGGAGACAGAGACGGGCTTACAGCTACGTATTGTGTAAGTCGCAGGAGCTTCAGACGACCTATTCAGACGACCTGTTCAGACACCCCCGAGCCGGCGAGTCGGTCACTCTCGAATTCTTACGAGGACAGCTGTCGCAAGAGTGCAGCCTGCGCTAGCAGCAGTCATCAGGCCGACCAGAGTCACTTCCCCTTCTGTTGTCAAACAACTGGCAGCTTGCTGTCGGCTCAGATTCACCTGTGGAAACGTGTCTCTGCGCCCCCAAACCGCCCATGCCGAGCTCTCGCCCCGAAGAACACCACCGCTACCAGAGCAGTCAATAGCTGCCACGAACCGTCAGTATGGCAGCGCGTGGCGCCTCGTTGCGCGACAAGCAGATCGCGTCGCTGAAAAAGATATTGAACCTGAACGAGGACGTCGAGGCCGGCGACCATGACGACTCGCAGGCCAACGGCCTCGCAACCTCGCCAATCGCTTGGAAGGTGCTTGTCTTTGATGACCTAGGGCAAGAGTACGAATGCTGTGTTGTTCCTCAAAATACTGGGGCCACCGAGTGCTGATGTCGAAGGGCTACAGTGTCATCAGCTCCGTCCTGAGGGTCAGTGATCTCCGCAGTCTGGGGGTCACGATACACCTGTGAGATATGCGCGCACTCCTGTCCGGGCCGAGGGTATCGGGACTGACCTGGAGAGATGAACAGGAAAATAACGGCTCAGCGCGCGCCCATCCCCGACGTGCCGGTCGTCTACTTGCTGGAGCCAAACGCGCAGAACCTCCAAAGGATCACCGAAGACCTTCAGAAAGGACTATATACCCCGGCATACATAAACTTCCTCTCCTCGATCCCCCGGCCGCTGCTCGAAGATTTCGCGACTATGACCGCCACGGCAGAAACATCAGAGCAGATTGCGCACGTCTATGACCAATACCTTAACTTCATTGTTGCCGAGCCAGATCTCTTCTCCCTGGGCATGGAGAAGGACCACGTGTACTGGGCCCTGAACAGCGCGAAAACCAAGGACGAAGAGCTTGACCATGTTGTTGACAAGATTGTCAGTGGGCTGTTCTCCGTCATCGTCACCATGGGGGTCATACCAATCATACGCGCCAGCCGGGGTGCCGCTGCCGAGATGATAGCCCAGAAGCTGGACCGGAAACTGCGTGACCACATCTTGAATTCGGGATCCAAGGACGGTCTCTTCTCGAACCGGCCCAGCTCGTCTGCTGGCACTCCCACGTCACGGCCTGTCCTAGTCCTCCTGGACAGAAATGTTGATCTCACACCAATGCTTTCACATGGCTGGACTTACCAACACTTGGTACATGACGTCCTTAACATGAAGTTGAACCGTATAACGATCGAGACGCCCGTCGACGAGTCCAAACCCGAGAAGGGGGTGACGAAGAAAGCGTACGACCTGACGGCCAACGACTTCTTTTGGTCAAAGAACTCGGGTCTGCCATTCCAAGAAGTGGCAGAAGACATCGATGCCGAACTCAACCGGTACAAGGAGGAATCCGCCGCTATCACAAAGAAGACCGGCATTTCGGACCTCGAGAATCTTGACATGGACACCAGTGCTAGTGCCCAGCACCTCAAGGCCGCGCTTACGGTACTTCCAGAGCTCAGGGAGCGGAAGGCAGTCTTGGACATGCACATGAACATCCTGGCGGCCATCCTGAGTGCGATCCAAAAGCGAGCTCTGAACGTAAGCAGCCACTGTCAGCGGTAATCTGTCACGTGTCGCTAACATAACACCAGGAATACTACTCAACAGAGTCGAATGTGATGAAGCAGACGAAAGCGCAGGTACTGGACTTGATCAAAGACAAGGAAAAGGGCGAGACCGCATTGGACAAGTTGCGTCTCTTCATCGTCTGGTTCCTCAGCACAGAAACAGACATCGGCAGGGCAGACTGGCAGCAGTTTGAGGAAGCCCTCACGGCAGCAGGGGTAGACTGCACGTGCCTGCCGTACATAAGACAGTAAGGGACCTCTACACCGGACTCTGCAATGGAGAGACGCGGGGCGACATGCTAACCCTGAGGCATAGAGTTCGTGCTACAACGAAGATGACGCAGCTCACAACAATGGATTCCTCGACAGCACAGCAGCAGCCATCTGCTTCCTCAGACCTCTTCAACCGCTTCTCAAATATATCTTCGCGGCTCACAGACCGCCTCAAGGAGACAGGCGTACCAACAGGCGCCCTGTCGGCCAACTTCGATTCGATCGTCGGCGGGCTCAAGAATTTTCTCCCCGCGAATCAAGACCTTACCATCACCAAAATCGTTGAGTCCATCATGGACCCATCCAGTGCCGCTTCGTCGGCCATAGCCAAGACAGAGAACTACCTGTACTTCGATCCACGCAGTGACCGCGCGAGGGGCACTTTGCCGCCGCCATCAACTGTGCGAGCTGCAGGCGTCGCACCAGGCGCGATGCCTGGCACCGCCAACCTCGGGCCGGGCTCGGGGGCGTCTTTTGGGCAACGGAGGCAGGGCTTCTCGGAGGCTGTCGTATTCACAGTGGGCGGCGGAAGCATGGACGAATATGGAAACTTGCAAGAATGGATAAAGCGTACGGCGGGCAGCGGGGACCGGACGAAGCGAAGAATCGTGTACGGAAGCACGGAGCTTGTCAATGCTGCCGACTTCATCAAGGAGGAGTTGGAGAGGCTTGGCCGAGAAGTACAGTAGGCCCAGCCACAGGGTTGCTGTGGAAAGACCAAGGTCTTGGTAAGGGACACAGCCCAGCCCTCAAAAATACAGCCTTAAGATCTTAATTCAAAGCCGTGTCACTTGTCCATAAAGCCACCCACAACCTGATGTTGTTTCCATGAACCCGGGCGTTTGCGATCATGCGCCACCGCGCTCTCATGGGTGCGGTGGACATCCGACTACTCCTGTCCAGGCCTGTCAACAGCGAGGCTGGGTGCTCGTTCGCCGTAATCTCGCACCCCACCCACTAGGTGAGTCTGCAGCAGCAGATGGGAATCTCCGAGCCCTAGTTGGGCTCCCAGGGGGATATAGTCATTTCCAGTTAGTTCATTACAGGTTCTCTGTTTCCGGGCCTGCGTGCGGTGCGCCACAGCGAGGCTTAGGCGTCGAGGGGACCAGACTACGTATATGTATGTATGTTTATAGTTAAGTATGTATGTATGTCCAACCGATAGCCTTTGTTTCTGTGGCATGGCCGGAGGCATTCAGAGCCCCGAGCACGTTATATGAGAAGCAACTGCCCCTCGAGTCGAGTCATGACTAGTACTCTCGTGCCCAGCCTGCTAGTGCTGCAACCACCCTGGACCCAAGCATAAAACAAATGCCCCCACGGGCCGAGCCCCTTGTCCAGAACGGTTCACCAAGAGGAGATGATTACGTACCCGTGATTGAGCCTCACCACCACCACCATCACCACCACCACCAAGAACTAGGACGCTCCGGGCTCGCTTTTTTCCCTTTCTTTTGCCCTGATGTCGACCCCGCCCCGCTTATATTCACCCCTCGCCTCGTGGGGCCCAGGGCTCCGGGGGTTTTGTCTGTCTTGGCCGGCGATCACGGTTGAGCCGGGTCTAGCAGGCGGTGTTTTCGGTAAAACCCCCGGCTGCCGGAATGAAGGAGTCCACAGCCCACATTGATGGCGACAGTGACGGGAGTCCTGTTGCTCGCAGACACATGTTGAGATCCAACCGCGGCAAAGGCTGCATATGTCACGATCTTTGCCTGCAGCCCCGCAAGGGCCCAGAACATTGCATGCAGAGAAGGGAGACAAGGGAAAACCGGTCATCGGCAGGTGGGTAACAACAGGGTATCGCACTTTTTTTTTGGTAAATCAAATCGCTCGTCACAAAACTTTATGTACAGGAAATTCGTAGCAGAGGGTTCCGGCCAGGTCTCTCAAAAGGCCGAGCCGATGTGCACCGGGCGCTCGTCATCGTTGCTGAAGGTCGACCTCGACTCCCTGTGGTCGCGGGTGTCCTCGGTGCCCAGCTTCTCGAGGTCTCGCAGCTCGAAGTGCTCTACCGTCCCCGTGCCCACGACGCCCGCCTCGCCGCCGTCATTGTCGTGCGCCGAGGCCGCGCTGCACCGCCTGCTCCCGCCGCCGCCGCTCACTGTCACGTCCGAGAGCGAGTGAGGGTTGTTGGCGGCCGCCCACGCGCGGCTGTTCCTCGCGGTCTTGTTGGTGGCCGTGCCTATTGTTGGGATCCGGCCGGCCGTCTCGTTGAGCTTGGTCGACATGAGCGACATCTGCAGGTCCTGGATGATGAGGCGGATCACGGGGAGCGTCTGGACGATGATTGTCCCCGCCACTTCGGCCTGGTACCATATCTCTGTGTGGCCCTGTCTCCAGACGTACCACGAGTCATACGTGTTGAGATCTGGATCCAGCATGTACCACGTGCGAACGCTTGTGAAGATGGCGATTCTGGAGTTTACCGAGTCAGCAGGCGGCGGTGAGATTACCGTTGAGGTTACTGCCGATGCCAATCTATCGTGTACTCACATCGTGCCCAGGCTCATAGCCACGCAGAGGCCGATCTTCTCGTACCTCTCGATCCTCAGCTTCCATGTGACCAGCCATGGGAATAGAGACAAGACAAAGTCGATGATGATGTTAAATACTAAGCACGGGGGCCTGTCAGTCCTCGATGCTCGGAAAATCGGAAAGCAGCGCCGCTGGACGTCCGCGCGAGAAGCAACTCACCATTCTGCCCGATCTTGATCTGGAAGATGGTATCGTACGGGGCGCACACGACTGGGATCTTCCACCAATACACCTGCTGGCCGCAATAGTTGACCCAGTTGAGGACGAGGAGGATGGCGAGGTAGAGATTCAGCGACGCGATGATGACCCATAACGCAAGCCTCTGCCAGGACTCGGTGATCCTCAGCAGGGTCACTGCGAATGCTGTCTTTGAGAGGGTCTGGCCGACGGTGATGAGGCATGATGATATCGAGACGAGGATGAGCATGCGGTCGTCCCAGGTCTCGGACACGTAGCCGGTGGCGAGCTCGATTGTTATGAAGATGTTGGTCGCCAGCAGCACCAACTAGCACAAAGATCAGCGGCGAGGACCGGGTGAATGGGCACATGGGGTATGTTGTTCTCCTTACCCAAGAGGATATCAGTATGTGGTCATCCCACCACAGGCCGTGGCGCCGGTGCATTTTGCTCCATATGCGGAGGGTGAGGAAGGCGGTTGCGCCCGCAAACAAGGTCCATATCCCCCAATTAACCTGGGTCGACGGATCCACGAACTTCATCTCGGGTCCAGCCCGGGGGGTTTGCACGCTGACGGAGCCGGTGGTGGTGGATGAGCCGGTGGCGACCGACTCGTCCCGGGGTAGGATCATAATATACAAGAAGAAACAGGAGGAAGAGAATGTGATGGGCGACGAAGAGCCCGTGCTGTTATCTACGGCGTGGAAAGGAGAGGAAGGGGGCAGAGAATGAATCCGGAGAAAAGAGAGGCTAGCCGCACAGGTAACTGGATTTCGGCATGATCGTGATGTGATGATCGGATCGGAGATGGAAGTGACAGGCCGGGGAGAGAAGAGCCAGAAGCCTCCCTCGCTCTCTCGTGGCAGCACACGAGTGCTGGGCCCGCGTGGGATTCTTATTTATTATTCCTTCCTGCCCTGGCCCGGGAACCCCCCCTACCAGGCTGAATGGCCGAGGGTGGTGATACGAATGGGAAATGATCAGCCGGTGCGGGTCCAGTCTCGCCTGGGCGAACCTCGGGGGCTGTGACAAGGTGGACTCCACAAGTTCAATTTATCTGGCGCCCGCATGTCCCCCGTGCCCCTATGTGGTGTAAAAGAGCAGTGTTCCCGCCCCCCCAGAGGCACGTTTTTCGCCCGGCCGCGGAACCGGAATGTCGAGGATGGAGGAGGGAGAGAAAAAAAACAGACAGGAAACCCACCCGTCGTTTGTGCCTGACTGCTTCTATTCGGAGAATTTCCATGGCCCAGAATGGCAACAGATGGTGGAATCACATCGAGACCCCGTCGGGCCAGGCCTGGAGTCCCTGGGCGCCGTGTCGCCCAGAGTCCATCAGCCCACCCAGGGCGCTATCGTGAAGTCCCCCGGGCTGCTAGCCTCGGACTTCCGAGTGGGCGGGACGAGTGCCGTCCGTGAGGCCGGGGTCGCGTCTGGGAACAATGGAACCTTGAACCAAACACATACTACATAGTAGTAGCAGTAGATCCACACGCCACACACTTGTTGACGTTTCCACCGCCATGGAATCGGGACGTGATGGCACGGCCGTGGGGCACGGCCGTGAAGGGTTTTGGGCCGTCGTGAATGTCATTGTTGTTTGTGGCGCAATTGTTGGTGTTGTCGCTGGCACCAACCAGCGGCATGGGCTTCCGGTCTTGGCTGAAAAGCAGCAGCCAACGTAATGAGTCGGTCGCAGGATCGTCTACCATCAAGCATAAAATGACCCGGTTGGCGACTCGAGAGGGACCCGCAATCCCATCACGCACAGTTGGACGCACCAACCCGTCACGCAACGCGGCGCAGAGCAGCCCAGCGCACCGTGACGAGCATGACGGACGCAGCACGCCAGGACTGACCTCGAGTCCCTCGAATCCATCCCACCTTCCTGTTCGGTAGCTCGCGATGAGGGGGGCGCCCACGACCCACGCGGCCGGTTCTCGACCCACCTGCACATCACCTGCGCGAAACGAAACACCATCATCACCACCAGCCAAGCCAGCATGAAGTGAGCAAGTCAGCAAGTCACAGCTCATGTGGGGACCACCACGACCGAGTGATGATCCGGAGATCAAGAATAACACCAAGGGGGGTACAGAGATGGCCAGATTGCCATTCCAGCCTTCCGTCCTTGCATCCGTGCGCAACATGCAGCCAGGCGGCGTGGGCCTGCAGCAGGGCCCTTGGCCTCAGACTATGGCGACACCCGGGGCCACCACAGAAGCCGCCTGCCGAACAGTGCTTTCATTGCTCATCTTGGGATGTGAAACAAGAGGCTCTCGGGGTGGGGGATGGGGCATTGGGCGGGGGGCATTGTGCCGTGCACAAGCTTGCATACCTGTACACTACAAAGGAAGGAAGGAAGGAAGGAGGATTCGCCCAGCCGCGACGGTCCGTAGGCACCGTCCGGACGCATCCAACGACAGCCCGCCCTTCCGCCCAAGCCCCGTACAGAGTAGCGCTGAGCGGGTCCCACATGGTGAGGTAACATGGTCGTCTCGTCAGTTCAGCCCAGCCAGCCCAGCCAGCCTTCAGAATTGAGTTCAGAAGAAGGGCGTGTGGCACGTGGTTTTGTGAAACAAGGACCGGGACATCCTTTCCAGCCTCGCAGCCTCGCCGCCTCGCCGCCACAGCCTCTCGCCGACACGGCCGCAAGCCGCCGGTCGCCATCGTCAGAGCGTGGTGCCCAAGCGGAAACTTTACTGAGAGGGAGATTGACTGCCCCGGTGGGTCGGCTGCAGGCCCCCAACCGGCCACCGTAACAGCGTAAGCACTCACAGCAGCACCCTGCATGCAGCCTTGGCAGTCAGGCACGGCGCATCTTCACACATCCCCAGTCCAGTCCTCGCCCGACAGGACCTGCCCCATCAGCTCATTCGGAAAACAACCTGGCAATTGCTTTGATCCATGCCTCGACATCAGTGGTAGTCGACCAGGTCCGGTAGCGGCCAACGGGGCCGATGAATCGTCGCCTCCGGGGAGATGGTCCTTTTGGGAACAGGGCCTTGGGAACGGGGCCTCTAGCCGAGGTGTTCCTGTCGGACTGCTGCCATGAGCTCTCAACTTCAGGTACGTAACCGTTTTCTGAAAATGTGCTTGTTGAAATGATTGTTCGAATGGGCCATGCCTCCTCCCCCCTCACCTGGCGCGGTTGTCCCTTTTAGCTCTGCAACCGTTCCAGCCGTCCAGCCGTCAGCCGTCTGGGCCGTTCGTCCCAACATCCTGGTCAGTAACGTAACTAATAAGGCCACCATGTGCTTAAGACAGGGAAGTCAAAAGGTTGGCTTCCATGGCCGTTCGTAGATCCACCATCTTTTGCTCATTTTCGCCCATGCTTCACCATGCTGTGGCCGGGTTCAACTTCCCACACAGAACAGAAACATGCAACGTGACATTCGTGATACCAGATGCAGACGATCTTGATGATTTCTAACCCGTTTATTGTAAAGGATATTATTCATGTCCCCCCCCCCCATATCGCGAAAATTAGGAATACATCAAGTCATTTTGCTTCCCCGGCTCCAGCCAGCCATCCATGCATGCGTCATCAAACAGGTGCCGGATTCCCAGCTCCCTGGTCAGACAGTGCCCGCATGGGCTACATGGTATCCGGCGGCACGTTTGACTTCGAAAACCCCGAAAGAGAAAACCGCAGGTCAAGAATCATGGCCCCAACCAGCACCGCAGGGAAATTCATCGATCCAAGAAGTCCTGGGTTGTGAAGATGCGTCAGATACACAGAATAGAAAACATCGATCCAGTCGTTGTGGCAAAAACCAAGAGGAAATCTGAAACTCCGCGATGAAATAATTGCACCATACAAAGTGCCCGTTTTGGAGATCCTGTAGTTCATTCGCCGTTTCGAAACAGCAAATCGTTCGTATCATTCAGAAGTAAGAAAGACATGGGTATGTAAAAGTAAAGGCCGCCAAAAATACACGCCAAAAAGGGTCCCAAAAGACCGCGCACAAGGAAGAATGCAACGTGTAAACTAGCCAAAAGAGAACATGGGAAGCCAAAAGTAAACCGACAAGGTATGTCATCATCAAAGTCGTCGCTTCTCTGAAATCATCAGACGCCCCTAAACATCCTGACCACAAGGAACCACATCGCACCGAGGAACTTGAACCCTGAGAGCGCAGCCACCGAGTAGAGAACCACGGCCATGTAGATGGCTGTCCTGTTCGATTCCGCCTCCTCGGCGGCGGTTGCGTCGGTGGTGTTCGATTTGGTCCCAATCTTGTCCAGGCCTGCAGCGCTCAGGACGAGGGCGACCAGCGCAAAGTTGGAGATCATCCATATAAGCACGACCACCGTACGGACACCACGGTAGTAGTCCTGTTGCTTTTCGTCCAGCTGGGCAGCCGTCGGAGGCTTGTTGTCCTTGACAGGCTTGCGGCTGAAGACCTGCAGCTCACGATCGTACTGGGCGTTCAGGTCACCCTCGTCGGGGAGATCCGTCTTACCCTGGCCATCCTTGAGCTCGATAGAAGGCAGCTTCTCTGCTTTATCGTCACCTTTGGTCCCCCAGGAGATGTCGTGAGTGTTGCAGAAGGCATAAACATTAAGAACGTTGGTGAAGGTCGGAGTCAACAGCATGTACTGCCCCAGAGACGTGATCATGTGCCACGGATCAAACATGAGCAGCGAGGCGATCAGCCAGATTCCGTAGGTAGACATGACAGAGACAATCAATGTGTAGAAGACCCTGTTCCTGAATAGGTCTTGGATGTTGAACCCGTCTTCGTCGTTTATGTCGGTCTGTATGGCTACCACAGAAATGTAGATGGCCGCAAACATCAGGTAACTAGGAACGGCTCTGTTAGCACCGGTCGTCAAGCTGTCGTACAAGGGGGTCCTTACACAAAGATGATTGCCCAGAAGATCACCATTGCCATGTAGTATGGCCCAGATCCCGCTGGACGATTACCCAACGACAGAACGAAGCAGATCATGAGTGAGATACCGTAGAGCCATTCGAACACGACACCAAGAATACTGCCAGCGGTGCCCAGGAGCGTTTCGTCACCCAAGCTCGTTGTCAAAATCTTGAAGACCAGGAAGAAGTTACCAATCGCAAACCATGCGAAAATCATGTTGATGGTGTTGAAGGTGAATTCAAGGAAGAAGGCCAGCTTCCGCATCAGGGAGTGATCCGAGCGGAAGAACTGGTAGAAGTGTGCAATGGCATATATGGCAGCGAAGAAAGACCCATTCAGCCACCGACGACGCTGCAGGATAAGCTCGGTGACGGTGTCTGGCACGTCAGTCTCGCCCGTGGCCGACTTGACGTACTGGAGGATCCAGTGGCAATTGCGCTTGGTGACGAGCTCGAAGCAGAGGATACGATCCTCAGCGAGGTACATGTTCGACGTGAAGATACCTGCACCGGCGCCTTCGAGCTTCTCGCCAGCAAAGTACTTCTCGAGCGGGCCCTGGCCGTTCTTATCGTTTTGAAGAGCAACGTATCGGTACGCGGAGAAGGCACCCGGCAACACCGATATGAAGCCGAAGGCGGACTCGAGTGGTTTGTCGAGGATGTTGCTCATCTTGTACTCGAAATTCTGGGCTGCGACCAGCGGATTGAAAAGGTTCTTGCCGCCCCTACAGTATCGAGAGTCAGCCAGCCATCAAAGAAATAAATGAGTATCTTCATGCCAACACAGCAGAGCGAAGGCCACAAGGCAGCCATAGCATGTCTTGAGACCTGTAGCCCCTGAAGGCTTTGTCATATGGGCTAAGAATGGGGGGGTTTTGGTCTCCAAGGGGTAAAAGTTGCATCTGGAAGCTGCTTACGTTCCAAGCATAGCCTTGATCTCGCCACAAGCGCCAGCGCACATGGGCTCGAGATCGAATGCCTTCCAGAGGTGGTAAATCGAGTTACCGCCGGGCTTGGTTCCAGCGTCAATCAGAACGGTGATGTTGGGGTCCAGGACGCGGCCGAAGGCGTTGAAGAACCATCGGTGGGAGTTGATCTTCTTCTGGTTCTTTTCCTTCAGGCAGAAGAGAAGCTGCACGGGCTGCTGCTTGGGGATCAACTGGACCACGTCGTTCTTGATCTGCATGCCAACTTGCGAGGTGTACTCGTAGATGTGTGCCGTCACGTCTTTCTTGTTGACCTGCTGCTTGGCGATGCCCTCCTGGTACACTCCCATACCGGCGAGAAGGGCTCGTGTCCTCGCGTTGATCTTGGCACGCCCATCGCTCACGATGCAGACCACAATCTTCTTCCAAGCATCTTTGCCCCATGTCTTGCTCTCGGTCCGCTTGCACATGTACTCGACGTTCTTGAGCACACCAATCATGGTCCTGGCGAAGAGGATCTCATCCTCGTTGTACATCGTGATGACGATGAAGAGCTCCGTGTGTCTGGTCTTGCTGAAGAGCCTCTGCCGCAGGGTGAAGTTCTCCTCGTAGAAGTGGTTCGGGTCACAGGTTGCTGCTGTGTACCGCATGTGGGTGAATTCATCTCGATCGCCATGGGGAACCTGACTGAGCAACCTCGGCGGGACTGGGCAGTCCAGCACCAGGTTTCCTCGGTACAACAAGACCTCCTTCACGGTCTTCCAGCGCTTGAGGCCGCCGCCCTTTGCCTGTTGAGGGTTGTCTGCGTAGCTCTCGGTCATGCTCGAGTCTTGGTGTTGCAACATGGGCCGTCTGTCGTCGTACTCGAATCCCGGCTCTGCTTGAGGCTGTGGCTCGTAAGGCTGGTTATAGTAGCCATCGTGGTGTGCCTCGGGGTTAACAGAGTAATCCTGGTAGCCAGCAGGTTGGTGCGGTTGCTCGTAGGGGTGGCCCCCGATGTTCTCCATTGATTGCTACCGCGCAGGTTAGAGAAATGTGCACTGTCTGGCTTTCCAGGCGGGACTCACAGCTGTTTGCATGTGGAGGGAGTCTGCAGGGCTGTACGTCCTACCGACGCCGGGTGGGCCCAAGGGCATTTGGAGATGTGACGCGGACGGGTTCTGGCCGTAAGGGTTGTCGTCGAGTTGGTAGCCATGCTGGAGCGGATGGCCCGGCGAGGGCGTCCTGTGGGCACGAGGATCCATCATGTGATGGTCGTAGTAGTCGTCGTCTGTATGGTTTGACGATTAGATACTTGGCTTTGAAGTACGTTCCGAGGCGGGACGAGTCAAAGTCGCCGCCGGAGTATCTTAAAGGGGCCCCTCAGAGCAGCGGCGCCGAACCAAGGGAGCTGCGCCACGAGGTGTACTTGGTTGTGGACAAAGGTGCGAGCCTCGGGAGCGGGCCTTGGTCTTTGAGTGACTGGTGGCGGGGCGCGTTGTAGACAAGAGGACGTCACACAACGGGTGGAAGTATAAGGGCAGGGCAGGTGGAACGAAGAGTGGGTTGTCAGGGAGGAGGGTTGTATATTGTGTTTGGTCCCCGGGGTGAGGAATGTGCTGGCCCGCCTATGACGCGAGGCGAGAGGATATGGGTGTGTGGGCTGGAGACCAGGCGGGGAGGAGGGGAGGAGGGGAGGAGGGCAGGAGGGCAGGAGGGCAGGATGGGGGTAGGTATGGAGGAGAACTTGCCCAATCGATTATACGACATGGTTGCTGTGTTCTGGTAATGCAGACGATGGGGTAGGTTTTTGGAGTCGCTCCGTCACCGGCCAGGGGTCGCAACCTGGACGTGTATTGGGCCACAACCAAGGTCGAAGCCCACGGTTGTCGTGAAGTGATGACTTGTGTCAGAGGTTGCCTTTGGTCACTGTGCCCCCAAGAGGACCCCTTGGGAATGTGCCAAGGGTGAGGTGGAGCGTGCTGTGAGCAGAGACTCAGGTCGGCGGGCACTGACGGCGGTTTCGAAAAAGGTGCTGCGGTCGGCTGCGGTGGTTTGAGCCCCTATTCCGTGCGGTACCTTGCCTGTACTGTACTCTGAGCTTAATGCGAGTGGCCGCGATGCTTGCTCTCCTGCTTGGGCTCTGCGGTCTGGCTGGCAAAAAGGGCAGGTTCGGACGACTGCGCTGTGCCGGCTGGGTCACAATCAGCAGCGTCGCATAGGCTGAAGTCTGCTGTGTGGCAATATGGCAGGTGGAAAGAGACAGAGTTCAGGGCGAATCTCGCAACGGCAATGTCGAGCTGGTTGGCTACCACAACCCGAGAGCTACTCCGTGCGATGGGCTTAGGCCGAGGCTGGGGAGCTTGGGAGGTCGGGAGGGCGCTGTTTGGCTGCGTGGCCGTCCGGATTGATGAAGGGGGCGATCAAGATCAACGCGGGCACGACTACTGGCTGGGGAGAAGGAGTCGTTTCAGGCTCACAGGGGAGGCGCAGTAAGCTACCCGTGACGTCGCTTGGGAGGGAGCTGGCCGGGGGTCACCTTGGGTCTGCTGGGGCTCCCCATTGGCCTGTGCAGAGGCCTTGTGGGGGCGCGCAGGGGTCATGGCAGGGGTCCACGAGGTTTTGGGAGGTTGCGATCGATGACTGGCAATAAGTTTCCTGCACAGTAGTCTACCAGCTGCCCGCTTGCCGGCTTGCCAGGCTTGCCTAGATAGTCCCCCATTGCGACCGTTGCAGAGGCTTCCCGCGAGGGACTCGGGAGTCGCAGGTACCACAGTACTCCGTAGGTCACAATCTCCAAATGTCATATGCCTGTGATTGAGCGTCCTTGATTTACCTGCCGACCTGCAACCTCGTCCCTTTACCGACAACATCCCAGCCTGCCCAGCCGGTCTTGGTTGATTGATTGATTGCAACCCTGTTTCGTCACCCTCATGCAAGCGGCCTCCTATTTTATTTCTACCACATGTACAGTAGAGTGTGTCTTGTCCCTGACGTAGCGCCGACCAATCCGAATGCGCCAGTACAGCACGGCGTGGGAAGAATGCTCCATAGGGCGTCTAGCAGACCGGTGCCTCCAGTCAAAACCAAAGGTGGAGGGCGATGTTCTCGATGGAGTCGGACAAGAGAAAAAAAAATAATCGGAGACCCAGTTGTTGATGGGCGGTTGCGCGAGCAACGAGGCATCACATGGCGGGGTAGTATGGAATAGCCACAACGGGGAGTGGCCAACTGCGTCTCAAGCAAGCATCGGAATTAAACCGATTCCAGATTTCGGCAGGGCTCAGCATCCACAAGCCCAAGGATTGCGGGCAGCGAGCGCCTCAGCGTTCCCCACAGTGGGTTCGGTCGGGCACGGTATCAGCTTGTCGAGGATGGTGCTGCATGTGGCGCGGGCGTCGGGGCGTCGTTGCGTCGTTGCCCTTGCCCCCCTCCCCCCGCAGCAGAGGAGGGAGCACAGACTGACAGGCAGGCTAGCAGGCTAGCTGGTGCTAACTACTGCTAACTACGATAGTGTGCAGACGTGCATAGCCGTATAACTCATGCAGACATGCAGACATGACAAGCCCAACTCCAACTTGCATCTTCTCCAGAGTCGGCCGAACTAAAAGCAGATCCCGCGCCGCAGTGCTCCGTACTATGTGGTAGAGGCAAACTGGCGGCTGACTGGACGTCAGCTTCCAAAATAGCAACTCCAGCCCGTCCACGCCATCAATGCCGCACAGCTGCACAGCCAGGAAGTTCGCCGCCACCCTCGGCACCTCCAGGATTCCGGCCCAGGGTCCGGGGCCCACAGCAGCCACACAAGGGCCAAATCCACCCAACAAGGTTGCCTCGTCGTCACAGCTTGAGATGCACCCCATAATGTGCACCCTGCCAGCCTGCCAGCCTCTGCCTGCCAGCCTGCCAGCCTGCCAGCCCTGCGCCTCAGTCGGCTTCCCGCATCTGCCAGTGCCTGTCCGACAATATATCCACCTCGCCACAAGCAAACGGCAGACTCTGCCGCAATGCCTCGTCCCGCTGGGTTGCCTCTTGCAAGTCTTCCGAACAGTCCGATGAGGATGACCCTAGGAAATTGCCAACAAGCTGTCCTGGCTCGGCCACAAGCGTTCCGGCCATGTGCGGTCTCTTCCAGGTGCGGAGGAACAATTAGGATCGTCACAGGGCATCTGAATCCCTTGGTTTGAGCTTCGAACAAGCATGGCTCGGGTTGTCTCAGGTAATCTACCTGCAGGATCTGTCTCTGAGTCGCGGCAAACCTTGACCTGCAGCCGATGTATACATAGTACATCTTCCCAGGGGAACTTGAGTTAAGATGTGGCTTGTCTCTTTCTATTGGGCTGTCGAGGGCCCACCGGGACACTTTTGGCCCATTTCAGACATCACCCTGGTGGAGGTCTACAACATTCTCCCCGCACTGCAACTTAAGCGCCGTGCTCTTATGTGTGGATAAGATTACGGTACAGGTCAGGCACATTGGCTGTGTTGGCCGAGAACATTGAAGGGATTACCACCACCCGGCACCAACCATGGTGGCCTCGGTCCCCAGGCCTACATCTGAAAAGATACGGGGCTTTACACCATGGCATTAGCCATACTGCTCCAAACATGTTTTGATCCACGGCCGTTCGAGAGGGCTGGCCGCCATACCCAGGTATGGTAACAAGGTTCTGGTCGAGACCCGTATGGTCACTCTTGACTTGGCCCGGCCCACAGGCCTGAGTTTGTTAAAACCTCACCTAAGAATCCTGAGTGATCCTTAGACCATATTCTATGAATTTTATGTGCATTTGGCTCTTGCCCTGAGGGAATGTGAGAGTGTCAGTCAGTCAATACGAATATGCCACGAACATTGCCTATTAGCTGCAGTTCTCCGAGGTCCCTCATAGCAGCTTGTGGGTTCTATTGAGCGAAAGCACCCACTGTGTAGTTATTTGAACAATGCATTTCATTCACTCAAAGCCATGTACTATGAGGCTTGGGTACCTACTTAGTAGCTTCCTCAGTCTTGTGACAATGCTTTGCATGTGTTCCCGTGAAGTGGTAGCTATTTTGCTTGCTGAGAGGTCTTCTGTCGTGGTTCTGCGAGTACATGATCAAGGCCAGACTTGCTTACTGAATTAAATATAGTTAAGCCCCATGAGTTTTCAGTCAATTGATTTTCCCTTCATTACCAGAAAGCATGTAAAATACAAGTTGGGGTGTGGTCAGGCAGCTCTGAAAACACTGTCTAGAACATAGGCATGCCTCTCCAAGACATAATAGTACGGCCAGCAATCAAGGTGTTGTCCATAATACCACATCACCTGTCAAGTACAGTGCAGTTTTTCCTATTTGGATAAGTAGTATATGGTTGACATTGAGTGTACTGCTATGCAAACTAGGGTACTTGAGTGCCTTAGGAACCTCTAAGTACTATATCACACCCCTAAGGGTTTCTAAAAATTATCTCTACTTTATTATAATTTAATAATAATTATAATTACTAATAGTTTCTTTTTTTTAAATAGTTTTTAAATAAAAAAGTTTTTTTAAAAGAAATAAAAATTTTTAAAAAGTTTAATTTTTAAATTCTTTAATATTAAACTTTTATTTTAATATAAAAACTAATTAAAAAAATCTTTTTTTTTATTTTATAAAACTCTTTTTAAAAAGAATTTATTTATTTATTTATTTATTTATTTATTTATTTATTTATTTATTTATTTATTTATTTATTTATTTATTTATTTATTTATTTATTTATTTATTTATTTATTTATTTATCTATTTATTTATTTATTTATTTATTTATTTATTTATTTATTTATTTATTTATTTATTTATTTATTTATTTATTTATTTATTTATTTATTTATTTATTTATTTATTTATTTATTTATCTATTTATTTATTTATTTATTTATTTATTTATTTATTTATTTATTTATTTATTTATTTATTTATTTATTTATTTATTTATTTATTTATTTATTTATTTATTTATTTATTTTAAAGTTTTAAAGAAAGTTTAAAAAAAGAAAGTTTTAAGTAAAAAAGAAAAATTTTAAAAAACTTTTAATTTTAAAGAAAGATATTAATATACTTTATAATTATTATTAGAGAGTATTAATGAGGAAATAGTTAAGAGGTATAAGTATTAATTTAAAATTAAAGGAGATATTTTAATAGCTAAGGGAATGGTTTAGTAACCATTTTTAAAAACCCCTTAGGGAGCGCTATGGTACTTAGGTAGGTGAATGTCGTGTTGGACTTGAGCTCCCTGTCCATGCCTGCAGCTATGCCTGACCCACATTGAGGTAGCCGAATCGGTACCGACACTTTCTTATCAAAGAAGAGTAGTACCAAACCAAGACGAAGAGGCCTTGCAAACGAGCAGAGAGACACTCAAGACACTGTAATCTAAAGACTGGAATAGGTACAGGAAAATTCCCATGGTCTTCATGGGTAGTTGCATGCTTAGTTCCATGGCCATTTAGCTCAAAAGAAATTGTATTGGCTACAGCGGCCAGTCCACCCACCCAGTGGTCCGTCTCCCAGGCCAGGCCTGATGTAGTTTTTGTCTAGAAATCAATCTGTTTGTCTTTTGCAATTCCTGCTGGAAATTTCGGGCTAGTTCACTTTTATCATTTACTGGGCATCAAGTAGCCTCACAAGTCTTGCAAAACCAACACAAACCTTCCTCCACACCCTGTTTTCATCAACCCGGGTTTCTGTGGACAAGCTTGGATTTCTACTTCTTGCACATCTCCTCACCTCGTCAAGATGCCTCCCCCACCGTCATTCGATTACTATCGTGAGCTTCAGGTTGACCGCTCTGCAACCTTGGCAGACATTACATCCGCATACCGTCGACTGGCCCGGATTCATCATCCAGACAAGAATCCCGATAACCAGCAGGAAGCCACCGCCATCTTCCAACGACTCCAGCTGGCCCATGAAACTCTTTCCGACCCTGTAAAGCGTGCGAGGTACGACAGCGGCGAAGATGATGTCCTCTACGAATCAGACTCCTACGATTCCGACTCATCTCCATTCCCGTTCCCCTTTGAATTCTTCTTCTTCTTTCGCATGCCACCAGGAGCTAGAAGAGCGGCAGCTCAGGCAGCAGAGAGGCAGCGCCGAGAAGAAGAAGCCGAAATCAAGCGCGAGGAGCAACGTCAGCGTCAAGAGGCCAAAGAAGCCCGCGAAAAGGAGGCGAAGATGAAGGAGGCCACCGCGAAGCGTCGCCTCTACGAGGAGGAGTTGAAGAAGCAAGAGAAGCGATGGGAAGAGATTGGTGCTGTCTCAAAGGACGAGAAGCTCAAATCCTGCCTACACTCGGAGCTTTGTGACAAGGTCCAGCACACTAGGAAGTTCAAGTGCACCGCATGCTCAGTAAAGCGCGGCATGACCGCGTTTGAGTGTCCTCATTGCTCTGCTTCTCTTTGTATGCTGTGTATCAAAGTCTTTTCCGTGAGACGAAAGAGAATGGAGGTGAGAGAACAGACGGCAAGGTCCGATGCCGACGAGAAATCTCCTGGCGTGAGCGGCGAAAACCTCTCTAACGAGCCTGATGCCAACGAGCCAAACATTGGTGGGATCAACGCCAGTGAGGAAAACGCCAACGAACCCACGGCCGGAACCCCCCCTGCCAAAAAACCCAAGATGAAGAGCACCAAGACCAAGAGCGCCAACACGGACAGGTCCTCCAAGCAGACTTCCGCCTCAAGCAAGAGCGCCGACAGCCATGACAACGAACCAGTCCTGAGTGAAGTAAACGAAAATCAGGCGACACGTCCTTCAAGAGCATCAGTTGCTTCTGAAAACCCGTACGACATTCTGACAAGAGACGACAAGGCCCCGGATGCCAAGGGCTCCGCTCTTCGCAGTCCGAGAGCAGAGCGAACCGGCGGCTACATTCGAACCTTGAACAAAATGTCGATGCCCCCCGCGGCTACTCTGCGTCAGGCGATGGAGAGGTTCGGGGCCGTGAGGTCTCTGAAGATCATCAATAAGAAATTCGGCATCGCCCATGTTGACTTTCTCACGCACGACGGACTTTGTCAGGCCATGGCTGCTTCCCACGTACTCGTGAGTGAGACAGTCAACGTCCGTGTGACGGAATTGAAAACCTGCAACACCTGCGGCAAAGACGGCCACAGTTCGGAGAAATGCAGGGCCATGCCGGCAAAGACCGGGGGGGCTGCATAGGTGTGACAGGTATATCAGCCCGCCATCCTCTTTCTCAAACCCGACAATTCGATTTTCTTGTATCTGAGGCCACTGAGGCTATCTGATGCTAGTTCACACGTACAGCACCACTTCGTGGCGCACCTGGACGGTGATGATAACGAGTGGATGCGGAGGGCGTAAGGCCATGATCGTCTACCCACGTATCACATGCTGGGCATCTAAGAAGTGCATGTGTCCGAATTTTTGACAAAATTGGGAGTGATAGAGGAGATTCAGGAGAGACTCACGTAATGAAGTGAACATTTTCTACTAGAGTCTTTTTTGGTGACGGTGGCAGCTGGCTACATATGTAGTTTTCTCTCAATTATTTACACAGCTGATGTAAGTGGCGAACTCGTCGGCTCTCTTTGCTTCCTCAAGTCCCGAGTCTTTGTGTCTGCTGTTTCGAATCAATTGGGCTCCATATGAGTCTCTGATGAGGTGTCCTTGTTTGCTATTGCCAGGGGGAGAGCCCGGTTCTGCTACCTAGGTATGAAGCAAGACTAACCACAACGTAACGAGATCGGTCAGCCGAGACTTGTTCGTCCAAATGTTCTCACTTCTTAGTTGCTGTACTACAAGGAATAATGCTTGCTATTCAGTCTCGACTCAGTCTTGTGGTTCAAGCAGAATCTGGCCAAGCTTGCCCCAGCCAGAAATAAATAGTAGCATGTCTCAGTCGAGTTCTTCATTGTTGGACGTTGAACAGCTCTTGGCCTGTTCAGTTCACCTGGTTCAAAGGTTGGCTTCATAGAGCTTGGGTACGATAATTGAACTTTCACATTGCTAGGTATATAACTCACCACAACTACTCATATATATAACAGAATGGCCCTGCAGTCGTGCTCAACAAGTCTTTGATCTGTCTCGGCGGGCCTGCAGCATAACCATACTCCACATAGTCTTCAACAGTCACATTTGGGCTGGGTGGGTTGTTGAGGAATGTTCCAGTTCCGGCGATACTATTGTTGCCCCAAACACGCGAGTCGGGGTCCTGCATCTGCCACAGCCACCAAACGCGGTCCATCATTGAGTGGTGCAAGTAGAAGGCAGGGTCGCCAGGCGAGACGAACAGATCACGGCCGGGGTCTCCGCCCAGCGAGAAGTGGCCTGTGGCGAAGTGTCAGTCAGCTTCAAAAATGATACACTGCGCGGCTGGGGAATCGGAATCACCTCCACCATGTACGCCCAATGTGGTACCGCCTTCCACCAGCGCCGCGGGCCAGCCCTGGAACAGAAGCTGGAAGGTGTCAATATCGTCATACAACAGGACGACGTCGAGCACGCTGCTCGCATTGGCGAATTTCTGGTTGATGTAGTCGGTCAGGTCCCGCTTGAGGCAGCGTGGGTTCCAGGAGAAGATGCCGGATCCGTTGTGTGGATTCTCGACGAACACGCCGCCAGGGAGGGCGAGGCCGATGGGACCCAGATTCAATGTGTAATTCGAGAAGGGGCCCGACTTTACGCAGCCGCCTCCGCTGCCTGCTGGGACCCAGAACGGCTCGAGATCCGGATTGTTGCCTGCGGCGTTGATGTCCGATTTATTTGGGATAAAGTAGCCATCTCCAGACAGTGACGTCTCACTGCCATCGAATATTGGGGAGGCATGTAGCCCCGTGATGGCGGTCTTGGGCCAGTTCCAGTACTGAAGATGTCAGTTCGTGTCGATCTAAACTATCTTATGAAGATGAGTGGCTTGGTACCTACCGGCAGGCTCCCCTGGTATCCACACTCGTCCCTCAATGCTTCCTCGAACAGGTGGATGTAATACCGATGCCATGATAGAAAAGTTGCAGTGTAGTGAATGGTGCTGGTCTGATTTATATGGGTGGCAATGAAGTCATCGTATCTTGTCTTAATGCCTGTTCCGAGTTCTGATGGAGTGTGAGCAGGCCTGGACTGCAGGCATGTGACTGCCCTGATATAGTCCTTCCTCTCATCTGTATCGTACGCATCCCTAGAACAAACAGATTGACGATGGGCCGTTGCTTCATAAATACCCTAGGATATGAAATTGCATGATTGAAGTACTCACCACTCCTTGCGAATCCTCAGATTGTCTCCAGTGCAGCCAGCGCTTCTCTTTTGGAGAGCATCCACTGCAGTTGACCGTGCTGAATCGAAAAGCTTTTGTAGTTGACTATAGGCATCATCATTGATTGTGCCACCGGACAAGCCCACAGGCTCTGAGTGGGTGAGGATCGCTGGGGAAGCCTGCAAGAGCAGCAGGGCAAGGTTCAGAGAAAACATCATGACCACTTTCAATTTTTGTACATATGTAGGGTCAGGTTACCAAAGACAATGCACGTGAATGGGGGACTGCCACTTGGGAAGATCCAGGACGGGACATGTCAAATATTACTTGAACGCATCAAGAGACCGGGAGCCTGGGTGATGCCATTGCTTATGTGAAAAGTTCTCTTGCTTACGCAGGGGGGGGGGCTCTGTTAATAGTGGCTCGTAAAAGCGAGTCTAGACCCCCCTGTACTCGCCAGTCTGGAGCTGCTGGTTGATGAGACTTCTCCGATTGGGCTCTAAAAGGCATGGCACACTAGTAGTCCCCTCGGACGTGTACGGAATAGAAGCGAAACCACACACTAGTAGTCCACCGGAGGATGCGGTAAAGAATTCCCGCTCAAATCAAGGCACTTTCAGGTCTCGAGGACGGTATCAACTTGAGCCGTTATCTACTTGGGTAGTCTCCAGCCTCATGGTAATCGTGAACTGTGGTATCTAGCCGGGAAATTGATAACCCCTTGCTACAGAACCGGCTCATAATCTGATAGTGTGCTGGGCAAAATTGCACAGGCTTGCCAGTGTTCACTAGTCATTTCTTGACTAGTGGATCAATGTCTCAGGTATATCAACTTCACGTGCAACAGCTATGTGAGGCCATAAAACACATAGAGACAAGAATCAAATTCATGAAAGGACCTTCCGAGGACCGACCTTGGGTTGACCCTGGACGCGCTCGTAGGACCCTACAACTGAGGATAGTGGCGTTTGTTAGCCAGACTCTGTCTACCTACCTCGGTACCTAGGCAGGCCAGTCAATCATCTAGTCTGAGGGACTGGAGCCTATTCTTGCAGTAGGGCTTACTTGACGGGGCCCACTAGAGCCAAGCAACATTTTCAACCGCATAAACAGAGACCCCAGCACGCTTCGTCATTCATGATTCGCCTCATTCTGCATTTGACTGCTCTCCTTGCATCCCAAGGCTTCTTCCACCGTTTATGTCAACTAGAATGACTTGGCAGTGCGAAGAGACACTAAGAGATGTCTTCCTTCCGCTCCTTCCGGACATGGACCGCGCTAGGGCCGGGATCACTTGTCTTCTCAAGCACATATTGACACTATCACGGTAAATTAGCCTGAGCAATTTCAAAAAAAAAAAGTTCATGACATCATGTAAAAACACCAAAAACAAGACCCACCTTACTCTAAGCCACTCCGTATATACCTAGGTAAAGTACATTATTCACGGCTGCCGCGGGTCCAGCCCGCAGGGTGGCTTCGCAGCTTCGCGGCTTCGCGGGCTAAAGTTACCACAGATTCCGTGGTTGCGAAGCAGGCGCCCGAGTGAAGCCCGTTTTGATAATCATATGTGAAGCTTTGGGTCTTGAGTGCTTACCACCGTATGAAGGCGCCATGTATGTCCTCGGACGTATACGGAATAGAAGCGAAACCACATATGTGAAGCTTTACAGGTCAAATTGCCCAGCACTCAGGGGTGCGCCTCTAGATGGACGACTTGCTGCGGGAAAAATTTCTTTCATCAACACTGTCTGTAGGATCTGACATCTTCTCCCAAAACAAATACTCTGGCATACAGCCAGTCCCAGAGGTCCATGTTTGGCAATGTAACTGCTACTGGGCCACGCCTCAGTCTACACTCAAGACTCCCTTGCAGTTCTCAGTTGAGTTGATGTGTAGGTTTCACATCCGTCCAGAGTTCCCCGGGAGATTTGTCCACCAAAACAGGCCTCTACAAAATTAATTGTCGTAATTAATTGATGAGGTCTTCGCTTGTTACCAACAAGACCCAGGTGATTTCATTTCTAATCCCCATATATATATATAAGGTGTACGGTCTTGAGTGCTTACCACCGTATGAAGGTGCCATGTATGTCCTCGGACGTATTCGGAATAGAAGCGAAACCACACAGTACGTGGGCACGTGGCCTCAGCCTCGTGCCGCACAGGTGGTTTCGTTTTTAATCCCCATACATGTAAAATGTACGTGGCGCCTTCATACAGTAGTAAACGCTCAAGACCCAGCGTTTGAAGAAATACAGTGCCAATAACAGTGGGAAGAGAATACAGTACGTGGGCACGTGGCTGAGCCTCGTGCCGCACAGACAAGGCCTGGAGGCATCGCTCCCAAGGGGCCCGCTGATCGTCGACAGCCGGCAAAGCAAGATGGCCCCTATAAGAAGACCAACAAGACCCAACCCTCGCAATTGCACCACCCAAGCCATGTGATTGAATTAAATGTAGAATTTTAAACGAAAACTAGGCTTTACTACACAATGCTTTCCTCAAAGCTCGGGCTGCGAAGAGAAGCATTCCATTCCAAGTTGAAACCCTCAGTTCTTGGGGCCGATCCATGAGAAGATGCAGCAGAGAGGGATAACTTATAAAGAAAAACGCCCTGTTGCCTTGCTGGAGTCTTCAAACTTGAGCCTGCGTGTTTGGAAGGGATACTAACAAGTCTCCATGCCGTGATGGCCGCGCCGGAGGGTGCTTCCCATCCCTTTCGGAGTTGAACCCGGTGGACAAAGGAGAGTTGTTGTCATCGACGATAGGCTAATCCAAATAGCGACAGTGGTGATCACAGTGCAAGTGCGCGTGCTGCTTGAGCGATACACGAACTCTAGGAGCGGAGAATTGAACGGCCAAAGTGTCGGGCGGTGATCCTAAATTTGGTTCACATACAAGACCGCACTGACTGGCAGGCTAACAGATTCCAACCCACGGCCGCAGGTGCACTGCTAATGCAGGCCAAGCTGTCAAGGCTGCAGGGCCGTTGGGTCTCGGCAGACGCCGGTGCTACAGTGCGGTGCGGGAAGACTAGGAGCGACGCTCAGTAGATACCACGATAATGGCCAGACTGTCGGTAAATGCAGGGAACTCCCAAGGGTTGAGCCAACAAGTGGTTGATGGCTGGGCTCGTTTGCCACTTGTCCCGGGAGCGCGGTACTTGGGAGATGCGAACCTCTGGGGAAGGATCCACCGGGGTGCCATTGGGTGGTGCCCGTTGTCGGCGGGGCCCGATCAGCCCATGATGAGCGTCTTGTCACTCGATTCCCGCCTGTGGTCTGGCCATTTCGTCCTTCTATTTTCGACCCTTGCGCCCGAGCAGTCATTGCGACCAGCAGCGACCAGCAGTAACCAGCTGCGACCAGCCCGGGCCTTTCCCCTTTTGGCCGTCATCTGCCTGCCCATCTGCTCATTTGGTCGTCTGAATGGCATGATGGCCTCTGGCGGGCTCTGGCCTGGTCCTCAGCCGCCACGCGCAAAGCGTGCTAGATCCATCTTTGCGGGGATTGCCCACGAGAAATCCTCGCCGGGCATCTGCCCATACGAGAAGGGCTTCCTGGGGAAATTTCGACAGATCGGAAAGGCAAGGCTCGTCCGGCTGGGTGCAGATTTGGGAGCCATGGCTTTATAAGACGCCGACGGCAATCTGCTGTGGAATGTTTCTGTGCTCCCTCGCCATCATCAACACCAGACCAAAAGCATCAATCGGCTCAGGCCCTAATAAGAAACATCTCCAATCAACCTCTTCTATCTCTTTAGAGTGTGTATCAGTACCTCAGGCCCATCCCCGCACAAACCTAGTCTCGATCATACCGTACCTGCAGCACAAAGCTCGCACCCTCGCACGACTCTCTCTCCACTCGTCGAATCAGACACGCGCCAGTGATACCACTGTGGTTCAACTCGCACACAGACTCAACTCGGAACTCATACAAGGACTCTCCCTGTCTTTCCAACCCAACTTCCCAACACTCAGACCAATATGTCGCCCATCGTCGCCCGCGCCGCCGTCCGTGCCTCCACCCAGGCCCAGGCTACCAGGAACTTCTCGGTCATGCGCACAATGCGCAACGTGGCCCGGTCTTTTGAGCCTCACCCATTCCAGCGCCTGCCCATCACCGGCCAGACACAGGGTGCCAGCTGGGGAAAGCAAGTCAAGCGGGTCGGATCCCAGGCCGTCGTGTAAGTACTTGGCCCTCCTCGTGTGCCACAGTCCCCAGGACCAATTGAACACTTGATGCTGACCCTTCTCCGTCTCCAGTTACGCCGGTGGCTTTACAGTCATTCTGGGCTGGCCATACTTTGCCGCCAAGGCGCTGGACGGCCACATTGGCGCTTACTAGATGGCCTCTCCTGAGACATCGGGTTTTCTAGGGAGGGAGTATTTCACGGCATAATAGAAGTGACTGGGACAAAGGCATTATCTCTGCACAGACACAGCGCTCTGCCCATCGCGGATTTTGCATAGTTCTCGGCGTTCTGGTATAGGGGGACACTTTGTGATTGGGTTTTAGAATACCACGATAGTTCTCGAGTACTCTCAGAGGAGTATAATTCACTTTGTTCATAATGATCCTGCTATTTCAAATGATGTGCTTGTCGCATTCTCTCTCGTCTCCGATATGAGCTGGAACCCGCTTGGGCATTGTAGTGCATGCTGCACGGCCAATACAACAAGTACATATACCCAGGTACCCAATGCATCAAGTAATTATGACGATGTTTTGCCTGTGGGCTGGTCCATGCTTCTGCATCGCTCTGCACCGTATCCATGGCGTGGCTCAGCAATTAACTGGTGTGAGTCCAAAGGCTACAAATTTGACACTGTCCCATGTTGTTGTAGAGGAAATAGGAATTTTGCAAAAGGGACATTCTCAACTGCTTTGTATGTATGCATACTACTGGACATCTCGGGGCCAGAGCTAATTAATGAGCTACAAAATTAAGTAGCTAGGTTTAGGCGAGGGTGATCATGCCGAGACATTCACGTCCGTGTATGATAAGGAGCTGCCCCGGGAATTCTTTGAACTCCAATGTGGGAGGGAGGTAGTTCTGGCAAGAAATTACCTCACCAAGTGCACACGTAGTTCCGCTCCTATACGGAGTATTTACGTTGCTTTTGACGGTGTGCCACTGCTTCTTCCCGCCATCCCAGCCTTGGTTGAGGAATGGTGCAGCTTGACAGCTGAGACATGGGGCAGCATGTGGCCCTCGCTCCTCGCTGAAGCCAATCCCGTCGCGCTAGCTAAGGGACCCCTGTTGATCTGTTTGGCGACGTTGTTTGAATCGCGTCGTGTGGCTCGTGCCAGTTGATGTCCTGCCAATCCAAAAGCAGGCGCAACACCACGGCCACCCACCACAGCGGCATCACCACGAATGCTCCATCTCCGAGCGCGAGCCGCCCCCGACGAACTGTTCCACGTCCTTCCTGAACGCGTCGTGACGGGAGACCCGAGGTGATTGCACCCCCACGAGGAAGCTGCACAACGACGCGACACGGAGAGCTGGGCCCCTGGCAGAAGCGGTGACCAGCTTGCGGCCCCCACCCACGCCTACACCGGGGCAAGCTGCACCACCTTTGATCACTAGCTATCCACCCGTATCGTGAATTTCTGGGAGGGGAGACGGCCGAAGGAGACAAGATGACGGAATCCCTGCACAACGCGCCCATAGTTCTGGACAACGGGTCCGGCACGATACGAGCCGGCTTCGCTGGCGACGACCTGCCGAAATGCTACTTCCCTTCCTTCGTGGGACGGCCCAAGCACCTCAGGGTACTCGCTGGCGCATTGGAGGGTGAGGTCTTCATCGGGCAGAAGGCCGCCACGGAGCTCAGGGGGCTGCTGAAGATCCGGTACCCCCTGGAGCATGGCATTGTCACCGACTGGGACGACATGGAGAAGATCTGGGGATACGTGTACGATGAGGGTCTGAAGACGCTGAGTGAGGAGGTGAGATTGACTGCCCTTCTCAAGCTGCAACGAGTTCCACACGCCTAGGACCAAGCTGATCGCGAGGATCCGCACAGCACCCGGTCCTCCTCACAGAACCGCCGCTCAACCCACGGAGCAACCGGGACACGGCCGCCCAGATCCTCTTCGAGACGTTCAACGTACCCGCGCTCTATACATCCATACAAGCCGTACTGTCGTTGTACGCATCGGGACGGACGACAGGTATCGTGCTTGATGCCGGCGACGGCGTGTCACACGCGGTGCCAGTGTACGAGGGGTTTGCCATCACAAACAGCATCCAGAGAATTGACGTCGCCGGCCGCGATATAACAGAGTACTTGCAGACGCTGCTGCGGAAGAGCGGCTACGTGTTCCACACGAGCGCGGAGAAGGAGGTCGTCAGGCACATCAAGGAGGCGGTCACGTACGTGGCGCATGACCCGAGGAAGGAGGAGAAGGACTGGGCGCAGATCAAGCTGGATCAGAACAAAGTCGTCGAGTATACGCTGCCGGACGGCAACAAGATGAAGGTGCGTCCGCGCGGAACGAGAGCCCCTTTTGCTACACGCATTTCTCCCTCCGGACTGGCAGCAGCCACTGGGAACATGCTGAGACTGACTTTGCGGCACGCGGAACGCAGATCGGCGCTGAACGGTTCAGGGCACCCGAGATCCTGTTCGACCCGGAGATTATCGGCCTTGAGTACCCAGGTGTGCACCAGATCGTGGTCGACTCAATCAACAGGACCGACCTGGACCTCCGCAAAGCGCTGTATTCCAATATCGTGCTCTCCGGCGGCAGCACGCTCACCAAGGGCTTCGGTGACCGCCTGCTGACCGAGGTGCAGAGGCTGGCCGTCAAGGACATGCGTATAAAGATCTTTGCGCCGCCCGAGAGGAAGTATTCGACCTGGATCGGCGGCAGTATTCTGGCCGGCCTAAGCACATTCAGGAAGGTAAGTCGAGATCCAGGCTGCAAAGCCTCGTGCTGGCTACGAGTGCCCTGGAACTATTGATACGGCTTGCTGATGATGTGAACAGATGTGGGTCAGCATTGACGACTGGCATGAGAACCCGGACATAATCCACACCAAGTTCACATGAACGAGAGCAAGGATTGCTTTGGTGTTCGGACAAACAGAGTACAGGAAGATGCCTGCGGAATGAGACATGTCATAAAATACAAGAAAGCGAGCGCGTATTCATGTTGCCTGCGGTTGGGCGGTTATCGAAATGTTGCGGGGGAGATAGTTGGCGGTGGGTAGCGACTCGCAACCAGAGGCATTTACTGCTACAGTATCCGGAGTTGCAATCTCACTATAGATGGAGAAATGATACCCATGGATGACGAAAGAGCCATGCTGCTTGGTTGGAGGTCTGAGTCTATACGAACCTTCACTGCCGTGAAGCTTGTTGAATGGTCCGACGATGATGGCTTAATTGCACAATTGATCTGAGTCCCTATGTCTGGAATATGAGACGACAAGTTCCGGCATTGACTCTGATAGATGTGTTATTGATTTCATCACAATCGCAAATAATGGACGTTTTATGCTGACATAATATGTGGCAATTGCGAGACAACATGTGTATGTCGGGATGTCGCTTAAACATTTGAGAAAAAAACACAATCGCTTTGAGGGGTATATGGTACACCAATGGTTTCTTTTCACCAGAACAAACGCCGCCCGCAATGATTATTCCCTTTCCCCGCCCTGGAGTCTGCCAGCCAAGGGGGTGACCGAGTTTTCGAAAGGTTGGAAGAAAACCGATCCAGGTCCATCTCTTTTTTTGAGCTTTCCTGTCTGCACTGAGGCACCCCGGGTAGTTAAAAACACGAGCCCAAAAACCAAAAACAAAACAAGCATGACCGATTCGCTGATTCCATGACCGAACTTTTCTTTGGGACCTTTCAACGCCGAAATTCGCAATACTGGTGGATGTGCGCAAGCGTGCTGGCCGGATGGATGCTGAGATGATCAGCGACAACGCGCCCGCGAGGAAGCACATCACTGCCCGTGGGAGAGGGATGCGCTCAGCCTGCCCAGGAAGCCAGAGCGGGTGCTGGAGGCGCTCTTGGTGGAGGCGTTGGACGCGGTGGAGGCATCGCTGCCCTTGCGGTGGCCCTTGCTGCCGAAGGAGGAGGTGGCGGACTTGAAGTTGCCCGCGCCGCCGCGGCCGGTGAATGCCGGCCTCGCCGCGGACTCTGAGCGCTCCTTACGCTCGTACTCGTCCTCGAAGGAGATGACCGGCCTCTCGGAGCTGGCGTGGGCGTTACCCGCGCCGCCGCGGCCAGAGTGGAACTTGCTGGTGGCGGTGGTCGAGTTGCTGATGGTGGGAGTGATGGGGGTAGGCACGCCCGCAGCCGAGGTCACCGCCTTGGGGGCCTTGAAGAAGTTGCCCGCGCCTCTGTTTGTCTGGGTTAGCACGAGGGTCCTTTTCTAAACGGGGCTTGGTTGAGAGAAGAGAGGGGTTTGCAACGTACCCACGACCGGCGTGACACCAGGTCGAAGCTGCCACTGTTGGGTGGGGCTCGGTGATGGAGTAGGAAGGCATGTTGATATGCTGATATGGGTGTGTGTATGTATATGTGTGTGTGTAAGGTCGTATGTGTGTATCTGACTTTTGGTCTTGCAGATGGTCTTGGGTGGTGAATGCAGGAGCTTTGACGACAGGTGTTTATGTGCAAAGTATATCACTCGAGTAAACTTCTAGAAGAAGAGGGGCCAATGTGGATGGTGGTGGTGGTGTGAGAGAGGGTGGTGAGGAGGGGGGGCCTGATATAAGAGAGGTGGGACTCATAGACAGAGGGGACGAGAGTGAGTGAACACAAACCAGGTACGGAGTACGGAGTAGTGTACATGAATGAGTACATGAGTACTGCGGTACTTGTGTGGAGGGGCAGAAATTTACAGAGCCATTGGGATTCCACTAGAGCCCTTCTTGCCCCGTGGCAACCAGGCGTGTGACCAGAAGCAGCGTGCCATGGCCATGGCAATAATGGCAATAATGGGCAACAGCAATGGCGGCTTGGTTGCTCAGCGAGCTATGACACTTGCGAAGAGATTTCACCAGACGGGGCAGGATGGTGTGTCAGGACCAAGGAATGAGGAAACGTGCCAGGTTTGGGGGCCCGTGTGGGCTGCGGCAAAAAAAAAAAAAAGGCCAGGAAAAGTTCTCACAGCGCCATCTCGCTTGGCGAAGGAGGCCATTTTGCCAGTCACTGATGAGCGGCTGACTGCGGCCAGGTCAACAAGGCCCGCTGGCAGCAGTGCGGACACAGGCCTGGCTGCCTGGGCGCGCTGGCGCTTAGCAGTTAACGGCAGTTCCTCGCAGGCCCGGGGCGCGTCGCAGGGCCTTTCCAGGGGGCAATTCAGGGGACCCCAGGGGCGGCACAGGTGGCTCGTGATGCCGGATGACCATTCAGTTACGAAATGGCGCCTCTTGTACCGTCACAAGACCTGACTGCCTGGCTTTCGATGGGGTAACCATTACCCCATAGATTCCCTCCCTGCGACACTTTTTAGTCATGCCCTGCCTCGGCCCCTTTGTACCTCTGCCGCGGGATTCTGCAGGCCGTGGTACTTGTGTCCCCCCAGCTGCCCCCTTCGGCAGAGACGAAGCTGGCATGAAAACCATCTCTAATTGCGCTTCCACCATGTTGTTTCGCTTGTGTTGGCTGGGGCCACGCAGCCCACGCAGCAGTCACGCAGTCACGCAGTCACGCATTCTACGGGACAACGGGAGTAGGGTCACTGAGATCCGGGGCTCGCCTGGTGCCCATGCGCTCCTCTGCGAGATTATGATTCGACCGCGGCACCCTTCGTCCGTCCGTGACGATACATTTGCAATTTGTGGGCAAGATTGCGCCCACCATCCCTCAACCGGCCAGCTCTCTACACTAGGAGCTGTGTTCGGAGCTCTCCCTGGTGCGCCTGGCGGTTTGATGCGCAAAGTAGCGGCCCGTCAAGATCGTGTGGCAGGTACGCTTCAAACATGTGCATGATGTGGACGGCATGCTGGCCATGTTCTGGACAAGCCTCAGCATGGCAGCATGGCAAGGTGACATCCCCCTTCCCTTACCTCCTCCCATATGCAGGCCAGCAGGCCATGGGCATCTACCCCTGAAGGCGGCTGCCCGACCCCGGATTTTAGGGCTGGGTCGGATTGGTCGTGATGCCAGGGGGACTTGGGGGCTGATCGCTCGCTCGCTGCAGATCTCACACCAGGTGCGTGCCTGTGGTGTGGTACTACATGGTACACGTGTGGCCAGGTGGCCTACGAGGCCCACCCGAGCGACGTCTTGTCAGCCAAGCTCGTGAGCACCGACTTGACCACTAGTAAAGAGCCCCTCGCCTCGACAAGCTGCTTGAATCGTGCGAGCTCCTCGTCCCGCCCGTCTGCCAGTGTCTGTGCCTGTTTTGCCGCTCCACCGACAGGCCAATGACGCAGAGACGCAGCCCCGTGGTGTCATGGCAATCCACAACTGGGCCTCGAGACGTCCGCGAGCCAAGCGCTGCGGTTTTGACAGCACACTAGTGTACATAGAACATCGCCCCCCGGTCACGGTCACGGCCCGCGGCAGGATTTTTTTTTATAGCAGCGCCTCGTCATTCTGGTCATTCTGCGCCGGGCGCCTCGGCTTTCGCGGTCCAAGTGGGCCCTCCCAGGGCTGCCAGGGCTGATTGTCTCGGTCCGGGAATCTGGGGAAGCGCGAAACCACCGAGAGCTCTCCCAGGGGTTGCCCCTGGAATCACGGACATGGCGTGGGAGCAAGATATTTTCTTGCCCTTTGGTCTTTCTGCCTCTCGCCATCCCTTGCCTTCGGCCTTTTCACTTTTACCTCAGATCTGACTCATTCCACGAGGAACGTCATTCACTGCGCTTTGAAATCGCCTCGCTCCAGGACGGGACACTAGGCGCAAGACGACATCTTGGCTAATCCGCGGAGATGCTTTCTTCGCCCAGTGGTGTTGTGCGATGTTTCACCCGGCTTGCAACACCCAAGCAACATTAGCCCAGGACGGTCCAGGCTATTACGAAAACCATCCAGCAGAGACATTCCATTGTTATTTGCTGAGGTCTTCAAGCTACCGCTGTCCTCATCGAGACAGGCCCAGAAGCTGGCAAGACTCAGACCGTTTATTTGTGTGACTGGGGAGATAACCACTGATATCAGCCGATGAATCTGAACAGATTGCTGCTGACATGGCGTGGTTGATGTGATACACGGCGACACACCCTGCCAGATCTAGTGGGCATCTTAATGGCAGGAATCAAAGGTTGCTGCACTGATATTGCAAAAGCGAGCGCACTTCGATCGGCCTGCAACCTGCACATACGAGCCTCACTGAGCACAGAAGTCAGAGCCGATCGAGCAGCTTCATTCACTTTCATCACAATGCGTTATTATGCAGCAGAACCAACTCGGGTCTAGTCGAAGCTATGGTATTTCCCCTCGACGGATGTGACCTTGTCGAACGCGGCCGAGAACGTTGCCACGGAGAAGTCGGACTGGATGGGGCTGGGTTGGAGGAGGTGCCGGCTGACGATGGGCTGGACCGCGAGACCGTGGCCACTCAATATCACCGGTCGACAAAGGCCTTCCCGATGTTGGAGCCGACGCTGAATATGACGGCTGCGTTTGAGTTCGAGGGCGCCCTCGTGGTCTTGTGCTTGAGAGGTCTGGGCGTTGGCAGACACTCTTTTGATGGCTATCTAGACATTGCTGCTAACCCAACAAGAACAGTGGCCGTGGCTTCAGGATAGCCTCAACCACAAGACTCACATATCTTTTCCCATCCAGGAGCAACTAGGACTCAGGACACCAAGATGCGTATGTGAAACTCATGCGACTTCCCCTCAATTATATGCAAGCGACGCGGCCAGGCCATTAATAGTGTCCTTGCGCCGCGCAGCCCGTGATTTCGAAGAACGGCACGATCGCACACACCAGCTGCTTGGGTGTTGGTGTATGCCAGCCACATACAGGACAACAAATGACACCTCGCGCGCCCGGCATACAAACCTTCTTGTTATTGCGAAACCTTGACCTCGTGCTGCGTGATTGTCTCCATGTACGCACACTTCCGCCAACTAGTCTTTATGCGATGCGGGGAAGACTTTACGAGCTCGCGCTGAAAACACTCCTCAGCCAGATTAAGCCTCGGCCAAAAAGCTTCTCTCTTGGGGCCAGAGCTCACTCTCAGAAGTGTGCGCTATGCGCCTACATGCATCTCAACACATTTATTTTATAGAGTCGACACGTTATGCTGAATAGAAGAATGCATTAAAACGTTTTCCAAGGGTATCCTACATAATGATCAACACATGTTTAGCCCAAGGCCAGTTGTGAGTCAATGAGACGGGTTCCCTTGCATCACATCTGTCGAGCGATCTTCCTTGGCTCGAGCTCCAGTCGTCACCGCCATCACCATCACCGCCGACTAGAAGGTCCGCTGGATTCAAGAAATCAACTCATCGCCGCTGCTCCTTCCATATCTCCAGAATCCCACCGCCATAAACCAAATGGTGGTCATGTCATCGTAATTGTGCAATTGTTCTGCGTCCCCCCGTCACTTCCTACGCAAACCCGCTCGTCTATCACCACGACGAACGTCCCGCAAGTCCCTTTTTTTATGCCTTTTGAAAGTATGTGCTGAAGTGAATTCTATAAACACACGCTGATACGGCGGAACACCTTTGGTGTGATGTCGTAGACTCCCAATCCCAACAGGGCAGACAAGCATTATTGATTTCCGCGTCGTCCATGTAATCGGCAAGAGTCCATTATGGTGATGTATCGGGCGGGCCAGCCATCGGCCCGGGCCCTGACTCTCAGGCGGCGGCGCATCTCGCGCAACGAAGGTGCTGCCCCGGGAGACCATGCCCATCGTTTCTACCGGCCGAGGCCGTTTTGGACAGCACGCAGCCAGCCGTCATAGGGAGAACCCTTCCTCTAAAAGGTGTCCGACTCCTGTGACATGACAGAGCCGAATGTATCTGGACCATTTCGCCATGTTAGCCGTCAATGCACATGTTTGGGAGAGTTGTCGACGCCGTGGAAAGCCGCATACCTCTCTTCTTCCTCCGCTCCTCATCTCCAGCCGGAGCTGGACTTCTCGTGCCCATTGCGCGAGGCCCACTAGGCCTCCGGCCGGGCGCACCGAGCGCATTTTGCAGGTTGCGGTTCTCTGGCTTGGGACTGCCGGCAGGCTTGTACCCAAGTGTCGAGATCCGACTCCTAGTCGGAGTTGTGGTCCGCGGTCCAGGTTCTTCTAAGGGCTCCTTTGGCGGCCTCGGTGGTCCCGATTGGGCAGGCGAGTTGCCCGACCAGGTGTACTGGCCTTGCTCACCAGTGGCAGATCCATTGCTGTATCTTGGCTGATGCCCTGCATAACGGCCAAGACTAGTGACCGAGCCAAAGTCTGCTGACTTGGGTGACATGGGAGTGTCGAAGTCCTGGGCAGAACTCTCGAGGGCATTCCGGAATTGTTCGGTCTGTCCTGGGCGCGGCTGTGGATGCTGCAAGTTCAATGAGTTGCGGTGAGCCTTGTACTTGGGATCCTCTGGTGTGGAGTAGTTCATTGGGAAAGGTTGTATGGCCTCAGGCTGCACAGGGCTGTGGGATGTTGGGACCGGAGTGCGACTCACACCGGCCATGGTGAATTGCATATCGGGCTCGATCTGATTAGGATCGTGCCTTTGGTTGCTGTTCAGATTCGTATCCGAGTAGCCGGAGGGGAGATGATCATCACCGTAAGGGTCCGTTACCGGGTAGTTCTCATAAATGGCAAAGTCCGAACCTGAGCGAGAGGGTCCTCCACGCAAGGAACCGGCCTCCGTCTCTTTGGACTTCCTGAAGGCCTTGCCAACACTCGACGCGGTGGTTTCGGACCAACGGGAGATTTTGGGGAACCAGCTCGCGGAACCGCTCGACTTATGCTTCTTTCGATTTTCAGTGCGAGGAGTGTTCTCGTTGCTCAAGGACGCTTGGGCACCCGTTGGCACTTGTGGAGGGGTCCCTAGGGGCACGGAGCTGCCGCGTTCGGGCTCACCTCCTGGACTGAGCATGTCCGTATTGCTGTGGTTATGAATAATGACGTTGGAGTCCTCATTGAAATCGTCCTCGTCTCCTTCTGGCACGGTGCTGATCCGGTGACCCGACGATACCTTTCGCTCGTAGCCGTACGAGGCATTCCGGGGGATGGAAAGGTGGCCAGATTGACTGCCATAGCTAGCGGTCGAAGTGCCTGCATGGCCTTCGGGCTCATACCCATGATCTTGCTCATACTGCACCGCTGGCTGAATGTTGTCGAGAGACGGACCGCTGTCATGGCTGATTCCACCTGGAGCAGTCTGTGACTTCAAGACGTCAACTTCTCCAAGCAACTGCATCAGCATATCCTCAATTCTGGTTAGATCGTTTGTGCCCTTTGCACCGAGTCCCTTGAGAGCCCGTCGCCAGAGGTTTCGCGTCTTCTTCTCGTTCTCCGTGCCAGCCTGCGAGCCTTGGACTGACCGCGTCGCGCTGCCTGGGAACGGGCGCGGACCGCCGATATGGCGCTGTACGGTCTTGTCGGTGTTCTCTTTTACCTCGGTAATGATGACATCTTCAGTGTCCGCAAGCATCTTCTTGATGTCGTCGAATGAATTCCGCATCTCGGCAGCGGTACGCACCAAGGTGACCAAGATCTCAGTGTCACGCGCGCTGCGTTGAGCGTCACGAACCATGAGGTGTTGCATGAGTGCAATGATATCGTTCGACTCGATGCGATCAATGCCTGCACCGGTAGCAGCATCATACAGCGGCGAGCCCATGCCTTGAGAAAGGCCACTCATGTGTTTCGAGTCCTGTGGGTTGTAAAATGGATCCATGTTGGCAGGCATGGGTGCATGCTGGTTGTAGTCGATGCCCTTGCCCTTTCCTTGAAGATCGGGCGTTCTGTTAGGGCCTTGTGAGATATAGCCCTCATCGATCTTTGGTCCAAAGGGGCTTCGGGCACCATATCCTGTAACGTACCCATCAGGATCGAAGTGGGGCGCTTGTCCAAGATCAATATCGAGGCCAGGCGCATTGGCGAGGGGACTCGTGCCTTCATACGGGTTGGTGACAATGGTATCTCGCTTGCGGTCCTCGGAGGTACGACGCCACTCGTCGTCTATGTCTTGACTTGCCTGTCGACTATGAGAGTGTGCCATAGCAGCTGCCGTTGCTACCGCGGCTGCACCAGCGGCCTCGTCCAGAGTCAAAGATTGCCCGCTAACGGATTCCTGGAGACCTCGACTTCCATCAATGCTCTGTTGCGTGGGTGTCATTGGTTCCTGTTCCTGCCATTGCCCGTCCCTGGCTTCTTGTGTAGCGCTAAAACGGTCACTCATACGTGACGGATTGGTGAGCGAATCATCGTCATGGGCGAAGTAACCGATCTCTGGGAGAGGGTCATTTGCGTCTGGCAAGCCACTGTGTCCAACGTTGGCTTTCTCATACTCGCCAACGAGGCGATCGACACTATGTGTAGGAGTACTGGCTGGCAGATAGCCTTCGTTGGTTCGGTCCTTGAACGACTTATTCCGCTGGACACCCCCGCCCACGGTTTCGCTTGCAGACTCCTCGTGTTCAGCACCCTGTATACCCTTGCCCTTGGCGGCTGCCCGGAGAGCTGCCGCTGCAGCGCCCACGGCAGCACCAGTGATGGCGGCTTCCGAAGCCGTTGGGGAGTGTCGGTATTTTGTTCTCGGGACCTTGCGGCCATACTCGTCGAGTTCATACTCCTCGAATTCATGCGGTCGCTCCGAGGTTTGTGAAGCAACCTCGTCCTCGGCTGTGCGTCGACTCTCTTGAGAGTCTTTGTGACGGAATGCTGTCTGGTCGGTAACATCTTCCTCGCTGATGACCTCAGAGCCACGAGGGTCGTACTGGCGACCACTGCGGCCAGACTCGCCGGTAAGCACGGATTCATCTAAGGCCGATCCCTCGACCAGAGACGCAACATGAGATTGAACACCAGTCGGCGAGTTCACCAAATTGGGGTTGGCGCCAACAGCACGCACTGCCTGACCGGTCGTGACGCGGTCAAGCTCGCTGTCGTCAGTGTAGGTGGTGTTCCTGTATCCTAGTCTTGAGCTCACCACACTACGGTCGTCTTGGTACGACCCTCGGCTCAAGACACTAGGCGAATCCGCACCGTGACGAATCGACTTGTCGGGAGACGAAAATGACCCAGATGTTCTGTGAGTGAGCCTGGATTCGCGGTTGTGGATCTCACTTCCGCCCTCCGTGTAGCCCGAAACGCTTGGAATGGGGCTGAGTCCACGGCGCTCAGGCTGGTATGGCACATACTTCAGAGGCGGAGGAACGTCCTGGGTATTGTAGTAATCGTTGTAAGGACCATCGTCGTATTCGTCCTCGTCCTCGTCGTCATAAACCTCGGCCTGGCTAATGGGAGCTCGTCGGCCGTCCTCACGGTCGTCATATTCGACCTCATCGAAGCCCCCAGTCCTCTTCTGAGAAAGGGTCTTGAGATCGCCGTGGGAGATGTTGGCATGTTGGGCCCCCAGAGCCTGGAGAGAGATAGGTGTCCTCGTTGGTGTGGGACTGCTGGTCACCGTAGACCTGGAATCGATCGACGACGTTGCCCTGACAACTTGCTGTACTGGCGTAAGCTCCTCACTTGCCGAGTGTGGTCGCTCAGTGTCGGCAGACATGATGGATGTCCGGGTGATGTCTGACGGGTTGAACTCGCTCATCAATGGCATTGGTGCAGTCGGGTCACCGAGCCTTTCCTGCTCTTCACCATGCATCTCAGATGCCCGGCTCTTTGCTTCAGCTCGGCGGCGGCGGCGCTGTTCTCTTGCGATAGCCGGAGACTTGTCGTTACTCAGGGCGGCGGCAGCCATAGCGGCGGCAGCAGCCCCCCCAGCAGTAGCCTTCAGCTTGTCGGTGCCGCGCGATACCTCTGAAATCTCATGCAGCGACTCGTCGACGGAGTCGTGATCCACGCTTGGGGCGGGGCTCTCAACCAAGTCATGGCGGGCTTCCCTTCCCCTGCGATCCTTACCCCTGGAGGAGAGGTTTTCTCTGGATTTGCTCGAATACCCTGATTGGCGGCGTTCACTGCCAAGGTCGTCTCGAGATGCCGTTGTCCCGCTCGATACGGAGCTTCTGCGAGCTTCTCGCTTGCTCTGCTCCCTCTTGATGGCCGTGAGCTCAGGCAGGATAAGCCGCCGGATCGCGTCCTCGACAGTCTCTAGGAGCTTGGGATTGTTGATCGAGGACCTCGAAGCCCCGGAGCGCATGGAGCTGGCATCCATAGAACGATGGCTGTGTGAAATAGCTGATGAGACCACACTAGAGTCCGCGCCAGAGAGGATCGACTCCTCGTTCGTCTTGCTAGATTTTCTCCGCGACGACTTGCCAGACTCAGACTTGTGTTCGCTGCCACTGCTCTTGCGGTTCTTAGACTTGTGTCTTCGCTCCGAGCTGTCCCGGTCTTTGGACTTGGACACGACCAACCTCTCCTTCTCGCTGAGCTCTCCTCGGCTCTTGCTGCGCATCTTGTCGGCGGCAGCGGCAGCGACAATTCCCGCAGCTGCACCGCCAATGACCTCCCTCGCCCTCGAGGGGCTCTTGCTGCGCTTCTCAGTAAGCCTAGTTGAGTGGCCTGAGCCGTCCAGAAAGCTGTCAGTGGGGATTGCCGATATATCGGACATGTTTCCTGGCTGATAGGAAGCCTTGCTGTCGGCGCTTGGAATTAGTGGGCTCGCAGGGCGGCGGCGTCGGTGGCCACCACGGTCGATCTCGACCTCGATAGGGTTTCGAGAGACATTGGACTCCTCGGTGGCAGAGGTGTATGAATGCATGCTCTTTGCGTCTTCCTGGTCGCCGCTGACAGCAGACAGCGCCTCATTGGACTTGAGGCCGGCCGGGGTCAGAGGAGCAGCTCGCTCCTGGCGGCGAGTCAGGGAGGCCTTGCGGCCACTAGACGACTTGGTTTCTGTTATCTGGATGCGATCGGTTTTCCGATTCTTTGATGGGGTGAGGCGAACCCGCACGCTCGGTTTGCGCTCGGTGGTCTTGCTCGGGGAGGCAGAGGGCTTGCCAGCCTCGAAGTATTCAATGAGCAAGGAAGTCTGGGAGCGATCGGGCATGTGGCCGCGAGTCCTGATTGTAACGGGTGTGCCGTCCTCTGGGAGGGAGTAGGAGGACTTATCGTCGCCTGGCTTGGAGACGTCAGAGGGCGCGAGCTCTGTCTGGGTCACAGTCGACTCGGACTCTTCAGTGGGGGCTGGGAGTGGAGGTGCCTTCTTCGAATCGATACCCATGGCGTGCAGCGATCCCACTGGGCGTGGGCTTTTTGTTGGACTTGCAGGATGAGGTAATGTGCCACTCGATAGCCGTGCTGGGAACCCGCTCTATTCCCAGTCCTGGCCAAGTCCCCTGGTGCAGGACCACTGCACCATGCAGGCGGGGAGGAACAATTGGAACGGGGCCAGATCAAGGCGGCGGTGGGCTTGTCGCTGGGCGAGCCTCGGACTTGGGGCTGCTTTGTTTTGGTCAAGACATGAGGTGCAGGAAATAGGAACCGGGGGTTGTAGCTGCTGAGGCGAAGTGAGCGGTTGGGGGCCTCGTTTATGGAGCTCTGGCAGACAAGATGCAGGTCGCACTTACAGCAGAGAAAAGTGCAACCGAAACAGTCTCGGGCGGCGTGCGACGGTCGAGGGACCAGAGGGGGACGTGGACAGAAGGGAAAGACAGATTGACTATGGCCCCAAGAAGATTACCGTACGCTCAAAGGATGCTGGAGAAGCGCTGTGGGGGTGGAGGAAGAGGAGCAGGTTGCAATGGTCAAGGCGAGGAGGTTGGTGGCGGTGGAGGAGCCTTGGGCCAGTCCAGGTTCAGCTTTGGTTTCTCCCAGCCTTCGCAATAAGTGACCCCTGGCAGCGAAAGTGGGCAGGTCCCAATGAGATTTCGCAGCGATGCGATGCGACGCGCTTGGATCGCAACGGCCTGCAGTTAAGCGAGAAGACTGCCTGTCTGAGGTATCTGGCCGACCAAGTTTCCTGGGGACAGTCAAAAAGACCAGCGCAGCGAAAAGAGGGCGGGTGCAGACTGAGGAGTTTGGGAGTGAAGTCGGTTTGGAGGTGGGTGGGGAGTGTGTGGGGGCAAGAATGGGTGTGAAGGGCAGTATGGCTGTAATCTGTAGTGTATACGTGTAGAGTGCTGAGGTGCTGCAGTGCCCTGCTCGTACCGTGGCCCTGCAGGTACGTAGACTGACTGCTTAGTAGGTACCCATGCATCTGACTATTCGTCTCTCGGGCAGGAGGCCCTCCTATCCGGCCTTGCCCGTGCTGCATTCTCGGTACGGGGTACATTTACAGAGTGCATCTACGTACACATACACACACACACACACACACACACGATACTGCGCAGCACAGAGTAGAGTGCTTCCTCATCAGCAAGCTCCAGGTCAGCGAGGACCACGGCAGCACGGGTTGGCAGGCTGGCAGGTTGGGCAGGCTGGGCTGGGATGCGGTTGGTAGGTAAAGGGTGGCTTGATGAGCTGGCAAGGGCCGGGCTGCTGTTGTTGGGCCGACCAATTGGTCTTGGATGCCCGTCTCCCGCTCGAGTGGGTGCGAGCTGCTGCAAGGACAAGGGAGGCAGAGCACACATGCCCTGGCCAGTGGCCACCCGGTTCGCCGTCAAGCCCAATCCCAATCCCAATCCCAATCCCAATCCCAATCCCAATCCCAATCCCGACCGTCATCTTGTTACCTCAGGCCTGCGGTTTGTTACAGCTTGTGCCGGGGCGGCATGGCGTGCAGGGCGGGCAGTGCAGCACGCTGCATTCTGTCTGTCTGTGTACTGACTCCTTGGGCTGTTTCAAGACCTTGCCATGTAAACAAACAACTCGACCACCTTTCGTCCCGGGGGACCCAAGCTCCACTACCTCGCAGTGCCAGGCCGTCGGCCTGTCAGCCTGCCCTGGCGCTGCCTGGCCCGCACCGCAAAGCCTCCTCGCGGCTCGAGCACACCTTGCAACCAGAATCCGACATGGGAGTCCCCAGCCAGCCAGTCCGGCCCATCTCCCACCAACCTGACAAGTCGTCATCAAAAGTCTTGGAGGAGACAGGCGACCTGCTCGAGTCCGCCTGGTCAGTGAGCAGACGAGCAGATGAGCCTCGGAAGCTCGTCGCGAGGCCGGATGGCCTGTAGAACTGCCCAGTTTTATAGCACCATCTACCGAGCCGTTCCGAAGCTGTCAGACTGGCTTGTCGAGCTCCGCCGTCGCACCAGGCCAGCCAGCATCGAACAGGTCTCGAGTACAGACAACGTCCCAACAGACACAGACTGCCTAGCCAAGCGGGCCTACAAGGCACACCAGTGGCGAAACCCGGCCGCCGGTACACGGCACAAACTGGTCGACTGGTCGCACCCCGAGGGCAGGTCGTACTCTACCCACCTAGTTACTGCGTGTTATCCTTCGTGACACTCCGTACATCTATCTCACCGGGCACCGGGCTAGCAGGCTAGCAGGCTAGCAGGCTAGCAGAGATGGACTTTTCTATGCGGTCCCACTTCCCACGCGGCGCCCGCTTGCTGCAGGGCCTCTCCCTTCATCCACTTGGCCTCTCGGATCGCCCCGTTCGGGCACCTGGGCACTGCCCGCCCGGGCAATCAATCTGGCAATATGAAGTGTTTCGAGCAGTTGTGCGCCTGTCCTTAACCCATCTCTCCTCGCTCTGGTGTACACCACTGAGTGTGTACTCGAGGACAACCGTATTAGTATCCGGCGTGTCACCTTCTCCAGCCACTCCGCCTTCACCTCCTTCTTCCCAATATCCTCCGGCCCTCTGGCTGCCGGGGAAGTCGAAAGAAGGAGCGGGCCTCGTGCGACGGAAAATGCCGGCAACCTGCAGCATGCTTCCGCAATGTGGGCAATTCAGCATGATGGGCACGCAGTGTCTCGGACTGGCCCTCAGTTGTCGTAAGGAGAAACCTGCAGCACCGTTGGTATCTGGGAGGTGCCCCTCGCCTTCAACATCTCGTTTTCGCCATATGGGCTTGCTTAGGCGTGCAGGGCGTGTCTCTTTTTTGTTTGGGGGGGGGTTAGGTTAGTAAGAGGAATTGGCAAAGGCGGTCAATTTCCAGTCACTGTGGTACACAACCAAGACATACTCTCACAGTCACTTTAATCATGTGTTGAAAGCCATAGAATCTGATTGTGGATGCGCCTGTATCTACTGTGTGCACTATTAGTAATAGGAAATCTGAATCTAGAATCGTACTGCCAGTGTTCGCTCTGCACCCATTAAACCCGTTTCAGCACAGCACTGTCATCTGTCCCGTGACTCCTTGGATATCAATTTTGCGCGACGCCCGAAACCAATGCATGCTAGGAAAACGCAGCTTCCGCGTTGCCAACCGTTGAGGTGATCAAATCATCTCCTGCACCGTCTCGTTCTTGGCGAGATGGGTAGGGAAGCCTCCAGCAAGAACGGTCCTCAGGAAATCGACCTTGGCTGACAGGGCCCAGCTGTCGATGGTCATCTTGTCCTTGCCGACGCTGATTGTCTGACGGTACCCAAACTCGCTGACGTCACTGCCGTGTGAACTGATGACGGCGTTGCCGCCCGTGTGCGGATTAGATGCCGCCCATCCAGCGGTCGAGTAGCCCGGGCCCTTGCCTCGTTCGAGCCCAGTCGCGATGCTATTGAAGTCCGATTTGAGGTGCCGTCTATCGCGCTTGGACATGGATTTCGAGCCTCTTGATGCCTCTCGCATCTGCTGCGCCAGTCTCTTGGGGTCGTACCGGAGGTTCATCTTCTCCCCAGAGGATTCCTCCAGCTCAGTTGCGCTCTCAAAGAGCAGCGCAATGTTGTTGCCAGCGCCGGTCTGCACGTAGGCGTCGGTGCTGTCGAGCTGCTCCACAAAGGCTTCAAGGGCTTGCTCGCTCTGCTCGGAAAGATCCTCCAGATGCGCGGCCATGAAGCCCCAGCTCTCAAGAGCGGCGACCACCACTGGTGCGACGTCAGCTGCGCCAACGGTGTGCCCGTCGCTCTCGATGATATCGAGCATGTATAGCATCATGTCCTCAGCGGCTTCGGTCGACCCGTCACCATACATGGCCGTCACGGCCAGCGCACGGAGCGCGGCCGTCTTGACTTGCTCGGCCTCGTCGTCCTCGACAGTGGACTTGAGACTTGAGACGTACTGGTCGAGGACTGTGTCTGTGGGGTTGGTGAGGATCGTCACGGACAGGGCCTTCAGCGCAAGCGTGCGCTCGGTCGCGCTGACACCCGACTTGATGGCTCTTACGAGACCCAGCACCAGGTCATTCATGGGCGCCTGGATTTCTGAGCGGACGTAGTAATGGCGCGCCAGGTGCAGGTACGACTTCAGCATGTCCTCTCTCTCCTGGTTGCTGATTTTCTTGCGCTCGCCAGAGCGGCCACCGGAAACAATCTGTGAAACTCGTGCGTTCACGCGGTCGACCCAGGCGCGCCCAGTACCGTCTTCGTCGCCGTGGTCGGAGGCACCTGAGGTGGTGCTCATGGTCATCATGTCGTCGAAGTCGGAGTCGCTGTCGCCCTCGTCCTCGGAGGCGTAGCGGCTAGGTGCGCGTGAACCGGCGGGGGAGTGGCCAGGCGAGGTGATTGGCGTCGCAGACTTGGAGTCGGGTCGTGAGCGCGCCTTGCGGGACTGCGTCTTGCCGCTCTCGAGGAGGGCCTTCTTCCGTAGGTCGTGCATGTTAAATGTGTTTGGTCCTGGATCCCGGTTACAATGGCCACTTCGAATCTGCCAGAGCCGACAAAGAGAAGGCTCTCAAAGCCGGTGAGGTCGTGCTGTTGTGCGCGGACAATGTTCGAAGCGGCACGGAAGGATACGTGCTAAGTGTGGGAATGATCAAGAGCTCTGTGTTGTTGCGATGCAAAGGCGGAGGCGGGAACAGTGTTCGTGGGCAGAGTGGTTCTCGAAGCAAAATCCATGAGGGTTGGTTGGTCGTGCGCGTTGTGGGTTTAGAAAACTGCGAGGGTGGCGCAGAAGGGGTCTATTGTGCGCTGGGGGGTGGCAGACTGGGACCAGATATACTTATAAGTTAAGTGACCACCCACGAGGGCGCAACTGTGCTGGGGGTTTTTGAGCAGCACACATTTTGGGTGGTGACGGAGCAAGACCCCAGTTACCTCCGCAGCCAGTTCTGGCCACTCACTGGCAGCCTGGCAGCCTGGGTCAGTAGGGAGGCTACTCTGTTGTACGGTGTGGCCCGCGTCTGCCGATCCAGCCCGGCATGATCATGTCAGCTGCGGTTACGGTCCATGAATTCCCATAATTGCCAATTTTGCCCCCAGCCCCTTGTTCCTCGTTCCTCGGACTGACTCACCCGTGCTGTCTGACTGTCTGTCAGTCTGTACAGTGATATCCGACCCTTTTGTTTACTTGGGGCACAGATTTGTTCCTTGGTGACGACATTGAGGCGAGATTTACCAGTCGCGGCCCACATTTTCTGTCGACCCGCCTCAAGTGCTCCATGTCCTGGCAGCACCTGGCAGCACTGTGGATCACCACCCTACCTGGGTATGCAATGGTGGCCCGCCCTGCCGCTGTTGCTGCCGTATTGTCCGTGCAGCCGTGTGCGCTTTGGGGAGCGGGCCAGTTGGGGGCCTGTGCGGTGAGCAGGGGGCTAAAGTGATTGCAGAGGCGCTAGGCCTGAAGAGTGTCATGGCTCTGAAGGGTGCCGAGCCGAGGTGCACTGTTTTGTCCCCCATCTCCTTGGGCTGGGCGGGTGTCAGGCCTTTGGACCGTGTGGTTGGAAAAGGATAGACAAGTCCAAGTCCAACAATGGGGACGTTTAATGACTGACTATCCGAGGTGGAATGTCTCCAACAAGACCATCTCGAGGGAGGGCGTACCGTACGAGAGACCTACATAGCCGGGCACTTGCGTACAATGGACGGGAGCCCGAGTGGAGCATGCAATTGCATGTTTGCCTAATAGTGTAGTAATAAGCTGCGTGGCTGCCCTGTGCGTCCTTGACCTACCTGGGGAGGTACCTAGGTACCTATGACTCCACCTGCCTGCGGGCAGACCGCTGATACACAGTACCATGTAGCTGCCTCGGACGTGCGCTTCTTCTGTGGTGGGGAGATGATCGCTCGTGAAATCTAACACATGTTCCCCTCCTTCTGCCTCCTCAGACCGGCCAAACACCGTCAATAAGGCGTGCTTGCCCGTCTCAGTAACATGAAATGATAGATGAGCACCCTAGTGTAGTGGCTGTAGTTGACTCTGCACCAGCGCTTGTCCACCCCGCCGCTCTAAGACCACCGGTACAATAGGTAGCTGGCAGGCGCGGGGGAGATCCGCAATCCGTGAGCAGATCCATGAGCAGCTGAGCAGCTGACACGATAACGGACTGGAAGTATCGAGCCTGCCTTGACATGCCTGGTCTAACCACTGCCTGTTGCCCACCTAGTAAGGTAGGCAGGCACCTGGGCTGTTGGCTAGGTACTTACTTCGCACTAGCGAGCCTCTTATCTGAACAATCCGTGGTCGCTGCCTGGTCTGTCCATCACTCACTCACTCAATCACCCGCGGTAAACCAGCGGCACCGAACTTCACAAGGGGTAAGAAGGGAGCTCCAGTCGACCTCTTACCTCCCTGCCCCACCTTCCCACCCGCACCCTTCGTTTACACCTCCATCTCCAAACCACCCACCACCACCCTTCATTCCCTCTTGCCCTTCGACTTGGACTTCGTCGACGCCATCCAAGCCTTCAACTTCTAGCCTGTCGTCGTGTCTCTCTTTCTTGCACCGATTCGGTCTTACCTTGCCTGCCTCGTCACCTCAACCCGACCGTCTCCAAGCCGTCGGGTCTATGTCCTCGCCGTCCTCGAGCCGACATATCTAGCCTCACAACCACTTGTGCTAGGCGGGGCACCACTGGAGCCTTGTTTCGCCAGGCATTCAGCAAAACCATAGTAAAATCCCCCGGATCCCGCTCAACATTGCCCTGGGCCTTGCCAACCTGTCCTCAAACATATGATGGCCCAGAAAGCTGCAAGCGAGGATTCGGGTAAGTCCTCATGCCCTCGCTCCATCCTATCCATCCCAGCATCTGCATCTGCTGCACTATCATTCGGCAAAGGAACCCATCCTGGTTCTGTCCTTTGACTACTTGTTCTGACAACCATGCTGTGCAGTCCTCATCTTGCTGTCGGCAAACAGTCCCAACAACGTCACCTTTCCGGAGCGAAGGATCATCCTCACCCAGTCCCAGCCGAAAGTCCTTATAGGGAGGTCGAGCAATCGCTCCGCTATGGGGCTGACACCGGCCATCGACAACTGTTACTTCGACTCTCCCGTCATGAGCCGAGAACACGCCGAGATCGAAGCAGACATTCCCCAGCAGGTCAGTCATATACACCAGACATGTTGACGTACTACAGAAAAGCTAACTGGCCACAGGTCGTTAGAATCCGCGACGCATGTTCCATGCATGGGACCCTCTTGAATGGAGAGACGCTCGAGGCTGACGTTGCTCAGCCTCTTGTGTCCGGTGACAAGATCACCTTTGGCTCGTCTGTGTACCGTAACGAGAAGACCTTCAAGCCCGCCACCGTGACAGTTGGGATGGAATTTCAACTCCGGTCAGTCCCTACCACTCTTCATAAAGCGGGAGCAGCACTGACGATGCACTGTAGTGGCCAAGCAGATCAATCGCCCAGCCGTGTCTTCACCGTTCCGGACGACTGCTCGACAGACGAGAATGAACCTTTGGATGACAATGCATCTCTGAAGGTCCCTACCTTCGGTCATCGAGACGTCAATACGCGGAGGACGGGACAGCGCGATGCATTGCACCAGATTGACGGCATCAACGAAGTTGAATTGATCCAAGTTGACTCCAGTTCCGACTCGGACTCGGACATGCAGTCCGATGCTGTCCCGCATGATTATATCTCTATTGTCTCCGATGATGGCGGCCAAGATGATGAGGATTCCGTGGCGATGGCAGCCGATGTCGATGACGAAGAGTCGATAAGCTTTACGGATGATGAGGAGACTAGCTCTACACCGGCGAGTCCTGGAGAGTCTGTTGACCGGGATGAGAACAGTCCCGCGAATAGTGCCGGAGATCGTTCGCCATCCTGGAATAGTGTTTCCACGGATACGCCCAGCGAACATGATGACGAGCAGCCTGCATCAGGCAACAACTCTGAAGACGAGCAGGGTGTTTTCCTCTATGACACAGAGTCAGAACAGATGGATGACATTGACCCTGTCGACACCGGATTTCTCCTTAGCCCACAACCTGTGGTTTACCACAGGGCTTATCAGCCGCCACAGACACCTGCTGCACCTCAGCAATTCACCCTCCCATCTATTGATACCGCGGTGCACTCCCAACAGGCAATTCCGCCGCATTTCAATTGTCAGCTCCCCCCGGTAATGTTGATGCCACGACAGCCAAGCCCATCTGACGCCGTTTTGCCGGTCGCCCGTCCGCACCATGGGTCGGAGGATGATTCTATTGTCACGGTGAAGAGCTTGGGACTCAAGAGCGGAAAATACGATTACTTTGAAGCCCGAGAGCAGAACAAAATCACTGCGGCTCACCATATCCCTCTAATAACAGGGGATCACCTACCCGCCACGTCTTCAGCCACGGAGATTGGATATACATCTACTCCTGCTTTTGACAAGAACGCCCATACAGTATTCATGCCACAGGTGCCATGGCATCTTGAACGCCGAATCAGCAGTCAGGGGGGTGAGGGGTCCCTGTTGAGCTCGCACGAACCCATCCCACTGCTCCCTGTCGATGCTACTTCTACTGGGCTTCCGAAAGAGACTTCTGAGATGGACATCGAAGATCAGGACCGTTCACTTCCCCCCTGGGCCACATCCTCTGCTCGACAGCTGTTCTGGAAAGAGGAGCGAGAATCGTTTCGAGCGAAAATCGATGCATTCAGGGCGGCCTCAGAAGAGGCCCCAAGGGCTGCCGAACGCTCAGGAGCATCAAAACATGCTGTTGAAGGAAAACGAAAGGCTGCCGAAATCTCGGAGGAGACTGAACAGCAGCTGGCGTGGCATCAGCAATCGACGTCTGACCAGTCGGCTGAGTGCAGAAGCCCCGCCCCTGTCCAGCCAGAGATCGAGATGGATTTGTCAACACTCTCATTCCATGAAACTCGAGAGCAAGATTTCACAGCCGCGAGACCTACAAAAATGCGGAAGATCGCCGAACGGATTGGATACGCCGCCCTGGGTGGCGCCACTGTTGGTGCAATGGTACTAACTTCCCTCATTTATACTGCGCCTAATTTTGCGTGAGCAGCTGTTCGCCTGCGCATTCGTTCTTTTTATGTTTGTAGTCAGGTTTGCTTGCAGGAAACTTGGTCAGGCTGGAACGGGATATTTGCGGTTTTGTGGTCGGACAGGGATGGCGTCAAGTATTGAAGTTTGTTTTCCGTCAGGCTCAGACGTGGCAGTGTGATGCTCTGGCTCGGGTCGAAAGACTTTTCAGAGCAAGGGTCAAGGCTTTCCTACCTACAGGTTCGACCAGCTTCGGGGCTGTTGTGATCATCGTGGCAGACGATTATGAATGATTCTGAGTTCAGGAGATAGCTTTCCAGCCCAATGCCACATCACTTATGATTCGCCAGGAGATCACCTAACGTGACTCTGATTGCTGCTGCGACCAGGCTTTCTTATGCCTTGCACGATCTTTAGCTTTCGGGCCAGCTACACGTGCATGAACATTCCAGTGAGACGGTCAGGTCGAAAAGGTGGGTTTGGAAGTGGTCAAGCTCAAAAATGGCCAGCCGACGAGTTATCAAGACGAACAGGTGGCACTACGATATAGAAGCCCGGCGAGTGGCTTCTTCTCCCCAATCTCTTAAGGTTGGTCATTCAGTCACTAGACCCAAAGGAAATATTCAGCAAAAGCTGCAGTAGGCTGCATGGTCATGCTTGACACTGGTACTTCGTGCGTGTGCTGAAGCCTCAAGTCCTCCCTTGGTTACCTAGGTAGTTGACCACTTGTTGTACTCTTTCTCGAATACTTCAAAATAATTAGCTACTAACCATACTCTCCTCTGATATTAGCGTAGGACCTTGTGTGTGTCACAGCATATTACAGTATGTGTACTCGGTGTGTGGGGAAAGCAGATCATGTTCATATGAGATGGTCTTACCCATGCATATAAAATGCATGTGGCGCCTTCGTACAGTGGTAAACGCTCAAGACGATGCAGACAAGAATGCCTTCAAATGCTACACTAGGTGCTGGCATGATTGACCCGCAACATACCCTGGATATGAATACATGAATTCCGCACAAAGCTCACTCGAAGCTTGGACGATAAGCCGGTCTCCAACGGATCCATGCCTTGTTGATTGGATACTAGAAGATATGTACCTGTGATCCGAACACAGAACCCATAGACGGGTGTTTATGAGGCTGCGCCACGGGTGATGCCAAGCCTGGAAAGATATCGCGGCAGATCTAGTAGGTGGGCCATCCTCTAGACAGATGACTACCGTGGCCGAGAAGCGGACACGAGAGCAGAGCTCATAACTTCAATTAGAGTGCCTCACACGTAGATGAACGGAGTCGTGGAATTCTGCCGCATGTCATTGATTTAAACATGGCATTTCCTTGTGGTTGTTCAGCGGAACGAGTCCGGGGCTTTTGAACCTGTTTGCTACTTTGTCCAGCCGTTTTTGGTCCGGGAGAATGCTATCTGGTAATCCCATCTCACAGAGACTTGAAGTACTCAAACGGTGAGTGGGAAGTGTCTCGCAATGCCAAAGAAACCATAGTATATATGCTTTTCACCACCTCAACTCTGGACAAAGCGCGACAAGGGCAAGCTTGTCATCTCTTGTCTGGCCCTGTCCAGCTTCAGATGCGATCAATATGAAATGCGGGCTAGATGCTGACTATAAATGTGACACTGATTGGTTGCACCCCTGCTCGGCCATCTGGGGTAGACGGGGACCGGCTCCGCACTCGGCGGTGGCATGGCTGGCTCGCATTTTTTGGGGCCGATTTTTTTTAGCCACTCGTCAGAGAAGGCAGAAGAGTCATACTCGACACAACTCCATGTGCGCCCAGTTACAATGAGGCCAATTGAAGTCGCCAGGCGCTCAGGAGCGTTGGCGAGGGTGAGTCGGCTCCCCAATGCCCAGAATCGCACCTCTCGAGACTGACAATGGTGGCAGGGCGCCCTCCATCGACAACAACTCCGCTGCGCCCCGACTTATACGCAGACTCGCCGCCTTCTTTCCACCGGCCCCGCCCTGCCTCCCGTGTACGAGACACTCTACACGAAATACGCCGAAGTCAGACGGGTCCTCGGGTCACAGAGGCTCACCCTCGCCGAAAAGATCCTCTACAGCCATTTGAACAACGTCGAGGAGACCCTCCTGACCAACACCAACAATGGCCGCGACATCCGAGGCAAGGCCAACCTGCCGCTCAAGCCCGACCGGGTCAACATGCAGGATGCTTCTGCACAGATGGCCCTGCTGCAGTTTATGGCCTGCAACCTCCCCCAGACCGCGATACCCGCGAGCATCCACTGCGACCACTTGATTGTTGGTGAGCAGGGCGCCGACAAGGACCTGTCTGCCGGTCTGAGTGCAAACCAGGAGGTCTTCGACTTCCTCGAGTCTGCGGGCAAGAAGTACGGCATCGACTTTTGGCCTCCCGGAGCGGGTATCATACACCAGACCGTGCTGGAGAACTATGCCCGGCCGGGCCTGATGATGCTGGGCACCGACAGCCATACGCCCAACGCCGGTGGTCTCTGCACTATCGCCATCGGTGTCGGTGGTGCCGATGCCGTCGAGGCCCTTGTTGGCGCGCCTTGGGAGCTCAAGGCCCCAAAGGTCCTGGGCGTGCGTTTGACGGGCAAGCTCGGCGAATGGGCCTCTCCCAAGGACATTATCCTGCACCTGGCTGGCAAGTTGACCGTCCGTGGCGGAACGGGTTATATTGTCGAGTATTTTGGTCCTGGTGTTGAGACACTTAGCTGCACCGGAATGGCTACAGTGTCCAACATGGGGTAAGCACAAGTTTGACCGTATCTCAGTCTTTTTGGTATATTGACACATTCTAGTGCTGAAGTCGGTGCGACAACTTCCGTATTCCCCTTCACTGAAGCTTCCGCGAGGTATCTCGAGGCCACCAGGAGAGGAGACTTGGCCAGTGCGGCCAAGATCTTCCAGGGCTTCCCCGGGGTCGGCAACTCGGAAGACGCATACTTCAGGTTCAAGGCCGACGAGGGGGTGGAGTACGACCAACTGATCGAGATCAACCTTTCAGAGCTGGAGCCACACATCAACGGACCTCACACGCCAGATCTGTCCACGCCCCTGTCCCAGTTCAAGAAGACAGTGCAAGAGGAGCACTGGCCTGAGAAAGTCTCCGCGGGCCTCATTGGTAGCTGCACGAACAGCTCGTATGAGGACATGACCAGGGTCGAGAGCATGGTCAAGGCCGCCGAGGAAGCTGGACTGAAGCCCGCCACTGATTTCTACGTCACGCCAGGCAGTGAGCAAATCCGAGCAACTCTAGAGCGTGACGGTGTCTTGGAATCATTCACCGGCGCGGGCGGCATCGTACTGTCAAATGCATGTGGGCCCTGCATTGGACAGTGGAAGCGACGAGACGGTGTTGACAAGGGCACGCCAAACGCGATTTTCACATCCTATAACCGGAATTTCCGCGGCCGGAATGATGGCAACCTCGAAACCATGAACTTCCTCGCATCTCCCGAGATAGTCACCGCGATGGCCTTTGCCGGCTCTACCACCTTCAACCCCATGACAGATACACTCAAGACGCCTGACGGCAAGGAGTTCCGGTTTCCCGCACCAAGGGGAATGGAAGACCCCAAGACCCCCTTTGAGAACGGAAACGAGGCATTCAAGGTCGCATCACAAAAGCCCGACCCAAGCGTGCCAGTCGCCATCTCCCCTACCTCGGAGCGCCTTGCCCTCCTGGACCCGTTCGAGCCGTTCCCTGACTCCGACCTGACCGGTCTCCAAGTCCTCGTAAAGGTCAAGGGCAAGTGTACGACCGACACAATTTCCGCAGCAGGACCCTGGCTCAAGTACAAGGGCCACCTCCCGAACATCGCCACCAACACGCTCAACACGGCTGTGAACGCGGCTACCGACGAGGTGAACGCGGCGTATGACTTCGACGGCAGCAAGCACACGATCCCAGACCTGATGAAGAAGTGGAAGGAGGAGAAGCGACAGTGGCTCGTGGTGGCGGAGCACAACTATGGCGAAGGCTCCGCCCGAGAGCACGCGGCGCTGCAGCCGCGGTACCTGGGCGCTCGGATAATCGTGTGCAAGAGCTTCGCCCGCATCCATGAGACGAACCTCAAGAAACAGGGCGTGGTGCCGCTGACGTTCGCCAACGAGGCTGACTACGACAGGATCGATGCGTGCGACGAGGTCGCCACCGTGGGGCTGTACGAGATGCTTCGCAACCAGGGCTGCGGCGACGTGCAGCTCAAGGTGACCAAGAGGAAGACAGGCGAGGAGTTCCTCATCCCCGTCAAGCACGCTGTAAGCAAGGACCAGGCCGGTTTCATCCTGGCAGGGAGTGCTCTGAACCTGCTCTCCAAGGGCATTTGAGCGAGGACAGTCTTTGGGACAGTCTTTGGCATTTGATCAAAAGTGAGAACTAAAAAAGTGAAAGGAATCTTGGTAGTGATACCAGGGGAGGAGTTGTGTGCTTTTTGGAATGTATATATGAAATGGCGCATATGTCTGACAGCTCGGGCGTTGCTGGCTTTTGACAATTGAGACAAAGCTTTCGGGTGATTTTTGAGGCTGTGTGCATCGAGTCTGCCCGGGGATTTGGAACGGTGAGGTCTCACTGTCAACATCTGCTGACATTGCCGGTCATTCTACAAAGGATGCCGATCGCAGACTTGTACTCTCAGGAGACAATCTGAGCAGGTGAAGTCTGAGTGAGACAACTTCCTGGTCAATAAATCGTTCCGATTAAAGGGGGCCACCTGAGGATCTAGAGCCTCGCGCCAGACCTGACCCTCAGTTGCAATTTAGTTTTGAATATGATTGTTTGATACTTGGGCGAGAGAGTCTTCAACATGCTTCTCAACACTGAATTCCAGAGGACTCAGGGGCGATCAAGGAATGAAAAGAAGCGATTCGATGTGCTTTCTTCAATGAATGTCCACCCGGCTTATTAGCAGCCTCGCCACTTAGATAGTCCCCGCGGGCTGTGGCCTCTATTAGGCAGCTGTTCGGCTGGCGGAAGCAGGGTTAGGAGTGCAAGCATTCACAGCTCCACATGATTACCTACTTAAGTACCTAGGTACCTAGGTAGGTACTTACCTAGGCGCTCAGCCTCAACAGCAGAGTCCGTTTGGAGGATTGCCCATTGCCCGTTGCTCAACTGTGTCTTGCTCTGCTGGGTACTGAAATGCCGGAGTCCATTTCTACTGCCAGGACCTCCTAGCAGATTACACTTGATTGGGTGAGACCTTACTGTGTCGGAGTTGCAGCCTTCCAGACCTTAATGCTGTATGGTGAAAATTGGCTGCTGCTCCTCTATTCCATGCAACATGATTATCTGTGTTCTATGCTCTACGCTTTCCAAATTACGGCACGCTTCACTGCCAGAGTCCCAATAGCAACCTTCAGGTTCACACCAGCATCAAGTCTTCCTGAATGGCCCCCAATACGTAGAGGCACATACAAAAGACATGATGACCATCGCCAGCACATCACCATCTCAAGACCATCTCAGTGCCGTATTAATATACAACTATTCCCTTCAAACGGAATAAAAACTCACCGCCCGGTGTACCTGTGACAGTAGTCATAAAGCTATTCTCCCAAAGAATGATCTGTTTGCCTTTTCTGCACCCGTTGGTTGCTGGTGGAGCCTGCCGATGGCTGTGGTCCCCGCTCGGAATTGGCAGAATCCGCGTTTACATGGGAGGCTGTGCCAGACGATTCCGGCGGGACTGGTGGTGCCACGACCTGGTTTCTCCTCGTGTACTTGCGCTTCTTCCTGACCGGGGGCTGTTGTTCACTAGCCCGAGGCGGCTGGTTTGACCCGGCACCGTGTGTCCGGCTGCGATGATATCTCATCGCACCGAGCCACGCCTCGTCATTACGGACGCGCTCTGGCAGTGTCTCTTCCCATTCACCAGGATTCTCCTTCAGTCTCTGTTCTCTCATCCGTTGCGCTGCCCTTCCCAAGTTGGCTTTGCGTCCCCCACGGGCCTGGATCTCCTCCTCCTTCTTCTGGTACCATTCATCAGATCGAGGCCGTGTCCAATGTGTTCGCGGGTCTATGTGTCCGTAAAAGACATTTTCGCGCTTCGACGGCCCGCGCTCGGCCGTTGCCACTACTCCCGGTGGTGGCTGAGAAGAACCCTCCTGTCCGTATATGAATCTGTCTAGAGCCGAAGTATCGTTGACTTCCGTCAGACGCTGTCGTTGTTTCTCAAGCGGCGTAGTCCGTACCACCGGCTTCAGCCCTCCATAAGCGGATTTCGCAATCTTTTTGCTCCTTCTCGCCTTTGTAGAGGCCGACCCACGGCCTTGTTTCTCAGGGGCTATGCTGTTGCGCGCGCTTGGAGAGCGCCAGTCGGGGTGGCTAAAAGTTACCGGCTCTGTGAACGAGCCCACCAGTCCAGGCTTCCGCGCGTCGTTGCTGTTTGCACTTCTAAGAGGAGACGCAGCAGGCCCGGTATCAAAACTCATTTCACTCGGTGGCTGTTGAGCATTGCTCGTATCCAGTGGGGCAGCATGCCCTGGCACTCTCCCTTTATCTTTGTCTGAATACAAGAGGCCACCACTACCATTTGGTAGAGGTGACCCAAAATTGCGGACTGGAAGACTGGCGTAGGCGGGACTCCGTTCTCTCGATGGCAAATCAAAGTTCCGCTGCGAGACCCTGGGGCTGAACTTGTCGTTTACGGGTGATGTCATGCGCTGTCTCTTTCTTGATGGGGTCTCAGGAGACCCAGGATGTCTCTGTGGAAGGAGAGAGGAGTTGGGCGAGAGATGCGAGCCGTTAGTAACTACCCGGTTCACTGTAGGCTGGCTGCTACCATTGAGCCTTGTGCCGTTTGTCCTGGAGGCCGTAAGCAAGAAGGCTGGCTTGGCCGCAATGGACTTCCTGGCGGTGATTTTTGCGTCCAGTTGCTTCCGGTGATGCGGTGCTCCCTCCGAGAGGCGCCCGTTGACCTGCATGGCGCCCGTCCAATGCTGGGTGTCCAAAATCTTTGACAACTTCGGGGAGACAGGCTGCATGTGAAAGTGACATGCTGGGTAGCCACTAGCGACAAGTTCTTGGCAGCCAGGGGCATTGCACCTTGCCTTTGTCACCGCGGGGCTGTCCTCAGCGGTCGGCAGGAATGGATTACTCGAGGATCCGAACATGTCGGCGGTCGATGTGGGAGGGGGCGAGAGTGCTGTTCTACTTTGGGTGTTTGATGTACGCCTTGCCTGGATCCCAATCCCATGGTTCCTGTCGAGACACCGCGCACAGGTGAAGCTATTGCAAGCTGGTCAGCTCTTGTTTCCGATTCATGTACGTGGTGTGTTTGGCTACGTGGGTGCGATGGGTACTGTACAAGGTTGGTGCGACGGAAAACCAAGCGGGCAAGTGCAACCAACCAACGACAGGATGCGGAGCAAGAAAACAAGGTGGCCAGAGTAGCTGCTGTCCATCCCACCCCGACTCAGTAGCGCGGCTAGTAGGCCGGTCTGTCCCAAAGTCTGGCGCGTGCTGCTGGTGGACTTGTAACAACCTGGGAACCTTGGAAGACGAGACTTGAGAAGGACAACTTGAAGTTTGGGCCTTTTTGCGTCCAACCCCCACTGCTCTCCTTGCTGATTGGTTTTGCCGGCTGGGAGCTGCGCAGATATGACTCGTTTGGAAATCTCTCCGCTTGAGCCTGGTGGCGACGGTGATGTGGTGAGGGGTATGTTTTGGCGCGGATGCAGACACGCAGGGCAGACGGCGGACCGAGGCGCGCGCACCGCGAGTGCCCAGGCGGTCGCAAGGCCGACTTGGGAATGAGGACCTACCTGGTACGATCGTGGAGAACGGTATGGACACACGCACGATGATAGTGTCGCATGCACTCGGTGCATGCGACGGCCGCCTTGTCGACCTGCTCAGGACCGTCGCAGATGATGCATCGAGGCCCTGATGAGCTCAGCTTGGGGTGGACGTGACGGCTAGCCATGTCCCGATTAGCACGAGATATCCATCGACCAATGTGTGAACAGAATAGTGATGCCAATTGAGGCAGACAAGCAGGCAGGCGTCTCAGATCTTTTCAGTCTTGAAATAGTCGTCACCCTGCGTGCGACGACGGCTTCGTGGAGTTGGCCCAGCCGGGAATAGGTGGCGGGGCGGGTTGAGGTGGGTGAGAGGAGAGAGAGGGAGAGAGAGAGAGAGAGAGTGAGTGACTAAGTGGTGGGTTGTGTGGGTGGGTAGATTGTTTACGCGCAGCCTTTGGCCCGGCCTCATGGGAGCAGTGTAAGGCTGGGCTCCGATAAGCGGTATAGTGTGTTGATGTGCATCCAGCTCGACAGCAGCAAAGCGGGAACACATGTGGCTCTGCTGGGTGACGATGGCCTCTGGCGAGGACAAGACGGGAAACAGGATTTTAAGACGGGTAGGGCTGAGGCAACCAACGAAACCAGAAGAGCATTACAGTCCGACCTTTTACCATTGCGCATCATTGACAAGGCCTGCGAGGCTGTAGAAACAGACGGGGAGTAGCAAAGTGCGGTAGACTTGAGGAGATGCGCAATACATACCGTCCTGATTGGATTTGTACTTGTATGCGATTGGGATCAAGTCAAAAGTCAGATTGAAATGGTGAGGGATACGGTGCGAGGAATAGACTAGTAGTAGTAGTAAGTGTGCTTGGTTGTTGCACGCATGCAAGTTTGCATGCAGGTGTGCGGGTAAATAAGTTGAGGGTGAACAGCCGCGACTCGAGTCAGCAAGTGGCCGAGTCTGCCAGAGAGGACTAGTATACTCCGTAATGTCTCCAAAGAGCCCAGGGCCAGAGTAGGGCGGGCAAAATGAGATGTGTACGGATCAGGTGTGGAATATGCAGCTGCCCTCCGCGGCTGCTATTAGCAAGCCCCGACCACGCACCACGCAAAATGTTGGCAGGCCCTGGTGAGAAGCATCCACCGCTGCCTTGAGCTTTTGGAGGCCGAGTCTGTTTTAATCCTGGCCTTGCGACCGACGTCGTGGCATGGGCGCCAAAGAGAGTGGCTGATCTGGCTGTCTGGGTGAAGAGAGAGGACGCGAATGTTTGAGGAAGCCAATGCTTGCCTATTAAATTGTCAGCCCTGCACGACTGAGCCAGGTGGACCCAATGCCAATGCCACTGATCACTTTTGACTAGCCTTCTGCCCCTCACCACCGCCCAGGCCAGCCCTCTTTTCGGACTAGCGCGGGGACCCTGCCGCCCTGCCGCCCCGGTAGCTGCCCGTTCTGAACGCGACCTTGTCCTCTCAACCCTGAGCTCTTGGGGGAGGGATCAGAGGAAGCGTCGCAAGTCGAGGCAGAGGCAACCTGATTCCTGAAGTTGCCGCTGTGTCCTCTGCGGCCAGAGCGAGCACCCTCACAACCTACCCTTTCACAGGACCCGATCTGAGATTCCTCCTACCGCCCGGGAAGACTTCTATGGGTACTTAGTAGCCAGCCATCGCATCTGTCCAAGCCGGGTGCATCGCCGCCATGGATTTCCTAAAGTCCGCCGTCGCATCTGCAATCGCAAAGGGTCCCGCGTTCCCATACTCTTTCGGCGACGTCGTCGATGTCGACCAGTCCATATGGACCCTGCACAATGGCACCAGACGTGTATGCACAAGGTATACAACCCTTGCACGAGGCGAACAGGGTCCTGACATGCGCCGCAGGAGGACGGGTCGAATTGCAGCATCTTCTCCTTCGACATCACCGCCAACAGGTCCCGACTACCACTCGCGAAGAACGCACTGAAGAAGCTCCGCACCTTGCGTCACCCCGGCGTGATCAAGGTCTTGGATACGGTCGAGGTACATCTTCATGCCGCCTCTCGGTGCAGAATCGCGACTGATCAGACGGCTGTTAGACCGACACGTACATCTACATCGCCACGGAGCGATTGGTGCCCTTGCGATGGCATGTGAAACGGAAGAGCCTCAGCCCCGAGACCACGAAGTGGGGCATATATAGCGTAGCGGTATGCCGACTCAGCTGCCTGCGATATCACATAGGCACGTGTGCTGACCACCTGCCAGCGGACGCTCAAATTCATCAACGATGAGGCCTCGTCGATCCACGGCAACATGAGGGTCGGGTCAATATATACCTCGGAAAGCGGAGAGTGGAAGATCGGCGGCTTCGAGCTCTTGAGCAATGTCAAGGACGATGATGCCATCATATATGTATGCGCTCTTGAAAGGCCACCTCAAATCACCAAAACTGACCATCACTACCATAGACCTATGGGAGCATGGTGCCCGATTCTGCGAGATACGCACCTCCGGAGCTCCAATCAGGCTGGGACGCCATTAAAAAGGCCCCTCACTCTGCCGTCGATTCGTTCAACTTGGGCACTTTGATCTTTGAGGCCTTCAATGGCGACTATGCAGGCGGTAGCCAAGCTGGTCAGACCAAGAATATCCCTCCCAGCATGCATGCGAGTTACAAGCGGCTGGTCAACAACAATCCCAAGGCTAGACTTAGCGTCGGTCACTTCATCGAACAGGGTCATCGTCGCGGGTCATTTTTTGACACGCCGCTTATCAAGTTGACCGACGGGGTAGATAACTTGGGTGTCAAATCCGCGGAAGAGCGGGAGGAATTCCTGAAGTACGTGTTCTGATTCTGTCCAGCAAGCGGGGGCTTTTTATTGACAACTGCGCAGCGACCTTGAACAACTCACAGACGACTTCCCCGAAGACTTCTTTAAGATGAAGGTGCTTCCCGAACTGCTCAAGTCAGTCGAATTTGGAGGCGGCGGACCCAAAGCCTTCAGTGTCGTGATGAAAATCGCGTCGAAATTGTCAAATGACGACTTCGACTCGAAGGTAGTGCCTGTAGTGATACGGCTGTTCCAAAACCCTGACAGGGCCATTCGAGTATCTCTGCTTGACAACCTACCTCTGATGATCGATAGACTATCGCAAAAGATAGTGAACGACAAGATTTTCCCAAATCTTGTGTCAGGCTTCACCGATCTGGCACCAGTCGTTCGAGAACAAACACTAAAGTCTGTTCTCACAATCATCGGCAAGCTATCCGATCGTACTATAAATGGAGAGCTGCTGAAGTGTCTTGCCAAGACCGCAAATGACGAACAGCCAGGCATCCGCACAAATACCACCATCTGCTTGGGCAAGATTGCGAAGAATCTAGGTACTTCCTCCAGAAGCAAGGTTTTGATTGCGGCTTTTACTCGCTCTCTCCGAGACCCTTTTGTTCATGGGAGGAATGCTGCGCTCATGGCACTTGCTGTCACCGGCGACTGTTTCTCAAATGAAGACATAGCGTTAAAGATCCTCCCCGCTATTTGTCCTTCATTGATTGACAAGGAGAGGATTGTTCGAGACCAGGCAACGAAGACGATGGACATTTACATGCTAAAGATAAAGAAGGCCGCCGAAGACATGCCCGATACCGTTCTTCCTCCCCAACAGACCGGTGAGCACGCAGGAGCACCGCGTATGGGTACTCCGCAGCCGACAGAGTCCGCTGCAGCGTCATGGGCTGGATGGGCCATCTCATCATTCACGAATAAGATCTCCTCAGCAGCGGGTGAGATTCAGCCAACTGCCCCGAACGGCTCGGCGCCGACCCCAGAGACAAAGCGCCCTGTGCCAGTGGCAACCTCATCCGCATCGACCTTGCACCGTCAAGCTATGAAGTCCCCGCAGCCTGCATCCTCAACACTCGCAAGGGCTCCTTCGACTGAATGGGGTGCGGATGCATTTTCCGCAGAGGTTAATCCAGCAGAGGACGAGGGCGATGCTTGGGGCGACATGGATGAGATGGACGACAACGACAACTTTTTCGATGACGGATCAACAGCTGCGAATGATTCCATGGCCTCATCAGCTACCTTGCCCGTGGCAAAGAAGGAACCTAGGCGGAATATCAGCAGTAGTGGCAGCGGCAGCGCACAACCATTCGGCGATGATGAAGAGCCCGACTTTGCTGGCTGGCTGGCCGCACAGCAGAAATCCAAGGTCGGTGGTAAGCCGCTGCCAAAGGGACTCAAGAAGGCAAACCCCGAGAGTGGAAAGACGACAACAAGCAAGAAGCCTGTCGCGAAGCCTGCTGTAAAGCCAACGCCAGCCAAGAAGATTGATTTGAAGCCAAAGCAAGCAGACGATGATGAAGACGGGTGGGGGGATGGCTGGTAAAGCAATGCAAGGGCATGCCTATGTGCGGATGACGGTAATGTATATTCGTTGTTTTCCCCGGTTGTGTACGGGTGGACCAGCGCTTTATTCGGCATTCATATGAAGTAAGGAGTTCGGTAATCCGGTTTGGAAAGTGCATTCATTTAGCATTGGACTGATTGTCCGGCACTGGAAATAGGACGGATACAAACAAGGGCCATTCTCATGCGTAGATTTCAAATCAGTGAATTGGTACAAAGTACCACGAGTGTGGTTCCAAGAGGGCAACGAAAATCCCAAGGCTTGCTCAATATGCCCATTGTCGACGCCGTCCTGTCCGTCCCATTCGCCAGCTCCACTCGAGCCTCACAACAGCACCGGACCGCAGGCTCGGGAATAGTCCTGCGGCTCCTGAGTCCCCTATCTGGTGCCCCCTTCCACTTCTTGTTTCATTTCCTCATCAGGACATACTACCTACCCACGTGCATCCGGCTCAGCCTCTCGCTACCTCGCCTCGGAGTAATCGTTTAGAGCCACACAGACCGCGCCCCGGTGATGTCCGTTGTACTGGCGGATGATCTGCTGACTGTGGAGCTCCCAGAGGCGGGCGTAGTGGTCGGAGCAGGCGGTGACGAGGTAGGCCGAGTCGGCGCTGAAGGCGCAGTCCCAGACCCACCGCTGGTGACCGGTCAAGGTGGCCTCGAGGGGGAAGGGGTGGGGGAAGCCACCCTCGTCCGGGCGGGCAGCCTCCTCGACGTCGACCTCCCAGATCTTGGCGGTGTGGTCGGCGGAGCAGGTCGCCAGCTTCTTGACGTCCGGGGACAGCAGGATGCGCGTGATGTATTCCTTGTGGGCTGAGAACTGCGTGATAGGCTGCAGCTCAGTGCGGTCGTAGGTCTGGATCAGGGACCAGACGAAGACGTTTCCCTGTCCGGGTTGTTAAAATCAGCAAGAACCGCCCCGGGGCCGGGGGGGGGGGGGTGAGGCAGGTGGATGGGTTGGCCCTTACGTTGTTGTTGGCGGCGCACAGCAGGGTGCCGTCTGTAGCGACGGTAACGCTCGAGACGGAGACGTCCTCCTCGGGGATGAGCTGGTGGGAGCAGCTGTTCTCGGCAAGGTCCCAGACCCTCACGCTGCCGGACCTGTCGCAGCTGATGATCTCGCCCTGGTTGGGGTGTATGACGACGTCGTTGGCGGGGCTGCCGTGGTTGTAGCTGCGCTGGATGGTGCCGCTGCGCGTCTCCCAGATCTTGACGGTGCCGTCCTCGGAGCTCGTGACCATCCACTTGCCCTCGCAGTGGAAGGCGACGCCGGTGATGTTGCCCGTGTGGCCCTCGAAGGTGAGCAAGGGGTTTGGGTTCGTGGACTTGATGTCGAAGAGCTTGACCGTGTGGTGGCCGGCGGCGGCGAGGAAGCGCTTGTCGGGCGATATGCACAGCCGGTTGACCTGCGAGTCCGGGTGCTGGATCGTGCGGGAACAGATGCCCGAGAGAGCCTCCCAGAACCTGGAAACACGCGCCCACAATGTGTCAGCCAGCAGGTGCGCGCCCGAGGTGAGCACGGGGTCGCGAGTGAGGGTGGGTTACCGTATCGTGTGGTCGTAGCCAGCTGGGAAGCCAAGGTCAGCCAAACGGTCGGCCAAACGGTCGAGCAACTGTGGTGTGGGAGGAAGCCAGGAGGGGGAACCGTACTCACCGGTGCAGAGAATGACGGACATGTTGCCTCAGGGACACTGTCTGTCCATCATGGGCTGGAGAGAAACCTCGGCGATGCGACTGTCAGATGTACCTGCAACTTGCTGGGGCTTCAGGTCGGGTGAAGCCTTATTAGTGGGGCACTCGTTGTGGTGAGGCTCAACCCCAGGCCGAGCTTGCGGCCCTGCAGCACCTAGTGACGTTTCAGCGGGGACGCGTTCCACCCACTGCCGCACCGAGGTGCCCAAGTACCCAGGTACCTAGGTAAGTAGTGTAGTTATTCATTGCACGGCACTTCTGGCATGTATTCTGCTGAATTCCAATCTGTGCTGTGACTTGCATTGAAAGGCAGTGTGTGGTGTGCTGCATGCAAAGAACTGATAGACAGTCTCACGTCAACTTGTGTCAGCTCTATGTTTTCCGTCTATCTTGGTCTTATTCTATCTCTCATGAGGTTAGAAAAAAAGTCCCAATAAATTGCCTTTGTGGATATAACCTCCATTTTACACTACGCGCAGCGTGTCGAGACTTGCAGAACCGTCTTCTAGATGCCCATTTCTACGTGGCTGCATGTGTTCTGTCGTCCAGCCACATATGGATGGCTGCTCAACACCCTTCGACTTGTTTCCTATCAGAAAGACGATGATTGCAAACTTGACTGTCTACTTCATGCAAAGCTGGAGTGAGCAAAACACCCCTCCGCAATTGAGCGCCATCAAATGCGCTTTCTCGCCAGATCTTGGATCCTTGCACCTATTACTGCCTGAACTGGCGTTTTGCGAGCCTGCGCAAGACGGAGAGCTGGCGGCCACTGATCCGGACACGAATACCTGCCTACCTAGGGACTTAGGTACTTGGCAAAGAGGCGGCCTCCCCCAGCCGTTTAACTAGTGCTAGTGCACATGCCTTTGAGACTTCGGGCTGCTTCTACAAATACAAGCACTTGATTCCTCAGGTTAAACTTGATCCCTTCATCTGTAGTCAATTGAGGGCGCCGCCTGGTTTTGGCATTCTCGCAAAAGCCCAGACAACTTCCAGCAGCCAGCAATCTTCAAATGTTTTCTCGAATTGGGCAACATAACTAAGCGTCCGGGATATCAATCTGCTCAAACTTTGGGGTGGCCCAATCCAAATCTTGGTCTCGCCCATTCTGCACATTGCTTGCAAAGGTCTGTTCTGAAGGAATCGGAACTTAAGGCGGGCTCGATGCTGGCCTTAGCCTGAGGAGCCTACCTACCTAGGTACTTACGTACTGAGGTAAGTGCACTTCCACGCTCTGCACATGTCACCTCCTCCAGCTAGACCTGTGGAATTTGCAGCAATTTGAGCATATTGAAGAAATGTCAGCCCTTCCAAGACGGTCTGAGCGCGCTCCGATTCATCAAAGGTTCGGCCAGCTCTCTTTCTTGTTCAGGAGCTGCATACCCGCTAGCATCATGTCTACCCTTTCATGTCAGTCTCAGTGATGTATAATGTCGAATATGACACGGTGCAAAGGCGTGAAGCACTTGGTTATGAACGTGTATTTTGTTAGTCCTTGAGCCCAAGAATCTTCCCCCTGCCCGCCCTGATCTGGAGATATACTGCCAGTGAAGGACAATCTCAAGCTGCGTATACCGGTATGGCTAAATGATCACAGCGCTAACAGAAATTTGCCTTATTTGCTTCACAAAATTGGCTACCAGGAATAAATGTGAGACTTCCCTTCCGGCTGTGCCCCGACACGAGATCTCGAAGCGAGTGGTGACGTAGTCAGCGCTGTGGCGCCAGCTGAAAGAGAGAGAGGGAAGAGACTGCGGTTGCGAAAGACGAACCCCGAATGACACATTGCTTCCGTACCACCGCCTGGACAGAGTAAACAGGATCGAACACAGCAAGGCCATTGTTGCAACAGGCCTTCCCTTCTAGAGTTTTGTCCCACACTGGCTGAGCACTTCAAGTTGCGGTCCTCGGGGCATTATCCTCGACGCGAAGTTGTATGGTGCTGCCTTGAAGGTTTCGTAGACGGGCTGCTTCCCGACGTCGGCCTGCTGCGATAACTCCCACTTGAGGAAGCAGTGACAGTGCCAAGTTGAGCACAACCGTTTGGACACCTCACCCACTGCCAGTTTCTCGTATTAACTGCTATCCTTCTTTATGAGGTCCACGGGTGCTCCGGTAGGTTACGCCCTTGCGAAGCACCGCTCCCAAGACGTTCACAAGGAACTATGTGCCCGCAGAGTCCTGCTTACTTGTGTGCCGCTACCATTACAGGCAGGACATGGTCTGAGATAATATCAGAATACCATCACATTGGAACGAGCAGTCGTTGGAAAAAAGGGAAAAAAAGACAACGAAAGACAAAGAAAATCTTACTTTCCGCCCAGCTTTCCATAAGACCAGATATTCCCGCGGCAGTTGGAGCACTCAACGGGATGGTTGCCACCAATACAGCCGCAAGTGTAGTCTCCTGTGGACGGGAGCTTGGGTGGGTCATCAGCATAGTACTCGTTCGGCATCCTCGGTGGGACAAGGAGCGAGAGAACGTCGACCAGTAAATCAGCTGGGGTAAAAGCTTCGACGCCAGCTCGTTCGATATTTCGGGGGCCTGTTGAAGCAGCTCGGGGGCGGCGCCGGATTCGGAATGTCACAGGAATCCAATGCGTTTAAGTAAACAAAATCCTCGAGTCACACTCAATCAACACGCAAGTGAGACGGCTAGGTGCTGATAACCACACCAAGGGTTGGTCGCAAAAGGTGTTGCCCCTTTGGTGTCTGCCCAGGTGGTATACCCACGTCTTCCATTGTGATTCACCATACTTCTCATTCGTTGCATACCTACACGGTCACTTGCCATTCCAGCATCTCATTGGCACCGTAAGTTGCTCAAGTGATCGCTGGTTTGAGCCGGTCAACCCCGGGATAGGGGCGCCACGGAGGAGATGCAAAGGGCGGCAGTAGAACGAGGCGAACATTGCAGAATGCTCTCCCACTTAGGCACGCCTCAGGTGTTAGGCGGTTCACTCAGTGACTGTTTTGTAACACTCACCGGTGTGGGGCGTGCCATGAAGATATTGAGTATATGGCCTTGTGGGAGGGAATATCCCAGCTATCAGCCGTTAGAGCTGCCGAACACTCTTGGAATTCCAGCCTGCTCCGATCGTAATTCCGAGCATCATGACAAACATTGTTACAAGAACCTCGTCACATATTCGACTGGCAACCAGGATCATTTCCGATGTGTCTCGGCTGCCTTCTTACGACTCGAGCTGACCCGTCCCGTGGTAACATCCCATGCTTCTGTCCTAGGGACGGTCGCTCTGGGATGATCACACGCTCCACGGCTCTGGTAGGGTCGCGGTGACTCTATCTGGCATCAAGTAAAGATCGATCAGGTCCAGTGGGCTGAACCAGGCAGATGCTTCTGCATGTATCCGCCCCCAAGACACGAGTTGCATGCTGGGTGCGTGAGCCAGGCCAACAAGACGGCTCGGGACCCGGAGCCGTCTGATAGATAAACAAGGTTGGCGCCCACAGTTCTGCCAGTTTTGCTATCGGTAAGATAACTGCAGGCGGGCGGGTGCATGGCGCGCCATGCATCCGTGGAACGATCCTCCTTGAAGAAGTTATGAAGCTTCCATGGTGCTTGCGAAACCTTCGCCTCACGGTAGAAGGCGACAGGACAGCCAGTCATTGCAATATGTGTTGCAAGAGGGTTCGACGGATCGGTGTGGAGGTCGCTCTGGCTGGGGCAAGGGCTTAAGCGAACGGCAGAGGAGACGGCCGACCATCCGAGCCGGTGAACAGGAATGGCACAGCAGAGTTCCCGAATACTTCGGATGATGTAGGCAGGACCGTCCTCTTGAGGTGTTGACTCCATCGAGACGACTGGCTGGCAACTGCTGTACGTAAACATTTCGATGTTGGCCCTCTGGCAGTCCCATGTGGTTTATTTGACTTTGCCATTCCTTGGGCTGTGAATGCCCCAACATTTGAGACCTGATAGCCTGGTCTCCCTCGCTGGGACACGATTCCGGGACAAAGTAAAGCCTCGCCAATTACCCCTCCCGGCCGGTCCACGGAGGTGATTGCTTATCCAGATGCTTGTAGCTTGTACAGACGCAGTGCAACCATGCTGTGCGGCCGCCTTGTTACCTGCCGCCTCGTCTGCTTGTTAGCACAAGAGTGACATTTCTTTTTCGTTCGCTTAGCTGCTGCTACGCGGCCGCTTGGTCATCTGTAACACGAAGAGTCGAAAGCTCTGGCCATGGACAGCATTAGCCAGGTGTCATGTGCCATGACCCGTGATGAGAGGTCTCATGTCCGGAACCTGTTCGTTCCCGCTGCGAAAACGACATTGTCGACCTCCCGAGGTCGGGACATCTGGACTACAACAGAGCTGATCAGTGAGTGGCTGAGAGGGTGTCGGAAGGCAGATGCTTGCTTGGCATCAGCACACTTATGCGATAATCGTGCAATCTTGAGCAGTCCAAGAATGAATGGACACATGGCTGAAGAAGAGCTTGATGCATGTCTCGGCCACCAGCTGATAGCAACTCGAACTTGCTACAAGGTGGTTTCTAGTTGATAGGGTGAGTGGTACAGATGATGGAACAAAGTCACGGACGTACCTACCTAGGTAGGTATGTGTCTGGTTTATTAGTCTAGGGAGAGGTGGTGCCTCCTTCCTCTCCAAGGTTTCCAGGTTTTAAAGCTGGGCGAACTTGGGACTTTCGACATGTCTCCTTCAGTTGACAACCGACATGATATTGACTTCCAGAGGCACTATCCATGAGCCTGGAGTGGTATACAATTGTTAAGAATCTGACGCATCTGATGTTAAAGTATTTCAAGATATGCCAATGGCAATTGCGATGGTACTCTCAACCAAGGACCACCTATATTCTCGAATTGGAGGAAACCTCTGCGTGCAGTATCCGAGAACAGGTCCACAGAGGACCCGAATGCAGCAATGGCAATAAGAAACTGCCAGTCTGAAGAAAGCAAATGTTCAGCCGTGGGTTCGGCGGTATCCCTTTCCATCCCTGCCCAGGCCTCCCACATCAGATGTGATTCCGTCCAGCACTTTCTCTAGAAAGGATGAAAGATCCCCACAGGCCGACATGTGTACTCATCTCATGTAATCACACGCAAGTATTGAAATACCTGTATCTCCACGTTCCAGCTTGTCGAACACTTGCAGAACTCGTTGCTGTTCCAACAGACATCTGGAAGTTCTCGAACTTTTACACTGACGATACCGGAATTATCACCCAAAAGAACAATCATTAGGCTGCAAAGTGCTAGACATCCTGCAGGCATATATACTCAACTGAAAAAATCAATTCCAATCTTGATTCGCAAAACATTGCATGGGCGTGAATTACAGTATTGGATTCATGATTCACAGTACGTGTCATCGTATTCTTTCCAAGCGCTGGGTCTTGAGTGCTTACCACCGTATGAAGGCGCCATGTATGTCCTCGGACGTATACGGAATAGAAGCGAAACCACACAATACGTGTGAAAGTGTGCCCTGGAAATAGTTTGTATTTCTTTCACACCATGGCAGTTTTGCGTAGATTTTGAGATAGGTGCAACGTGTTTTGGTCCTCATGCGATAGAGGCTCTGTGTTTAGCTGTGAGTGAAGCTTCGAAAGGGGGATCAAGAAGACCGTGGTGCGTGATCTTCTGCCAACTCTCATCGCCAACAGCACGTGGCGAAGAACCCCGGGGGGAGGGTAAGGCAATTCGCCACACCTGTTGTGCAAGCTGGCAAGCCAGCAAGCCAGCTGGCAAAACGATCAACAGCTTGGAGCGAAAAATTAGTCACGGACAGCTCCCAAGCCTTCAAGCCTGCATTGCTGGAAGCCAATACCCGACGGTGCATGCTCCGCGAGCAAGCCATGCACAATTAGTCCTGAGTTGTCAAGATTGAAAGGTTCTATACGTATGGTTATGGCAACTGTGGACCTTGACCTTTACAGTAAGACGACTGCGACTGGTAGCGAAGACGCTCAGCAATCCATACTTTCACTGCTTCTCGCACACTGATTCCACGCCGGAAACCACTGAAAAAAAATAACAAACTAGAAAACTCCAAAGCGCCCAGATGCGGAAGGTTTCCTAGTGACCTTGTAACAACCCTGCTCAATACGTGCATGCCGCAGCCGGAGTCGACAACACCAGCAAATGGACCTCGTGATTCCATTCCCGTCGAAACGTCTCATCAAACAATCTTCTGCCTCTTCGGATCACCACCAACGCCACCTCCAGGCCCCGCACCAGCCGCCGCAACCGTGCCATTCGTCGAGACCTCGGTCAGCGCCGGCCTTCCACCACCTCCAGCCGCAATTCCGTGGTTCCCCTCACCGGGCGGGGGCCTCTTGAAAGTCGGCGGGCGGTACTGGCCCCTGTTGCCCAAGGGGCTACCCGGGCCCATCGGCGCCCCGATACGTCTCGTCTGGTTCAGCTGTGGGTTGACGACATTGCCCCTCTGGCCCGGCTGTTGAGCAGCCCCGGACCGGCTGAAGCCGTTGTTCGAGGAAGGGGTGGATGGCATCAGGCCAAGGTCTATGTCTCCAATGCCGCTGTCTTCACCTTGTTTTGGCTCAGCCGGTGCGCAGTGCATGAAAATGTCTCTTGTGACCGGCCGTGACTTGGTGTAATCAATTCCGGGTGTCTTGAAGACCGAGGGGGTTTCTGCATGAGGGTTGAAGGCGTGGCCGGCTGAGGGCGTGCTAGGAAGCTTGACTTCGTCGTCTTTCTGACCAGCAAGCTGTTTTACAGCGCGGGCGGAAAAGAACCCCACGGCCCCCGTGTCACCCGTCGCCTGTGCCGGGGCAGGAAGGGGGCCACTGTTGCTTGACTTACTGTTCTGTATTGAACCGATGGTCTGAGGCCGGTTCTGGTTTTGTTGTTGGGGTCGTGGAGCGTACTGAGCAGGCTGATTCGGACCTCCAGGTCGCGCGTTGTGCTGCGCTTGCGCGGGAGGTTGCGGTGGTCGAGGTGGATTTCCTGCTGAGTGTGATCTCGCTAGAGGCCTCGAAGGTGGCTGCATTGCTTGTGGGTTGGGTTTGTTGTTCAGCTGAGGAGTGGGCCTCGCGCTTTCGGGCAAAGATACTTCGTCGGGGTTATCATCATCCACCATGTTGAAATCCACTTCATCAAATTCCCCGAGGAGGTCTTCGAAAGACTCCATAGCGGACTGCGCTGCAGGACCGAATCAGCGACGCAAATTCCTGACCGAGATTGTGTCCAACAAACCTGCGCTGCCAATATCTTGGGCTGGGGGCTCTTGCTTGACCTCAAGCTTTTTGGCAAAATCCGCATGTCGATGCAGCCCGCTCTCATCCCAAGCCTTGTTGGGCTCGAGCTTCATCTTTGTGACCTTCTTGAGATAGTCTTTGTCGTATATGCAGTTGCCCAACACGTTTCCAAAGTTCCTCAGTGCCCTCTTCAGTGCATCGGTGGTCCCTTCCTTCTTGGCCTTTTCATAAGCTGCCGCCTTGCCTTTGCAGTTCTCGATGTGGCCATAGCCGATATCTTCATGGAAAGTTCCGTCGCGCAGTGTCACGCGGACGATCACGGACAGCCCAAGCGAGACCTTTCGAGTCTGTGGGTCTTCGTCGACAAAGTCTGTCACTATATTTCTGATCGCGGATGACCAGCCATTAAAGCCAAAGACCTCGTTGGCGAGGGCGATGCATTTCTCCGCAGCGATGTAGTGGACCTTCTGTCCCGAAGGCCCCGAACGTGCAGACAGGTACTCTGGCCCGAGTTGTTTCTCGAGGCGGGATTGGAGGGTGGCGATCTCCTGCGCCGTGTACTCTGAGATATGGGGCTTTACATCCTCGAAAGGGTTGGCGATTATGGTGTGTTGTTGGCCTGGGCTACATCGCGGGAAGGCAAGTCGTCAGTGAGTGGTGAGTCGCGATGGTCGAAGACGCGACTGCGCGTTGCGTAGGCTGGGAACGGTTTGGCCCAGATGAAAACTTACGCAGGCATTTTGGCGTGCTTCCAAGTAGCATGCACGGTCGGGATGCTTGATCTTGTATTGATTGTGGTGGGGAATCGAAAACTTCAAGGACGGGCGGTTCTCACGCCATACGAGCCGTCTTTCGTGGTTGTTGACGCGCCCTCTGCCTGGAGACGTGCCTGGAGACGTGCCTGGGCGGGCGCCTTGTTGATAATGGCCGCTCCGAGTACCGCGTCGACACGTGACCCAGCCCTTTACATCAAGCCGAGGCCCGCTAACAAGCTACGGCCAGCTAACCAAGGTAAACGAGACAAGGCATAAGAGAAAATAAACCGCGAAACACAATGTTATTCTTTACCCGTGCCATTTCCCCTCAGTTTAAATCCAATTGCTTTCGAGACAATTGGTCTTTCGTTGCTTCGCAGTACACGAGTCGGAACGTCTGATGCAGTTCAAACAGCAATCATGTCAGCACCACAGCTGGAGCAGGCCGGTCAGCTGCTCCGACGGCTTGGTCATTGACGGCCTAGTGTGACAGTCCTACATTATTTTCTTATTTTGCGGGCCGTTTTTCTTTTTGGAGGGGGAGGGGAGTGGACTTGGGTAATCCGTCACCACCTTCAGTATGGCGAGGTGCGTGTCACTGGCAACGGCCAAAGGGCCTCCGTTTTCCAACAAGTTGTCCTATCTACATATGCCTTTCCCTTGTCCTCTTATTCACGCTATAACTGATGACAGGTGCTTGAATTTGTGGGCCGACAAGCGACGATGCTCACTACCAGGCTCATTGGTTACAAAAAAAAGAGAAAGAAAAGAAGGAAAACCAGTCAAAAATCTTCCTCAATGATGCCCTTCCACCCTGTACGGAAACATAATCAGTCCCGTGACGGGGAGCTGGGGAAGAATGAATAGATGGATATCAAAATGACGCGGAGACCATGAGAATAACGCCGCCATGATGTGTGATCCCCCGTGTCTATGCCGCCCCTCTAAACGCCAAAAGAAAATGGTTCACCTCTCATCCTGCACAATATCTGTGTGGGCGTGTGTGCAGCTCTGTCCTATTTAAGCCCATGCAAGACACTGCTTCGATAGCATTGCCCACGGCCTAGGACGCATGACCCCGACTCTAGAAGGGTCCGACGCGGACGGGAGCCCCGTAAGACCCGTTCAGGAGCTGGTCCAGGATCGAGTTCTGTTCGGAGGCACCAGGCTGGGCATTCGGATTCTGCGTGCTGCCGGACCATCCCACATTACTCGACAGGGCGGTCACTGCTGGTTGCAACCGTCCTCCGGCCTGGTCGTTGTGCTTGGCCAGAACCTGGTCCCATCCATCCCTGTGGAGGGCAAATCCGCCACCACGCTTTGCCGCCTCCGTGACCACCATCGTCCATGCTTTGCTTATCTCGTCGTACACATGATCTTTGTGGTGCCGGTAGGTCTGACTGTCCCAGTTGGGCATCGAATGAGCGACCTTGGTGACACCGTCCAAGTACATGAGCGATACATCGGCCTGGTTCTCGATCGGGGGGAGGTATTGTGGCGTAAAGTCCATGATGGCGCTGACCAGAGCGGCCAGTGGCTGCTTTACTCGGTAGTATGCGTAGTCGGAGCTGGAGTGGCCGTACGGCATCGACTCGGCCAGCTTTTGTTGGTAACCCTCCAAGACTTGGAGTGTGGAAGCGGCAGACGGGCGTGGAGCGCCGCTGAGGACCTCCTCTTGTATGTCTGAGCGACGCTCGCATATCCTCTGCAGCACAGTCCGTAACTGATCGTTGTTGAGGGTTTCGAGTAATCGGGGGAGCGGCAGTGTTCGGGAGGGAGGCTCAGGAAGCCTGCTCTTCTTTGATGGTCTCGCAAGCTGTCTCTGATGGGGGGCAGGAGAGCTCTGGGGTGAGACGCTCATCTCATCCATGTCGTCGTCAGACGCCTTCCGTTTCCGTGAGGTGGAGGTCATGTTTGTAAAAGGGGAGACTGGTGAGAACCGAACGTCAGCGCCAAGAACGTAGCAAATCGTTGGGTTGTCTAAGGCGTGTTCAAGATCTTGATCTCAACATGTTCCTTGAGTCACGGAGACTCGGACAAGACAATGTGAGGCTGTATCGTTCGAACCGAAGAAGGGAGAAGGAGTGATGCATACTAGATCGGGATGGAGAGAGGCGGTTGTTTTCGTGCTGATGAGGGAAGACAGGTGGCTGCGACAACAGCACGTTCATCTTGGCGTTGACGCAGGCGAGCCGCCCAGTAATGTGATGGTGTCGTGAATGAGTGCTAGAGAGCGGCGTTGCTATCGCGGGCGTGGGAAAAAAAGATCTGTCGGATGCCGAAAGGGGCTTGTTTGCTGGTCGGGAAGGAGTCGACGTCGAGGACGGGGACGCAGACGGAGACGAGCGAATTCTGACGCTGGGCGGGTCCGCCTGTGAGGTCGGGACGAAGGAAAGTGGTGAAGGGTGGAAGCGGAGAAGTTTCGCTCGCAGGCCAGAGGTGGGCTCGAGTGCGGCCGTCCAATGGTGGATGTGTGGAGTTGCCTGCGCAGGTTGGCTAGATACCTGGTTACCTAGGTAGGCAGGGAGCAGCGATGCGCAGTCGTGTGCGTGCTTGGCCGGTCGGCTAGCTAACTAGTGGTGCCTTTTCCCGCTTTGTTTGTTGTTGTTGTTGTGGGTGGAGATTGTGAGGGGTGCAGGTTCAGGTTCAGGTTCAGGTTCAGGTTCAGGCCCAAGGTTGAGGTTCAGGCTCAGACCGACGCTGGCGTGGCCGATGGGTGGAGGAGAAAGCGGACGGGCCAAAGTGGACGGCTGAGTGGACCGGTGGCATTGAATCGCATCAGAATGGCAGACGGGACGGAAGAGAGGCACACGAGTTAGTCAGGCAGTTCGGGTCTGCAGGGGCAGGCTGATGGCGGCTAAGGGCGAATAAGGGAGGGAATACCCAGCAGCAGCTCCGTTGGTGATGTTCCAGCTGGTCCGAGCTGGTCAAAGCACTTGCAAGCACTTTCCCGGGTTGGGGCGCCCCTCCTTCGCCGCCGTCTGAGGTGTGGCGGCTCCTTGTAATTACGCCTGCCTGCCGGTCCAGGGAGGCACCTGGGCCTGTGGGCACACCACAATAGGTATTAAGTACCGATGTGCTTTGGCACCCAGGACAGTCTCAGAGTCCCGGCAACAAAGGCGGTCAAGAGTCAAGAAAAAGGCCTTGGAACCCCAGTGCCTGCATTGCGTCGACGGCGCCGTTCGAGTGGACCGGACCGCAGGGACAAGCTGCAATGCCAACAAACAAACATACCCAACCGGCAAGCAACCACAGGCATCCAGGCATCCAGCGACGAGACAGCAGAGCTCTAGAGTCCAGACATGTAACACCGTCGCCCTGCACGTTGAAATTCCTACCTCACAGGCACACAGCAGGCCGAGGACCTCGGAGCCATAATGCCTGATCAGGTGCAGGGAGGAGACTGCGAGACTGCGAGACAAGCAGGCAAGCTGGCGAGCAGGCAAGCAGACTACCACCTCGGCACATGAGTGGCACGCACAATGGCGACCAATGAGACGTATTCATCGTGGTCACGACGTTCGGCCTAGGATCAAGCACACGCACCACCGCTACTGCGTCGTAGGAATGGCACCGGCCCTGCAGTCCCTCCAATTTGATCAATGGCTACACAGTATCTGGATAGCTGTCTCATCACGTCACGTGTATTGACCGGTTCTGGGCAACATTTTCATCACCCAATGCGGCTCCAGCACCTGAAGGCAGGCAGACGTCTTCTCCAGGGAGGAGTGGTGATAAGCGTGCCCCCGCATGTCCAGTCTCTAGTGCCTGATCCTCCGACCCTGCTCCCGTTCCGTAGTCCAATCAACAACTACTTCCGGATGACATGGCTGCCCTCGGCCGGCTCCAGAAGTTGCCAGCTGCACTGGATGTTATGGGACCTGAACCGGGATATTATGCTCTCTGCGATCTCCTCGAAATTGTCGGTGGCCAGGGCCAGGATGGTCGGCCCCGCGCCCGAGAGACACACCCCGAGCAGCCCGGGTTGTGTGCTTGGCGTCATGTACTGGACGATGTCCGTCAGCCCGGGGATCAGGGTCTGGCGGTACGGCTGGTGTAGCTTGTCCTGCATCGCCAGGTAGATCAGGTCGGGGTCAGGAGGTGACTGGCCCAGTGCCACGGGCAACAGTGCTATTCTCTGCAGGTTGAACGTCTAGATTCGAGGTCAGCATCCGTGACAGGCAAGTCCTGTGTGTCAAACACGCATCCCAAACTCACCACATCAGGGCGAGGGTACTCTGCGGGCAGCACAGCCCTGGCCTTCGCCGTGGCGACCTCGAAATCGGGAATGATGGCCACAGCTTTGATCTCCTTTGCCCAGGGGAATTTGATGTGGTGTCCAATGCCCCGTGGTGGATCAGGAGGCCTGGCGCCGGTGTCGACCCCGCCCGCCGGGGAAGGGAGGACCTCGGCCAGAGGAATCTCGATACGTGCCACGTCTTCTGGCGCGAGTGGCTTCAGGTAGGTTCCCACAAAGCCTCCGTACAGTGCTGCGCCCACATTGTCCGGGTGCCGCTCTGTGATGATAAACGTCAGCGAGATATTCCTGGGCCGTACGATGTGGGCAGGTCGTACCAATCATGAGGCAGTAGTCAAATAAGCGGTCATTGTCCAGGTGGTCCAGTCCGCCGCACTGCTTGCCCAGCAGCACGCCGGCGACCACGGCGGCACCTGACGAGCCTAGACCACGGCCAAGCGGAATTGGGTTCTTGATGTGCACATGGGTCTCCACCGGGAATGACCGCTGCTCGTGGCACCGCAAGACGTAGAGGGCTACCCGGGTCAACAGGTTGGCGTCAGGGTCGAGGCTGATCTCGCCCGAGTCCTCACCCTGACCCTCGTACGTGACGCGGCAGTTCAGAGGATACTCGGACCTGGACTTGGACCGGTCAATGGTGACATGGAGCTCCAGGTACATGGAAAGGGCAAGACCAATGACGTCGAAGCCCGGCCCAATGTTGGCGGAAGAACATGGCACCTTGATGACGAAGGATTCGGAGGCCATGTTTGCTGTAAGATGTGCACAAGTCGTGGCTATTGGTTGACTGCGAGAGGGAGGGGGGGGAGAGAGGAAGAGAGGAAGGTGTTGAACCCCAAGAGACGCTGACAGCAACCACCTGCCTGGTCTATTCTCTTCTCTGAGCAGGATCTGGTACTCAATTGCAGTAGGGTTTCGTATCTTCGGTGGATTTTGACATGAATGTTTGCCTGGATTAGCCTGGCGTGGCTTGAAAATGAGCTTTCTCCCAGCAGTCCCGATGACGGACCACAGACGCCTCTGCGGCGGTGGACCCCATCATACTATCCCACTTGTTGGGCAGATAGCACGATTCAAGGTGCATTTCAGCCCTACAGTTGAGCGCCTGGATTTGACCCATCTATGCGAATGTTTATCTACCGGGAGAAAGCTGGAAGTCCTGCCAGGAAATGTGTTATGGCAATGCTACACGGCCACATCGTACATGCTGTATCTCATGACTGCCCAGGTGCTGAAATACAAGGCGCATGTTTAAATGCAGGCAGGCCACTTATCTCCCTGGACCTAACCTGGAGTATTGTTCAGTGGGGGATCTGCAAGCAGACAGACAGCTCGAGATGGGCTCCACCGCCTTCCTTATCGGACCCCGTGTGATCCTTATCGCGTGGGAAAATTTCAGCAATTGATTCCCTCCCATTCTTAGTCTGCCAAAATAGTCTGGTCTACAGCTGTTCGTGCTCGTGGTACATACTTTGAATATCTCATTCTTCCGGCCCAACTCCCACGATTTCTGGACCAAACTCTGCAGCCATGTCAACAGAAACAGAGAAACCGCCCCTGGAAAGCCCCGAGGTGGCCGGCGAGCACTCCAAAAAGTCCAAGAAGCGCAAGAACGACCCCGAAGAGATCCAAGTCGACCTCTCCCTGCCCGAGCCCCCGTCGAAGAAGGCAAAGCGTCTCTTGAAGAAGGGCAAGCCCCTCCCCGCAAAGAAGGGTTCAGATGATGAGGCCAGCGACATGGAGGACGGCGGCGCCAGTGGCGACAAGAAGGACAAGGACAAGAAGAAGGAGCGGTCGCTATACGGCGTCTGGATAGGCAACCTGCGCTTCAGCGTCACCAAGCACGACCTGCGCGACTGGCTGGTAGACAACTCGGGCGGCAGCATCACCGCCGAGCACATCACGCGCATCAAGCTGCCATCATCAAAGCCCAAGGGCGCGAGGCGGTCCGAGGCCGGCGCCGGCGCCGCCGAACCCTTCGAGAACAAAGGCTACGCATACGTCGACTTCTCCACGTTCGACGCCACAATCGCCGCCATCGCACTGTCCGAGACAGAGTGGCACCGCCGTAAGCTGCTGATCAAGGACGCCAAGAGCTTCGAGGGCCGGCCGGCCAAGCCCAAGGCCGGGGCAGACGACGCCGGGGCTGGGGCCGGGGCGGCGGCGGCCGAGAAGGCCAACGCAGAGGCCCCCAAGCCCACGACCAAGAAGATCTTCGTCGGCAACCTCAGCTTCCAGACCACCGAAGACGACCTCCACGAGCTGTTTGGGACCTGCGGCGAGATCGAGTGGGTCAAGGTCGCGCAGTTCGAGGACTCGGGCAAGTGCAAGGGCTACGCGTGGGTGAAGTTTAAGGAACCCGAGGCGGCTGAATGGGCCGTGAAGGGGTTTGTCAAGATCAAGGAGGTCGAGGAGACGGAGGAGGACTTTATGGATGTCGACGACAAGGAAGAAAAGCCGGAGGGCGAAGAGAAGGACGCCGAAGAGAAAGGCGGAGAAGATGACGGGGAGGAAGACGACGAAAAGCAAAAGAAGAAGAAGGCTGCGCAGAAGGCGAAATCACAAAAGGAGGAGCGCAGGGTCAAGACCCGGAAATGGTGGGTCAACACATTGCACGGGCGGCGGCTGAAGATCGAAGCGGCAGAGGACGACCAGACAAGATATAAGAAGCGGTACGGTGGTAAGGGGGCCGCTGGTGCCGCCGGCGGTGCTCAGAAGGAGAGGCCCGCCAGGCGTGAGGCAGGCGGCGACAAGCAGCACCCACAGGGTACCAACCACAGGCACAACAACAACAAGAGGAGACAGCCCCACGCCGACGGAGGAGGCAAGGACGCCGAGACCAGCACACTTGCACCCAAGGAGGCAGAGGTTAGCAATTTCCGCCAGGACATCAGCGTCGCTAGGTTGACGGGCGCGCCTGTGAAGCCAGAGGGCAAGAAGACGACCTTTGATTGATCATGAGCCGGGCTGAAGAGGGTGGGGCGAAATGATGTTCGAGCACGTTCAAGTTCACGAGGAGAAACCAATGGAGACGATGGCTTGCCACCCACTACCTTGTGCAGGGGCTGGCAAAATCTACTGGCGTACAAGCCTTGATTACACAAATCAGGGCGCTGCAAAGATGTTTCAGTACGAATTTGTAACCTAAGTCATGAGAAGGACGTAGTAACATTCTGTTCTTGCTAATGATTCCGTTGAGGTGGTAGTTTGGAGAGCCGAAAGGTGCAAGAGTCGAGTTGCTCTGCTGTTGGTCTCGAAATCATCGAAATCATGAGGGAAGGGAGAGACACAAGACCTGCAAGAAATACCGCATACAATACAAGGAGACGCATTATCAACCCAAGACTTGCTTCCAACCAAAATCGTAAACCGTCGGATCCCTACACACACTGTTTCTCGTCCAGACCCGCACTTGTGTCACGGCCTTGTAGCGAAACATTCGACCTGCTCACTTTCTCTCCGACCTTCTCTGTTGGTCGCCGAGGTACTCCTCATCGGATGCGTCGAGGATGTCATATTCCTCGTCAGTCAGGAATGCGTCGTCGTCATCCTCCGCCCATTCATCGTCCTCGCCGCAGTCCTCGAAGTCGTCGATGTCTTCGTGAACAACCTCAGCCGTCTCAGACTTGATATCTTCGTGGGTGCTTGCCTCAAGAGACTCCTTCTCCAGCTTCGGGAAGATCATTTGGCTGCTGGTCTCCGATGCGGGCTCAGACTCTTTCTTCACAGCGGTGGCGGGCTCCTCTTTCTTCAACTCCTCCACTGCCTTTGGCGCCTGCACGGTCACGTCGCACCACAGGCGGTGGCCGAACTTGTGACCGTCGCTGGTAGTCAAACGCCAGTATGAGATGACCTTGCCTTCACGAGCTGGTGTTCGGAGAAGAACGGTGAACGAGAACTCTTGTCCTGGCGCCAGGGAATTGTAGCAGACAGTCGACTCGGAGGCAGAGACAAGATCATGCAGACGAGCAGGGTGGTTGGGATCGATGTGACCCATGTAGTCGCCACCTACGAACTTGACCGAGCATCCAGCAGGCCAGGGGATCTCGCCAGCGTTACGGAGCACCCAAGTCTGCTCGAAGACGTGATTCTGAGGCATGACGGTGCCGTCCACAACGGTGTCCCGTTCGAACACCGCGACGAGTTTCTCGACTTCGTCGCCGTCGTTGTTTACCTTGGTCTCTGGAGCAGCGTTGGTGGCCGCAGGGGCAAATCTGGGGATCTCGGATTTCCGAACAGGCCTTGTGGCGCTTGTGGCGGGCTTGACCGCAACGATGTCTCGTTGCTCTGCATGTGCACGCTCCCACTTCTTCAGTGTCTCAAGGTGAGACTCTCCGCCTCCAACAGTAGGCTTCACATCGACGACAGTCTGCACAGAGCTAGCAGCTATGTTGCTGGATGGCGTGGTCTCCGTCGCCTGAGAGGTCGTGGACTTCCTGTGGCGCATGAGGCGGTCGCCCATCACCGGCATCTTCTGGCCGTTCTCATCCTCACCCTTCGTTGTGACCTCCACGCGTCTGACAGGGGTCTTAAACTTGATGAGGGGGTGAGTCTTGTTGTGCGTGTTGGCCGGGGTTGCTTCACAGCTGGCACAGAAGTCTGTGTCGTGGCACACAGTGCACTTGTACCTCTCGCCGACAATGTAGGCCTTGCGGGTGCCATTGCAGAGAGGGCCATCACAGCAGATGCCATAGTGGACAGGACGCGAAATGGTTCGCGTGCAGGCATCTACCAACTGCTCGTAGATGGGAACGAAACGGTGGGCAGGGTGGATGAAGCCGGCGTTCACAACACAGTCTGCGCAATAGTCCCAGTCAGGGCAGTCGAGACACTTGTGTCGGATACCGAAGATGAACTTCTCGCACCCGTCGCAGATGGCGTGGTGACGCTGGTTACGGCCAGGGGACAACCTCTTGGAGATGTCTGAGGGCAGAGGCGTGCCCTCCACGGCAGGGGTAAATCCATGCTTGGGGTGGTGGCCGTGCTTGTCGCCCTTGAAGCAAGATTTGCAGAGGTCAAAGTCCTCGCAAGAAGTACAATGCAAGAACTCCTTGTCAGGTAGCTCCTGTACGCACGAATTGCATGTTCTGGTGGGGAACTGCGCGAACCTGGGCGACGGCAGCCGCTCATTCATAGGGGCACAGTGAGCCAAGGTGGGCTCATTAGTCTCCCTGGCTTTCGGCTTGGGCGCGATCCTTTCCGTGGTACTGACCAGGATCGAATCACCTCGGACGAACCTCTTGATCAACCAGTGCTCAGCACTGTAGCAAGTGACACCTTGCTCGACGCATTCCGGGCACAGGTCAAAGTCCCCGTTGTCGCACGTGGAACAGTGGTAGTGAGAGTCGGGTATGGTGTGGTCACAGTTGTTACAGCAGACCGCGAAGTTAGCCGACTTGGGGGCCACATAGACGGACGTGGGCTCCGCTGACTGGGTGTCCTGTGCTGGAGCCTTGACAGCAGGAGAGGTGTACTCAAACTTATCCATCCCTAGTTGCAGCTGGCTCATTGCCTTCTCCAGGCGCTGGTCCAGGGCCTTGATCTTGTCAAGATTGGACAGGTCTGAAGCTGCGAGGTCCTTCAGTGGTGGGAACGTGGACGGAGGAGCTGGGGACTGCTCTGGTGCCGGCCTTGTGGGCTCGGCAGCCTCGGACGGAGCCGTGGAGATCAGAGGAGCCTCGGGTTTGCTCTGGGCAAAGTCTTGGTTCTCGGTCTCGGGCTCGTCCTCGACTGTAACCGGCCTGGGCTTCTTGTCGTCTTCGTCAGAGTCCCTGAGGGTCACTCGGAGCTTGAGCTTTTGCTTCGCCTTGGCAGCACGGTAGAGCTGCTTCCAAACAGAAATGTTGCTGTGGTCGAGAACAACGTAGGACGAAGCGGAATCGGAGTACCGTTCGAATGTGGCGTGGGCTCCAGGAGCAATGCAGAGGCTGGCTCGGATCTAAGCAGAGCCGTCAGTATGCAAGGCCGTCACCTGGCGGGGGGGGGGGGCAGGGTCAACGCAAAAAGCCACGGGTATTCCTTATGGCGCTGTGCCGTTGTGATGGGCAATGCTTCATGTCGTCCTGATGGGGTAGGGGTGTGGGTACGAAAAGACGGAATCGGCGGTGCAGATGGCGAAGACGCTGGTAGATAACATGACGTACCTTATCTTCCAGCGAGCTAGCACCGAGGTCACGAAGGGGCAGCTTGAACCGGCGGGTGCTGCCCTGGAAGTTGACCTTCAAGGTGACAAGAGTGTCAGGAGTGGCCGGTGTGGACGAAGCCATGATGGATTTGGGGCCAATGCTGTCTAGACAGAGATGTTAGAGAGATGTTAGGACAGGGTGGTGATGATCTGAAGTGAGGCGAGGCCTCTCGTGGTGGGACGCCCGGGTCCCGGCTCGCCACTTGCAGCTGGGACGGGCAAGGCACACGAGTAAGTCTGGGCACGGGGCGGTGAACGGTAAGACGGATCCTACTGTGCTATGAAGTTGAAATGATGAAGATGAATGGCGATGACAGTGTCCTAGGTGCAGGTGGCTTGGAACGGGTAGGTTGGGGTTGGTGGTGGTGGTGATGCAGCAGCACATACGTATACAAGCAAGGTGGATCGGCCGGATACGGCTTGGGAGGAGGGTTTTGTCAGGTCGACGAACAGGGTGAGAAAGATGGCGGGTTTCCCTAGGGCAGGAAGGTGAAGATGAATCGAGACAGATGTGGTGAATCACAGGCACAACGGCGAGGTAGGATGCCGTGCTGATTGAGGAAGGGAAGAGAGGAGAGGGGAAGAAGGCAACGAGGAGCAAGAGGCCGATCAGAGGTAAAAGGGAAGGGACCCGTGGGAGAGGCACAGAGGGGAAAGTGAGCGAGTGAGTGAGTGAATGGCACAAGCTTACCTGCTGCAGTGCACACCTGACACGGGCTGGGGGAGTTGGGGCCAGCGGGTGATTGGCAGATAGGCCGAGACGTGACGGCGTCCAGCAGTGGATGGCTTGGGCCGTGTTAGTGCTGGTGCGGAGGCGGCCACAGTTGCTCTAATAGTGCTCTGGCAAGCGGGCGGGCGGTCTGGGCTTGTAAGTGAGGTTCCCCGATAACAATTAAGCAGCTGCTGTAGTCCGTGAAGTGAGGGACGGGCAGCCCACGTCGATCCGTCGGGGTGCTGCGCACGTACGGGCTGGCTTTAACCTCGGCAGGGCCTGCTCGGGCAAGATGGAATATGTGTAGATGCAGCGAAGCAGCAGATACAGCGAAGCTGCGAAGCTGAGCGGGGCTGGGGCTTTGGAAGCGGACGACGGATAATAAGTACCTAGTCTACTGCACGAGACATCAGGCAGCGAGCGGGGACTCGCAACACGTCGCTCGCCTAGAATGCCAGCGAAAAGGGGGCGACGTTCTGATGATAAAGCAGCGTGTCGGTGTTTTGGTGTCCGTCGCAAACGGTGGCGGAACCTTGACACAAAAGACAGGGGTCGTTCGTTACGCTCCGGCCTGGCGGTCGCTGCGCTATCGCTAACAGGAAGGACTTACAAGGCAGGCAGCCTTCCCGCCCACGACCGCGATTACGCTGAAGGAGGAGGCCTACCTGCCACTGCCCACCTGCCCACCTGCCCACCTGCCTCTGAAAGCCGAGACAGACCGGGGCGAGGCTGCAGCAGGCAAGGTCTTGGGACGATGGGCCCAGGCAGGCCAATAGTACTGTACTAATGTCATTACGCTTGTCGCCGTCCACAAGCATTGAGCATGTCCCCCCGGTTGAAACAATGATCGCCACCGTCATGGCCGCGCAAGAAGGCGGTCGCAGGTACTTGCGGACGCCCAGTACATACAGACCCGACATCAGAAACATCTCACCAAGAGTCCTGCCAGCCAGGGCACGAGCAGACAGCAGAGAGAGGGCCAGGCGGTGTGCCAAGGACGGTGTCCGCTGGGTCTGGGTGCCCGCTGGCTGGATTACATACCGCTCTTTTTGAATGAACTACAGCAAAGCAAAGACGAAGCATCATCTGCCTTCCGACATGTGAGTCTCGGTCAAGGTTGCGGACCGAACTGCCAAAGCGGGCGAGGGGGGACGGCACCAGGGGGGACGGTGGATGGGGCAGAGGCCCAGAAGGCCTCGACCTGTCCGCCAAAGCGGCCACCAACGCGTACGCTCGTACGAATGCAGTGGTGACGACACGGCCACGACGAATCACAAACTGGCAAACGCATGCACACGGCCGGCCGGCGGGCTGCTGGGCTTGGCCTGAACTGTCCTGCCCCTCCCCCGTCCCCCCCGCCCTCCCCACCTTCCGTTGTTATGTCAGCTACCGTTCCCTGACCACCAGACGGCGGGTTGCCGTGTCAGACAGCGATTAATAGTCTAGGTAGTCTACCTGATCTGGCAAGCAGGCCAGCCGTGGGAATACCCGTTCCTGCGTGATGGTGACTTGCACTGATGAGACAACCACATAATACACTCACTCCCGTGCCTACTCCGTACTCGTCTGTACCTCCTGGGATATGTGAAAAGCTTCAGGCCCACCAGCCACCAGGCCCAAGTTGTGCGGCTCAGCCAATGATGCTCTCCAGGGCCTCCACCAGGCCGGTCTCTTCGTACCTCACGATCCGCCGCTTGCCCTCGCCCTCCACCCGCCCCTTGACCTTGACGCACTTGATGCCCAGCCCGCCCAGCTCCTCGACGTTGACCCTCGGCATGCCGGGCGCGCCCGTCTCGGCCCCGGCCAGGTAGACAACGTGCGTGACATACCTCCTGATCTCCGCCTCGCCCACGGGGCCAAAGTCCGTCTGGCTCTCCTTGGCCGCCTTTGCGATGGCCCGGGCAAAGTCCGCCGCCGTCATGGGGTCGGTCCCGGGCCCCGTCTCCCGGTCCGTCTTGCTGTTGAGGATGAGCACCTTGTTCTTGACCCCGCCCCCCGCCACGGCCGCCCCGACGCCCCGCAGGATCACCGACGGGATGATGCTCGTGTACAAGCTGCCGATGCTGTACACCACCGTCTCGCTGTCCTCGAGCGCCGCCATCACCTTGGAGTTGGCCACCGGCCAGATCTCGTGCCCGTACGGGTTGATGTACCACACCCGCTCGATCCGGCACGTCAGGTCCTCCTCCTCGTCCTTGGAGAAGGAGTGGTGGCCGCGCAGCACCGGCAGCGAGCCGGGCAGGTTGGCGTCCTCGACACGGTCCAGGTCCAGGTGTCTGTTCCCCGTGGGCTGGAACGTGTGGTCCGGCACGGCGGTGGGGCCCGACGGGTGAGAGATGGCGACCTGGCCCGCGAGGATGGACCCGTCCGCCAGGCCCGCCGAGATGTGGTGCGTGAAGTTGGAATTGATGGCGGGCAGGACGCTGGTGGACTCCGGGATGGCGCATATCAGCGAGAGGAGGTAAATCGCCGACTCGAACGAGCCAGAGAAGAGCCGGGCTCTGTGATGATGGACATCAGCACGGCGTACACGTTTGTGAGAAGCATTGCATCTTGCATGGTCTCCCTCCTTTGCGCGTCTCAGCAGACTCACCCCGTCAGAAAGAGGTTGCCGACGCTGGCCTCGGCAAAATTGAACACACTCGTAGGCCTGTTCCTCTTGACTATCTCGAGGTTCAGCGTGTTGAAGACCGAGCGGATCAGCTCCCTCTGCTGGCTCGGGACGAACGTCCATAGGATATGTCTTGACTCCACTATGTCGAGCCACTCTGCTCGCGCCATCATTGGATCTGCAGATAGGCGGTACTCAAACAGCGTCTTGATCGCTGTCCTTTCCTGGTCGCCCTTGTGATTGGGAATCAAGCGGACAAGACGGCCTTTGACGTTGGGGCCCACCCTTCATCAGTAACTTCTAGAATCAGTAGTTTCCTGGAAAACTCACTTCGCACATCACCGACGCCTGCGTCATGTCAGTAACGAGCACTATGATGCATCGAGGCGGGACGGCTGTGTCTTACTCGGCCCACCAAACACCCTGATGAGCTCTGAGGAGCTGCCGCCATTGTCGCTGATGGGTATGATGTAGCGCAGGGGGCACTTCTTTCTCGTGGTAATCTTGTCGAAAACATCGACCAGGAAGTTAGCTGCCGTACCCCCCGAGAAGACGGCTATGCCGCCCCGATCGGGATGGCGAGGCGTTGGCGGATACGGACTGGCGGGTGGAGGAGTCAGAGGCCGCGGAGTTGAGATCGGGAGGTTGAGTGATTGTGGAGTGTTCGACATGGCTGCGGATGTAGCGAGGTGGTTCTTCACGAGCGAATTGGACCACTCAAGAACGGCGAATTGGTGTTTATGCAGGAGATCTTTGCCGCAGTTTGCTTCCTTACTGTCAGATCACTTGGGTGGTGGAATCGTCATCCTTAAATACGGGAGGTTGGCCCCCTTTCGGTTGACGGCGTCGTTGGAGCCATCGCGGCTGAGCCATGGCCGCCAAATCAGTCTCACTTGGGTGCAACAACCAAAACGTGGCATCATCGTATCCTTGCCTACGCATGGGAGTATACAACGTAAAGTTTTATTAGACAGTGCCCATGTTGGCTTTTTAATGACTTGACACTTCCTAGCAATTGACCTTCACCTTTATATCTGTCTTCTTTGGAACCGAGAGCGGCAAGCAGCAGCTCCAACAAAATCACCGGGTCTCATCTTATCCAACCCTACAACGCTCCCCCGACTGCAAAAGCACACCATCGCTTCAGCTTCGAATGTAACACCAGGCGCTTCTGTCAAGCTCAAGCTTGCCCCACTGTCATCGAGTGCATGTTTGTATACCATCTGGCTCTCCTACGGTGTGGAAACGTGTTACGGTCAGCATTGAGGAGGATGACACTAAGAGGCGTCAAGACGAGACCTTGCCAAGGACATTAGGAAGCATGAGAAATCGCCGACAATGTAGCATCTTTCAAGCTGTAGGTCCGTACCTTTTTCAACAGCGAGTATTCCATACAACTACCTATAAGCCACCGCAACGTCAACCCCCACCCCCCCTTCTTCAAAAGCATCCTGCCGTGAGCGAAGGCCACCACCACAAATAGCAAATGTCCATAATCTGTGAGCTGTCTAGCCATGTCTATTTCTCAAGACCCATGACCACATCACGGCTACCCCTTCATCCTCGGGCCACCGCCTGCCCTAGAGCGCCCCTGGGCATCACCTTCTTCTCCCTCTCCTAGCCCTTAAGGAACAGCAGATGTTTCCCCGTCTGCCAAAGCAGGTGCGCAAGACAGGAGAGGGACAGGTTTAAAAAGCACAGGGATTTTCTTTCCTCTCAGGCCCAAAGGAGTGTCATGGTTGCCATTGATCCATTACTAAAGCAAGCCCCTCTGCAACCCACCACAATAGCAGTCACCTTACAATGAGAAAGCAACACGATCCAAAACAGCCACGCTTGATAGACAAACCGGATGCTATATCGAACAGTGAGGAGACTAACGCCGAAACGCCGTTCCCGAAACCTCCACCTTTCTTTTTTTTGCACGTCGAAAACACAACATCGCGAACGTTCCGAGGCCGACGCCAAGCAAGTAAAGTAAAGCATGTAGGGAAACAGGGACAAGAAAATTGTTGAGGTAAAATAAGATTCCTGGTGATAATATCGCTTTTGGTAGCAGGGTGACTCTCATAGCAGCGACTCCTAGGGCCATTTTGCTCCGTCAGACCATGGCCATCATGAAGGTATCGCGTGTTGCTACGACCCCCCAGACTTGATTGCGCGATATTCGTCATCTTTTCGGGAGACAGGCCATGCAGGGTTCTGGCGTACCGTTCGGAGAGCCTCGTATGCTTCACCCTCCCTCCGGCATTGAATTATCATCTCGACCACCTTCCCATTGACTAGCAGCAACCCCACTACCGCCGCCGCTTCCGAAGTGCCCGTCCGACGACATCGAATGTGAAGAGTAGTCGCAGTGAAGTACAGTCACGGACGTGGTCTCAGGGAGCGCAGCTGATGATGCACTCAATACTGGCTCCTTATCCTGGCGAATTCTCTAAAATATCCCCGTACACGATACCCAGACCCTATCCTGGATAAGGTGCCATTCCTGGAGCCGCCTGGTTGTAGTAGAAGCCGTCAGGCGCTGGCGACATACCCATACCGTATCCGGGTGCTGCGTACGCCGGATAATTTGGGTATGTTGGTATTTGAGATGCGTCATAGTAATAGACACAACCCCCACTCTCCTGGGCGACCAATGCGGATGAGGCGCCGCCTTGTCCGTTGCCCTGGCCACCCGAAGGATCACCCTGTCCACTCTGGTTGTAATTCATCTGCTGAGGTTGCTGCGAGCCAGGGTAAAACGGCGGAGCCGCAGCCGACGGGGCCATATTGTTACCATACTGCGGAGGATAGTAATAACCTTGAGGGGGCGCCATCATCTGATACGGCTGATTATAGTAACCAGGCTGAGGCTGAGGCTGAGGCTGAGGCTGAGGCTGCGCGAAGCCAGACGGCTGGAAGGGCGCGGCATGGATCGCCCTTTCGGGGATTTGAGACAAGGGCGTCCCCGTAGAGAACTGAGACGGGTAAGAAGGATTTCGAACGTGTGTGTCCTGGGACAGGCTATTAACCACCTGAGGGGGTACCTGCTGGTGGAAAGCTTGCTGGTATTGTTGAGGTGGGTTGATTTGCCGAGTAGGTGACTCAATGTTCTCCACTGAAACGGCTTTCTGTGGCCGGGGTTGATGCATAGGGATGGAGCCTGGGCGATTTTCTTGGAAGATGGGCTTCTGAGGAAGAGGGTGTGTTTGAGGGTGTGGGAGATCGCTGATCGAAGCCTCAAAGGCCGCGGGCTGCTCCGCCGCGGGCGCGGGCGCCGGTGTAGAAGCGTCGGGCGTGTCATCAGCTGGGGGAGGTTGTGGGAAGAGCGTCGTCATCGTAGCTGGTACGGGCATAGGCACTGGCATGTCTGCACGAGCCATAGGGGGTAGCCGGACGATTGGACGCGACATGGCGGATCCGGTCGGTGAGATGAAGTCTGCTGGAGCAATACTGGAACGCCGACTCATATCAACACTCGGCGTGTAAACACTTCCGCCATAGTAGCTTCCTCCGTAGACACTCGTGCGGCGCGAGTAGCCGCCAACTGAGCCCAGGCCCGGACGTGGCTTGCCACGCACCCGCTGCTGGTTTGGTCGTAGAGCACGAGGAATAAAAATAAAGGACCTGTCAACAGCAGGGAATATATAGCGTGGCGGGTTATCCGGTAGCGAGATCCGAACCGGCTTGTCACGCCGCAGCGGAGGCCTGTGGTCAGGTAATTTCGTGTATCGCTTGATGGCGATGCCGGAGAACGATTTAGGTTCCTTAAGGCCCGGGAAGAAGACACGAATTTCCACGTTGCCCAGCGTCTTCTCGGTGGATAGTGTTCTGTTGATCGGAGTATTGCTGGGAGGACAAGTGGGGATGTGTCCGTCACCGTTGGGAAGGCCCTCGGCAGGCTGAGCTGGCTGCCTTGGTTGTCGGGGAGGCATGGGCTCAGCAACAGTCTCATGCATGTCGTGGGACCAGGGAGCGCTCGTTGTGGGGTCAAATGGCGACTGGAACGATCTGTAGGCCGTTGTTTAGCAACCGCACCGGTCGTGATCATCGAGAAGGGAGTGGGAGGGGGGTTTGCGGTGAAACCATACTGTACCGGTGCGAAGGGGCCGCCGAAACCGCGACCCCTTCCTCGACCTCTGGCCAATGCTCCTCTGCCAAAGGGCCGGAAACCATTAGCAGCAGGGCCGGCATGACGGTGGTCGTGCATGAAGAATGCACCACGATTCGGCACGAACGCCGGGTCCTCGTCTCTCTTCTTGCGATACTCTTCATGTTCACGCCGGCGGCGTTCGAAGGGGGGCTCCTGAGACGGCACCGATGTCGAGCTTACGACCACTGGCCCACCGGGCCTGGAGGTTGAGACGGCGGTTTCGTCGGCGTGTGCGGTCTTGGGCGAGTCCGAGATGCTTAACTCGTGGAGGCGTGATTCGGTCTCGGCAACGGCTCCGGCGACTTGGCCACCAGCGTCGGCTGCTCCAGGTGCGGCGGGGGCAGTGCGGCGATCACCGGCTTTCGTGGAACCGCGGCCAGAGCTCTTCTTGACAACCGGGGATATAGGCGATGCCTCGTCAAGATTGCTGGTGTCGCTATCATCCGCGTGGTTGTTCTCATCACTGACGACGGATCCCTCGGTCAAGGAATCATCGTCGAGAGCGTCGAGAGTCTCGGGCCCACCCTCGTCGTCTCCATCATCGTCGACACGGCGGCGGTGACCAAGGGCCCTCCTGCTGTTGCGCTTGGGATTGGCAGCCATCTTGTGCGTGGGGATCGGCGGTCGTGGGGACAGGATGGCGGGTGATTGACTGCAGCGCGAGCTGTACTTGCAGCGCTTTCAGATCGTGTCGAGGGTCGACATGCGGTATCGGGCGTCGAGGTGATGGATGCCGGGAGATGTTTGATTGTCAGACCCGCGAGGCCAGGCTAGGACGAATAGGTGGATGGGTTTTGCCTGGAACCGCGCTGCGGCAATGCAGGGGAGGGTGGCCGTAGCAGCAGCTGTCGAAAATGGAACGAGCTCTAGCAGGACAAGAGGGCACCCGGGACAGAAAGGCAGCCGACAAAAAGACTCGGGAAGCCGGGCAACGACCGTGGCAGGAGGGCTGAGTGGTACAGCTGCAGCTGCAATTGCGGTGGCAGTGGCTGTTGAGGCGCCGACTGCGGGTTTGGAACTAAATCCGGCAGACTGGTCTCAGGGACGACGGACGTGATGCGAGGCACCGAGGCGTGGGAGTGCGGTGGGTGCGGCACAGACGAGAGGGGGGGGCTTTGCAAGAGTCAAAGGCGAGTGAACGCTTCGAATTACTGCTTGAAACTGGCGGGAGGCAGAAGGGAGGAAACAAGCTAGCTGCGACCAGAGTCTTGTCGGGATTCACTGACCCAGTGCGAAAGGGTCGTGATGGGCGGCGGGTGGTGGAGGATGATGGGATGAGAGATGTTGAGGAGGAGCAAAGCAATGATAAGATCCGGAGCTGGGCAGCTGCTGGCGGCGGGAAATGGGTCCCCAAGTGCCCAGGTGGTTGCTGTGTTGTTGTTTTTCCCTCCCCCTACCCTACCGCAGCGTGCTAGGCAGGTACGTCTGCCCCGAAGACCGCGAGCGGGTTCCCTACGGTCTAGGCTCAAACCCTCCAATTGCCTCGCCCTGACTGGTCCGGGCAGTCTGAGGATCGCGAGCTGTACCCACACCTGGTCTGTCGGCCACAGTCGACATTGGCTTATTATTGCCGTCTTCGCATGCGGTAGAATGTGGGAGCGGCCGAGTCTTTTCTGTCAGCCCCAACCACCATGACGATACCCAGTCGTCTCATGAAGCGACAGCTTCGGCAACAGCGTCGGGGACAATAACCCTTGTCGCCTGCCTGCCTCCTGCTGCCTCGTGCCTCCGCGTCTCGTTGGCCCCTTGCTGCCTGCCCGAGGAGCAAACTGTATCCATGCTGAGGGAAGCTCCGTCCCCCTACGGCTAAGTGGCCTGGATGCTGATCGCCGTACCACTTTCTCCAGCACACTTGCAGCCGGGCTCGAAACGCACCACCGCCTGCAGGACCGTCTACACAGTACAGAGGCCATCAGCACACTCGGCTGTCTGTTCTGGTCCATCCGAGTCAGCAAGCTGGGTTGTGGCACGCCCATCACGAAACGCCTGCGCAATCTAAGATCTCCAGGTCTGACGGCAGATCCATCCAGAACAACTCCTAGAGCGGGCTTTCGCTGCATCCCGTCCTGCTGCCCTGCTGCCCCGTCCCTCCGCCCTGCACCCGTCCAAGCTTTGCCCGCGACCGTCGGCTTGCTTCCCTCCCATCAACCCACGATCCCCGTCATGCCTTAAACTATAAAACGGGCTTCTGTATCGAGCGCCTGACAGCCGCCCTGCCCCCAAAGGCTTGACGCCTCCTTGCACAGGCGGTCTCTTTTTTCCTGCCAGACTGCACATCCCCAATTCGCAGGGATCAACCGGTGGGCAGAAGCTACCCCAACCTTACCAGGATGTCTGATCAAAAGGTCTTGGATCGGCGCTGATGGGGTCGGACCTTTTCAAATGCCCAGGTGGTAATTGAGTAAGATGGACACTACCACACTACGGAGTACTCAAGTACCCAGGAACCTACCAAGCACGGAGTAGGTACCTACCTAGGTAGGTATTTAAGTACATTAGGCGTACCGAGTCTTGCCCTCGTTGATTTATTTCAATTGTGCTCTCTCCACCAGAGTTTGACCGTCACTGTCTCAAGTATAACCACCCAGCTGCCATCTTGCCCGACCAAGAGTGAAAGGCGTCGTGACTGGTTCTGCTTTTGGATTTTTGGAGACGATCGATCTTCACATGATAACACCAACCAAGCACCACTCCCGCCTCTCTTTTGCCAAGCGATCAACAGAAGGTCATGATTGGCCGGACCTATCTTCCGGTACAAGACAGGCATCTAACCACGCTGCGCAATCATCTTGCAGTACGCAGAGATATACCTTCGCAACTTCACACACACCCTCTGTCCCTTCCGCCACCACCTGTCAGGCTGGCGCTGTGCGACCAGCACCAGGGCCCAGCCACCGAAAGCGGCACGGCCGCGTGGTAGTTGTCAGAATGGGCCAGATCATGGCAGGGCAACATCGCAGCCAGTAGGATACGACAGCACTCGGCTCGAGTCAAGCGGGCGGGCGGGCGAGCCTCAGGCTAGCTGCTCAGGCCCATGCCGGCACGTTCGGGCCCGCCCCCGTGGGGATGGGACAGGCCGTCGTGAACAGTGAGGATGCGTGGCCCGGGGTATCTGAAGTCCAACGCGTTGTGTCTCTCCAGAAAACGGGCAGGCAGGCACGCCGTAAGCCTCGCCAAAGCGAGCTGGCCAATCATTTTACACGGTCCCTATGCTGGAACGTAGCACACGGGATGCGCCAGCTGTGAACTTTGGTGACCGGTGTACTTGTCATGTCTTTTATCAATGTGCCCTGTTCGCATTTGAGAAATAACGAGCTCCCTTGCTCTCTCATATTGGTTGGGCGCCACGCAGACTAGACCTCGGGAGCCCAAGGTCAACGGCGAGGTAAGCGAAGTGTGAGATTACCGGTGACGGCCAGCTGAGCCACACTGACTCTTTTCACCAGACATTTTCAAGATGTACCTCGCATATAGGCATTAGATTGTCCAAGAAAAAGCACCACTGAGTTGGCTAAACAGTGCTTCGAGATATATGCGGTCGGGAATAATCACTCGAGATGGGAAGCGACTTGATATCCTCCTTTCCAGAATGGAATCATGAAACCCATCATCTCCTATCAGAGCGACGAGAACCTGCCTCATGGACTGCCTGCCCCCCCCCCACCGTGTTCAGAACGTGCTCACGAGCCTGTAGTAGCAGGCGGCTCAAGGTTCTGGGTTTTCTCGATCTTGGGCACAACACCGAAGCGGGTGTTCCCTTGGTCCCAGATAGCATAGACACTCTTAAGGAACGTGTCGCCCAGAATGTCAAAGGGGTTGTCACCACGCGACTGGACTCCACCGTACCAATAACCCTCTGACGCCTCCGCAAAAGCCAGGTCCTCCTTCTGGACCGTGAACTCCTTATCGCCCACAGCGACGCTGAAGTCCGGGAGCTGATCGGCCTTGGTGGAGGTGGGGAACAGCCAGCCCTGCTGCTGATCGTCGTACTTGGAGCCAGGGATGGCCTTGTACAACGCCTCGCAGACCTCGTCGGACACAAGGGCGAGGGTGGTGCCCGTGTCGGCGATGGCCTTGTTGTTGGCGAGGTCGATCTTCTTACCAGCGACGGTGGCGCTCGCCGAGGGGAACATCCAGAAGCCCTGGGAGCTGTCGACGTCGACGTACGAGATCTCGTTCGTGCCGACGAGGTCCTGGTCGATGTACCCGAAGGTGTAGAACGAGTTGGCCTGGTCATCCCGGGAGCTATAGAACGCGGATGTGAAGAGCCGAGCCTCCGCAGGAATGTCACCCTGTGAGATCATGTTCGCAACAGGGGTGTTTTGGGGAGATGGCTCGTTGTTCTTGGTGATGGTGTTGATGGATGGGAAGGCGAGACCGAGCAATCCATCCCCGGTTCCCGACGTGAATTGGTCAGCGGCAACCTTGGCTAACTCGACGGCTTGGTTCTCGACAGATAGACCGCCGATCCTGACTGTGTCGTTGCCCACATCGCCAGACGCCGAGCTTCCGTCGCCGTAGGATATCTTCCATGCCTCGCCCTCTGCAGCCTTCCAGGTGGACGACTTGGACGGGTCAAACACGTTGTGTCCGTTCTGGGCGCTCGCGGGGAGCTCAGTAGAGAAGACCTGTGGGCTGTCAGTTCTGGTCAGATGAAGGCTTCTCAGCCTAAGCCACTCACCCAGAGGTCAGATGATCCAGTATCAAAGTCCAGCTTGAGCTTCTGGGGAGGAGTTCCGATCTCGACCTCGCAGAGATACATGGAGTCATTCTGCTGGTCCTCTGCGGTGACTTCACCTGTCTGGTCACCGGCGGCCTTGACGAACTTGTTCACGCGACGGACACGTCCGCCCCTGGCAACGTTTGAGTGGGCAAGCCCACGCTGCTGGATCGTGGCGGCATGACGGTACGGACCAGGTTGGGTGGGCTGGAACCCGAACTTGTTGATCAGGTAGACGTATGACTTGGTGCCGTGGCGCTTATAGTTCTGATTGGGTACAGCGTAGACCTTGTGCAATCCCAGTTTCTGTTTGAGCTCAGACTGCGTCTTAAATGCGGCCTCCATGATTGCTTTGGTAGCCAGGATGGTTGCGTGAGGTGGATGATGGGTTGAGGATGTTCGGTGACAAGCTGTAAAGATGTTTGGTGAGGTGTGGTGGAGAGTTCTTGGCAGTGTAATGGGAGGAAGTGGTATGTTGATGTCAAAAGGTGGATGATGAGCGAGTGTGAGGTGTAGGCTGGAGGAGGCAGGAGCTCTTATATTGCTGGAGGTTTCTTCGCGGCTGGGCCGAGACCTGTTGTCACTGTGAACCTCAAAGCTTGATTCCAATTGTGTCACTCAGGCCCCTGAACGTTAGTCCAAGTTCCCCCAGACAGGTACCGGGGTAGCTTGACTGCAATGCACAAGGTGCACGCATCTTTTACTGGCTATCTATGTCCTTGTTGCTTGGTGGGGGTGAACGACCCCGGCGAATCGAAGTGTGCCGCCTGTTGATATGGCTGTCCTGCTGACCTCTCGACTCTGGCCAAATCCCCATATTGAGGTAAGGTGATGGTGATGGCGGCGCCGCCAGAGGCGAACTCGGAAGGAGTAGGGATGTCTACAAGTTCACCTTTTCTCCCGAGACGGACCTACTTGAGATGCACAAGGATGCGCTTGGTCTTTCTACCTCTCACGGTCCGCGAGACAAGCCCATGCACTTCGACTGTGGTGTGCTTTGCTAGACGACACGGGACCGATGTGTCTCGATGTGGGTACACGCTCGCGACACGCTACGTTGGGCAATGCTGCAAGGAGATGGATCCCTGCAAGCGCGAGGATGCAAGCCAGCAAATCAATATGTCCGGAGGCGAGATATCGACCGTTTCACTGTTTGATCGGCTGGAAAACAAGGACAACTTGCCTGTCCACGGGCATCGAGGAGGGTTCAAGGGTTGCTCGAGGAGCAAGTGGAAGGCGAAGCTTCATCGAGATGCAGGAGAGCTTGATACATGTGCGGCCAGCTTGCGTCACCTCATGCTGCCGCCTGTGGCTCTCAGCAGTTTGAGACTGGCGTCATACCTAACGTGTACTGTGAGATAGCCGGTTTTTCTGCTGGTTGAGCAGGCATGGCACGTAGCGCAGGGTTGCAGCAGGGACAGCAGAGCAAAGCGTGCGGGAGAGCCATTTTAGGCCAGTGTCATTAATCCAGAACGGGATGGTATAAGACAATCCTCCTCAGAGGGCAGGTGGGGGCCTAGCTGGTACCCTACTGCTTGAGTAAGTACTTTACGAGTACCTAGGTACCTAGATAACTATCCCGGCTGGACTCGATGATCGCCTGTACAGTGTATCCGTAGTTGCCTTGTGTCTCTCTGCCTCCCGATGCTAAGAGATCTTGATCTGCCTTGGCTACATGGTTCCTGGAGCCGATTTGGGCTTTTGGCTGCTCCTTGTCCGTAGCTGATCGGTGGGTTTGCGAACCGCCGTGCCATCAGGCCCCCTGGACATGTTGCACTATTCTTGGGTTGCAACGGGCGGGTTTGCGAAAGCTTGTTTCTTAACGACATGTTGACGACGCAGCAGACCAGCAGCGAGTGTAGGTCTTGTTCGTTCTTTTGTCACCTGTTGCACTAATAAATGGCCCTCATGTTCCCCTCGATTCCTTGACATTATGACGCTGACTTCGGCTCAGTTGGCCTTGACTCCTGGATACAGTCTTACGCGTCCAGTACATAAGGATGCTGGTCTATACTTATATGCCATATAGCTGCGTGAGTGCAAAGACGGATCAGATTGTTCAATGACGCAAGCCCACATCACGCATATCAACTCTTCGTATTGCCGCGTTCCTGCTGGCAGGCCAACCCGAGTGCCAAGCCTGGAGGTCCCTGTCAGGCCCAGGTGAGCTCACCTTCTTCCTTTGCCGTCCATATCCATGACAGGCCATGATGGAGTGCATTCATCTGTGTTCGAAATAGCTGTCCAAAATGGGTGGAAACCACAGTACCGTCCTCTTCTTTTGATTCAAGTCTAACAGGTAAAGCCGGTTTACAAGGACTGTTCGATCGTGATGATGGCTCGTATCGGAGCTAGGTACACAGTGATATGGGGCTGTTGCCACCGGTCGACTGGCTGTCATCGAGAAGTGCTACGCAACAACCGATTGCTCACACGTGCTGAGACTTCATGTGCAACATGGACTTTTTAGGCTCATACAAGTTGGGCAGCTCACCCAACAGTCACGTTCTTCGACATCAAACCACAATAAGTAGCCTATCAAGACAAATCCGTCTGCCAATGGGAGTTTGGATGCTTTTACGGACTCCTACTTGAGATCCGTCATCTGGCAAGGCAAGTTGAATTGCAGCTTCTCTCACCCCATCGCCCCTCCGGCCTCAGTCGCTTGCTGCCGAGCCCCCGGCCAGGTGCTGTTCAACCGGCCGTCTTCCGTATCCTGCCAAAGACAAACCCCCTGACCCCATTGCTCAACCAAACCGCTTCGCCATCAGCGACATCTCGTGCCTTGATCTCTTCCTCCACGGCCAGCCCCCGCTCCAAGGCCCATCGCCTGGTCGTGCCATCCTGCCCACCGCTGCCGTGGTCTGTACTGTACTTCTCAGCAACAGGAGGTGTGACCCACCTCCCTCCCCGGAAGAAGTAAGGAGTCGTCAAGCTGCCCTCCATGATAGAACCCGTAGCCTCGTCCACGATGAGCACCTCCTGAGTGGCATCAGTGGGCTTCAGGCCGGCCCGCGCACGAGCTTGGTCATACATCTGGCGCTTGGTGGTCTTGTAATGGGTATACTCAGAGCGACGCGTGGGATTGGCGTCAAGGTGGACAACATATGGTGGCGATAGTCGAAGCTGGCCCAGGGGTGACTCTTGGTCACGAGCAGAGCTGTCCACGTCTGATCCAACTAGCTTTTTGGGAAACAGATTCGCCAGGGACGTTGTGGGGACAACCGATGACTCCAGACCGAGCTGCCCTTCGGGCGATAGAAGCACCTTGACTCTCCTAGGCTCACCGCTCGTGTCCTGGCCAAGGTGGTCGTTTACGAAGGACTCCAATCTCGCCAGTCCGTCCGTCCCTTCAAGGACCGCAAGTGCCTTTTCCCAGCCCCAGTACGATGCTGCCTTCAGAATGCGATCGCGGTGGTAGTCCAGCATATAATAAGCAGACGGCTTGGTGGAATTCCAGCCAAGGTCATCCTGCTGACTCCCTCCAAGCCGAAGCAGCGAGGGGTCAAACCGCAGAGATGTAAACAGCTGGAAAGTCTCCTCCATTTCGTATCTAGGAGTTCACCACGCAGAACTGGCTCATGTGGCTCGGTATCACCAGAGAGATGTGAGGTAAAATCCAAAGATACCTGGGTACATACTGTAGCAGGAAGGAACCCTGCGGTTGGAGTCAGTGCGACCGAACACAAGCTCCCGAACAGCGGCTGACAGGCGGCTCCGAGGCCGGCAGGCACGGCTGCAAGACTCGCGGAATGGCGCCTGGGTTTACCGTGTAAAATGGCAAAATGGTAAGAGAAGCACCCGGACGGTCTGGAAAAGTCCTACTAAGAGCTGCACCGCAGTCCCAGGTGCTGTGCCTGTCTGCCCAGGTGCCTAGCTGCACCGCGTGGTGCACCCCTCGTAGGTCTCCAATGAGTGTAGAATGGGTACCTACCTACCTAGGTACCTAGATAGGGACCTAGGTAGGTAGCTCTAGAGCCCCTCGACGACAAGGCGTCCTGAGTTGGCTGGTAAGTCGGCTGGCAGAATTAGGTACCCACCTGCTGGCAGCTTCTGGCCCCATTTCCATGGCTGATGACGCTGTTTCTAGTGGCCCGTGCTCTATTACGGGAGTACCGAGCTTACTCCCACCTGCTAAATTCCATCCTTGCCTGTGCTGCTTGTCAATCGTAATAGGAAGACGTCCAATTGCGCGCCCGCGACCGATTTTTTTCGCGTTAAGCAACGACCAGCCGTCCCGCCGACTTTGCAAGACAGACGAAGCCCTGGCCGCGTTGGATCTGGCCGCACGACCACTTCTCGCCCTCGAGTACTCAGTTTTGTTGTGATCGCTCTGGCCTCGGTATACTGTCAATTGCCAGCACCGTCGTGTCTTCGGATTTGATTCGGCTCAACTGTGCATCGTGGTCCTAGGGCAGCCGTCACAACTCCGCTCCACATCCTCGAACGACACCATGTCTCAACAGCATCAGCCATCATTCCCGCCTCCCTCCACGGGCATCCCCGTTCCTCTGCCTGCGGAATCCTCTGTGTGGGACCGCATATCGAATTGGGTTTCCGAGAACAAGGCTGTGGTCTACACAATCGCTGGCGTCACGGTCGTCGTCGCCGGCGCTACCGTATACTATTACACATCAGACAACTCGGTGCGTCATCCACCCTTGCTCGCACTCGTTGCTCCATCGGCGCTGGAGTTCAGCTCCAGCCACTGCCCGAGACGGCTTCCTCGTGCGAACCACGTCACTGATTGCTCTTATTATCTATATCCAGAAGCCAAAAACAGATGCGCAGCCAAAACTCAGCAAGAAGGAGAGGAGGAAGCGCAAGGAGGCTGAGAAGAAAGCAGAGGCCCAGAAGAATGCCGGTGCCACAAGAGATGCACCAACTGTTTCGAAATCAGCTACCGTTGACAGTGGCGATGAGATCCCTGAGATAACCGAGGCTACCGTCCAGGCCATGTCACTCGACGACCGTAAACACTGGGCTGTCAAGCTGAAGGAGGTTGGCAATCACGCGTATGGCTCCAAGGATTTCAACAACGCCATCGATCTCTACTCGAAGGCCATCCTGTGCAAGCCTGAAGCCGTCTACTACTCGAACCGCGCAGCCTGCTACAATGCTCTTGCCGACTGGGACAAGGTCGTCGAGGACACCACTGCTGCCATCACCCTGGACCCCGAGTACGTCAAGGCCATGAACCGACGGGCCAACGCGTACGACAAGCTCGGCAAGTACTCGGAATCCTTGCTCGACTACACGGCCAGCTGCATCATCGACGGTTTCAAGAACGCGTCGAGCGCAGAGGCCGTGGAGAGGCTCCTGAAGAAGTTCGCTGAATCCAAAGCCAAGGAGATCATGGCAAACAAGCCTAGCAAGCTGCCCAGCCCGACTTTTGTCAGCAACTATCTGCAGAGCTTCCGATCCAAGGACCGGCCTGAAGGCCTTGAAGACTCGGTCGAAATTCCCGCCGACACTGGAAGAGGACAGCTGCAGCTGGGACTACGAGCCATGGAGTCCAAGACAGGCGAGGGTTATGAGGAGGCTGCGGCCGCTTTCGACAAGGCGATCGAACTGAATGATCTTGGCTCGCTGGAAGCCTTTGCGTACAACATGCGGGGAACGTTCACATGCCTGCGTGGCAAGCACGAACAGGCCCTGGTTGACCTGACAAAGAGTGTCGAGCTGGATCCATCCATGACACAAAGCTACATCAAGCGAGCTAGCATGAGTCTTGAACTTGGTAAGATCACTGTGGCCTTTCCTAAATAACTTCTTCTCTATCTAACACCCGTACACAGGGGATCCTGAAAAGGCCGAGGCAGACTTCGAGTTGGCCTTGCAGCAAAACGCCGATGATCCTGATATTTACTACCATCGGGCACAGCTCCACTTCATCAAGGGCGAGTTCGCAGAGGCGGCAAAAGACTATCAGAAATCCATCGACCTGGACCCGGAATTCATCTTCTCTCACATCCAGCTTGGAGTGACACAGTACAAGATGGGATCGATTGCTTCTAGTATGGCTACCTTCCGACGATGTATGAAGAACTTTGACAAGGTGCCGGATGTCTATAACTACTACGGAGAACTTCTCCTGGACCAAGGCAAGTACCAGGAGGCCATCGAGAAGTTTGAGTCGGCGATCGAGATGGAGAAGCAAGAGAAGCCCACGAGCATGAACGTGCTGCCCCTCATAAACAAGGCCCTTGCCATATTCCAAGAGAAGTCCGATTTCGCCGAGGCCGAGAAGCTGTGCCAAAAGGCACTGATCAGTAAGCTTGACTTTGCCCTCGCTCGCTCCCCATGTCTACCTGCTAACGCCACTTAGTCGACCCCGAATGCGATATCGCTGTCGCCACGATGGCCCAGCTCCTCCTGCAGCAGGGCAAGGTGACGGAAGCACTCAAGTACTTCGAGCGGGCGGCGGACCTTGCGCGCACCGAGGGCGAGCTAGTGAATGCGCTGTCGTACGCGGAGGCCACCAGGACGCAGATCCAGGTGCAGGAAAAGTACCCAGCCCTAGCCGCGAAATTGCAGGCCGCCGGACCGGGCCTCCGATAGAGAAATGTAGGACGAGTACTACTTCCTATCGATCAAGAGGTCAATCAAGACTTCGGATTGGGGCACCGAGTTGTGCGGTAGTTGTGGGCTCTGTCGTCCGAAGCTGTCCCGTTGGCTCTTGGCGGGGAGATGAAAGGGGGCCAGCCGAGGTGCAAGGCTCTTGTGACCTACGATGGCACCGCGGACGAGCGAGTTTTGTTTGGGGTAAAATGGACCGCGGCTTGAAATTGGCGCCACAGGTCAGAGCAAGCCGAATGGACATTTTTCGTCGTCCTGGGTCCCAGGACCATCAGCCGATATAGGCTCTGGCTTGTACTGAATATAGGAGGAGCAGTGCAGTGGTAGTAATTCTTCCCTCAACCCTTCCATACCATAGGTATCGACCGATGAGCACACTTACTCTACACATATAGCACCACGCGGGTACCGTGACCATGCGACTGACGGGGCTGAGCGTCCCTAAACGTCCCAGTTATGCTCGCGCCGAGGGCGGATTTCCCTCGCGCGCAGTGATACAGGTGAAGAATGGTATATTAACGAGAACTCGGAGGGGCAGATATCGGCCCTTTCGCCCCATCTCCTCTCGTCACCGCATCGAATTTTCATCATCGGTCATCTTGCCACCCTTGCTGGACGGACGTATGCATATATACATGAATTCGTAAGAGGGTACCCTGAAATCCCGGAGGAGAGGGTATAAAAACATTAGATAGAGAAGTCGTCCGTCCCGTTCGTCATTTCTCAGGTCATCTTTGGCTGGGCCCGATCCGTGCGTCCCAACCACCCAGGGTGTGTATACTGTTAGGGATTTCTTTTTGAAAGGCGCCAAGTTCGCTGTCAGCGAGTGAAGACATAAATGCCAGTATGCGTCTGGTATTAACTGGGTCATCCAGCCGGCCACTCAGCCACTCAACCCGGGCCCGGTGCCGGTTGCCACGCGTGCAGGTAGGTGTCCGGTTCAGCGTCTCGCGCAGGGTCGTCAGGATGTCCAGCGCCGTCAATTGCACACCATTCACCTCCCACCAGAGGCACGGGGCTACCACAGCATACTTTGTCTCTTACTGGGTCGTGTTATTGCTTGGCTTTTGTGTAAGGGTGACACCGAGGCCAACGCCGAGGCCGATAGCCAGGCAGATGAGAAGGACGACGAGGGCGCACCACCACTTGAGCTTGCGGGTGCGGCGGGCGTGGGAGATGCCGACGTCGACCTGCTTGTTGCCCTCCTGCAGGTGCTGGTTGGTCTGCTCGGTCTGTTCCTCTGTGTGCTGCACGACGGCCTCTTGCTGCACGATGATGGTGTCGAGATCCTGGAACATGGTCGCGAGCTCGTTGATAGACTGCTCGATCTGCAGGAGCTCATTGTGGCGCGCGCGCACGTTGCCGAGCACCTGCGAGGCCTGGCCGGAGCGGTTGTGTTTGAGCTGTGCGGTGAAGGCACGTCGTCAGCACCGGACGGGACATGCCTCGTGTGATGGGGGGTGCCCTGGGGGGAAAGCTAAGACTTACTGCTGTCTGGAAGACGCCCTCGTTGCCCCAGTCCGCGTCGGCGGCTTGGCGCACCTCGTCTTCGGAAGCGTCGGGGTTGACGATCCTGTACTGGCGGGCGATCTGGTCGCGGTACCTGTCGCGGTACTGCTGCTCCTCCTGCATGTAGTTCTGGAGCTCCTTTTTGAAGTCGCCGTTCAGGGCCTCGAACTGTCTCTTCTTCATGCCATGGCTGCCGTCGGTGGTGCGCTCGACATCGGACTTGAGAGACCTGATCTGGTCACGGATGCTGGTGTTCTTGAGCTGAGTAGAGGCGACCAGGTCGTCAAGCCGGCGCTGGGCGGTGTCGTCGGCGCCGACCAGGGCGTCATGGTGAAGGCTGGCGATGCGCTGGACGTCGGCGGTGAGGGAGCGGATCTCATTGCGAACATGTGAGACGCGCTGCAGGAAGTCCTGTTGCGACAGGGCGTTGGAAGGGGCGGATCCGTAGGGGTTTTGGGCCGGGCTGATATTCTGCATCTCATGTTGTTCCTGGGCCGGGATGTCAGTCAATCAATGGCACATGTCATTGCTGTGGGCGATGGGGAGTTGGCATACCGGGCTGGCGTAGGGGTCTGGGGAGCCGTATGCCGACTCCTGCGCGGGGCCCGACTGATACGGGTTTCCAGAGTACTGTGAGTAGGACATGATGGCACAATACCAATGCAATTGACCGATGAGTGGAGCTGGTGATGGAGCGGGGGTTAACAGCAAGCGGTCGGGGTCGCAGGCGTGTGTTATACTATGTAATAGTAGGCGAGACTGTTTCTGCACGAGTCTAGGTGTAGTCGTAGGGCAGACGGCGGGGATGGGAAGCAAGTTCACACAGCGGCTGAGCGGCCGCCCTGGGGACGATGGGGACGACGGGGACGAAAGAATCCTGGCCCTTGTATGCAAGGGAAAGGCCGGTTGGAGCTGAGCTGGACCTGCTGATTGCTGATTGCTGATGGCCAGGCAGCCCAGGTGAGCGACAGTCGCTGAGCCCACCAACATGCACACACAGCCCTGGTAGCATGACGTTTAAGCTCGCGCGGGCTGAGCAGGGGTCTCCCTGGGTGGCATCGGGGGCGTGGAGGCTACCGAGTTACCAGGGAAATTTGAGAAAGAGCCCGTTGATGCTGAGTACTTAGGTACCTACCTACCTAGGTAGGTAGGTACCTAGGTACATGCGGAGGACGGAGTACTAGCATATTGATATACACCACAGTAGCTATCAAGAACAACAGATCCTGAGCATCGCCGGGCAACTCACTCTGTCAGGGCATCATCCACTCTCCTGGAAGCTCCTTGGATGGCTCTGCTGTGTGTATCGCATCGGCCGGCCCAAGTAGCTAGCCCTGCAGCGGCAAACCTTGTGGTCCAACGGCGGCGTCAGCAGTTGAGGCTTTGCGTGCTCTTGCTGCAGAAACAGTTCACTGCGGCCCAGGACTAATGACAGGATCGGCATGCATTGCCCGCCCAGCCATTCCAGATCCTGAACTAGACCAGTTCAGATATATGCTTCCTAGGTATATATATATCTGCGTACCGTCCCGTCGGATTCGGACTCCGGTACGGAGGGCACCCGTGGGGCTCAGACAGCTTGGTCGTCGCCTCCTCCGCTGCCCGATCCCGTGCTCCCGACGTGGTGCACATATCTAGGAGCCTCCCCCGGGTTGATGCACGCCGAGGAGGGGGGATCTCCACCGCCTCGAGGTCCTCACCACCCAAGCTCCCGAGGCAGTCCCTCAGACCGCCGGCATCAGATCTTGTTCACTAAGAAAGCCAAGGCTGGTTGATGGTGGGACCGTGGCAGAGACATGCCATGTGGGGCCTCCCAGTGAGCGATTGACTACTCACCGTCGTATTGACTAGAAGGAACGCCCCTCGCCGACCCATGCGGACTGTCAAAATATGGAGGCAGCATCACATCCAGACACCCAGATCAGCCCAAGCTCGGACCATTACGAGCCTACTCGGAACCCAGCCATGCTCCAATGCTTACTGCTCCCGTCTTATCATCGACCAACCAACCTCCGCCAGCCCTCGCCGCTGCCCGTGAACTTTTGGCGTGTCCCCTCTTCCGACAAGCCTTCCGATTTATGTGTTACTGTAGCTTGCATACAATGACGGGACATGTCCCCAGTCACTCAAAAGACTCTTCAGCCACTCCCATGATGAGGCCATCCGGCTGACATGTTGATGCCGTTTCGGCCTCCTCGCAGCAACGGCCAACAGCCCCACACATCGTTTACCAGGCAGACAAATTGCAACCGCCCGAGAGTCCTCTGTCAAATAGGCAGCGACATCATGAGACAAGTGGTGATGCATGGCAATGGCGAATTTGTAATTTCCTGGACCATATCGAGTCCTTCTTGCAAAAGAGATGTATCGCCTTATCCTTCACAGCAGATTCCCTTGATACTAATCCCAGCACGTCCGAGACTGACGCTCGGAACGTTCCCTAGAGAAGCATCACAATACACCAAAACATACCCAACGCCGCGCGCCATTCCTGTATTCGTAGTGTAGGGTATCTCTGCGTCCGAGTCCATTAGAGAAGCCGACCGCAAGGACTTCTCCCAAGGCCGTGCCCAATCTTCCCTTGTGCCAAGCCTCAACCACCAGGCTCCAGGCAGTACCAGCTTCCAGTGCAAGAGCTTCAAGGTGATGGACGATCAGTGTACCATCTACATCGGCCAGTCTAATTTATCGTCGCGTGATGATGCGGGTGACACCGGCCACGTATTCGCCGGATCCGCAGATTAAACTCCCATTGTGAGACAAGTACGTCCGAATCTTCGCCGACTCGGTGGCTGCTCGTCGTCGTGCCTAGAACGATTCGGTGCCATGAGCTGCCTGTGTCGACTTTGCAAGCAACCCCCCGGATGTGCCCGGCATTCGCTTCGACTGAACAACTCCAAGTGAGCCTGTCGGGGCCCGGCTCCCTCCGGAGTCCTACCGCAGGCCACTTTGATCCCGCTCTGAACGCCAACAGTATGATCGTCATGCATGCTGCTCGATTTGCTACTGCTGTCTCTTGACGCTCGCTCAGAGGAAGTTCTTCTTCCGGCTCGTACGGGTGTAAGAGTTGAGGTGCCATTCAACATCGCCGTCCTTGTTCTCAAGAGAACCACCACGGATTTCGAAAGGTCGAAGACTCATGCGAGGTCCTACCTCGCTGAGCTCGCAGGAGTCATAGGAAGTCCGGACGAAGACGTGGTGCCTGACCTCGATTATATCATCCACGTTCTTGAAGGTGACGACTCTGCCGCTCTTCGGTTTGCTTTCGGCAGCTGGAAGAGGGGGGAAGAGGTGCTTGAGAACCTTGACAACCCGCTGGCCGATCGGCGTGGTGAAGCCCTGTCATAGATCATATCAGCGACCGTCGGCACGGAGAAAAAGAGCCTACTCCGCAATGATGCGCTCGATTTCTCGGGAACAGCTGCCGTGGCTTACAGCCTCACAGATTATTCTAGCGGCGACGTGTGGAAGGATCTGGAAAAGTTATGGCATAGAGCTCAGTGGCTTACCTCGAAGATGAGTTGGGGGTAGCTTTCAGAGACAGTCCCACGCAGACTGTTAGGAATATCATGTCTGAGCACAACGTTGTGTAGAGAGAATGAAACGGTCGGCCCGTGTGGTAGGTGGGAGACTGTCATGGCAGTCGGTGTACCTCGATGCTCGTGTAGCAGGACTATATCTGACAAGCCCCGGCTGTTGCAAGAACGAACCAGCTCGGGTAGAATAGTGTTGCCTCGATTTAGGCGAATCGACGTGGGCATCAACAACCGTATCTCCTTGGAGAAGGCGGCCAGGCGACTGGAGGGCGATCTAGAGGTTGTCACCAGGACTCGAGGATCAACAATGCCGGACAGCGCCGCATCTGTCTCGCATGTTAGCACCGGCGACGAGGATGTATCTCAGAGGGCGTGTTGTTCAGGGCGTACACTCATCATCGAGGTCCAACTGATCCTTGTGTTCCGGGCGTGCTTCATCATACTGAAAGTCCTTCCTCAATTGCTCATCGTTGGCGATGGAGCGGTCCAGAGGCTTGCCAGTCGCAAGGCTCTCCCTAAGTTTGGCCCGTTTCTCGCTGATCTCGGCATCTCGCAGCAGGAGCGCTCTGCGGTAGAGGTAGTCCCTCCGCTGTCGATTTTGTCTTCGCTACCAGGGAGAGCTGTCAGTGACCTGTTTTTTACATCATTATTCTTGAGCCTGACATGGACTCACAATCATGCTGCCGCCGTGGATCTAGATGCTCAGTGTCAACCAAGATGTGCAATGCCCATTGGCAAGTGACGGCGGCAGTCCTCGACTTCAAAAAATGTTTATCTTATCGGGGCCGGTGCACGGACCACAACCGCCCAGGTCACACCCATGTATCCCCGCCATTTTGCCCTGGCGGCAGGCATGGGAAAGATGCACCGGGAGATGGTGGCTCTCGAGGAATTTCAGACGCACTTCATCTTCAGCCCGACTCAACAACCCGCCTGCCATTTGCGAGACGATCACCACGCCACTCACGACTGACAACCCGGGGAGGCCTAGTATTTTGGGGGAAGGGTAGGATGTCCAATCCGTTTCTATCTACATCTTTGTCATACAATCTGCGGTGAATATCTTAATTCACTAGCTGCTGGAAAGGTGTGTACGCTGCCCCCTCTAGTTTCGTCCCGCCAGTCGCCCGCCCTCCCTGGGCGCACTTTAATGCTTCTTGTCTTCGACCGCCCACTCCTTCTTCGCACCAGTATACCACTTTGTGGCTCATCGCTCTTGGGAACTGACCCATGTTTCAGTTTACTCTCCAGCGACAAACAATCTTTGCGACACTGAAGTGGCGCCCGATCCAGCATGGACGCTGCTTTCAACCATGTTGGCAACCACCTGATCTCCGACTCCGCCCAAGCTATCAACGCTGGTGGCGCCGATGAGCTCTCCCACCTCGACCACGATGAGAGCCTCATCTACGGCAAGACCGGTGGGCGCAGGGGTGTCGGCAACGGTCGGCGACGAACCGACGATGAAGACGGCGACAACGAGACTATCGGCGACGACGACGATGACGAGAGCCTTGCCAGTGTTCCGGTTGGCGCTATGAAAGGCGTGAGCCTTAACGAGCCAGAGGAAGAGAAGGAGCTGCCTGCGCATGCTTGCGCCTACTGCGGAATCCACTCGCCTTCCTCAGTGGTCAAGTGTCTGTCGTGCAACAAGTGGTTCTGCAGTGGTCGCGGAACTGCCAACACCTCCCACATCGTGAACCACCTGGTGCGCGCGCGACACAAGGAAGTCCAATTACACCCTCAGTCGCCTATGCAGGACACAATCTTGGAGTGTTACAATTGCGGGACTCGCAATGTCTTCCTCCTCGGCTTCATCCCTGCCAAGTCTGATACCGTCGTTGTCTTGCTCTGCCGGCAGCCATGCGCAGCCAGTACATCGTCCAAGGACATGAGCTGGGACGTGTCTCGATGGCAGCCACTCATCGAAAACCGTTCCTTCTTGGACTGGCTCGTCCATCCGCCCTCCGATGCCGAACAGCTCCGTGCTCGTCAGCTTACGCCTCCCACGATTGCGAAACTCGAGGAGATGTGGAAGGAAGATACCAATGCTACTGTTGCTGATTTGGAGAAGGCTGCAAATGCCGACGACGACCCACACCCAGTCCTCCTCAGGTACGACGACCCCTACCACTACCAGAACATCTTTGGGCCTCTCGTCAAGATGGAGTCCGACTTCGACAAGAAGCTTAAAGAGGCCCAGTCCGAGGACGGACTGGTTGTGAGCTGGACCATGGGATTGAACAATAAACACATGGCCAGCTTTGTTCTGCCCAAGATGGAGTCGGGCGACGTCAAGCTGGCAGTTGGAGACGAGATGCGCCTCAAGTACAAGGGAGAGCTTCGGCCCCCTTGGGAGGGCGTGGGCTACGTGATCAAGATCCCTAACAACCAGAACGACGAGGTCATCTTAGAGCTCCGCAAGACCGGCAGTGACAAGTCTGTCCCGACTGACTGCACCCACAATTTCTCTGCTGAATACGTGTGGAAGGCCACTTCTTACGATCGCATGCAACTCGCCATGAAGACATTTGCGCTCGATGAGAAGAGTGTGTCTGGCTTTCTATTCCACAAGCTGCTTGGTCATGAAGTCCAAGTCGCACCAACGAGACCGCAGATACCCAGGAAGTTTACTGCGCCCCAGTTGCCCGACTTGAACAACAGCCAGATTAACGCTATCAAGGCTGTTCTTTCACAGCCGCTCAGCCTCATCCAAGGCCCTCCTGGCACCGGAAAGACAGTCACCTCGGCCACGATCATCTACCACTTGGCGAAGATGAACAGCGGTCAGGTCCTGGTCTGCGCCCCATCCAACGTTGCGGTTGATCAGCTCTGCGAGCGCATTCACCGCACCGGCCTGAAGGTCGTTCGCTTGACTGCCAAGTCTCGTGAAGATGTCGAGTCCTCGGTCAAGTTCCTTGCCCTGCATGAGCAAGTCCGGTCCCTTGCCTCTGATATGGGATCGGAACTGGGCAAGCTCACGACGCTCAAGAACGAATACGGTGAACTGGCCAGTCACGATGAGAAGAAGTTCAAGCAGCTTACCAAGGCCGCGGAAAAGGAGATTCTGAGTCATGCCGATGTCGTGTGTTGCACATGTGTCGGCGCTGGCGACCCCCGGCTCGCGAAGATGCAATTCCGAAGCGTTCTCATTGACGAATCCACCCAGTCTGCTGAACCGGAATGCATGATTCCTCTGGTACTAGGCTGCAAGCAAATCGTGCTGGTTGGTGACCACAAGCAGCTTGGTCCCGTCATTATGAACAAGAAAGCTGCCAAGGCCGGCCTTAACCAGTCCCTCTTTGAGCGTCTCGTGAAGCTCAACCACGTTCCCATCCGTCTCAACGTCCAGTACCGCATGCACCCATGTCTTTCCGAGTTTCCCTCGAATATGTTCTACGAGGGGTCTCTCCAGAATGGCGTCACTATCCAGGAGCGGCTCCGCAAGGACGTGGACTTCCCGTGGCCCGTTGCCGAGACCCCCATGATGTTTTGGTCCAACTTGGGCAACGAGGAGATTTCTGCGTCAGGTACCTCATACCTCAATCGGACCGAAGCTTCAAATGTTGAGAAGGTGGTGACTCGATTTCTTAAGGCGGGTGTGAAGCCAGTCGATATCGGTGTGATCACTCCGTACGAGGGCCAGAGGAGTTATGTTGTGAGCACACTGCAGAACACAGGGACCTTCAAGAAGGAGAGTTACAAGGAGGTCGAGGTTGCATCGGTTGATGCTTTCCAGGGCCGTGAGAAAGACTTTATCGTTCTGTCTTGTGTTCGTTCCAACGACACACAAGGCATTGGTTTCCTTTCCGATCCGCGACGGCTGAATGTGGCTTTGACCCGTGCGAAGTACGGCCTGGTCATTATCGGAAACCCCAAAGTGTTGTCCAAGCATGAGCTCTGGCATCATCTCCTGGTGCACTTCAAGGACCGCAAATGCCTTGTGGAGGGACCTCTCACCAACTTGCAGACATCTCTGTTACAGTTCGGCCGACCGAAGACGGCCTACCGCCCCCAGCGCTTTGGCCCCGTCGGCCAGCCAGCAGCAGGCTTCCCGAATGGTCGGTATGGTGGCATGAACGGTTCGACTCGAGACTTTGACTCTGCATCCATGATGTCGTTCATCCCTGACGACGTCTCCTCCATCCACGGTTCTGCGCTTGGCGGTGCTGGCCTCAACTCCGCCTATCCTCACATGTTCTCCAGCTTCAGTCCCGACCAGTGGCCAGGACTCCCCGGTGTGGCTCCACCCGGTCGATCGAACGGCAAGAGCCGAGGCCGCGCCACTGAGAGCGTGGCCGGTGAGAGTGTTGCCAATTCCGAGTACACCGATGCCAGCGCCAGCGTCATCGGTGGCAAGGGTGTCGGCCAGGGCGGTGCTAGCTTAGGGGCCGGTCTTCACGATGCCATTGGTGCCTCTCGCCCTACTTCGTACAGTCAGAGCGACCGCCTAAGGCAGTATGTGGAGGGTATGGGTGGTAGCCGTCTGGGACCGATCAACGGCTTCGGTCGCCGGGACGATGATGAGAAGAGCATCAGCACAGCCTTCCACAGCCAACTGGGCGGTCCAGGATTCGACGGGATTTGATCAGGGCCAAGGGAATGCAGATTCACATTGACTGCAGTTGATCTTGCCAGCAGGTAACATCAGCAACGGCACTCGCCTGCGTCGAAGGGCAAAGCATCCGACCAGCTTCATGCCGCCCAGAACATTCGAAGGAGCACCCTGTGAGATCAGACCAAACCTCGCGTCAGATCGTCTGCAGACAACTTGTTTGACAGGCAGTTAGGTCGTCTCGGGCGACGACATTGCCTATTCTGCGCAGCCTGCTGCTACATGTTCGGCCTTGATTGCTGGCGGGGCATCAGCCCGGGGCAGCCCACCTCGACACGGACAAGCCTAGCAAGCCCGTCCGCGGTGCGAGCGAGGAGGAAGGTATCGAGATGGACTGGGATGCTAAGGGGCCAAGGATCAGATATAAGCTCACCGAAGGGACCGTACCTTGGAAAGCCTAGTGCTGGGCCCAACACGATCAATGAGTCGACGCATGCTACACACAAGTGTCGTGGCCAGGTCGATATCAGCAAGTCATCAGCCTACCCGGTCTGGTGGGATACAGGTCGTATTGCAAGGTTATGGTATGCTGGCAAACGCAGCTGTCATTCTTCGACGGCCGCTCTAGAGCCAATTTTTTGTTATGGAATCACGCTCATTTGGAAGAAGAATAAGAAGCGGAATGGGGGCGGGAAGGAGTAACGCAATGAGGTGGCCCACGTAGTTGTTCTATTTAGTCGCTCATTAAACCAGTCATTCGCTAGTCACTTATTTGTTATGCCCATTACAACCAAGTTAGTCTAGTCGCAAGGCTCACTTGCAGAATTGGACACAATCAGGGGGCTTTCCTGACGGCCTCGATTGTGGGGTGCAGTGAGCTGGGCAGGCTTGGTGATTGAAAATGTGTCTGTTAGACTCACTAATACTCAGGCAAACAAGAAAGCAACATAATCCGATTGTATGCTCTACCTAAGCTCCTGCGGTCTTCGTCTACACGGACTCTATGGATGTGTCTGATTTACACTGTTTGCTTTGAAAGTGGCGTCCCCCCTCTCTTTTGGCTGGCTGTTAGACACACCATACTCATGGTAGCTTCTCATCACACAAGGCGAGAAGACAGGCGAGGAGATTTATGCATACCTACTTGTTAGTGCTCATTCATTCAAGTGGGCAATGCAAGGACAAGACGGAGAGCACGGCACCCAGGGACCCACAGCGTGTTGGTCTAGGGAGCCCAGACACGGAGCCAAGAGCTGTAGTACGGAGTGGGCTGGTAGGTGGTAGGCCGAGCCCCCGGCAAACGCGCTTAGAACTGCATGTCCGGGAACGAAGCAGCACCCGAGATGCAGGTGCTCTTGAAACATGGGTGGCGAGACTGGTCCAAGCAGGATGAAGCGTCACATTCCGCGGGCGGCACTGCCAGGGCTAAGATGGCCCGTCCATGGGCGTCCCAAATCTTGAAATGGACCCTGGCTTGCCTGGACAGTCGAACGGCAGTCTTGTGTACATAAAAAAGCGTGGGCCAGCGAGCGGCTCCCTCATCTCCTTTGCTGCTAATTTTGACCCTCTCTTGCTGCTGAGCTCTCGCCAGTCTCACATGTGTCGACGTCACCGGCCAAGCCACGCTGCACGTGCCCTCTGAATTACGATTTACGGGCAGCGCATCTCCCGAGCAACAACCCAATGAGCCCCCGAGACTGACGAGCCTCGGCCTGTGTCGTCCGGAGTTAGCTTGAACATTTATCAGGCTGGTACTGTCTGTCTAGCCACACCAGATATACCCATAAAGGGAGGTTGGTCCTTCTCAAGCAGCGTGTCTGAGACAGTCCTGACCTGAACTGCACATATCCCAATGGCTGCCCCAAATCCCCCACCGGCGGAAGAGCAGACCTCCGCACCATCACTCCCACACCACATAGAGCAGAAAAACCACGTCGCAGACCAGACGTCGACGCAGACCCCAGTTCCCACAGCAGCCACAGCCACCACAGAACCAGCACCAGAAGCACCAGAAGCACCAGCAGCAAAGGAACCCTCGGAGAAGGCCCTCGAGGCAGGTGTGGCAGCCGGCGAAGTCAAGACTGCACAGGGCGCCAGCAGCACGACCAAGACCCGAGACTCCGAGATCGCCGCATCGGCAGCAGCACTGTCAGGCGCAGAGAAGAAGGAGACTGGGGCATCCCCACGGCCGAGCGTCCAGACCGAGTTCGACGACGATGTGGTCCAGGAGGACTTCCACGGCGAGGTCGTCACCAACGACGAGCTGCCGTCGGCGGAGACGATCCGCAGGATCGAGAACTACATCGTGCTGGACAGGCACGGCAAGACGCATACCTTCCGGAGCTTATATACGGGCAGAAGCGTCGCGAGGCGGGTCTTGATCATCTTTGTGCGCCACTTCTTCTGTGGTGTAAGTTGCCCCCAGAGAGAGGGAAGAGCAAGCGAGCCGTTGCAGGCCGTATGCTTGTTTCGTGACAGTACAGGCTGACCCATGTCTGCGCAGAACTGCCAGGAGTACCTCCGCAGCCTCTCGGCGTCCATCACGGCCGAGTCGCTGCTGCAGCTGCCCATCCCGACCTTCATTGCCGTTGTGGGCTGCGGCGACCCGGCGTTGATCGACATGTACGCCTCGGAGACGGCCTGCCCGTTCCCCATCTACGCAGACCCGACCCGCAAGCTGTACCAGGAGCTGGGCATGATCAAGACCCTGGCGCTGGGCACCCGCCCGGCCTACATGAACAAGAGCATCCTCAAGTCGTCGCTGGACAGCATCGTCCAGGGCGTCAAGCAGATCAAGAACGGGCTGGTGCTCAAGGCGGGCGACCAGCGCCAGATCGGCGGCGAGTTCCTATTCGAGCCCGTCGACGTCAGGAGCCCAGAGGTCGAGAGCCCGTCTCACGAGTTCGACCGGAGGCTGAAGCCGGAGGACAACGAGAACAGCAGTAACAACGGCAGCAAGAAAGGAGCAGCGCAGGCGGAGGAGGACCGCCTATCCGAGGCGGCCAAGAGGAGCCGGGCGACGAGCGTGGTGACGGATAATGACAATGACGAGGAGGAGGAGCCCAGCCTGGTGGAGGAGAAGAAGGTCACCTGGTGCCACCGGATGAGGACGACGAGGGACCACGCCGAGATCCCGGAGCTCATGGAGATCCTGGGCCTGACCGGGCACGGGAAGCCCAGCAAGGATCAGAAGAGGTGGTCCAAGGCGCTGGAGTCGAGGAAGGGCACGGGGCTGAGCATGGCCAAACGGATGAGCCGGATGAGCCAGAGCCAGCACAAGGTCGACGATGGGATCTGAAGCGGCATGTAGTGAGTTTGACCTACGCTGGTTGGGTGGGTTGTTGGGGCATCTAATTGTACGTCACACGGCGACCTCGGGCTGCGGGTGTCCATAATAGCACATGCGCTACATGCCTTGTAATGATACCTTGTCAATACAACCGGCCCCGGTGGTCGGAATCACTTGCATGGAGTCAATTGGTGGCATAGAGGCGAGTGGCCAGACAGCAGCAACAAAGTCCAGGCGCGACAGGTGATCACAGTCAACTGCTCGGATAAGACGGTCCAGCGCCGCTTGCCCCATGGCATTGTTGGCAGTGTGATCTGGAGACTTCTCCCTTTTGGCCATGGGTCCTGACCATAAGATACCTAGATATACAGACAGTCCTGCTAATGGCTCGGTCACTTGTTTCGCCTGGCACGGCATTCGTGTTCCCGGGCACAGGGGGGCCTAACCACATGCTGGCTGTCGGTCACATTCCGCGAGACAACACAGCATTCAACACAGCGCAAGCCCGAGGAACATATGACGGCAGACCTCAGACGTGGCTCGAGGAGCCATCCTCACTTTCACATTGCACAATGCGGAGGCTGTTGGAGCCTGTGGCCCAAAAGAAACCTGTGGCCGTACCTGTCTGTGGTCGCTCCCGGAAAGTACAAATCGATGACTTGATACCCAGCCGGACGGGCGAGGACGGGCTCCTCTCCTTCGAGAGCATGCATCGTGGCTGCATCCATCCCATATGTGTTGCCTCATTTAGCGATCGGACATAGTTGCTTACAATCCTACCTATACCCAATGGGTACGTGAGTTGATCTCGGGAACAGCGGCCCCCTTTACGTCACCAATGATAGCCTGCTCCATTCCCGTGAACACCGGTGCCTATGGCATCGGCATACGGGTGGCGTTCTACCTACAGTGGTTTGGCATGATCGTCACCACGTGGGCTCCGGGATCCGACACACTTAACCTCCTCAACTTCATCAACGTCCTCACCACCGCCGCGACGTCGATCGGCTTGGTGATAAACCTGGAGAGGCTTGAGCCTGCCGAGATCTACATCGTTCTATTGCTGACATGCGGCACTCTGTACTTCACAATACCGACCTACCTATGGAGGTTTGTGACTTGTTGTCGGCCATGGTGGGATCCTGAAAGGTGGACGAGGATTCAGACGGGATGGCTGTTCCGAGTCTCGACGTACTCCATGTATGGAGCACTTCTCAGCCTACATATCTGGTTCTGGTCTCAGGGTGTTCATGTTAAAAGGGAGACTCCTTCGAGTGCAGACACAGCAATCAATTGTGAGCAGTTCGGCTTTTTCTTTGCTCAGATGCGGCTAGATGGCCCAGGGCTGGCCACGCTCAATATTATCATCCACCTCACCATCCTCCTCGTTGGAACTGGGGTATTTGCAAACCGCACCGGGATATCCGAGGTGTGCTGCTGGGATCGAAGCCAGAAACGGCGCAGATGGAGGTGATACTATAACCCCTTCAACCTTGAACCCTCTGAGGGAGCATTAGCTGACCGGTGTGTCCCAATCAGTATAACCACGAATCGTATCCTATCCCTCCAGCACTTCCAAAGCATCTGTGACCTCATCGTGGCAAGCATAATCACCATGGCAGTCGAGCTTGTAATCTCCTGGAACCAGATCACGGGAGCAAACGATGTCGATTCCGCCGCGCAGCTCATCCCCCCCGTCACCACCGGTGCTTTCCTTTTACATGGCCTGTGCGTATGGGCAGCAGGGCCAGACAGTGACGACGAAGCCAGCGACACATATGACTGTCCTCGAACCACCAGGACATCGCGCAGGAGCAGACGCCCTGCCCACCTTCACCATCGCTCGTGGCGATCCGCGACAGATGTCTCGGACTTCCTTGACGCATACCCTGAATTGTTTGATTTACCGCCAGAGCAATCTCTGCAAACACCGCCGGCGTCACTCGGCGGTCATGCTGGTCGACAAGCTTCAAGGTACTACAATGTGGCCTCCGACTACTACGGTACGCAAGGTGGCGACTGCTTCGGGCACGAGGCACGTTACCGATAGGTAATAACCTGGGCAACATTTCTCTGTATGCGGCAGCCAGGGCGTTAACTTGGTCGCATAGTGGGAGCTAAACCTTCCTGTAGTCGCTGATCAAGGCTTTGCACATCTGCTGATTCCATCACTGTCTACAGTCCACATGAGATTTGAAACTTTTGGACACTCGGAGAGAGGTAATGTATGCAAATATGGAGCTACGAACAGATTGTAACATGTGTCTTTCATTACAAAAGTGTCATCTATACTGAATGTTGTTCCCTTGATGGTCAAGCCACAACGTAGATCCCAAACTTCTTCTCGGAGTTTGATATAGTAAGAGGCGAGAGTGATTTCATCCTGGGCCCGCCAGAAATAGTCTGCCTATACACGTTGTCGTGTAGAATGGACGTGGAGAAGACCATCTGCCTTTGATGTCCTCCCAAATCAATAACTAGGTAGCTCTGTAGCTCGGCCTAAACCCCCCATTTCCCTTCTTTGGTCTCAACTCGGTGGCATCCGAAATCCATCTGCATGTTCCCTCCTGCACCGTCAGAATGCTCCATCCTACCTCGAGGATTTCCCGGAGACCTTTGTGATGACACAGAAGAACAGTGGCCCCCATTGTTCCCCATCCTTGTGGTCCGGAACCGCAATCCGCCCATACTTGGTCTCTTCTGTGAGGCTCTCGAGGGCCTCATCCATAGTGCCCGCCTTGGTCTTCAGCTTACTCCCCAGCTCAAACGTAACGCCCCAGGAAACACCAAACTTCTTCCTGTCCTTCTCCACAGCGGCCAGCATCTTCTCTATGACGCCGTCGTTCTCGCCCGCCTCGATGGAGCAGGTAGAATAAACCACCCTGCCCCCGAGCTTGACAGCCTTGAGCGCCGTCATGAGCAGCTCGGTCTGCAGCTTCGCGAGCGTCTTGGACCCTCCCCTCCTCCACCGGGCCATCTCGTCCGCAACGCGCCCGCCGGCGGACGCCTTGACGTGGGCGTGAATGATGTGCCGCTCCGACGAGCAAGGGGCGTCCAGAAGCACGCGGTCGTAGCCCCCCGGCCCGCAGGGCAGCTGGGTCACGGCGCGGGGGTCGGAGCCGTCGAGTCGCAGGACCCGCACCGCGCCGGCCGCACCGTCCCCGCCAAAGAGCGGCTCGGGCAGGTAAGCCCGCAGGTTGGCGGCCAGGCGCTTGTTGCGCGCGTGGTCGACCTCGTTGGAGTGCAGGCAGCCTGGTTTTGTCGTGGCTGCTGGTGCTGGTGCTGGGGAATCGGCGTGCAGGTGCGGGAAAATCAGCTGGGCCAGGGCGACGGACTTGCCGCCTGGTGCGGCGCAGAGGTCCAGGACCCGGTCGTTGGGCTGGACGTCGAGCATGTGGGCGCAAAGCGCGGAGGCGGCGTCTAGGTTCCAATGTGACTGGAGCGCCTTGCCGGAGTTGGACGGTGTAGGAACAGCCTTCGGGGGAGGGAAGAGAACGTGCTCGTGTTCGGAGGCATCTGGCTCTGGTGTCTCCGGCGAGACGTGCTCCACGGCCACGATCCTAGGTCTCGTCGTGGCATCGACCCCGTCCAGGGAAGGGCAACTTGGAAACCGGATCCGGCGCAGTTCGCCTTGTGGCCCTGCCGAGAGAATCTTGTCAATCTCAGACGAGGGCACGTATTGGTTCACCAGCGCGGCATAGCGGGTGGGCTTCGCGAGCGCAGGATACAGCGAGTTATGCCATCTCTCCTGGCCCCAGCCCGAGGCGTATTGCGAGTGGAATGCCGAGACTGTCGCGTCCAGATGCTTGCGATCAGCCTTGGTCGGCATGATATCCGCTGCAGTCTATGTTTCGAGGTACACGGCCTAACTCGGGCCAGACTCTCGTTGTATAATCTTGCTGGTGAGCTGAGTTCCAAGTGGCAGGTGTTTGGAAGAGACAGACGCCCTGGTGTGGAATCGGTGGCAGACCTCAGCGCAGCCTACCAAGGTACCTTAGGTACCTACCTACCTGGGTAACTAAAGTACTTACAGTACTAACCTTGGAAGTAAGCGGGAAGCGGGAAGCACAGGAGGACTTTCTCTCAAGTCTGAAGCCAGACCACGAATTTCTTAGACGTCGCTTGCTCGGTGCAGAGATGTTCAATCTGAAGATTTGGGGTGCAAACAAACCCCAACCCGTGGACGTCAGGGTTCAACCCTGCGCCAGCCCTCACACCGTGCCGTAGTCATTCCTCCGTAGTCGCGACCACAACCGGCCGATGGTCCTCACTGTCGACCCACTCGCGATGCTCATCGGCGTCCCAGACCTTTCGCCCTCTGTCTCAACTTGGCCCTCCTCCTCGACTGGCTTGAGATTCCCGCCCTCCTCCCACCCAACGTCAGCTCGCTTCCGCCCCCGGCCCAGCTGCCCCTCGCCCTGAGCTTCTTGACCTTGACCTCGAACCTGTGCCTGTCCTCCGCACGCATGATGCACCCGCCCATGTAGAGCCCGTTCTTCTCAAAGTGGACGGCCCTCTCGCTCATGAAGTTTCGGTTCTTTGCGGCTTCCCTGGAGCAGTGTGCTCGCGCCGCCTCGTTGGCCGCCTCGGCCGAATCTGCTCAGCTTTGCCGTTAGCCACACGATCGTCCCCGGTGTCACGGCCAACCTGATCCCGGTGGTCATCCGAGCTGCCCTACAATAAAACCCAGCACCGACTGGGGAGGACTGGGAGCCGTGTGCGTCTTGCGATGTGTCAAAGTCCCGACGAAGGACGACGTAGGCTGTGGACAGGTCGACGTGGAATATGAAATCCATCACGGCAAGCAATTCGTGCAAGACGTCCCGGACGTGTTTCTGCGACGGAGATGGGTGGTTGCACGCAAGGCCGTCAGCCTCAGTCTCAACAGCAGATATCTCATCGAAACCAGAAGAGCCGGCCAAGGGGGAGTACGGAGTCCCTGGTTTCGTTGACCAAAGAACCAGCGATGTTGAGCTGCGACCACCGTGCAGGTTCTCGTGCGAGACATGCATCAAAGGAAGAGCAATAGTGCTCGGGTGGCAGAGGCTACGAGTGCCTCATCCGCCATTATGGGCACGGCACGAATAGTTTGATCCCGCACATTTTACGCGTTGTAAACACATCACCATGGCCGCCCGAGGCTTATCACTGTTTTGGTGTCCGAGCGGCGGTCGTCACACGGTAAGGTTTGCCTCAGGATGCGGCCGTGTTGCTGGAGCACCCTCCAGCGCTGGGGCTTGCCTCGTGGCAACGCGAGGTTCTTGTGCTGAGCGCTTGGGTTTTACTGTTGACCTTGACGCCTGGGCAAGAAAACAGCATTCTCTAATATATTCGAAACGCACACTCGGTATTCTCCAGGCGGCATCAGGCCGCTCCAACCGGCTGTCTCACCGAACCACCCCCAGGGAGGCCAGGGCTCACCACAGCAACGTCAGACAATAGGTCGATATGCACTATAGCCCGGGTTTAAAGGCAGAGCGGGCAGGGGAGGTGGTAGGTCCATATGGCCTCATCTATAATTAGTTGAGATCAATGTTCTCTGCTCATGATCACCCAGCTTACCGGGTAATGACTGGTCTCCTTCAGTTGCCTCGGTCGGTCCACGGCCTAGGTGACTTCAGGACGGCGGTCGAGGATGGTCACCTCGCAGGAGGTCGACGCCAAGCCGATGTCTCGTAGAAATCACGTCGGCGACGGGTCGATCCGCAAGTCAGGCAGTCCCCACCCGCCTTCGGGCCCAAACCTCGTCTTGAGCGGCAGCGCTGAGCATCGCACAGTCGGGCGAGATGAAATTCCAATCATAGCTGCCGAATGACCAGGCCCAGCTGCCCCAGGGTGGGTGTGCAGCAAGTTCACCCAAGCCAGTTGAATTTGCTGTCATCTCCTTCTCCACTGGCTCCGTGGCTCCTCCAGGGTACGTGCCTGTACTGTATAAGCCAGCCGCATGATCCCTGCCACACGGCAGAGGCAAGGCTCGTAAGTTTCCTAATCGGGCGATATACGGTTGACCGTTGCAAGCCTCCCTTCTCCCTTCTCTGCTAACACCAGCCTCAGAGTCGGCACACGTCGCCCCGACAGCCAGCCATGCTGCTATAATACGTCGAGAAACGCAACCTTTCCATGGCGTTTAATGTCTCACTTTAACTTGGACGAATCTTTAGATCTGCTATCTGCCATATCTGTCAAACTGCGTCACCTGGATTTCAACTGCTTTCTTTACCTTTATATTTCCACTGCAGCCCATCCATGCTTTGTTAGTCACAATTTGGAAGGCTCCTCTAGATGACCAAATCCTCTGCCGCCGTTGCAATGGAGAGAGACAAGCCCTTACTTTCCAGTGATGAATCCAGCCACGACAATTATGGAACAACTGACTCTGTCCCAGATCGCAGGCCAAAGATGGCCGATTACTTTAGGGTTTTCTCCTACGCCACAAAATGGGATTTCTGTGTATACGCCGTGGCATGTTTTGCTTCGATAGCAGGTGGTGCGACGATGCCTCTCAGTAAGGAGCTTTTCTGTGTGGTCTGCTTTTTGGACTCTCTCTTTTTGTTGACCCCGTCGTTCAGAGTCTATTCTAGGCCAACTGTTCACCACAATCACTCGCTACTTCTGCTTGGCTCTTGATATCTGACCTCTGATCCCACAGTGAACATCGTATTCGGCCAACTTGTTAATCAATTCACCAACTACTTTCGAGACCCATCCAATATGCCACCAGGCGCCTTCGACAGCATCTTGGACCGGCAGTCGTTGTACATCACGGCGCTGTTCCTCGCTCGTTGGGCCCTGAACAGCATCAACAAGTTCTGCTTCCAGATGATCGGGACCCGTATTTCCTCAGAGGTCCGTCTACATTACCTCGAGTCCCTCTTGGCTCAGCCCATACATGCCATTGACTGCATGCCCGCCGGCGGACCCGCGACCACCATAACCGCAACGTCCACCACATTGCAAATCGGTATATCGGACAGGCTGGGGACATTTCTGCAGTTCCTGAGTACAATCTTGACGGCATTCATTGTATCCTTCATCTGGAGCTGGGACCTCACCTTGGTCATGATGTCCCTCATTCTTTACACACTCATTGTCGTTTCGGTAGCTATGCCACGCATCGTCGTCAACGAGACGGCATCGGCCGAAGCCGATAAGCAAGCCACCGCCATCGCCAGTGAGGCGCTTGGTGGTATTCGACTTATAGTTGCTTGCGGAGCACAGTCGCGTATCATTGGCGGCCACCACAAGTGGGTGGATGAGGCCAGGAAACGGGCCCAGAAGGCGGCCCCTTTCTTGGGTGTCCAATTCGGTTTACTTGTAAGTCTGGCAATTTCCCCTCCGATAAAGTCCCTCATATCTGACGACCCTGTTAGTTCTTTGGCGTCTTCGGTGCATTTGGCCTCGCATTCTGGTACGGCACACAGCGATTCATGGCTGGCGCCCTGCGTGATGCTGGAGTTGTTATTGTCGTGCTTTTCAACATCACACTCGTTTTGAGCTCTCTGGAGCGCATTGTCACTCCACTCATTGCCGTCAGCAAAGCGATGATTGCTGCTTGTGAGTTCTTCACCGTCATCGACATGCCAAAATTCAGAAATGGATCGGAGACGCTGGACAGTACGTCGCATGATATCATTTTCGACAATGTCACCTTCGCGTATCCCAGTCGGCCAAATTCTACAATTCTCGACTCTCTGAGCCTTTGTATCCGGGCTGGCCAGAACACCGCTCTTGTCGGCCCGTCCGGATCGGGCAAGAGCACCATCGTCGGCCTGTTGGAACGCTGGTACTCGCTTGGAGACCAACACGGCACCCACCATGCGGCTGGACGATCATCAGATTCCCACGCATATGTTCAAGAACCGAAGCAAGATGAGAATGTGGAACATGATGGGCCAAAGCAGGTCGACGGGGCCAAACCCAAGGCTTCAGGGGCGATTGTTATCGGTGGTTACAATCTGGAAGAACTCGATACGAAGTGGTGGCGATCGCAAATAGGATTGGTTCAACAAGAACCATTTCTCTTTAATGATACCATTTATGGAAACGTCGCCCAGGGTCTGATTGGGAGCCAATGGGAAAGTGAGCCCGTGGAAGAGAAGCGGCGGCTGGTGGAAGCAGCGTGTCACGAAGCATTCGCCCACGAATTTATCAATCGACTGCCGGAGGTACTTACGAATATCACCAACCGCCCTGCTATCGTTGACCATTTCTCTGAATAATATGCTGACAAGGGTCTTTGAACTTTCCAGGGCTACGACACCAAAGTAGGCGATGGAGGTGCAAAGCTCTCAGGAGGCCAGAAGCAGCGCCTAGCCATCGCCAGGAGCATCATAAAAAAACCATCGATTATAATCCTCGACGAAGCAACTAGTGCAATTGATGTGAGGAGCGAGAGGATAGTCCAAGCTGCCCTAGACAAAGCAACACGACACCGTACGACCATCACCATTGCACATCGCCTTTCCACGATCAAAAAGGCCGACCGCATCATTGTTTTGCAAAAAGGACGCGCGGTCGAAGAGGGCACACACAACCAATTGATGAACTCCAATGTGGGTGTCTACAGCGCCTTAGTTCGAGCTCAGTCGCTGGGGCTGTCGCCGACTCAAGTTTCCGACGATGAAGGCCAAAACCTCGACAAAGAGCCAGAGCCGTGGCACGATGAGGTACTCACGGAACAGAAACCAGATTCAGTGAAGGTTCTTTTTGAAAACGGAGCCACAGAGAAAGCGGAAACAGTTACAAAACCGCGAAGTTTGATTTCCAGTTTCGGAACTCTTCTGTACAATCAGCATTCACAATGGCTGTACTACATTGGCATAGTCTTATCTTCTATGACAACCGCTGCCGGCACGCCAGTCCAAGCTTACCTATTCTCCAAAGTCATCAGCGTTTTCCTACTCACAGGCGACGACCTTGAACGGGAAAGCAGTTTTTGGGGCTTGGTGTGGCTCTTTCTTGCGGTCGGTGTCGGCCTTTCATACCTGGCTGTAGGCTGGATCGGCCTGCTTGTTCAACACAACATCAGCGCCGAGTACAAAAAGCAGTACTTCGCCGATATGCTCTACCAGAAGCTATCTTTCTTCGACCAGGATGCCAACTCCCACGGGTCCCTGAGTGCGCGTGTTGGTAGCGATGCCAAACGGCTGGAAGAGCTTCTCGGCATGAATATGGCATTGCTCCTCTCAGGAATCTTCATAGCTGTGGGCAGTGTTGCCATTGCCCTCATCTTCGCCTGGAAGCTGGGATTAATTGCGGCGTTCGTCACAATGCCTGTCATGCTGGGCTCCGGGTGGTGGAAGTTCAGACAAGAGGTGAACTACGAGAAGAGCAATTCGGCCGTGTTCCAGGAGTCTTCGCAATTCGCAACTGAGGCCCTCGGTGCTATACGAACGGTCTCATCTCTTACTATGGAGGGCACGATCGGCAACCGATACCGGCAATTATTGGACGACCAAGTCAATTCAGCCCTACGAAAGGGCCGCTGGACGTCTTTATTGTATGGGTTCGCCGACAGTATTGGCCTTGGCTGTCAGGCTCTGATATTTTGGTATGGTGGCAGGCGCCTTGCTACCGGTGAATACAGCCTAGAAGCGTTCTTTGTCTGCTTCATGGCGATTGTCCAAGGCGCAGAGGCAGCAAGTCAGTCCCTTGCCGTCGCCCCGAACGCCTCTCAGGCCGCAGCAGCAGCGAACCGCATACTTGACGTCCACGAGTCCGCGGCTGCTGACAGCTCCGGTGCCTCCGACAACCTGGGAAGGGCTTCTGTCAAGGGCAATAGCAGCGAGGGAATCGAGATCGAATTACAGGATGTTTCTTTTAGGTACCCCACGCGAGACATGCAAATCTTCGACCACCTAAGCCTCAAGATTGAGAAAGGCCAGTATGCAGCGCTCGTCGGACCTTCAGGCTGCGGCAAATCAACCATATTGGCTCTTCTGGAGAGGTTCTACGAGCTCGGACCTCAGCAAGGCTCAATTTTGTTCAACGGAGACAACATTGACAACTCAAACGTCTACAGATACCGCAGGAACATATCGCTCGTGGCTCAAGAGCCAACCATGTTTCGCGGCACTATCCGCGACAACATCCTCCTCGGGATTGAGGACCCAGAGTCCATCTCCGGAGAAAAGATCATAGAGGTCTGCCGTGACGCCTCTATCCACGACTTCATCATCTCCCTCCCCGAGGGCTATGATACGAAAATCGGCGCCCAGGGAATCTCGCTGTCCGGCGGGCAGAAGCAGCGGATCGCCGTGGCGCGGGCCCTCATCCGGGACCCCTCGGTGCTCCTGCTGGACGAGGCGACGTCGGCGCTCGACTCGGAGTCGGAGAAGATGGTGCAGGCTGCGTTGGAAAAAGCGCGCCACGGGCGCACCATGATCGCCGTGGCGCATCGGTTGTCGACGATTCAGAGCGCGGATGTGATATTTGTGTTTGAGCAGGGGCGAGTGGTTGAGAAGGGGACACACGATCAGTTGATACAGAAGAGGGGGGTGTATTGGGGAATGGTATGTTGTCTTTTCTCGTTCTCTAGACGTCTAAGACATGCTAATTGTGCTTCTAGTGCCAAGCTCAGGCGTTGGATATGTAGGGGTCCACAACAGAAGGCGATGCTGTGATGCACCAACAATCGAATGGCTAAATAGGCAGCATTCCGGAGGTCACATAATGTTGTACAGTCGAGCTCCATGGTTTCTCAGGCGACATAGTACATAGATAGATTATTAGCACACACCTGCATGTCAAGATATATATTCAGCCGGACTGACCGATGAAGAGTATGTTAGATTGTCATGAGTATTTCTCCTGGACGTCCTTAGTCTTGAACAATGTCTTTGCACACTACCCTAGGGTAGCCACGTGTCTTGATCCAAAAAGCCATCATCTACTCAAAATGTAACCAGGTCTCCCATGAGAAGCTTTCCATCATTTGTCAAAGGCTGCCGTTCCCAGTGGACGTCATCTGAATCTGTCGGTATCTCAGCAGACTCTTCGACGAGCTCCCACATGCCCGTTGAGGCATCTTTTTCGAGGTAGCGAAGCAGGACGCGGGATCCACCGTCCTCGATGGCGTACTCCCGACGCCACAACCGCCTCCACTGCTCCAGGGCCGTTCCCTCGACCGAGTTCGCCAGCTCGACGTCGCGGTTGCGCCTCGCCAGGCTGAAGAGGGTGCGCGCGTCCCACAGCCCGTCGATGCCGGGGTAGTCCCGCAGCTTGCACAGGGCCTCTTCCCGCACCAGGGGGTCCCGGCAGAATATCGAGATGACGAACAGGTTCCATGAAAGGTCGCAGTGGAACGAGAGTTGGTGAGCGGGCGCCTCGGCATCGACCCTGTTGACGGCGCGGAGCGCCAGGTCCGCGAGGGAAAGATAATCCCGGAATAGTGGTGCCTTTGACTGTAGAGATTCAATGTCCAGGTATTCTTGAGGGTTCCCAAACACGTAGGTGCCGAGGTACTGCAAGCGGAGGTGTATGGCCCGTAAGTACGGCCGGGAACCCACCTCGTTGGACATGATGATCCTATTGAAGAGGGGCTCAAACGCCGGCCCGAGTGCCTCTATCAGCCGGCGCGTCTCTTCTACCAGCTCGGATATCTTGGGGCCTTGCATGAGATCAACCCAGAAGTTCTCCGACATGATGTCTGCCACAGTGTCGAGCACGCCTGAAGCCTGCACTGTCTCAACCAAGGTCGCCTCCATGGTCCTCTGGCGGCGGCGGGCGGCGACCCAGTGCTCTTCAAACTGGTCAAGGCTACTGAAGGCCGTCGGTACATTCTCGACGGCATCGGAACAGCGAGGAAGTCGGCTCACGAGCTCTGTGAAGGAGTGAAGAGTCTGCTTCTGAGTCTTCAGCGCGTCGGCGAAGTTTGGTAGAGGCCGACACTGGCCAAGCCGGCCGTGAAGGATGAAGCGGGCCGAGGGGACTAGATGCGTGAAGACTCCTGCTACTGATTCAAGAATTGGCCTGGGGTTTGGCGCCAGGGCATCCACCAGCCGGGACCCTTCCCGACCGGTGGCGATGGTGAGGAGCAGCGCCAGGCCGTGGTTGAGGTGATGTAAGGCAGCCTGCCGATCTGCACGCAGCGTCTCGAAAGTAAGCAGCAGGACTGAGAGGATCACCGCATCCTGGATGGACTCGCTGTGGCTTTGTAGTTTGAGAGACTGGCAATAGTAGCCCACCCCCTCGAGGTAGTGTGTACCGGTATCTGCTGACGCTGCCTCTCTTATCGCGCCAGTGGCCCAGCGCGTGGGCACAGAAGGCGCACGACGTCTTGCGCCGTCCAGTCTAGACTGGCGGTTCCAAATGGACATTGCGCCTATGGCTATGGCAGCGTGTCGGAGTGTCTCTTTGCTGTGGGCAAGCTGCGGCAGGGTGACCTCCCACAAGCCAGCCACGGATGCAGCGGCGGATGCGGTCGTCCATGGTGCTTGCATTAAGCTGACGAACTCGTCGAAGTACATCCTCGCCTTGTCGTCATTGACACCAAGTGCGGTGGGGATCAGCCGGGCCTCTTGGAGTGGTGCCGACTGCGTGGGCGGCGACGGCGTCACGTCGCCGGCAGCGCTGGCGGCCTGCTTGGAATTCCAACACACTTGCATGGCACCAGGAACCCGAGCCCCCTTCGCTGCTATGGGAGCATAGCCCGCACACGCTCTTTTTGCATTGCGACAATTGGTGCAGTGAGGTCTGCCTTCGTCGCATTTGACGTGGCGTCGTTTGCAGGTGATACAGCCTGTTCGCGCCCTGTGGGAGCTCGCGCGCGAGGGCTTTGGAACATGATCGTTGGGACGAGCCGAGATCTTGATAACTTCCATTTCGTGTGAAAGATTTGAGGTCGTAGGAACACCGTCATTATGCCCCAGACGGATGAGCCTATGTCTCAGGGGGCATGTATTTGGCTCCTATTGACAGTCGTTGCCTGGTGTTGATCAGATGCCCGCACGTGCCACTACAAAGCACTGAGAAAAAAGAATACACTTTTAAGAATAAAAAAGTTAATATTAAAGGAATAAGACTTTTTTAAGCTATAAGGATCTTTTATTATTTTTTATTTATAATATTCAAGCGTTAAGAAAATTATGTTTAAAAATAAGGGGATCTAGAGGGACTGGTTGAGGTGGTACGAATTTAGCTAGGGAGGGGGCATCACTTCGCTTGTCCCAGACAGCGAGCGCAGCGGAGCCTTCCTTAGTACCTACTTAAGTAGGTACCTAGGTAGGTAGTTTACTGAGTGCCACTACTAACCTCAGAATGCTGACAAGACTGCCATGTGTCTGTCTCAGTGTCCTTGGAACGGCGGCGGGCTTTACAGACATGGGAAAAGTTGGTCGTCTCAAGTCTATGATTATTCAATAATCATTGCTCGACTACAAGTGCAACGGGACTTCAGCACGGCGGAGGACGCCTCTTCTCTCAGCAAAACCGACGTCTGGAGTCTCGCTCCGCCCATCACACGGCCAGGAACGCTTCAGCCGCCTTGGCATCCCTCGCTGCGTAATCTCCTGCTATGAGTCGGTCTATTTGAGAGCCTCTCCTTGACGAATCCGTGCCATGCTCTGACGTGAGATAAACTATCATGGGACCATCTCATGTGGGCTCTTTTGTTAAGGAAACCTATGTTACAGCCTCCTGGATAGATGTCTGTAGGATAGCTTCTAAGCTCTACAGCATAAATTGCTTGAGGATAGACTCCTGTAGGATGAACCCCGGCGGGATAACGGGGTAGGGGTACTCGAGCTACAGGTCACCAGCATTCAGCAAACCCCCCTTTGACTTGTTGCAATTCGTCATTTAGTGCAACTACCTGGGTGGGCACTTTCAATGGCTGTGGCATCTGATGCTACCCGAATCTCAAGCTACACAGGTCCCACACATTACATCGATTAGTCGCAATCGAATTTGCGATTTGACAGTGAAGCAAATCAACTAGGGCTGCTCGGCAAGTCGACTCAAGTCAGTCTTCAGAACCCAGTTCAGTCTCCAGCAGCCCAAACATCGACCCTTTCTCAGCTCGATCCGAGCGAGCATCCCTTTCAAACTCCTCGATCGGGTCACTCCCATAGTTGGGCAACTTCCTGATATTGGCTCTTCCGTCATTTGCCCGTCTTTGCCGTCGGCGTGTCTAAGTTGCACCCCTGATTTGAGGGACTGACAAAGCGATTTGCCTCTTTTCGTCCACCTGTCCCATCTTCTTCCCAATGAACAACTTTGGTCTCGAGAACCGGGAGCACTCGTCTGCTTCCACCAGCTTCTCCAGCCTTTCCGGGTTGTTGGTAGCTGGGCCGGTGTCTGCCTCGAATACAGAAGGTGTCATCAACTCACTATGAAACAGTCTTCGGCCCGTTCCCTTACCGTTTGCTGGTGAGGAGGTGGAGGAGCCACAGGATGCTCGGTCAGTGCGTGCGCAGGTGTCCACGGACTGTGTTATGACCTCAGAATCTACTGAGGAAGTCCCCGCAGTGGCCAAGTGACTTCCGGTGGTGAATGTGTCTTCAGTAGTGTCACGAAGCCCTTCAGCGAGATCTCCTCTGTCGATGGAGTCACTGTTGGCCGATGATGTGATGAAGTCGTTTCGAGACTCTTTGCGAGAAGAAGTACTCGTGGAGGGAAGGGACGGCCGGAGGCTCCTCACAGTATCTCTTCGCGTCTCTTCCAGAGCGATTTCGAGATCTTCAGAGGATTCTCCGAAAATGAACTTCTTCCACATATCATTCTCGTCTTCCTGGTTGCAACCACTAGGTAGCTCCTTCTCTGCTGGACCAATGTCCCTGAGCCCATCCATGTCGAGCGTTGTGATCTTATCCGCCATGTATGGCAAGAGCTCCGGGGAGCTTGGGGTTGCGACCAAGGACACTTTGTCAGAGCTTTCAACTGCCACATATTGTCCCCTTATAATATCCGGGTCACTTCTGGGACTCTCAGGGGGCTGTGGAAGATGCAAAAAGGGCTTTGGGAGACTCTCATCGACTGCATCCGGGGTGGCCTGGTTGTTGCCTGGGAAATTCTCGCCGCTTCCTTGTACTACTGGTGAATAGCCAGCATTTGCCTTGGCCATGTCCTGGAGCTGCATCGAAGTTCCTAGTTGACTGGGCCCTGGCGAGACCGGTCTCTGAGCAGTGGCTTCCAAGTCATCAGAGGTTCCCATTCCATTCGAGATAGAGATCTCGTTAGGGCCGGCAACAAATTCCCTCCACACATCATCCTCTTCGGCCTGAGACGGGGGGACAGCTGGGCGCTCGGCTCCAATTTGGGCAAAGGCACTGTCCGCGTTGTCCGAGTCTCCTGACTGTCGGTGGAGTAACTGGACTAAGGCCGGGCGGGTAGGAACGGGATGAAACAACAATGGTGAGGTCGTCAACAGTGGCGTTTGGCAGGTGTCGCTCTGCGACCGATGGCTTGCAGGTGAAATGCTGGCGCTGGCTCGGCCCTGATTCTGATAATGGACCCTCTGAAGGCGGTGAATAGACTCGCCTGTTGGGTATTCTTCAGCCAAGTCTCGAACGCGTACTGGTTAGGTTCAAAGGTTGGCAAGAGGCCTTACCACGAGAGAGCATTAGACCAGTCTGAGGATCTTTGCCTCGGGAGCTGGCGTTCGAGCTGTTTCCTAGGGCTGTCTCAGAAGGCCCGACACGGACCTTTATCTGTCGCAGAGAGGCAGGCACGGAGGTGTTCGCTGCCGTTGGATGAGCCATGCTGTGCCCCGAAAGGTTTGCTAGTCCAACAAGCTTGCGGAGCTTTTGTTTCGAGGCTGGATGGCGCAACTTCTTTGCGGTCCATGGGCTAATCCCAGATCCTCCCGGCTTCGTGAATCCCATCTCGATAGGTTTCTGCACGTTCATACCGACCCAGTCACCCTTGAGCAACAGCTTGCGCCTTTTCTGGCGCGTAGAATCCTCTGTGTTGTCATCCGAGAGACAATATGGCGCCGCCATTTTAGCATGAGCTGCAACGAAATAGGGACTGGCCATAAGGCGGTCGCCATTCCGATTGTTCCTCGACGGAGGCGTCGACTGCAGGGGACCAGCGCGGACAGAAGAAAGAGACCGCACAGGAACGGCAAGAGAAGAGACTGATGGTGGGCTGATCTTGACGTTGGCATCAAGCAGACCGGCGCGAACCTTTGCAAAGTGTTCCTTCTGGCGGAGTAATGTCTCCTTGCCTTTTCGGGCACGAGAGTGACGGTTGAGGTTGCCTTCGGTCCAGTTCATGATGGCAGACGGAGCCGGTTCACAGCGATAGCAGGCGTTGCATGCTTGTGACACCGACAAATTGAGTGAATATCACCCCTAATACAGCGGCCAGATGAATTGAAAGACCACGATGCCAGTGCAGGAGGTGGGACTGATAGGCGATGGCGTTTGCCCAAGAGGCCTAAATGTGTTGGCTGTCATGAGTGTGAGTTAGCAATTGGTAGCATCGAGGAAGGAGGTTTCGGTTCTGAGCTGCCTGCTCCAGCACCTCCAGTCCTTGGAAGGAGCATTCTGGGTAGATAAATTGGAAGGCGCTCGCAGCACAAGACGGGCACTTGGGCAGCTTCGTGGATTCTACGTAACACACAGTAATAGACTAGATATCCTGGGTATCCCTAGGGTGACTAGCAGTCCAGGGTTCAGGGGTTCAGGAGCTGGGTGGGCGGGTACCTAGGTACTCCGTACCTGAGCACGTAACGGGGCACTGCCGGGAGCTCTCACAGCTCCAGGCGCCGATATCCGTGCCGATGTCGACATCGGCACGCTCTATACCTCCGCATTGTCGTCGCAACCATTTTCTCCCCCGCTGCTGAGAATGCGGACCACGTGGAGGACAATTATCTCTATTAGCCGCAGCCCAAGATCTCCCGCGTCCCGTCTTATACCGATCAGGTGGTTCCAGAGAAACATGGCGTCCGCGAGCCCCGCCCTGGTGCTCAAGAAGCCCGTCAAGCTGGCGTGCGTTCAGCTCGCCAGTGGCGCCGACAAGAACGCCAACCTCGCCAACGCGCGTGAGAAGGTCCATGAAGCCGCCAAGATGGGCGCGAAGATAATCGTCCTCCCGGAGTGCTTCAACTCGCCCTACGGGTGCGACTACTTCCCCACGTACGCCGAGCAGCTGCTGCCGTCGCCGCCGAGCAAGGAGCAGAGTCCCAGCTACCATGCCCTGTCGGAGATGGCCAGGGAGACTGGCACATATCTAGTCGGAGGCTCGATACCAGAGTCAGAACAGCATGGGAAGGAGGACAAGAAGCTATACTACAACACCTCACTGGTTTTCGGGCCGGGCGGGGACCTGCTGGCCAAGCATAGGAAGGTCCACCTGTTTGACATTGATATCCCCGGCAAGATCAAGTTCAGGGAGTCCGATGTCCTCTCACCAGGAAACAAGGTCACCATCGTCGACCTGCCTGAGTACGGCAAGATCGCTGTGGCAATATGCTACGACATCCGCTTCCCAGAGCTGGCAATGGTGGCCGCCCGCAAGGGCTGCTTCGCGCTGATATACCCGGGCGCGTTCAACACCACCACGGGCCCGCTACACTGGAGCTTGCAGGGTCGGGCTAGAGCCATGGACAACCAGGTATACGTCGCGCTCTGCTCCCCAGCACGGGACGTCAACGCCACGTACCCTGCCTACGGCCACAGCCTTGTGGTGGACCCCATGGCACAGGTTGTCGTGGAGGCCGAGGAAAAGGAGACAATAGTGACGGCAGACCTAACTGGCGAGAAAATTGAGGAGACGAGGAAAAGTATACCGCTGAGGCACCAGAGGCGATTCGACGTGTATCCCGACATCAGTCAGGGCAAAGTACAATTTGGCGACAAGGGTCAGGATTAATCGGATCAAAGATATGGGGCTGCCAAGATCCTGGCTTTAAAGGGTATATATCAAGTTTATTTGCAAGCATCGAGTGCTTGCATTTTATGATCCGTCAGGATTCTTGCCAGTATGATCGACCCGTTTCATGGTCCACCCATTCACCGTAGCAGCTTGGAATAGCTCTGACCCTCAAGATTCCCGTGGGACTCGTCGGCCATCCCGGGGCCTCACGATATCAGACCACGCCTGATCAATACTGCCACTTATTGCAGGGCCTTGGCAGCAAATGTGGGCAGGATGAAGGAGGCCTTGTGGATCTCCGAGTTGTAGTACCTGCACAGCTTCTCCTCCTCCTCTGGGGACCAGGACCGAACCGGCACCTTGACGTTGCGGTTGGCGTCCTTGCAGCAGACCATGAAGCCGATCTGTCCTGAGGGGTAGGTCGGGATGGTGGTGTAGGCGTACTCGGCAACAGGGAAGATCTCCTTGCAGTCCTTCTTGAGCTTGGTGATGAGAGGCAGGTGGAGCCATTGGTTCTCAGCTATTGTGACAAGTTAGCCTTCAGGGACAAAGGGCTGGTGCGAAAGCTGGTACAAGGAGGGATAGCTGGCGTTGAAGCTGGCCGTTGGGAAAGAAACGGGGAGGGGATTGGGTTCGGGCGCAATTTGAAGCATTCTTCTGTCTATGAGGCTGACAGCGAATTTGAAGCTCCAAGCACGATGCTTGAGAAGGACCAGGCACGCTGTTCGCCTGCGTGAGCATCTTGTCACGGCTGAAGGTTAAAGGAAACGTACAACCTTGCGTAGTAATGACGCCGCCATCCCGCAGGGCATCGTGCATCAGCTGGAAGTAGGGCTTCTGGAACAAGCTCTCAGCCGGGCCCTCTGGGTCAGAAGAGTCGGTGATGATGACGTCGAAGCTGTTCTTGTAGTCGTCCAAGAACTTGAAGCCATCGCCGACGTGGACCTTGACCTTGGGGTGGTTATAACCCGCAGCCATGCCGGGAAGGTACTCCTTGGAAAGACGAATGACGGCCTACATATCTTGTCAGTGGCCTATTGTCCAGGTAGAGCAGTGCGCACGTAGGAGGCTGTCATTTACCTCATCAATGTCGCACAGGACGGCCTCCTCGATGCCCTCGTGCTTGACAACCTCACGGAGAACACCACCATCGCCGCCACCAATGACCAGAACCTTCTTGGGGTCGGGGTGGGAGTTCATGGCCAGGTGGGTGATCATCTCCTGGTAGGAAAACTCGTCCCGCTCAGTGCACTGGATGACGTTGTCCAAGACCAGAACGGTGCCGTAGTCGGTAGACTCGAAGATCAGGACGTCCTGGTACTTGCTCTTCTCATGGTGCAGAACCTTCTTGACCTTCAGGGTCATGGCCTGGCCTGGGTTACCGTTCTATCAGACGCCACTCTTCCAGTTCCTTCATCAGTCGGGCCTTCTGAACTCACCGGGCCACATGTCTGAGATCTCGCGGAACCATCCATCTGAAACAAATAATTCATTAGCCATATTCCAAAATGAGACGGCAGGTCACGGCTTGCATGATGTTGTGGAGATGACAGGAGATATGTGTAGTCATCGCTCGCCCTCTCTTGCAAACACGCGAGAGTTGTGTACAAGCCCTTGTTGGACGCACGTTCATCTGGTCGAACTGGAACAACGACCCTGACGGGCAAGTAAAGAGACAGATGTGTGATAGGGTGACAGGAGCTCAACGGCCATGATGACTTCATCTACTGCTCCTGGAGCAAGCTGGCTTCTGCAGCAGATGCGCTGCTTTTTGGACGAGTTCGACAGGGGAGAGAAATTCATGGAGGGGTCACAATGGAGGGGTAGAGAGACGCAGAGGAAAGCCATGTACCTTTGATGGTCTGGTGGGTGATTTCGGACATTTTGATGGCGAGGGAGGTATGGCAAGGACACTGGGAAGTAAAGGCAGGTAGTGCTGTTGTAAAGGATGAGGACTTTACTGAGCGTGTAGGATGGCAGTGAGAGAGCAGGCTCTCGTTCCCGAAGCGAGTTCGTGGGGTGAAGTTGCGGAGTAGTCTCTGGCCGCTGCTATATCTCGATTGGGCAAAGAAAAATTTTCCCATTGCCCGACGCAAACAAAACCTACCAAGCCTGCAAAGTCAACATGCAACATAGCTAGTGGATGTTGTCCAAGTAACCAGGCTCTACACAGCTGGATTCACTGCAAAGCTGTATGATATCCTCAAGTGCTGTCTGACAGAAGATGGTAAGACAACCTTGGAAGGCACTGGCGCACCCAGCACTCAGTTGGCTTCGTCTGCCGTGCCAGCCCAGGTACGGAGTATACACGCCCTGATAGCGCGTGCCTTGTAGACAAGACTGGCAGCCCTACAGACGTCATGGCAAATTCTGCCGCTGCTCACCGCATACAGGTGCCAAGCATATGTTTTGAGTACCGCATATGTATACCTAGTATGCGACCTGAAGGCTAGAAAAGCGATCACTTTTGCAGCAAGGTAGGAATTTCATGAACGAGTATGGGACTGGTAGTTCTGAACACAGTGGTCAGATGTCCGCGACGCGGCCACACCATCTAAAAGGCGAGCGGTGCCCAACCTCCAGTGCGACACATGTGCAACCTCCTATTCCTCATCTTCTTTGACCTCCTACCACCTCTTGCGCAACAGCATCTTGCTAGACTACTTCCTGGGGATGGAGTCATGTGGAGCACGTTCCCCAAATCAGCCTATGGCAGGACATTCCATGGGAGAACACCCGCCTAGGGGATAACGTAAGTCACAGGAGCTTCCCAGTGGAGTTTGAAATCTGAAGAACCTTGGAACGTGATTTTAATACTGTGACAAGCTTTGTGATCAACCCGCCCCGGGCAAGCTTCAGCTTGAGAGTCTTGGTGCGGCTAATGTCTAGCAGTGCGAGATCAGTCTCTAATGGGCGACAAGGTGAATGGGCTCAAAAGGGGGGCGTCCCGAGCGGTCTAAGCTTGCATGCTGCCCTACAAATTTTGATGCAGGCCGTCAAGCTCATGAGGTTGGACTGGCCGTCCACCGTATTTTCAGAGGCGCCGTTCCGACTCTCCCCGGACGATCTCATGATAAGCGAGAACGAGCTCTGACTCCGACGTAGTCTGCGCCCTGAATAGCAATATTCTGTCAGCATTGTGAGACATCGAGCCGCTCTTCTGCTGTTACCTCCCTGGAACCCATCCATAAGTTCCTCAGGGGGCCGTCCTCGCAGGCTGCGACAAGTTGAACTCATCCAGCAAGTGACTAGGCTCTTCCATGACATGCCAGCTCCCAGCCTTTAGCCAGAACTCCCTCGATGCTTGATTTGAGGAGGCGCCGCGGGTGATTAACACAGTCTGGTGTGTCGTCAGTGCTTAGCGCGGGGGCATATAGGCGTGGGATTTAGATGTCTTAGATCTGAGCCTTGTCAGAGGTCTCAACATTATTGACGATGTGGCGTCCTTAGGGCAATAGCTTCTATGTGCGCCCGTCCATCAACATTGCGCGGTTTTTATTGAGGTTGGCTCTAGCTGAAGGGCAGCCACGTCTGCTCACTGGAGAGATCCATACAGCTGTCAGCTGTGGCTGGCCCCACAGGAGGAACGGGCTTAGATTGCTTAGATTGCCCACCTGCCACGGCCAGAGCACGAAGTTGCGATACAATTACCTTTCCCTGGGCGATGTGATCTGGCACAGCTCGGCTAATCGCAACTCAGAGACAACGTCACAAAAAGTGCCGAGGCTTCTCCACCATCCGGCACGTGTGCTGTGTATCTCGTGGGCGCTGGGCTGATACTCTCATTAAAGTGCTGACAGCGTGCAGGCTCGCTCAGCCTTGCGCTTCCGTTTCCGGAAAACATGCCCGGGCTGTGAATTCCGTCAACTGATGATGATGCTCCTGTTCCTGAGATACCGCACCACTCAGCCACTGTAGAATCGCGAGGTCAGGAGGTTCTGGGTACTCCGACCAAGCGGCCAAGACAGGCGGCCGATCGGGAGGCGATGTGACCTCCCAATTCCGGGAACACAAGTGGACGCGTGCCGAACGAACAGGTGTGGGCGGGGATCAGGACGCTCCAGGGGCGTTCGCGGCCATGTTGCCCGCTAGGGACTTCGCGTGCCACTCGGACGGTCGGGGCAGCCAGGGCCACTGATTCGTTGCGTTGCGCCTGTTGACGACATGAGGATCCGGAATTCCCACGATCGACGCGAGCGAACAAAGAAAGAATGGGAACGCACAGTCACCGGGAGCGTGCCGCGACTCACCGGGCTCCCACACCCCCAGACTCCCTATGAACCTTGAGTAGCGATGGGCCGCCGTGATTTGTGAGTGTCGAAGACCCGGCCTCGGGCCTTCAAAATGACCACCCCAGTCACTAGCTCGCGGGCAAGACCAAACTTGCCAGCGGTGCTAATCAATGAAGGAGGGTGGATGGGAGGCAGAATGCTACTAGCCCGACTAATTCCCCGAAAGGCATCGGCAGAGGTTGAATTAGCACCCTTGGCTGCCTTGATGGTGAAGTCTCTTTGAGCGTCCCTGGGTTTCCCGGCAACAGCAAACCGTTGCCTCTGTGCCTCGAGGGTGCTGCTGCCATGTCAGCATGTGCGAGGCGAACAGGATGAGGCAGTCGGCCTGTCCGCCCAGTCAGGCCAGTCCAGGCACGCGAAGGTCGCGGTGGAAATGCATGGTCAAGGAATCCATGCAGCGGCTCTGTGCCTGGCAACCTGGCAGTCTGGGCTGTCTGGCTTTTTGGCCGGCTCTTTGGGTCGCCACGAGCCAACGTGCCAGCGTGCCGGGGTGATCTCCCAGGGAGGTTTCAGGACCGGCCATTGACTAATCACGACTCTTGATTTGTTGTAGCGGATCCCAAAGGGTCGAGCCCCCGTCCCCGCCGGGCCACCGCGGTGCTGCTTCGTACTGGGTACAACTGGACAGGACGTTGCAATTGCGAACTCTCCACTGTCAGGCTATTTCGGTTGCATCCAAAAGCATTGCTATAATTGAGGGGCGGAAAGGGGAGGCTGGCTGGCTGGCTGGCTGGCTGGCTGAATTTGGACCTGTGGGCTGTAAGGCAAGTTTGTCCTTTTTTTTCTCTTTCTTTGGCCGTTGCAGTTTTATGAAGCGAGCGGCAGGAACTGATAATAATGGGGCCCAACCGAGAGGAAGAAGAAAAAAGCTGCATTGCACGCGGTGTCTGGGGGGGTTTTCTGTAACGCGAGATGCAGGCCTGGCAGCCCTTGTGTGGATGCCTGCCCGCGCCGAGTTGGTGACAGCATCGCACAGCACCGTCAGTCTCTCTTTTGTCCCCCAGCAGCCCAGCAGCCCAGCAGCCCAGCAGCCCAGTCAGTGCTCCCTCCGTACACTGCCGGGCCCCGGCTCCTGGGAAATGCCACTGCTGATCGGTCGGGCGCGTGCCGGCAATCTGACACGCCACGACAGATCTGGAGAATCAACGCTCAGACGGTCGAGTCTCCCCAGGACACCCCAGGACACCCCGTCCAGCCAGCTGCCAACCCGCCGCCCGGCTGCCCGACATGTCCCAGTCTCCAACCCGGGAAGCTCGCAGGCTAGCGAGCTCGAAACGCCCAAGCTCCGAGCTGGACGCGAAGGGGGTGCAGAAACCAGGCACCGGGCTGCCGGGCTCGCGGGCGACGTGCACACAACACGCAGTGCTGCCCAGATGGGCATTGGCGCCCAGATGGGCATTGGCTGGTGGCAATGCCGGCCAGGCTGCCAGGCGACGGCCAATGCGGGCTGTGATCGGCCTGCAACCAAGGTCGTGACAACGACCGGTGAGGGGATCCTCTGAGCCACGAACAAGGAAGACCTGATGGGCTGATGGGGTTGGCATGTAATGTCAGCGTGGTAATTAGTCAAGACTGCGTGCGAGCAGCGACATTCGCCAGAGCCCGTCACGGGCCATCAGCAGCGACATGTCGTGCACCCCTCCCAGCCCTCCAAGGTGTCTGAGTACCTACCTCCAGTACCTTCGTGTACTGATCGCGCAGCTACGCCCGCATCCTTGCGGGGGGGCAGCTGGGGGGGGGGCTCAAGGGCGCGCAGACACCCCAGACTGCAACCTTTATGCGTTGCCTCTGCAGCTGCTGCTCTGTCAGCCTGTGGGCAGTACGGGGACCGCCCAAGCCAGGTACCCAGGTACCCTGTGCTGGCCCGCCCGTCCCTGGCCCACCGGCTACCCACCAGGGCCCGTCAGCCCTTGTACCCGCTACTTCGCGGCGCCACGGGGGATGCAGCATGGGGCATGGGGCATGGCGCATGCGCATGCGGCATGGGGCGACGAGTGGGACGAGAGCGCAGGGCAACTGGCTCTCTCTTGCAGCACAAAAAGGAGCATGCAGCGTTGCTCTTTGCCCAGCAGGACATGACGGCCGGGAGCAACGCCGAAGGAGCGTTGAGCAAGCGTAGCCAGCCAGCCAGCCCTGCCCGCCCAGCCTGCCCGCCGTCAGCAGCAGTGGCAGCAGCAGCAGCTGGACCGAGCCGTGTACCCAGGTAGCGAGCAGGGCGAGGGCAAGCCGCTGAGAAATGAGGCCTGAACAAGAGTGGGTAACAAATCCCCAATGAAGATCCTGAGGCGCTCCTGCTACTAGTAGTACAGCAGTAGCCGAGTAGCCCCGTCCAGCGCTCTCACATCCCCTCAGGCCCCTTTGTTGCAACCTTCTCATTTCATCTCATTCGCCTTCCATTCCACACCCTCTCACACGCACGCACGAACACACACACACAGACTGCCAGACTGCCACTGGGTTTTTGCGTGTGCCAGCAGAGCCAACGCCGGGGACACTAGGTGGTAGTAGTAGTGTTCGTCAGTGCCATCGAGGTGTGTTTTCCCTGCCCACCCTGCCCTGCCCTGCCCTGCCCTGCCGTATCCTGCCCTGTCGTTGTCTTTTGGGCCGGGTCTCTTTCCGACCCTGCCTGCTGTGCCAGTTGTGCCTACCTCACCTTACTTTCTCCTCTCACGATCCACGACCCAAGATCTACGGTCCACGGCTCACACATACACTCCACATACCTCTCCCCACGCCCATTATTCTCTCTTCCCTCGACACACAGACAACATACACTACCTGGTAGACATCCTCACCGAACGGCCGGCCGTCGATGCTGATAATTACTGGTCTGTCGCAGCTCCTGATTCGTGTCCCAGCCTAATTCAGAAAGAGGCCGCTTCCGCTGCTATCTAAGCTTGGACCCGCCGCCGCAGCTGGCACTCTCGAACCTCCACTCTCATCTTCCCAAAATCCTCCTTAGCGAGGGAGCATCCCCTTAATCTGATTGCCTCTCTTGCCCTCGTCGTCGTCGTCGTCGTCGTCGTCGTCATCATCATCATCCTCCTCCTCATCATCATCACCGTCACACCATCATCATTAGTATCATCGACAATATCGCCGCTTGGCTGTGCACGAGGACATCCCTACACCAGCGACCGCAGCCCACCAGAATCGGTGTCGTTCCCACCCCCGCCCTGGCTGCAACTACGGCACAACAAAAAAAATAACACCCGCTCGACCCGATTGTATATAAAACACCGTCAGAGGACGACATCATGTGCTTCGGCAGGCGGAATAAAGATGAGGCCGATGCGACGCGGTCGCGCGAGCTGGACAAGATCCTCAAAGCGGACGAGAAGCGGATGCAGAAGGAGGTCAAATTACTTTTGCTCGGTATGGCTGCACCCTGACCCTCTCCCGCCCCTCCCATCTTCCCGGCCGTCCAGGCAGTACTGGACCGAGGTCGCTTCAATCCCGGCCACGATGATTGACCATGGCTGTGTTCACAGGAGCCGGGGAGTCTGGCAAGTCGACCGTGCTGAAGCAGATGAAGCTCATCTACGCCACCGGATTCAGCAAGAACGAGAAGCTCGAGTGGAAGCCTGTCGTCTTCAACAACATCGTCCAGTCCTTCCGTCTGATATACGATGCTATGACCGAATTGAACATCGCCTTCGAGCAGCCCGAGAGCGAGGTAGGTTTCGACAACGAGTCCTTGCGAAATGATCACCGCCACCTTTCCCGCATTTTGCGGCACTGGCCTGGACTAACATCCAAATACAGAAATGCATGGAGCAAATATTGGTGGACCATGAGCTGAGCCCGAACGATCATTTCCCTACCGAATTCCTCGAGCCGATCAAGAGCCTCTGGGCCGACGAGGGTGTGAAGAAGGCAATTGCCAAGGGCAACGAATATGCGCTACACGACAACCTGGAATAGTGAGTAGTCACCATGCAACCCGCAACCCATGGGAAGGGCGCCGCTAATCCTCGAAGCTTCTGCGACGACATCGAACGATTCTGGGACAAGGCTTATGTCCCAACAGACCAGGACCTTCTGCGGTCACGGTTACGGACGACTGGTATAACCGAGACGGTGTTTGATCTCGGCCAGCTCACATATCGCATGTTCGATGTTGGCGGCCAGCGGTCAGAGCGGAAGAAGTGGATACATTGTTTCGAGAACGTCAACTGCCTGTTGTTCCTGGTCGCCATTTCAGGCTACGACCAATGTCTTGTGGAGGACAAGGATGGCGTAAGCAGTGTGTGCTCCTTGCTCGGCAGACAGACATGCTAACCTGTTTCGAAGAACCAAATGAACGAGGCTCTTATGCTGTGGGAATCAATTGCGAACTCCCACTGGTTTCTCAAGTCAGCACTGATCCTGTTCCTCAACAAGATGGATCTTTTCAAGGAGAAGCTGGCAAAAAGCCCAATCACCCAGCACGGATTCACAGACTACCACGGACAACCCGACGATTGGAAGCAGGCGAGCAAGTACTTCATGGACAAGTTCCGCGCGCTGAACCGCAACCCCGAGAAGGAAATATACGGCCACTTTACGAACGCCACAGACACGAACCTCCTCAAGATCACGATGGGATCTGTCCAGGACATGATCATACAGAGGAATCTAAAACAGCTGATCCTCTGAAATTGAGCGCGGTCCGACGAGCTTGGGAGTCATACGGCTCTCGCGAGTTTTCTGTTGCGGGGCTCACACTCCCCTAGGAAATCCGCGGATCCCCGAGACACTCAAGCGCGCGAGTCTCTACACGAATCGCAGTCGATTAGCGCCGCTGATTTACGACACTGCCGCTCGGCGGCCCCACGAACTACACATGACGACGTTGACGGTTTTCACGAGCTTGCCGCCATATTACTCCTCTTGGACTGGGAGTACGGTGATTCGTACCCAACGTCGCATTGCATCACCGACAGTAGTACACTTGACGGAACGCCTTACTGCAGCCATATGATGCTGCAGGATCAGGGCATATCACTTCTACTTCCCGAGGGAACCGGGCACAAAGACTTCAACCGCTGTTGTTGCGCAAACTTTAAATGCCCAGCATCGATGGAGAAAGCTCGATGGAATATTTTGGGGGCGTGTTTCTATCTGGAGAGGGTGGGTTCTTAGGTGGTAAGAACCCTCGAGACGACGCATTGAGAAGGGGTCAGACCCGGCATGTCCAGGACGGACCGGGTGAGACAGACGTTTAGGAATCGGAATGGGTGCACGAACGGCGATTTTTCTGGATATCAAAGCCCCGATCGTCAGCAGTTGAGGTTGGACATTAGTCACTGCCGAGCCAGGGACGAGGGCCTGGACGCATATATAATACGTTACTTGAACTTTTCAGATACCCGACATTATACATATTTTGTATTTTCGTCCGATGGATGCCCTCTCCGTTGGCATCCCAGAGCCAGCAAGCCACTGCATCTCTTGTGAATCACTTGATCATGAGGCTGGGATAAGAGACTCATTCCACAACAGCTGCTGGTCGGACTGTGCGGGCGATGTCGGTGGTGACATTGGTGCTGATCAGCCTGAATATCGCGCCCACAAGTTCCGAGCTGCCGTGACGATTGGATCCCGCATGCAGTAGGCCACAATCCTTCGAGATGTGCATTGGAGGCGCTATCGGCAGCCGTGGCTCAGCACAAAACCTGCCCACCTCTCACCCCCCCTCACGACATAGGACCCCCAAGGCTGAATGCCCGGGCTTTCTGTCATACTGCACCGTTGTTCTATTTTTACAACAGTTCTTGTGACCTGTCAGACGGGACGGGCTTGTCAGGCTTCCTGTCTTGGTTTGGCGTCGTTTTCCGTGCCTCGCCCGTGCCTTTGCCCGTTGTACTAAGGACCTTGGAGCCCTCATTTATCGCTGTATAGGCTTGGCCATTGTCACCCACACAGCCCGAGGCGCAGTTTTGTCAGTTTTGTGATTTGTTATACCTAGATAGTCAGCCCGATACCCCCCGTCAGGACTTGGCAAGTCTATGTATGCCATACACGGTGCCTTTTACTCGTCCAGTTATCTTCAAATGTTGTTATTACCAGGCAGCAGGCATACTTGATGGGCATTCCAAGCCCCCCCTGCTGACTCTTCTATTCCTCTTTCTGGAATGTCGGGCTCCGATACTTCAAATGTTATCATCATTGTCTGAATGTCCTACCTAACCATTTCTGGTAGCGAGGCGTTGTCAGGACTTCTGCGCGGAGTTTCCCCGACGGCGCCAATTAATACGACGCAGTCCTGGCGGAGGGTGGGGAAACTGTTCATCCTATGCGCGGAGATGGAGGAGGAAGTGCTGACCAAGGTTCGGCTCACCGAGAGTCGTCTGTGAGTCAAAATGGCAGGTCTTTGTCTCTCGCATGAGCCAGGGCGAGCCAGGGCAAAAGCTGGCCTTCGGGAACACAAGCCTTGTAAAGACTCGCCACGAGTGTGGCTCTCCTGAAGCTGACCAGGCTGCCAGGACGATCGCAACCAGTCCCCCCCACCCGGATTCCTCCCCTTTCTCTTCTGGCCCAACCAACCCACTGATTGCAATTGTTCTCATTGAAATGGAGGACACATGAGTCTTAAAGTGAAGAGCCTCGCCCAGGAGGTACGTGACCCAGCTAGAGCAAATCAGGCGAGCGCCCATTGTTTGTTATTTCATGTACATGGGAACCTTGAAGTGCTGACTGCCTGGCCCCGTAAAAGAATAACAGACCGGTGCAGTACGGCAACCTTGTACAATAAATAACTTCCCATTGAGTAAGCCACAGGGGCTTTGTGATGGCCTTGCATACTTTTTGGCGAGAGGTCAGCCATAAGAACGAATCGGTTGATGCTGCATAGATCTTATGCTTCCGTGACAAGCGTTTTCTGAAGTACCTAGGTACGTATATACCATGGCGACCGGCAGCACAGGAAGATTTTGTTTAGCCGCTCGGTTCCAGGCGACACCATAGACTACTTTGTCTCGAGTGGACGGGCACCTGGGGTGGTTTCTCGGATCCGCCATGTCTAATTTGAACACGGCCCACCGTTGACGTACCTGCTATCACCTGATTAGATATATTCGATCCATTGTCCCAAGATAATTTGTTTGTCAAAATACCAATCTTGTCCAGGATCACAACTCGCAGAGGTCAGTCAAGGCGTGCACCAAACACTGCCGCGTCTCTGCCAGCATATCTTGTGGGGAGAACAAGGAATCCACTCATCTGGCGACTTGCGGTGAGCTTGATCAGGCATCACCTTCTACTGTCTCGGTGAAAAGCGGCTTCGTCGACCTGGAACCGCCGGCTGACGCTTGGAAGCGCCATGGACCCACTTGTGGACAGGACAGTCTTGACCCGTTGGGAGACCTTAGATGGGGCTTCAAATAATTTATGTAGGCTATCGTGGTGTTTCGTTGCCTGTGTGCCATCCCGGTGTTCTGGAAGTCAGCCGCAGAGCCGTACTGGTGCATGCAGTAGCAGGCATGGAAAGCGGCACGCTGGCCCTTGCGGTCCTCGTGGTGGTCAAGACCAGCCACAGCCTTCCTGAGTCCAGAATGGATGCTCCCATATGCCTGCGACCCTATGGACTGGTGCTTGATGCCTTGCACTGTCGGCGAATCCCCAGGGGCAGCGCTGTTATGCAACCCTGTGAGCTGATGTCGCTTGCCCCCGTTGTATGTGAGAAAAATGTGGTCTAATGGAAGAATTCCTCCGTTCCCGAGATTTCCGTGACCAGTCTCAACTTGCCGCGGTCTCCTGAAATCGCTCGCAGGCGATGAAGAGGACGATGCCGGTATGTTGACTTGCTGGGGCACCCGTCCCCAAAATCATATTTAAGCTCATGGGGCCGCTGCGGAGACGAGTGGGAGTAACAGGGGTTCTCCAGGCCAAGACACCAATAGGCAGACAGCCTTGGGGCCGGGGGTGGGCCCGCCAGGGAATGCGGGTGATGCATTGGCAGGTCTGGCTGTCTGGCTGGGTAGTGCCTGTCGATCGCGCGGTAGTGCCGTAGCAACAGGGGAGCAACCCTCGTCGAACTTTGAACCTCGTGTTGATATTAACAGCGTCGCGGGTTTCATTTCCCATTTTTGCCTCCTTGAATAGGTATTAATCTGCCCCATCGGCCTAGCAGACTCTCCAAGAAATCCAGCGAACGAGGTTCGTGATCTCAACTGCATCATCTGTGCATTGGAGGCATCGAGAAAACTGCCGTGGCTTTTGTTTACCTGAGCACTTGGTGCTTTATTCCTATCTTGGAAGCAGCATAGAAGGCGGCAAAGACAGAGCGTTCTCGCGGTCGGAACATGAGCACGCCTCCCGACCCCGCACTTGACGTCGACGGCCATTCCTGAGGACTTGCAAGCTGATCAGTTCAGCCAATTGCCTCGACATGTCCGAAGCTACGACTTACCAGCCCGTCACGGCCGACTCGGAGGCCAAAGAGGGCGCTACGTCGACAGCGGCTCCCTCCAGTCGCCCTGGCCTATGGACCAGAATCACCGAACGCTTCCCATTTCTGCAGCACAAGCGGGGCATCGCCATCGTGGTAATAGCAGTGTTGCTCGTCATCGGTGGGGGTCTTGCTGGCCTGGCTGCCTTGCCCAATCGCTCAGGATCTTCTTCTGGCGGCTCAGGATCTGGCAGCGGGGCTGGAAGCAACCCCAACGCCATCAACAGCGACACGTACTTTTATGGGCAATCCCCAGCTGTGGGCCCTTCACGTCAGTACTCATAATCCGTGACTGGCTGGTACAGGCATGCGTTGTGGAAGATGGGTTTGCCGCTGACAGTTTGTATGTGTCTAGCCGGAATCACGGGGCTTGGGTCGTGGGAAGGCTCGCTTTCACGGGCGCAGGCGATGGTGTCGAACATGACCCTGGACGAAAAGGTCAGCGCCATCCCTCGTCCGACGCATCTGCACACTCACTCACGCCCTCTCTCATGCACAGATTAGCCTGACAGCCGGATCAACCAGTGACACTGGATGTGTTGGCTACTTGAACCCAATCGAGCGCCTGGGATTTCCTGGAATGTGCTTTCAGGACGCAGGTCAGGGAGTAAGGGCGACTGACTTCGTCTCAGCATGGCCTGCGGGTATTCATGTGGGCGCGAGGTACGCGACACAACTGTTCTGGCCGGCAGGGACACTCTTCTCGACATTATTACCTAGGTACTCGCCACAAACCCACGGTATACATAACTAACGTAATCAGTTGGAACCGGAATCTATCCCGAGCTCGAGCTCTAGGCATGGGAGGCGAGTTCCGAAAGAAGGGTGTGAATGTGGCCTTGGGCCCTGTCGTAAGCCCTTTGGGACGAACGGTTACAAGTGGGCGCAATTGGGAAGGTATGAGCTTCACTGCTCTCTGTTCGCTACCAGTCTTGCTAAAGTTTTGCAATTTCTCAGGCATCTCACCAGATCCTTTTCTCTCTGGCTCTCTAGTGTTCGAGACGGTCCAAGGCGTCCAGACAGCCGGTGTCATCACATCTACAAAGGCATGCCGATACACTCAGGATCTGTCAAACTAGGTCTAATCATCTTTCAAGCATTTCATCGCCAACGAACAAGAAACACATCGAATGCCGAACGGCGGAGTCCAATCAGTATCTTCCAATATCGATGATCAGACTATGCACGAGCTGTATCTTTGGTACGCAATATCTTCCCGCCGCAAGGCCCATTTACTGACTCCAGCAGGCCATTCCAAGACGCCGTCCGCGCTGGGAGTGCCAATATTATGTGTTCCTATCAGCGTATCAGTAAGCAGCTAGATAAATTCTCTACCCCTTCAACAACAAACCTGCCCCATTCTCAGCCGGTTCAGTGAAGAGTGTAGTGGCTGCAGGTTTCTCAAGACAGGCTATGGACACCTTGTGGCTCACTGGCCGCTGTATTGGCATGAAACTACCCCTTTAGTTCCTTGGCCGCTGACTCCGAATGCCGTAGACAATTCGTACGGTTGTGCCAATAGCTATACCCTGAACGGGCTATTGAAGACAGAGCTTGGCTTCCAAGGATTTGTTGTCTCGGATTGGAATGCGCAGTATACCGGAGTTGCGACCTCTCTGGCCGGGCTTGATGTTGCCATGCCCAACGGTGGCGTCTACTGGGGACGTAAGCATCACTTTTCACTTGTTACGAATCCCCGTCATCCATTCTATGGAATGTTCTAGAATACAACACTTTAGGACCCGTAGCAGGACTAACGTCACCACCAGCCAAGTTGAAGGAAGCCGTCACGAATGGGAGCTTGGCCGAATCCAGGGTCGACGACCAAGTTACACGGTGAGTTCATTATGGACTATCAACATGACAGGCTGACTGACCAAGCCAAGTGTCCTAGCATCATGGTACCAGTTGGGTCAAGACCAAGGATTTCCCACCCCTGGAATAGGTCTACCCCGGAACCTGGCAGAACCTCATAGCATTATCGATGCCCGAAACTCTTCATCAAAGTCAACTCTGTTTGATGGAGCTGTGGAGGGACACGTGCTCGCGAAGAATACAAGGGGTGCTCTGCCATTATACAGGCCAAAGATGCTCTCCGTGTTCGGCTACTCAGCAAGCCAGCCCGGGCAATACAATGTCGAGCCTCCTGGCGGGACTGTATGGACCCTCGGAGCCGAGTCCGCCGACCCTTCTAGTGTTCTCCAGGGGTTTCTTGGAAACCTCACGTACCCTTACGAACAGATCGCTCCTAATGGGACATTGTTCTGTGGTGGAGGGTCGGGGGCGAATGCCGCAGCTCTGGGCCATTCGCCAATGGACGCTCTGCAACAACAAGCTGCGAACGATGACACAGCCCTTTTCTGGGATTTCAGATCAGCCACGCCCATCGTAAACGGAGCCTCAGATGCTTGTCTGGTGTTTGGAAATGCGTGGGCGAGCGAGGGCTCCGACCGGCCGGGCCTTCACGATGACTACACGGACGGTCTGATCAAACACGTCGCGTCCACGTGCAACAACACTATTGTCATATTCCACAATGCCGGCGTGAGGCTTGTCGATCAGTTCGTGGATAACGAAAATGTCACCGCTCTCATATTTGCCCACCTTCCAGGCCAGGAATCCGGACGAGCACTGGTGTCTTTGCTGTACGGGCAATCAAACTCATGGGGTAAATTGCCTTACACAGTGGCGCGGAACGAATCCGACTATGGCGAGCTGTTGCATCCAGCGAAGGCGGATGGCGACTTTGAGCTGTTCCCACAGGCAAATTTTACCGAGGGTATTTATATTGATTACAGGCATTTCGAAGCCAACAATATTGAGCCCCGATACGAGTTCGGGTACGGTTTATCATATTCGACCTTTGAATACGCGAGCCTCCGAGTAAACCAGAACTCCACTTCGGAGACATCCGAGTACCCAAGCGGCCCTGTCGAGGTTGGCGGCCAGTCCGACCTGTGGGATAAGTTGGTCTCAGTCACAGCCGATGTCCGGAACACAGGGACCGTGAACGGGACTGAGATCGCTCAACTGTACGTCCAGACGCCAGGGATGAATAGACCCCGGGTTCTGCGAGGCTTTGAGAAGCCACACCTCAACCCTTCGCAGACGTCAACGCTCTCATTTGATCTTACACGTCGAGATCTGAGTGTATGGGACACCATGGCCCAAAAGTGGCTGCTGCAGAGAGGCCAGTACACTTTGTACGTGGGCTCGAGCAGTCGCAACCTGCCCCTGAACGCAACTTTCAACTTCTGAAGCTTCCAGCAACTCGTGCACATGGAGGATCCAAGACAACATTCGGCTTGCAGTCTGCATAACAGAGGGTCAAGGGGGCTTTGAGCTCCTCGGCACCAGGATGGTCACGATGGTCATGGTGGGAGATCAGTCGTAGGGAATGCTTGTTGGACGAACCAGGTTTCACAGCGGCAACAGGGCCGTGCTTGTGCATAGAATGAAGAGGCCGTCCGTGGTGTCAACCAAGGGTCCAGGGTAGCAACGCTAATACAAGTGTATACCACACGTGTAGTTCGTTTTGATGGTTCTGGAAGACGAGGTCTGAAATGCGAGGCATTGAAAGTACGGAGTAAGGGTTCAAGGGTAGCGGACCCCCCTGCTCGGCTGCCACCTTACCTTTGTGACAGGGGCCACTACCGCGGGAGGCGTTGCCCGCCCGGCCCATGACACGTGAAGTGCAATTTCCCGCTACTCTGCGGGTATGACGAGGTGCCCCAGACCCAAAGGAGGATGGGCACTTCGCGGTCATGCAGCATGCAGGCCGGTGCAGCCCAGTGAGGTGCGTCCCGTCGCGTTATGCTCCCCCTCTCTGCAGGGAGATTTGTTGATCAATGAAAACGCCCATTTTTTCCCACCGTCATTTGGAGATCTGGGGGGGCATTCCCCAAGTTAACCCGACAACCTGTTCCACTTCCACCACCAGAATCCACGAGAACCAAACCCGCCAGGCCCGCCCGTGCACCTCTCGGCCGGAGACGCAACCAGCCCTCCCCTCCATGACCCCTGGCTCGGAGGATAGAGCAGCAGCCAACAACAACAGACCGGCCGACCACTCCTACCCTCAGTCAACCAGGGAACCGTTATACCAGATACCGAACCTGAGGCCTGCCGGCCAGGGTCATTTGCTACCCTCGTGCTCGCGAGGTCCACGACTCACCCTCTCTGCAAGGCGCTGCAGCGCTGCTTCAGGCACGCGCCCCTCAGCCAGCACGGTACGATCCTGGTCCTGTAGCCACGGCCGACCGTCTCCGACCTCGACCGCGACCGCGACCAGAGCCGGTTTCTTTTGGGGTCAGAGAATGAGCTTGGGTGTCGCGTCGAGAAGTCGGTATCACATGCTGGGACCACAGAGGGACCTCCACTGAGACTCTGCAACATCGGTTTGGAGCCATAGTTTGCGGGCAACGACTGGTACCTGCTATTCAACCCGACTATTGCCCAGCCGTCCCGAGGGCCTGCGAACCTTGAACCTCTCGTCGTCAACCTGTACCGGCCCCTCCTTTCAAGTCGTCTTTCTTGTTGCGCGAGGCCTTTACAAGGCCTGCGCTCAAATAGGATCCAGCAGCCATGGCCGGAGGAAACATCAAGGTCGTGGTGAGGGTGCGGCCGTTCAACAGCAGAGGTGAGTCCGTCTCCGGCAGCCCCCCTCCTACCTTACAACAACAACGGCTTCCGCTGTAGAGTCGTCCGAGGCTGACAGGTATCCACCGCAGAAATCGACCGCGGCGCAAAATGTATCGTGGAGATGAAAGATGCCCAGACAGTCCTTACCCCGCCGCCAGATGCTCCCCAGGGCAAGAACTCGAAAGACAGTGGCCAGAAAGTATTCGCATTTGATCGATCATATTGGTCCTTCAACAAGAACGACTCGCATTATGCCGAACAGCACCACTTACATGAGGATCTGGGAAAGCCGCTTCTGGACAATGCGTTCCAAGGTTACAACAACTGTATTTTTGCGTACGGCCAGACCGGTTCTGGAAAGTCCTACTCGATGATGGGCTATGGCAAAGAACATGGTATCATCCCTATGATCTGTCAAGACATGTTTGAAAGAATAAGTGGCATAACACAGGCGGACCCGCACACGCGATGCACTGTGGAGGTGTCGTATTTGGAAATCTACAATGAGAGAGTCAAGGACTTGTTAAATCCAGGCACCAAGGGGAACCTAAAAGTCCGAGAGCACCCGTCGACCGGTCCTTACGTTGAAGACCTCGCCAAACTCGTCGTCGGCAGCTTTCAGGAGGTCGAACACCTCATGGATGAGGGCAACAAGGCCAGAACCGTGGCCGCTACGAACATGAATGCGACATCCAGCCGAAGCCACGCCGTGTTTACACTCATGCTCACTCAGAAGACGGTCGACACCGAAACCAAGATGGAGATGGAGAAAGTTGCCAAGATCAGTCTGGTCGATCTCGCGGGTTCCGAACGAGCGACGTCCACGGGTGCCACAGGGGCGCGTCTCAAAGAAGGTGCCGAGATCAACAGGTCGCTGTCCACGCTCGGCCGAGTAATCGCTGCTCTCGCAGATCTCTCCACCGGCAAGAAAAAGAAAGGCGCGGCTTCACAAGTACCCTATCGAGACTCAGTCCTCACATGGCTGCTGAAGGACTCCTTGGGTGGTAACAGTATGACTGCAATGATAGCAGCTATCAGTCCTGCTGATATCAACTATGACGAGACCTTGAGTACGCTGAGATATGCCGATTCCGCCAAACGAATCAAGAACCACGCTGTTGTCAACGAGGACGCCAATGCCCGCATGATCAGAGAGCTCAAGGAAGAGCTGGCTCAGCTCAGGAGCAAGCTCAGCGGCGGAGGCGGTTCTGTCGGCGGAGCTGGCGTGCCCGCAGATGAAGTCTACGCGGAGGGCACGCCTCTCGAAAAACAACTGGTCACGATTACTGCATCAGACGGCTCTACGAAGAAGGTTTCCAAGGCGGAAATCGCCGAGCAGCTGAGCCAAAGCGAAAAGCTGCTGTCAGACCTTAACCAGACCTGGGAGCAGAAGATGGCCAAGACAGAGGAGATCCACCAAGAGCGGGAGGCTGCCCTTGAGGAACTCGGCATCAGCATCGAGAAGGGATTCGTTGGGCTGAGCACCCCCAAAAGGATGCCGCATTTGGTCAACCTGTCCGATGATCCGCTCCTGGCGGAGTGTCTCGTCTACAACTTGAAGCCTGGCATCACAACCGTGGGCAATGTCGAATCGGAGGCCAACAGCAACCTTGGAATAAGATTGAAAGGAACCAGAATCCAAGCCGAGCATTGCTCGTTTGAAAATGCTGCGGATGGCACTGTCACACTCTCCCCCAGGGAAGGCGCGGCCGTCATGATCAATGGCAAGCGAATCACCGAGCCGCAGCAGTTGCATTCGGGCTATCGCGTCATTCTTGGTGATTTCCACATCTTCAGGTTCAATCATCCTATGGAAGCTCAGGCGGAGCGAGCAGAGAGGACTGAAACGCAACGGCAGAGTCTCCTGCGTCAGTCGATCACTGCCAGCCAACTACAGGCGCTCGAGCGTACATCGCCAACGCCTAGCCCGAGGCTCCCACATGAGCGTAGCTGGAGTAAAGCAGGATCCGAGTTCGGCAGTGATAGCCGTTCAGACTCGCCAGCGCCGCGCGGTCGCGATACCGACTGGTCGATGGCCAGACGAGAAGCTGCAGGGGCCATTCTCGGCTCGGACCAGAACCTTTCAAACCTGACAGATGAGGAACTCAATGCACTTTTTGAGGACGTTCAGCGAGCCAGGGCTGAGCGTGTCACCGGGAAGGAGGGTGAGGACGACATGGAATCTCAGGCGTCCTACCCCGTCAGAGAAAAGTACATGTCGACTGGTACGATCGACAACTTCTCACTTGATACGGCTCTGACGATACCTTCGACACCGAAACAAGGCGATTCTGACGACAAAATGCGCGATGCTCGTGATGAAATGCAGACGCAATTGGATAAGCAAAAGGAGGAATTTCATGAACAGCTAAGGGCCGCTCAAGCAGCCAATGTCGAAGTCGAAGAGATTAGGAAAGAGAAGGCGCACATGGAGGAGACCTTGAAGAAGATGAAAGAGGACATGCAGAAACAGCTCGAAGTACAGAAGCGCGACTTTGAGGCCAAAATCGAGAAGCTCGATCCTCTAAAGAGGCCGAAAGCAAACCCCAAGCTATCGGACGATGAGATCGAGCTGGCCAAGAAAGTTGTAAAGCATTGGAGAGGTCGACGGTACGTTCAGATGGCCGAATCAGTGCTACAACATGCTGCGACCTTGAAAGAGGCACAAATCATGAGCCAGGAGTTGGATGAGAGCGTCGTCTTCCAGTTCTGCGTCGTTGATTCGGGCCATGACCTCTGTTCTTCTTACGATATGATCCTCAACGGTGGAGAGTCCGACGACTTCGCGCTCGAGCAAGCAATCAAGCCGTGCATCGGCGTCCGCGTGGTGGATTACAAACACAGCCTGGTCCATCTCTGGAGCTTGCACAAGTTGCACGACCGTGTTCGGCAAATGCGACAGATGCACCAGTATCTGGATCAGCCAGAGTACGCTCAGCATCTGAGTCTCGACAATCCCTTTATCGAGACCTGCATGCCTCAGTACACGCTTGTGGGGGAGGCAGATGTTCCGCTGAAGGCGGTCTTTGAGTCTCGAGTCCAAGACTTCCATCTCGACGTGCTCTCGCCACATACGTCTCACGCCATCGGTATCATCAAGTTGTCGCTCGAACCGTCATCAGCCCGAGCACCTACAAATTCGCTAAAGTTCAACGTTGTGATGCACGAAATGGTGGGGTTCGCCGAGCGCGAAGGCACGGAAGTGCATGCCCAACTTTTCATCCCTGGCATTTCCGAAGAGGACGGCATCACAACCACCCAGATGGTGAAGGATTTCGACGAAGATCCTATCCGATTTGAGAGCGTCCATAGCATGAACGTTCCCCTTTTCGCTCCTCCTGAGGTGGTTCTGCGTGTGGCCATTTTTGCAAAAGTGTCCTCTATGCACCTCGACAAGCTCCTTAGCTGGGATGACATGCGAGATGCTGTGCCCAGCTCGAGAGGCAAGCCTAAATCAGCTCGGATCAACGAGTCCCACTTCTACACTGAAGAAAAGCATGATCTGCTTTCTCGCATTCAGGTCTTGGAAATGGACGAGAATGGCGAATATGTCCCAGTCGAGGTTGCACAAACCGGCGAGCTGGACAGTGGAACCTTTCAACTGCACCAGGGTTTGCAGAGACGCATAACTGTCAACCTGAATCACAGCTCTGGCGATATCCTACCCTGGGACGACGTGGTTTCCGTTCGTGTTGGAAAGATACAGCTCGTGGATGCTGCTGGGAAGAATCCGGACTTGGGCGCCGCCTCACCCGACATTTCTCTCAAATTGGTGTCACAACCTGTCTTCCGACAAAACGCCAATGGCACGCGCAGCGTCACCATCACCGGCCAGTGGGACTCTAGCTTGCACAATTCGCTTCTGTTGGACCGCACGACAGGGGAAAAGTATCGAGTGCAGATGGCCATCAGCTGGGAAATAAGTTCCTCAAAGCTCGCCGAGCCCATGCGTTTCTCGAAGAACGTCTTCTGCCAAATTCTGTCGCGCTCCTTCGTGCGGCAGACGTCTATGCTCTCTGCCCTCTGGCAGAGTGTCCGCTTTGTGCATTCCAGCACAGCCATTTTCACCCTCAAAATGCGTCCGGCGCCTATCAAGCGAGTTGGTGATCTGTGGAGAATGAACAGCCAGCACGACTACGTGAAGGGCGAGGAAAACTTGACCACCTGGACTCCGCGAGGCATTTCTCTGATCAGCGATTACATCAGCACGCGGAAAAAGCGCAGGCGCATCGCTGAGATTGGTGCAATGCAGAACTTTCTGAAGAAGGTGGGACTGCCGGAGCCGAGAGCTGCGCTAGATGGAGGAAACCAAGGACTGGACCCTGGCTCCCCGCCCGAAAGTCAGAGGGAAGACGATGTTGACTCAATCGACGAGTTGCTACAGGATACTCCAGATGTGTCGCAGGTTCTGGATCCTGTGGAACCTCCAATGCCAATCGACGAAGCAGCGCGTGAGTCAGCCGATGAGCAATCGGGTGACCTATCTGGCGGGCAACCTGGTGAACTATTTGGTGGGCAGGAGCAGGCACAGCCAACAAAAGGCGAGCCACCAAATCAAGAGGACGAAATAGCGACTGAGCTCTCAGAAAGGACTATTCCGAAGTCAGAATACTCTGAGCGTGAGTCGTTCATTCTAGAGCGATGTCTGAAGCTGTGGAGAAGATACCCGGACCCCCTCAACCAGATATTGAGCGAAGTAAACACCAAACCACCTGAGCACGGCAACCCAGTTTCTCCTTCACAGCCCGAGCTCTTGGCTACCGTCATCCGCGTTTCCAAGAACCCGACTGTGCTCAAGGGCGGCTACCTCCTGGTGCCGAGCAGTGATGCCACTCGATGGATAAAGCGTTTCGTGGAGTTGCGCCGACCATACCTCCACATCCACAACGTTACAGATGGGGAGGAGGTTGCCATCGTCAGCTTGCGCAACTCTCGAGTCGACAGCCAGCCGACCATTCTGGACTTGCTGAACGAGACAGATGGTGACGACGGCGGTATGGACATGAGTGCCGCCCTGACCGCGTCACCTGAACAACTCCGTTCACAACAGAATAGCAGCAGGCCAACGCACCACCGGAGAGGCTCCTCGGGACGGGTCATCACTAGCATCGTTGGTAATATCAACGGTGATGGGACTGCATCGTCACATGCCAGGAACAGAAGCGTCAGTTCTGGACTCGCCAAGCTGTCACCAAGGCTGCAAGCCGGCGTGTTTGCCATCTACGGGACGGATAATACTTGGCTCTTCGCGGCTCGGAGCGAGCGTGACAAGCTCGACTGGATCTTCAAGATTGATCAGAGCTATTTCTCGTCGAGCAGTGGGAGTCCGGAGGGGAACGGTGCTGAGAGCCCTAATGGGGGCTACTGAATGACCTGGACTAATCTGGGAGATCTTGGCTTATTGCTTGACCACGATTGGGATAAGGCGTTCATGCGAAGGTGAATTGCTCTGAGCAGTTCGGAGCGCAATCTCGCTATCAAGGCATAATATGCTACAGTCGTTTCCGGCGGCAAACATAGAATCAGCTTCAGGTTCTGTGAGGAGCCTAGCAGCACCCCATATTTCCTTTGTTTTGTGCTTGTCCGTGTCGCTATGTGTTATAGACTATACCCATACCCCCCTTTCGCGATAGTGGCCACAGAAGAATGCATATGCCATGATGGCGCGGAGAAGAAGACTTGAGAGAAAAGCCGAGGGAAAGATGCAGGATACCCAGGCACATTGTCTATCTGGATTAATCAGGTTCGTGCCGGGCAGCTAGAAGAGATAGGTTTCTGGATGACTGAAAGAAATGATGGGAACCATGATTGCTACTAAGGAACTCTCCATGTTCTGACCCTCGGCCATCATCCCATCAGACTCTGCATAAGTATCTACCTAGGTACCTAGGTGGGTACCTAGGTGGGTACCTAGGTGGGTACCTAGGTTGGTGGATCTTGTTTCCAGGCTTGTTTGATGTGTTGTGACAGGCCATGATTGTTTTCTTGGTGAAGCTTCGGCGAAAGGGCCGCAAATGCACCGGACCCTGACTAGGTAACGATAAGGAGAGCCGTGGCCGCCCGATAAGAGCTCTGGCTCGCACCTGGACAAATGACTTCATAGCACCTGGACCAGGGGGGGGGGGGTGTGGTTGGCCCAAGGCTGCGAGGTCAGCTGTTTGCAACACCAAATTCGTCCGCCAACCTTTTCGTCCCTTTCTCTTCCTCCTTCATCGCGGCAAATATGCTCTAGATTTAAAGCACCATTGTGCCCTCAACTCTCCAAGCCTCCAAAACCCCGGTTGAAACGCCTGCTTCAGAGACATGAAGCCCGCCATTGCAGTGCCCGCCCTCGGGCTGATGATCTTTCGGGCTTATTCTAAAAAGTCATTGACAACCGGTGGCCTTATTGCAGCAACTCTCACAGGCATTGCCCATGCCGTACATCCATGGAACCTTCCCTTCGCCCTGCTCTGCGTCTTCTTCCTTTCCGGTACCCGGGTCACTCACGTAAGGCTATCCTGAGGCCGTCAAGCCAGCCAGCCGACTGACAGCGACGACTGACTCTTATGTTTCGCCAGGTCAAAGAAGATGTCAAGGCCAAGTTGACCATGGCCTCGAAAGGCACATCTGGCGGGGAAGGGCCGCGGAACCATGTCCAAGGTAATCGCCCCTGCGCGAGGGCAACCGTGTCTACAATAGCGGCTGACCCTGTCCCCTCATGCAGTCCTCGCGAACTCGGCTGTCGCCTCGATCCTCTCTCTTCTCCACGCCTACCAACTCCGACAACGAGCAGCCTCTATTACCCAATATCAAGCCATCCCCGAGGGCTCGTTCTGCTTCGGCTGGGGCGGAGACATCCTCGTGGTGGGCATCATCGCCAACTACGCCGCCGTCGCGGCCGACACTTTCTCGTCAGAGCTCGGTATCCTGGCCAAGGGACCACCACGCCTGATCACATCGCCCACTTTCCGCAAGGTCCCTCCCGGTACGAACGGCGGCGTTACACTTACGGGACTCGGCGCGGGACTGCTCGGGAGCATGATCATCGTTGTAACATCGATGCTTCTTGTGCCCTTCTGCAACGACTCTACAGCCGGGAAGGTCGGCGGTGGGCAGCCCTGGACGCTACCGCAGAGGAACATGCTGATGTTCGCACTAACACTGTGGGGCGCGCTGGGTAGCGTGCTGGACTCGGTCCTCGGGGCAGTCCTGCAGCGCAGTGTGAGGGATGTCCGGAGCGGACGGATCGTCGAGGGCGAGGGTGGCCAGCGCGTCCTGGTCTCGTCTCCAGCCCGCAAGTCGGTACAAAACCAGAAGAGGGCAGAGGTCAAAGCCGCCGCACTCGGTTGGGAGGGAAAGGATGCGGTTGAGCAGACGGGCGGCTCGGCAGTGGATGACGCCGAGGGCACGGACAGGTACAATCCCAAGGATAAGCACCGGAAGTCAAGCTTTGGCGACGAGAGGCCCTCGAGGGTGGTTGAATCGGGCTGGGATGTTCTTGACAACAACGAGGTCAATTTCCTGATGGCACTTACGATGTCTGTGGGCTCGATGATGATCGCATCCTGGTACTGGGAGCAGCCGTTGGAGGATCTTCTCAAGTTATAGTGCTGCATGTGCTCAACATTGAGATGGCCGCGTGCCGACCGGACGGAGGACCGACGACGGAGGACGAGTTTAGTATAGTGAAACCAATCTACAGTGAGGCATAGGCAACGGACTTGTGAGGCCTGTTTTGGGCTCGACGTGGACTGTGCTGAAGCCACTCATACTGAGTGCAGTGATGGCATCGAATTGCTTCCCCGTTGGATCGAGAAGAAACATGGCACGGGCAAGAATTTTGAAGAACACTGTCTTGGGCACCCCAGCGGTGCTGCCAGGCTGGCCAGCGTGCTCAGGTTCCCTCTCAGACCCGCCGCCGGGCGCCAGACGGGCAGGGAAGGCTCGGCACCCGAGACCCCTGCACCCGCACCTGCAGGCTGCACCTGTGATCCTTGCATGACGGCCCCACGCCAGATAACGCGTCCAAGACGCGTTTTAATTGATCCTCAAACTACATATTGCTGACGGACAGCCAAACCCACCACCGAGCAACCACGCGCTTCCTCGACGTACCGGTCCCTTTCTGGTCGCTGCTCACCAGATCCGTTCTTCAAATTGCAGGGGGGAAATAACAAAAGAACCAGCCATGAACCTCAGTCCGACCAAGCGGCGCAAGCACAAGGACATCGCCGGTGCCATGTTCACTGGCCGTGGCGTAGCCCCTCTGTCCTCCGCCGCGCCTTCGTCGTCGCCGGCCTTTGGGACCCCCGTGCACCCCGTCAGGCCCTTCAGCATCTCGACAACCAAGCATGCGCCCATACTGCCCATTCTTCTCCCAGCTGCGACTTTGCGGCCCCTCGCCTTCCGAACCTTTACCAAGAAACACTCCCTCACCCTGACGTCTTCCGCACTGCAGGAACTCGCAAGCTTTATTGGACGGCACTGCGGCTCAGGGTGGCGAGAAGAGGGACTGGCCGAGAAGGTTCTAGAGGAGGCCGCGCGATCGTGGAAGAACAGGAATGGTGGGGTCATTGTTGACGGCGCCAACCCGGAATTGAAGGACATATTAAAGGCATTGGAGGGCAACATGAGCGGCGGAACTGTCGTCACTGGTGCTAAGGGCCTCAGCCGACAGAACAGCCTGCTTCTGGATGCCCAACAGGAGGATGGCGATGTGTCCAACGCGCGCCTGGGCCTCAGACCAGTGGCCGCCCTGGCGCGAGAAGACAGCTCGACAAGTTTCGGCATGTCATCTTTGGAGGTCGATCAAGACCATGATGAGGATGCCAAGGACCCGAGACAATGGCTGAGAGTCATCAATGCGCTTGAACAGCCAAGATACATATACAACGTCGACAAGAAGCACTTCGAAAGGTCAGTACTCAGACTCCGGGCTGAGCAGTCTGCATGACAAGGTGCTGACGTTGGATACAATTCAGGGAAACAAAGAAGCCTTCCCTCATGCCACCGGCCTCCCACAAGACCATGGTATTCCGCAACCGCTTCAACGTCATCCACCAACGTCTTCTTCGCAATGAGTCATTCCAATCATCCGCTGTCTCCACTGCCCGCGCCAATTCTGCGAGGAGATCTGACTCTGCAGCGTCAGCATTCCACAAAATCACACCCATAGCAAACCTTCTTGGCCGTCACGGTAGCCAACACATGCTCCTAGGAATGCTGACCGTCCTGCCAACCGGAAACCTGGCTGTCAGCGACCTCACCGGCTCAATCAAGCTAGATCTCAGGCAGGCAGTCGCCATCCCCGAGGACTCGTCTTGGTTTACACCGGGTATGATTGTCCTGATCGACGGTGTCTACGAGGAAGACGAAGATGCTTCTGCCGGCAGCAAAGTCGGCCTGAGCGGAAGTTCTGGCGTTGGAGGCGTCATAGGTGGACGTTTCCAAGGCTTCTTGATAGGTCAACCACCATGCGAGAAGCGACGTGTGACCCTGGGAGTCAGTGGGCCCGATAGCGACACCATTGGCGGAGGTTTTGGATGGATCGATTTCTTGGGAGTGGGGAGCGAGCGGGCCACTGGCTCTCGCATGAGGAGAGTGCAGCAGAGGCTCCTCCGGAGGCCCCTATCTGAAGATGACCCGGGCAGCGGCAGGGGACGAATTGTGGTCTTGGGAGAGATGAATCTGGATCAGCCGCGCACGTTGCAAGCTGTCAAGAAGCTCCTGTCAGGGTACGCGAACGAGCCTGAAGGAGAAACGCCGCTGTGCTTCGTGTTCACGGGGAGCTTCGCAAAGCATGCGGTGATGGCGAGAGGTGGGAGTGGAGGTAGCGTGGAGTACAAGGAGTATTTCGACTCTTTGGCTGCTGTGCTCGCAGAGTTTCCTATGCTCCTTACGTCCGCGACTTTTGTGTTCGTGCCAGGAGACAACGACGGTTGGGCTTCAGCGTTTTCAGCAGGTGCAGCCACACCCTTGCCCCGAAAACCGGTACCAGACCTGTTTACGAGCAGGATAAGGAGGACGTTTGCAACTGCGAATAGTGAGGCTTCGAAGGCAGGGCAGGAGGGCAGTGGTGAGGCGATTTTCACATCCAATCCGAGCCGACTGAGCTTATTCGGGCCGTGCCACGAGATGGTCTTGTTCAGAGATGACATCTCGGCCCGGCTGAGGAGGTCAGCCGTCCGTCTGAAGCGCCCTCGAGACGCAGAGAACGGTGACGAGCCACCGGACGGCGAGGACATGGATATGTCATGCGCCAACGGCGAGGCCGAGCCAGTCCCCGACGAGATGGACGTGGACCCCTCCACGCCGCGCAAGAAAGCGAAGCACTCGGAGCCTGGTGTGCCCTATGATATCCTCGCCGCCCGCAAACTGGTCAAGACGGTCCTGGACCAAGGCTACCTCGCCCCCTTTCGCCAGTCGGTCCGCCCTGTACACTGGGACTACGCGGGATCCATGCATCTGTATCCGCTGCCCACGGCTATGATGCTCGTGGACGCTACGGCGCCGTCGTTCTGTGTCACGTACGAAGGATGCCACGTCATGAACCCGGGGTCACTGCTCGTTACTGGGAGGCGAGGCATGGCGAGATGGGTGGAGTATGAGGTTGGCAAGACCGGGAGGGTCAGAGAAGTCTTGTTCTAGAAATGCTTGGTCGCGTGGACGAAAAATAGAGAACGGGCTCGCACAGGACAGAGACCTAATGCATTTACGATTAATGACGCATCTAGCACATGACCTCAACCAAGGAAGAATTAACACCTGCCATTTGTTGATGTTGTGCTGGCTATAATCAGTTCTGAATCCGAAGAAATTATACGAGACCGGGCGAGCTGCGGAACATGAAGCTGGCGAGCAGATAGGCAGGGGCGGAACCCGTCTGAACATCCTTCTTCGAGCTCATGTCAGACAAGCAGGCTCATGGCTTGATCCTGAATTTCCCATTCCGGGGGCGTTGACTATTCTCAAGCACCTCAGCCACCTGATGAAATCTTACACTTAGAGCAGGCCCGAATATCCTTTCTCGGGAAACGCAATGTTACGTCGAACCTACTTCCTGTTCTCAATTTGTTTCACAAGATTCAGGGCTTTCTGCTCGGCGGCCCCAAAGACTGACTATTAAATCTACGTGTTTTCTAGCGCTCCGAGGAACACGGGCAGGACAATTTCCAGTGCGTAGCTCGGCTACGAGCAGGTGGTATGGCATGCTGAGGAGGTGGCTCCGCTGAGGCTCATCACCCCTTGCAAAGGAGATATTTGTCAGCGAGTGAAGGCGAGATGCTGCCGGGCCGCCTCGACCGCAGCTGTCAAGCAAGTCATGCAAATTGTTCTTGCGTAGAATTGGCTTTGTGCACCGTTTAGCATCATTCAGCATCATGATGATTTCACCCCACATGAACTGGGCGCAGGTTTAGCCACGGGTGTCAGCGTATCAAGGTACTTTGCTTTTGATATATATTGGCGCGAAATAAGAGCGCGTGATCGTGGGCATGGCATTCCATCTGAGCGATAGTCAGCTCTATTATGATGATCTATGCATCGATCGCCTCGTGGGAAGGACCTGCCGACGGGAGGAGCTCCTGCTCCAGGCCAGCAAGGGCGAAAGTGCCACTCTGCCCGAAGACTGGGTAGGCGCGAAAAGGTCTCGGACGCGAGGATCATGAGACCATAGACAATATGCGGAACGAACCGGTCAAGATGTCTCTCGGGAGCACCCTTAAATTGTTTCCTCGTGTGTTGTACTTTCCCCATGCCTCTCAGAGACATCATCATCTCCCACGAGCCGCGCCAGGTAAACCTTGCCGGGGAGGAAGGTCATGGCAATGTGCCGTGATCGTAATTAAATCCTCCCCTTCGATGGTGTCCTACACCGCCACCTCGTCTCCCATGACGTGAAGTATACATGGAGATGTCTCGGGTTCATCAGGACACCGGCGCGACCTGGCCGATAGTGGAAGGCGGGCAACAACAGCAGAGCCAGCCAAGCATGACTATCACCGTGGCAAGCCTCGTGTGCACGACAGGAAAGAAAAAAGGACGTGATGAGGCAGCCGTTGCACACCCGGGGCCGAATGACCTGAGCGGGACTGCAGTAGTGTTGCACGACGCGGAGGCAAAACGGCCCTGCTTTGGAGGATACTATCGCTCGGGAACTCTTGCCCAACGTGTCACATCATGGTCTTGATCAAGGGAAAACGCAGCAGGCATGGACACGGCGTCTCGTGAGCAGGGTTCTCGGCTCGCCCTCGCGTGGGCGTGGGCGTGCTCGTCCCAGGTGGGACCTCTGAGTCTCCCAAAGGAGCAAGCTAGACGTTCCGCGGCTCATGCAGTGTAAGGTGCCACACGAGGGGACCCGTGTTCCTAACGCCCACCACCAATGTACTTACCTAAGCCCCCCTCCCCACCCTTTCCCTCTGCCCAAACGCATATCTGCCGGTCGATGTTTCGGGTCCGAGGGCGCCTAGGCCGGGATCGACATGGCATGGTTGTATGATGGCTGCGATACGACGGTGAGGGCTGATCCGGCCGAATTCCCGTATCTCGTGCGATGATGGCGTCGAAGAAGCTTTGCTGTGCGCTGGCAGGGTGTGATGAGAGAAACAGGCGGCCTGCTTGCCTCGAGGTACCACAATGCCGTGTTGTCCTTTGTGACTTTTGGTATCGCATGCTGGGCCTGTTTTCCCTTCCCCCGCAGACGGGAGATGATGAGTCAGGCCTGCACATGCTGCTCGTTCGTCCCATGAATCATCCCCATCCAGGTCTTTTCTGTGCTTCTAGCGGCGCTGGCACGGGCGATGCCGTATTGCTGGTGGCACCATGCGTGGCTGGAGATGAAGGGTGGCCGGGGTGACCCAGGCGTGAGACCTGGCTGGCTCTGAGGCTTTGCTTCTGGGTCTTCCCAAGCGCGCCATCATGGCCACCCCAGCTGCCCAGACGCCGGCTGCGAGACAAAAAAGACAAAAGCGCCAGGACCGGCCAGGATGGGGTCTCCCCGCCACGGATGCTGACATGTCGCCGACACGGCCCGGCAGAGTGGGCGTGGTCGTGGGCGCGGGCGTGTTGGGCTTTGCACGATCAAATGAGAGCTGGGTTGGGCGGTGCATATGACGTTGGACAGGTAGCGCCGCTGGGTGGGAGGGTTGCATTGTAGGGCGGGCAGAGTGGGAGGGAAGGATCATTATGCTTCGACTGGGGCTGCTGGGGCTGCTGGGGCTGCTGGGGCTGCTGGGGCTGCTGGGGCTGCTGGGGCTGCTGGGGCTGCTGGGGCCCTTCCTCAGCCGTTCCAGCCTGCCAGCTGATACACAGTCTTGACAGTAGACTATGTAGTATCTATCAGATCTGGGTCAGAGCCACTACTACATGCATGGGTCTAGCGCCCACCATCAGGCAGGCAGTCAGGCCTGTAACAGGGTGGGCATCTGCGCATCTGCCTAGCTGCCAGCGCTGATTAACGCGCATCTGCTGGGCTGCCCTGGCTGCCCTGGCTGCATCGCTCGGCACTCGACAGCGACAGTGTCAGTCCAAACCAGGCTTGGCCATCCTGGAGCTGCCGTGACCAGCCCTCCCTGGTCCTGCCCGAGCTTCTTTAGACGTCACCTCAACCAGCAGGGGGCAGCCGCTCGACCTCCCTGCCTGCCTTTCCTTTTCTCCTCTTGTTCATTGTTGCCGACCGACCACCTCTTCGCAACGCAGAGCAGCTGCAGCTGCTGCAAGATCGTCCAATACTACTACCAGGCTCCGTCCTCGCGCAACATCAGCCCCGGTCCTGGTCATACCTCTCGCCTCTCCCCTCGCCGCCTGGGTCATCCTCGTACTCGCAGCCCAAGACGCCATTGGCCAGGGAGGATATGTCTGTGATATCCAACCTACATCCAGGTGTGCTTACACTGCATTAGGCCCGCCATGCACAGCAGAAAACACGCCGACATGCATGCCATATCTTGGTTCTGCATATACCACGTCCAGGCGTGCAGATGCAACCCCCTCCTCACCCTCGCCCTCGCCATGATGGGTGTGGAGAGGCTGAGATGCCCGGCGCGCCCTCTGGCCCTCCAAGTCAGCCACTTGGGCACTTGGGCCCTCAGCTGTCGAGACGGCTTCCAACCTTGTTGCCCGCCCATTCGTTCGCGTCGCGTATCAGACCAACTAGGCCCCCGCATAATCACCTTGGGGCTGACGGCTGCTGATGCTCGTCAGGCCACTTATCAGAGCGCCGGCCGACAGTAAGCCGCCAGCTCGACACTGAGACTGGCCTCCTCCCCCCTCCCGGAAGACCTTCCGCTCGTGTCCTTGTCCCCGGGCCCTCTGCCAACCCGCCCTCGCGCCTCGGCTGCCTTGGCTGCGGACAGCAGCGGCCGGAGGCTTCGCCCACCTGATGAGCGAGACCACCCCCCGGGCTCCGTTGCGCCGTGCGGCGCCGCTTGTCGCTTAGGGCCTCCACACCCAAGATTACCCTCGTTTGCTTTTTCTCTCATCATCTCTTTCCGTGCGTCAGATACGCCTTGCAACCACAATCTCCCAGTCTCTAGCCACATGTTCAACACCATGGCTGGAGCTCTCCTGGTGACCTCCCCCTTCTCGATCCGTGTTTGTTCCGTGTCAAGACTTTGCTCTCCGCGTGAACTGTATCTCTTCTTCTCGTTTTTTGGAGGAGGGGGGCGGGGACGGGTCCGGTCCATGTCGATCCCGACTCACCGGCCTTTAAGGTTGATTAAGTCTCACACTGGAGCCGCTGAGCTTGCTTCTCCCCAGACCCCTGAGGGGCATACTACCAAGCCACCCTTGATCTGCATCTCATACTAGGCTAGCGGTGGCTACAGAGAGCTACTAGTACGTGTAATCCTTAGGACTTGTTGTCACTGATAGACTTCCCTATTTGGATGTTACAGGCCTGAAGGGTAGCATCGAGTAAGTACCATCGTGGTTTTGAAGTGTCATCCCGGGAGACTGGCCATCTGCGAGACGGATAATCGGCAGATCAATTGGCATCCAGAACCGACTTTCCGCACGCTGTGTACTATGTGTCATGGGGATTGTTGCCATGTTCGGGCCGGGACAGCCCCAGGACGACATAGGCGCATCGCAACAAGTGCAGGACTATCGATTGCACCCGGCCTCGCTTGTCAAGATGAGACAGGGTGGGCCAGGCCCATCCAGGGCCACATGCTCGACGACTTACGGCCGCTCGCATACTGATACTGCCTGCCTGCGCTGGACTGACGGTCCGATGGCGCCCTCAGATGATGAGCGCCCTCCCTTCTCAGCCTCGAATCTCACCATGCCTTACTATGCTTCACCATGCATGCTATACAGCCCCTGGGGATATCGGCTAGCTTTCCCTGACGCTCTGGGGACCAAGGTGTAGCAAGGGTACACACCTGAGTACCGCCACATGGTTAACCACGTTGGACGAAAGCGGCAACCCATGTGTCTAGCTGCACAACACGCTCATCTGCCTGTCTGCTTAAAGATCTTGTCTCGCTCCCTCTGGACTGCACAGAGGACGTCGTCTACCTGTCAGTGTCCTCTTGGTACTTGTTCACCCTTCGCTATTGCGCCAGTCGTTCGTCCGTTTCCTGTGAGCTCATCTGCCCGTCGTGGTTGGACGCGTCAACCCTGCTATGATGTATTCTTCGAGCAGTCTTTTCCTGCTCCTGGGTTCGGTCAGCTTTGTGTGGGCCGCCACCGTTGAAGTCTACTGGGACATCACCTGGGTCAACGCTGCGCCCGACGGATACTCGCGGCCGGTCATTGGCATCAATGGAGCATGGCCATGCCCCCTGCTGGAGGCCAACGTTGGCGATACTGTCATCGTCCACGTGGACAACAAGCTGGGGAATGAGACGACTGGTATACACTTCCATGGAATCAACCAGCTAGGAACGCCCGAGATGGATGGCCCTTCCTCTACGACACAATGCTCCATCCCTCCCGGCTCGTCGGTGACCTATCAGTGGTTGGTATGCAATCTTTCAAAACTCTCCAAAGGACTGGGTGAGAGGAGGCTGACTCTATCCAATCAGGCCGATGCACCAGGCACATACTGGTACCACTCCCATCAGATGGGCCAGTATCCCGATGGCCTCAGGGGGCCAATGGTTGTCCACGACCCTCAGGACCCATACGCAGGCAAGGTCGACCAAGAGGTTATCCTCACTTGCAGTGACTGGTAAGACGAGCCTCGCGAGAACACTAAAATCACACGCTTGATTGCTAAACAAACGCCGGTCTAAAACAGGTACCACTCCCAGACCATCCCTCTTGTGCAGGCTATGCTTCAACCAAGTAATACACAATTCCGACCTCCGTTGCCAGACAGCATCCTCGTCAATGAAGGAGGCAGTACCCAAATCCCATTCGACAAAGGGAAGACCTACCGTTTCAGGATGATAAGCTTCTCAGCCTTTGGTGCCTGCCTGGTCCACTTCCAAAATCACACAATGCAGGTGATAATGCAGGATGGGTCATACGTGACCCAAGCCGAGGCCTCTCAGATTTACCTGTCTCCTGGACAACGGTATGACGTCCTGATCTCGGCTGCCAACACCGACAGCAGCAACTACCCCTTCCTTTTCGCTCTTGATGTGAACCCTGACTTCCGTGCCCCGGTCCTCGGCTTCCCCTACAACAAGACCGGATACCTTGTCACGGACCCATCCCAGAATAGCACCTCTGTCGATGTCGTCAACGTTTGGGATCCTGTCGACAGCGTCGCCTTCACAAACCCCGCGGGGGAGGGCCCTCTCGGCCCCGTTGGGACCAGCATCAAGCTCGATGTCACATTCTGCTTTGACAACAACAGCATCCCGCGCTCGTGCTTGAACGGCCAGCCATACGTGCCCCAGCGTGTGCCAACACTGTACTCTGCCGCCACCACCGGCGAGGACAACGCCAACCCCGCCGTCTATGGCGCCGTCAATCCGTTCATCGCCACCGGAGGTGAGATCATCGAGATAGTCCTCAACAACCTGGATACCGGGAGCCACCCCTTCCACCTTCACGGCCACCAGTTCCAGGTCCTGGCGGCGCCGGCCTCCAACTCGGGTTCCTTCTCGGGGGACACGTCCAACTTCCCCGCAAATCCTGCATATAAGGATGTCTTCTTGGTTAATGCCAAATCACATGCTGTGATCCGCTTCAAGGCCGACAACCCCGGCGCGTGGCTGTTCCACTGCCACAATGAGTGGCACGTCGAAATGGGCCTGACGGCGACGATCATCGAGGACCCGCCGAAGCTGCGCGGTTTGACGTTCCCGCAGGACCACATCGACGTCTGCAAGGCGATAGGGCAGCCCTACCAGGGTAACGCGGCCGGGAATACCCAGGACTACACCGACACGGCGGGGATGCAGTTTGTAAACCCCCCTACATATACCGGGTGAGTTTCCTTCTTTGCGGATGAACCTTCCCTTCCACCTCTACATTCCTGCTTTGGGGATGGTTGCTTTGAGAAGCTTCCGAGTCTGCCTTGCAGCATGGACGATGTGACGTATGTGTGTGTGTGACTGAGACTGACTTTGAAACAGGGCTCTATACGAACCAACCACTGTCCCTAGGCCGCGTTCTCGTATAGTCCGCACTAAGTTATGATTCCTGCTCGCGATTGATTCTCAGCATCTATGCGGATTCACACCTCTTTTATTTCTGCGCCTCGGTTCGTCCCTTTACTCCAGCCTAGGAGACCCCGTGTGTGTATTTGGGAAGTCCAGGGGGGGGGGGGGGACGAGTTGATCTGGGATCGACCGGACGCGTGCAGCATAATCATACCTTATCATGGAGGCTGCAGGCCCGAGTGCCCCGGAAGCCAAGTATATAGATATATAATGTCTGTGGCGATATCTCATATCCGTATCCCTTGGCCTTGCGCCATGGGTTGTAAATATGCACGTCATGTTTAGAAGGGTATGTAAAGAAGGACCGCGAACAAATCAGTAGGAATGAGTTTGCCCAACGTATGTCGCAGTCTCCTGAGGCGTGATAAATGAAACCTCGCCATACTGGGTAAGGATGATGATACCCAGGTAATTTTCCGGTGAGAAGCTTCTTTGCTGTCAGGATGGGGGCTGTGGAGATGGGCTTGACATGGCACAGAGTATGGGAGAAAGCGACGAGTTGGTATATATTGGCTGTGCAAGAGGGGATCGGACTCCCCACGCATGTCCTGGGTTGCAACGAGAAACTGGAGGGCCATAGTTCGTTGTTTACCATCGCACAAGACCAGCTAGCGAAGCGTGAGCTCCGATGACTGTACCACCCAACTCAGCCTCTTCATTGGAGCAGGGTGGTGCGACCGACATGCCATCGCTGCCTTCTTACTGGCCTCTTTCCTTTGTTTCAACATATGTCCGTCTCGGGTAACCCCAGATCTCTGGGTCGCGGCTGGATTTTGCGCTGGAATCTTCAACGTGTAAGCTCACCATAACCGACAGAGACTTACCGACCTGCCGTCATGATTTTGCCCAGAATGCAATTGGAGATTGGCTCACGAGCGAGCGGAGGACAAATAGACGGACTGGCCACTCAGCCTGCGGGGAGGATTCCTATCCTTGACTGGGCATCGTGGCGCGGGGGCATACTTTTCATTTCTTCTTGTGCTATTTCCAGCAACGTCCGATCGGTGTTAGGACGGCGTGTGAGAAAAGATCTGACGACACACAAGCATATGCCAAGCAAAGCGGCGGACGATACGCGTGCTGCAGGGTGTGAGCCGCGCGACGGGTGGAAGCTCTTGCGAAGGGGGGGCCGTTCACTTCCGGAGGGCAGCTGCCTGTCTGCCCTGTGCAAGGTGAGAACTTCTAGAAGGCTTTCCTGTGACACCTGGATGCCTGCTGTGGGAGTCAGGGCTACGTAGGGCGTGCTTCGGATGACACACGTACTGATTGAGAGTCGATCTCTTGCTGGCAGGGTTCATCGCCTTGGGCTGAGAGTCTTTTTCGAGCTAACCCTGTTCATAGAATTGGTCATATTGCATTAGAGCCACGTCCGGTACCGACCTTTGGGGTACACGGGTTTCGGATCACGATGTCCTTGGGCGAGGAGATTCATATTTACTGCAATGCTCACGGTGGATGGCATTTCGCAACTCGGATAGTCTCGCGTCCGCTTAGGAAATGCAAAAACCGTAGAATCTGTGATAACTCTCCTCTCCCAAGATCCTGCATCACTCGCTGGTGTTGCTCCGCTGACAAGACTCGTCTGTCATGCCAGGTCCACCCGGTCCGCCGGGCTTCCAGGATGTTGTGGAGATATTGGGCTAGTGAGTGGGCACAGAGCTGTCTCTCGCCCTGGCACAGCATTTTAGCCCAAGAGGGAGACGCTGCGGGCGACCGCAAGTCCCCATCTGCCAGCACTTGAGATGGGCCTCCTCACGTCTAGCCGACCCCGCGCTGAGGAATGGATATGCTGACGACATATCTCGATAGAAAAAGATGAGAAGACTAGCATAATGTTGGAGAAATGGTCCAGGGATGACCGAAAGCTCCCCTGCACTGGCTCGACGAGGCTGTGGGACGGCAGCAAAGTGCAGCGACCGGCACCCATTCCACCACAGATGCCCAGGTCACCGGCCAGGATAGCAGAGATATGGGAGAATAAGAGAGAGTTTGTGCCACCAAAGCTTCAGGAGATCATCCGTGCAGGTGGGAAGTTGCGCAAGCCAGCTCCTGCGGACTCGTAGACTTTGCTGATGTTGCCAGCCGACAAGGCCAAGGGATCAGTTCATCTTCAGTGCAGACAGGGTCGCTTCGACCAGGAGAAACTGAGCCGATGATCCTGAGAGCCGAGAGGACTCAGTGACACTGATCTTGATGTGTAGGTAGCGATAGTGATGTGACAAAAGTCTAGCCAAGTGTGGCAGTGGTCGGTGCTGGGCATGTGTGGAATAGTGACGGACGTCCGAGAGCAACGTTGCAGGATTGGGCTGTACGCAATGCCATGACTCTGCCCTGCCAGAAGGAAACCGAGGCTCTCCAAAGCCCTGGCACGCGGTATCAGACGATGACGGAGGGGCAAGGGAAGCACCGCGGCTCGGGCTCTTGGACTGGGTTGAAACAAACGTTGGCTCTGGCTATTGAATGACGAGATGGCGCTGCGTGTTTCTATTCTGAGCGTAGAGCATGGAGAATGGAGCCTGTGAGATTGAGTAAGCCGGCCTTCCCCTTATGAGCTGGGGCGTGTGGAAAACGGGTTCGGCGGTTGAAACAAGACGAGAGCTATGACCACGGGAGCCGGTTGGTTCGAGCTCTTGGTCGACGGGAGGTTTCCGCTTGCGAGCATGGTCGGATCAACCGTCCCGAGAAACCAGGGGAAGCGCCAGAGGCAGTAGAGGATCAAGTCCACGGCCCCAAAAAGCGATCGAAGATGTATGGACCCCCTCGGGCATGTCAATCGGCGCTATGTTCCTAGCCCATGATAAGGAAGGGACGCCAATAGTCTGGCCAGAAGATGCCGATCTGTGCAGAACTCCAGCATCTTTGTCGTATTCCGCAACCGGGCGGATTGCGAACACCAGAATTAGGCACCCCCGAGGCGAGGCCTGAGCTGTAAGCGCGGGAGAGGCCAAGGCGAAGGGATGTTTTTGAAGCGCTGCTTGATCATCATCCGCTCGGCCGAGCAGGAAGCCATCGAGACAGCCAGGCAGACAGAGGCCTAGGCTTGCGGCGGCAAAGGCGATCATAGTCGCACGGCCGGAGGAGCTGGCTGACAGGACGGTCGTACAACATGCGAGGTGCTGTGCAGGACAGCCAGCGCTCTAGGCCAGTGATGCCGTACGGAACAGAGGCAGAGAAGCAAGAGAAAGGCCATGCTGAGGTGTGCACCTGGCCGGGTCGGCCGATGGGGCCCCACGGGCAGTCACCGGCGTCCAAGGCGGCACGTCCAGGCGGTGCGTCCAGGCGGTGCGTCCAGGCGGTGCGTCCAGGCGGTGATGGCTGTGATGGCTAGCAAGCGTCGACCGTTGGCCCCATCCTGGCCTCGGGCCAAAATGCCAATGCACCTGGCGGCCGGCGCCCACGGATCCGAATCCCTGGGTCGAGCCACTCGTTCCTGTACGACACAGACATGCTAAGTAGGTACCTAGGTACGGGTAGTTTCGTGGGCCGTCGTTGTGATGGCCGGTCAGGCGGGTGGCGGTTGTGCTGCGGGCGCCGAGGCGCCGGGCGGTAAGCGGCAAGCGGCAAGAAACCACAAGTCTGGAAGTTTGCAAGTTTGGAATGGGAAACACCACCGCTCTGGACTTGGGACTGTTTTGTTTCACACGCCTGTGGGGTGGTTACTCTGGCACTGTGGTACGTACTCTGGCGGCGGCCCGGTCCCAGGCAAGCACGGGTGGGGAGCTTACCGTTGCTGTGGGTGGGCAGGAGGACAAGTGCGTGCCTGCAAGCACAATATCAGATCAGACCGTACACTAGACCGTAGACCGTGGTGTACGGAATACCTCGGTACATAGAACGCAGGGTACCTACCTAAGGTACCCAGGTGCCTAGGTACTCCGCACCGAGCAAACATCTCCCCCACCCCTTCAAAGGGCCACCCCAATCTCCTGGCCCGTGCACTCCCAACTCCCCCAGGCCGATGTCCCGCTGAGGCTGAGAGGAAGCGTGCCGCCCGCCATGTGTTATGTAAGCCGGACCGCGGACGTGGTCCAACGACCAAGGCAGTGCGCCACACATGCAACCGCCGCCCGTCGCCCGTCGTCTGTCACCCCCCAGACAGACAGTATCGTGGCCTGCCAGGCACACCTCGGTCTGTCTGCACGTCTGCTCGTCTGCATCCCTCTTTATCGCACACCAAGACACAGTAAGCTGATCGATCCCGTGCCGACGGACTTGGTGCGGCTCCATCATGGTGGTGGTGCCCTGCCCTGCCCTGCCTCGCATGCCCTCCAACATGGGATGATTGGGGATGTCCGGACGTCCGGCCCCTGCCCCCCAGACCCAAGCTCCCATCACCGACCCACCAGTGTCTTGACGGCGGCCAGACTAGGGAGTCGGCCGAGATTCCTCGACATTGGCTACTCCAGCCTCCTGCCGCCTTTGCGGCCCCAGTTACAAGCTACTTGCTCAGTTTCGCACAGCCCATCGCTTGCCCCATGAGGTCAGCCCCCTTTGCTGCCCCGTGCCCCCCCCCGTGCCTCCCCCCCGTGCCTCGTACTCACTCCAATCTACCATTCCATGCGTCCTTGTACATGGCCCATCGTTTCACAATCCCTCTCGCGCCCTCGTCCTGGTACCTGAGCCGCCGTGGCACTGACATGCCAGACCAGGACCGCCCTCAGGTGCTTGGTTTCAGCGCCTGGAAGCCCACCACACTACCTCGCCCGCTGTGATGCTAACTCCATGCGACGGCCGCCGCCATCATCATGGCTCATGCTCTGGCTTCCTTACACGGACATTCCGAGCTTGCTCTGAATTTCCTAGCCTGGAGGTTGCCGTAACATGGGTGTGGCAGCTCAGCCTGTTCAAACCACAGCCCAAACCCGACCCGCTGTCTGCACACCAGGCCCAATCATGGATGCCTCCTGCCAGCACCAGATGCCCAGTTTAGCCCCAGCCCAGGCTCAGGTACCCTCCTGGCTGTCCACATCAACTTCGGTCACCGACAACCCGTGGCCGCCGGACGGACCTGGTTGTTCGGTGCCAAGGGGGAACGGCTGGCTTCAGAAGGGGGGCAAGGGGTGTGTGTGTAGTTACACACCGGTTCATGGCCCACGCCCCTCGTGGTTGAGCTCAGGGTAGATCGGATAATCGGTGGCGTGTGGACCCATCGTATCGCATCGCATCATGTCACTCGGCCGTGTTGCAGAACCGTATATATGCTCGACGAACGCCCTCCCTTGGCCTCGTCTCGTAGCAGCAACAGAGAAGCAAAGCATAGCTTCAATCCATGTCAACACCTCTCAACCATGGCTGACAAGCTGGCATTTCTCCTCTTTGGAGACCAGTCGACCGATACCCATGGCTTCCTGGCCGAGTTCTTCCGCCAGCCTGAACGAGGCATTCTGGCCAATGCGTTCCTCGAGCAAGTCCGGCACGCTCTGAGGAGGGAGATCGAGGGCCTGCCTAGGGTAGAACGATCGAGGCTGCCCAAGTTCCTCACCATACAGAACCTCAACGAGAGATACCACGCTCAAGGCTTAAAGCATCCTGGAGTCGACGGGGCACTGCTGTGCATCTCCCAGTTGGCTCATTATATCGAGTACGTGCCAGGAGGAGCGCAGGACGCGGGGGTGCACTTCCAAACTAACTACGCCATAGTCATGCTGAAAAGCAACACGAGGATGTTGTCAACCATGAAAACACCTTCTTCCTTGGCCTCTGCTCAGGCATGTTTGCTGCAGCAGCCATCAACTCCACTCCCACCCTCTCCACTCTGGTCCCTGTGGCTGTCCAGGTTGTCTTGATGGCATTCCGCACAGGGAGGCATGTCGCCGCGATGGCCGAGCGACTATGCCCGCCAACCCAGCAATCCGAGAGCTGGACCTACATCTTCCCAGGGATCGCCAGAGACGTCGCCGAGTCAAAGCTCGATGAGTTTCATCAGTCCAACGTGAGTTGCTTCTTAATCTATCACAAGGCGGTATGGCTACTAACGGCCAGTAAAGCACATCCCACTCCCTAGCCACGCCTACATTAGCGCGGTCTCGGTTAGCAACATCGCAATCTCTGGCCCGCCAAGCACGTTGAAGGCGCTCGTCGAATCACATTGCCTGCCGGCCAAGGCGACATCGATACCAGTCTACGGCCCGTACCACGCCGCTCACATCCACTCCGCAGTTGACATAGCAAGTATCCTGCGGCTAGAGGACGCCACCGTCAAGGATGTCTTCCACCAGACCAAGCCGAGATCACCCATCTTCTCCTGCAGCACTGGCAATCGGTTTGCCGAATCGGACACGTTTTCGCTTCTTCAGGCAGTCGTTCGCGAGATTCTTAATGATACCCTGGTCTTCAACAAGATCCTCGATGGATGCCTCGAGGCAGCGAAGAGTTTTGGTGGGAAAACCATCCTTGTCATTCCCTTTGGGCCGACACACAACGCGGGCACATTGGCAAGCCTGCTAAAGACCTCAACTAAGCACGAAGTCATTCTGCGAAACCCTCCACAGATCTCGAGAGAGAGCATCAGCTCGTCGATCGGAAACCATGGGTCCTCTGGCAAATGCAAGCTGGCTATTGTCGGAATGGCTGGCCGGTTTCCTGATGCCGCAAGCCACGAGAAGCTGTGGGAGCTCCTCGAGAAGGGTCTGGACGTTCACCGAGTGGTCCCTGCGGATCGCTTCCCCGTCGAGACGCATGTGGACCCAACTGGGAAGGCTATCAACACCAGTCACACACCGTATGGATGTTGGATCGAGAAGCCTGGTCATTTCGACCCGCGCTTCTTCAACATGTCCCCTCGAGAGGCGTTCCAGACAGACCCTATGCAAAGGATGGCGCTGACCACCGCCTATGAGGCTCTGGAAATGTCGGGGTATGTGCCCAACAGGACGCCATCGACAAGGCTAGACCGAATTGGTACCTTTTACGGCCAGACCTCAGACGACTGGCGGGAGATCAACGCCGCCCAAGAAGTAGACACCTACTTCATCACAGGTGGTGTCCGAGCCTTTGGTCCTGGTCGGATCAACTACCATTTCGGCTTCAGCGGACCCAGCCTGAACATCGATACTGCATGCTCCTCGAGCGCTGCCGCCATGAACGTGGCTTGCTCTTCGCTTTGGGCTCGCGACTGCGACACGGCCATTGTGGGAGGTCTCTCTTGCATGACCAACTCGGATATCTTCTCCGGGCTGAGTCGAGGACAGTTCCTCTCCAAGAAGGGTCCTTGCCAGACTTTCGATAATGACGCAGACGGGTATTGCAGAGGTGACGGCTGTGCCTCGGTAGTAGTCAAGCGCTTAGAGGACGCCGAAGCCGACCAGGACCGCATCCTTGCTGTCATTCTTGGCACTGCGACCAATCACTCTGCTGATGCCATATCCATAACCCATCCCCACGGGCCCACACAGTCAATCCTGTCGTCTGCCATTCTTGATGAGGCAGGAGTTGACCCGCTCGACGTGGACTACGTCGAGATGCACGGCACTGGTACCCAGGCTGGCGACGGCACGGAAATGCTCTCTGTCACGAATGTGTTTGCTCCGCCAGAGCGCAAGCGACCCGCGGATCGACCGCTCTATCTCGGCGCTGTCAAGGCGAACGTGGGGCACGGTGAGGCTGCATCTGGCGTCACGGCGCTCTGCAAAGTCCTCATGATGATGCAGAAGAACGCCATCCCACCACATGTTGGTATCAAGGGCGAGATCAACAGGGGCTTCCCCAAGGATCTCTCCGATCGCAATGTCAACATTGCGTTCCACACCACTCCGTTCAAGCGACGCGACGGCAAGCCCAGGCGGATCTTCATCAACAACTTCAGCGCAGCTGGCGGAAACACGGGTCTACTCCTAGAAGACGCCCCTAAGCTGAACCCTACAACAGAGGACCCTCGCAGCCACCACGTCGTCACTATCACCGCGAAGTCGAAGGCCGCAATGATTCGCAACGCGGAAAGGCTTGTCGCTTGGATGCAGGAGCACCCAGATACTCCTCTTTCTGACGTGGCCTACAGCACCACGGCTCGCAAGATTCAACATTATTGGCGCATGAACGTGGCCGTGTCTGATCTTGCCGAGGCAAAGCACGCCATACAAGACCGTCTCAAGGAGCAGTTCTCGCCCGTCAACACACAACAACCCAAGGTGGCCTTCTTGTTCACTGGTCAGGGTTCCCACTACGCTGGGCTCGGCAAGGAGTTCTATGCGAACCATTCTGTCTTCCGTCAGAGCATTGACGAGTTTGACCAGCTCGCACGCATCCACGGGTTCCCTTCCTTCATGCCGCTGATTGATGGCAGCGAGCAGGACATGACCAAGCTGTCCCCCGTAATCGTTCAACTTGGCCTTTGCTCCTTCGAGATGGCCCTGGCCAGACTCTGGGCATCCTGGGGTGTTGAGCCAAGCGTCGTGCTTGGACACAGCCTAGGCGAGTACGCTGCTCTCAACATCGCTGGTGTCCTGTCTGCTAGCGACACTATCTACCTAGTCGGTGCTCGTGCTCGTCTTCTCATGGACAAGTGCACCGCCTTCACGCATGCTATGCTTGCCGTGCAAGGCGCTGTTGATACAGTCAAGGAGGCGCTCGGTGAGAAGGTCGACAGTGTCACAGTGGCATGCATCAATGGTCCGCGTGAGACTGTTCTTGGAGGTGAAGCGGCGCAGATGACAGACATCTCTTACCAACTCACGGCGGCCGGCTTCAAGTGCACCCAGCTGAATGTGCCTTTCGCATTCCACTCCGCCCAAGTTGATCCAATTCTCGAAGACTTTGAGGCGTTGGCTCAGTCCGTCAAATTCCAGACTCCTAGAGTCCCTGTTATTTCCCCTCTCCTGGGCAAACTAGTCGAGTCTGAGCAAGTCAACCCCGCCTATCTTAAGAATCACGCTCGCGAGGCGGTCAACTTCTTGGGTGGCCTGGTTCATGCCCAACAGTCCGGGGCCATTGATGAGCACACAGTCTGGCTGGAGGTTGGTCCCCACCCTGTCTGCGCAAACATGGTCAAGGCTGCTTTCGGTGTTGCAACTATCGCGGTGCCCACAGTGCGCCGCAACGAGATCGCCTACAAGACGCTGAGCACTTCTCTTTGCACATTGCATTCGGCTGGGCTGAACATGGACTGGAGCGAGTTCCACCGTGACTTCCCCTCATCAGTTCGCATTCTGGATCTACCCAGCTACTCTTTCGACGAGAAGAACTACTGGTTGCAGTACACTGGAGATTGGTCTCTCACCAAGAATCGTGGCGCTCTGCCCAACGCTCCAGCTGCGGTGCAGCCAGCGAAACCAAAGCTGTCAACAAGCTCAGTCCACTCAGTCATCAGTGAGGAGGTCAAGGGCGATATCGTGACAATCGAGACTGAGTCCAACCTGTCTCGAGAGGATCTACGCCTCGTCGTCACCGGCCACTTGGTCAACGGGGCTAATCTATGCCCATCATCTCTCTACGGTGATATGGCCATGACGATCTGTGAATATGCCTACAAGCTGGTCCGCCCTGATGCTGACAAGATCGGCTGCAACGTCGCCAACGTTGAAGTCCCAAAGAGCCTCATCTTTGACGAGAACCTAGAGAAGCACATCCTCCGTGTCAAGGCTACTTGTAATGTAGCCGCCGGGTATGCGGACCTCGCCTTCTCTACTGGTGAGGGTGCGAAGAAGACCGAGCACTCCACCTGTAAAGTCTTCTACGGACGTCCTGAGGATTGGGCCGGCGAGTTCGAGCGCGCTGATTACCTCATCAAGGGCCGCATCGAGTCGCTCAAGGCAGCTGAGAAGATTGGCCAGGCTTCTAAAATCGGGCGTGGCCTCGCCTACAAGCTTTTCACGGCTCTTGTCGACTATGATCGCCGCTACAGAGGCATGGAGGAGGTGATTCTCGACAGCGACAAGTGCGAAGCCACGGCTAAGGTCGTCTTCCAGACGTCTGAGAAGGATGGCTCCTACAACTTCAGCCCTTTCTTCATCGACAGTTTGTGTCACATCTCCGGTTTCATCATCAACGGCACTGATGCAGTCGACTCTCGGGAGCAGGTCTTCATTTCACACGGCTGGGGCTCAATGAGGTTCATTGAAACCCCAGTGGTTGGCAAGGAGTATCGTACCTACATCCGGATGCAGCCTGTGAAGGGGACCAAGATGATGGCGGGTGATGTCTACGTCTTCGATGGTGAGAAGCTTATTGGAATTACTGGCGACATCCGCTTCCAGGCTATTCCACGCAAGGTTCTCAACATCGTCTTGCCGCCCCGCGGACCGGCCGCAGTCGCCCGCCCTGCCCCTGCCGCTAAATCAGTCGCCAAAACTGCCGCCAAGTCTGCTCCAGCCAAGGAGAAGAAGATGCTAACTCCAACCAACCTGTCCCAAGTCAACAAGAAGCTGGCGTCGGTTGTTTCTCAGGTCATGGACATATTGGCGAAGGAGGTTGGTGTAAGCCATGACGAGCTCGCTGACAACATTGCCTTTGCCGATCTGGGTGTCGACTCTTTGATGGGTTTGACAGTGTCTGGTCGTATCCGTGAGGAGCTGGACCTGGACATTGACTCTCACGTATTCGTGGAGCACTCATCGATTGGTAGTTTCAAGTCTTACCTTCAGCAGTTCGAGAGGCCCGGTTCCACCGAGGCCCTTTCCTCTGGGGCCTCTGCCGACTCCGGCTCTGAGACCGAGACGCCGGAGCTGGATTCGGAGTCCGACGTCACCACACCTGACGATGAGTCAGAGAGCAATGATATCAAAGGCGAGGTTACCACCAGGGACAGCAGTGGGGACGCTAGCCTAAAATCAGCCATTCGGGAGACAATTGCTTCAGAAATGTGTGTGGAAGTCGAGGAGATCATTGCAGCGCCGGACCTGGCTAATCTGGGAATGGACTCACTGATGAGCCTATCCATCCTCGGAACTCTCAGGGAGAGAACTGGCCTTGACATCCCCTCGGACCTTTTCGTCGCCAACCCGTCCCTCAAGGACGTCGAGCGCGCACTGGGAATCACCGAGGCACCAAAGAGACCAGCAGCTCCAAAGCCTACGGCGAAGCAGGTCAAGTTCGAGGCCCCGCCACCGTCCACATCCCAGAAGCCTTTGCCGCCTTCGATGGTGACTGCCACCATTCCGAAGCCACCTCGCCCTTCGCGCATTGTTGATGATTTCCCGAATCGCAAGGCGTCCTCTGTGCTTTTGCAGGGAAGCCACCGGACAGCCACGAAGCACCTCTTCATGGTACCGGATGGGAGCGGAAGTGCAACATCATACACTGAAATCTCCAATGTCTCGCCCAGTTGGGCTGTTTGGGGTCTTTTCTCACCATTCATGAAGACACCCGAAGAGTACCACTGTGGAGTGTACGGAATGGCAACCAAGTTCATTGAGGAGATGAAGCGACGCCAGCCGAAGGGTCCCTACAACCTCGCTGGATGGTCAGCAGGAGGTGTCATTGCGTATGAAATCGTTGTGCAACTGACACAGGCTGGTGAGAAGGTAGACAACCTCATCATCATCGATGCACCGTGCCCCATCACCATTGAGCCTCTTCCGGCGGGTCTGCATGCCTGGTTTGCCAGCATCGGGCTGCTTGGTGATGGTGATGAGAAGAAAATTCCTGGGTGGCTACTTCCGCACTTTGCGGCCTCGGTCACTGCCTTGAGCAATTACACCGCAGAGCCAATCCCCAAGGACAAGTGCCCTAATGTCATGGCAATCTGGTGCGAGGATGGCGTCTGCCACTTGCCGACAGACCCAAGACCCGACCCATACCCAACTGGCCATGCCTTGTTTCTCTTGGACAACAGGTCAGACTTCGGGCCCAACCGATGGGATGAATACTTGGACGTGGACAAGATGACTATGAGGCACATGCCTGGTAATCACTTCTCAATGATGCATGGCGACCTGGTGAGTACATGCTCCGCACTTTTCTACTCCAGACTGAATACTAACTTATATCTCTCAGGCAAGACAGCTTGGTTCCTTCATTAAGGAGGCTCTCTTATAAGGCAAATAAGCCGCCATTTCACAGTATGAATATGTAGACTGAGAGGAAGAGAGGAGGCGCCTTGTAACACTGCAGGAAAAGCAGACAGCGGCGCCCAGTCTGTCGCCTTCCTTTTGCATTTTTTCATGGGGTTTTCATTTACACAGCGATACAGGTGGTGGGAAATTGGTATTATTACGTTTCTTTATAGATGTCTTTCCTTGTTTAGTCTCGTTGGTGGGGATTATTGTACTGTCATGGGCTGTGATGCTAATGGAGGAGGTTATATATACCACGGTGGTGGCATCATGTCGGTCTAGGTTCCTATATGCCAGAATGAATAGTATTTGCTTAGATTCTTACCAAATCAATTTGATTATTAGCAACCTCGATATGCTCCCCATCATGACTGCCATCTTGGATGTGTCCGAATTTGAGCTTGTGACGTAAGAGATTTATTCACATGATACCCAGGTGCCTGCATAGATATCTTTCCCAGCTCCTTCAACTTCAGGATTGAAATCCACCTGAGCTCAGAGGTTTAACGGTTGGGGCATTTGAATGGTAACACCGGTTTTCTGGTATTTCTTTTTTTTTTTGGGGGGGGGGATTGTTTCGACCGCTCCTGTCACTGATGACGGCGATTGTTATATTTGAAGGGCAGACGCTGGGAATAGCTTCAACGCGTTATGAATGCCCCACATTGGATAGAGAACGTCATAAAAGTGACAATGGGGTCAACTTCACCCTTTCTATTAGTTACGACAATGCTTCAAGTGCTCTTAAATGCGTCCTGGGACCGTCTTTGGTGTCGGCTCTGCAAGAACCTGTCTGGGTATAATGGATTCCGCATGAACATTGAATAGAACAGTTCTCAATTTGACATCAATTAGCTCTACTGGTATGAACTGCCTCTGTTGGCAATTGAAAAAGAAGTCAACGCTTTTAAGCCTCATGTGTCAATTCGAAGTTCGGTGGTCAAACTAAGATTTGAATGATCAATACCCACCTTCATCACGATGATAGGGCCTACCACTCAACCATTGATGTCACATTGCACTATGCACATGTAGGTCATCCATGCACAATTTTAAAAGACAGTTTCTCAATCAACTCAGAATGATGACAATGAATCAGGAATCAGATGTGAATACCTGGAGAACTATTAGACCATGTAATTTCAGGTTGCCAACCACAGATGGCGGCAAGGTGAGGGTTTAAAAGGCACTGTTATGGCACCTGTTCATGACTATGCAATAGTATAGGCTATCTTAGAGTTATACAAAGACTTGCTTTGAATGTATACTAAGTCTCACAAGTCGACTTCCGCTTCGACACAATAGAAGTAGGAGCCATGACAGCTATCAGTGGGAATTGGGCAGCCATTGCACACCAGAAATTACATGCCTGAGTTTTGACAACAGTCTGACCACTGCCATATAGTTATCTCACATGTTGTTTTGTATTGTTACTGCCCTTTCTGCTTGTCTCAAGCTGTAGGGCTGCAGTTGACTATGCGTGAGTTGGGATGCCCTCACTTCACTGTCTGAGAAAAACGAGAGTTGCCCCCCCCCCTGTTTTATTACCCCTGTCAAACATTTTAAAGGTTTTTTAAAAAGTAGTCTTCTTTTAATAACTCTACTAATACTTAACTTAAAAATATATAAAAAATATATTTATAACCCTTATAAAAGTCTCTATAAAATTAAAATTTTAAAATAATTTTTATTTAAAGTTTATATATTATTAAGATTATAGGCTGAACTACTTAATAGGTTTATATACTTATTTATCTTATTAGCCTAGTAATCTCTATACTTTATATAAAAAAGATTTAATAATAAATACTTAAAAAATATTACTATATAGAAATTTTAATAAGGATTATAAATATATTTTTTATATATTTTTAAGTTAAGTTATAATAGATTTATTAAAAGAAGACTACTTTTTAAAAAACCTTTAAAGTTTTTGATAGGGGTAATAAAACAGGGGGGGGGGCAACTCTCGTTTTTCTGAGACAGCAGCATTTCGTTGACCCTAACCCACCAACCCCCCTTTCACATGCAGGCTGTTGATCGGTCTCACACGGAAATGATTCTAGCTAGAACACACTACTATGGTCACGTTGAGATGTTCTGTTTCACATGTGCCGTTCGCACGAGCAGCACGCTTCCCACGCGAGGCATAAGCAGGTGGCTGGCTGCTCATTTCTCCTTTCTTCGGCAGGGGCTGAAGATGTACTCACAGACTCGAGACTAGGGAACGGCACGGAGACGGCGAAACCACCAGGAGAAGGCCGAGGGCTCTTAGCGGCGCCCAGTCGATCTCGTGCGTATTGGTCTAGCTCCCCCGTTGAATATTATCTGCTATACATTGCACAGACTCAGGTGCGACGCAAGATACGAATGGTCTTTCCGCCCAACGCCGCGCCGAGGCGGTGGGATGGAATCGACAGGGACTTTTAACCCAAAACACGAGACCGAGATGATGGCTCTACAACCCGCGGGCTACCTCGCTGCAAGTTCAGACAAATTGTGTGCCCAAGCAGCACAACCATGACGCGAACAAGAATTGAAAAAGGAACAAGGCACTAGAGACCTTTTCGGCTACACAAGTAGGGATCCGGGAACTATTGAATTGCTGGTTCCGTGAGGCAGTGCCAGTGTCTTGCCCGAGACACCGCTCAACCTGGAGGGCCACGGCCTGCCCCACGACGGCAGTCTTGATGAAGAGGAAAGACAAGAGACAAGGCCCCGCATGGGCTGCGGCAATAGTGACACGGGATCCAAGGATCGGGTTCTCAGTCACGGCTTGCGGCCTCGGCCCCAGATTTCTCTGCGTGCTCATGCAAGTCGGAAACAGCTGGCGATGCTTTGGCTGGAGCGATAAGGGCATGGTCAACGCATGGCAGCAAGACAATGTTCCCGTCTACTTGCCTGCCCTCTCTTTCCCTTTTCGGCTGCGGCAACTCGTCCCTCCAAGGTTCGTGTCATGACCGGGACACGGAGGACTGCAGAGAGCTGCCAATGCAGTTAGACAAGCCGTTCAGCATGAGTGCGGTGCCTCCTCTTGCTGCCAGTGCTGCTGAGCACACCAGCCTGGCGAGGTGGGTGGGTTTGAGGCCTGCATCGTGAGGTCGAATTAAGGTTGCCTTCGCACCGGGCAGGGGTCTTGATGTGAGCTGTTAGCTGGCGTCGCGCCTCTGCTGCCAGCGCATTAACACTTGCCATGAATACCATGGCCCATGGGTTGTGGTTTCCCCCACTGCCACCGCCCGCGCCTCCACACCCCACCTGAACATGTCATCCAAGGCTCCAAGGCTCCAAGGCTGGCCTGACGCGATGGCTGACCCGCTCTGGCTGATCCACTTCCCCTCCTCCTCCCGACTCCGCCCTCATTGCTGAGCCATCTTGATCCTGACTGCCGCTGATAAGACCCAGCAGCGGCTGAAGAGAAGACCTGGGGACAGCTCCAAGCAGCATCGTCGAGCTGTTTCGGCGGCCTACCTAGTGCAACCCTCTGCAGCCTCCGCTGGCAGTGCTTGTGCAGAACAGAGCATGTCGTGCCTCGCGTCGACCTTCCCACCGCCAGCCACGCCGCTCCCAGCGCCCAGCGCCCGTACGGGCAATCGGGCAATCGGGCCTATGTGCGGGGCCCGGAACCGTCGCCAGGAGCCCTCGCCAGGAATCATCGCCAGCCATGCCCTGATCGCGCGGCGGGCCTGCTCGAGCGACCTGCACTGCATCGTGCATATGCAACACGCAGGTCAACACGAGCCAGATGAGCACCATGCACTCGCCTCAACCTTCGACATCGCGCCTCTTCGACGTCAGCTTACCGCCTGCTGCGGACTCACCTGGTCCACAGCCCATCTTTCCTCTCGAGTCCCAACCGACCAGGCCGGCCGCTCGCGCGTCTTATCGCTGCTTACACATCTCTCAAGCTGACACCGGCGTCATTAGCAATCAGCAACCAGCAGTCCGCAGTCCACAATGCTTTCGAGGCCTTCAGTCCCCCTAACCCGGGGCACGAGCCAAAGGTTGCGGCTGGTGGCCACGAGGCGCCTTGGTTTGGTCCATCCCGGACGGTATTTCAGCTTCATAAGATTGCCGCCCTAGTCTGCTTCAGCCTTGGGCACCTCAGTATCCACCCAGCCCACAGCTACACAAGCCGCGGCACCAGAACAGGCTACCGCCCTCGCCCCAGGCCAGCGGGACCTCGCCCGCGGTAGGATCGACAGTTGGGCCCGGCCCCGATAGCCTCACAGCACATCACCCCCCCCCACCAACTGTCGTCCAGGCTGCCCTTTAAACCACGAGGCAGATAACCCACCTACCTGCAGCGAGACTTAGCCTGCTGACGCCGGCGTTGTGATTGCCAGGGGGGGGGGGCTGGGTGGTGGCTTCTGGTCTCTCACGACAAGGCCAGCATGGCATCAGAATCCCCCAGCTCAGTCTCATTCGAGAAGTGGCCTCCTGCTTCATCGTGGTCTAACAACCAGGCCCGACCTGTCCGCTATTGATGAGAGCATCTGGAATTTCCCCAGAATGGGCTCTGTCATTCCTTGGCCAACGTCTTGCCCGTGCTGGAAGGAGACCTCGGCAAGGCAGTATCTTGCACCACCGCCACCGCTTAACATCTCCTAGTACAGCCATTCGCACGATATCTGGGGTCGCGCAGCTCATCCGGCAGGCCGCGATTCCCATGAGTCGGTAACATGCAAGCTTATGCACACGCTCATGTTCCTTCACAATGGGCCTTCCATGCAGCAGCTTCATTGCATGGCCTGCGCTGCAGGCTCTTCATTGCAGAAGTGGAGCATGCCAACCCACAGTCTTACTCTTCGTGGCAAGTGACCTCTGCCGGGTGCTGACAGCTTACCTGAACGAGCAAGCCTGTCCAGTGTCTTGTTCTCGTTTCTGGCAATTTGGGCAACAGAGAGGACGTCGCCGCTCAAGTTCCATGGGCCTTGTTCTGGGCATGCCATGGTACACGTTGGAGCGAGCGCACACCAGCAAGTTTCTAGTATGGGTGCAGTCTGACAACAACGACCCAATGGCTGATACATAATCTCGGAAAGCATCCGGGCACTGTCGTATTGGCGGAGCGGCAGACGCACTAGCTCCAGCGGTGTCTTCTATGACCGACACACCACCGCATTCTGAGGATTGCTTGGGACCAACTGGGTGCTCATCCAATCGCCCCGATATAGAGACAGACGCACGCAACAGCGATCATCGTTAGGGGGCGCCCTACTCTACTTGGGCATGTCAACACCGCCCACCGCTCATTTCCTTCCCAGCCCTGTGAGCGTCTCGCCGCCCATATCATCTCTGTCCGGTGCAGTGCAGCCCAGAGAGCACCGCGAGCCAACAAAACCGGCCCTCTGGACTCTCCCAGCGCATTCTGTGGACCAACAAGAGGGCATTTTTACACTCCAGTGAAAACCCCCTCCGCCCCAAGACAAACCTGCTTCGCACCCCACCCCACGTCAGGAACATCCCAATATGGCTGCTGCTCACGCACAGATGGCCCGAGTCTCACACGAAAACAAGAAGAAAGCCGTTGCAATGCGGAGGTGACCATTGTTTGTTGGACCAAAAAGCAATGTGAGTCAAAAAAGACCGGGTTAGAGGCCTACCGAATCAAAGTAGGGCTCCACCCAGCCTGCCAGCACGACCACTCTGTGGCTTTTGCCTTTTAGACAACTCTGCCAGAGGCAGATCATGCCCTCCTTCGGTAAAAAGAAGTCTTGCTGTGACAGCCACCATGGGCAGATCTCAATATAATTGGGTTAGCAAAGACGGTAGTCACCCGTCGACCTGGTACTGTTAGGCTGTCCAGACCCCCGCCGATTCCATAAAGCGGAGCAGATGTCTGGCACTATTTTTGCTTGCGACTGGCTCAGGAATCCGAAGGAAGCCCTCCTTTTAAAAGTTGAATCGAACGAGAACTACCAGTAGCCCGGGGGTAACACGGGTGGGACAGAGTTACCTCTTAGCTTCGCGCCAGTTTCGAGGCCGCTGATATGAATGACGGGCAGTGCGGAACGTTGGGAGGTATCTGGGGCCCGGCCAGAGCTAGTCCTTGTAGTCCGAGGTACTTGCAGGCTGCATCATGTTGTCACACCCCTGAGCATGTCAAGTGGCCCCTGCTACTCCTCCCTTCCCTGTCACGTATTCTCGACTTGGGACCGCGACCTCTTCTGCCCGAGGCTCCTTGCCCGTATCCCTCGCATGGCGCAATACCTGATCACCTCTCCCACGGCAGTGAGCATGTCTGTTACTCACGTTGGTCTTCTCGGCACAAATGTTGCTGACCGGATTGGCTGTCTAGTGGCAGACCCAAGGTCCCCCACTTGGCACCGAATTTGACCCTCTTGCCGTGGAGTAGGCGATTCGAAGACCGCCTCGCCTGAGGTGAGCGGTTGGTCTTTTGTGCAGGAAATGCTGCAGGGACCGAATTCCGCAACACATGCCCAGCCCCCCCTAGGCGTTGGACATTTCGACGTATGGCTAGCGGCAGAGTCCCGTTTCTCACGTTCGATCTCACATCCTCCTAGAGTGCCACCTGCGTAGGGGCTGTTTACAGAGTGTGGCCGAGCGTCAACGTCCGCTGCCTTGGCCCCAGTCCCGACCAGCAAGTGGCCTAGCCTACCTGGGGTATATCCACAACCTGAATTGCAATCATAAGACGGCGTCTGCTCTAAGTCGGGATCTGTGATTCTCTCGGGCCATATGTTCAAGCTTTCTCTCGCCTTCGAAATACCACTCCCCAATTAACTTTGCTACATGTCCTTCCTGCCCAGCTGATGCCATATACCTCTGAGACCCACTCGCTGTCCAAGCTCCTATACCTCCTTCGCTCGTATCACAATCCCACTCACCCATTGTCCTAGTAAGATACCCTCGCATATACTTATCCAAGCCCACTCTCGCGTCTTGGTCGACCCAGGCTACCTGGCACATTCTGCACCATATCCCCACCAAGGCCCTTCTCGACCCCATACCGTACCACTCCAGCTCTACCTCAACCTTGAACCGGTCTCGTCGCCGCCAACGCTCGCAACGAACCTGGTCTTTTCATGAGCGGCGGCCCATAGCAGCCATGGCTACCGCTACGAAACAACGTCAGCCCCGCCTTCGAGCATCCTGTGACGGCTGCTTCCTCGCCAAAGTCAAGTGCTCCAAGGCAAGACCGATATGTTCCAGATGCCTCACCTGCGGCATAGAATGTCGTTACTCGCCCTCGAGCAGAGCGGGGAAGCCGAAGGCCTCGGAAAGCTCAAAGGAACAAGCAGCACGTCAAGACTCCAATGGCAACAACACAGTACCCAACAACAATCCAAGCCATAACAACGGCAACAACAACATGATGTATGGGGTCCATGGTGGCATTCCGGGCATGTACGAAGGAGGCTGGATCACACCGCCCACGAGCATCGATGGGTCCATGAGTCGCACTCAGTCAATATCTTCTGGTCTAGCCTTCATGGGGGTAGATGGCAGCCCGCCGACACCCGCGGATCCCAGTCTGGCCACCGAGATGTACGGCCCGGGTATACCATGGACTCCCCCGAGTGAGATGCCCACTCAGTTCACCGATGCCTCTATCGACCATACGATTTCCAATGACCAAATACATCGTCGTTCTCAGTCTTACGACATGAACTCTGGCGCCATGGGATGGATGGACACCAAGGGGCCCGAGTTGTTCAGTTTCAACCAGGTCTCCACACCAGCGCCAAACTGCTTCCCCAGCCCGACAGTGACGCCCATCCATCGGCAGACCACATCACGGTCGAAATCGACACCATCCAATTCGGCTGGCGGCTCTTGCACATGTTTTACGGTGTGTCTACAGTCACTGCAGGCTCTACACAACGCGTCTTCCCCCGCAGCCCCTCCATTTGACTTGGTGCTTTCCCTCAACCGAAAAGCTGTTGAGGGATGTGCAGCTATGCTTGGTATGACCGCTCTTCCCTCAAATCTCCTACAATTCACCATCAAGACACACGGAAGCTAACGTCCACTCAGCCTGCACGCGGTGCATGAGAAGATCTGGTACCCATACAGCTGCCATGCTACTAGCAACGGTGATAGGCACAATCACCTCTTTCTACAAGAACGCATCGCAGTCTTATTTTGATCACGAAGGACCATCGAGTGCCCAGATGGTGCCACAGATGTCGACTGCGCCAATGGCAACAAGCAGCGGGTTGACAGGGCTGGGGGTGAGCCTCGGCGCATATACTGTCAACAGCGAGGACAGCCGGTGGTTGGAACTTGAGATACTCGCACGTGAACTTCGCAAACTGGAGGAGGTGTATGCAAACTTTCGGGAGGTATGTTCGGAGTTGTCAGAGGACCCCGAAGTGAGCAAGGCGATGCTCGGGTACCTGGGCCAGAACTTGGGATCTACCATGCAGGTGGTCACGCATCGGAAGGGCGACATTGGATTCTCGTGACGATCCGATCCTAAGCTGTCCCCCACCCACTTCGGGGGTTTGGGGTGCGCAACAGTACATCTCACACAAAGCCGTTATTCCTTCTAGACAAGGAACTCCGACGCCCGGTATGAAACAAAAGATTGCGGTATTTTTCCTGGCCGTTAACAGAATCCCACAACAAACGGGAAACTGGGATCATTCGACACTGTACCCTATTTTGCGACCCCGGCAATTTGAATACCGGGACTTATGGTGGAACGATTTTCGCGCCACCATTCAATAAATTGTCTCTATCACAAGGTTACCACCGAGAATATTTTGATTATCTGGTCCGTGCAGTCAAGCCCGACCCGCGGTCAGAGGTCGGATGAAGGTGCTCCAAAGGGCGTGCGTGGTGTTTTCTTTCAGCACGGTATCATTTCACGGCACGATTTGTGAGACAGGCAGACGGAGCAGAGGGCCTGGGGCTGGCCTTGGGGCCCAGACGAGATTCACAAGCAGACTAACGATAAGCTCCCAGTTTTGGGAATGAGCGAGGGGCGCTGGGCTGAGATAGAGACTTTGCCACCACGGCTGTGAGCGGGAAAGACGGAACGGCGTAATGGGTTCAACGGGTTGTCTTTCCTTGCGGTTGATGAGCAAGGGGTGGGGAACGGCATGATAAGTCTATAATTGGAATGATGCGTTCTTATCGCCTGCCAGTGCCACTCCTCGTTTGCGTCCTGGTTCCTGAGCTAATCTGCCTTACTGCTGAGTGCATAGATACAAACAAGTCTTTTTCCCTTGTGGGTGTGGGTGTGTCTGTGTCTGTGGGTGGTCGTACGGTATGACTGTGCTTGAGACTTCTCTCCCGTCTGGGCTCGTCTGGAGGCCCAGACCCCCCGGTGCCTTCTCGTCGCACCCGAGAGCAACGTTCAGGAAGGGGGTGGAGAAGCGTACTGTCTGTGTGTAGGAGACTAGGCTCGCCCGTCGACCTTTGTGGGCGCACAGCATGAGTACCATGTGCTCAATGTACACTGGATGGGTGTCACAGTAGTCGAGAACATAGTTTCACCCGGCCCCAGGCTATCATCACTGGGCAAGTTCATGTCTCGTTCTCGCTGAAATTGACAGCAGCCAGCCGTGAGTAGCTAGTGACCTTCTTCCCCTTCACGCCCAGCCCCGGGCATTGGGAGGGGGGGGAAGGCGGCACGGGAGAGTAGGAATGGGACAGACAGGGAACAGGGGACCAGCACATCCTGTCCAGGCTGCCCAGCTGAAACTGCCGCTCCCAAGCAGCTGGGCGAGTCTCTAAGGAGGAGCCGTGTCAGCACGGGTATAAGGCACCCCCAGCCGTGCGCACCTACAGCCAGCCGTTTTCCTCCCATTCTGTGCTTGCCGAGAAACGGACCGAGTGCCAGGCTAGAGATCTGGTGCAGACGGCGGGCCCTTTGAGATTACATCATTAGGTGGAGATGTCCGATGGCAGAGCAGACCCAACTGGTGGTGGTGAGAACTAGGGCTGAGCTAGCAAGAGGATTTAAGGAATAAGCTTTCGGGAGCCGTCACGAGTGGTCCAGCCAATGGGTAGTTTTTGTGCGAGCCTGTGTGTGAGAGAGACACTGTTGTCTTGTCTTATTTACGTTGAAGTGCGGTAGTTTCACACGTAGAGGTGTGTTCCAACCGGGGATGAACACCCCATCAAGTTAAGTAGCTAGGACTACCCACATACATACATGCAACAACATATATATATACATACATACATGCATACATGTGTGTATGTTGTGTGTGTGTGTGTATGTATGTATATATGCATGTATGTATGTATGCATACATACATGCATATATACATACATACACACACACACACACACACAACATACACACATGCACACATACATATGTACGTACCTACGTACCTACATGGGTTGCAAGGATAGGTACTTGTGCCCGTCCCACCGGGACCAAGTCTGTGAGGAAACCTCTCACAGCATCTGCCGCTTCTTCCCCATACCCTCACCTGACTGGTCGGCGCACAAATGCTTGTGTTCTTTGAGGCTCCCGTGGCCCCGACCCCCACCTTGACCCTTGGTCCCATGAGGAGTTGACCCGCGATGGTAGTCACTCGAGGATGAGACGTGCTAGGAGGACAGTGATGCTTCAGATTCTAGACAGGCCGAGGTGATTAGTGCTCTCATTTGACAACGAGGGCTTACGGACAAAAGGCGAGGTGTTACGCTCGGGATCCCACAGCATCTTGGCACATGTGACAGCGGGTAGAGGAGTCGATCTCTCAACGACGCAAGGCCCTGGGGCTGCCGCACTGCTCAACCACGGCTATGGATGGAAGGGGGGTACCCGACACTCTGGTACGACTCCTGCCATGACAGACAGGATTTCAGTCCATCGTCATGCACGGCCACGCTCTTGGCTTTGACAACCAGTGTTCGACCGCCTCAGTTTCGCGTCTCGGCCTCGGCGCGCAGGTGATCGGCACAGATCTCCTCCAGACTTGGCATGCTACCTCTCTTTTCAGTCCCAGCATATGAGACGCTTGGGAACATCACTGATCCGAGCGTAAACTTTGTTGCCCTCCAGGCGCATTCCTGTGTGAAATGCAGATGGAGACTGGGCCAGACAATCCCTGGCATACACATGATCGTCCAGTGTATGTAAGAAGTCGTAGGCGAGCCGCAGTTGAGCCCCTGATCCCTGCCGGCTCTAGCAAAGACCCCGGCCCGTATATGCGCTGTAAGTGGGATGCATGGTGACCTGTCGTGTGCCGCAGTGCTGGAGTTGCTGGATTGCGAGGGTATCAGCCACACATGTCAGCGCTTGACTACATCGGCTTTGGCGGCGCGACTTCACCGGCCCAAGATAACACCGGAACAAGTCACCAGAAGACCGGACACAACGCCCCCAGGGCCCGGGGGATCAGGGGATGATGCCCGCAGCGCCACGAGCGACACGTTGCCAGCTCCTCTGACGGCATCTACTCCGTGCCCCAACGTGCGCGCGGGAGACTGATCAAGTCCCGCGGAGGTTTCCCAACGGCCCTTTTCTCTTGTGGAGTAGGCGGGACCCTAAAGGACGGGTTGGCATTCTCGCCGGGTCGCCCCCAGGGCGACTAGAGCGAGGGAACAAGCCATGCCGGCGACGGTTCGTCCTTAGTTAGGAACGGGCCATTAGACGCACAGGGTTTTGCATGTCCCAAGTCGTCGCACGGCCAGCACACTACAGCCCTGGGCATAGTGGGGCCGCGATTTTTTATTTTTCTGGGTCCCGGGTTCATGGTTCTGCTAATGGCCATGGCCCTAGCGACTCCAGCCAGATGCCTGCCCTGCCCCATGTCCACGGCCATGGGAGAGAGACTATTCCCACCAGCTCAAGTGTGGAGAACCGGCGCGGCTGGCTGTGACTAATCCCAACAATACCAAATCCCCTACCCCTCCCCTATAGACTAGGTGCAATGCTGACGGCATCGTTCTGGAGGTCGGACGACGGCCGGCCAAGACCGGCCAGAAAGTGGCGAGCGTCATGCAAGATTGCAAGGCCTCAGGAGGGCTGTGATGGCGGGGCCGGGCAGTTCGCAGTTCGCATCTCGATGCCTGTCCGAGCCGTGCCTCGCGGGCTTCGATGAATCGGAGAGAGCAGCCTCGGGATGATCTCCCGCCCTATCCTGGCCACACAAATCACTCCGGGGGGGGGGCTAGGTGGTGGACCAAGCCTTGGCCTGGGTCACTTGTATGCTCACACTGCTTTGGAGGATCCAGCCTGCTCAAGTACCCACAGGGCGGCGCGATAGGAGCTGAAGATTAGGCCTCGAGCTTCTGCGCGATGCACTGCGCTTAGGAAGATCATTGCCTTATTCTGGTGGTGCAATTGCTGCCTATGTGTGGGCAGTTGGCTGTCCGGATGTTTTGGAGGCTGCCACACATCTTGGTTAAGGTTGGGTGGGTTGAAGGCCGTCTGACGGCATTTGACGTGGGCAAAGTTCAGCCCTTACCCAGCGATACGTTGCAACCATCGACGGGCGCCACTGGTCAACTGTTACTTTGCGACTGGCTCCCCAAGCGTGAGTGTTTCTTTTTCTTGTTCTTCTTCTTCTCACGAGAGAGCTTCTCAGCTTCTTGAGGGCGTGTCTGAAGGCCTGCCATCCCATTCCACAAGGAAGTCACCGAGCCCTGATAGTTTGTATGCTGGCCGTAAGACTTGCAGGAGCTCTACTGCAGCCCAGAGAAGGACGACTGTTGTGTTGTGCAACGTGGGCCAATTCCTGTCCTGGCCCTTCTTCCCGAACATCCCCGCCCAGTCGGCACATCCACCGCTGATATCAGCACTTGTTAGCTTGACGAAAATCGAGAAGAGGAAAAAAAAGAACACTTGCTATGCTCGGAGTGCCGAGTCTAGTCGGTCCCGGCGTGGGTCCGGCTTCTACCGCCAAGGTCCGCCTCGCTTTAAGATATCCAGAACCCCCAAGGCGCTGGAATCAGCGGCCTTGGGATGGGATTCCTCAGCAGCGATTCAGCGATCCAGCCGTGTTCTCCACAGAAGGAATCAATCAGTGCTGAAGAGAGGTTAGCCGGGGAATCCATGCACACGTTGCCAAAGTGCACGTTGGTTATATGTGCGAGCGGAACCTTATTGTTGCTTCTCCTGACGGATCCGGATTTCTCTCGGGCGAGGGGTGTCCACCTTCGGGCAGCAGCAGCAGCTTCTGCAGCTTCTGCTGCTGCCACGCTGCCGCAGCCTGCTGCCTGCAGCTGCCCTTGAGCCCCATGAGACCAGATCTTGGCTCATCGGTGAGCTTAATGAAATGATCAACGTCACACGCGTCCGATCGGCACTCGGAACTAGAACGAATGCGACCATGCGCGAGGATCTGTATTTCCATGGCCATGCAGGACTCAGTGCATATCCTGAGATGGTGGCATATCTATTGCCATGGTCGCAGGCGCGAACACAGCCCCATCCTTTCCCCTTTCCTGGGCCACGGCGCCTGGCGTCGCCACGGCCAGAAGGTGCAGTCTCTCGGGACCAGGTAAAGTGCGTGCTTTCTTGGTGTTCAGCTTGAGCTCGTTCGCCCGCACGGTGACACAGAGAGGGCTCCTTTCCAAGCAGTCGCGGGCCCGTCCAACACTGGCTTCAATTCCCTGGTGGTGGCCATGGAACCAGGATCTAAGTGATGGCAGAGAATGCAGGAACCCTGGTGGGCCGTGGCAGAACTGCAGGAGGGAGGCAGCCGCCCTCCCGACGAGCTCTGCTGGTCCCCATTAGCTTGTGCTCGAGGCGGGCATCTAGCGAGGGCATCGCGAGGAGCAGGTGCGGGACCGCGGCATCGGGGACCTAGTGGCGCATTGCCCGCAGCAAGTACCCCGTAGAGGGCAGAGGGTAGAGGGTAGAGGGTAGAGGGTTCCAAGTACAAGTTGCTGGGGGGGGGTCGGCATTAAACCCCGATTTATGCAACCCCGGGCTGTAGGCAAGGCCATGAACAAACCGAGATCGCTGGGTCGTCTATCTTGAAACTCGACCTGCACACACCACGGTTGACACCCACAGAGAGTACTATGTAGTAAGCTGACCACCTCCAACAGACCAGACCGCAGACCGTCGGAACCCCAAGGCACACGATTTCGTGCTGACTGTGCCCACGAATCAATGCTGCTGCTAGGAATCCTCCCGCGACTCTTTCGCATGGCCTCGAGGGCATGTGAATGCGCGAGCTGACGTCGTCCCAGGGGTGCCCTGGCACGCAGCATAACTTGGCCTCTTCCCCATGCGGAAAGCAGACACTGTCACATCCAACCTGTCCTGCATGCCCAGGTCTGTCTTCGGACGACATCCCGTTCCAATGCACCACGGCCTGCGCGCCTCACTTCCATCCTCCGCCCAGTCCTTCTTCGCGCTGCACAAGGGCCATACAACAGAGCAGTACCTTGCGATACCTCGAGTAATGCTGTTTCCACGCCCCATCTCAATTACATGGAGAGGCCCTTGCCAGAGGTGTCATGAGGTCGAGGCCTGCGTGGCTTGTAGCCCGCTTGCAACTGCCGACACTACCACCCTCCTTCCGGGGGGAATGGGTGTGGACTTGATTTGTCTGATCGGCCAAGATGCGAGTAATCTACCCTGGGCCGTCATCTGAGTATTGACCGTCTCGCTCCCGCCCCTAGCAGAGGCTGACGCCCGGGCTTGCTTCAACAGGCCTGCATACGGCCAGCTTGTTTGACGTGGCAGCGTGATCTTGTGGGGCAGGAGGAAAAGCACTGCCTAATTCTCTCCCGCAGACCCTCTTCAACTCCAAATCATATCCAGGAGCAGGGATTATTCAAGTCCAGGGAGGAAGACGCGAGTAAAGCCTTATTCACGAACGCTCGCCTTCGCCACGCCACGCCTCCCGCACCTCCGATGAGTCGGAGTGGAGCCTCTGCATCGCAAGAGATCCGCAGAGAGTATAATATGGTCTCTAGATCCTGATTCTATATTTGGTATCTCCCTGCCCCAGCGCGCCGATTTTCGAGCCCCTCATCTGGCAGAACTCGTGCTGACTCAATGAGAGGCCGAACGGCCGTCTTGTAACAGCACACAGTACTCGGTACAGTGGTACATCTATTTTCATCTGTTGGCGTCGACTCATCATGAGTGTGTGGTCCTGCCAGTCATTAGACAGGTTCATCATGAGCCATGATGATCGCCTCGTACCCTGAGATAAACCTTGATTTCTTTTGAGGGTTGAGCACCGAATACTGAGGACTTAATGAGACGCCTAGGTCGGTAGTCACGCGTTTGCTATCTACGTAGTATCGATGTGCCACTGCCGCCTGGTCCGTCATGTACAACATTCTAGGATAGGCCCCTACCAGTGGACCAATTCACCATCAGCTTCCCCTTTCCCCATCCGACTTGAACTCTCGACAGACGTGAGCTGTCACATCAAGCCTACGTAAAGACTGCCAACTTGCTGTCTGTGCAGAGGAGATCCGATGAGGCCAGCGTGGAAGGGACTGACTGGCCTTCCCTTTCGGGCCCTGCAGGTTTTGTGTTGCTTTGAAGCATCGAGTCCGAAAGAGGCGGTGACTGTACCAGGGATATTGGCGATGGAACGGGCCGTTACAGGGCAGAACCGTAAATTGCTCCCCGTGTGCGACGTGTCGTGGCACATCGTACGGTCGGGAACACCAGGGTTGTTCACGTACTCGGTACGCGGATACGAGCAAGACTCGGTCACGGAATTGGGATGTCGTTCTCGTCAACAGCACTCTGTGCCTTGAATGTTATCATGGGTGAGGTGATATGATTTTTCATCGAAGTGCATGTGGCTTAATTAACTTTATATAAATGTGAAACCATACCCCACGCCTTGTGTGTGCATCAGAGCCCGGCCACCAGGTGATCAGGAGGCCCATCTGACCTTCAACAAACAACCTGTTTCTGTGAGAAGGGGTCTTGCAGCAAGTGACCCCATGCGTACCTAGTATACCATCCGCCCCCGCTTCGCGATTCACTCCCAAGATGCAGCCAGCAAACAGCAAATCCAAGACAAGCGCAGCGCTGTTCAAATGTTGGCAGTGCAGATCATGGCGTCCTGTGCTGCCTTACACGGCGTTTCCGCCGGTCAGCTTGATCACTTGACCTACGCCACAAAGTTAGCGGGAACTGTACCACCGCGTGGGCTTTTTGTACTTTTGAGGATAGATGGGGAGTGAGGCTTTGGCCTTGTTGAAGGGGGAAAAGTCCAAGGTCTGATGCGCGTGCACACGTACCATTGATCCACTCACCCTCGTCGCTGCAGAGGGTGAAGACGGCCTTGCCGATGTCCGCGGGGGTGCCGACGCGCTTGAGGGGGCACATGTTGGCGAGGCCCTGGTCGATGATGTCCATGGGCATCCCCTTGTAGCCGTTGGGGACGTAGTGCCAGGCGTTCTCGTCAAACATGTCGGTCTTGACACCACCAGGGGCGATGGCGTTGACGGTCATACCCTTCTCGCCGCAGTCGACGGCGAAGGCGCGGGTGAAGCCCTCGATGGCGGCCTTGGAGCCTGCGTAGAGGGCGTGGTTGGGGATGCCGCCGATGCTGGCGGCGATGGAGGAGGTCAGGATGAGGCGGCCGCCGTGCCTGCAGTGCTTGAGGGCGTGCTGGGCGACGAAGAACTGGCCGCGGCAGTTGAGCCCGAAGACCTTGTCGAACAGCTCGGGGGTCACGTCGACCTCGGGGCACCAGACCTCCATGCCCGAGTTGGAGATGACAAAGTCAATGTAGCCAAAGTGTTCGATGGCCTTCTCGAAGAGGGCGCTCACAGACTTGGGGTCGCTGATGTCGGCCTGCAGGGCGACGCCCTTGGACCCCAGCTTGGCAAGCTCGGCGACGACCTCCTCGGCCGACTTGGCCGAGCTCCCGTAGTTGACGACAACGTTGGCGCCGCGGCGGCCCAGCTCGATGGCGATGCCCTTGCCGATGCCACGGCCTGCGCCCGTGATGAGGGCGACCTTGCCGGCGAGAGGGCGGGCTGGGTCGTACTGGGCGGTGGATGTGCTGGCGCCCGAGGACGCAACGTCTACTGCTGAGGGAGCCATGTTTCTTGTGTCGTTTTGTTTTCGGTTGCCTTTGGTACAATGCAGAAGACTTTGACGAGGCGGGACTCTGGACTCTGGAATGCCTCCCGTGTCTTGGTCACCGATGGCCACGAGCGGCCATGGTATATAAGGCCAGATCCGGACAATCTCATCGTCTCCCCCCTTCAAAGTCCGGGCCCAGCTGAAGCTCCGTGTAGTTGGGGTAAAACGACGGGCAAGGGGCGGCCGGGGCCTGGGAGCGGACAGGGAACTCGGTCCCGCTGCTCGGATGCCGGTTTGACGTCGCGCTGCAACGGTCCTGATGTCCTGATTCGGTGCGCCGAGGCACGGCCCAGGCAGAAGGCACCATAGCTCCAGCTTGTCTTTGTCTCCCTGGGCCCGTGGCGGAATTACGGGCTCGCAGATACGCAGATACGCAGATACGCAAATACCGGCGCCGTCAAAGCAGAGACAACTGCCCGTGGGCAGCCTCAGCCGGAAATAGGAACGCGCCTGTGTCTGGTTTTGCAGCCCTTCTATTCGCTGGTGGCCCGGGACGCTCAGATAAGCACCAGTATGGACGGCTGTGTCAGAAGGCGTGTCGCTGCCTCCTGTGTCCTGGCGGCCAAGCCGCCCCCATCGGACCTCCGGACACTCTGCTGTCTGGGCCACTACGGCTCAGCTCGAATCCTCCCAGATATCTCGCGGATTTAGACAAGATGAACGTCTCTGTTTCTTATCATCGTTATCATCCTGTGCTTTCCTCTGCGTCTGAGGTCGGGTTCGCGATGTCCTGAGACTGTTGACTGCGGTAGACTAGAATAGTCATTGCCAATAGCACATGTTCACGCACCAGGGTTCGGACGGCCATCTCCGTCATGCTTTTGGGCTTCTCCAACTCCATTCAATCGTCTGGTAGCCTGCAGTGGCGCACGTCCCTTCTTATGGTCCATCTGTAGTTCTGGGCATTGTCTCCATACTTCGAGAGCGCAAGTGTGTGAATGCCCTCGTTTACTGCTGTTGCTGTCACAGGTGCAGACGGCTCAAGATGCCCCTACGCTTCTTATATATCGACACCAGGGCGAGCCTTGTCCACTGTCCTCCGATGAGTCAGTCCCCAGTCACGCCCACGGTCTTCTCATCCGAATAGCCCCGCAGACCTTGGAAGGTTTTGTCGAGACTCTCAAAGTTGCTGCATGTAATAAGCGGGAATGTTCCTGGCATGTCCTTGAGGTTCGTTCGACCGTCGAAATATGATTGGCTATTCTTCAAAACTCGCTGGGTTACCACAGCCTTACCCCGGTCGACGGTACTGGTCGTCCTAATTCCAGAAGGGGCCATTCAAGCGGCTCGCTCCGCTCATACTACGGCTTACGCATCACCTGGGCAGCCATGGCCACTGGTTCGACATGTTCGACGTATGCCCTCTATGAGTTGGTTATTCTACCTCTGTGATGCTTCTGATGTGACACATGTGCATGGGATCTGAGTAATTCACAGAAGTCTAATCTCTGACGAGAAGTGAAACAACATTTGCAATGACAATACTCCCCTCGAGGCTCGATGCCGACACGAAGCGATGGATTCTGAGCTTAGCACGCACCACGGGCATCTTAGCCACGGACACGTTGTCTCTCGAGCCGCCTCCTTTTTGTGTCCTGAATATCTGCATGGGATGGCCTTCCACCCCCGCGGTTCTGCCGCGCGAACTCGGGAGTACTGCTCGCGTGTCCCGAGAAGGTGTGCTGCCATGCAGGTACTCGAACGGAGTCTTTTTGCGGGTTGCCACACGTCCAAAGGATCTGGGGGCCGGAGATCCGGATGTTATCATGCAATGTCAACACCAGAAATCAAAAAGGGGGGGGGGTTACAAAAAAGAACAAAAAGAAAAAAGAAAACACCGCACTACCCGACAGCTTGGGATTCGGGCCAGAAATATCTACCGCGCGAGAGACGGCCACCCCTTTTCGGTGCCGAGCTGACCAATCGGTTGCTTTATCGTGGATGATACATAAGCTCTCACACAAAGGCTGCATCTTGCTCTGCAGGCCCAGAAAATCACACAAGCAAAAGAGCCCTGCATACAGGCGCCCGGGGGATCTCTTTGCAAGCCACCACACGCGTAAGCAGAGCAGAGGAACCGCTGCATGGTCGCCACATCCCAAGAACGCCCGTTGTGCGTGTGCGCGCGCGTGTGTGTGAGAGAAGGAAAAGGAGTGTGCGCAAGTGTCCGTGGAGCACCCGAGGTATGTGTCAGTTGAGCATCACACCGCCGGGTTGATCTGATGCACACCGACTACACGAACAACAGCGGGCGGGCCAGCCTCGGCGATGGAACAAGAAGAAGCAAACATTGACAAGCCCGGCGGTTTCTCTTGGTGATTCACCAAGGCTCGGTCAAAGGTGCGAAATGGCCACGCGCAGAAGAAGGTGTCCCGAAGCCCCATGGGCCCGATGGCGGCACGCTCCAGACTGTAGCGTGGTGCGTGCGCGCGTGCTTGCGTGACGATGTCTCCCGGCCCGCATCAGGTCTCGCTCGAATCAGTTGTGGAAATTGGATCACCTGTGGGTGTCGCACCTTTTCTTTTTTTTGCCCATTGTGGATAGGTTCGAGAAGCAAAGCCCGCAGCGCGGGCTGCATGGGCTGTCGTGCTGTCGTGACGCAAGCTTAGTCGATGTTGCCTTTTGAGATGTAACATGGTACGGGAGTAGTGTACGACAGGCTGGCCGGGACCACGTAGGCGGTGCATATATGCTACGCAACTGGACATCGACCGGACAAGTATGGATCGCTGAATCCAACTCGGACTCCAGTGGGATGGGTCTGCGACTTTGCAAAGTTAAAATGGATGTCGCGAGCTCGCGGCCTCGGCCATAGTCGCGGGTCGCGGGTCGCGGGTTGCGGAGAGAGGCATCCAAGATCGCGAGATGTGGATTGTTGTTCTCTGGTGAGAAGTCATCCCGACCTGCATGTACTCGGGTACGACAGGATGCAGCCAATGTCTTCAATCATTGCCGCCCCCCCCCCTCCCAGGCGGGCTCTAACCAGACCCCGCACCCTGCAGGCAACCATGACATCTGGGTTGCTGCATATGGCAAGTGGGGATCAAATTCCAGGGCGCCCATTGGCTGCGTCTAATGGGAGGGAATACCCCAGTCGTCTGCCTGGCCTGGGGGTGGGGAGTGGGCAAGTGGGGTAACAGGCATGGGAAGACGGGTGAGGAGAGAGCAGCTGCTCCACATTCTTATTTTGACCCGTGGCGGGCATAAACCCGACCCAGCAAGAGTGGGTGTCGGATTTTGCAAATCCCATCCTCCATCCTCCATCACCACCAACCACCCACCGCTGCTCCACTGCCCACATGCGCAGGCACCAGCTTACTCGCCCTGGGACCCGACCTTGTACGCCGCGGCTGTGCGCGCGTAATGCGTGTGCGCGTGCGCAGATCTCTATATGCATCGGGTGATGAAATGTCATTTAACCTCAAAATGAACGGAGCTGCGGCTTGGGGATCTCCCCCCTCCCTCCCCCCCCCCACATCTCTCTCTCGCCATCTAGCGGCCGCAAGCCTCAGCCTTTGCTAGGGCTGAGTTTCTACTGCTACTGCTGCGGGGCTGAAACCGAAATACGCCTGGAGATGGCCTTCAATATGACTTTCGGCCGTGGCTGACTGGGGCGCACGGGACAGCGGCAGGATTTCCTCACAAAATGACGAGGCTTGCTGGCGTCCTGATTCGCGGCGACCTAAAACGAAGCTTCAATGCGTCGGCCGTCAGGTGCTCGGGATGGCTCCAGTTGCTGGCCCGCCACTGCCTCGTAGGGCGCCAGCCCAAGCCCGTCCGTCGCGCTGTGGGGCCATCAGCGTTGCATGCCAGAACGAAGCTTGGTGTCCCATCTCGACCATCAAAGGATCTATGTTTAAATCCTACTCTACTGCCTGACGTCCGCAGGCCGGTTTGCCGACCCACGCCCCGGGGTATGCCAAAATATGCGTGTGCTTTGTGGTTCAAGCAGCAGATACACGGAATGCGTTGCAGATGTGCAATGGTATGAGTGAGACATAGCTTAGCTCATTGTAATATTGCCTATCGAATCAAAATATACCTGCGCATCATGAATCATCATACTCGACGGGCGTCAAGTAGAATCGAGTCCCATTCCCCGTAAACGCCGAATCAAGGGCTTCTTCTGCCCGAAGCCATCCAGCCCATCCCCCCCCCCCGGGGTTGTCTAGATATCCTTGTAACCACCTGTCCTGTGGACCCAGTGTGACCAAATTTCTAAGTTAGTGACAAAAGAAAAAGAAAAGAAAAAAAAAAGACAAATAATCAAACGACGCCAGTAATCCGTCATTGAGCAGCCACGGCGCCTATCATATCCGAACTCCAGCTGTCCGCCAGTGTGGCCAGCTTCCTTTTGATTCCGTCCCCGATTCGTGTACTTATTCCACCATCAATAGTCTGTATTCCGACTTCCAGAATGTTGGCGGGGCTGTCCAGGCTCACCGCCGCCCCATTGTCCCGCGAGAGTACAGCTGTACCATCGCCGCTCCAGAGATATGCAATCACCGCCGGGTCCTCAGGCGTTACTCGGTCGACAGCCACGACGGAACTGCTCGGGGCGCTTCCGCTCTCGGGGCTTGACCCGTCGTTCAGGGCTGTCTTGAAGCTTGGGTCGAGCCTCCCAATGGCGTCCGTCCACAGGATGAGTGTGGCCCTGTATGTCGCGGTGCTCCACCACGGCGGTAGCTTATCCGCAGGTATCGATCGCAGTAGTCGTAGGACTTGGCCACAGTGGAAGATGGCCTCCTCGCGCTGGTAGATGCACCTCTTGTGCCTCAGGCTCAGTTCCCAGTAGGTTGGACCACCGGCCTCAAAGCCCTCCCTGCGGGCCAACCTCTCGATCTCGGGGAAGTTTGTCACCGCATTCAGGGAGATGAGGTGGTACAGCACAATATTGCATTGTGTTTTCGTGCAGTTCGGGTTGGCCTTGTGCTGGGCTATGGCAAGCTCATACCACTTTTGGAGCAGGGCCTGGACTTCTTCCAGGCGTTGGAATGTCGAGGCTCTTGTCACAGTACGAGCCGTTGACCGCCTTGCGCCGAGGATATCCGAGAAGCACGACAGCATCTGCCGCAGGTGGCAGAGTAAGGACTGGATAGGGTGAAGAAGCAGACGGAGTTGTTGTGGGGTCAAGCTGGACTGCCGACGGGAAAGATTGTCATGCAGGAAGTCTTGGAAGAGGTCAAAGAGCGACGGGGTGAGAGAAGGGGTGGTAAGTAGTTGAGGGTTCACGTTGTTGGTGCATCCATAGAGGGACTGAATCCCAGCCAGCCATTGCTCAGAATTTGGCGAGAGCCACAAGATTTCAGATCCCGGCAGAGGACAGTGAAGCTCCGAAATGGACAGTATGGGCGCAGTATCGTGGAAGAGACTCAGCTCTTGGTCCACCATGACCCAGTTGTAGACAAGCCTGGCAAAAGGGGGTCAGCCTCCAGATGAGTTTAGGCCTGATCAGGAGACGGAATGCCTACCTATTCTGTGTCTCACGGTGCATCCATGCCCTCCACTGAAGCTCGGTGCTCGTCGAGTCATTGAATGCTGGTATCATCGAGGGTTGTGGCTCTAGCATGCCGGCGTGTTTCAACATCTGCTTTCCCGTCAGCGCCCATGGATCACTCACTCATAATGACAAGTTATGGCGAGGGCTGCTTACCGTCAGATACATGCCCCGCTGACCCATGGCAATATCCATCTGCCACTTGTCTCCACTCCACGCGCCCAGGAGGGTGAACAGGAGCGCGCAGCGCAGCGCGATCGGGTCTGCTGATAGCTCAACATCCTTCTCGATGATGTCGAATAGTGAGATCCGGCAAGTCTCTGTGAGGCCGGCTGATAGGTACCTTGCCTCTGGCATCGGCACGGACGCTGCACCGCGCGCTATCATAAGCAGGACTAGTAACGTTGCGGCCTGGGTGTTCTGAACCATCTCGTTCGGGTCCAGACTCATGGCAAAAATCATCGGGTAATACCCGTACAGGCTGCGTACGTAGCTCTTGAGGAAGTACTCAAGAACGCTGGACGGCGGCAGCATGATGAAGTTGCACATGCCTCCCGGGCTGGCATAACCTGATTTTGAGTAACCATTGGCCCCTAACCTGTGGACATCGAGTGCCTTGTGCAGGAAGGACTGTGTGATGGCTGTCATCTTGTCGCGTGTCCGGGAGGTGATTGGGACAACTTGTGGCATGTGAGGTGCTTCGTTTCCAAACTGACCCAGGTATTTCTCCAGCGAGTCCCAGGTCCCTTCTTGCTGGCATTTCTGCTCGAGCGCCTCTAGATGGACGATGGCCGTCCGTGGGCAGTTGCCGGAGAAGGTGGGCGGGTTGCACCTGGCCATTGGCCATGAATTCTCCGAAGCAATGACGACTTCGAATTCGGGGATGTTTGCGTCCTTTGGGGTCCGCATGGCCATATCGATGCACTTGTTGGGGTCGAAGCTCGCGGTTGACATGATGCTCGTGCCCCTGGTGTGGACTGAAGCGCGGGAGGAAGTAGCTGTCATGGGCTCAGAATTGGAACACGAGTCGCTGACATCTGCAAAAGCGGGCATACCGTGGCCCATGTCTGGCCGCATAGCCATGGCGTTTGAATAGATATCCAGCTCCATGGGGTATTCAGGCCAGACGAGCAGGTCTGAGTAGTTGTGGTCCTGTGTCACAAAGTCCGTCCCGAGGTGCATGAACTCGTTCATGACATCCAGCTTGTGGTGAGGCGAAAATGCGCCGGGGCTGAAGTGGTTGTCCTCATGGGGCGACTTTTGCTGCTGCGGGCTGGAGAGTATCTTCAAGTCTGCGCATGCGACGTCGTCTGCAGGGGAGCCTCTGCCTGGCGAGCTCGACCTGGTCAGATTCTGGTCCATGTCCATCATCGAGGATGAGACGGCCGGCATTGCTGGTGTCTGAGCCCCAGGCACGCACTGGCTGCTCATGGCAGCACTGGCTTGTGCCGCTCTCACGGCAGCCTTGGAGGAGCGGCGGGCGAAGCGAGCGGCACACGGCAGGTTCTTCTCGGCGCAGCGACTGCATGGGACCCTCTTGTCACATCCGGTCTTCGCGCTCGCGCAGTTCTGGCAAGCTATAGGCGTCCTGCCGGCAACGGTGGGAACTCCGCCGGGAAGAGGCTCCATCGGATCTCTGGCCTCATGGTACGTAGAGTGATGTCTTTGTAGGAGATCCCTATCACCCTGGCCATCAGCGCGACTGCGCAAGCAAGAAAACAGCTGGGGTGGGGGGCTCTCACCTGCGGGCGAAGGAAAGCTGACAAGCACTACACCTATGAGGCTTCACGTTGGTATCTATGGGGCTCGGGGTCAGTTATGAGCAACAACGGAGGCCTGCAGGGAGGGGGAAAGCTCACGGCTTGGGATGTGCCGCTCCAGATGCTCCTTGCGGGTGAAGCTCTTCCCGCAGTACGCACAGAAGACCATGGTGCCACGACTTGATCAACAAGTGAGACAATGGCGGACGGAAATAGCAAAGACGCGTAATTGCTTCGACGGAGGAGACGGAGGCGGCTGGGGACAGTGGTAGATGTTGTGATCGGCGTGGTGTAAGTGCTGTTGAAGCTTGTGACCAGCAGAGAGCATGTGTGGTGGGTGTATGGCACCGAGACGATGGGGAGGAGACGGGAGATGATGGAAGAACAGGTCGAGCCCGAGAGGAGGAAAAGGAAATTGTTTAATGTACGATTGCGTCCGAGTTGGGAAGCGGAGAGCAACAGCTACCTGGGCAGCCGGTCGTTGCGAGTGCTGATGGACAGCAAGGGCAAGAATCGTTCCTTGAGTGGCCTTGTGGGGGAGGGAGGATGGGATGGAACTCGGCCCATGTCATATTGGGAAAAATCGAGGAGATACACAATACATAGACGGTACTGTTTCTGGGGCGGTGCCTCTGAGGAGGGAGCTAAGCAGATTGGGAGAACCATCCTGGTCTTGGGTAGTGATGGGCATTTCTGGGGCCGCGCAGAAGACAAGCTGACATGCTCAGGGGTGACAACTTCAGCCGCGAGCGAGGACATGGGTAGGGCGGATGCGAGCCGCAGCGGTGGGTCTGGCCTCAAAGCCAAAGAGAGCCGAGCCGGTAAGACGGGCCAAGGTGCAATTAGCAAGTGAGTGAGTGCACTTGGGGACGGGAGGCAGGAGGCTAGAGAATCCCCATGGTTTCGGGTGCGGTCTAACGATGGCACAGGGAATCGTCGATATCGACCACCCCCCCCCCCCCCGGCTCTTTTTTTTTCTCTTTCTTTTCTTCTTCTTCTTTCTCTTTGGTTTGTTATTTGCTATCTTCTGGCGGGCATGTGGTGGTCCATAGCCTGCACGGCTGTGCCTGTGACTGTGACTGTGCCTGTGCCTGTGCCTGTGACTGTGCCTGTGCCTGTGCCTGTGCCTGTGACTGTGCCTGTGCCTGTGACTGTGCCCCCGTGTTGGGCGGTACGAGTAAGGATACGAGGGGTGTGGTCATGGTGAGGGAGTAGGCACTGGATGGCTACTCGCACAGACACCCGCGATGACGATAAGCGGGTGGTGTCGAGGTGGGCCTTGGCCACGCAGCGACCGGTTGGGCTAGGTCCCGAAGGTTTTTGGAAGGGCGCAAGGCTGGGGGGCGAGATCAGATGGCTCAAGACCTTCCAAGAACTGAGGTCTGCGCCTACAGGTCGAAACCCGTGCAGATTAGCTGACACGAGTTTCAGTGAGGAACAAGGCCCAGTCACCAGATGACACAGAACAAATTTACCCTGTCAAAATGTGGGATGAAAGCATGGCAAGGGACGAATGCCACCCCCAGCGCCCGTGCATGCCCATGTCTCGCTGGCGAAAATGTCCAACCACCCGCGCGCTGGGTCGGCGGCGCCAATCACGGGCGAGAACCAAGTGCTCGGAACAGCAACGCGTCGTTATGTGCCAGCCTGGGGGGGAGGGTCGCAGGCGGGGAGCTCTCGGAGCCGTCGGCTGACGCACGGCATGAAGTCGATGCGGGCTGTTGAGCGGGCAAGGCCTATCTATGGCGACCAGATATCGCGAGGCCAGGAGTGAGTGGGTGAGTGGGTGGGCGTGGGTGGGCTGGGCTGGGCTGGGCAGGTTGAGCAGGACGACGACAACAACTGGATTACCTAGTCACCACCGAGTACAGTAGGTTCCTGCAAGGCTCGGCGCTCATGCAAGGAAACCGTAATTGATCGTCAGGCCGCAGGACCAGGCCGCGCTGGCAGACCGACTAACGCCACGCCCCCTCTGGCCTTCAGAAAGCTTCTCAAGCTTCTGCAGCGGGTCCAAGTGCACACCCCCTCCCTCAGCGGCTACGCTCAGATTTTTGCCCCTTTGGGTGTAGGCGTGGGCACTAGACGGCGCCACCTGGGTCCCCTGAGTCCCGACTACCCTGGGCTGCCTGGGTCCCCTGGGGCCCCGGGTCCCTGACAGTGGGCGTGCAGGGATGCGTCCCCAGAACCGTCCCAAGTCGCTGGGCTGTGCGCCTTGCAACCTTTCTTTCGTCCAGAGCCGTCCAGAAAGGGCAGTTGATCAAATATTGGAAACCGTCTCATGGGAGGGTGTACGCCCAAACTCTGTCTCGAGACGCGCCTGCAGGGCAGACTCGAGAGCCAAAATAGACGACCCTCGCACCCATCTCGACAACTGTGAAGTCGTCTCGACAGGGGCCACGGCCCCGGCTGGCCGGCCGGGTCACCGCTCGGACAGGCACGCCGGCACTGGTCGCGGGCGCGGCACAAAGGGCCACACTGACGAGCGGGCGATCTGATGAGCTAGGTTCTGAGGTGGGCGTGCGCGAGCATGTGAGATGTGAGATGCGAGATGCGAGAGATGATGACCGCAGGCACCAGCTGCGAGCTGCGAGCTGCGAGCTGGGTCGCATCGATGTCGACATCGATGTCCATGTGTCGATGCCGATGTCGATGTCGATGGAGGGAAGACCTTTTGCCGATGTTACGGGAGGAAAGTACGACGAAAGGACAGCAAAGTTTCACAATAAGCTTCCGTCGCGATAAGCTTGCCGCGATTTTCTCCAGGATCACACCCCCGGGATAGGCTCGGGTGGCACCAGCACCCACCAGGTTGGGCCTGGATATGCTCGCTTCGGTTTCAAGAAACAGCCTTCCCAGACCAGCCTCGCCTCACCCTCGCTCCATCCGATTTCAGACTCGAGAGGGCATTATGTCCAGTCTGCCAGCCGTCGCTTCCGCCATCCCGCGGACACGCTCTCTGCTGCCCGCCTGAACACACGCCTGCACAGCCAGTTCGGTCCGTGTCGCATGGGAAGGCCTTGTGGGAAGAAGGAGGGTGTTTGCTTGACGGCCGGCCCGGTCGCGAACATGGAACTGACACGCCTCAACTCGTACCCGGGTCTGCGTGAACAAAGACGCCCGCTCCAGAATGTCGTCTTCCAGGCAAGACAGCACACACACCATGACAGCATGGCAGCCTGGCATTTCATGCCTTGAAGACATCACCATCGCCATCACCACCACCATCACCACCACCATCCACAGCAGCGCAGCGGCTGAGTCTGGTGGATTGCGCCGTCGCCTCGCGGCCGATTCAGCCTCGGGTGTGACGTCGTAGGGGCCGTGCTAGCACAGTAAGCTGAGTCTAGTACGGCAGTTTGGCCTCCCCTGCCAACATGCCTCCCAGTGGACTGGGCGGCCATGGGCGACTTCATGTGGCTCAGGTGGCTGCATCCGCGCTGTGCCACGTCTGCAGGATTTAGAGTTTGCAATGAGTCCTACCCCAGGAGGCTTGTCAGAGGGGCCTTGACAGCCATTGCAGCCTATCACATCCCTCCCGGGCTGCCACCCTACTGCAAGTCATCTGCCCCGAGGTGACCAAGACCGACAAGGCCCGACACCTGGACAGAGCAGCCCATCAGCCCATCAGCTGCCAGAGCAGGATACAAGCATTGAATGCGTTGCCAAAAAAAGATTGCTCCCAACCGCTGCTCGACATATGAGAAGACAGATTCACGTCTCTCGCTGACGTGGGTTCCTCCAAGGACAAATCAGACGGTACATGGCTACACGGTACGCGGGGTGAGGTTGACCCCGGTGTGTTTCAGAGTGCTGTGGTGCCCTCACAGGCTGAGCAAGGTTGGCAACCAGAATGCAACCTGCGGAGACATTATCCTTATCAGACCTCATCAGACGCGGGTGAGGCGCCACACGGAAGACATGCGAGCCAGAACCATGGTCCATGGGCACATAACCGCCAGAGTTTATATATAGGACGTCGATCGCTGTGGACTAGCTTCTATCTCGCCTGGATGAGGAATAGGCTCGGGGCGTTCGGTCGGCAGCGACTCTTGGTCCCGACGAGAAGGCCCTACCGGTATACGAGAGTCGCCCGCCCGTCCCGGGACGCCGGTGCGTGATGTAGGGGTGCCACGGCGTGGGCGAGCGCAAAGGCGCTCCCACCATATAGACATCAAGGGAAACGTGCAGCCCAGCCCGTGCCGTGCAGCCAAGGCCGTGCCGTGCCTGGTGGTCCTTGCCGCCCCCCAATAGCCCAGATCGTGTCATTGCGATCTTCACGAGTCCCCTGCCGCCCTGCCGCCCTGCTGCCCCGGCACTTGGTTGAACGGCCTGTCCTCTGCCTGCGCAGCACGAGCCCTGTTGGCCAGCTGGCCGGGCGCCGTCTGAATTGGATCTCACCCTCTGTGCTCGGGCATCTGCTCGGGACCGGTGGCAGGGCCAAGGGCAGAGGCAACGGGTGTGGCCAAAGCTTGGCTCCTCGACGGACCGACCGAACCAGCCACGCACATGGATCACATCTGCCGGCGCGATACATAGCGCCAACTCTAGGATCTGATCTCATCGTTTGGACCTCTTGCGCCCCGGCTTGGTTTTGTTTCAACAAACCAAGCCCGCCGCGCCACTGACACCGTTTCGCCCTGTCTTTTTGACTGGCCCCTTCAGGACCCGTTCTACTCTTTGGGAAACTCATGCCCACATGCTTCAAACGTCAGATCCAAACATTCGCTGACATACCCCCGGGTTGGGTCGGAGATGTCACGATGAGCATCGTGCTTGGCCCCCCGGCTTGGCCGTGCACATTGGGTGGTGTGCCCTGACAACAGAGCATCGAAATGCCACTGCCTGCCTGCCCAGGTCCTGTGTAGCTGGGTGCTTCATATGGTAGCAATCTCGCGTGTGTTGTGTCACTTGTGTCACTTGTTGGCCAGTGCACTCACTCCAGGGCTGCCAGTGTGAGGCCAGTCGGCGTCTAGAACATGTCGCGTCGTCCCCACAGTCGAGCCTCAGGACGCCGCTGAGCCCAACCCCTGCACATCTTGGTCCAGGCAGACGGCGGCCCGAGGACTGCATACGCGCACGCAGTCATCACACGGGTGGGTCGGCCCCGAGCCTAGCCCCACAAGTCTCACCCGGACCGGCATGGTCTGTCGTGTCGGCTGCGGCTGGGGGCTGCCTGTGTTTGACTGGCCCAGGATCGAAGCTTGGCGAGTAGTTTCCACTTGCAGTGGTGAGCCAGAGTGCTTACTGCCCACGGCGGCCGCTGCTGGAATTATGATGGCACGCCGAATGGGCAACCCCTGGGCTGTGTAGCGAAGCGTATCCAGGCTGCCATGTAGTCGACCAAGTGCTCGTGGCTGCTCCACAAGTGTGTGTCCATCAGAGTCCTTCTGAGACATGATCCTCCGTCGTACAGCATCTGGCAAGGCAGAACGATCAGGTGCGGCCTTCCCTCTTCGGGACTCGCATCAGCTTTCCCCTCCCCGGTGTGATGAGGCACCAAGCCTCACCAACCTCTGGCGGGCCTCTGTGATGACATGTGCCGCAAAGACTTGCAGAATAACTCACCGTCTTATGTTGTCCTACCATCGTTCGCAACATCTCCATCCCTCTCGGAACATTCGGTCAGCTCAGCACCCCGACCCGCCGAGCGCATGCACAGTCACAACTGCCATGCCTCACGCTGGTCCGATTGCTGGTTAGTTCTTGGTACGACTCTGTTGTTTCCAGCCCGTAATTTGGCTCCTTGTCATCCTGCAGTCAAATTTGAGATGACCTGCAGAGGAATCGACGGTTTGTGGGGAGGTCTTCGGCTCGTGTGTTTGCTAACCGACCATGTCGCAGCTGAAATCCCGCTGCGTCTGCCCAGGTGGACCTCGACGGTCCTTCTTTTGCTGTCTTGGGCCCTGACCTCGCAAACTAGACCACAAAGCCTGTGTCGTGAATAACGGCTGAAGTTGAAGGCGGACGGCCGAATCTAGCGCGGCCGACCCTGATATCCGTCAGCCAGAGACGCATGACGAGTAGGGGCGTAGACTTGCGTCCTGTTCACCATTTTCTTAGTAAAGTTGGTAGCCCCCAGTGTCCAACCTTGATCGGGTCTGTGACAGCCTATGAGTCTTGATGCACATTTTAATAACCTTGTCTGGTGGTATGAGAATTAAGCAGTCTATCAAGACCTGCCAACAAGGTGTGAAGCAGTGATTTCATCCATCTGGGCTCGCAAATGCCGAGCTCCCCAGGTGAAAGCTCCATATTCGCTTGATATTTCGGGACTCGTGACACTGCGCAGATCTGCTAAACGTTCCTCATGGGCTTTATCCATGGGCTTCAAGTTTATCATTCAGCATGCCAGCAGACATGAGTCTTCATCACGCTCACTAAAGGCGTCGGGCAGGGATAGAACCAGAAGGAATCCGGCATTGCGTGCAGTTGATGGCTTCATTTTTTTACTGCATGAAAACAGTTCTCAGGCCGAGGATCTGTCATTCGACGCAGTGGACCTGGCTGCCCTGAGGAACTGACCGAAGCCTGCATGTCCAATTTAGCCAGCAGCTCAAGCGACAGCAAGGCAGACGACCCAATCCGCACGGCCAACGGCGGCAGCCCGCGAACTCGTTCCTCCTTTCTCTCTCTCTCTCTCTCTCTCTCTCTTGCGCGCGCGCGCGTGCGTTCCATTTTCTTCTCATCCGTGCCGTTCGCGCCATCGATTTCTCCGGTCCGAGTGGATCTGGCCGTGCAATTTGCTCGGTCCCGAGCCACATCGTCTTTGTGATTCTCGCCTAAAGAATGTGTGGCTTCGGTCAGTAACTTTGGCGCTTCTTTCCAGCGCTTTGGTATATTGAGGATATCCCCACCGCCATCCCAGTCCTCGGACATGAAGAAGTGGCAAGAACATACGGAGCAAGCCTTCGAGGGTACATCTGATCTTGCTGACAGGCGCAGGCCAAGATGTCAGATGCTGCAACTCCGGAAGGGTCCAGTCCATATCAATGCATGGATCTACAGAATAGTTTCTGGATCCGGAGCGGCGAGATGTCTCGAAAGCAGCCGCATCCAATCGTGGAATAAAATAGGCATCCAACACTGCTCATGGTGGGAGCCAACACGTCCAAGCACGAACTGTGAGCAGTCTTTGGGGACAGAGATCGCCTTGTGGGCCCTTCCTGTTTTGGCAGACCTTCCCGGACTGAACCAAAGAAGGCGAGGCGAAAAAGCTGCATGACCGACATTCTAGTCCACCGAGACTATCTTCGGCACCGACGGTGATCCATCTTGTCCGACAATAGGCCAACAAGATGTGGCATGACTGCTTTGAGACAAGATAGCCGTGAGAGCGTTGATCGGGGGGGATACGACACGAAGGTTCGTCGTCCTAATTCGTTTTGCTTCTGCTGGGCGATGGCGCATTGGCAGTCGGGTGGAGCCCATTACTGCCCAGGTGTCCGTTGACATGTCCGTCGTTTTATGATATGTCCCACGGTGGGAATCACCCGTCCGCCCAGTGACGTCTCTGGAGGTCTCACCACAAGAGTTCTCCGAGCAAGTATTGGTTAGGACATGGCCTCTTGCTTCTTCGAGCAATTCGAGAGTTCTTTTGAGCAGGAGGTCTGTTCTCTTTGTCAGGTATAAGACCCAGCTTGGAGGCCTTGCCCCCTCTTACTCAGTTCCTCGTCTTGGGACCTGGCCGCCTCAACATGGTGGCACTGTTCACAACCACTTGGAAAAGGGCTCAATCCTCGAACTCAAGGTGCTCAGCCTGGTGATATTCTTGGGCCGACAATGGCTACGACATGAAGACAAGGGCCGATCGCGAATCAGAAGGACTGAAGCCAGCCACCCGTGGACAGTACCGAGAAACCACACCGGCAACAGCATAAGGAATGATTCCAAAGGAAAGAAGGAATACTTCGGCCTTGGCGTGAGAACTGAAGAGGGATCCCTCAATATTGGTGAAAGAAGGGACGGAAAGGAGCAATGCATCGCAGTTGGTGCCATCAGAGACAGGGTCGATCGAAACCACGGCAACTAGACACAAACGAAGTGTAACGATGGTAAGAGCCCATATTCGAAGGGAGACACCAGAACGGCAGAGGCCTTGGTAATATCCGACCACGCAAAGACATCTACCCCATGGCCGACCGAATGAAGGGTGTTGAGTGATCGCACCGTCCCATGGCACCTCGGACACAGATACACCGTGGCAGGAAGTTGAGAGAAAAGAATAGGTCTTATCGCCTTGTGGTCGCTGGAGCTCAGCTCCTTCCCGTACCGGTCACCTCAGTGTTGAGCTTATCTGAGAGGAAGTCAACCCATCGAACCAGAAAGACTGAAAAGAAGTTGGGCCTTTGCAAAGAAAAGTCTCACCTGAGGCCACCGGAACCATCACGGCGAATATCATTTTCCAAAAACACGGTCACAAAATATCGGATCCAGGACAAGGGACTGCTTCCTTCATATCAGTCCACATCAAATGTCTATTCGGAGTTGATGATGCCTACGTACCTAGGTAAGTTTCCAGGAGCAGGTGACGAGTTGTTCGCGTGCCATGCAAAACGTCGAAGGATACATGGACCTCGCCGGCCCCAAGGTTGGTTTAAGCATCAATGTCCAGTCTCCCGGAGAGAGTAGGCAAAGTTTCACAATCGGCAGCACACCAAGTCAAGGTACGGATAGCAGAATTGTGCAGAGCAAGTCAGATGCTGGAAATGAATCCCAGTCTTCTACTGGATCTTTGCATCCTTTGACGTACTGATTGCACAGCTCGGGGCTTGAAAGTCACTAAATCTCGGCCTGAATCCCACATCACAAGGATCTCTCTCTCCCGTCCCGACGTCTGGATTCTGAGGGCACACACAGTATGATCAACCTTTGCCCACCATTGGCACACAAACCCCCGTTTTGACCCCAGGAACGGAGCAACGATGCACACCCGATACCCGAGGTTTCCTGCTTCGATCTCCATGCAGCCTTGATCCTTCCTCCAGTGGGATGGAAGTGATGTCAGCCCAGTCGCATGTTAATTTCGTCAGATGTGAAAAGCGATTCCGATTCAGATTGCGAACATATCCGACTTATCACCCATGTCAAGTGGGGGAGCGAGCACCACCCTCCAGATGACCAAGACCATAATCCATGATGCCCTCAATCTCAACCATCACACCACTGGCCGGCTATTCGCTCACCGAGCATACCGGCCTGGCCTGGTCCGAAGTCACGACTAAGCAGAGCCGCCTAGCTCACGCCACAACCGACTGATTACAACGTGTGAGGCCCGCTAGTTCCTGCCGCACCCAGAGGCCCTAGGGAGTTAAGCTTGAAAGCTTGCCATCCTCAGCCGGACCACGGGTGAATAGGTGGACCGGCGAGATGGGCTTTCCAGGGGGGGAGTGGAGGGGGGAGGGTGTCAGACGGACCCAGCCTCACTTAGACCATGACCTCCCGCACCGCGAGGTGGAGGTCAGCACTTGGTCCTGCAGATACGCCACACAAACTTCTCTCTCGCTCTCTTCTATCTTGCCCCTTGTCCGCCCCTGGAGCCCTGCCTAAACAACAACACCACCACCGTCCAGATCAGACACCGGTCTCGATAACAGCTCGATAAAAAGCGTTCTAGACCATACATGCATGTTGCCATCTCTCAATCTTCTACCCTAGCTACCCACATGGGCACACGCCCGCGCCCGCACACTTTGTCACACACACAAACCCACACACATACGCCCAGATACGCACCTGCTTTCACATCTTAAAAGACACTCGCTTGTTCACCGGCAAGGCCGGATGTCCGTCCTAGTAAACCTCACAGGGGCAGTCGGACGCGAGGAGATGACCAATATGCACGCACCATACTGATGACCCAAGAATACCATCACCCGTCCCTCCCGGAGGGATCACAGGAATATTGCTTCCTTGGGCCCCCTGTTGAGCTTGATCAATAATCCCCCGCGGCCCCCAAAGCTAAGCTCAGCTCACCACCATCTTAGTTGTTTCAGAAATCCCACACCCAGGCACGCGGGATTGAAGCATACGCGTATGGTGTCCAGTAGATCATGACATGATGTGTCGTGAGTGGGGCAGTCCCGAGAATTCAACCATGTTACAGTCGTGCCTGCAATCATGTACCGGATACTCGCCTCGTTACCACCTTCGAGGATTTAATCCTGCGCCGGCGTGCCAGAAGCCACATTAGGGCAGAGCAGACTGTTCGCTGTCCAACGAGGCCTTTAGTACGAGGGTGAAGTCACCAATCCTTCGAGGTGAGGTTACGGTGTAGCGCCATGTACACGGGTCTTTGGAAAGGTCATATCTTCCTCGATGCCCGAGAGGGAGGGGGTCTGGCCCAGGAGAGTGTGCGCCGTGAGACTGTTCCGCAGGCTTGGGGGTAAACATGTTGTCGAGATTGAGTTGGGCGTATCGAGTAAGATCCACCCGCATCCCACCCACAAGCTTCGTGCTTGTGTGATTAGAACTGGGCGAGACCATCGTAATAGCCAAGCACACCATTGAAGTGTTACAGAAGACACGGGCAATCTTTAGATAGGTATGGTCACACGGTATACGGATCTGTTGTCGGCATAGAAGCGCGGAGAAACCGACATTGAACTCAAACAGAAATGGAACTGTTGCTATCGAGGCTAACAATATCTACACCTCGAGTTCTTCCATTCTTACTCTTGCTAGCTCTGTAGTGTTCCAGATGTCTCTTTCCCCATTCATTGTGTTCATCTTCCCTTCGATGGAGTCATGAGGATATACCGAGCTTGTAGTAACCGTCCCTGTAAAATAAGCAACTTATCGCCGTGAACTACTCGGGAAAACGACAAATAATAATAAGAAAAGCGTGCCATACTCGCCAATGAGTGTACTGCCGGCTCAAGTCTCCACCTTCGTCTGCCAACATGTGACAAGTGCACCCGGAGTCGCGTTAAGAGAACGACTGACTTGTGTGAGCCCACAAGCATGGCATTGAATCCTGAGGCCTTAATTTCTCTCGTGATAGCTGGTGCCAGAGTCATTGCTGTCACCTTTGTCGCTCCCGGCCGTGGTCTTGTTGCCCGTTGCCGGACTGGAAATGCTCTGTGTTTTTGGTGCGCCGTTCCCCTGGGCCTTGTTCCCTTGTGGCACGCTAGAAGATCCACTCTTCTCCTAAGCCTGGTCTACCGTGCCGCCGTTCTTGTAGACCTGCTGCTTCATGTACCGCTTCTGCTGGTTCTGCTTCGACTTTTGCGCATATCCAGGTTCAAAAGTACGCCGCAGCTCGTGCCAGTACTCCCAGTACTGCTGACCAGTAGTGTTAGGTACTTTCGGCTTGGGCACGTTCTTCCTAAAGATCGGGTTCACCACCGAGGCTGGAGGTGCAATGGACGCCGGCACTGGAGTGTTGTGGGTTGGACCGAACAAAGAGGCAGGTGGCGCAGGAGGTGGGAGTTGTGGCATCGTAGGCGCCAGAAAGCCCTGGGCGGCATTCAAGGCAGCATCGTTTTGGTGTGCTGGGTTATTGCACGAGGGCATGGTCGGCAGCTGTTGGTGAAAGGCACCCACAAACTCGGAGGGAATTGGCCCAGACACTGGCGCAGACTCCGGAGGTTGCGGTTGTCTTGCTAGACCCAATGAAGATGGCGATGGCCGAAGTGGCAGGCTGGGAATGCTCCCAAGACCATGAATGCCTGCAGCGAGGCTTGGACCAAAGCCCAAGCCGGGCTGAGGCGGTAAAGCAGGGAGAGGAAAAGGGACGGTTTGCGGGAGCAACGCTGGAGAGACTTGTAACGAGGCCGGTGGTGGGAGAGCCAAGTTTGCGAAAGGGCTGTCAAAGATGGGCAGGGTGTTGTTATACCCAAAGCTTTGCGGATGTATGCCTATGCCAAACGGTGCATGGCCCAGCGGCGGTGACAGGAAGGTACGGGTGGAGGCGGGAGACTTCAGTAGGTTCCGCTCCACGAGAGGAGCGCTGTGGTTATTGGTCAATGAAAACTCCTTTGCGGCGGGATTGAGTGTCGAAGACTTTGGTGAGCGATCTGGCCCAGACCCTTTCGAGCCGACCCTTCCATTCTGAGCAGCGACAGGCTGGAAACCAATCTCGTCTGATGTACCATGTCTGCTCCTCGACTGCGTGCGAGTGCTTGATGACGCGTACCCAGAATCAGAGGGAGCATGTTGGTTTCTCTTTTGGTTTCCCTTTGGCGGAGATTTAGATCGCTTGAAAGGGACTTTCTGTTCCCTGTGGGAAAAGCGCTGTTTATTTTCCTTTGGTTCAAAGGAGATGATTGCCGGGTCATTCAGAGTATTGTTGCCTGATGGACTTTCCTTCAATGCCTCAGTTCCACGACGAAGTCTTCCAAGCAAGCCTTGAAAACGCTGGGTATCTTCCGGGTCAGGGCGACGATGAGGCGTTTGAGGTGCTTGATGTGAGTTGACAGACTTGATGGCCGCATCTCTTTCCATGAGAAGATGAAAATCCCACGCCCTGTATTTCGTTCTGTCAAGAATGCCCTGTTCGTCTTGTCCACCCTCGCCGTGAAATTGACCAGACGGGTGACACAGAGACGGCGGTGGACCGTGGCGAGCTTTTTCACCGTTTTCCAGAGAACCATACTCGGAGTTGTGCTCCGAGGAAAGGAGCTCGTAGGAGAGGTCGTCTTGAACGAACTTATTCTGGAACTCGGACCGCCTTTTGGGGGCTATGACGGGCTGCAGCTCGCCATACATGGCTCCTCGGGCGTGAGCAGGTCCATTGGACAAGGAAGCCGATATGATGAAAGTCTTGTTTGGGTTGGGGATGCCTGGCATGTCTGAGAGTGGATGAATGCCGATGATGTTCATAGCTTCGGCGTCTCGACCCAGAGAAATACCGCTGTCAGCATGGCGGCGCCGAGTGCGTTGCCTCACTGGACTTTGGAATACATCATTTGTGTCTTCTCGCTCGTTATGCCAGTCCAATTTTCCATCGTCCTCAACACAGGGCGCCAAGGGGCTCGGATTGTAGGTATGGTGGGCATCGAGGAGCTCGAAGGGAGCGCCGTCTTCAACACCACTAGTCCAGGGTCGTTGGCTGCGCCAAGTAGGCGAACTCATCATTTCAGCAACTTTCGTACAGTGCCGGTCAGTAGCTTGATACATGGGGGGTATTCCTTTCTCCCGGCGCGTGCCGACAGGTGCACTCTGGGTAGACGGCGGATCAACTGCTGGCTTGGGGTACACTCGAGTGTCGATGGTCAGCTTAGGCTTCGCCGAACGCGAAGTGGCAGTGCTGTCCTGAGATTTCCGCGAGGGAGACATCTTTCTATTTTCCTGGGACCAGGCCAGACCAGAGATGCTACGTTGTGTCGAAGAGTCCGCTTATATCAGAGCGCCAAACGTGGTGGGCGAGGTAGTTGACCTCACCTAACTCGATTCACCGCTCCTAGCAGCGACAATTGGTTAGCATCACGACATGTAAAGGGAAGCCAACGCAAGCGGACTCCTTGAGAGTGTGGCGTGGCGATGGCGATTGTGAAATGTCCACTTTTCGTGGCACGCTGGGGTAGCCTACCTATGGCAGATGGTGTTGTCAGGCATCGACCGCTGGTTGGTGTCAAGTATGTACCTCTCCCTGCCACCAGGGAAGCACAAGTAAGCTGTCTCAATGTAGGTCGGCAGAGGTGAGCTTGGCTGCTAACAGACAGCCTTTGGGGTCAGTGACGGAGTCGTGTGTCAGTCTAGAGCAACCAGACTGGTGCAGGTTGCTCACTTACCCGAGAACTGGCCCAGCAATGTTTGGACAAAGTCGACGTGATCTCCGTGTAATAATCAGATTGCAGAGGGAGCCAGGCCGCTCGATGAATGCAGAGGCGAAAAGAGCTTGCTGTCTGACGAAAAGCAGCGATGCAGAGTGGGGAGACGGCGGGACAGGTAAGGCGAGGATGGTCGAGGTTCGAAAGCACCAGCTTTAACAAATTGAAACTTCCGCTCGAAAACGCTGAAAATCGACCTCGGTGTTTACCCTGAAGAAACAACAACAACAAGAAGAAGATACCCTAAACCTGCGCGGGCGATAACCAAAACCGAAGACCGATTCCTGGGCTGTGTGATGAGGCGCGATGACGGGAGGGGGTTGCGAAGGAATCGAGTACCTACCTAGGTAGGTAGCCAAGTCAACTAGGTTGGGTGCTCCCTCGCCCAGCTCTGGGAGAGGAAACCGTAGTCGGTCGGGGTGGACGGCATGCTGTGTTGGAAGTGACGCTGGGTAGCTGCTGCCCCGAGGCCTCTGGTCCATCCATCCAATGTCTGGCAACCTCCCGAGGTCGGGAGTGGTCGGTCGGTGGGAAAGCGACTATTCAGAAATGTACTCTCCGTCCCCTCCCCATAAGCGCCATCCCCGCTCGCGGCTGCGATCTTCGAACGAATGTCAAAGTTGTTGGTGGCACTTGCCATATTACAAACAGTAGATCTTGTACTCGGCGGAATTTTCCGCGCGTGAGACAATCAAGGCGACAGCAGAGCACCACAGCTGACTTCGTTAGGGATGGGACAGTCAGTCCTCCTATGATTGCTATTACGAATACATCAATAGTGGACGGGAGATGGGTTTGTCGACAGAGAGAGGGGGAGTAGAAGTAAATGTGATGTATCCTGAATTAATGAGATGATAGAAACACATCAAAAACACCAGAACTGGCCGCTTGGAGTGAAGCAATATGGGTGAGCATTGTACTCAAAAAAGAAAAAAAAAAGATATGTCTGAGTAGTCCTACAGTCCCGCCAGTCTGGAGATGTTTTCCTCTGCCTGACAGACAACTAACAATTGGGCGAGCATGAATGAAAATACCCCTTGGGCAGTCCCCATCTACTGTTTTATGAGTTGACAGGAGCATTGCTGCCGGACATGTAGGCAGCAAAAGATTTCTGCACCAAAAAGGAATAAACGTCAGCCAGCCATGTCTCAACTGTACTCTCGCCTCCGGTTGGGAACTCGCCAAGGGACTTACAGCGTTCCTTGTCTGGATGAAAACCGTGCCCGGCCCTGTGAACTTGCACACCAGGCCCTCGCCGGACGCGAAGCCCGAAATGATACCGCCAGATGCGACCCGCTCCATCACGTACTTGGTGTTCCAGGCAACCAAGTGGCCATTGTCGACGATGTACTTTTCCCCTTCTACGAGCTGTTGATGGTGCCATCAGCCTTTTGTGTTCTGAGTAGATATCACGGCCCCGGGGGCTTGTGCGAGCCGGGACACAGACGCAAGACTTACATCCTTCCTGATGATGGCGCCGAAGCTGGTCAGCCAGAGCAGGCCAGTGCCGCTGACCTTGTAGACCCAAAGACCCTCGCCGCTGAACATGGCCTTGCCGAGCCCCTGCCTCTTGTACTCTTTGATGACGCCCTGGGTGCTGGCCAGGTACCCGTCGTGACCCACGCTCCAGCTCTCGCTGCCCGTCAGGCGGAGGCTGGTCACGTCCCCCAGGAAGGGGGGGCCGAGCAAAAGCTCGCCGGGCCCGGTGAATGTCGAGTGGCCCATCTCGCCGCCGGCGACCAACTTCTTCATGCTGAACTTGTAGGCGCCCCTGAGCGTGATGGTGGGGCTCATGGCGATCATGGTGCCCGGCTTCGCGCTCAGCGGGCACCCCATGGCCAGCTGGATGGTCAGGATCGTGTTGCTGTCGCGGTGGCTGATGCGGTAGGACCCGCCGTTGAAGGTGCCGACGTCGTCCACGATTGCCGACGCGCCCACAAAGTGCCCGGCGGGCGGGGCCCCGCCGACTAGGTTCCCCGGGTTGCTCGTGTCCACGGGGGCCTCCTCCTCGTCGCGGTCTGACTGGGGTGGCTTCTCGGGCGGGTAGCCGTCCTCTGGGGGGCCGGCATACTGGGGCGGCTGAGATGGCTGCTGGTTGTGAGTGAACTGAGGTCCGTGCTGGCTGTGGATCGAGCCGGTGGAGCTGTGGCGCATGTGAAGGGGCAGGCTCATGTTGGGGACTGGCTGCTGCTGCTGCTGAGATGGTGGTGGCGAGAACTGCTGGGGAGGGGGTGGATAGGACATGGGGCTGCCAGACTTGGGAGGCGGCGTTCCGGCGGCGGCGGGGGGCGGGGGATAACTCCTCTGCTGCTGCTGGGCGGCGGGAGAGGAGCCGTTGGGCGGCGGGGGATAGAAGGATGTCTTGTTGGCCGGGGGCGACATGGGCCCTCCTCCGATGTGGCCAAAGGAGGTCTGGTGTGCTGGCGCCGACATTGGCGGCGGCGGGTAGTTCTTCTGGGCCGCAGAGGGCGGAGCTGAGGGAGGGCCAGCCTCAGGGTCAGCCTCGGGGCTCGGGGGCGTGCCGGAATGGGTGAGATACTCACGCGGATAGTACTGTGACATTTTTGCAGGCGAGGAGCTGCTGATGTGGTTGCAGCTATGACTTGGTCAGCGGCGGGTTCGGCTTCTCAAGAAGTGAGGTCGTCGCCGGTTTGTGACACAGCTGAGGGATCACCGGATGGCCCCGCACTCACGTCTGGTTCTGGCAGGCTGCGGCCAGGATGATGAGCGCCGCGAGTAGGTATGGCTGACTGGCTGCTGGGTCTAGTTCAGAGGAGGGAGAATAGAGAGATGTTGTGAAATTGAAGTTCAATCAAGTCCCCCCAGTTAAGCGAAGCGCGGTTTACACCCCCCCCCCCTTCCACCCAATGTACACACACACCTACAGTGGGGGATTCGCCTCGTGGATGGCGCCGCTCGACGTTGCATTGCATCGCGCGGCCAACAGCTGCTTGCACCATTTCGACAATTGCAGCTGCTGGGGCTGCTAATAATAATCCGGGCCCAAGCTCCCAAGAAAGGCAGGCTAGCAGGACACACAACAGCCAACCAATGGCTGCGCCGCGCAAGCTCTGGGCTCTGGACGCTGCAGGGGTGAGCCTCTTCTGATGGACCTTGGAACCTTGCAGGCTCCTCTTAGCCGGGGACAGCTCGGCGCTTACAGCCCCGGCGGCTAGAGATTGCTCATGCCAAAACTCTTGGACTAGTGCCTGCATAGATACATAGATACTTAAGTAGATATATCGTCCCTTGAGCGTCCACACCTCCTGTCATGGCATCATGGCACCATCCACATCCAACAACGACAGCAATTGACTCCTCACGACTGCCGCGGCCCAGCACTCCAGTTTGAGCTTGCTGGAATTCTTGGCGGCCACAGTTGCAAACTCCTGGCCCCGGCGCCGAATGCTGCTGTGCGCCAACTGTAAGCTGACAGGTTACATTTCACTGAAACAACCGTCTTCTACGCTTGTCTCTCAAAAGAGACTGGTCATCAACAGCAGCGTCGCCATCATGGCTCACAGCGTTCATGTCATTCCCCTTTCACAAGCCGCATATAACTCGGGTCGGCCATGTCCCTCCTCGCATTGCATTTTGTCCCCCTCACATTGACCCCGGCTGTCATACAATCCACACACGTGTTCCCCACCCCGCGTGCCCTGTGAAAAGCTGTCCCAGGCGGCCCAGGCGGTTCACGCCCGCCCACCAAATCGTCTGTCTTTGGCTTCATCCCCGGGGCCACGACACCGTGACAAGGAAAACAAAAAGGTGGAGCTAAGAAGCCAGAGTAGAAATCATATCGGTGTACGCTCAGTAGAATGCCTCCCACAAACCCTCAGTTTTTGGTATGCACGGCCAATAGGAAATCTCGCCCTTTGTCACAAGAGACCCACCACCACAATGCATCGACAGTCGTATCGTGGGTAATAACAAACGCCAGGACGCCGTCACCTTCTCGTGTTTTTGGTGTATCGTGTGCCCTCAACGCCGTTCACAAACCCCAAATGCCCCCGCCCCCCCCCCAAATTATATATCGACCCCCGTGTGGAGGTTTCCGTCATTACAAAATCCATAGTAAATATACTCCGGCCCTCAATGCTTCCCGGCGACTGAAAAGAAATGTAACCAGGCCATTAGTAAGTCAGAGCCAGTCGCTCTTGTTTTTAATCCCCGCTCCCAATCAATTTTTGCCAAAAGACTCCCTCTCGGCTCCAGCTCGCCACCGGCGTGGTCAGGTACGAGGTCAGGTCTCAGGAGCGGACAGCTCAGTTCTTCCCCGCTGAAGCCACCCCATTAGAGTGTTCCTCTTCCTCCGGAGAAGCAACCTCTGTCGCCGAGACCAGCCCGATATCCTTCTTTTCCGCCGGCGCATCGGCCGGCGTTGTCGCTTCTGGCGTGGACTTCTTCGTCAGCACACTCGCCGTCTCCGGCTCCTCTGGTATCGTCGCAAACTTTTGCAACACTTGTTTCAGCGCTGGCCGCCGAATAGGCTTCGCGAGGAACTCGTTCATGCCCGAGTCCATGCAGTCCTTGACGTTGCTCGCGTCGGAGAACGCCGTGAGCGCAACAATCGGTGCGTTGTAGCCCATCTTGCGGATCAGCCTCGTGCTTTGCAGCCCATCTAGGTTCGGCATTTGGATGTCCATGAAGATGACGTCGAATCGCTCGTTACGCTCGAAGTTCGACTTCACCAGCTCGTAGGCTTCCTGCCCATCCTTGGCGATGGTCACGTCGTACACGTCCTCGAGCTTTAGCATTCTGCTGACAACCTCGATGTTGGTGTTGTTGTCATCAGCCACTAACACACGCAGTTTCCCAGGTCCTGTCTTCTTTTCCATAGCTTGGTTTATCATGGCCATTTTTTCATCGTCACTCTTGGGGGTTTGTGATTTCACAGCGGCGAAAAAGGGCTGGCTTAGGCCTACGAGCCGTGGTTGTTTGTCAACACCTGTCGTGCCTGTCGATTTCGAGCCCTCGGCAGGGGGGCCTTCCACCAATTGTTGGTGGGCCTCGACGTCTGCAGAAGCCACGCTTGGCGGCCTTGAGCCACCACCCACGCTGCTTGATGCGACACTGGAAGGCCTGCATTGACTAGATTAGCGCCTGGCGTACCAGATAGTTGTTGGTTCAGGTGTTTCTCCTCACTTGTCTTTGGTATATTTCAGAGGCAATTGCACTGTGAAGGTCGTTCCGACGCCCACTGTGCTTCTTAAAGAGACATTGCCGCCCATCAGTGTAGCTAACTGAGAGCAGATGCTCAAACCGAGACCGGTGCCGCCGTACTTTTTGCTTAGGCCCAGGTCTCCTTGCACGAATGGCTCAAACACTCGTTGTTGCATATGCTCGGCGATACCAGGGCCGGTGTCCTCCACCTCAAATTCGAACATGTATGCTTTGGCATTGGGCGGCGGCGGCGTCGCAGGGCTGTCCATACTTGTTGTGTGGGGGTTTGGTCTAGGATCCGCGGGGTTTATGGATAAGGCGGTGCCTTTCTGGACCTGTGACTGCACAATAGACGACGACGCGCCTCTAGAGCTCATCGAGTGCTGTGAGCCGGATCCCAGGCGACCTCGACCGCGACCTTGACCACTCGAGGCTCTCGACATGGATGACGCCCTGCTCTCGTCGCTTGACTCTGCTTCTCCAAGACATCGGATGCGTACCATGACCTTGCCACCCGCAGGTGTGAATTTCAAGCTGTTGCTGACTAGATTGATCAAGACCTGCAAGATACGGTGTTGGTCGCCCCAGAGACACATGTCTTTCAGACGCCCTAGACCTTGAGGACCAACAGCCGGGAGACGCTTCCCTTGGTCAAGGTCCTTATCGGCAGGCTGGCCATCGGGGTCAGCACCTACAAAATCAGCCGTCAGGGTGATGCGCCCCTCCTTCACTTGCTTGTCGAAGATGGAGAGTATCTGTGACCGGATATCCGCTAGCCGAAATTCGCGTTCCTCAAGATTTACTTGATGGCCAATTTGGTTCTTGGAGAAACTGAGTAGGTCGTCGAGGAGATGGAGGAGGAGATCGCCTGAGATAATTGTCAGCAGCTGTGTGTTATGACGTGTTGCATTTCGCTTCGCTTTTCTCAGGACAAACACGGACCGGATTTGTACAGCGTCTTGAGGGACTGCTTGATCCTGACGATGTCGTCCTCTTCCATGCACACCGCACACATGCCCATGATGCCGTTCAGAGGTGTTTTAAGCTCGTGAGAGATGTTGGCGATGAACAAGGTTTTGCTCTCGTTCGCTGCTTCGGCTGCTTTCTTGCTAATTTCCAGTTCGCGCGTTCTCTCGGCGACCTTTTCATCCAGCGATGTGTATTGTTTCAATAGTTCCTGCAGCGCTTGAAATCAGTCACTGCCAGCAACGCCTCTCACCAACAGCCATGGTACTGTCCAGGGCTGCCCCTGATAATTGCATGTAAAATATGGGCTCCAGCTCGGGGTAATACTCACATCGCTCATCTCGTTGAAGACCGCGGTGAGCTCCGTCAACTCGTCAGTGACAATGTGCTTGTGGCTTTCGACCTTGCCCGGGATTTTGAACACCCGCCGGTGCGAGTCACTTTCGACATCTGCTAGGAGTCGTCGGCGGTGACGACGTCCTAGCTTGTGCGAGATCCACGCCGCAATGCCTTTGATGGACTTTTTGGAAGTCGTGCCCGAAAGCATCCCCTCCTCATCATATGTATTAAACCTTGCAAGCTCGTCGTGGTATCCTGGCGGAGCAACGGACTTCTCCGTGGCCTCTTTCAGCCGTCTGATCGGCATGACGCTCCAATGGGCACATGGAAAGACAAGTATCGCGACCGCACCAGCAGTTCCAAAGACACAGCCGAGTAGAATCGTACGCAGCGTACTGATCGGAGCTGTGGCTTCGGAGCGGGCTTGTTCGACAACGACGGCCCAATTGAAGAGCGAGTTCTGTGGACGGGCGAACCCAACCGACACGGCAGTCCCTTGCTCATTTCTCGACCACAAGTCCGAACTAGCATTGTTTACGGTGTCGATTTGTGTGGAGAACTCTGTCCTTGCGGCTGGGAAGTCTCGCAGTAGGAAAGGGCGATCGAAAAGTCCCGAAGCGAAGCTGTGCTTCTCGTGCCGTCGAGCCCCCGTTGGGGCTGGTGTAGGAGGCAGTACAAACCGCATTGGTATGTCCCCGAAAGCATCGAGGTCATCCGGCGTATAAGTTGAGTTGCTTGGTGGCAGTGATGAGTTGAAACTGTTTGATGTGGCCATTGGCCCAATGATCAACACGACGCCCGTATCACCTAAACCTTCTCTTGAAGTCGTGACGTTCACGAGCGGACTACCTGAAGCGACAACGGTCATATAGCCCAAGATGAAACCCGGCAATCTCGTCGATCTTATCGGCTAGATGCTGTTAGTCAGGCGGTGACACGAGCAGGAAACCTGCAGCTTACAATTGTCAGGGAAATCAGAGCAAAAGTCTCGTTTATCATGAGGGGGCCTAACAGCAGGCCATTATCTTGGTTCAAACGGACCCCAGTGAATGCGAAGGCGGTGAACCTGTTCGTGGTGGGATTGTTGGTGCTCGGCACCCCCGTGTCGTTGTAAGTGATATTTGGATAGAGAGACGGTGGAAAGCCCCCATCCTGGTCACCGAGGATGGGCCTCACGCCCTCGGATGTCTCGTAAGGAAGCTCAATTCGCGGTGTGGTATTGCCAGTGGCGTTGAAAAGACCTGAGGACGGGCCCGTAGTGTTCCTCGAAAATACCTTGACCTGGTACAGGTTCCCTCCGCCGGAGCCGAGGGCACTTTGAAAATCCGTGCCTGCAGAAGCCCAGTTGCTATCGGTCGTGTTGCCCTGGTAGTACGACTGCAGTGCCTGTTGTATCAGTATCCTCGTGGCTATTGTCGAACAAGTCGTCTGGATCAGCTGGACTTCAGACGCGATACGGGTGGCCTTGAGGGAAGCTGTCAAGGCCAAGCCGCTGGACTGCACTTGTATAACTATAGCTGAATCAGTTGTCTAGCTGGGTAGGCAGTTTGCTGGGGACGCGTACCGAAGTTGTTGACGAAGATCCATACTGGCACGGACACAATGGCGAGCCCTACCAGTACAACGAGAGTAACACTATGTGTCGAGTCAGTACGGAACCTCTTCGGGACAAACAACTCGGAGACATGCTGGAGGGGGCATCTGGTGGCGCTGGCGGGCCACTCAGGAGCAACCCCAGCGCCCTATGCCCTGGCAAGACCGACTGACAGCTGAGTAGCAGCAGCTGAAATCGCCAGAGAAGCAGGCACTGGCGGGACTGTCCCGGTACTCACAGTACAGCCAATTGCTCTCGGATAGCAACCCTCATCTTGCACCTCATCTGTGATATGCCCAGGCTATGAGGGACAGCCTGTTGAAGAGCCTCGCGCAGTCTGCATCCTCTGTAAGGCCACCAAGACAAAGCTTCCTTCCAGTGTGAGCAAAGATGTCGGATTTCCCTCGCTGGCTGGCTGGCTTGGCCTTGACCGGAGCCAAACCGTGAACGAGGCGGCGGGGCGGCGGGGCGGCGGCGACGAAGTCTATCGCCCACGTAGAAGGATACAGGTGGAAGCTCAGAGATATCCGGTCATCTCCTGGCGCTGGTCTGTTGGGCGCAGCTGAAGACCAAGCTCTCGGCAGAGGGCTGGAGCCAAAGCGCAAATAGACCAAAGCCACCACCACGACTAATGCCGCAACCACCAACAACGGGCACAAACAAGTCCAGGACTGGTTCGTCAAGGTCGACAGCTGGGGAGCCGGCCGTGGGTCACGGCCGTGGGTGGAACTGACGGCGAGTCTCACGGGGCGCGAGGCACGGCAAGCTGCAGCGCGGAGTAGGGCTCGTGGATGGTGGGCCCCGGACGGGACGGCCGGTGTACGCGTGTGTCCCTCGGTGCCGCCTCGGGCAGCCTCGAGGCGGGTGGTAAGGTCGCGAAGAGGCAGGCGGACAAAGGCTGGACTGACTCGGGGCGAGCGAGCGGTGTGCTGCCGGGCGACTGCGGATTGAAGTGAGAGCGTGCGCGGGCTGTCGTTCGGGCAGGCGGGCCACGATGGGTCTGAAAGAGGTGTGTCTTCCTATGGGGGTCGTCTTGTTCAGAGATGCACGGGGTTCACGGTTGGGCGGGATGTCGATCTTTGGACGTGTGGGGTATGTGGACAGGCGGCCGTCCGTCAGTGAGCGCAGTCCATTCCAAACAAAGCCCAGTGTTGGGGTAAGGTTGGAGAGAGGGGAGAAGCAGCGCCGGGCGTGTCACGGCTGGAGGGCCTCTAAGAAGGCAGGTTGATGTCGGGGAGGGGAGGTGGTGTTCTGGCTGGTGCGAGCTGGCGCGTGTCGAGGACGGAGAGGGCCAAGGTGGTAACGGCAGCAGATTTACAGATGAGATGAAAGGCGACGGGGAGGGCCGGGGATGCAATTGCATCCAAAAGCCCAACCCGAATGGGAATCGGAATTGGATTTGATGGCTGCAGCTCTCTCTTCCTAGGGCTGCGGGCTAGGGGGCCCCCAGTCTCGGCCTGGGGTTCTGGTGCTGAGAGGGTGGGACCGGGGAGCTGGGGAGCTGGGGACCGCGGGAGATCAGACCCAGCATGGAGCCAGACGGTGGGCACGGGGCGGGCACGGCAGGACGCTGGCGACCAACTTTTTACCAACGTAACGTCCGCCTCGGTCTCTTGTGTCTTTGTTCCAGCCAGCGTCCTTGTTTTGTTTTGTTTTCTTTTTCTTTTTTCTACTTCTTTTCTTCTTCTTCTTCTTCTTCTTCTTCTTCTTCCCCTTCTCTTCATCCACATCCCTCTCAAGTGTCGAGGGGCCGACCCCCAGGAGGGCAGGACAGATCGGGAATTGCTGAGGACGATCGGTCCCATGTTCCATTTCTCCCCTCGCGGTAGGCCCTCACATGGTCTAGACCGCACCCGCGTCCCACCCCAGCCCATAGCACGCTAACTGCCATTGGGAATATCACCCCAAGACATCCAGGCGCCTTCGTAGCCAGGTACCAGGAGAAGGATCCCACCGTCAGGAACTACCGTCCCTTCTGCCCTTTTGATTTTACCGGCGCCCGGCGGGCAAAGACACGTCGCGTCTCACAAGATGCCTCGTCGGGTTTCAAACCACCACCGCTCCCAGCCGCTCCCAACCAACTCCCTCCCCCCCCAAGAGCAATGCCGCAACACGCCCGCACAGGTCCAGCACCCGGCACACCACCATGCCACTGGGATCGAGCCTGCCATCATCAGCCCGCAGCGGCGGCGCCTGGGCGAGTTTCTCACAAGAGCACAGGGCTAGCTCCCTTGCCCGGCAAGCGAGATGGCGGCCAGTAATGCGCACCGGCGGCCGTTGAAGCTTGGGCAACGGCACATATTGCGACTAGCACGAGCCGCCGTTGAAACAGCACAACTAGAAACCGGCACACAGCGTGACAGCGTGACAGCGTGACGGCATGACAGCAAGACAGCATGAAAAGCCCCATTGTTTACTGCCGCTCGGCCTCCTGGGAAGCGGTGCTTCCAGCCCCCCGGCCCCTGTCCACAATGGCTGCACGTGAACATGTCACGAGCTGAGACCCGTTACCTTCGCCCAAAAGAGACATTTGTACAGGAACGCTGCTCCGCGAGGATTCTCCTCAGGCCATCGGGGCGAAGGCTATTGAAAGTGGCGATCCTGAACCCAGAGCCACTTCCGCTAGAACACGACACATCAGATCAGCTGCGAGGGAGGCAATGCCTCACGCCGGGGTTTTGAGTCCCAGCCGCAACTCCAGCCGGCAACAAAAAAGACCACTCTGTAGTTTGTTTGGCCCATGGCTTGTGATCGCCAGAGGCCCATGTAGCACAGCGGACAATTGTGTTGGGTAGCTAGCTGTCTGTCGCTTGGTTTGTTTGTTTGTTTGTATTTATATATACAAAGAAATATGTATTCAAAAGAGATAATTGTGTTTTCGTAATAATCATTAAGCCGCACCTAAGGCCTCTCTGAGCACTTCAAGCCCCGGTTTCAAACGGCAAACCCATCCCGTTCCTATGATGCTCCCATTCCCATCCCATGTAAAAAAACCCAGTCTCATCCAAAAATGTACAACGAGCGTGCCTTGAGTATCGACAGCGTCATATCGTCGTCTGTCAGTTATGTTCGTCATGACTTTCCTCGGGTTCTGTTCGTGTCCCCTCTCCCCCCTCCCCTATAATGTAGATTCCCCCGTCCCCCATCTCAGTTCCCACTAAAAACGAGCGGCACCAGCAACGAGCTGCTGGACTCGATGGTCTTGTACGTCTCGGCGCTGTTCTGCCTCGTGCCAGCGCCGAGCAGCTCCCGGATTCGCAGGTGCGTCTTGCTCCCGTTGTCTGGCGGGCCGCTGGGGGGTTGCTCCTGCATGGTCCCACCGCTGTTTGTCCGCACCAGCGCCGGGTGCTGTTCCAGCCGCGGGCCTTCGTCAATCTTGTTCATGGCGTTGGCCGCGTTCAGCTTTCCCAGCTTGCGCAGCACCGCGTCGCGCGCCTTCTGCAGTGCGCTGGCCCGCGCCTCGGCGTCCTCGGCGAACCGCAGCTGCATCTCCTCCTGCTCCAGGTTCCGCTGCACCGCCGACAGGCCGTCATTGACGTTGTGGCCCTGCCCGTGGGTGTGCATCAGTGGCGCGCTGACCGAGTTGCTGCTGTCGCCGCTGCCCCGCGAGCCCGACGGCATAGGGATCGACGTCGTCGACGCCTGTGGGTTGTATACCGCTGGCTGCAGCAGGACAGGGAGCTGTTCCGCTGGCATCGGCGCTGAGATGTTGAGCGGCACAGGGGGCAGGGGGTGCGATGGCGCCCTGACCAGTCGGATCTGGCTCTGGCTGGCATTGCTTGACTTGAGAGTGATCTGACTCATGCTGGGGTTGCTCGACTTTAGCGTCGTCTGGCTCTGGCTCGCATTGCTCGACTTCAGAGTCAGCGTATCGTCGTCGGAGCCAAGCACCTCCGGCAGCTGGATCTCGTAAGTGTTGGGGTCCATGATCTGGCAGGACGAGTACGGCCCCGGATCCGAGGACTGGCGCGCGCGACGGAGCACGTTCCTGCTCTTGTTCGAATGTGATGACGAGCCGGATCGCTGATGGTGGAAGAAGCTGGCGAGCGAGTTCTTCTCCTTCAGATTCTCGTTTGAGCGAGGAGGATAGTAGCCATGATTGTCATCGTCCTCTGACTGCTCGCCCTCCTCACGCTTGGGGTGCCAGGGCTTGCGCTCTCTCCGGCGCACGCGCTTCTTTCGCAGCTTGCCGCTAAACGATTCCTCGCCGTCGAGGGTGCTGAGGCTGGCCTGGCTTGTGGTGGCCGTGGCGAGTCGGTTGGGCTCATCACTAGCCGTGGCGGGGCGGTAATGCTCATCACTAGCCGTGGCGGGGCGGTAATGCTCATCGCTGGCCGTCATTGTTCTCCGAAGGCTCAGCTCTTCGCTGAGGTCCTCATCCAGCTCAACGATGATCTCCTCCTTGTTGTCAAAGTAGCAGACCTCCGCCTTGGAAGGTTGGCGGCTGAGACCCACATACATGTCCATCTCGTCGTCAATTTCCTCGAGGAGGTCCCTGCCCACGGCTTCCACGGCAGCGCTGGGGTGACGGACAGCGACGTCGTCGTCCTGAGCAACACTACCTCTTGGCGTCCTCGGGGTTCTTGGACTCCGTGGTGTAGCGGGAGTCATGGGGCCCACTGTCCTGACGCTCTCGACAGGGCTAGGAGGTGGCATGTTATCGTTGCTTTCCATGCCGACAGAGTATCTCGACCAGGTGTCGCTGCGCGCCCTTCCGCTCTTCTCAGCAGGCGCCATCAGAGGCGCAAGTGCCTCATCCCAGTTACCACCGTTTAGAAGCACCACATTCTCAAAGTCAAACTCCTTGACCGTCGCCTTGTGGCCTTCAACAAGCCTCCTCAATTGGCACTCGCTCATGGATGCGTTTCTGACCTGCATGTGCTTCAGGCGAGTGAAGCGCATAGGCTGCCTGACACCGGGGGTGGCGGGCAGGGGGCTCATGGGGCTCGTGACCTCGTTGAAGAGCTTCTTGCACTCTCTTGGCGGGTCAAAGAGCGCATCCTCCGCAAGTGCCAGGGGGCACGGCCCCTTCCCGCCGGTCCAAGTGAAAGAAAGCTTCTCAACGCAGTCGGAGAAATTGCGCAGGTAGTCGTCAATGATCTTGAGTTGGTCCAGACCCGGACCGCTGGGGCCATAGAAATCCCACGCCTCTACCGAGACACTGAGCTTTTTGATTTGGCGCCACCGCTTGGCCCCGCGTGGGGAGCAGCCGAAGCCGGGGCCGCCTTCAGACTTGAGGTACAAAAATGCGGCCGGGTGTACACCGGACAATGAGAGCTTCGATAATCTCGTCAGTTGTGGTGTGCGCTCGATGGCTATCCTCAGGCTGATTAGGGCATAGTCGACGATGTCCCTCCTGTAGCGCTCCCTGGGATCCTGTCCGGGTGTTTTGATGGTCAGATGCCTGAGGTTCGGGAGGTTCTTCATCGCGTGGATGAAACTGGGCACATTCGTCGACGCATGGAAAAGGGGCGGGTATTGCTGGGTAAGAATGTCTCCCAACTCCGAATTGCCATACTTTGGCCTGGTGAGCGTGCTGGTCATGGAAGTGTGCGGCGTGTAGAGGTACGAGATCTCAGACCCCGTTTGTGGGTGAATAAGTGGCGGAAGGAATGTGGTCTCCGAGTGCGGGAGGTAGAAAATGATGTGTTCTATGTGGTGTCCTATCCTCCCCAAGGCCTGTATCCGGGACTGCTTGGTGAAGCTGTTGGGCGTGAAAGTGAGGTGTACGCGCTGGAAGAGTCGGCGCGTCACCAGGTTGCAACAGGCCGAATTGGCCAGCCGGACCGAGCAGATATCCGACTTGCTCAGGTGCGCAAACAAGCGCTCACGGACCGACTCAGACGCCCAGATGCTGTAGAAGGGGTGATTTTCAGATGCCATTGTGTTTGCATCTCTCTCCCCAAGTTCCTAATTGGGGTTTTGTGTGCACGCGTCCTCGTAGATTCTTGGTCAGTCGTGGGAAAAGAATCCTGTCGGGTGTCGGCGGTCTGGTGCAAGTCGCGTGGAAGGATATGTTCGCCGGTGGTGTTCTATGTGTTTGATTCGCCCGAGCCAGCTTCAGAGGGCGAAAATGAAATCGCGATTAAGATATTTCAACTAAAATGAAGACATTGGCGGGCAGCTAAGGCAGCCATGAACAGAGAAGAGTTGCACGAGAACCACGAGGCAGCTAATGGTCTCGATCCGCAGGTTAGGAGCTCGAGGTGGGATTCGTTCGTCGTCCCACTGAAGCTATTCGCTTCCCGTGGGCGCGAACGGTTCGCAGCAGTTCGCACTAGTAGTAGGTCGACCCTTTGTTCTTAAGGTTGATGATAATGTGATTGTGAGAATATGCACTGGACCGATGATGGCAAACAGGTGTAGAGCGTGGGATGGGCTTTAGTGATCTCGATAGAGAGTTCGTTGAGGGAGCAGTAGTGTGTGGACTAGTGAGGCGGTTGCTGGTGGACGAGGCGACCTGGCGGTGAGCGCACAAAAAGGGTTCAAGAGGCAATTCGAGATGGACGACGGAGCAAGGTTGATTCCAAGTGAGGGCAATTGGATCATCCAGGTGGGCGATAGGGTGGATGGTCTATAATACCCACTTGGGCATCCGAAATGGCTCAACCCAGGCGGATTGGATTGTTTGCCCCCTCATCTGTGCTGTACATAGGACTATAGTGTGTGTAGACTGGTTGTTGATCCGATTCCCACAGTCCCCCTCGCCAGCGGCCTCGAATTCCCATGCATCCCGCGCCGCAAGTACCTCTTGACCCCTGTCTGGGTTACCCTCGTCGAGGGGTAGGCCGTCGGTGTCGCTCTTCACTCGAGGAGGCTGGAAACGAGTGGATGGCGGTGACTGAATGACTCACCTCGGCTTGCAGCAACGCCCTGCAGTAGCACCACTGGTAGCAGTGGGAGCTTGCATGATGACCCGCTTTCCTGCATCGAGAGTTTTTCGAAAGTCCCTCTGGGGCACGCAGGCGTGGCAGGCCGACCCGTGCTGGCGGCATGAGAGACAAAGCAGGTACCTTGCCGGGAGGGCAGGGCATGCATGCGCTGCATGAGGGTGGCGGCTGTCCCGTCAATCGAGGACGAGGAGAGAGGAAGAGAGAGACCCTCGCGTGCGCGAGGATGGAGGTTGGCCGCGCCGCATCCCCTCACTGGCCCGAGCTCGGCCACTTGCAATCGTCGGGTAATATGCCGGTCTCATCGGAATGCGGTCTGGGCCAGTCAAACGGGGTGGTGCCGTGGGGCCCAGGGGTCTTGGACGACGCCGTCGGCGCGGAAAGGCAGTGGCTGGGCTGGGCTATGGTTCTCGAAGGACAGGAGAGAAGCCGGAGGGGAACCGCCAGGCCAATCAAGTCGCACCAACGCGAAACTCGCGCGCATTTGACGCGCAGACGCGGTCTAAGGCTGGATGGCATCCAGGCTATAAAGAAACAAGCGCTCCCGCTGCCGGCACACGGGCTGCGTTTCGTTTCGTTTCGTCTATTAGCACGGCCTGCTTGTCGAGATTGGGTTGATCAGATCTGCAGCAAGACCAGCCGTGACACAGACACCGGGCTGGCAGGCTGGCAGGCTGGCAGGGCTACAAGATGTGGCGGCATTGAGGATGCTACCGCCAACCCCCCTGGTCGTTGAGTAATTGCATGACGCTGAACAGTCGGCCAGCATCAATGGGCTGTCGCCAGAGAACATCAATGACCTGTCGACCTGTCGTCCGAGAACAAGGCTGCATGCAGTCTGGCAGTCTGGCAGTCTGGCAGTCTGGCAGTCCAGTAGGGAGGTCGGGAGATCAGAGTGCGGAGGGCAGAGGGCCTTGGGAAAGGAGAGGACCAGAGGCACCAGAGGCACCAGAGGACCCAGCATATCTCGTCCAGTCAGTCAATCCAACTTGATGGGGAGAAGGGGTGGGAGGTTCAGAGGACCAGGCGGGAACCCAGCCAACCAAACCGCCAGAGTGGCAACTGGCGGCCAGGACCCAGGACCCAGGAACACAAGAGGACACGAGAGGACCACCTACCTACCCACCTACCTAGGTACCTGGATACCTATCCAGGTACCTAGGTTCAGGCAGGTAGGTAGAATCTACTGTTATCCAGTGTCCAACCACCAGAGCTGACCAAACCCACACACCAGGCAAAGCATATCCGGCGGCAGGAGAGTCGAAGCAGGAAGCTACAGGGCACACATCATGCCACGATGCCCTTCCCCTCCCCCCTCCCCCTTCCCTCCCCTCCGTCTTCTTGACCCAACGCTGTCGCGCTGTCACGCTGTCACGCTGCCACGACATTGCACGTTGACAAGAGGAGAGCCCTCCCCTCCCCCCAAGAGCCAGGCTGTGCTTAGTAGCAGTTTCTACTCATACGGCAAAAGATCAATCTGCCCATCCATCCAGCCACACGTCCAGGTAGGCCATCCTCATCCGAGCAATGGCCTTGCCTCAGCCTGCCACGCCTCTTGTTTCCCCACGCGCCTATCACCCTCCCCCTCCTGCCCTCCCAGCTGCCTAGCACCATTTCGGTCGCGATAGGATCACCGTCGATCACCAGTGAACCCTGATGACAGATGAGGGCCCCAGGGCCCCAGGCACGACTGCCGCTCAGATTGGATGGCTGACTAGCCGGGCTGGTGGGCTGGTGGGTTTGTGGGCAGGCAGGCAGGCAGAGCAGACCCTCGGGCTGGCTCCGTCGTCTCTTTTCCGTCTTGCTGCGGTATTATTCCTCAGGCGGCGCTAGAGTGAGTACAGAGACTGTGTACTACAGTACTGTGGTGTAAGCTACCCTACCTGGCTGCTGAATACCAGGCATGTAGTACACAGCACTGCACCGCAGCGCCGGCTATCCCTGGCATCCTGTCCTGCGTGCCTGGCCCTTACCCTGTGCTTCCCCACATCTACTGCGAGGTGATACCACCTCACCCCTGCCAGCGTCCTGTGCCCATCTCATGTTCCTCTGCCGTTTCTGTTGCGGTCTGGTCTTCTCTCCCAAGACCTGCTCCTATTCGACAGCCTGGCAGCCCAGGGTCCCACACGAATTGTGGTTTTGTTTCGAAGCGGGCCATGTTGTGGGAAACAGGATCAGACTGACTGACTGACTGACTGACTGACTGACTGACTGACAGACTGACTGACAGCTCGAAAATCGTGTACTACATACAGTAGTACTGTCACTACTGATCATCATGTCCCAAAGGGCCAACGTACAGTACTACGGCTCGCGGCAGATGCTCGACAGCCGGAGACCATGCTCCTGCCCAACCAGGACTGCCAGGCTGGGTCGCGAGACTCTTGTGCCATGACTGTCATGGGCTCGCCGGCCCCACTGCCCAGCCGTTCAGCCGTTGAGACTGGCAGACTGACTAGACTGACTAGACAGCTAGACTACTGTGTATTCATGCATGGCAGCATGGCTTGCCATGGATACTAGCGGTTTGCGTATTTCTCCTAGGCCCCCTTAGTGCTTGACCATGCTTTCCCTTTCGAGACACGGGCGCAGGAACCCTTTCGCGACTGTCACCATCCGTCAGCTCGACATGGTTCTCTATCCGTGGCGCAGTGCTCTGCTGCGGCCAGTCTGCCAGTCCAGTCTGCCAGTCCAGTCTGCCAGTCCAGTCTGCCAGGCAAGCTGGCTGGCTGGCTGGCTGGCTGGCTGTTCCCGTCGCTGGCCACTGAGAGCCCTCGAGGGCCAGCACAACAACGGACACAGCTCTCCCCAGTCACGTGCCACCAGGAGCAAGTTGTTGAAACCAAACAAACCCGCGGTGCTGCCCAATGTGCCGGTCGTCCCCTGGGTGATTGGGCAATTGGACAATTGGACAATTGGGCAAGGTCACCATCAATTGATCAATTCCCCGGGACTCCATTCGATCGGCTCGGCGCCTGTTCCAACGACTGGGGTGGTGCGACGCGAGGTAGATCGCGAGCCAAAACCCCGCGAGCGAGCGCCGAGTCTCTGCCCATCCTCCCTCCCTATTCCTCTTTCTCCCAACAGTCTCCATTTTCACCTGGCATGGCGGTGGGACCGACCTGTCAGAAAACACTAAAGGGCCAACCGAGCTCTTGCGCCCTCCTACTGTCCTGTACTTCCACTTCCATCTTGATCCACGGCCTTCCAGGGCAGGAAACCCCCCGGCTGCAGCGGAGAGGGACCTCGGCGAATTTTCCCCATGCCTCCCCCCCTGGCGGATGCATCAAGAAAGCTACACCGCCAGAAGCGCCGCGAGTCTGCCCCCCTCCCCTGTGACCCCCGGCCCCCCGGGCCCCCGGCCTCCAAGGCGAGGATCGGACGGGGCGCCGACCTCGACAATCTGGCAAACTCCCTACTCCTGCACTCAGTCACTTTCCTTGCCCGCCGAGCATGCAGGTGCCAACAGTAAGTACATCGGGATGCGGCAGCGACTCCTGCGTGGCAATCTCCCCAATCTACGCAGCACTACAGATCCGTACGTAGTACTGTGTAGTGTCCTGAAGCCAAGATGCGCGGGGTGGGCCTCCTTTCCCCCATCGCCAGCAAAGGCGCGGCAGTCGGCTGGTCGGGTCGTTCCTCAGACCTGCTAGGCTGTGCCTGACAAGCTATCAAGCCAGCACCAAACCATGCGCACAAGGGAAACGCCGGGCCCCCTGCCAGCAGATAGAGCGTCCACGTTGCCTACTGACCCGAAGGCTTGCGCCGAGGTGGTGGGAACAGCTCGTCCTCGGGTCTGACTATCATCCTACGAGCGAGAGGGGGTCTGGGTCTGCTAAACAGCCGGCGACATTGGGCTGGCTGCAGTGCGGGTATCATCAGGAAGTGCGATTGTGCCGAGCAGCTCGGGCTGCTCCCTACCTAGTGTCAACGTCACTTAGCGGGCGGGCGTTCCCCAGCAACAGCGACAGCAGCTGTGCCCAGTGTGGATCCAAGGGGGCTATCATGACATGACACTATCGTCAGCTCGAACAAGTGCGGCGAGGGATCGGGAGACCGGGGGTGGTATTGTACGGGGTCGGGCGGGTACAGAGAGAGAAAGAGGCCGAGAAAGAGGAAGGGAAGGCGAAGTTAGCCTAGTCGGTCGGTCGGTCAGGCATGCAGGCAGACAGACAGGCAGGCAGAAAGAAAGACGGGCGGGCAGACATGCAAAGCTGGCGTGGACAGGACGAGAGGGGACGAAGAGAGTCAGTCAGGAGAGTACGGCCTGCGGACTGGGGTCAGGCTTCGATCTGTGCCTGTGCCCGAGTCGAAGAAGCTTCCACGTCGATTCCGCCCCGTCCAACGGGCATGTACACACTACACGCTGCATAGGCAACATGCATAGGCCCCCATCAAGTGTGGGTATCGACGCGAGGGAAGGAAAGTTAGCTCCGCAATTATCGCGAGATACATGTTTTCTGAGGCGATCGAAGGGGCCAAGGTTGGCAGAATGGGCCCTTCCCCCACGAATGACATGTCTCCCGTCTGCCTCCTCTCTCTCAGCACTGCACAAGTATACAGTAGCAACAATAAACATCCCACGAGCCTTTCCCGCCCCCCGAACCGTACCTCTCCTCCGGAATACGGCTTTCGGGGTTGGTTGGCCGAGCTTCAGCCCAGAGAGGGAGTGGGCGGCACCACCTGCTCCCCTATAGTGTACACTAGTATATCGTGAGACAACACACGGGATGAGAGGGGCTGATAATGGGGATCCTGCAGTTGCTGCCGTGCTATCCTAGCCTCCTCCCTCATCTTGAGCCCACCCGTGGACGTCTACCCGCATCAAAAAATAGCTACCAGTAAAAAGGGCCGCTGGCGACCCCTCCGTATCGCGAGATCGAGGATGAGGTGGAGGGGAAGACGGGGCAAGGACAGATGTAAGGTTCCCGCAGAGATGGGGCGATGGAGAGGGCGATGGAGAACTTGACTTGTTTCCAGGTCGACCCTTCACTTTGATCTCTCCTCCCCCCTCTCGTTGTCCGATATTCCCTCATCCCAATGCTCTCGATAGGATGGTCCCCACGTTGCCCTTTGATGTTGCGGGCGTGGGTGGTCGCGCCTGCGGCGGGTATGCACAAAGGCCCGAGTCCGATATTGACAAAGACAATTGTGCTGCACTTGGTAGTTATGACGATGCGAGCTACTAATGCACGTGGAAAACGTGGCACAGCATGACAAATGGCTTTGACTGTGAGCGACACCACGACTGTCTGGTAGGGAGTCATCGTATCCAATTCTTGGCACGTGTTCCCCCTCGGGAAGTCATTTGACCCAGCCGGGGCTCTGGTGAGGGTGTGTCTCCAGGCGATTTTCAGTATCTCACCAGTCCCCCCAGCATTTTCGAACGAATTGTGTTTGGACTCTTTGTTCAGAGAGACTTTGCCGCATCGGCCATCCATCCCAACGTGCAATATCAACAGGCCACCCTCATTCGACCAAACACATTGAAAGGTTAAATCGGCCGTGTGGGCAGTATTGTTGAATGGCTGTGGCAGTAGCCGGCAGATTGCTGGTTCCATTTGTGGCGAGGAAGCCAGCCATTACAATTGCAATAGATAGATGCTTGATACAAAATGGCACATGCAAGCCTCCCAGGCTTGCATGATGCCTAAGGACTGCCCACCACAACTTCCGGCCACTCGATGGCCGTGCCGCACTTGTGCATAAAGGCTGCCACACTGCACGGCCGGAACGGTGTCGTGCCCGACACGGCGGGAAACGACGCGTCTTCGAATGGGAGACGCGCCCCGCGCCCGTGTCAGCCGTGTCAGGGCCGGCTCCGTAAGCGTGCCCGCCGGCGCGACGCTTGTCCCGTAAGCTTGGAGGCGAATTTCTTGGCCGCCCCCCCCCCCCATGACCGACTTCCCTGCGTCCTTTCAACTCGAGCCTTCCCCAACGCCAACGCTCTTCCAATCGATCTCACAAGTGTGCCTCCAAACCTAAACAAAATCAATTTGCCTCAGACTAGCCGCTCCTATGACAAACGTTGCCATGTCTGAATATGCTCGACGATCCATTGCCGGCTTTCCGCTTTGGGTGTACTCAATCACACGAGATGCAACAGTCAATGGGTCAACCGAGTACTCACCCTGCAGTACGCGCTGTACCAATATCGGCCAGGGCTGTAGAGGTGTTGACACAGACTAGACTCAGCCTTCCTTGTCATCCTGTTCAAAGGAGCAACAAGATAGAACTTTCATTCCGCATCCGCAAGCTGCATGATCAACCTGGCTGCAAGGTCCAGGAAGGGAAACGGGCTTGTGACCTGCTTCTCCTCCAAGATCCTGCCGTCAGGTGTCTCGTAACCGTCACATTTGAAATCGACAAGATACGAGCCTGGCTCAGCCATTTCGTAGATTTGGATGTCCAAGCGCATCGCCACGACCTGATATTCATCATCACCGTTCTTCACCACGGCGGGGTCCTGTACGATGTCCTCGGGTAGATGCGGGCCCTTGCGTAGCTTCTCTGTCTCCCACCGCACCTGGAGGTGCCATGGGTCAGCCGGTAGCTTGTAGATCTTGGTAGGGTCGGTAGAGCGGCTGCTTGCTGAGCGGCGGTGAGATCTCTCCCCACCGTTCTGATCATCGTCGGCACTATGGACCTTGTCGTAGTCCTCATCTGGAACCCAGCTGCAGCCAAGCTTGGATAGGGATTTGTAGATGACGCCCAGAGCCTCCCAAGGCGCATTTCGCGATCGAATACCGAACTGCCATCTGGTCGCCTTGGGCTTCTTGGGGGGGTTCACAGGTGTCATACCCTGCGGTCTTTTGGCCGAATCTGCGCTGCGAGCGTGAGGTTTGAGTCGACGCAGGGTCTCTTGGCGCTCATCTTCAGACCGAGGGTGTCCAGGCTCCGGTAGAACAGGCGGTGCGGGTCGTTCCTCGACGCCGGCCTTTTCTCGCTCCATGTAATCTTTGTGATAGGCAGTGAGACTGCTAGGTAGGATGCCGACCTTGGATACGTACGGACGCGGCGAAGCGGTAGTACTGTTGGATGTGATAGACCTCGCGGAGCTCGCAAGGGGGCTTGCGCCGCGGTCGAGCTCCGTACTCAACGACTCAATGCCTGAAGAAACCTCATTAACACTGGGCGGAGATGAGGGGAAGTAAGGGTTGTTTTCTCCAAGCAGGGCTAGCAAGTACAAAGGCAGTCAGCTTCAAGCGGGGAGCAGGCCGGTAGAGGCCCTCTGGACAAGGCGCCTACGACTGTACTCGAGGAACAAGACCAACAGAGCCTGCGAGGAATGGGGCAGGCGAGTAACTTACGATTGACCTGCATCAGCTTGTTCTCGCGGACAATCATGTACGCGTCCTTGATGGCAGATGGCTCAGCAGCCTCAAGCGCTTCCTGCACATCCTTCTTCCCGTAACCCATCGTCTTGGAGATCTTCTCCGTCACTTCGTTGTGAAGCTTTTCTTGCACCTTGGTCGGAGCGTTGGGGGCGATGTCTGAGGGCTTGATGGCCTTGTCGGGATCGATGCCGGTGTTGTAGAACGGTTCGACTGGCGGTGCCAGATACTCGGGCAGGTTCTTGATGAACCAAGGGTCCTGTCGGATCTCCGGGATGGTTGCACGCTGTACGGGGTTCACCTGAAGCATCCGGTTGATCAGGTTGGCAGCACCGGGGCTCATCCACTTGGGTACCGCATATGTACCTCGCGCGATCTTTGCAAAGAGACTGGGTATATGCTCGTCGTCGAAGGGCAGCCTGCCGACTAACAACACATAGAGGATCACACCACAGCTCCACACGTCGACCTCTGGGCCGGCGTAAAGCTTCCCTCCGATGACTTCTGGCGCGGCGTAATTCGGGCTGCCACAGCTCGTCTTGAGAAAGTTGCCGTCCGTCATGATGTTGCTCAGTCCAAAGTCTGCGATCTTGACGTTCAATTGGTCGTCCAACAGAAGATTCTCGGGCTTCAGGTCTCGGTGGACAATCTTGTGCCTATGGCAGTACTCTACGGCGCAGAGCATCTGCTGGAAGAAACGTCGCGCCTCATCTTCCTCCATACGGCCGTGTTGCACGATGTAGTCGAACAGTTCCCCGCCGGCATACTCGAGGACCATAATGATCTCGCTGGAGGTCTTGATCACGGTATAACTGATTGGCAAGGGTCAGCAGGCGGCGCAGTCGCAAGGGCGGCAGGCGAGGGCCTCGAGGTGACGTGCCCGGCGGAGGGCCGGGAAGGAGGCGGCGGGGCCGACTTACAGCTTGATGATGTGCGGGTGTCGCAGTAGTTGTAGGTACTCAATCTCGCGCTCGACCCGGCCGGCCATGTCTCGGCTGATGAGCTTCTTGCGAGAGATTATCTTGAGGGCGACCTGCTGGCCGGTGCTCCGGTGGACGGCAAGCTTGACCTTGCCAAAGGAGCCCTCGCCGAGGGTCTTGACGATGTTGTACTGGCCGATTCGCTGGTCTGTCCGGGCCTTATCGGGGATGGGCCCCGCAGTGGCCGAGGAGGTCGGCGCAGCGGCGGAGGCCATGTTGGAGGAGGGGACCGGGGGCCCGTGGTCGTGCTCGAGGTGCTGTTGGTGTTGGTGTGTGTTGGAGGGAGTCTGGTCGTCTGGGGTCTTGAGAGGGCTGTTGACATTGATGCGACTGCCTCGTCGAATCTGGGAGGAGCTCAGTGAAATGGAGAGTTCCCCGTCATCGATGGCGGCGTAGGAGGGGCGCGGAGGAGCCATTTCTTTTGTGGCCTCTCTGGCAAGGAACAGCACAGCAGCGACCGTAGCAGCAACAGACAGTACTGTAGTACTGTTAACAAGTGGCAGCGGCGCACACACGGCACTCGAGTCGTAAATTGTGGTGCCAGATTCCTGTTGGCTGTGGCCAGGTTTGAGTGGAGGGGGCAATGGGGAATGGGTGGGATCGCTGACAAGGGTGTCTGAGGTCCTAAACGAGGCCCACCTAATAAGCTGCTGTAAGAGGGACTGGAGGCTGGTCCTGTCTCTCCTGTTTGTCTTGCTTGCCTGCCTGGACCTGGACCGTCCTTTCGGCTGTGGGTGTGGTCTCGGTTGAGAGATGGGCTGGTTGGTTGGTTGGGTGGATTGATTGATGTCACAAGCCTATTGCTATGTGGTTAGAGAACAAGCCCAGGGGCTTAGGTAGACCCTCCCAGGTCTAGCAGCAGGCGGGCAGGCACACACAAACAAGCTGACCCTGACACCACCACTGATCACAATCTGCAAGAAACAAGACGATCCAACTGGGGCATGACTCACCTAGTGGGAGAGACGCCAAGGGTGATGCCACAATCCTGTCGGCCACTTTGGCTACCGCTCAGGCAGGGCACGGTAGTGGTTATGTCTGTGTTGAGCAAGTTGAGGTGGTTGCGCTCTGTGCGAAGGGTGGATGGGTTTTGCCCTCAGCTGCCACTGCCGTCATAAATGACGGATTCGTCGTAGTGCTGGTAACTTGCAGCCTTCTGCCCTGTAGCGGCAGTGGCAGTGGAAGTGATAGGTGATGACGCCCCGCAGCATACGCACTTTCCGCCGATCAAGGGGCACACAACAGGGAGGGGCACTACCTGGGGAAGCGGCCTAGGCTGGACTGGAGGGGTCAGTAGCCCGTTCATTATCAATGACCTGCAAAATGGAGTTGCAACAGCGCTAAAAGACGGATCGCAAAGGACACTTACGGAGTACTTGTCAGCCCAAGTCCCCAGGGCCACAGCGACATGAAGGCCATGGTTGAGCTGTGCGGCAACATATATACCTCACAAATACTTGATTAAGTACACATGCACATATATACGTTGTCTCTCCGCACTGCCAGTGAGTACCGTGAACCCGATCCAAACCCAAATATCCGTCGCAGCCGGCCTGCAGGTTTGCATCCTACACGAATACCACAGTATCAACGCTGGGCAAAGCCGACCCAATACATCGCAAACCGCCGTGGCGAGTGGACTTTGAATCATCGTTGGCCAGGCTGCGCGTCGTGCTGTCGTGCCGCCTACGGGCTGTGCATAACCACGCCTCCTTTTCCATCACCCGACACCAACCGGCACATCGAGCACTTCGGGCCCCTCGCTGGATCGTCGGGCTCCTAAGCTCCAGTCAGGCCCTCACCACCTGGCCATCGACCACCCCTCGGCGGCTTCGACGGGCCCGGGGAGGGCTCTTGTTGGCTCAGGCAGATGCCGTCGTCAGTTGGACGAGCGATCAACTGATCTGTCACCCGCCCCCGCATCTTTCTTCTCTCGGCCCGTGCCGACTAACAAAAACCGAGTAGACTCTCCAAGCTGGTCGTCCTGTTGGGCCTGTCAGTTGTCTCGACAGGCCGCAACATCATCCCCCCCCCTCCTACCCTGGGACGACACGTCAGCGTAGGGGTTTGAATTGGTTCAGCGAGGTTGTTGCTGATCTACGTGTTGCGCACTGCTTTGACACTGCGTCAGCCCAGTAGCTCCGGCCCGGTCGGGGGGAGGCTTTCAAGCCCGCGCTGCCATCCATGGATTGTACGGACATATGTAAGGCATGTTGCCATCTTGAACATCACTGCGAGATGATGTCGAGTCCACTCCGGTCTGACGTGCAATGTCCTGCTGATTATTCGTATACGTGATGATTGCCCAGATACTGCTAAAACAATGTGAGCACACATACACACACACACACATATTCTCGTCACCGGTACAGCCCCCTTCCCGCCGCACCGCCATCGTTGGGTATGTGCCTATGCTGCCGAACTCCTCAGTGGACAAGGTTCGTAAACGTAGCTCGTCGGCCGCCGCAACACCAATCAGGCCCCTCAGAAGTTTCCATCCTCCCGTTTACCGATTCATGCTAAGTAAACCTTCAATGTACTTCCTGGTGTCGACACCGATCCCCTGCGCCAGCCGGCTCGCCCCATCGGCCCAGCCCACACCACCCCCGGCCCTCGTGAGACTCACACTCCTACCATGCCCGCTGTGGTCGCTGGCCTTGCGGATGAGGAAGATCTCCTTGATGACAGACATGGAAGGTGCCGCCTTGACAGTCGAGGTCTGGGACGAGGAGTGTGTCGCCTCGTCGCTGCCCGCCTCACCCGCCTCATCGTGCTTGCTGCCCGAGTCTCCGGAAGACAGCTCGTCGGAATCGACCGACCCACGCGCCGCGTCCGCCTCCGGTTGTAGGATCCTGCTCCAGACAATCCACCATCCGCGGCTCGTTTTGCACGTCCGCTCCAGCTCGGACGGGTCGGCCCTCGTTGCCTTGTACAGGTTCAGGACTTGCATGTGGGTGTTCAGCGCTTCGACACGCGACCAGGGCGGTTCGCTGCTGTACAAGTCCGCCGCCTCGGGAATGTTGGGGATCGTAGAATGCACTGTCCTCTCTTTGGGGTCCCACACCAGATCGTAGATCGCTGCGGACGCGCTGCCTACATCGGGCCTTTCCGGCCTGTAAGCCGTGGAATTACCCAGGGACTTGCGCAGTGGGGCGATCTGGTGGTGCAAGGAGCGGTAGAGGCCCTCGAACGCCAGGGACCCGGTCCGGAGCTCGAATAAGAATGTGAAGATGAACGGCCTGATGACATATACCACTACGCGGAGCTTGTGTGTCTTGTTCCTGTCCTGGCTGTCAAATGCTGAGCCAGTCATCACATTTGAAGAGTTGAGTTCGGTATCATGGCTGCCGAGGGCCTTTGTCATCTGTACTTCTGACTTTTCCGAGACGTCAGTCTCCAGTTCCACGGTGACCGTCCGCAGGACCGTCCGCGGGTTCGTGTTCTCGTCCCAAACATGCTCCCCAAACCGCCTGTCCTCGGGATCGTCGACCCACCCCTCCTCGACCTCGCCTGTTAGGCCAATCAGGAAATGCCCGACAGAATCATCACCCTTGATGGAAGGCCTTCTCGGTGATGTCGGGCTGTCCGCAGTCTCATCCTTGGGCTCAGAGTCTCCTCCGAGGCTCCAATACTTCCCATAGCCCAGCTTCAAGTAGTCCATGTATTTCTCGAGTCCGCCGGAGTCCGCCTCGCCCGAGTTAGACGGGGGCTCTTGACTCGACTTGGGGGCCGCCGGCCTATCACGCTGTTGAGGGGGAGGTGTAGAGGCGGAAGGCTTTGATGCCCGCTTGGGGCCTATGAGACTGGGAGGTGGCTGCATGGGGACTCCCCCTGGATCAGCCTTCCCCGGACGTTCTCCCGCCGCCCGGGACTCTCTCCTTGTCTGGCGGGTGGCTTTTGGGCTGTCGGTAACACCGTACGCATCCTCGCCCCAGACATAGATGTCCTCGACCCAGTGTGTGATGTCGGCTACGGATTTTCGAGACAGGGCTCCCACTCCTAAAAACACTGCGCCGTCCTCGGCTCCAGGCTCGTTGCCGGTTCCCAGCCACTGCGCGTGGGCTTGCTGGCCCTGTCTCGGCCTCTCCCAGGATTTAGAAGACTCGTCCGGCTTATCGTCGCCAAACTTGGACACAATGATGTCGACCAGGCCTTCGGTCCTCTCGGCAAAACCCTCAAGGACCTCTCGCTCGCCGCTTCCGCGCTCTTCCTCGCCGACGCCTATCCCCAACTCACCACTGGCGGCAATTTTGATGCCGCCAAAGATGTTTCGCACGGGATTTCCGTGGAGCAGGACGTCCCATGTGGAGAGGAACAGGTCCCAATACCGCGCCAGAGTGGTCGTAAACCTGGCCCGCTTGATCCTCATGAACAATGAGCTCAAGGACGAGTCATGGTGGAGCAGGAAGACGGCGTGCGCCTTGAGCAAGTCCTGGAGGAGAAGGGCGGCAGGCTTGACCTCCCGCGACGAGTGCTCGTGCTTGTCGTCGGCTGAAGCTGCAGGGCCGCCTGGCTTTTTCGAAGACGTGGGTGGCGGGAGCGGCAGGCGGGTCAGGTCAATGCTGGCAAGAACCCACCAGCCAGGCTCCAGCTCGTGCAGGACGACCCGGGTCTTCTCGGTCTCGATCGAGTCGACGGCCTGGTTGTCTGAGAAGTCCTTGCTGAAGCTCACCATGCCCTGGGCGAGACCAATCTGCCTCAGCCTCTCGTTGCGCTCCGCCTGGGACACATTTTCGGTGGGGCGTGCCTTGCGATGACGTTTCCGTTTCTGAGTCTGGGTGTCGACGGATGAGTAGTAGACGATCTGGTCGTCCAGTGTCTCGTCCGTGTTGCCCAGGCTGGGGTTGAAGATGGCCAGGAAGCCGACCCGGGCAGGCACTATGGCTGCGGGCGAATCTGCAGCTGTCGAGGTCGCCATGTGGGCAGGGTGCAGGTGGGTGACGGCTCACCCGGCGGGCCGTGGTCGAGCGAGATGTGAGGGCGGGCTGGTCTGGCTGGGGAACAGGAGACGAAGCTCCCAGAGCTCAGGGTCTGGTCTGGTCTGGTCTGGTGTGCACTGCACTGCACTGCAGGCTCTACCACAAAAGCAGCAGCGGTCGGCTCGGGACTGGCGCATCCATCTGGGGGAGGAGAAATTGAGAGGTCCAACATGTTCCAGCTTCAGCCATGAAATGTCGTCGTGCAGGCTAGACAAACAGACTGTGAACCAGTAGGGTATAGCTAATGTCGTCACCCCTGACAGGGGTCTCCATCATAGGCGGTCCAGAATCCATCCCCTTGGCCCCCGCTTGACGTCCGAGTACTTGAGTATTAGGTGCACGCATTCGGCTGCCAAGATTGTACATACTATCCGTAGGTACCTACCTAGGTAAGTAGGTACCTAGTGACCGGCTCGCACAAGCCACTTCCAACGTTGCTTGCTTCACTTGTCACCCCCACCCCCGGTTGACCTCAGAGCAGACTCAGCATCATCTCGATTCCGTGCAGTAGTCAGATCTCTTGGTAATACCTGGCACTGCGTACACATACACACACACACACACACACACACGCGCGCGCGCGCGCGCATCCAATGCATTGCCGTGGCACCGTACCGATGGGCCCATGTCTCGGTCATCGAGGGTCACAACAGTGTTCAAACACATCGAATGACCTGCGCCGGTGGAAAAGCCGAGAGAGAGCAGAAACATTTGGAAGAAATACACGAGTTGTTTCTGAAAGGGGGAGGCCGCCACATGAACGGTCTACAGGTGGGTTAGTCGCCAATAAGGCTCAAGTCGTGGACAAGGGACTCCGCGACCCCCCTCCCCCTTCTTCCATGTTGCTAGCTGGTTTGATATATTTTTCTATTCAGCTTTCTACATAGATACATACGTGCTGTGGAACCTTTACTTTTTCTCCTTTCGATTTTTTCTGTCCTCGGTCAAACCCTCCAAGTTGCGATCAAATGATGGAGGAGAATTGTCGTCTTTGTGGTGTTCTCCCACGCAGCTCAGAGCTCACCATCTTCCTCGCCTTGACCTCCACGAGCACCCATTCCGCCGGCCTCTAACCTGTCACTGGCTCTCTTGACCTCCTTCTCCCAGTTGCTCAGGCCAACAATCACCCACTCTAATATGCCCACGAGGTATAATGCAACGCATTGCCCCACCCAGAGGCCTGAGAGCCCCCAGCCGTGGAAGGCAAGATATATCCCACCCGGAAGCGCTCCGCAGTAATAACTCACAATGTTGACCACCGCGCCAACCCACTGGCGCCCCATGCCCCTGAGGACCCCACCACACGAGCCGTTCAACCCATCTGCGATCTGGAACAGGGCCACAAAAGGCATAACCTTGGAGACCAGCTCAACGACCCTGTCGTCATCGTTGAACAGCCGGCCGAAGACATCCTTGGTCCCCATCAGTACGGCGAGGATCAGCGCGCCCATCACCGTGCTAAGCACCGCAGCGCAGTGGGCGGCACGCCGGGTCTCCCGCGGTCGCTGAGCCCCGAGGAGGTTTCCGATTCGCGCCGAGGCAGCGACCCCGAGCCCGAACGGCACCGTGTTGATGACCTGGTCCGCGGTCATGATCACGCTCTGGGCTGCCAGCGGGATGGTCCCCAGCCTACCGGCGGCGAGGGCGACGATCTCGAACGCCCACCACTCCGTGCCGACGTGGACCACGCCCAGGAGCGCCAGGCGTGCGAACGGACCTAGGTGTCGGAGGGCCTTCTTCGGCGCGAGGCCGCCCCAGCATTCGTGGCCCTTGATGAAGGCGGTGTAGGCGACGAGGAGGAGAAAAGACAGCCAGTAGGATATGCCTGTGGCTATGGGCGCGCCGTAGAGGCCAATGCCGAAGACGTGGATGAAGAGGTAGTTCAGCAACGCGTTGAGAGGGGAGGTGATGAGCAGCACATAAGTGCCAGGCCGGTATATTTCTGGACCAATTAGCCTCCACGCGGCACTGGCTTCAAAGGCGGGAGGGTTGGCTCACCTTGGGCCTGAAGGTATTTCTTCATTGACTCGAACCACACATACCCCAGCCCACCCGGGATTAAGCAGCGCAGGAACATGGCACTCTGGACGCATATATACTCCTCTTGTCCCAATGAACGGAATATGTGCTCGGAGAAGGACCATATTATCGCCACGACGACGTAGAACAGCGACAGCACGAAGAGACCCCTCTGCAAAAGCACCCCCAGGTCGTGCTTGTTAGTGGACCCAGTGAAGCTGCTCGACGCCAGGGTGTCCAGCGCCGTTGTCCCGCCTAGCGCTATGAGCCACGCCGTTGACATGGCAAACATGTAGGAGAAGGCAGCCGTGGCCAGTGCCTCTGGGGACAGGCGACCGACAATGAGGACGGAAACGGTCTGTAGCGAGTTCTGCAGCGTGTACGCCAGAATCACCGGGATCGACGCCTTGGTGAGCAGCCATATCTCGGCCAGCCATGACCTCCACGGAGGGAGGCCGGATTTGACCGTCTCGGCGGCGACATCAGAGTCTGACGGATCAGTGGACGACGGCTTGGGGAGGAGCGCCGATGTCTCAGTAGGGAGACTCTCGGTTGGTGTCACCGTCTCAGAAGATGACCCACTCGGCATATCGTAACAACACTCTCCGAGGGTGCCTCTGAAGCGCCCTGCAGATTTGGTCCGTCAAATTGGGCTTCCTGAATCCCAGGGAGGTGGGCCTGGAGGGCGGCGGAGGGAGGTTGTAAGCTCCCGAGTCGTGAGACAGCGCTGTTTTCTAAGCACACGAACCGTGAGACGGGAAGTGGACGAGTGTAATGAGTCTCCCAAGACCGGGTGAATCCGGGAGAAGAACTGAAATAAGATCTTGTCTGATGACCGAATTGGTCGTTGTCAGTGACGAGCGGCGCCCATGCAGGCACCTGGCAATCATGGCATCACCGGCTGACGAGCAGGCCAACAGGCAAGATAAGAGAGTCCAAACACCCGCCTATAGACGGGTCCTGCTGCCCAGGTGCGCCAGACCCGAAGATGCACCAGGCGGCTGGCCAGTGATGGGAAAGCTAGGCACCGTGAAAATGAGGGGGAGATACAGTAGATAGATAGTAGGCATGCATTGAGTACGGAGTAGGGCCGCGGCATTTGTCGAATGCATCACATAACGGCCAGAGATCCGACAAGCGGTAGCCCTTGAGCCCGGTGCCGGCGCATGCGCACTAATGCCTCCTAGACCGGCGCCGGCGCCGGCGCCGCCGCTCTCTCCTTGCAAGCCTGTGGCGGCTGGCGCTCAATGGTTTAGCATCTTACGCAGATGCACGGCACAGAGTCAGAAACTCTGGGGGTGGACGCCTCAGCTGGGCCATGCCGACTCATCACCTGCGCGCCAACCTCGCATCCTCGGCACCTGGGCGAGATTGGGTTTGGATACCGGGCCAGGGCGATGGAGGGCTGCAGAAGGGCCAACATGGGACGAAAATGAGGCTCGTTTGCTAGTCCTTGCCTTTTTCGAGTTCCTGGTCGGGAGGAGGGTGGGCTGCCCGTTGCACCTACGGATTGCCCTATATTATCCCACACATTGATGACGTCGAGCTTATATGGGAAGCTACTTGCCTAGGTACCCAAGTACTTAAGTACCTAGGTAAGTAGGTGGACTGTAACCCAGACCTGGGAAATGTGGGTCCCCATGCGCTATTTGATACTACTCTTTCTTTGCTCTCTGACATTGGGAAGAGACTGTTGGTTGCGATCAAGTCTTCTGGTAATATGCTGGGTTCTAAGTATACCTAGGTACATTTGTATGATGCCACTTGATTCCCCTGTTTACGAGTTCTAGTAAGTGCCAACGACCTCTCCAAATTTCCAAGCCTCGACAAGCTACCTGCTAAGTAGGTACTTAGTGAACCTTGGAGCTCTTTTGAAACTAAATATTGATGGGAGCAGACCACAGATTTCTGGTTTCAGGAGGCAGTGGCCGTGGGCCCCAGCAAAACTAAAAGACAACATTTGAACTCATCTCTGGCATCCAGACGAAAGGCCCATGCCACCCCAGGCATCACAATAGCCCAGAGCCCTCGTAAAGTGCGAACTATGCATGCCAGTTTTGTGGTTATGCTTTCTCTTGAAGTAGCAAAGACAGTACTGGAAACAATTTGGTTTCGGTTTTGGTAGGGATTGCTTGTAGAATGAAGAGGCACCTTGCCCAGGTGGCCTAGGATTGAAGCATGAAGAAGTCAATTGTCTGGTGAGAATCACCAGTAAATAGTCTCAACTGGTAGTAAACAGTATTGTACAACAATAGTCACGAGATGTCCACGAGACGTCACAACCACCTGTTCCCCAAAGACATCCATGGATGTCTTATCACCTCTAGATTGAAAACATTGAAGTCGACATTATCGAACGCTCTACCCCACATTCCCATCACCATCACCATCCAAGAGCCCCTGGCGACAAGCCAGCCACCTCGTCAGCCGCAGCGCTCCGGACATCCCCTTCTCCGCAACCTCCCAGCTCTCGAGGCCCATCTGTACCAGCCCGACCTCGACTGGCGGTGACGTTAGTCCTGCTGCCTATCCTGAAGTTTTGCCTTCTGGAATATGCGGAAACATGAAGGACGGGGGTCCGAAAGAGGAGAAAAGTGATACTGACGACAGTTGCCAACGAACTGCTCGTGCGGCGTGCCTCTCGACGCGGGCGTGACGCACAGCACGACCCACACAAAGACCCCGAGCAGCCCCTTCCACGTCCGGAGCGGGACACGCCACATCGTCGTCCACAGCTTGAGGAAGTCCTCGGGGCTACAGACCCTCGGGTCCCGCAGCGGTCTGCGCAGCATGATCGCACGTGCGTAGATCAGGGCTGCCTGGCGGACGACCTTGTATACTACATCCGGGGTGATTGCCGGGACTGCCGCTGTGTCTTCTAGACCAGGCGATACCGGCTGCGGCGCGCGGGCAGCGTCATGATCTGCTACCACACTTGGCTGGATGAGGACCTTATGATGTAGGGGAGACCGCTGCTCTTGGCCGTGCGGGAAACCAGGCCCATGACGCTGCTCGGGTACTACCCGCAGACTCGCTGCTGACGACGCCCGACCGACTGTCTGGTGTAATCCGAACGCTGCTGTGGCGCTTGGTGCAAGTCCGTCAGAGCCTCTGTGTTGCGGTACTGCCCCGGCTTCTTCCGGCAGATCTGAGATGCGGTCATAGATCCAGGTCGAGGTCGTTTGTAACTTTTTCAGGTCCTTCTGGGAGCAATCCGTGGGCAGGGATAGGACGAGGCCGATGAGGAATCTCATGTCATCCAGGATCTGGGCGGTGGCATCGTGCAGCTTCAGCGGCTCCCTAGTAGGTTGTTAATCACGTTCCAACTGAGAATAGGTTGATGGGCGCTGATAGAGATCCAATGTAGACATGAAAACCGTGAAAGGAGATGTCTGGTGCTTACGCGCACGTCTTGAAAGCAACAAGAGGTGAGACGAGAGGAGTATTAAGGAAGACACGGAACGGGATGCTTGTAGTCTCGCGAGACTCGAAAGGCAATTCCCCTTGCAGATGTGGTTCGATCTCGAGAGACAGTGCAATTGTTATGTCAGTCCTAAAATTTGAGAATTAGCATAGCAGAGATTTAAGGTCTAGTCCCTTTTTGTGCGTTGGGGGGGGGGGGGACGATACATGATTATCAACTTGGCCAGCAAACCTCCGAGGCCCAAGTTCGCAAGGCCACCCCTTGATCTAACCATCTCGCGAAGCCCGCCGAGGTGGGCCTCGAGCTCCTTCTTACCACCCCAGTACCACTCGTTCAGTATCAGCTGCATCACACCCGCGATGGCCTCATCTGTCGTAGGGCCCGTGGTGCGAAGATGCGTCTCGAGCATGCAGATGGCGTCGCCCTTGCGTGTCATCGCCGTCGTGTCATCGACCACACTGGGACAAGTATAGTTGAGGAAGCATGCGGCCGTGTAGATGGCGATCTGGGCAAGCATCGGGTTGTGCAGACAGAAGGGGACGTAGTATTTTGTGTACGGGTTCGACGCCGGGTCAGGTTCGCCGTCAAGGGATGCTTTGAAGCGAGAAATGAGGTTGACAACTTTGTGGCCAATGCTCTTAGTCTGTGTGCTTTCCCTTATAATTTTGGTGAGCCTGTAGGGGATCACTTACAGACACGCAGCATCTCCCCGTCCTGTCTCGTTGGTATAGCGGGCTGATGCACCTGACCATCTGCATAGACAAGCAATGATGAGGACGAGGCGTGGTCTTGCTGTACGAACCAAGACATGATCTCATCCGTCCTGGTGGACTGCCATCCGTGTATGAACTGAGAGGGCAAGTGGTTCCTTCTTTTCAACAGCACCAGAGCATCGTGATAGGCTTCAGTGTGGACCTCACAGTCGAAGCTACACACGGTGGCTGCCAACTGGGCCCCGGCCTCCGGGGATACGGTCTCCCAGATGGCCTGTCTTGGACTGTTCAAACTTACCGGGGCTTGAAGCTGATATTGTGTGTTGAATCCCACGCTGGGCCAGTAAACCGGGCTTTGTGTGGCAGGAGACCAGGGCTTGTGGTGTACGGAAAAGGCCGTTCTCGGCGGTAAGAGAGGCTGGTCAACACCATCTAGGGCAACATTCTCATCGCCAGAGAATGGAGGTGGCACGAGAGTAGGGCTCGATACTAAGGTCTGGCATGACGGCCGCGTTCCATCGCCGTTCCTGGCCGTCTGTTAGGTCGTGTAGGTCTCTGGAAGTGGCACAGGTGAAGCACACCTCTGATTTTGTGTCTTGTATTCACAGACAGGTGGTGGGTACCTCCGTGCACAATTCCCACATGGCTGTGCTTGGTTGCACTGGTTCCGTGTAAGTCATCGATTAGGTTTCGGCAGCAGAACAAGATTGGCAGCAAACTCGGTGTCCTTGGCCACCACCAATCCGGCAAGCTTGGAATGCCAACAACGTACTCTTTGTTTCCGCCTCCTGCATTCTCCGCACGAGGTAGGGGTTCTCTCGGAGCGCTGTGAACGTGATGCAGAGTCGGACATCGTGCGATATGCAGCTCAAGACTGCCCATCTGGTAGCTAGAGATTCTCGTGACTCAAGACTCAAACTGTTGAGCCGGCCCGTTCGTTCAGAATCACTTGTGACAGCGGTGTACTGCAGGAAGTATATCGATCGGCAGGGGTTCGGTTGAGGCCGGGTCCCAAGGTTTGTTGTAGAAAAATACAGCCTGATTGGCTTTCTCCCCCTGGGGGCTGCCTGCCTGTGACTTTCCAGTCAGGGTGAAGGTGAGCAAGATCTATCGTAGCCCTAAAAGACTTTTTCGGAAAGACGCATAAAAGAATAACGGAAACACACTGCTTCATGTCCCGAGAACAGGGAGGGGAGACGTGATACACTTCTGACATCAGAACACAGAATTCCGAGAGCCACGAGGGCCTTTATCCTAGAACAGCATCCATAATTAGCTCATGGGTACTTTGATTAGAGTAGAGCCTCAGCTGAGGCGCATCATTGATGTTCTGTGATAGGTCAGGGCACCGCGTCCAAGTCCAGGCCGTAAGCAGCATCATTCCCTTCCCTTCTACGACGTCGGTGACTGGCCCTTCCAGACCAGCTACCTTGGTATGTCGCAGCTTGCTTCTGCAGAGAGAATATGTTTCGCTGCTCCAGCAAATGGCACCCCCCTACGAAGCGTCCAGGGCTACGGTACCGGGACCCGGGCACATCGACCCGAATTGTCATAGTCACCCCCGGCTCATCTCATCGCCGTCTTGGACCCCCTTCCCACCCCCATTTCCACGGCACAGATGCCACGCGACAGATGCAGATCAACTCATTACCACGCCCGCCCACAAGGAACTCCTTCCGTAGGGCAGACTGTGACGCCTTGCAGAGTGCCGGGCCAGGGTCGAGGGCGTGGGCGTCCCGCTCCGCCCTCGCGGTGGTGTGGCACGAGGCAGTAGAGCGGAGCGAGTCGTCAACTTTAAACGAGAAAGTGGCTGTCAAGGAAATCCTGAGGCGGGACGTCCCAGTCCCACGCTTCCCAATATAGGCATGCTCCGGGTCAGACAAGCATATGATCCGAGTGCTGTGGAGTCAAATAAACGTTCAGCGCCACGCTTCCCACCGCTCCGCTGGAATGCCACGGGCAAGGCTACCGACTTGGCGCATCCGGATGGTGACCCCTGAGAGGGCAGTTCTACGAGTTGTGGCGTCCACATCCATGGTCAGATTCGTTCTTGCTGCAGGCATTCCCTATCAGATTGGTCATAACTCAGACAATCCCGTCGAGATGAGTTGCGTTGGGTGACTCTACGTGGTGTTAAGCAACGATAGTCACCATGCGGCATCCGTCAATTATACGCGTGGTCTCGGCCCACTTCCCCAGCAGGGAGAAACAGACACGAAAAAAAGGGTTCGGTTTCCCCCTCTAAAAAACACGAGACTGGCGGGTGGCTTCGGGCCAGAATCCATGCCACTCTCGTGATCGAATGTTGCAGTATCGCACCCTCCACCGCCAACGTCACACCAGGGGCTAGCCTCAATCTGGCTGATCTCCCATGGCACAACATGTGTCCTTCCTCCAGAATCGGCACGAGGAAGGGTGAGGGGAAGGGTGCCTCGAACACGCGGAGTCAACGAGGGTCATATCCCCCCGGGGCCGCCAAGCCCTGCAGGCCTTGGACGTAGCGGACGCAGTTTTCAGCCACCGATGCCAGCTGAGATGGAGCTGATACCGGTTAGAGCCAGGCGCGGGAATGGGTTAAAAAAAAAAATAACCGCAAAAGCCCAAGGACCCTCGCGCCTTTGAAGGCGTGAGGGCTGGCAGACCATGACACAGGCAGTCAGCCAGGCTGGCTCGAGGTGTCGCGCGGCGCAACGGCGCATTATGGGCGCGGGGACCAAATAGGGACGTATTTTGAGTCCTTCGGTAGCCCTGTTGCAGTGTCGCATGTTCGCATGCTTAGCGACGCTGTCTATTGGACGGGGAGCGAGAAGTGCAACCTGCCCCCACTCCGAATCCCGCCAGTCTTCAAGGCTTTCGGTGGTGTTGCTTGGAGCTCTCCGCCGCGGAGATTCTCTCTCCCCTCGTGGGAAAACGTGACGGGAGCGAAGAGTCAACAAATGAGAAAGTCAGCGACGGGTGACGTCGCAGGTGATCGGCACTGCGGCAGTTGCAAGGGGCCTAGATCCACCCTGCACCAGACTGTCGGGTCAGATCTCCTCCCGAACCGCCTTTGCTTACTTACCTACCTCTGATTTGTGAGAGCAAAATAACGGCCAGATACTGTGGGAGCCTTGCTTACGTGCTGGTAACCCTCCCTGCCCGAATAGCCCATGGGTAATGTTCAGCGCGGACCTGTAAATCACAGTGCTAGGTGAATAAATCTGCCGTACTGCGCACGGCGGTTTTTCAGATACCTATACATACATCTAAATTAGACCGGAGCCCATGAATGAAGCTCCTGGTCCTGGTAGTCCAGAAAGTCTGGTTTCGGAGAGGCATGACTCGGCGGCCAAACGATCGAAGACGGATGAACCCGCCATGCATTCTTCTGACCCCTATACGGGGTGAATTCCTGACTGGACTCAACAATAATGATGCCACCATGAATGTCACTGATGTTTTGGGCATTACTCTCAATCATTCAAATTGTATGCGTGACTGCGGTCCAAGAAATTAGTGGTATTAATTCATCAAGCGTGATAAAGCATGTTTACTGAAAATGGTATCCTTAGTAATGAAGAAACAGCCAAACCCGAAACGCCATCATCCATATATCCTGGTTAGTAGCCGCAGCGATCCTCGACCCCGAGAAATTTTCAGTCAGCCAATGAATTACAATTGATAATGCCTTCAACGACCCTGGTAGACCGGCTTTCTGCCAACAGGCGGTGGTGGATCGTCATCCAGAGGATATGGTGGCGCCGGGCCCACCGGAGCCGTGCCTACTCGGCGTGGTGCTCTCGGGACTTGGTTTTCTGGGAGCGGTGTCTTCGGTGGCAGCGGCGGAGGTGCTACTCTCGGCGGCTGTGGAGCATACGCCTGGAGACCGGGGCGCTCATCTGAGGATACGATGGCGATCTTGTCTGATCCAGACGCATTCCTCCACTGAGCGGGTGTTGGCGCATTCACCACAAGCTTGTCACCGTCTTCGTGCGGCTCGCGAGGAGGGGCTGAGGCCGGCGGTGCTGATGGTGGCCTGTTGCCTCTAGATGGCGGGGAATCCTGCCGACGGACTGACGGCTGGGGCGAGCCGTGCGCGGAAGGCGATAGAGGTTGGTTCTGCGGTATAGTAGGCAGTACGCGCTCGTAGGAGCTTCTTGGAGAAACGTGCTGGTTTGGGAGTGACAGGTTGTCAGTCCCGGAATCGTAAGATTGTCGGTCGAACGAGCGTCGGCTCGATGGCGTGTGGGGCGACGGCCAACTCTCTGGTATCTCGGCAGGGAGCTCGACGGCAAGTGGCGCGGAGATATCAAACTCAGGAAGCTTGTACTGCAGGTCCGGCTCTGCACTCAGCCGCTCCATCCGCTGCTTCGCACGGTGGATCTTGGCCAATTTCGCGGATGCGTCCTGCACCATCCTCTGCTCCGTCTTCCTCCCGAGGTACATCCTTGTTGACGTGCTGATATCCGACAGCCTATTCCATTCGTTCATACCAAACTCTCCGACGCCGACCTCGACGTTCAGGCGATAGTAAACCTCGGGGTTGACTCCTCTGTCCGATAAATGTTGCTTCTTCATCATCTCGTGGGTCTTTTCGCAGCCCTCGATCTTGGCGATCAGTCTCCGCTTGGCCTCTGCGAAGCCACCAATGAAGCCTTCATACCACTCCGCCTTGTTGGTATCACTGCCCTTTGGCCGCTTTCCTGTTCCTATACTGAGGAACACGCCGACTTCTCGGCCGGGCCACTCGTTCACAACAGCTTCGTCGAGGGCTTCTGGGGCGGGGTTGAATCGACCGTCTCCATCATCATGGAACACCGTCTGACCAATCTGGATGGGCTTGAATGCCAGCCCAATGGAGCAAGTCGCCCTACCGGCCTGCCAAATTTTGCAGTCAAACTCCGGGGCAGGCTCTCTCCTTGAATCATATGACCTCAGCAAGACAACGTCGGTGTTCTTACTAGAGGCGCCTTTGTAGACGGCGGTTACAGCACTATGTCAAAGTCAGCGGCGAATCCTTGGCCGCAAGAAGGCCAACAAGAAACGTACGTTTTGGTCCGGTACTCCCTCTCGTCGTAGAGTCGCGCGTTGGGGTCACCACCACCTCTGCCGGAGTAGTACGGGCGGGCCATCTGGGCCTGGGGGCTCTTGTTGCTGAAACTGACCACGCTCGCGTTGCTGGCGTGCCTCCGTGGGTAGTGGGCGCTCGCGCGAGAGTGGGAGCTCAGAGGGCTGTGAACAGAGGTGCCGTCGTCCCCTTCGGACTCGGATGTGGTGTGTTCTGATACTGCGTCCTTGATGGCGTCCTCGAGCCTCGAGGCCTTGAATAGTGTGGAGTGGGTGGGGATGCCGAGTATGGTCTTGTCGGTCTCGAAGACCATGCGGGTGAGTCGTACATAAAGCTGCTTGCAAGTCTCCAGATCCAGGCGCAGCCTCCCAAGCATGAGGGCTATCAGGCCGCCTGTTCCGGTGCCGACGATAAGGTCGAAGTGGTCGGCCGGCTTTGGAATCTCATGACGTCTTGGCGCGCGGCCCTCGATCTCGACAAAGGTTCGGTGCATGATCTCCTGGATGATGATGAACATGCTGTAGCCTCGGACACCACCGCCATCTTGACGTGTCAAGTTGTTAGCGCGCGTGCAGGGCCAGGAGGAAGTCCAGGTGGGAAGCGGAGCTTGGGTGGTATGGTGCCTGGTGCTTACCTAGCGACAGGATCCGGAGGGGCGGACCCTTTGTGGTGTCCTTCCTCTTCAAACCAGAATCCATCTGTTGACGAGCACCGTCTCTGAGCGATGAGCGGTGGTCAAGCGACTGTGGTGTGGTGTAAAAGAGAGAAGATGTCCCACCGGTTGGACGAGGGGGAAGTGATGTGATGTGATGGATATGGGCGGGACAGGGGAGCGAACCCTAGTCGAGCGCAAGTCCTAGGTTTGTAGGATTGTAGGTACTCGGGCAGGGGAGGAATAGGCCCAACTGGGGCGCAATGCGTCACTGACCCACAGACCAGAGGCACCTGTGCGTGCAGCTGTGCAGGTGCAGGGCAGGGGTGTGGGGCTGCGGTGCGTTGGGTCTGGTTGAGGGAGCTGGAAGCTTGGGCCCGAGGGGCAGAGAGGACTGGGCTTCAATGTCCTTTCAGCACCACCGCCACAGGGCCCAGTTGCCAGGAAGAGGGAGGGGGGCGGGGGCGGGGGCAGCTGGGCGGCGCAAGGATCGGGCTGCTTGTCAATGGAGCAGGCCTGACGGGCAGTGGCCGGCCCAAGTCCTTGTAACCGCACTCGGCAGAGAGGAGAGATCGACCGCGATGCTGCAATGCAACTCAACCTTTTTTTTTTGTTTCTTCTCCCCCTGTCTCTCTGGCTGCGACGAAGTCAAGATTTCGTCATGCGTCCAAGAAAAGAAAAGTTGAGGATTCGGGGACAGAGCCTAGTAGTCATCAGGCCGGAGTTGATCCGATCCAAGGATGGGACGATTGACGGTGACGGGTGGCAGTGCTGGGATTGTCGCAATACGGTTGATGATCGATCCCACTATTGCGGCTGCCAGGGCTGCAGGGCTGCTCTTCGCAGTCCTTTCTGGTTGAAACGCCGAGAGGCCTGCGACGATGGTCAACAACAGTACACACACAGCAATAAACAACCGACAACCTTGACAACGCACCCCTGTCGTATTTCCGAACCAACTGCGCCTGGTGGTTGGGGATTTGGGACTCGGCATGGTCCATCTCAGACCTTGTCGCCCTGAGCTTGATTTATGGCTCTTGCTTGGACTGCGCAGGCTGGCAGGCTGGCAGGCCGCCAGCCATGTCTCACCCCACCAAGGCCGTCAGGGCCTTGCTGCCATGTAAGCTTAGAAAGGCTGACCCCTAGGCACAATGATATCCGGCATACAAGGCATGCGAGCAAGCACACGAGCATACAATTGATTGTGCGGCAGTAAGCGCAAACCGGCCCATGTCATGTCTGCAGGTACACGCAAGCTGGAAACCTAACCCAAGTACACTGCACTAGAGGACAAGGTTGGTGATCATGTTCCCAACCATCGTGGCTGAGCCGGCAGGAGCGGCGCGGCGCTCTCACCCACTCTCTGCCACTCGAGAGCCCATTTTACCCATTGGATTGCCACCGAGCTCGACAGGCGCCGATGCCATCCGCCCAGCCGCCCCAGCCAGTGGCAACCACTGCCCGACTCCCGACTCCTGTCCATCATGCCCACTTCTGGAGCGGACCTACAAGTATTCTAGAAAACTGCCTTGTTTGGCACATGGCATTTTGCGAACTTTGCCCGTCTTCCCCTGGCCGGCCTGCATCTTCGAGAGGCCGCCCTGAAAACACTTCGGACCCCCACTCCAGATACGAAGGGCACCCCCTTGAGGCCGCGGACTTGTAGACCGCACATTCATTACTGCCCAGCTTACTACTGCTGCAACACAACACCCTAGAGTAAGCACGCTGAAGGGGTCCTCACGATGGCTTCCTCATAAGATGCCTACAAGTCCCACACGGCCGAAGTCCTTGTTTTAAAATAGTAAGCATCCTCCGGTGCTAGCTCTAGGAGAGGCAAGCTTCAAGTGTCTGCTTCGTATATACTACATAGTAAGCCCGGGCCTTCCGACGGTGAGCACAGTGCTGCAGGCTGTCTTGGGAGTCGCGATGACAATGGCACCCTCGGATGGTTGGCGAAAATACCAGAGAGCTTCACGTCAATTCGTCAACGCAGCCAGAGCTATGACCGCCCAACCTGTGCCATTCCAAACCTCGTTTCTCATTCCACATCAGTCCGGCCACTGGGCGGTTCGCTTTCCCCGATGACTCGATTTGACAAGCGGCTCCTAGTCAAAGGAGGTCGACGGTGGTTCAATAAGCTGCCACTGACCGCAAGCGGGGGGGGGGGGCACTGTAGCAGCGCGAATGGGTGAGTTTTGCAGGCCGTTGATTTCAGTTGTATGCTGCAGTGAAAGCGACGTCTCAACAGCGTCTGAAATACATACACGGTGACTAGCAGTCGCTCTTATCACAAATCTGGCAGACAATGTGCTCGGACTTGACTTTCCTCAGCAGCAGGGCTGACTCAGCTGGATCCTTATCTTATCAAGCACCATTATTTTTTGCCATACCTTGTTCGCATTCCCAAGCAGTTTGTCTTAGCTGCCAACACGAAAGCAACCCACAACACCCTCGTTGCTCTTTTCCAGACAGCAGTCATCATGGCCCAAGGCGAGATCAAGAGAAAGGCAGCGCCGACTGCCACCAGAGCGAAGCCTACCAAGGGCCAGAAAGTCAAGAAGCCGAAGTCAACCAAGGCCGACAAGCTGCAGAAGAAGTACACTTCGGGCATGGTCGCCAAAACCGAAGCCCTGCTGGGTGAACGCGCCGGACACCTGGAACTGATCGGGAAAGGCAAGAAGGCCAAGAAGGATGAAAAGCACAAGGGTGGTTCGAAGAAGTTTGGTTGAGTGGGAGCATGAGTACTCTGAACAGTCGACCAGTCGATGCCTCCAAGTGTGCGACGTCTCGCCATTCTCAGCCCCCACCTACTCCGTGTCTCTGGACGAACACGCCTTCTGTTGAATTTTGATGGCCGAGAATCCGCCTCGCAGCAGAGCGGGGAGGCGACAACGACAAACAGTCCCCTTCATACGGGGCCACCTTTTGTCAGAGCCGCATGCATCATCTTTTCATGATCATGCAGAACAGGAACCGGCTTGGAGCGACGTATTGGGTTCGGAAGTTTGAGTTGCGGGGACACAACGCTTGTCTGTTACCCTCGGGTCCGTCAGGAAACAATGCCGCAGCTCGGTATCATAGCCACACTCATATACGAACTCGGCCAAGCTTTGGGCGACTTCGATTACATGATCGATAAGTGGACTTTTTCAAAGAAAACATCATGACAGCATACCTCCGCGGCGATCTGCACCGGCAATATGTCCGGCTAAAAAGGACTCCGATGCCTGTGGCTCGAGCGCACTTCCCTACGAGCCTTGCAGCATGCACCGCAGGATGAGCGACGACATACCCGCGACAACTTGCGAAGTTGGAGTCCTGGGCAGCGCGGCGTCGGTACCGAGATATTGGAAGGCGCGGTGGCATCAGTCCGGTCCAATGGTGGGCAATAACAGAGGCCTCTGGCTGCGACGCAAGCCTGCCTCGTCAGCCAGATTCCAGCTTGCATCCAATATCGCACACAACCCTCTGAGAGTAATATGCTTGACCTCATCTGGCCGGCTAAGCACAGTAATCCGAATGCAGCCTCGTCGGTTGAGCGGAACTTGACCATTGCGGGAACCGAAAACTGTTGTCTGCCATTATATACCATGTGATATCTATGCACTACGGAAAATTCTGGAGGCATTGTCTGAGATACCAGTCTCCAAGTTACGCAGCCCACATTCCTCCAGGCCATTACTATGATACCAACCGCCGTAATGGGATTCCTGTTGGATATTCTGGTCTACACTGCCCTTGGTGTGCATGTAGTCGCAGCCCAACCTGATCAAGAACTGCGAGGTTCAGCAACCGAGGAGCTTCCACAGGCGGTGTCGTGCGTCACGATCCCGTCACCGTACCCAAAATGGTCCCAGCTTCCGCAGCAGACGACTTTGCCCGACCCCTTCCTACCCCTTGCATTCACAACGACCGATAATGCAGGGGGCCAGTCGGCCTCTGAATTTGCACAGGATGTCATGACAGGCAGGGGAAAGAACAGAATCCAGACGCCTGAGGAATGGCACCAGTGCCGGCAGCCTGAAATTGTCCGAATGTTGCAGGAATATCAGTACGGGTACTACCCAGACCACTCTCAGGAAACTGTGACGGCCACTCGCTCTGGGAACACCATCGGCATTTCTGTGACAACAAGTGGAAAGACAGGAAAGTTCTCAGCGGCGGTCAAGCTGCCTACAGGGGCCAGCAGGTCAACCCCGGCGCCTGTGGTTATCAACATCGGGGGGATGTTGGACCAGCCCTACCTGCAGGCTGGAATCGCCGTCGTGGGGTTTGACTACACAACTGTGGCGGCAGACAGCAACAGCAAGACCGGTGCATTCTGGAGCCTTTACAACGGAAGGGATATTGGTGAGCTCGCATTTGTACGAGTGCTGAGCGATCTTGCTGGCTAACCCTGTGGCATTATTCCTCACCCAGGCGTACTCACCGCGTGGGCCTGGGGCTTCCACCGCACGCTCGACGGTCTGAACCTTACCGTCCCGGAGATCGATCCGACGCGCGTTGGCGTGACAGGCTGCTCCAGACTCGGCAAGGGGGCCTTAGCCGCTGGCCTACTTGACAAGCGCATCACGCTCACGATGCCAATGTCCTCTGGAGTACAAGGCCTTGGTCCGTACCGCTACCACGGCATGAGCGGGCAGGATGAGACACTAGAAAATAGCAAACAGGGCGCGCCGTGGTGGAGCAACAACGCTCTGGGGACCTTTGTCAACCATGCAGAGTGGCTGCCGTACGAGGCGCATACCATCGCCGCCGCTATCGCGCCGAGAGCCCTGGTGATTGACCAGGGAACTGGTGACCAGTTTACAAACTCAAAAGGAACCGCGGTGGTTGTATATCCTGCTGCGAAAGTGGTCTATGACTGGCTCGGGGCAGAGGACAAGATCGCCATGAGCGTGCGGAGCGGCGGCCACTGTGACATGTCTGGATACTCTTCTGTCCTGCGTAAGCAGCTTCTACACAATCCTTACCCCTTCAAGAACAAACATACCCCTACTCCAGGCCAACATAGCAAAAGTTTCACGGGCTACAGATTTTGCTACAGGTTATTATCACTTTGTGGCCTGCCCACTACCCCATTCGTGTTAAGCCACTTCTCTGGGTCTTTATGGCTAATTCCTAAGGCTGGAAAGAATTTGCGCAGAAGATCCTGCTGGGCAAGAACATAACCCAGGATTATAACAACCTCGGATCATACGGCCCCCCTCTGACTACGACATACCCATGGGCGACTGCCGTTCCCAAAGCAGTATAAGTGGGCACTTTGTGTCGTCCAGAAATGAATGTGGCCTTCCTCAGCTTTGGGTTTTTTTTTAACGTTTTTTCTCAACTTTATGCGACGCTTTTGTGGTAGACGTCTGCCGTCGGAGGATTAACTGTCAGGGGTCTCGTGTCGGGCCAGGGGCAGCGTGAATTGCACTCTCATTAAGCCTGCACAAACCCTGCAAGCCGAGACTTCCTTGGGAGTGCATCACGGGCCAGTTACACAGTTTGCGCCGTCAACGATGGATAGGCTTGGTTCAGGGTCAAATTGCTTTGAGGGAGCACATTTGCGGCATCTCGTACGGTCACCTCACCGTCGCCACCGCTCAGATCTTTCTGCACAATTCAACGTGGAGAGAGAAAACAAAGAGGTGAAATTCGTACGGCCGATCAACGAGTCACGGGCCTGTAGCATTAGCAATGAGACCGGCAATTGGGGAGCCCGGGTATTTTGTCATCCAAGGACAGGTTCTCACCTGCATTTGGCGCCCGACCGGATTTGCACTCCACTTTCACATTTCCGGACCCACCCCAGCTGTGCAGATCCGAGATCAATGCGACATTCGTCAAAAAACCTAAACCACAGTGTCGGAATATCGTGTCCCGACCAACTGGTAACAGCCAGGCTGTTGGGGCGGGAGGGCGGCCAACAGCCCTGGGCTGCTGGGTGTGTGGGTACCACCAGTTGACGGCATGCGTGATAGTACTCCAAGTATAGCTTGCAAGATGTGCTCGGCAACATCACAGAAAGTTTAATTCATCGACTCCCACTCTCGCGAAAACGAAACACCCTTCCCTCAAAACGCTCGGCCACGCCCGTACACACTGGAGGGAGATTCGAAAGTAATGAGCGCGCATTGACTGCTCTGAGGACCACTTTTGTACACCCAGTCAGCTGTTATTCGCGATCCACTAGCTGTTGCCCCCCGTTTATTCGCCCTCTGCCAGTCTGCCGGTCAGGAAAGTCACATTGAACTTGAAACACGCACTTATTTTCAGTGACTTTCGATGAGGTGAAACCACACACCATGTTCTAGGTACTGAATTGTTGTTCCACACGCTCCACCAAGCTGCTCCAGCGCCCCCGAGGTCAGTGTGCGCGCCTTCAACGCTTGGAGCAACGGAACAGCCGCTCTTTTATGTCTGCGCCTCGGAGCTTCTCCCTGCAGAGAGCCCAGGACGGTGACGAGACGAGCTCCTACTGGTGGATGGGGCGGCCCTCTCCATGTGACGGTGATGCCGATCTTCGCGAGGACCGCTGCATACATCAGGGTGAGAGAAGGTGTGGGAGCAACCGTCTCGCCTCGCCGTTCCCCTACGGCAGCAGCGGGGACACATACCCACCATGGCTTGTCTGTCCCGAAACTTTGGAAATATACCTTGCCAACCTGCTGGGAACCCTTACCCGTATAGCTCCACGTCGGGCTCCGCTTAACCCAACGCTTCGGGTCTACTCATATTTCTGGGTCATCCCAATCGAGACTAACCGGACGCGTTCTTCGGTGATCACCACTGCTCGAGATTGCCCAGTTACGCAACGGGCATCGTGGCTTTCCTCAGCCCTTTTCTCTTTTTTCTTTTTTTTTTCTTCAGAGCCAATTTTAGTTTGTGATACCCTGATTTAGGCGGCCACTGCATATACGCGGGTCTCCCACACCACCAGGCTCACCGGGCTTCCAATATGGCGGGAAGCAACCCACATAGGCGAAGCCTTGATCTCTTCAATGTCGATCAACAAGCAGTAGGGAATCTCGACCTAACTTTCCAAGAAACTCTTCCAAGCAGTGCTAGCAACGTACGTTACGTGTCAAGAAAAGCACCCCTTCCCTACACTCTCCCGGAAAGCTGACCCCTTGGACTCTGAAGTACACAGAGATACCGTGAGTGAACAAGCGGCTTCATGTCCCAACAGCGGCCTCCCTACTCACCTTTCGATTTTCAGCGATACGCACTCAATCTCAGAAAGTGTCCTAGCCTATCGGGTAGAAAATGGCAGAACGTATCACGCCTACAAGGACGGATGTGAGTCGACACGCACAACCACGCCTGCGAGACTCGGGGGACAGGGCACGAGACCAACGATCATATGCTAGGGTACCTGCTTCCGAACGACGCCGAAGAGATAGAGCGGCTGCGCCTCACGCACGATATCGTAAGGCGGGCAATGGGGAACCGCTCTCACTTGGCGCCATGGACCAGAGATCACTTCCCGCGGCGCGTGCTCGATGTCGGCACTGGGACCGGGGACTGGTGTTTTGACTTTGCTGAGGAGTTCCCCCAGACAGAGCTGATCATAGGGACGGACCTGTCGAACATCCAGCCTGACGTGGGGCCACCAAATGTCCAGTTCATCATCGACGATTCGTCACAGGAGTGGCTCGACGATGACCTGGATTACGTCCACACACGAGACACCAATGGCTGTTGGGAGGTGCGCTTCCATCTCACTCCTTCCCTTGGGAGTACCCGACCGGATGCAAATCCCAGAATACAAGGCCGCACCAAAGATACACCCAGGTGATGCTGACGGCGGGAATCGACAGAATATGAGCGCACAAGTAATCCAGCAAGCCTTCCAAAAGTTGAACCCAGGTGGCTGGCTAGAAAGTCAGGAATTTGACATTGTTCTCCGATGCGACGACGGGACCGCCCCAGCCGATCATGGACTCAGACTCGTAAGCAACACCCGAGGAATATGTACTATCTATGTGGCTCCTCCCATGTGCCATCTGTCATCTCGGACGAGAAAGAAGGGCTCAGGCGGGTGTGGGCAAGACTCTGATCAAGAACAAACTACTCCGTCTCGTGGTCAAGTGGCCGAACGTTCAGACCAGCCAATGGCTAACCCGAGACACTGCAGTGGCTGTCGGAGCTGGACCGCATAAGTCGGATAGCAGGGAAGCCCTGCACCATCACCCCGTGGCTAAAGTCGTGGTACGAAGAGGCCGGATTCGTCGACGTGCACGAGGAGATATTCAGAATACCGACTTGCGGATGGCCTGAAGACCCAGAAGAGAAGTGGGTCGGGACGTGGATGGAGGAAATGCTGAACAGTGGCATTGACGGCATCCTTCGGGCATACCAGTTGAGGGTGGCTGGGCTGACTATGGAACAGCATCAGGTATGTAGCACAGTCCCTAGGAATTTGCACACGGCTGTGCTGTTTAGATACGGGGGAGCCCCCATTGCCGCTGCACTCTTCCAAGGACGATATCTGACGGAGGGGCACACTACAGGCAGCTCTTATCCCAGTCCGGAGAGACCTAAGGAACCGGGATTATCACACGTACATGAATTTCCATGTCGTTTACGGGCGGAAGCCGGACACGGACACAAACCAGGCTTTAGGGAGGATTCCAGATCCCACAGGACGAGAAGAACAATAACAGTGACATCGAAATCGAAATCGAAATCGCTTAGACGGACTAGGGCAACAAGAGCCGCACATGACCGGGCCAAGGCAAGCTTCTCTCAGCTTTCTCGCAACGGGTCGCACTGTAAACACCTGCTTCTCATAGGTAAACAACGGAGACTTGGGACACGTTGAAGACAGATAGTCACGTCATGGTGCAACAAATGGGCGGTTTCGATATTGTCTATCGCTGTAACTCTATATCTAATAATTCCCTGTAATGTACACCTAGGTACTTGGTATCTGGGCGAGTTAACCGCTTAGCCCCATCCCCAAGATTCGATCGCAGTGTCGCGGGAGCACAGTCTATCTCAAAGAGCGCCATATCTAGCCGTCTCTCCTAACAAGCCACCCCAGGCCCTTTGCCCTCTCATGTCCCAGCAAGCGCTCCAGGCCGTCTCGGGGCAGGAAGTCGTGGTCACAATACTCGAAGCCTGGCACCACAGTCTCGGAGATGAGCAAGCCCTCGGCACTGCTTTGGCCCCCCTCGGCGTCCGGGAGGAGGTAGCTGGCCTTGTAGTGGTCACCGTCGACGATCCACTGGAGCCTCTCCCCCGTCGCGACGTCCTGTCCGACCACGAAGGTCTGGACCTCTCCGGCGGCATTGATCAGCACGTACCGGCCCCGGCCCTTGTGCAGCGTGTGCACGGTCCGGGCGCGGTTGCGGTGGAAGTTTCCCTGAGGGGACGCCGGGGTCAAGAGGTAGAAGATTGTGGTGGAGGCGTTGCGGACCTTTGGGTCGAAGCCTGGGCGGCTTGGGCCGGCGAGCGACAGGGTGGCCTCGGAGGCCGGGGTCGGAGGAAACGGGGAATCAATAATGAGAGGGTCCCTGTCCGTCTCGGCGAAGTAGCCTCCCTCGATGTGAGGGATCATGTCGAGGGCGTTGATGATGGCGGCGGTGGCGGGAGGCTCGGCATGCACGCCTTGGCTGCCGCGGGTGAAAAATGGCTTGATCTCCGGGCTGGCCATGGTCGAGGCCAAAGTATTGAGGCAAAAATATCAGACGGGGGATGAAGGTCAAAGCTGCAGGTGGGCAGGCCTGTTGGAAGAGAAAGCGAGGACAAGGAATGAGCCACGTGCGGGCCGGAAGTCATCATACTCGATGAATACCAACGCAGGACCAGCGCATCCCGACACCTACATCAGAGCGAACATGGTGCATCCGAAGTCAGCGGCACGAAGGCAGACACGAGCTCGTCGGGATGTGACCGCGGTGGAGCTCAGGAGTTCACGGTTATCAATATCAACACTATGAAAAACATATACTTGCAGTCAACTGGTACCTAGGTACCTAAGTAGCTAGTCTACTCACAAACATTGGGGGGGGGCTGCACGGGAAGAATGAATGGTCGGTCACCTTGTTGACTTTTAGTTCTGCAGACCCCGTTACTGCTGCCGACCCACCCGCCCCAAGTCCAACCACGCCTACCTTCCTTCACCTCAACTGCCTCCATGCTATCAGGAGCTGCACGAGTCCAGAGCCATTCGTATCGTAACCAGCAAGTACGTCATCAACCGCCTTATCATCCTTGTTCAGGATGGCGCCGCCGGCGCCCACCATCCTCACCCTCAAGCAAAACTTCATCACCACCCAGACGCGTCTCCTCTCACAGCCACTACAGCCCAGCCGCGCCTGGAGGCGCGGCAACGAGGCCGCCGCAAACGATGAGAGAGCAGCCGCGCTGACAGACAAGGCCGTGGACGACGCGCTCTTCCGCCTGAACCACACCCTGCAGCAGCACTCGCGCCGCGTCCACGTTCCCCAGGCCACGCGCCAGATCGCCGAGCAGGTCGACAGGCTGTACCTCAGCGCCGGGGACGGGCAGGTAGCCGGTGATGACGACGCCGACGACAATGACGACGACGACGCATGGAGGAACATGGGCGCCGACTATGCCGACGCCGCAGTCATTTCCTCGCTGCCGCCGGCATGGGAGTCCGAGAGGGAGTCCGCCGCTTACCCCGTCGAGGCTGCGCGCTATGCCGAGCTCGCCGGCCGGCTGCGTGGGCTGGCGGCACGGAGGGATGAGGCCCGGACCCGCGTGGAGAGGCTGCGCCGGATGAGGGCTCTGCTCGCCCCGTTCAGCGGCGACACCAACGATGCCGAGGCATCCTCAGGCCAGCCAGGGCCTGTCCAGGAGAACCTCGTCACCCGTGGCAGCGAGCTTGAGAAGGAGCTCCAGCGCATGCGTGTGCTTCTCGTGCGCGTTGGGGACAAGGTGGCGAGGCTGAAGGAGAGGGAGGCTGGCCGTCATGACGATGACGACTTGTTTGGCGACGGCGACGCCATGATTGTGGATGATGTCGAGGTCGAGGAGAGGAGGAAAGTGGATGGGCTGTTGGAAGCCTTTGGTTGATCCTGGAGCAGGGTTCAGAGGCACTTCCGTGCCGTGTTCCGAGGGCTTCTACCTTTGTGAGCTCTGGCTCCAACGTCGCCAACGTCGCGAGGAGGCCGGCATTGGTTACCTACTTAGGTAGGTCCAAGGACTGCAGAAGTCGGCGAAACGATCACTGGACACACTGGAGTCGGTGTTCCCAGATACAAGCTCGGGGCTCAGGTTCCCGGCCGCAATCACGCCAAGGCAGGCTGGGCATGGGCACACGATGAATAGCTGGCTTCTATTCTGGCCGGCCTGTAAAGGCATTCACTCAAGCTAAATTGAGCCGAGACGATACATAGACCCAAGAGGTCACCTTTTCGAGGAAGAGCTGGGTATCCGCCATTAAAGTATCCAATCATTATACGCACCAAAATTATAAGCCAATCACCCCGAACCAGATAGATCCTGGACGTTCCCACAGGAGATACTTACGTCTCCGGCCCTGCCCCCTCCTTGGCAGACACTTCGGCCTGCTGTTCTGGCCGTTCAACCTTTGTCTTCTCTCCGGGCCTCTTGTCGGTCTCCGTGTCCTTTGGGCTGTCACACTCATTCTTATAGTCGTCCGCCTTCTTCACAACCTTCGCGTCGTCAGAGCTCTTGTCCGACGAGGCTTCCCCCCCAAGCTCCTTCTTGTCCTCCTCTTTCTCCTCCGCGGTCACGTTTTCGGCGATGGCGTCCTTGCCGCTATCATCAATATCAAGCACCTGGCTCTCCTGCCTGGCGTCCTTCGAGTCATCTCCCTTCCCCTTATCCTTCTCATCGTCTGCCTCGTCGTCGCTGTCGTCCTCCCATGCCCACGGGTTGGGCCTCTCCACCCGCAGCTTCACCACCTCGTTGTCGCCAGGCCCGCCGTCCGACTTGTAGTATATCCTCAGCCCGAAGACCCCGACGGCATTCCATGGATCCTTCTCGAACTCGTTGAGCTCGTCCTCACAAGTCGGGCCGCTCGGCGGCGTCGAGCTCGAGGAATGCTGCGCCTTGGCTGCCCTCGCTGCTGCCGCACGTTGCTTCTCCTGTGCCTCGAGGAAGAGATCGATCTCGTGGTCACTCACCTCGGACAGCGAGTCCAAATCCTCGACGCCGTCGTCGGTTGAGGCGTCCGAGGTGAAGTAAGAAGAGGGCGCGCCGGGGGGCGGCGGAGGCGGCAGCATCCCACCCATGGGCGGCGGGATTCCACGAAGGTGCGGCGGTAACTGATGGCGATTGCCTCGCGGAGGGCCATACATTCGGCCACCGGGTGGCGGCGGCGGCGGCGGCGAGTAGATATAACCCGGGGGTGGGCCATGGGCTCGCGGGGGCGAAGGGAGCCCAGGGCCTGTCTGTACGCCAATATCCACATGGTTGTGAGGCGGTCGTCGGGCCTTGTCTGCGGCCTTTGGGCTTGGGATCGCCTGCTGAGGCTTGGGCTGGGAAGCCTTGGGCGTGGGAGGTGGTTCTTGTCCGGTGCTTGTCGCCGTAGACGCCGTTGGCTGGCTGTCGCTTTCCTCCTCGGCGGCCGTTACGTACGCATCTTCTTCCTGTGTCTCTTCGGGCTCCACATGTCCTGTTTCGAATATCGTGCTCGACGCGGGCGTATTATCCCCGGCCTCGGTGCTTGAATCGTTGTTTTCCTTGGGATCCTCTGTAATGCTTGGTATCTCAGGTCTGGCATCATTTGTGGCGGCTGTCACAGCCTGGGTGTCATTGTCCTTGTTGTCAGGCGTCGTTTGAGTGCCCTCTGTGACCTTGTCCTCGGCAGAAGCTTCGCCTTTCTTGGTCACGGAATCTTCCTGGGGCTTGTTCGCACTATCCCCTTCCTTTTCTTTTTTCCTCTGCTCCTCTTCGGCTTTCTCCTTCGCCTCCCTTTTCGCCTTACGCCTCTCGTCTCTGGCCTTCGCACGGGCTCTGGCCTTATCAATCGCTTTCTTCTTCTTCAACGTCTGTCTGATTGCGTGTTTGCGGTCCTCCTCTTTCTGCTTCATTATCATCTTGGCCATCTTCTTCCTTTCCCTGTCCCTTTTTTTCTTCTCATACTTCTCCCTTGCGGCTTTCTCCTCGACCGTCTCGATGATCCTTCCCTTGCTGTGCGCGAGGTCATACGCGAAGCCAATGCGGAGCAGCTTCTCTCTCCTTTCCTTGGCGAACGCTCGTATCACGTCTTCGACAGGCATGATCTGCTCGTTGCGCAAGGCGTCGATCTTTACGACGACGACATAATCGCCCGCCTCAAGTTCTAGCTCTACGTTGATGCTGCGATTCATGCGGTCTATCCAGAATTTCCATGTTAGAAGCCTCTACCATGATCATTATAGGGTGGCCGGTCAGGCACCCAAAGCGTTATGTGAGGAGGGCTCATGCAATATGTGTTTGAGAGACACGCAAGAGACGTCGCCCCCAAACTCAAGCTCGAACGCATTGGCCAAGCCGTTCCGCAAGACAAAACAATGGGAATTTCCATCAAGTGGAAGTGTGTGTACTCACAGTAGCCCTGGCTTCGCACAACATAATCCTTTTCTCCGGACTTGTGCAGCCTGAAGCTCAACTCGAACCGATACTGGCCCTCGAGGCCCTTGAAGTAGCGCTCGTCGAGCTGCGAGCACACAATGACGACCGGGCCGGGCTTCAGGAGTGAGAAAGCAAACTTGGTGTCATGATAGTCCAGAGTCCACGGCACGTTGAGGGTCGTCCAGATCGACGCGACCCTCCAGCTCGAGTCGAAGAGCCTGGTTCGGTCGAACGCCTGGTACTTCTTGAGGAGGTCGTCATAAGAGATCCAGAAGGAGCCGTCGTCCCCGAACTTGTGGTCGAGCTTTGTCAGCCACTCCCCCGTCCACTCCTTGGACCCGTCCGACCACGCGCCCTTCCACTCGTGCTTTCCCCAGGGGTTCTTGAGGAGCACCAGGCGCACACCGTCGATCTCGCGGGCTTTGAGGACAGAGTATGCGTGGAGCTCGACGATACCCTTTCGCTCGCCCCAGCCTAATGATGCCGATTCGTCAGTATTGTGCACACACTTGCAGTGTTGGGTCCAAAAAAATACCAGGCTTCATCACACAGACAATAAGAAGATGCCGAGTCATCTGAGCGAAGGTGATGACGGCAGAATCGAACCCGTCACATAAGAGATGCCTTACCGCGACCCCAGACCCCAGTGGAGCATCCAAACAGAAAGTCTTGGTTGACTTTCATGAGTTCCTCTGTCCAGAAGTGCTCCTTGTCGAGTATGTCGGTCGTGTATATCTCCGAGGTCACGCCGCCGGTGAGATCTTCGATCCCCTCGCCCCCATAGCCGCCTTCGATGGCGGAGTAGTCGCCGTGGGCTTTAGCATAGGCCTTCTCGAGGAGCGGGAGCCACGTCTCGTTCGGATTCTCACATTGGGCAAAGTACTAGGGTAGCCAGGTAAGTTTCCGATAAAAAAGAAGAGGCCCGAGGATCCGCAGGGGCTTGCTCACCAGTGCACCACTGTTGGACTGGTAGATCTTTCGGTACGCTTCCTCAGAATTGACCCTCTCTCTGTCTTCCCAGAGCACACGTTCCAAGCACCGCTCGTCATAATCAGGTTTTGTAAGGTACAGCTACAGACTTGTCAGCCCTAGAGAATCGTTACTCCGCCACCGGAGTAAGACTTTGCTACATGGTAGCGACGCCAGCAAGCAAGCAAACACTCACCTTGTCGTCAATGATCTCACTGAACCACTCACCGTCCCGGTGGAATACAAATCCGTAGACGCCAACCTCTTGGTCGTGAGCCACACAACACTTCTCGATCAGGCCAGGCTTGTTACTAATGGTGCACAATGCAGCCATGAGCCAGCAGTCACCGTCTCTACCCTGGCGGACGTCGTGGGCCGTGGGCCCGTCAATGAAAAACCTGGGCTCGTCAAATATGTCCACAACCCTCTTGACCGCGAGAGGGCGGAGCCTCGACTCGCCGTCCCCATCCGGGCTGGCGGCGGCGGCGGTCTCCCTCTCGATGCGGTCCAGCACCCCCAGGGCGCTGGTGGCGGACATGGGGGGCGGCGGCTGCAGCATGTCGAGGCGGTCCTTGGGCGCCGGGTCGCGGCAGTAGTCGTCGCCGCGGTCGTCGTCGTCCTTGACGTTGTCCAGCGAGTCCAGGCAGTCCCGGCGGTTGAGCTTGAGGTCGATCTCCAGATCAAAGTGCGGGTCCCGGTACTTCTGGTTGACCCGGCGGCACTCCCGGACGATCTGGGCGACCTTGTGCCGGCATTGTGCCGCCGCGTCCTCGTAGGACTGCTGGGTTGTCTTGGCCGGGCCGAGGCACTTGGCCGAGGCACGCTTGGCTGCCCGGTCTGAGAAGTCATTCTGTTGTGGGATGATGGAAGTGGCTACAGCAGGGTTGTCAGCACGTGTCTACTGCAGGGCGGCCGCGGGTCGAGAGTCATTCTCTCCGGGAGCCAGTGGCACGTTCTCTACTTACCCTTCCCGGGAGCCTTGGTCTTGTATTTGTCCCAAAAGTCATCTATCTTCTGTTGTGGTGTCTTGGGTTCCTGACGACGCCGCCTGTTGCCCCCCTTGGAGTTTCCTGGGCATGGCCCCTCGTCCTCAGAGAAGCTCGAAACCGACATGATGAAATTCACAACAAGTCTGGCAGTTCGACTTCAAGAATGGCAGGCTGGAGTGTGCCTCGGGCGGGGTGCAAGAAAGCCTCGGGCGACGATGTGCGCTTTAAGGCTTGCAGGGCGAGGCAACGAGCGAACCACCGCAGAGGATTGAGGGGGCTTTCGCCGGAGTGAGGCAAAGAGACACTATGATGAACCAAGAAACTTGTTCAAGACCGGACTTGCACGTCTTCGGGGAAAGCAACACATGCACTTCGGAGTGCCCCAGCGCTCCAAGCCTGGTTCTTCACTTGATAGGGCTTGGAAATCGGGGATACAACAGGACTCTGATGGAATGTGCAACTTATCGTACCAAACAAGAACGAATGCAACTATTTGAGGATGGGTGAGAGGAGGAGAAGCTCAGGAACCAGGGGGAGAGACAACCCATGCTTTTTGGGGGCCAAGATGTATTTCAGGTCAGGCCGAGCAGGTCAGCTCTGCGGTCGAGCGCTGGTACGGGTCGACAAGGCTGCAGCGGCTGGGCCCTCGCAGCTCGTCATACATATGGTTCGCGGGTGCAGCCTAGACCTGCGCTCAGCAGGCAGCCCACGAGTGGAATCACGGGCATCGGTTCACTCTCCCTCTCCCTCTCCCACATCCCCTCATCCTCCTCCGCATCGCTGGCGGCAGGAAGAGAAGCGGAGGTGTGAGACAGCAGGAAGCCACCAGGTAAAAAGATGCGACGCAAAAGGAGCAGGAGCAGGAGCAGGAGCAGGAGCAGAGCAGAGCGAAGAAGCGGCAGAGGCTGAGAGAGCAGGAGGCTTGGCAAGTCGAGCCGGATCACCTGGAAGCGGACACGCAGAACGAGGCGAAGGCGACGGGAGGGGCGGACGCACAGTGGAGGACCACAGCAGCCACCGCCAGCCCGTCCGGCTCAAATGAGATGGGACGGGACGGAAAGGGGGTGAGAAGCCATCGTGTGCCGTACACGCGCACAAAAAGCAGAGGGAAGCACTGCATGAGGACTGAGACGCCACGGCGAATGGTGGTCGGCGGCGAGACGACTAGTAGCCGGAACGATGGGCAGGAGGGAGGTCGCATGTAACAGCCCAGGCCATGCGTGTTTTGTGAGAGGTCTGACGGGGCCTCTGGCCTCTGGGCCGGGTGCTACTCGGTGCTGAGCCACGGACGGAGAGACCGGCCGTGTTCGCTCATCTGCACCTTGCGGCCCTGCTGCCGACATAGACAATGGATGTAAGTGTGTATGGGTGCAGGGATGTGGCAGAAATAAGGCTGAGGCGGGCTGGAGCTTCTCAGCGTGTCGAATCGGTGATACATTAGTACATTCTAACCCTGGGCCCAAGCAGGCAATGAACCCCGGATTATCGATGCGAGGCGTGGGGGCGCCCACTCAGACCTAGTCAGGACGGGATGATCCCTGGGCTTCGGTCCCAGCTGGACGTATAGAGAGAGGGTTCGCAGACGAACAACCTGCTGAAGACCATCTTCACAGATCGGCAAACGCTTTCTTCACTTGCACTTACACGGACGGCACAGCAGATATCATTACACACGATGTCGCCTGGCCGGGTACTTAGGCAGCAAAGTCGCAACGTCTACTAACAAGTGCCACCACCGAGGCAGACTTCCCCGGGGAGGCACTGGGCAACGACCAGATGGCACCTCAAGATCACTCGCCCACGGGGAGGATAGAATGCCGGGCGAGAGCGTGTGTTATGCGTCCGGATGTCGTCCCAGTGCACTGCACTGCACTGCACCAGGCAAGCAAGCAAGATGTGGATGTGACCACCGGCTTACTGTCAGACGGACGGGTCCACGGCAACAGAGACACGGCACTGGTCGCGCGCACCCCAGCCATCGCAGCACTCGGCCCAGTAGGAAGCTGACTGCATGCAGCGTGTCGGTGAGGCTATCAGCTATTCTATGGCCCTCCTTAGCCGAATTACCACAGGGGACGGCAAAATACGGGGGGAGGGGGGACAAGACAGACCGGCGAGCTGTGGCGCATCGTCTGATAGGTGCAGATCGGATGAAGGATGTGAGGGTGAACCACCAGCAAGGCCAAGAAAAAAAAACGTAACCGAAAGAGTTCTGGTGATCAGCGCAGAGCCGCTTCAACGCCCCTGCCACGACGATTGGTGGGATGGGCAGAAGAGAGAGACAGAGAGAGAGAGACACAGAGAGAGACAGGCCCTCCCACTTCCAGAAATAGAGGAACCGGGTACGGGCCCCGCCCCCAGTTGCGCTGTGCTGCGCTGCTTGCTTGCGTGCATGCGTGCATGCGTGCATGTGTAGATTCTCTCATGTGCGCGCGGGTGCAGACTGACAGCAGCCGTGGTACCGACGCACATTCGTCATAGACGAGGCTCTCGCGAGGAGGACCGCAGATACACCTGGTCCGACCTTTTTTCCCTTCTTCGCGGCAACGCTTGTGCAACGTTGCTCGGGGCACACACGCACACACACGCACACACGCACACACGCACACACGCGGCTAAGGCGTGGTTTGTCCTCCCTGACCCAGTGCTTGGACCAGGCTCTGGGAAGCAAGTATCTGCGAGCGTGCGAGCCATCCAGAGGGACCACCGCAAGCAGAGCCCCACGCGGCTGGCTCTCTCGTTCCTCGTGTCTGCTGGTGGGATGAGCAGTTGTGGTCTGCCAGGGGAGAGGACGGTCAAGACCGGGTGCTCTGGGGCTACTTGTGTATTTCGCCCTCGTTATTGATCCTTCACCAGGTACCATGTCACCGACCCCGAGCCCAGATCAATCTCGTTCAGCGATTACACATCAGCTCTTCCATCAAGACGTAGGTATATACAATGCCAACCCCGCGTGCGCCTAGGCCTCCGCACTTGCTTGCAGCGGTTAGACTGGTAGATCCATATCATACAGCCTCATTTACATGTCCATTACTAGGTAGTTTCTGCCATCCCGTGCATCATATTGACTCGTCATCGCATCGATCTTGCACTCAGGTTCGCAAACGCGTCCGGACTGTGCCGTCCATTCGACCATTCCATCCCGAGTGCCATCATGCTGTCTCGGCTTCTATTTCCGACCATGGCGTCCATGCCCGAGGGCTGTGCCGCAGCTGGTTGAGGTGCCCCAGCCCCACCGAGGAACGGGTTCTTGCTACCTGCTGAGGTCATAGAAGCTGCCACGTCAGCCTGGTTCATGGCCGGGTTCTGGATATTTGAAACCTGTGCTGTGGGCGCCATTCCTGCCTGCTGTCCTGCCTGCTGCTGCTGCTGCTGCTGCTGCTGCTGCTGTTGCTGCTGGGCCTGATCGAGGTTGGTATTCTGCGCCTGAGGTGCCAGCTGTGGCATATTGTACAAAGCGAGGATAGATGCCTTGTCTGCTCTCGGTGGCGCTTGTTGGGCCGTGGGCTGGCTGAATTGGTTGAACTGGTTGAACTGGGCCTGCGGCATCGGCGCCGCCATCGCAGACTGCGCGAAGAAAGGGTTGTTCATCTGCGGCTGTTGTGGTTGCGCAGGCGAACTGTAGAAATTCTGCTGGCTTTGCTCCGGAATTTGTCCCAGAGAGGTCGGCGTGGCCATGCGGGTCGGAGATCGCGCAAACGGGTTATTGGCGTAGGAGCCCCCTGTAGGATTCGGCATCAAGCCGGTGCTAAGAGACGGGAGTTGTTGACCTTGGTGCTGCTGAGGATGTGGTGGTTGCGCATTGGTCAAGAATGGGTTGTAACCAGTATACATGGGCTGTACTGGTTGCGCAGGCTGTAGACCGGGCTGCTGGCCTTGCTGAGGGTACGGGGGGTTACTATCAAACACATTGCCAGAATAGTTCTGTGGTAGTGATGGTATTGGTGGCTGCGCCGACTGCTGGTTCATTATCATCATCATCTGCTGCTGCTGCTGCTGCTGCTGAGGAAGACCGCCAGTGTGGTGGGGGAACAGCGGTTGCGGAGCTCCGAGAGACATGTTGGTGAATGCCTGATTCAAAGCGTCGTTCGACTGCGTGGCTGTCAGACCAAAGGGGTTATTGCTGTAGTAGGGATTTCGGTTTGCCATATTTCCGGTCGATTGGCTTGAAATAGGCTGGACCGGGGATATATCGAAAGGGTTGTTCGAGGCAGACATGGGCCTTGCCGTTTCCGCCCGGGACACTGTCAATCCATTCAAGCCATTCATACGACCTCCAGCAGACGCTGGTGGGCGGACGACACTCGGGAACTCATCCACTGGGCTAGCCAAGGGCGACCGACCCTCTAACCGCACAAGGGACTCTATTGTCCTCTCCAAATTCCCGTTGACGCCCTTGAGCACGACCTCGTTCTTGCGATCGTCTGTGAATCCCAGCTCCCGCAACTTTGCCAGCTTTTTGTGCACGTCGTCGTCACTGTCATAGCCGAGGCTAGCCCCAAAAACCTTGGAAACTTTTGGTCGGTGGCCCTGTTCTGGACTGTGGGGAGGGAGCGGGCTTGAGTGTGCTGACCGAGGGCCAAGATCCTTCTTTGATCTCGAGAAGAGCGGGAAAGTCGATGACGCCGAACGGAAGCTGAACTTGCTCGTGTTCTTGGGTGGCAAAGGAGGTGGCGTCTCATCGGATGTCGTACTCCCGGTGTGGTGTCTTCTTGCGGCGGTAAAGCCCTGGTTCATATATTTGGACCTTATGTACCGCTCGATAGCAGAGTCTGCTTCGTCCGCGTCGACGGGGATCGAGGGTCTCTTGTTGTCGGGGTTGTAGACCTTGTTGGACGAGACGTTTCCGACCTTTTTCATGTTCTGGCCGGGCGTCAACAACCACCTCGGAACGAGCTACCGGAGCGGAGGGGCTGGTTTCTGGACCTACCTCGACCTGCTCGTTTGTCCAGCCGTCCATGCTGAGCGATTTAACCTTGGACACATGTGTGCCGAGTTTGCGATGGATCGATGCGCATCGCATGCACAAGAAGATGCCCAACTATTGTCGAGTCAGCGTTGTGGGAGGTTCCAAGGGGAAAGAAGCGTTTTATTCGCGTGAGGGAGGTTGTCGAGACGTTGCCGAGGGCGGGGATCGCACGTACGCTCCATGATGCCCAGCCTGCGTGTCTCTCGAGGTTAGCGGTGGCCGTCAAGTAGAGACACAAGAACTCGGGACCGACCTGGATTCCGCGCCTGGCAGTCTGCGCACTGGTTGTTACCGGGGACATTCTGCACGAGATCCTGGAGAGTCTTCTCGTTGCGAGCCTGCTGGCGCTTGCTGAGGGCAGCGGCCATGTTGGCGGTGTTTGCAGGAAGAGGACGCGAGGCCAATTGCGGTGTTCACAGTGTTGACAGTGTTGACAGTGTGGAGGCAGTCTTCTAAGGCGTCGGAGCCTTCCTCGGGATGGCGACACGAAGAACTCGAACTCGACGGCGATAGGACGGATGGCCGGTACGTATTCGTGGTACAATTACGGATTATTGTCTGGGTGTGCTTGTGCTGGGGGCCGACTCGAATCGATTTAGCGGTACACCGTGCTGTCGGGGAACAACAAGAGGGGCGCGGTTGTATGAACCCATACATAGTACGTCAATCCAATCAAATCTTGGGCGTCAGGGGCGATTCATACGGAATTAGGATCGGATATTAAGAACAGGGGTCAATCTGGAGGTGGGATGGGGACCAACAGAGCCACATTAGCGGGGGGGCCTTGGAAAAGGCAGGTAAACAAAAAGTGCAGTGGAATTGGAGAAATAGAGCCCAAGGGTGAATGAAGCTGAGTGAAGCAAGAGGTATCAAGTGGTTGCCAGGATGTGTGAATCCAGGGCCGGTTCGTGGACGGAGGATGATGTGATGAGGGAGGAGAAGCGACCACTGGCGGTGGATTTCTCAATTAAGCCTGGGGCCGGCGAAACATGGGGAGGGCCAACAACGGAGCAATGAGTGGTGGTGTACGGAGTACCCACTTGCCTACCTAGGTGCCTAGGCACGGCTGGGACAGAGGCTAGATGCTCAGCTAGGCCACCTGCGCCGCGCCTGTGCGTGCTGCTTACGGGCCACTTCCGCCAGCTTCGGAAAAGGGGGCTCACAATGCGTCTGTTTGTATTGCCAGAGCCCAGGACGGCTCATTGCTTGCTGAAGCCTGAAATGAAAACTGCATGGTCACCAGCTCAGGAGGTCTGCCTGTATATTCAGCAGCCGCTGTAGGACTGACTGCTCTCTGTTGTTGCTTCAGGCGGAGCAGGGGCTGCCAGCAGCCTTTCGACACCCGGCACTTTCAGGCATCTGCTACCTCCCAGGCAACTAGGTCAAGTTTCCTCTGTCCTCGAACACTGACTGCCACATGGTTGGTCTGGTGCCAGCTGGCCAACACCTCGGCTGACGAGTTGGGTTGAAGCAGTTGGACCAAGTGCATCGAAACCGAGCGGAAAGCCTCGAATCTGTAGGGAAGGGGAAGGGCATGGGACCATGGCGGTGCTTTTTGTCTTGCTTTCCGCCACCCAGCCTCCATGTTGATGCTGGTACTGATGTGACCAATGCTTTCGTTAGTCAGTGTCCTAGTCATATACTAGAATAGCCACATCCACATAGCATCTTATATTTTTCAACTAATGTGTACTCCCTCTGCCCCTTCCAGGACCCCTTCTGTAATACCTGGTATAGGAGGTATTATAAAACATTCAAAACTTGAGTGATAGAGCAACCCCTAATACTATCTGTAGCATTGTTTTTAAAAAAGAATCATTTTGACGGTACGGCACCATAGGTGCTGATGACTGTTTGGAATTAGAGTTAAGTCAATTACACAGGCAGTGAATCTATGCATGGCACATATTATATTTACCTGAAAAGGTACCTTAGGCATAACGTAAATTCGCCTAGGGGACTTTCCATCATTCCTGCTTCATAGAGGAAGTGAAAGAGTAGATGATATTTCAGCTGATTGGATCTGCCCACAAATTTCCAGACTATTTTCAAATCTCAATGGTGAAAATAGGATTCAAACATGGAAACTTGGAACATACCTAGGTAACTACGGGTCAGATTTGCACTATGGATTAGACTCAGATTGGAGCTTTGACTGCCAGCACTTGAGGATTACTTGAGCACTCAAGTGCTCGAGCCAGGTGATGATGACTCAGGAATCAAGAATTGGTTTGTACCAAGTGGGCAGCTTCTTTGACAACAAAAACGAAGACTTGGGAAGCCTCACACAAAGCCTCGCAACCCACACTACATTCTTGAACAAGACTGCCCCCCCCCCCCAACCTCAGGACCTTGACAGGCTGAGACACAAACTCAGATGGATGCCACTCATTTGATGCTATCAAAACAGATCTACATTGACAATGATTGATTATTACAAAGAGCGGGTTGTATTAGTCAGGAGACGCCTTGGAGCACATGAGCACAGGTGCAATTTGTAAGCGGTCTTGTACACATTGCATTATCAAGCCGACTAACTTGTAGCTTGTTCAATAATAGGCCGTCCACCCACGCCTTAAAGCTGCACTATTCCTGCTGATGACAACATGTAACTGAAATCAACCCACCCGGGCAGATACTTGAGTACATATGTAGTCTCGCTAGACCGTGGGCTACTTCTGTCCACGATCAACGCCGTCGTCAAGACGGTGCCCCTTAGCCTTGTCTGTGCGTCGCAAGGCTGAGGCCACAAGCACCTATCGTATTATAACTATTGTTATCGGCATCGTGTTCTTTCCAAGCGCTGGGTCTTGAGTGCTTACCACCGTATGAAGGCGCCATGTATGTCCTCGGACGTATACGGAATAGAAGCGAAACCACATATGTAGTCTCGTTTCTACCAACATCTCAAATTATCTGTCAGCTGCCCAGAGAGGAGTGACCACCGCAATCTGCAGACATGGCTCCTATCCGTGTCGCAATTATAGGCCTTTCGGCCAACTCAACAACCTCATGGGCTGCAGAAGCACACCTGCCGTATCTCCTCCTCCCCCGTGCCAGGGAGCACTACGAAATCGTCGCCCTCCTCAACTCCAGCGTCCAAGCCGCAGAGGCGGCCCGGGCTCACTTCAAACTCCCCTCCTCCGTAAGGGCTCACGGCGATCCGACCGCATTGGCAGCGGACGAGGGCGTCGACCTCGTCGTCTGCTGCACGCGCGTTGACACCCATGCCGCCCTCGTGAGGCCCTCCCTTGAAGCGGGCAAGGCCGTGTTTGTCGAATGGCCCATTGCGTCTGGGTACGCCAGCGCGCTTACCCTAGCCGACCTCCCAGGGTCAGCGAGGAGTATCGTGGGCCTCCAGGGCCGCGTATGCCCGCCCGTCTTGAAGCTCAAGGAGCTGATCGGATCGGGGCGCGTGGGCCGTGTGCTGAGCAGCGAGGCGCGCGTCTTTGCCAATATCCTGTCGCGCGACTCCCTATCTGAAGGGCTGTCATACTTCGCGAACCGCAGCGTCGGCGGTAGCCCATTGACCATCACGTTCGGTCACGTCATCGACTTTGTGCACGATGTGTTGGGTGAGTGGGACAGCGGCAAGCCCGCCAGCACGATGCAGATCCAGCGGCCGCGGATTCATATCCGGGACGCTCATAGCGCTACGGTCAGAACGGTAGAGTCTGACGTGCCGGATTTCCTTGCGATTCATGGGAAGCTTGCTCCCGGGAGGAGGAATGTCGTGGATGGGGCATCACTCGCCATCAACTTTAGGCTCGGTCCGCCTTTCAAGGGACAGCCGGCCTTCGTTTGGAGCATCAACGGTGAGAAGGGGGAAATACTGCTGACGAGCCCCTCCGGACCGTACATCTTCTCCGGGGACTCATATCGTGAGCCCGTCCAGATCCAGGTTCACGACCACGAGACTGATGAGGTTGTGGATGTGGAGGCGAAGTGGGAAGATTGGCAGCAGGAAATACCTCTGCGGGCGAGGAGCACTGGCGAGATTTACGAGCGGTTCGCCAAATGGTGGGACAACGGAGCTTCCGGGGGGGCTGGTGGGTTGCCAGAGGCAGAGACTCTTCCCAGCCTTGCGCAATCTTTAGAGAGGATGAAGGAGTTTGACGAGCTTTTGAAGACATTGGAGTGAATTGGCAACTGGTTCGAATTGCGGACCCGCCATGGGCAAACATAGACTGTTACCAGGAGAAACCACTAGGACGGAATTCCAATCGCCCGCTACAGGCATACCACTAAAAATATTTACTGGACACATGTGTGGTCCGGATTTCGCGACTGACGGCGGTTTGTATCAGTCAACATATCACTCAAATCCAAGCGCAAACAAGTCAACTGGTACCTCTAGGGTACTCCTCGCCCTGTAGCCTGTCTGCAGCAAATTTCTCGGTAGGGACTGTTGGTATATTTTCTTCTGTGCTAGGATAGTGTCGAAACGCAACACTAATAATGGCCGCAGAAAACGGCATCACATATAAACAGCTGCGCCCGTTGTGCAGGACTATACTGCTGGGCCGCATCGAGAAAGTTAATTATGTGTTCGTGCCGCGGCCACTTTTCACTGACAAGCAGGAGATAAGCAGGAGGAAGCGTATCCGGGGCACAATCAAGGCACCTGCGGTCAGGGGCCTTGATATCAAGTGCGTAAGAGCTTAGTACAACTTGTGCTCCAAGGTCATGTCCGACTCGGGTTCGAGGCCGACGCATGCGCGGAAGATATTGGTCAGCGCAGCGCGTTGCTTGGCCAGGGAGTTGATCACCGGGGCGCCGGGCGGCGTGAGCGGTGCCTTGAGCATGTAGCTGAGGACGCTGAGGACGCTGTGGAAGCTCTTATAGCCGTCGTCGCCCTCTGTCTTCCACTGGATGCGCGTCATCATCTCCGTGACGAGCACGAGGTCGATGATGAGGGGCGAGGCGAGGAGGGAGTCCTCGCAGACGTTGAAGATGCTGTCAAAGTGAGACTGTCAGTAACTTCTGACACTCGCTGATGAACTGCGTTGGGAAACGAAGAGGCTGGCAGCACGCGACTCACGAAATCGTCTGGTGACCGCCCATGAATATCTCAGCATAGTACTCATCAAGGGCACGTTTGTTATCTCCAACTGCGGGCATGTACTTGATCACCACTGTGTGATCAGGGTGCTCGCCCTTCTTGTACAGCACCGTGTTCGCCTCGACCATGTCGTCGACGACGTTGGACTTGGAGATCTCCTTGCTCCGGAACTGCTTCTGCGAGCTGAGGTTCTTGCCGTCGTTGTTTCCAAGGTGGTTGTAGCTCGCAATGGACGTTAGTTTGATGCCCGCGTTGATCAGAAAGTCGACAAGGGCGGACTTCATCTTGGTCTGGCCCGACTTGAAGTCATCACCACCGATGAAGGCCCCATGGCGCTCGGCGAGAGCAACTGCGCCAGGCACGAATGTGTTCTGCGGGCTGCCGTTGATGAAGGGGGTGTTCTCAAGGATACATGCCACTGCGAAGACGGTGGACGGCGAGATCTCCTCGTGGCCCTGCTCAATGGACTTGAGCAAATTGTCGGCGGTGTCGTTCACCCCCGGGACAATGTCAGCGTAACGTTCTGTGTTGGCTGTCCACTGGACTATGACCTTGTCAAGACCATGTTGAGCCTTGAAGTCACGGATGTCCTTGCGAATCTGCTCAACATGCGCGGTGGAGGCCTTTTTGCCCGGGAGGACGTTGTCAGCCCTATCCTCCTGGTTCGCAGCAATGAAGTCGGGGTAGTAGATGCTCGGCAAGGGGCGCATCTCGGCCATTTCCTTCTTCACCATTGCCTTGAGCGTAGGCTCCAGGACAGCGGCACGGTCCATGGCTCGAGCAAGGTCCATGGCGCTGATGTCCCAACCACCAACGACGAGGTCATTCGGGTGCACCATGGGAAGCACATCGTGGAACGGGATGTTCACATCCGCGTTGGTCTTGGAATCAGTTCCCAGCTTCATGGTGGAGCCCATGATGAGGGACCCATAGTAGTTGGCAGCACGAGGGCCTTCACGAGTGTCCCACACGAGGGCGCGGCGATTGGCGATGATGCCCGCGGTGACGGTGGTACCATTGTTCCCGCCCCAGCCAACAAGCATCATGCCAACCTTGGGCACCTTGCGATCAACATGGAAGTTGTACACAGTCTCATGGGGAGTCGCCGTGTAACTGCCATCGTCGGCGGTGGCCACGCTGGTGGTGCGGTAGATGTACTTGGACAAGATCTCACTGTCCGTGTACTTGACATTGGAGGAGTTCACCTTGAAGAGAGGTTTGTTGTCGGTACCATGGCGAACTCCATTGCCATTTGCCTGTCCGTCCCCGTACGCAAGGCCCGCAGCAGCTTCCTCGGCGTGCGGTGCCATGATGGCTTGTGGGCCAAGGCTTGGTTTACTTGCGCGATATGTGATGACGCCCCTTAGTGAGTAAAGGGCGAGTCCGCTGTACTCCCTCCTCGAGAGGCACAACGGGCTCCTGCGTACGGGTGGTGGACGCTGGGCAATGTCAGCCAGCCTCCAGCAGCCCGGTTCATTGTTATGGGATCTTACGAGTTTAGGAGATTGGAAAACGTCTTGACGGTATCCTGTGACCGCAGCCCGAGAGCGCGATCGACTTCTGAGAAGTGCTGAGTGAGGCTGAGGATTCGTAGATACTTCCACTGAGGTTTGTCCAGAGTACTGAGTGAGCCACGTCAAGGCTGCAAGAAGGGACGCCTGGGACAGAGCGTATTTAACACTCGAGTATGCACGTCTACAGGAGCCTCCGGCGGTGAGAAGGCAAAGCGACCCGAAGATCCCGCTATCAAACGCTAACCAAGGCCGCCAGCAAAGCACGCGACATTTCACAAGCCAATTTCCCGAAGCAACCGTCAGGTACTGAATCATTGGGCAGAACAGCCCCTCGCTCTCGCACATGCATAACATTGCAGCTGCAAGCATGCGAAAACACGAGCTCAACCATCGAGCGAGCACGGTATTACCACGGATCAACAGGAATGATATGCTTGGCCTGAGCACACTGCATGTCGTGCACTGCCGTCTTCCGATGTGCAACGCGGCTGTTGATCCTGCTCTGCATCCGAGCCTACCGACACTCATTCTTACTTCCTCCGTGAGGCAAGCACCAATCTGTCGACCTCGGGAGCTTTGCGCCTGGGCATCGTCTGTTCAAATCTCACATAAAAGCCATCCCTACTAGTCTGGTTCCTTTCGTTATTGCCAAGCATTGATGCCCGGGCCTTTTCGGGTCCTTTGAAGCAGACTGAGCCTGGAGGGCCGCGCATCCAATAGACCACAGCGCGCTGTATGTACTGAGTACTCGACACGATGGCTTTGTATCAATGCATAAATGCCCACGTAGCACGCGAGATAGTCGATCTGGTGTAGGGCGTTGTGTGAAGCAATGAATGCCCTGCCGGCCACTGTCCATAATTATGAAATCCAGCCCCCATCAAGTGCCTTGCTTTCCTGCTACATCATGATGGGCATTGTATTGGCGAAGGCTAGTATCACCAGGTCCCTCCGCCTTTGGTGAAGTGGTGACCATCACTACGCAGAGGGCGACATAGAGCTTTCGCAAACAACGGTAGTGTTCCCGCGAGAATCCTTCGTTCAGGTTCGGGTTATCAAGGTTAGGAAGGCAAGAAGGAAACAGCCATGGCCGCGGAAAGTGCAGACGTACTTGTATATTTTGGCTTTGCGCATTCCTCGAAGCCTTCGAGTCACAAAGCCTGGCTGGCACAAGGCAACCAAATGTGGCCTAACAGGACAGTTACGCGATTCCACAAGAGAAATCCGACCACACAAGCCAACCCCCAGAGTTGAGCGTAGACCCGAATGCCGCTTGAGGGAGGGCTGGGAGCACTTCTGCCCCGCTGACCGTTGAACACCATCGTCAGGAACCACTTGCGCTGTTGAATGAGCCTCGTGAGCCATGGCAGGGGTCGCCGCCTCTGGGAGCAGCACCAAATGGCGATGACACCCACGATCCCCTTCCCATCTACACAGCAGAGGCTGCATGTATGATTGCCACGGAATGACTACAGCCACCGGCGGGATCTCGGTTGCCTCCAACGCATGGTGGCCCGGAAATGTGGAGGGCTGGCTGAACCTGAAGCCATGGGTAGAATAAAAACGGCGCAAGAACCTGGGCGGCGGCGGCCGATGCGACGCGGCTAGCTTGTTGGATCGCCGGGTTCATTTACCCACAACAGATCTGTAGGTGCCGCCACAACCGTGTTTCATAATGGCGCCGCACTCCCCGGCGCTGACTGAGACCGGACTGATCGGAGCGTGCTCGATACGGCGGCCCTATATGTCGTCACTTGACGATCGCCTCGAGGGGGAGGTAAACTGGTAAGGTTCCCAACACTGACCATGCCCTTGACCCGCCATGCCTGTCTGTGTCCGAATGGCGCGAGGTTTGGGTGCTGTGCAGAGTCCTCCAAGGGCCGGGCGGCCTCGAAGATGCCGTCGTGTGTGTGCCCCAGCACTCTGGCACTACCCACCCAGGTAAGTACTTGGGTAGCTTGGCGCCGGCGGACGGAATGACCACGGACCAGAACGTTCTAAGTTGTGGCAGGGGACGGCTGCGCGGTGGCTCCGTAAGGGCCGATGCCGCATGTGGCAGTCTAATTTGACATTCTCCGAGCACACGGGATCGAGGCCACGGCGAGGACTGACTGACAGACAGTCTGTGTGCGGCCGTCGATGTCGGCTGCCAAGGTTAGCCTTCAGATCCCCAGCTTTTGCGTCCCCAGACGAAGGAAGCACACATCGGTGCAGGCGCCACCTGCTGGCTCGACGATGCAAATGAGGTGCTGGGGATCGTCGATCACTTTGACAAATGGGGCTGGTTGGGTCTGCTGGTCTGCTTTAGGGTTGTGACCTGAATAAGGATTTGCTGGTTGGGGGACTGGGGGGACGAGATTGAACTGATTGATTGACGGGCAGGCTTCTGGATCGGCGCCGGGGTGGATATTGGCCCCAGGGCCGTCGAGGGCCTTCCCAAAGTGGACACTTTGAGAGATTGCACTTTCCGTGGCATGGAGGGAATGGGATTAGGGGTCCTCTTGTGGCGCCACCTTGGCCGTGCTGATTGTTTGGTTCATGACCACTTCGGGATTTAGGCAGTCGGGGCCAGGGCAACGGGGCAACGGGGCAACGGGGCAGCGACCATGGATTGGGTTGTGGTTCGCTCGGCATTGGCACGGCTGGTTCGAGTTGTGCACGCCATTGGACAGGCTGGACAGGCAGACAGGCTGGACTAGTAGGACAAGAACGTGATGGATGGACGGGGCCCACGAGATTAATTACACAATACGGAGCACACATACTGTACACAGAGCCGCCAGCCCGCTGCAACCACACCGTCCAGCACTGCTCCGTTGTCAAGATCGGCTGCTACCTGGATGCCGATGAGCATGTCCTGCTGTGTATCCGGCTACCCTGAGTCCTGACTCGGCGGTGTGCCCTCGTGGATAATACATAGTACTATCACTGTGTATGTAATATCTATCCGGTTTTCTGGTGGGTTCTGCGGTAGAGAGGCAGGGTAATAATAGTATGAGCACGTTGGATATGGAAGCACCAGATCACGACCGAGTAGACTTTTTCATCAATTGGCGGAGCTCGGAACCGAGCGAGGCAGGTAGGCCGACCACGAACCGTGTCGCATCTCGAGCCTGAGCCTGGACTCGAGGCTCACTGGCTCAGTCGTTCGGGCCGCGAACTTCCATGGTGTGCCCTGGCTCCCACGGCCGGCGGCAGCGGTGGAGCCAGCCATTGTGTACAAAAAAAGGTGGGCAAAGCTACAAGAGCAGGCCAGGCTCGGCGCTGGGCGCTGGGCGCTGCGCAGAGCTCTCGCCCGGCGCCCCAAAAAAGAAACGTGCTACGCGCCTGTATATTTGACACGGCTGCGTGTCTATAATTGTCGTGCTGGCCCACGGGCTGATGCAACGGGCATTGACAGCAACACATCGTCTGAATGCGTTGATACAGTCGAGGATGATGCAAAGGCCCCGCTCGGAGGGTACCTGCTCAAAGTAGGAAATGTGAGGTCAGGTGAGGTGAGGTGAGGTGAGATGAGATGAGATGAGATATGATTAGAGATCGGCACACCACGGGTTGCTGTTATCTTGGGCGTGCTCGACAATCACTGTCTTCACCGTTTCTCGCCCCGATCGACGACGTGAATTTCCGCAATCGAAACGCGCCCAGCTACCGAGTGTCAGGGACCACTTTATCACCGCCTCTAGCAATCCATCTCCTGCAGGTACGGTCTGCCCCGCCTGCGGCTGTTTCCCCCTTCCCCAGGCGGACTAGCGGCCATCTGGGGCGTGCCTCCCTCGAATTCGAACCCAATCCCGTCCAGTCCCACCCGTCCTACCGCCGTGCAGTCCTGCTACCTTGACACCAGTCCGATTCCGTTCAATGCAATTCAACTGCCTTCGTGTCCAGAACGAGCGGCCTGCAGACTGCAGACTGCAGACTGCACACCGCACCCCTCTCATCTCCTTGCCTCCTCGCCTCGCGTCTTCTCCTCCCAGCCCTTCGCCGTGTTATCCCAAAACATCGAACCTGACCTGGCCTGGCTGGCTGGCTGGGCTGCAACTCCAGGTCCTTTTGCTCTTGTCGCCTCGCCTGCCTACCCACCCACACCCATAAAGTAGTCGGGAATGACGCTCTGATGTTTTGGTGTGCTATTGGATACCTGCCACATATGCCACACATGCCACACGCACAGTAGCTACATCATCGCCTTATTAGTCCGCCAGTCCGCCACCCTCACTTGTCAGAACTGACACCTGCGACCAGTCTGAGGGACACTAGCTACCACAGTAGCGCCGTCTGGGCCACATGTCACAATCACTGCCCACTACCTATAGTACCTGGTTGCGGGTACACTGGTAGACACCAGGCCAGAAGGGGCCAGGGCTGGGGCCAGGGCCAGGGCTGCCGTCGTCAACAGGAAGCCAGCATTGCGCCAGACGGCCTGACGGCGAGCGCACACAGACTCAAACGGTTGCCCGGCAGGGGTCCAAGGCCCAGGATCCAGGTCCAACGATCTCCGAATTGCTGCTACCTTGGTCAGGGGTAGCGTCGGCCACCACCAATCCGAGAGCTGCCTCAGCACCCACCTCGGCCGCTCTTGCTCACAAGGGCAGCCCGTCTCGACGACCGCCCACGCTCCACGCTCCACGCTCCACCCTGCTGACTGCCTGGCTCCAGGAACCTCCATCCACAACTCGAGACACTCTCTGCAACACCGCAGGCGCAAACAAATTCGGACTCTTCCCACCTTTTGCTCTGCCTGTCTCAGCCAATTGGTCTCCCCTCGTCATCTGGTCTTGTGTTTCCTTGTTTTCGAAACGTGCTCTGCCCTTGCACTCGACCGCCAACCCGGAATCAATCCTCTTTGTACCGCCGCGCCCTCGCTCCCTGCGCCGTCCCATCCCGGCTGCACGCCCACTGGCCGGTTTCACTACTCGTGACCACACCGTCCTATTGTATGGCCTCTTGCCTATTGTTCAACCACGTTTCGCATTGTACTTGCGGCCTTCCCAGGCATCAGTCACCGCCGATCCGAGATCGAGCCCACGGAGATCTCAAACTTTCCCCCCTCACGTCGCCAAACTCTGACACCCACGTCACTTTCCGCCACGACGGTACCGCAGAATTCCTCGTCTTCCAGAACAAACAAACACAACAGGCGCGTTCAAGGGCCTGCATATCAAACTTCACTCTCAATCAATCAATCATTGCGTCTTGTTCGCATCGTGAATCAACACAATCTTAGTGTCGGGTTACTCATTACACCACGCCTCGCAGGGCTGTCGTCCAACACGCCCGGCGAAACATGGCGGGGGCACCGAGAGAGTCGAGCTTCATGCCGACAATCAAATGTTCATCATGTGGGCAGCAAGTCGAGCTGTCCATGATGGGCGACCATGTCTGCGGCAACAGCGCAGGTGGTGGCGGCGGTGGCGGCGCCAGCGCTCCTGCCGCGTCCATCGATGCGTTCTCACCGCTATACAAAGGCATACATGACAAAATCAGTGTACCACCAGTTGACACTGCCATGGCCAGTCCGTCGCGATCCTCATTCGCCTATACCTTTCTCCAGACAACTGACAACACATTGTACAGATCGCAGTTATTCGCGGCAGCCGTTGACACCGCTCAGCTTTTCCAGTGGTTCAAGAAGTGTCTCACCTAGGACGCCAGGTGCCCGACCAAGTATCGGCAGGGCCGACGATTATTTTGCACCTAGCATCGCCAACGACGACCAGAATCCCTCCCAGGCGAGGAGGTCTGGAGGCTATGGCGGCTTCGGCGATCCAGATATGTATCCTGGTTACGCGCCAGCGAGCCCGCAGAAAAAGGCACCGAGCCTGCTAACGCGCATGGACGACATCGCCCCAGGTCCCTTTGGAAATGGGCAGTCGCCTCCTAGGGGCAGATTTGGGGGCTCACCGCCACGACGGATGAACGATGAGCCTGAGAGGCCCGGTACTTCTGCATCATCTGGTAGCAATGGAGCCGGGAGCATGGGTCCCCCGAGGGTACCGAGGAAGAACGGCTACGGTGGTTTTGGACCACCCCAGCGAGAAAATCAGGATGCGGATGCCTTCGCTGGTCCAAATCGGTCCAAGACGTTCCCCAGGCCAAACGAGGAGCTCGAGCCGCCACTACGCACTCCTTCGGCCCCCGGCCCCCGGCCAGATCGCTACGACAAGTACCGGAATCCGTCGACAGACATGAATGGGCGCATGGGTCCAGTCGTAACCCGTGCGCCCCCTCCGAGGACGAGCCTAGTGCGCCCGCCGACCTCTGGAGGCAACGGCCCGAGTATCAACCTTGCTGAAGAGTTTGGAGACATGAACCCGTATCACTCACCCTCGGTGTCGGTGTCATCCTCACTCTCCCAGGGATCCAGCCAGCCCAGCTATCCAAGCTCGAGCACGAGTCCCGCTCGCTCCACGGCATCGGGCCACAAACCATCCAACACATCTGGCTTCGACAATCTAATGAATGATATACAGGCGTCCATGGATGAGCTCAGCCCGAGGGACTTGGACAGCCAGAGGCAGGCGCCGAGCGCCGAAGAGCGATATGACCCTGCCATACAAGGTAGTCGGGCTCCTTCGATGCCTGCCTCCAAGTTTGACCGAGACGCGCGGGTCGACCCGGCCATCCAGGGAGGACTTCGATCAGGATCCTCGCCTCTGCCGCTGACCCAGGCTCGGGGGTCTCCTCCACGACGCGACCCGGTTGCTCGGGGATCGCGCGGGAACTGCAGGGCATGCGGCGATGCAATTGTGGGCAAGTCCATCTCGAGCGCTGATGGGCGGCTGTCTGGTCGTTACCACAAAGCTTGCTTTGTGTGCACAGACTGCAGCGAGCCTTTCCCGACGGCTGAATTCTATGTGCATGACGATCGGCCGTACTGCAAGCTCCACTACCACAAGGCCAATGGCAGCGTTTGTGGGTCATGCCGTGATGGCATCGAAGGACAGTACCTCGAGGATGAGAGCATGAAGAAGTACCACGTCCAGTGTTTCCGCTGTGGGGACTGCAATGTCGTTCTGAGAGATGGCTACTTCGACGTTGAAGGCAGGGCATATTGTGAGAAGGATGCATTCAGACGACTGCAGCCCCAGTCGTACAGGCGGAGCCCATCGATGAGCTCCCAGCGAAGCTACGGCAGCTCGAACCTCGCACCCCCGGGCAGGCCAGGAATGCGTGGACCTCCGCCCAGCGGACCTCCTTACCGACCCGGCATGCCGATGGGCAACGGCAGACTAGGGCCGCCTATGGGAGGTGGTCCAGGTAGAGGGCTTGCCCCATCAGCCCCTATGCCCAGGATGGAGAAGAGGAGGACAAGGCTAGGAATGATGTAAAAGGCGAAAATGTTGCAAACGGTTGGCCATGTCCGGGTATCCACACCGCCCTGGATTCGACATCTTACAAAAGGCTTCGTTTGATACGGAGCTGTTTCTACCCAGCGCGCGACCGATATTGCTCTTTTCTTGGACTTTTGGATCTCGATTTCGACTTGATATTTCAGCAGCAGCTAGTGCAGCAGCCGCTCTATACCCCGACTATTGATTGCATCTGCATTCTTCCTTCATATACCCATTCGCTTCCGGCTTTTATTGCGACGAGCGCTTGCTTGGTCGTTGCGAGGTGCAGTCGATTTGCGATCTATGTTCTTTGGTGGCACCAATAACCATACCGACCTCTTGTCCATACAGAGGGGTTTTGGAGTGCGCCTCAGCATTTTTACGGCGTTCAGGCATTGGGTTTTCGTTGAGGAAATGAATTATTGTGTAGGATGGCTCCAACCGGACATGAAGCTCGCATACGGCCAGCTCAGTCTATCTTGTTATATGGGCGGGCACCTCTAATACTGCCGAGGCGTATGCTGGGTCTGGGTCCTTGGCTGAGTGCCATTCAAACAGGCCAACGAGTCGAGCTTGGCAGATGGAAGCAGATGAGAACGGACGGGCCAGAAGGCTCATTCACGCGACTGGTATGATGAGAGGTTACAAGGAGAGACGGCGACCCGAGTCTAGGCGAGGGCGAGGTCACTTGACCGTTTTCGTATATATACCTACTTATATACATCTAACCCACGCTCTGAGCTGGGTAGGTGGAGATTCTGCAGCCTCTGTACAATGGCGTGGAAACATTGAATAACACAAGATAATGCCGAGAATTCGTCCTGTCCACCCGATCATATCGTGTCAAACACATCTACTGTACATGGCGGACTGAGCAACAGGCTCCACTGGGTGTGCGGCGAACCGGCTGACCGGGTACGCCTTTACGCATGTACCATGACCTGCCCTGGCCGTGATGGCAGTGCCAATCCCGAGTTCAGGTGGTCTTTAAAGGGTGGACTGTCTGACTGTGACATGCAACGCCGTCATTGAAGAATGCTGTCACATTTGAGTACACGCAGCCCACGGTGAACAGCCATCACGGTTACCTTGTGTCGCACATTGATGAGAAAAGGTCACGGGGCAGGGCCGATTGGGCTTCAGGGCAACCCCACCGAATGATACTCTCAAGCCTCCTCATATCTTAATTCGCAACATGCCAGCAGGCGGGAAGGCTGGAGAATAGGGGACGGGAAGATGACAGGATGTCCACTCGGTAGTTTGTTTGTCCGCCATGGAGGAAGAACCGGCGCCCGTGGCCGTGGACGGTGTGGTGACTTGCCCACTTGTAGGTACTGTGTAGCTCTCCTGCCGTGTGAGCACACCACCACCCAGAAGAAGATGGGATGCCTGTGAGGCGGGCAGGGGGAGCAGACAGCAGATAGGCCAGAGAGGTTCATTTGGCGGGCGACGATCCGCGCCGATCACAGCGATCTGTCTCTTTCTTGGCCCATTTGACACGGGGGACTGCGCCTTGGGGGGACGAGGGCAGCTGGGGCTGCTGGGCAGGAGAGCTGGCCTGTCAAACAGCGAGCAAAAGTTGAGGGAGGGTAAACAACTCTACAGGACTATGCTGCAGTGGCAGAGTGGCCGGCCGAGTTTGAGTTTTGACCCTCCTATGCCTCATTTTGTTTTTCATTGCGATGGAACGCAGGACCGACCCATGGTCATCAGTCCATCGGTCCATCGGTCCATCAATATTTCTGCTGTTGGTAGGGCTGAGTGAGGCGACTGGCTTGATTTTTAGCAAAAGCTGGAAGGGGCCCGAGGGTTTATTAGGCAGGAGACCCCAGATGCCGGAATACCAATTGACCAAGGTCGGCCGGGAGGGCGTTTCAGGCCGGGTCTAGGGGCCGATGGGGGCTGGCTTGGGTTTGATGGACTTGCTGACTTGGGAAGACGGAATGTGGCAAGCCCGCTATCGCGGCCGAGAAGAGGTTCGAGGTGGGCAGATGGGCTTGGATTACAGGATGGCTGGATGGGTGGGCGACCCGGCCGAGGGCTGCGCGTGGGCGGACGGCAAGTTCCAGGCCTGCAGGCTCGCCGAGTCTCGACTCAGGACGGTGACTCAGGACGGTCTTGCTGGTCTGTCTGCATGTCACCAACGTGGTCTGAGACCAAGCAGCCAAGCTGGCATCGACTGCAGCAGACTACCTGCCTAAGTACTCCGTACCCAGGCAGAGACAGGTAGGTGGGTACTTGGTATTCAGTACTGACCTAAGTAGGTAGTAGTGCCGGTGTCTTGTCGAAAAGAAGGGCACGAATTTCGAAATGAGCGAGCGAGACCCGGCAGACCCGGTGAGCAACGCCACTGGATGCCAGTCAAGCTTTCAGTCCCTTCGTACTCTACAAGTAGGTACCATCGTGCCCATCGCTCATCTCAAATCTCACCTGCGCAGGGTCAAATTTGTGACTGCCGGGAGCAACCAGGGAAGACGGGCTGTGCCTCCTGTGAGATGCACAGTAATGGTTTATTATTGTCGACGGCGTCATCATGGTCGAACCTTGGGGCGCCGTAGCTCCCGATGGCACACGGATGCCCTTGAACTTTATATACAGGTAGGTACTACATAGTACTATGTAGTATGTAAATAGGTGCCTAGGTTGGGGGGGGGTCGTTCAGCCCCAACTCGATCTGGCAGAGCAAGCAATCAGGCGTGCATGGGCACATCGCAATCAGCAGTAAAAACTTGTAGATTGCCAGAGCGGGCGCCAAGGCGTGGCTCTGGTGCGGCCCTGGCGGATTTAGAAGATACCCCCATGCCTGTCCTTCTAAATAAACTTGTCGAATCGTTGACTCGTTCCTGGGGCTAGCGCACAGGCGCAACTGTCCCGAAGCGGGAGGTGGCGTCCCCGTTAGCTTCCCAGCTAGCAGGAAGGGATCGCTGCAGCTGCACGAGAGAGACAAGAAGGTGCCCCTGAAATCCACCAGTGCTGGGCCGAGATTGGCCTGCGATCGGATTAGACTCTGTTTGATGTTTGTGACCGGGGCCCTCCCAATACACCATACACAACCTGACAAGCTCATCGGCGCATCAACGCATCAACGCATGCATGCAGTCGACATACTATGTAGTACTCTGGCCGCTGTCGCGGCTGTCCAAGATGTATTGTGTTAGCCGTAGATGATCTGTCGTCTCTCTCTCTCTCCTCTCTCTCTCTCTCTCTCTTGCTTTTCCCCTCCAACTCTCTCCTGCCTCTGCTGCTTCCCAACTGCCTCTCCCGTCTGTTTGCCTCTTCCAACTACCGCCCCTTACCGATACCCTGGGCTGCACATGCCCAGTTTGGCCGCCACCTCCTCTCCGCCGCCCGCACCGCCTTGTCCAGTTCTGCCCGTCCGCTCATCAAACAGACTCAGTCAAGATCGCCCTCTTACCGATTCATTGATTCCAAGCTTTTCCCACTGCTCGAAAACTCCACAGCCGGTTTTTGTGGACTTGTTTCGCGTCAATCTCTCCCTCTGCAGCACCGGGGCCTCCCCTGCCAACACCTGACGTCTCGCGGCAGCCGTCATAACTGTCTTTGTTGTCCCCTTTTGTGCCATCTGTCTTGTCTTGCCTTGGTCTCCTGTCCAACCTCGCACACACACAAGATCAAACCCATGATCACAGCGCCTGGTCGACACCACCGCTGAAGCCTGCCTGCGCCCCAAGCACACGACGCTCATTCTTGTTATACCACTCCAGTTCAACCCGCTCCCCCCCAGCACTTCGCTGGGCTGCCCTTTGTCCCCACCACCGCCTACTTTTCGCCGGTACTGTGTGGGCCCGCATCAAGAGCCCCAACGGCCAGATTACGACAGCCCTTCCACACTCCACCCTACTACTACTACCAACTATTTCCAGCGTCACTGAGCGCTCCAGCCCTCGCGCTCTGCCCTCGCAAAAGCAAGGCATGCTCCATGAGCGTTGCCCCCGCTGAATCACGACCGGAGAGTCGGCAGCCCAGTTTCAGACGACCATGCTCGACGAGAAGAAACCTGCCATCCAGTTCGACCCCCCTGACGCAAAAGCACGACTACGCGCCAGCTCCGTCACCATGCTGAGGCAGTCGCGTCGCCTCCTCTGGAGGTCCAGAGGCCTGGTATACACGGCACTCGCCAGTATCTTCGTGTGCTCGCTACTGCTCAGTGCTACCGGCCGGGGCTATGGCGTAGTACCGTGGACAGTTGACATGAGTGGCACGGCCATGGGTTACGGAAGTGGGCGTAAATCCTCAAAGGGGAAGCCAACCTCGGAGGACTACGACGACAAGGCTAATCAATGGCTGTTCTCCAAGGAATACAACGAGACTGGGTCGTATGTCTCAAACCTTTCCGCACCACGTTCACGTCCGGCATTCCAAAGTGCACATTCCAGACACTAACATGTTCGCACAGACTTCCCGACGCTGGCGTGATCTACGGGAATACCCTGACCACACTTGTCGACAAGGACAGAGTCCGGCCCGAGACGGAGGCCAACCTGACCTTAGCCGATGTCTCGACGGCCTTCACCGAAGAATCCCCCTACTACTTCAACCCGTACCCGAAATACGACAGCGACGAGTGGAGGCAGGAGCACCGGGGCGATTTTGTGCCTTGCGATGGGCCCCTCGGCGAGATCAGGGACATACAGGTGTTCAAGGGACACCCCGAGAAATGGCCCGCCCCAAGCTTCGGAAGCTTCGACCTGTTCGATATCGACCCCAACCTGTGCTACGAAAGAGACACGAGGATGGGCCAGTATGGGATGCAGTTGCAATTCGACAGGCCAGCGCACATCCTGGACTGGACAAAGGTGCAGTGGGGCAAGCTGCAGCAGGAGTGCGCAGACAAGAACAAGCCGCGGTTTGACCGCTCGGATCTCTCAGAAGAGTCTGTCACGACAGGCGGTGCGCAATCCAACAAAGGAAGCCCGGCCATAGGCGAGACATCTGAAGAACTCAAGAAGCAGAGGCAGGCGCAGCGCCTCAAGCGGCGAGGAGCCACCCAAACATCGGAAACAGCCACCCAGGCCAACTCCACGTCGGCCGTCGTCCGACCGGAGATCCCTCCCGAGTCCAGGACGGCCGTTTTGTTACGTTCCTACACGGGCAAACGCTATACTGACAACGAGAAGCACATGATGCGGTCACTAATTAGTGAGTTGTCACTGCGAACCGGCGGGGAGTATCAGGTCTATCTCCTGGTACAGGTCAAGGACTCACTCGAGGATCTTGCGCTGTGGGACAAGGAGACGTACAAGTACGTTATGCAAACACAGGTCCCCAAGGAGTTCCACGACATCGCCATACTGTGGGGCAGCTACGAAGTACAGGAGATGTACCCCTTACTCGACCCTCTCGACGCGGCGACAGTCCACAATGCACAGTGGTTGTCAGTGCAGAAGTTTACCAAGGAGCACCCAGAATTCGACTTCGTTTGGAACTGGGAGATGGACTCCCGGCTGATCGGCCATCATTACGACGTGCTCACCAAAATAACCCAATTCGCCAAGAAGCAGCCAAGAAAGGGGCTCTGGGAGCGAAATGAGCGCTTCTACGTTCCTGCTTACCATGGCGATTACGACACCAAGTATCGCAAGTTTGTCGAGAAGGCGTCCGGGAAGGACACTGTCTGGGGCGCGCCTGAATTGCCCTTTATCAAACCTATCGGACCCAAACCGCCTGTAGAGTCGCCAGCGCAAGACAGATATGAGTGGGGAGTCGGAGAGGACGCCGATCTCATAACCCTTTCGCCAATGTTCAATGTCGATGAGAGCAACTGGATCCTCAGGAACCAAGTCTGGCAGTACAATGACACCACGCACAACTCTACCGAGCTGCCCCGTCGGGCTACTATTGTGACACAGTCAAGGCTCTCGAAGCGCCTCATCGAGGCGATGTCGGCCGAGAACCTCAAAGGAAACCACGTCGGCTCCGAGATGGCGGCCGACACGGTGGCTCTCCTTCACGGCCTGAAGGCCGTTTACGCCCCCATGCCCGTGTTCATGGACCGGCCGTGGAGCACCGAGCAGCTGCAGAAGTGGTTCAACCCAGGACCAGGAGGCACCAGTGGCGGTCCGGGAAGCGCAATGGGCTGGGGCCGCGAGCACCGCTTCCAGGGCACCACATGGTACTACCGAGCACAGCCGCCGCAGCGGCTGTACAACAACTGGATGGGATATGAGGACACAGGAATCGGTGGTAGGGCATGGGAGAATCACAACGGCCGCCCATGTCTACCAGCCATGTTCCTGCATCCTATCAAGGATGTAATGCCAACGTGGTCTGGTTACGCCAGCCAGTCAGAGTTGCCCTACAACTGGTGGGAGGTTTTCAAGGACAAGGAAGAGAAAGATGGCAAGAATTGAGTTGCCACGCACAGGAAGGAGTAACTCGGGCCACAGGCCACGACTGACTCACCGGCACCACCGCCGAAAAGGTGGCACAACGAGGGAGACCGCCTCCGCGAGGTTGGGCTTTTTATATACCCGGCACAAGATTGCCAAGCAATATACATCTGGGCATGGGCATACAGCATGCATATGATGGAGATCATTGGACCTTGGCGGTGTGGGCATTTGCTTTGGACCTTTTGCTATGTGTATCATACACGTCATAGTATTTTCTTGGTGGGGAGAACTCGAAAAGCTTGTTCGGTTCCCTTTTTAGCGAGGCGTTTGGTAGGGGAATTTAGAAGACATTTTGATCATTTCGTCCCGTTCCCTGGTTGACAACTGTGACTCTGTTCTGTATGTAGTGGCCCTGAGACTCCATGATGTTGTTCGGGAACAAGTGTCTACTTACTGCCACTGGTCAGCAATGTCCACGCACTTGTCCACACCACATCACCACGTCCTTTGGGTCACTCAAAAACGGATATCGGGCAGCCTTTGTGACTCGAATACCTCCAACTCGGTTCCCTTACATGTCATCTCATACTGTATATAGTTTTCTATCTTAGCACAAGGAGTTCCTCAACCTGCGGGTGAATAGACCACCCGTTAATAATCTTTACATATACTATATTAAGGGGGGTTGTAATAGGGTACCCCTTAGAAGTTTTAAAGTAGAATTCTAAGGATATTTTAAAACTTAAACTAATAAGTTAAGTTAGAATTAAACTCCTATTTCTACTAGAAGGTTACCTATTTATTGTAAGTGTGTGTGTGTGGGTGCCTAGGGGCCCCAACTGGCTTCCTGCTTAGTCATCCAGTGGTGGCCTTCCTCTCGAAGCCCTTTTAAACCTTCCCCCTTACATAGAAGGTAGCGCCAACTTAACTGCAATTGATATATTAAGGATAGTTACCTTATCTCTATTTCCCCTCTCATAACATTTATAGTATAAAGGAAAAATATAGTATAGTTAAAGCTAGTTATATATTATAAAGGAATAATATAATATAGTTAAAGCTTTATTAATATATAGACTAGAGAGTAGTGGGTGTTAACTGATGATTGGAGCAGGCTCTGATCTACCTAGGTAGGTAGTTAGAGCTATAGTGTATGGGTGCACCCTCCGTTTCTTTGGGTGTGAATCCTCGGTCTCTTTGTTTCTGCTGAGGACGTGGAAAACACGGGGCAATTGTGCTGTAGCAGGGGGGGAGAGCAGCTTACACGGCAAAAGTCAGCTTCATTCAAGCTGTACGACAGACCATCTCAAATTTTTGAAACATGCCTGATTTGCCAGATTCTCTCGGGCAGTACTGTCACATTGTGAATTTTATTTACTCAGCACCCACTGTGCATCCATATTATCTATGTTTTGGACTGCCTGGGTGGTGGTCACCGTTTGATATCCTTTAGGATTAGTTCACCGTAGAATAGTTAGCCATTTCTGGGCTTATGCGGAGCAAAGTAAAGTCTTGTGGGCGAGTTGCTTTGCGACTTCAGGGGATGATGCTTTGTATCGGAACTTGGTTAATTTAAGAAACGCAGTAGAGCCCTACGATGACATCTCCGTACATTGGCACTACAACAGCGCATTAGATTGTTGCCTAGATCCGTCTGAGAAGGAGAGAAAGTATTCAGAATCGTTTCCACTTTCAAAAAGAACATAGACGAGCTACAGGCCTAGCAAGAGGGCCATTATGAATAAGAGAGAACGCCCTGATCCAGGAGCACAAGACCGCCCTTTGTGACCTCGTCAATGTCTTCGTCCGGCAACCCAAGCGCCTCGTTTGCAAGACCAAGACGGGTGTGGTCCCCTTCACCCGTGGGGAAGAAGATCCTCGAATACATTTGCCTCACGAAACCCCCCCGGTCACCCTTCTGCATCGCCTCCTGGCCCTCCCTAAATCTCTGCTCGGAGGGGATATGCCCAATCTTCCAGTCCTCATCCGTCGTCCCGGTCGCCCTCTTGACACTCTCAAACATATCCTTCTGGCTCACCCTGAAGCTAGAGATATACAGTGCCTTGTTTGCCCAATTTTCAACCGCCGGCGTCTTATCGTCCTCGTTCTCCGGGAAGATCTTGAGACTCAGCAACGCCGCGAGGGCCCGTCCACATTGTCCCCACGAGGAGGTCGTGATCTTCTCCTCGCCGTCGTCAAAGAAGGTCATTTCGCGCTTTTTGACGTCGCATCCATAGCAGTCCGCGCTGCCGAAGATCGACCACTCATACCAGAACCCGCACCCAAACGCGATCCACTTGCTCACTCCGAGCTGCTCGATCTCGCGCCTGGTGTTCTGGAAGGGGAGGCCGACCACGATCTCTGTCATCATCTTGTCGTTGACCGGGTCCGGCCCATAGGCATTGGGCATCACGTAGGGGACACCCGCCTTTGCAGCGGCCCGGATGAGCCTTGATCCCGTGCCCTCGGGGACGGTGACGGCCAGGGTGATTATGAGGATTTGCTGACCCTTGAGGGCGTCAACAATTGTGGACTCCTCGTCGTAGTTGATGGCTACTGGTTGGACGCCCTCCGGGAGCTTGTTCGCGCTGCCCTGCCGAGTGAGGGCTGTGACTATGTGCTTGCCAGTCTTGAGAAGCTCTTGGGTGAAAAATCGGCCTATACGACCAGAAGCCTGGATAATATTTTAATTGACAGGCGGACTTGGTTATAGGGCTTGTCTTACTCACGCCGACGATCGCAACTTTCTCGATGTGGTTGACAAAACCGGCGGGCTGGTCTTTGGCATATTCGGGAGACATGTTGAACCAGTGGTCTTTTATCAAGGTTTAAAGATGTTTGTGACTTCTTCGACTGTGGGTTTTATTTGAAAAGGTCTGCAGGCAGGACTGAATGAGGAGGGTTGATGGCTGGCCGCTCACGATTTGTTCACGGAGGTGATGATCAGGCCGACTTTATATCTTCGGCCTCATACTGAGCATGGCCCTTGGGCCGTTTCATTGGAAACATGTCAGCGTCATCAGATCAACGAGCTTGATCCAAGTCGGCTCAAAGTCAAGGCCGACTAAGAACGTGTGAATGCGTCCCCGGGCGCCGCATATCCCGTCATATCCACATTGGATCCGTGGTGAAGAAGGCTTATCGGCGTTAAGACCTTCCTTGCTAGGCCTTGCACGGTTCTATCACAATTAGGACCTAGCAGCGTCTTGCGACCGCCGGTGTGAACTGTATCGAAATCTATCTCCGGCGTCCGGAGAAGACGGAGGACAAACCTGCCTAATACGGCTCTACTACCTCCGCCATGGAAGGTGATCGGCAATAAGGCGGGCGGCCAAGCCGAGTGCTCAGGGAACGTCAGCTCGGACAAGGTGTATCTGTCAGTCCCATCGATGGTGCGATTTTTCAGCATCCGATGGCCGAGGCCCGCGAGCTTGAGTTCATGTCAGCTCGGTATCACTTTGGGCCGACGGCGCTTGTAGACTGTTGCAATGTTAATTTCCGCAGTAATGTGAGTGGAAAGAGGCGGTAAGGGATCGCATCGCTGACGGGTGGTCAATCAATATCCTCGTGAGTTGCGATGTCTAGCCCACAGGGGATGGACGGAATCGAAGCGGTATCTGCTTCTGCTGCGGCGTAGTAGATGTCGTACAAGTGCTTCTTTTCTGTACTATCGAACGGATTCTTTAGCCGAATGCCACGGGCACTTGCAGCAAGGCGGCGTAGACTATTGCCTTGTCAAAGCCATCCCGGTGTACCATTGGGGCAGTGACCCGCTCACTGGCAGTCCTTGTTGTCCTGTGTACTCACTGGTCGGCCAGTGATGCCATCAACGTAGACGTGCCATGACGGGCATCCATGGATGCTGCTTCCTACTGGTCTACCTCGCACCTGAAACATTGTTCGGAAGTAAGCTCCAGCTGACAGGTCTTGCACGGGAGGCGAGCCGGAAGAACTGGCATGTTGCAAGTGGTATATCCGGGAGGGTGGTAATCGACCCACGTTTGTTCTAAGCCTCATTTTCTGCCTGGGATTAGGTGCTGACGGTTGGTCGTCCATCTGACTACCCAGGTACCTGATCAGGTAGCCAACGGCACCCGGGAAGCCGCATTCGTCCCAAGGGTCAAGCTCCCTCGCGGGTGTAATCAATTCGCGCGCGGAGGACCGTGGTTACTACTCGTAACGTCACACGATCTCCCACCGCAGCACACCTGAGGTAAGGACTTAGACGAGACGTGCTAGCATATCCTTTTCTCTCCTTAGCTTCGGGCTGGGCGGCAACAGCAGCTTATTATCTGTGCCAGGTGTCCGTCGCGGATTTGATGCTCGCTTAGGAGGAAGAAAGACAGGCTTGATGGCTGTCGTGGGACCTACTTTTTCTCCGATCGATGCAACACATATGTATTAATCGATACTTGGATTGGAGAGAAAAAAGATAGATCTAATCTGAGTACACGGAGGTGTTCCTGACATCTCTCCATTTCACGACAGGTGAGCTGAAGGGGGGTCGCTAGATACTCGCCCGCATCCATCGGTTGCCTCGGATCACTTGCCGCGGGTGGTGCAAATTCACATAGTGACCAGGGATCTATCTGTGTGTTTGCTGCTGCGGATTGTGCCCATTCGCACAAAAGCAGACGGCCCCAAGAGGCCACGCCGGTTGGGCCTCTGTTTCTGGCTGGGCAAAGCTCCTCATTCTTCAGTCAGTCAGTCAGTCAGTCAGTCTGTTGGTGCTGTGCCTCGGCAGTGTCCCAATCTAGAAGTGATCTCGTCAACCTCGGGCCCGCAGCCCAGAGCTGCGGGGTGCGGGTACTTAAGTATCCCTGCTTGACGCGGGGAAACCATGACGGGATGCTGGGGAAGAGGGCCCCGTTCGGCAGCAACCTTGCTATCCGCGACGCCGAGGGTGGTCTGGCTCTCTGGCTCCCTGGCTGTCTGGTTGAGAAGGGGAGCCTCATCCGATTGCGGCTGCCGGTGCGCACACGATGGCTGTCATGGCCCCAGCGAGGCGTTTCGTCACCCCGCCCACAATTATCCAAGGGTCAGGCTGCATCTCCTGCTACTAGGATGCAGCACCAGGGCAGCAGGGCTGCCAGGCCGGGATCCAGAAGGATGCCTTCCCCGTCCCAGTAGGCTAATGGACAGATGCCTCGGGACATCTTGATTGACCGTCACATCCCGTACCCAGGCAACAGGTCGTTGTCCCCCTCCCCCTCCTCCGCCGCGAGAAGGCTACTAATCCCATGCCTAGCAAGCCCAGGTACCTGGGACGTCACTACTTCTAAAGTTACTGCCCTGACACCCTTATCCTCGCACATTTATTGTACGGCTCCTCCCCGCTGCTTCCAGTCCCTCCCTTCACTTCTACCTGGTCTGTGAACCCGATATTTTGGCAAAATGGTCATCAAATCCCGCTGGAACATCCCCATCGACGATGGTTCTTTGCAAAAATGGATCTTCGGCTCGTCCAAGGGCCCCCTCCCGGACCGGAAGACCTTCCTCGATGCCGAACGCCCAGACACCCATTTCCTGACCTTCGCAGAGTATCGACTCCTGGCCAAGCGTGTCGGCCTGGGCCTGCAACAGGCCGGCTTGGAGCCGGGCGACAGGGTGCTCGTCTTCTCCGGAAACAATCTGTACTTCCCTTCCGTGTTCCTGGGCGTGCTCATGGCCGGTGGCGTGTTCACGGGTGCCAACCCGACTTTTGTCGCGCGCGAGGTTGCGTATCAGCTGCGTGACAGCGGCGCCACCTTCATGTTTGCTGCGAGCGCCAGTCTGGATATCGCATTGCAAGCTGCAGAGGAAGCGGGCCTGGCCAAGGACCGTGTGCTTGTCTTCGATGCGGAAAGCGACGCCCGGGCCGAGAAACCCACACCCGGGACCAACGGCCGACGACAGGGAGCGAGGCATTGGACCGAGCTGCTACACGCAGGCCGGGCGCAGGCCGAGAGCTGGGACTGGGTCGAGCCCTCTGACGCGGCCAATACGACCTGCTGTCTGAACTACAGCAGCGGGACGACTGGCGTGCCCAAGGGGGTTGAGATCTCGCACCGCTCGTACGTTGCCAACTGCACCCAGGTCTTGTTCGTGGCGGAGCTGGACCCGGAGCACGACGTCAAGAGGGACAGGTCGCGGGCTCTCGCCTTCCTCCCCATGTACCATGCGTACGGCCAGACCTATTTCGTCGCCAACTACGCCCGGCAAGGCACACCCGTCTATGTGATGCCTCATTTCGACTTCATGAAGATGCTGCAATACGTACAGAAATACCGCATAACTACCCTGGCCTGCGTGCCGCCGGTCATTGTGGCCCTCGCGAAGCACCCTGCCAGCCGCCAATTCGACCTGAGCAGCGTCGAGTCTATCGGGTCTGGTGCAGCGCCCCTGAGCCACGAGACCCTGCTGGAATGCCAATCGTTGTTTACGAAGAACGAGGTCCTCATTAGCCAAGGCTGGGGCATGACAGAGACGACTTGCACGACCCTCGCCTGGGACAGTCGAGTAAAAGCCGGCCCTGGTGTGGGAGAGCTATACCCAAACATGTCCGCCAAGATCATGGAGATGGATGGGAAGACGGAGATACTGGAGGCCAACAAGCCGGGCGAGCTCTGGGTGAGCGGGCCGAATCTGCTCAAGGGTTACTGGCGCAAGCCCGAAGCCACCCGCGACACGGTCATGACCGATCCTGATGGCACGCGGTGGCTGCGGACTGGCGACGTTGCGCACTGTGAGGAGTATCGCACGGGCACAATATGGCATATCGTGGACCGGATCAAGGAGCTCATCAAGGTGAAAGGGAACCAGGTGGCTCCGGCCGAGCTCGAAGGACTGCTGCTCGAGCACCCAGCCGTGGCAGATGTTGGGGTTATCGGCGTGACCATCGACGGCGAGGAGGTACCACGGGCTTACATCCAGAAGAGCGCGGGGGCAACGGCGACGGGCAAAGAGATCGCGGAGTGGATGGCAGGAAAGGTGACCAGGTACAAGCGCCTCAAAGGTGGAGTGGTGTTTGTGGACGCAATTCCGAAAAACCCTGTGAGTTGAACATACAGACCCCCGTCTTGGTCGAATGATTCTGACCAAGCATTACCACAGTCGGGCAAGATCCTACGAAAGATACTCCGAGAGAAGGCCAAAGAAGAAGTTGGGGATCGGAAGCCTTTTGGCTCGAAGATCTAGAACAGGAGTTATGGCACGGATCCATCAAGCGTCGGCCACTGGCAGCGAGACATGGTTGATCAAGAAGGAGACGAGGGCGCTGGTATATAGGAAGAATTAACATAGAATATAGTACAAGCATATGCGGTGTTTTAACGGGCTATTTGCACATTACGATACCGGTCTTCATCAACTACCGCCGACCAAGAAGAGCATGAGGGCCGTGGCTCGGGGGTTCGTGCTGTTACTTACTTAAGTACCTAGGTAATAGCATGCAGCCGGTAGTTGGTAGGCGGAGAGCAGGAAACAGTTGCGGGTCATGGCTTGGAAAAGACACAGCTTATCCTAGGAGCTCCGAGACACTATGATCCGGGGTCGATCGACGTAGGCGTCCTGGTCGAGCGCGGAGTCTTGTTGACTCAGGCAGGCATATAGAGCCAAACCATGCTTGTTATTAAGCTGGTACACAGTAAGTGCCTACCTGGATACCTAGGTAGGTACTAAGTAGTCTGTGTGTAACTGCTGTCGTGTGCCTGTTTTCGAGCTATTGGCCAAAGCTCCCCAGCGTAGACCCACTTCTCTGATTAGGTAACCAGCCCGTCCCGGCTCATGCAGCCAGGGAACTTTTTTCCTCGACCGCGAAGAGCTCAAGCCCAGCCTCTGATCGGTAGCCATCGCGATTGGGACGACAAATAAGCGGCGGACAATTGACGACGTGCCATTCCGGCTGAAACTCATTCGATCCCAATCGCCTGGACTCCCCGGTCCCAACACTCCCGCCTTCCTCGCCCTTCCTTTTGAGGCGACGGCCCTGCCCCCAGACATCATAATGGAGGCCCCAGCACACACCCTCCTGCGACGCGCGGCACGGAGCTGCGTCTCCAGCACAAGACGCACCCTCAGGCAGCAAATACGCTCGAAAGCTACCGCGTCACGCACAAGGCGCTCTCTAAATATCTCGCCACACCCTTCCTTCCTCGCCCCCGACTCGAGCCAGCAATCAGACCACATCATCTTCAACCCGCCCGCGAGCGCCCCGTCCGTATACCACACACCCTTCAAGTTCCTGCCCAAGAACGACCCTCGGAGGCGCGCGAACCTGGCCAAGATATTCGAGTCACACTTTGCGCCGACCACCACAGCGGGCGGCGCTGGGGCGGTACAGGCCACAGACCTGCCGACGCTGCCGACGGGCAACCACAAGTACGACCCGGCCTTCCACGCCCGGGGCCCCATCACCAAGGCCGAGGTCGACGAGATGCGGCGGCTGCGTGAGGAGGACCCGCACAAGTGGAACGTCCGGGCGCTGTCGGACAAGTACGCGATCCCGCACATCTTCGTCATGATGTGCTGCCAGGCGCCCAAGGAGAAGCTCGAGTTCGAGCGGACGAAGATGGAGCTCATCCGCCAGCGGTGGGGGCCCATACGTGCCAAGGCAAAGGAGGATCGCCATCGGAGGACGCAAATGCTTTACCGGGGGGAGATATAGTACGGTGGATCATCGAGTTGTGGTCTACGACAGCCACGTGGGTACGCTCGGTCGCGAGTCCCGGAAGGACCAAGGCCGCCCATTCTGGGATCTCGACATGTTCGGCTGGGGTTGTCGACATGAAGTGATGAGCTACGCCTGGACGTCTTCTCTGGACGACCTCGAACCGGTCATAGCCCCAGAGACGGTGGATGCGGTGAATAAATGTCACCCAGAACCAAAGTAGTTCTGGGCGATGTGGGATGGCCGCAGGTGTACCTTAGTGTACCAACTACAAATGTAAGATCTGGGAGAACCATAAAAGACAGGCATCGAAAGGCTGGCGGGCTCGGCAGACAGAAGGTCGACGAGCTCCTTCTGTACATTTAAACCAACTCCAAATATCAGTTCGAGCTTCATTGCAGATCTCGCAACCTATTGTGGTCAAGATCCAGGGGGGGGAGGATCAAAGATGGGCGGCGATAGAATTCAAGTTGCAGAATACGTCCATCAGCAGAATCTCGACTGTCCTCCGCGGCCAATCCAAGACGCCAATTTTCTGAGGCCGTACTTCGAATTATCATCTAGTTTTTGGAAGCCTGGTTCTTCTCGTCCACTTGATAATCCTTCTTGCTGGGAATGACCCTTGAACACCAACCACACCAGCTCCGGGCGTGACCCGTAGCCTCGCGACGCAAGCTCTGGCCTGAGGCCTTTTCATCCTCCCACTCAGGCACGCCCCCACCAACTCTTACCATGGTTATCTTGACAGATTTGATCTTATTCCCGATGCCTTCTACCTCGTGCCTAGCATACCCAGGCCCCAAGGCCGGCGACGGCGTCCGCGTGTTTGCCGCGGTTGGGTCCAGAAGGCCCGGCGTAGAAGAATTGCTATGGAGGCTCAGGTTGCTATGGCTACTGCCCCATGAGTGTGCTCCACTGTAGAGGCTCAGCGTGGTTGGTGATGTGCCAGCGGATTGGCCCTGAGCTAGGAGATCCTCTGCTTCGCGGGCGTCTGCGGCGTCGCAGTCAGTCTCGTGCTCAATGTACTTGCTGTTGCAACACTCGTTTTTCCTCCAACACTCCACTCCCCGATCGGCATCTGCATATTTTGTTAGTAAATTCTGCCGCGTTGGTGAATGAAGAACAACTGCAGTCAAAATTGCCCCCTCGTGGAGTTGTACTTGCCCCCGATACCGGTGCCGAGTCCACCAAGGACCTCTCCGTACTGGGACCGCCATTTCCAGATCCTGAATCCGCGTCAGTGTCTGTGGGTCCCCTGTGACGTGCCTTCACCTGTGGGACAGGGGCATGTAAAGTCAAAAGAAAGAATGAGGGAGTCCTCTCACCCGCGATATTCGGAGTCGGCGCCCCTGATTCCACGGCCGCAGGGCTGGCATAGCCACACCCCGGCTGTCTCGCATGTACATATGGCACGTTGCACCAGGCCGGAGGCGGCTGGGATGTCGGAACTTAGCGGTGGCTTCACGAGGCAGCCGATGGGTGCCTTCTGGCAGGAGAGACAGAGCCTGCGATGTCTGTCGCGCATAACGGCAGGGGCTGGTGGTTTGATCGCACAATTCTGGAGAACAGATGGCTTGTAAGTCTGGGGCTCGCAAGGCTGTGTGGCGGCCGGGGAAAGAAGCCCACCCTGCACATGACGGTGCTGCATTTGCGACACTTGGAGACCATGTCCCGGGCACAGCTCCCGGCCTTGCCGTTGTAATAGCTGCTCCTCGACGTGTCCTCCATGTAGTACCAGTTGCCAGCCCTGGCGCGGTATCGCAGAGTGGACTCGGGATCGACAGGCAGGTCCTCGTTGGTGCAGTGAAGGGTCGATTTGAGGAGGATGGAGCGGTACTGCAGGAGGGAGTCGTGAACGCCTCGACAAGTGCGCGACAGGCTGTCGAGGTCGTTGAGGTCAAGCTGAGCAGCCACGGCCATGACAATACTGGTGACTCCAGTCAGTTGGGCCCATCCCCAGGCACAGAGCTCCCGGGGAAGAGGTCGGAGTTGAGAAGACAGAAGACCGAAAGGGGCCAAAAGATTTGGTGGTTCGCCTACGGATAGCATCCCAAAGCCACTGTCATCAGGTGTGCCTCTGCGACAGCGGGCTCGTGAGTCGCCTCCTCGCGATCGTCCGGGCCGAGGGGAGCGGCGTTGTGCTCCTCGTGCCCGTGACCGACCGAGCAGTCTGGCGGCGCATTTCCGGTCCACACAGGTCTGGCCAGGTTGTGGCCCTGCTCGAGCGGCTCAACGTCGTCGTCTTCAAGATCTACGAAGACAGCCATTGCGGATTTGACATGTGTCCAGGAGCAGTAAGCGAGGACAGGTGCAAGCAGAGAGCATGCAAATGAGGAAGAATACTAGGGAAGCATGGGGACGGCAATAGGAACAAGAAGAGAGGGGAGACGCGGTTCGGGAGGGCGAGATATCTAGTCCATTGCAGCCCGGTGGCTGAATACAGGTAGACCACTACTTGTTAGTAGGTGCTGTGAGTGCCTCGCAGGGTCGATCTCGGAGGGATCTGGGAGAGGCATCCTTGACGATTGACCTGGAGGGGCAACCGAGGGGCCCAGGAGCACTGCCGCCCGCCGCCCGCCGGACCCACCTCCCAGTCCTAACAAGACAATGTGCATGCAGCAGGAGCCACCTAGATACCTAGGTACCTACCTAGGTAGGTACTTAGGTACTACCTGCCTAGGTACCCAGGTACATAACTAAGTACCTAGGTAGGTGAGTACATGGCTACCCACCACCCAGGAATGGCTCTCCGGTAGCCAGCTTGACCTCGTTGAAATGTTCAAGTTGCCGCATCCGATCGAGATGTCTTCACGTGGAGACTTTTCGACCTGAAATCCCCATCACGAGTTGGAGCTGACCCGGGCTCGGCGACAACCTGCCAAATCGGCCGGCTCTCGAATTCTGTCCTCCTTCTGAGTTGCTACCTCCAGTACCAGACGATTGACTGTCCGCGACGCTGGCACGTCCACCATGGCGCACCGGTGCTTGCTATCATGGCCGGCGGTAGCTTTTCTGCTTTGGTGGCTGAAAATATTGCTCACTTGATCCCGGCCCACGACCGGTCCTGCCTGTCGGCCGTGCATAGCTCTCGTGTTTTACCGCCTAGTGGCTGGTGATGCGCCGACCAGAGGCCCGATATCGACAGGATGACCACTCTGTCCCGTGCACACAGTGCATCCTGGGACTCAGTGGCACACAGCCTCAAGTTGGCAGCCAAGTTCATCGCCCCGAGGACGAGGCACAATGGTCCAGTGATCATCGTGACTGTCGTGCGGGCCGGCGAGGCGCCAGTTCCAAACTTCTCACCTAGCGTTGAGACTGCCATGTGCCGGCCATGTTTGGAGGCTGGCAAGGGCACACAAACCCAAACATGAAGCTTAGTCCTGAATTCCACGTTCAACTCTGTTTCTGTCACCTCCATGAATCTGAAGGCAAGGCGAACCGCCCAGCTTTGCACCTCTTTGTGGAAAGCTCCTGAGCTTCACCGCCGCCCCGCCTCACGATATGTCTGACCATCCAGCCTCAGAACGACCACTGTCGTGGGACGCAGGCGAAATACCACACTTGAATTCTCAAGAAGACCAGGTCCCGCAATTTTTTGAACGAGACGATGACCACGCGCAGGACATTCGGCCGCGTCCTCCTCTCAGTCCCCGAATTCCCGTGCTCGAGGCTCCTTCGTCGTCTCGGGACGCCGGTCCTCCACATATCACACTGCCGCAGTCCCCTGGCCAGGTCCGTCTCGGAGATTCGCTACGAGGCACACCATCCTCCAGCTCGTACTCATCACCGACAGAATCGGCCCCGCATTTTGGCACCACATCCAACCGGCCGGCACGCGCTCTAGCTGGATCTCCGGCGCCAGAGGCTCCGTCAGCACAAGGCGCATACTCTCCGGCGTATTATACCAGTGACGGCCACCAGAGCGTCAATTGCATCCCACTACAGGACTTGGAAGTCTCTACGCGATCTGGACAGACCAGAAGGGATGAGGACGATGACCATGCTACCGGCTTGTCTAAAGGGAAAGCGCCGGCCACGCCACATTCCGATCTACCTCGCCTAGATGGGAGACGATCCGATACTCAAGCTGGGCTGCCAGCCACAACAAAAGGCCACGAGGTAGATGGTGGCGATTCAAATGCGGGTTCGACCAGCACACCCTCCAATTCGTCGAATATGGGGCAGAAGCCCTCCGTGTCTGAGAGGACCAAGACATCCAGCATATCGTCAACACAGGAGCGCAGGGAGGCAATGGATTCCTTGAATGGTATCCGTAACGACGTCATGGTGAATTATCTTTACCATGAAGCCCTTGTGAGATCATATGTCTCTGCCGCAGACCCATGGCAGGGAATTGTGCTCAAGAAGGAGCGGGGGAAGTACTCATGCTGTCCTCCACAATTATCCCTCTTCGAGAACGGCTTACTTGATAATGTCAAGAAGATGAACGTTTGCTGTGCGATGACAGTGAGTACCCCGGTCACAAGGACGATCTTGGAAGGCATGGCGCACAAGAAGCTTGGTTACGTCCCCATGCCGAACGGCCTGCGCGTGCAGGTATTGAAGACCATGTCAGACCTACCACAGTGTCAGGTCCACCATTTTGCCGCATTCATAGAGGATTTGATGATCCTTGTCGTGTGGGACGATGATCCAGAACTTCTGCTACAGCGGGCGGAAACCTTGGAAGAAAGTTTCGTCACGAGGATCTGGGTTGGTGGAGGAGAGATCACTGAAAAAGGTGAGAGTAATAACCCAAAAGCACTGGCAGGAAACCGCACCGACGCCGCGGACCCTCGAGTGCTGGAGGAAGGAACGGACGGGCAGGAAATGCGGCCGGTTAGAATCGTCAGCTCCATCATTATCGCTCTCACTATCTGCCTCGCCACCACATGCATGGGCTTCGGCTGGAGGCACCTGGCAATGGAGTGCAAAGTAGACGGGTATTTTCCTCGACTGGCGCTGGTCGTCCTCGCTCCCGTGCAACTTTTCCTCAGCATGGTTCGTAAAACATCACTTGCATGTCATGGGGACTCTTGAAACTAACAAGGATGTTTAGTTCTTCTTTCAAGCAATCTGTGGCAATCTTGTCCAGATGTTCGGCCCAACCAAACAGGTCAACAGCAACTCAAAGTATTACTCCGGAAAAGCACCTGAGAAGCGTCTGGATCGGCGGGACTGTCTACCTCACGTTACCATACAGATGCCGGTGTACAAAGAAGGGACGGCCGCTGTCATCCGACCAACGGTCATGTCTGTCAAGACTGCCATCTCGACCTACGAGATGCAGGGAGGCACCGCCAACATCTTCGTGAATGATGACGGGATGCAACTTCTGAGCGAGAAGGAGGCCCAGGAGCGCCGGGAATTCTACGACGAGCACCAGATCGGGTGGGTGGCGAGGCCCAGACACGACCCTAAAGGCGAGACGCCTTTTGTGCGCCGTGGAAAGTTCAAGAAAGCGTCCAATATGAACTACGGAATGAGCGTGTCCAGGAGGGTAGAAGAAAAGCTGCACCTTGTCGCACGTGACGAGCATTGGACAGACAAGAAAGAACGCGCCGTGTACGAAGAGGCTCTCCAAGCGGTCCTTGGGGAAGACGAGGGGAGAACGCTGGCAGGAGGCAACATTCGGATGGGCGACTACATCCTTCTGATTGACTGCGACACACGAGTACCCAGGGACTGCTTTCTAGACGGCGTCAGTGAGATGGAGCAGTCGCCACAGGTGGCCATCATACAATTCACATCCGGAGTCTTGAATGTTACCACCTCGTTCTTTGAAAAGGGGTAAGCCAAATGCAGTCTTCTCAGATCACCTGCAGGTGGAATAGAAACTGACGCTACTTGTAGTATCACATGGTTCACAAACCTCATCTACACGGCCATAACCTACGCCGTCTCCACGGGCGATGTGTGCCCGTTTGTCGGCCACAACGCCCTCATGCGTTGGTCAGCCATACAGACCGCAGCCGCATTCGAAGACGACGACGGGTATGAGAAGTACTGGTCTGAGTCTCACGTATCTGAGGATTTCGATATGGCTATCCGACTGCAGTGTGCAGGCTACGCCATTCGGTACGCCGCATACACGGGCGAGGGGTTCAAAGAAGGCGTGTCCTTGACAGTTGATGACGAGCTCGCGCGGTGGGAAAAGTACGCGTACGGATGCAACGAGCTGCTCTTCCACCCGTTCAGATACTGGATCACAAGGGGGCCATTCACTCCCCTATTCAGGAAATTCATCTCGGCGTCCCTCATACCACTTCCGAAGAAGATCACCATCTGTTCTTACATCGGAACATTTTATGCCATCGGGTCTGCATGGCTGCTCGTGGTGACGAACTACCTCGTGACAGGCTGGGGAGTGGACCTGTACGAGAAGTACTACGCCAACTCGTTCTCCATCTTCTTCAGCGTCGTCGTGGTCTTCACGGGGCTGGGCAACGTATCGTTGGCGGTACTGCGGCACAGGCTCAAGAGGGGCCCGCTGATCAACAACTACCTGGACAATGTCCAGTGGATCCCCATGTTCACCATCTACCTCGGGGGCGTCTCGCTGCACGTTTCGCACGCGATCCTGTGCCACTTCTTTGAGATCGAGGTGAACTGGGGCGCTACGTCCAAGGAGCTCCGGGACGTCAGCTTCACCGAGGAGCTGGCCCACGTCCTGAAGAAGTTCAAGGGCACGTTTCTGTTCTGCCTGGGAAGCACGGCCATGATCGTGCTTGGTTACTGGGCCATCCCGTACCAGTGGCAGATCAGGGAATTTGCGTCGATATTCCCATTCGCCATGTTAGTGGGGTGCCACTTCCTGCTGCCGGTTGTTCTGAACCCGAGCTTGATACGTCTGAGCTGGTAAGGAGCAGAGGGCAAGAAAGGTGGTTGGGCTGCATTGGGGTTGTCGGCAAGCAGGTGCGTGGAACTCAAGGCCGTATTATTGTCGTTGATCATGTTCATCTGAAATTATACTCTTATGATTATCGTGAAGTGGCTGCCACAGAGAGCAACAGCGGACTTGGCAAGGTAAAATTTACTACTAGTGAGGGCCGAGCATGAGTGAGGATGGATCCTTTGTGTTGCCAGAAACTAGAGAAACTCACTTGGTGGTCGTGCCCGAAGCTTGTGGGGTCGAGGCCGCACACTCTCTCAGCACAAAGGAGATGGTGTCGTGGAACGGGGCTGCGGCTAGGCCCAAGAGTGCATGGACTCTATGCCACGACACTGTGATCATGGGCGTGCTCTCCACTCAAGCAGGTAATTTCCAAGGGCTGGAGGGCTGCTGCCCAGACTCTGGCTATCACAAAGAAATCCTGACGCGTGCAAAGTGGCCAAAGGAAAGAATACCGGAGTAGAGTTGGTACACGGGCAATGTGATGTGATAGGGATTACGAGCAACCCTTACAGGTACGTCAGGGTGGATACGATACGAAGAGGGACGTTGGCTTAAGCAACGACTGTGAATGGGCTGTAGCTTGAGCAGGTGGGGGTTGCGACTGCCAGAGCCCAATCAGGATGGCGGGCGTGGGGTAGTGTGGACCGACCAGCCTGCCAGCTTCTGGGTGACGTCTTTCCCCGATGCCGATCTAACAGTCCTCTGCCATGGTGCCCGGCCAGCGTCTGGGGGGCATCTGATTTTGATTCTGACCCCGATAGACTTGTTTCTACGCAAATTGTGTCCTTAGGCTTCAAACCTGTCATCCTAAAGCTCTCTTACATTGCATTGTATCCTTACCCTGAAGCAAGGCTGATCGAACGAGCAAACAAGCAAGCAAGCAAGCAATCGAACAGCAGAAACAACCAACCGGCTTGTCAGGACCCGGTGAAGCTGCACCGAGTAGTCGTGCTGGCCCTGCGCCCCTCGTCGAGATCCGATGAGATCCCCCCGTGTTCATCACCAATAAGAAGCTGGTGTAACCACCTTTCTCAAGACGGTCTGGCACACACAGCACACAGCTACGGAGTAGTCCACCTGCTCTCGCAGCTCAAACGGGAGGTGAGTTCATTTCTTCTTGCCCACCACGACCGAGACCATGCAGCAGCATCCGCATCCGCATCGCCCAGCCCGCTTGGTCCCTTCGGGAAGCGAGGCTCGGGTCGGGCGCGGGTGTGGGCGCGGGCGCTGGGCAAGGTGTGGTTGGACCCTGAAAGCTGTCCCAACCCGTCCGTCTCTGTAACCCAGGCTTTCAGGGCTCTCTTCTAATAAACCCACTCACTATATCTGCCCCATGCGCTCCTCCACCGCTTCCCTCCTCGAGCTTGTCCACTGGTGGCCACGTCGCATAACTCTCTCTGCCGGTTTGCTGAGCTGACCAGGCTACCTGCGGCATCACCTGCTCCATCACCTGCCCTTCTCGAGTCTGATCAGCATTGGCAACTCCATCAGCATCAGCATCAGCACCAATTCCGCCTCTGCAGCAGTCACTCCAGCTTCCGCACCCTGTTCGTGCCGCTAACCTGAATGAGAACGTACAGGGGACCTGATACCACCTACGTAGCTCCTCCAGTACGAGCATTGTCCCGACCGTCACACGACCGCAGACCGCCACAGTTTATCTTTGTTTTCTCCTTCAGCCCCGTCCGTATCTCGTCCGCTATACCACATCTTACCTACGCTTGTGGGCTCCCGACAACCTCCAACCCCAGTGTGCCAACGCCGACATCTTCTATTCCGATAGCTGGCAATGTCTGGCACCGGCATGGATGAACAAAAGGGCCCCGGTCCCCAAGGCCGGAGCGACTCCATTGATGATTACGATGTATTCGACGATGCCAAAACATACTACGCAGCCGACCGTCACAAGGGCACAAAGGCCTCGGCCCGGACTCGCACCTTCTCCCAGGTATGCTCCCAATTGGCCATCCGCTGTCACTGCTAGGAACGTCTACTCACACCAATTGCCCCACAGAATAGTCTCATGCAGCAGATGGAGAGACTGGGCCTGAAGGAGCCTTTTCGCCGAGGAAGCCATGGTATGTGCGGCAGAAGCACCTCTCTCCGTCTCACAGTGTCGAGGTCCTTCGCTGACATTTTTGGTCAATGATCAGACGAGACTACCCTGAAGCAGAACCGTCGGTTTCTCATCTCGGTCGATGCCACCCTCGAGAGTCTACAATCGCAGGAGGACACAGATGGAAACATGCAGATCACAATCGAGGATAACGGCCCCAAGGTAGACCGTGCCACCCGCCATGTCTGCTGGCTCAAGCTGACATCACACAGGTGCTCTCGCTTCGGACGGCTGCGTCCAACGGTTTCAACAGGTTCGACATTCGAGGGACTTACATGCTGTCCAACCTCCTGCAGGAGCTGTCCTTGGCTAAGGAGTATGGCCGTAAACAAATCATCCTGGACGAGGCACGTCTCAACGAGAACCCGGTCAACAGACTGTCCCGTCTCATCCGTGACCATTTCTGGGATGGCCTGACGCGGAGGATCGACGCTTCTACCATCGACATTTGCGCCCGGGATCCCAAGGACTGGACCGATGACCCCCGCCCACGCATCTATGTCCCCTTCGGCGAGCCCGAGCAGTTCGAGTTCTACACCAAGGTAGCAAAGGAGCGGCCGGAGCTCAGACTGGATGTCGTCCGCCTTCCGGACGCGATGGAGATCACCGCCGAGTTCATTCGTGACCTGAATGATGCCCCTGGTCTCCTCGCCGTGGAGATGGAGAAGGTCAAAGACCCCAAGACTGGCGAGGATACGCTGCGTGGTCTGCCCTTTGTCGTCCCTGGCGGCCGTTTCAACGAGTTCTACGGCTGGGACAGCTACATGGAGTCGCTAGGCTTGCTTGTTAATGACAGGGTTGATCTCGCCAAGTCCATGGTGATCAACTTCTGCTTCTGCATCAAACACTATGGCAAGATCCTCAATGCCACCCGGTCTTACTACCTGGGTCGGTCACAGCCTCCTTTCTTGACCGACATGGCACTCCGTGTCTACGAGAAGATCCGACACGAGCCAGGAGCCCTCGAGTTCCTCCGGGGGGCTATACTGGCAGCCATCAAGGAGTATCACAGCATCTGGATTTCTGCTCCTCGTTATGACCCCGTCTCAGGCCTGTCGCGGTACGGGCCAGTCGGTATGGGCGTTCCGCCGGAGACGGAGGCTAACCACTTCGAGCACGTCCTGGCGCCCTACTGCAAAAAGCACAACATGGAGTTTAAGGAATTTGTTCGCGCTTATAACAAACGCGAGATCCTCGAGCCGGAACTGGACGAGTACTTCATGCATGACCGGGCCGTGCGGGAGTCAGGCCATGACACCAGCTACCGGTTCGAAAAGGTCTGCGCGAACCTTGCAACCATTGACCTCAACTCATTGCTCTACAAGTACGAGACTGATATCGCCCGCACCATCCGAAACATCTTCGGCGACAAGCTGGCCATCCCTGAGGAGTTCTGCGCCGGCTCACTCGTGCCAGGCCAGGTCGAATCGTCTGCCATCTGGGATCGCAGGGCGAAGCGCCGCAAGCTGGCCATCGACAAGTTCCTGTGGAACGAGGAAGAAGGCATGTACTTCGACTACAACACGGACACACATGAGCAGACCACCTATGAGTCTTGCACGACCTTCTGGGCGCTCTGGGCAGGTGTCGCGTCCCCCAAGCAGGCCGCTGCCATGGTGACCAAGGCGCTTCCCAAATTCGAGGCGTACGGAGGACTGCTAGCCGGGACACTTAAGAGCCGTGGCGAAATCAGCCTTGCCCGGCCGAACCGTCAGTGGGACTACCCCTACGGCTGGGCACCACAGCAGATCCTCGCCTGGACGGGTCTCTACCGTTATAGCTTCACGGAAGAGGCCGAGCGGTTGGCGTACAAGTGGCTGTTCATGATGACCAAGGCATTTGTGGACTTCAACGGTGTAGTAGTCGAGAAGTACGATGTGACAAGACCAATCGACCCGCACAGGGTTGATGCCGAGTACGGGAACCAGGGACTGGATTTCAAGGGCGTAGCGAAAGAAGGGTGAGTCACACGCAGACATTGGCGGCTGCCGGGCTGCTGTCTGAAGGTGGCCTATCGCTAACAAGTTCTCGCAGGTTTGGCTGGGTCAACGCCAGCTATGTCTACGGTCTGCAAATCGTCAATGCCCACATGCGCCGCGCGCTGGGCACGCTGACTCCGTATGAGACTTTTGTGAAGGCTCTGGAGGAGAACCAGGCCAAGACTCTCTCCGAACTGTCCTAGACGGGTCATTCTGTGCTTGCTGTTCAGCACAAACTTTAGACATGGGCGGGCATGTGATTTTGGTGTTCGAGACGGACACGATTCCTGAAAAGCGACGGTTAGCAAAGGATAGGAGTTTGAGGTAGAGAGCGAGCTTAAGCACGACTAGATTGGGCAAGGGCACATTCAAGTTGAAGGCGGTCAACGGTTGACATTCTTGGGTTAGTGCACCTTGAGAGAAAGAAGGCATAGGTCCGGGTACGACATGATGAGAATCAGACTGGAGAGATGGTAGATAACGTGAACACGGGCAGACGTTGTAACGCCTGGTGGCCGCACTAGACGAACACATACACCTAAATAGCATGTCAAGCTCGAATTCAGTTGTGAGGATCTCGACCGACGCCACATTACATGGCGCAGGGGCAGTTTGGCAGTTTTGACAGTATAGGGCTCGGAAGTTGACCGAGAGACGACCACACTACTCCGTACACGCAAGCGCATGGTCCCCTAGATGTTCCTAGATGTTCCGCATGTGACAGCTAGGACGAGTCACGGATGTGAGACGACGGGTTTGTAGGGTTGATGGAAGAACCGAGGTCCCACAACTCGATCGGGCCAGGCGTGCAGGGCAACGAGGCTCATGAGGGACCGGGGTTGTACCGAAGTGAAAGCTATGACGACAGACCCTGCTATCACATGCCAGGGCTGCTTGGTCTAAGGCACGAGGCCCTCTGTGCCTGTCGAACAAACATGGCAAGCGTGGGCACAGAGCTGCAGCAATCTTGAGATGCTGTAACAACTGGTGAGCAAGCTGGCAATCTGGCAGGCTGGCAGGCAGACAAGCAGGACAAGATGGCATCAGATCAGCAGGGTGGCCAAGAAAGGCAGGCTCTTGTCGCACCGCACAACTGCATGACGATGAGACGGGTGTTCAACGTCGCCCCCAGGTCCCGGCAATAGGGAGAAGGGGCGCCCCCATCAGGCCCCAATGGCACTTCTAGAATACCACGCCGTGGCTAGCGTGATGCGGGGGAGGAGCTGGGGGTCTGGGCTACCGAATTCCCCAGCGTGCTGCTTGGCTGCTTTCGGCAACTCGGCCAATGGCTGCATGCTGTGCGGTCCCTTTCAACCGAGACAAGTGTATAAGCCGAGAAAGTGCAAGTACCTTGTTTTACCGCCACCACACGGCCAGGAATGCAAGTACATGCGTGGTCACATACACGCACACTTGCACTCACACGCCATATCCCATAACACGGGAGTTGACCGAGCACTGTTAGACTCAGAGGGTGTCCCCGGGGGAGGGGGCAGGGGGAAGGGGTGCGAGGGGTGCGAGGGGTGCGAGGTGATCAACGGCATGGGATTCCTCGTCGCCATAGCCGCTTGGCCGAACCCTCCCGATGAACCGACGTACTAATAAATAAAACGCCCGCCTCTGAGCCGTGGCAGGGACTTTGTTACTCGACTGCAGTTTCATATCATATGACGGCGGTAGGACCTCGTCTGTTCGTCTCTAGCCTTGTGCCTCTCGTCGCCTCCTCTTCCACCCTTTACACTCTTGAAGACTCTCGTGGTATATCACCAAAAAGAGTTACTCCGTACACATCTCTACCTGTACATCCCCCTCACACACGCACACACCCATCATGGCGGCAAACAACATGGTCAACCCCTCGGTGGACCCCAAGACCGAAGACGAGCTCTTTGCCAGGGAGGTCGAGGAGGTCAAGAGGTGGTGGAGTGACTCTAGGTGGAGGAACACCAAGAGGCCCTTCACGGCCGAGCAGATCGTCTCCAAGAGGGGGAACCTCAAGATCGAGTACCCGAGCAACGCGCAATCAAAGAAGCTGTGGGGTATCCTCGAGGCGAGGTTCAAGGTAGGTTTCTGAACTTCTGTGTCGGGGGAAATGCAGTCGAGTGAGGCCAGAGAAGCTCACAAGAAGGGCCAGAACCGAGATGCCAGCTACACCTACGGCTGCCTGGAACCTACAATGGTCACACAGATGGCCAAATACCTAGATACTGTCTACGTGTCCGGGTGGCAGTCATCCTCGACGGCGTCGGCCTCAGACGAGCCTGGCCCTGACCTGGCCGACTACCCCTACGTGAGTACACGGCTCCCCTGGCTCCCCTGTCCGTGACGACTTCCTGCTCACCGCCATCAACCAGACCACCGTCCCGAACAAGGTGTCGCACCTGTTCATGGCCCAGCTCTTCCACGACCGCAAGCAGCGCCAGGAGCGCCTGACGACGCCCAAGGAGCAGCGGGCCAACCTGGCCAACATCGACTATCTCCGGCCCATCATCGCGGACGCGGACACGGGCCATGGCGGCCTGACGGCGGTGATGAAGCTGACGAAGCTGTTCATCGAGAAGGGCGCCGCGGGCATCCACATCGAGGACCAGGCGCCCGGCACCAAGAAGTGCGGCCACATGGCCGGCAAGGTGCTTGTGCCCATCAGCGAGCACATCAACCGCCTGGTGGCCATCCGGGCGCAGGCCGACATCATGGGTGAGCCCGCCCCGCCGCCCCGGGACCAGAAAAACCAGAAAAAGAAGTGTGATGGATGCAGAGACTGACCTGGCCCCTCGTGACCGCAGGCTCCAACCTCCTCGCCATCGCGCGAACCGACGCAGAGGCGGCAACGCTCATCTCGACGACCATCGACCCGCGGGACCACGCCTTCATCCTGGGCACGACCAACCCAAACCTGCAGCCCCTCAACGACCTGATGATCGCGGCGGAGCAGGCGGGCAAGGTGGGCGACCAGCTGCAGGCGATCGAGGACCAGTGGCTCGCGCAGGCCGGGCTGAAGCGGTTCGACGAGGCCGTGGTCGACGCCATCAACAAGGGCGCCCACGTCGACAAGCAGGGGGCCGTGGCGCGCTACCTCAAAGAGTCCAGGGGCAAGTCGCTGACCGAGGCGCGCGCCCTGGCCCGGGGCATCACGGGCGTCGACGTCTTCTTCGACTGGGACGCGCCTCGCACCCGTGAGGGCTACTACCGCCTCAAGGGCGGCTGCGACTGTGCCATCAACAGGGCCATCGCCTATGCCCCTTACTGCGATGCCATCTGGATGGAGAGCAAGCTGCCCGACTACAAGCAGGCTGAGGAGTTTGCCAGCGGCGTGCATGCCGTCTGGCCCGATCAGAAGTGAGCCCCCCGACACCTCCCAACCTCCCATGTCCCGACGACCATGTGTAGCTAACAGGATCCCACCAACCCAGGCTCGCATATAACCTCTCCCCCTCCTTCAACTGGAAGACCGCCATGCCCCGCGCAGAGCAGGAGACGTACATCCGCCGGCTGGCGTCGCTGGGCTACTGCTGGCAGTTTATCACGCTGGCCGGCCTGCACACGACCGCCCTCATCAGCGACCGCTTCGCGCGGGCCTACAGCCAGGTCGGCATGCGCGCGTACGGCGAGCTGGTCCAGGAGCCCGAGATGGAGCAGGGCGTCGACGTCGTCAAGCACCAGAAGTGGAGCGGCGCAACCTACGTCGACGAGCTGCAGAAGATGGTCACTGGCGGCGTGAGCAGCACTGCTGCTATGGGCAAGGGTGTCACAGAGGACCAGTTCCACTGAGTGATTGGGTATTCCTGTGTGCCAGATTTGCGTCTGTCTTTGCATGCTCGTAGGGCGAATCGGCAGTCCTATTTTGAAGTGATGTGGTTCCGTGACGTGGTATCATGAATCGGCTTCCTGCAAGGGAATCACTAATGGTATCATCTAGCGTGGTCGGATCTCGGAAGCATGTAGGCTGAGGCGGATATAAGACCGCGCATTGACTTGTTACCCTGTGAATATCTGTTCCCTTTCGAAAATTTGGAGGTTTATCTCTTGTGATACAATGAAGTTTGACAGCATTAGACCCGTAACCTTCCGGACTCCATCAATGGACGAATTTCCACAATACAAGGTGAATCGTCGATGATCGCCAAAGGACAACACCTTTGTGAAATGCCACCTTTTCCAATGGTATGATTCACTTGACCGGAAATATCAGCGCAACAATGACTCTGGAGATCCTGTGCGGGATTCCTGTAACCAGCTCGATCAGTTCCAGTGGCGCTGCATGTCCGGATGCTCGATGGGTGCACGGTAAATTGCAAGCCGAAGTTGTCTTTGAACCGCCTTCATTGGACATTCTAATACCCATCAACCTCCGGTGGTACTCCACCGACTCTGTCCCCGAAGTATTCAAGGACTCTGAGGACTCTGCCTGGACCCCAGCACTCTTGACGACGCAAAGCAGCAGTACTCGCAACTTCACAACACCAATGTCTCTGTGCTGCATGACTACATTCTCATGGCGGCTCGCTCATTTACAAGGGCCGAACGAGCCCTTTTTGAATCTGACAACATCAGACGGCTATGCATATGCGCACTCCGTCTGGCTAAGTGTCACTTTGCTCAGTTCTTCCGCGGGACTTCAGGATATCCACACACAGCCAACTCAACTCAAATACTTGAGTTGACTTCCTTGGATCGGGGCAAGCCCTACGTGTTCATTGTATTTATTGACCATATGAGCATGAATATGAATTTCTTCGACAAGACACGGTCCACTGAATGAAGGGGCGTTCTATCACGAATGCCATGGTTACCTTCAACTGGACTTTGACATTCCCTTTCGGGGGACCCACGAAGGCTGGGGTTTCCTTTTTCAGGACTGAACCTCCCCTGAGTCTATCGATCATTTATGGCATTGCTCTGGATTTTGTCTTCGAAAATGTGACAAGGTCGACGGGAGAGCTGAGTCTCTTCCAAGCACAGCCTTTTGCCAACGGCTACCAGTTTGGTAAATACTGTTATTCTAATCCTATTTGGTCCTTGTTTAAGGCCCAACAGAAAGATAACAACACACATGCAGCCATAGTCCAGGACTTTGGCCCGCAGGCCCGCTTACCTGTTCCGGAGGTATCCTGGATTACAATGATCTTCATACTGTGGATTTTGCGAGCGTTATCTATCGATGACATCGTTCAGTCAGCCCCTGAGAGGTCCAGCACTGACATCTCCGCCTCTGTGGAAGCAGAGCATACGAGCTTACTAAGAAATCGTATCTCGTCAAAGTGCTGCACTTGACAATTTCTTCCATTTCTCTTGTTTGTGGGCCAGCTTCTTCCGTGTCATACTATCGCCACAATGTCTCGAAATCCAGCATGTACTCCTAAGCTACTCTGAGTTCCCACAGGCTACCGAGGTAGCTACAACGAAGTTTGGACCGCGACCTTTTTGAGCCTGCACGCTCTGAACCCGCAAACCTTTGTCCCTGTGTGCTGGCATATTGCGCTTTACCTTCCATACACGGCTAAGATAACGGTTCTTACTAGCTGGCGCGACGTTTAACCTTGAGCCCGGCTGGCATCATCGAATCGTGAACTCTGTCAGCCTCCACCCAAACCTGTCCACCATGCCTTGTAAAGATGGGCGGGTAACGAAATACTCCATCTTGACTTGGCACATGGTGTCCAATCTCTCATATTCATCTTTGTCCCCGGTTGGCACAAGTATCATGGCTTCACTCCGGCAATTATCTTCGGCTGTGCTGAAGTGCAGCGCAGAGAAGAACCAAGCCTGCAGTACATATCCTTGTTCAGTCACAGGAAGCCCTCGACGCTCAGCCACTGTGCTCAAATATCGCACATCTCCTCTCCCCAGACGGTACGGTCCACACTGACACTCTCCGTCATAGCTCACATACCAGCAGGCAGCTGGTACTAGCAGCTGGGACAGCAATCCACGGACACGCAGGTGCCTTGCCTGCCCCAGAGTCCTACTTGCCACCAAGAGCTCCATCGGGCTGTGGCTTGCTGTCCACTGGATAGAACGCCCATCGTCGTACTCGACTGCGATGTCTGTCTGGGCGGGCACCTCATTGCCTTGGCTCCAGACATCCCTCCATTCTATCTGGCGAGTTGACGAGTGGGCTCTCTTCCAGCCGCACCATGTCCAGCTGGGGATGCCTTGTCGCCGAGTGGCAACGTCGGAATTCTTTCCGTTAAGCTTGGTCACGAACGGCCGGGGGAGGCTCCAAGATAAGCTTCTCAGCAAAGTGTGCTTGCTGGTCCCGCCTTCACTGGCAGACCACCGGGATCCAGAGCTCCAAATAGGAAGACCCCAGATGTTGCCAAGGAGGAATTCTGTGGCAAAAGTATTTTCAAGATAGTTGAGGACTCCCGCAAATGCATCGAAAGCGTCTGTATCATGCGTAAGCTCGCGCTTCATGTATTCGCGCACTCGCTCGATAAAGTACTCCTCTCTTTGCTTCTCTCGGCCTTCTGATCGGTGGTCTACGGCTGGCTGCTTGCCGGCAACCCACGGAAATACCCTAGGAAGTTTCGAATGGTCCGGCTTATTGAGCCTCGAGAGTATGTTCAACGGAATATTAAGCCCCTCTGTGCACCACAGCTCACCACACTGGAAATAACACTGGCTTTCTGTGAATAGAAGCCTTCTGTTGGACAGGAAGCCTTCTTGATATGTCCAACCACGTGTGTTCCAGTGAGAATTCTCAACCTCATCTGAGATGTTTGTAATCAGCTGTATGAGACCTATCCCGCACGAGTTCACGGAGTGAGGGATGCGGTCACGGGGGATGCCCACACCCGCGAGGCCCTCGTTTGGTTTCTCAGCCGCAGACGCAATTATAGTGAGCGATGACTCAGAATAAATCTTGTCCATGTTCCGGATCAAAGAAGCCTTGACTATTTCATCGTCTTGCCGGATACAGTATCGGTCGATCCATAGGAACTGGTAGCCCAGCCTCAGCACAACCACGATGGTATCTTCAATCAGTTTTGGCAATGCCTGAGGCAGAACGCCATCAACCACAGCTTCTGCTGGATCCGTCCCCCACACGTAACTCAACGTAACGTATGGCGCACCGCTGGGCCAGTGTACCAGCGTACGAGTTTCGCAGTCGATAACAGTGAGTTCAGCTATGGACAGCTCCGCGATTGAATTACAGTCAGGATGAGTGTGCCCACGGTTACAGTGCTGGATCCACTGGCTTACTACGTCGAGGTCTGCATGAGCTGACAGATCCCGAGCAAAAGTACCGGATGGTTGGGATTTCAAGGGCATGAAGCAACTGTTGAAGCGCAGCGCCCAGTCCTTGGCCTTTGTCCCAAAGGAAAAGAGCGGTGAAATGAAGAAGATTATTGGATTGTCCTCGCCTGAGCACCACTGTTGGTCTTTGGTGTCGAGAAATACTTCGCTGAACGTCGACGCATGGAGCGAGTATACCCTGGTGCGTGCGATTCCCGGTAGACCGGCCAGCCCAGCTGCGTCGACAGCCAGGTGGATCAAGAAGTTACAAAGAGGACAGCTGGGGTCTCTATCGGCCATTCGGACATCGCACAAGTGACAAGACCCTGCCGCCCTCACATGTTCGGCTGTCGAGCCTTTGGGAGAAAGCCAGACAGCTATCTGGTCGCAGGAACGACAAAGTCCATGATCAGAGGACCGCTGATGCAACCAAGACGCGGATGAGCTCAACCGTTCTCTGGGGACATTCCGGTCATAAGGAAGGACCTCCGTTGACATTGCTGGGCGATGTTGGTGTCTCGAGGTTGGTATGAGCCTGGCTACCTAGGTAGGGAGCCACCTCTGTCGTGAATCTAAGCGAGGATCTTATCCGGCTATATAAGTATGCAATGACTGGAAGCAGTTTTGTAACCAAATCGAAGATTTCTCGGCTGGCTGATGTGTGTCTAGGTGTAATTGCACAATTGCATAGTAGTGCTCAAGAACCCAATGAAAGGGGGGCCCAAGCACGGCAGAATTTTGGCGGAGCATAGGGATAGGGCGGGGTTGCCACGGCAGCTTCTTTCGATACCGTGTCCAAGCTGACCAACCTTACGGGTATCTCAGCCATTGTTACCTACTTCTTCGAGTATTCTTTGGAACAGGGGAGGACCAACCACCGCGGTCACACCTCGCTGAGAGCCAACGTTATCTTTGGTGGCCTCTTGCTTGAACGGTCTCAGAGCGGCCACTTCTTCACGTTTCAACTCTTCCGACAGGGCGCACGGCATCATTATTGCTGGCCGAGAAAAAAAGGCGCGCGAGACCCCCAAATGCGCCACTAGCTACGGCAGGCGATGATATGCGTGTCTTGTCAGCGAGACCGAGAGAAAGTGTCCCTCGCGGCTTCGAACCAGTTAGTCAAGGATTGCTTTGCTATCTCACGCGAAGTGAGACAGGTGCGAGCGCTCAGATCTTTGATATCACAGTACTTGATCTTCCACGCCACTGAGCACAACATTTCGAACATTGTTACCGAGGTTAGCCTCGTGAAACAGGTAGCATGCTGTACCGAGCCTCCCGGAGAGCAAAGGAGTACTTCGTCGTGACAAATAGGGAATTTCAAGCTGGGGGTGGGTGGGCTAGAAGCGAGTGCGGGATATTGACATTAGTTAGACCACTGGCAAGGGAGCAAGCAGTCTTTCCAAAGATAGTAGGTCCTCCACCTTCATTAGACGAGTTTTCAAATAATTGCAAAAGTAAGGCCTTCCATAGTCCATTCTCACTGCAGTTGCTATAGATTCCATGTGCACTTGGTCACCATGTGAATGTGGGTCAAGATTTACGCAACGATTGTGCTTGAGCTATCCACTGGTGATTGGCATCAGTATATTTGATGTGTCGGTGCGGAAGAATACTTGTTAGATTATGGAGACGATGGTATTGGGGATCGGGACGGGACGCGTCACTAAAATGGATCCGGCACTACTTGGAGAAGACGCTGACGGGAACTGACTACTTGCCAGTGGTAGGTACCCATCGGGTTGCAACTCAGCTGCGGCCTCTAAGGCCAGTCTGCGACTTTTGAAGGACTTATCCATTCTCGTCTTTGCCCAGCTTCATCATCCCCAATGAGCTGATTTTGGGGGTTTGCCGGGGCACCGCGTACTTGCCTTTTGAGCGGCCGAAATAATTATTTCTGATTTAACAGGATACAAAGTCGTAACACAACGGCCCACAAGACTCTGCCTCGCCCACCACACTTATCACCGTCCGCCGTTCGCCGAAAGGCGCTGGATCTCGCCCTGGTACCTCATCTTGAACCCGTTTGTGAGTGCCCTGACATCGGGGTACTGGTTCTTCAAGAACTCGAAGCCGTTGGGCACGACGCGCACTGGCCAGCCCATGACCCGCGACGACCGATTGGCCTTGAAGCACAGCCAGAAGTAGCCTGCGTGCTTGTTGTCGATGCAGAATGCGTAGCTCGATCGGTTGGGATTGGCGTCCATATAGGTGGTGAGCCACTTTTCTGCAGGGTGGGTAAGCAGACAAGTCGGGAGGTGGGGGGGGGGGGGAATAATGAGGATGAGGGACACATACCAAGCTCAGCCTTCGAGCCCTTCTGGAACTTTTCGCTCTGCATCAGTTCAGAGACCTTTTTGGCCATCGCCTTCACATGGTCGACGATTAACTCGTCGAGATCTGTGTATGAGTGTTTGCCGCCTACACGGAGCAGACGGCCAACAGAGAACTCGTTCTCCTTCTGCAGCTCGAGGACGTCGACGTGCTGATAGACGCCATCTGCAACCTTCCAGGTTATGGCAAGATGATCGTTGCCCTTGGATGATGGCCTGATGACGACCTCGCCTGGAGACTGGGAGCCAAGCCACTCTTCGGCTTGTGTGGCATTGAAAGGCTTAAATAAGGGGTGCTTGATGACACGCTGCGTCCTGCCCGTAGTCCTGTCCTTCTCCTTGAGCTCTTCCTTGTCGTCTTCTTCCTGACGGTAGTCCCACATATTTCGGTCGTAGTCGTGCCTCCTGTTTGATCGACGCAGCATATCCTCGCGGACAGTTAGTTTTGCCAGGAATGCTTTGCGGTCAACCTCCAGGATCTTGGCCTGGACGGTCTGGCCGACGGAGAGGACGTCCTTGACCGAAGAGCGGTATGAGACCTCGTGTGCTTCGATACGGCCTTCTATTCCGCAGTCCAACCGAACAATGGCGAAATCATCCTTGACGATGCGAACATTCACAGGAATGATCGAGTCCTCCGCCAGTGTCTCCTTGGTCTCCCCAGTGAACATGGTGAAGATCTCATCCGTACTGAGGGTCATGAAATGCCGTCGCAACTCTTCGTACGGCGCTTGCAACTCCGCCCTGATGGTCTCTAGCGTCGCTCGCTTCCGCTGGCTGTACTGCGCCTCCAGCTGTTCAGCGTATTCCTCGAGTACCAGCTCGTTGACCTTCTCTTGCTCGTCGTCTCGGAACAGCTTGCGAACAATAGCGCCAGCCCCGTTCTCGTCCGTCTCGGCTTTGACGTCTTCCTCATCAAGCTCCAGGGCATCGGCCGCCATCTTCCGTCCAAGCTCGTAGTCCTCTGGGTGTACACGAGTGTTGTCCAAAGGCTCCGAACCCGGGCTGGACGTGTCGTACTCGATGAACAGAAAACTTGCGCAATTATCCCAGACCTTCGGGCCGACAACGGGAAGCTTGTGCTGATCAGGGTCTCCCACGAGTTCATCTCTCGAGGTCACGACACCTCCATTCATGTTGATGCCCTTGATGACGGCCTGTGCTTTTCGCGGGCCGAGACCAGATACGTATGGCAGCAAGTTAGCAGTATAAGGGTCCTTGACAGCCTCGTTGATGTCGACACCACACAGATTTACCATGTCCACCATCGCAGTTTCGAGGTATTTGCTCAACTTATCTGCCGGCAGCAAATTTTGACACGGGTGGAAAGACAAGGAGATGACGTCCTTCCCAAGCGCTGCGTACTCCTTGAGAGGATTCTGGAGGTAGTGTGCAAGAGCTGCACAATACCTCGTGAGAGACGGCAGTGTGGGGTGCTCGGTGACGGCTCGAGGGCTGTCCTTGTAGAGGCGGGCAACCTCGTCATTGACAACCATGACTTCCAGTAAGTCCGTGCGGAGTTCGTTGGTCTCTTGGTCGTCATATTCAGGGCCCATGAGGCCCTTCTCGTTGACGAGGTTCTCCAGGTCCTTGATGAGTTTATGGGTGTCGGCACAGAAACCGCTGGCAGCAATGACGTCTGGTTCCCTCCTTCTGACCAGCTCTGCGAACTGTTCACGAGCCTCCTCGTCCCTAGCAAGGTTACCCAGCTGGCCGGACTCGATCACGCGACCATCTTCCTCGACCCAAGCATATGTGATCTTCTCTCGGTTCGGATCGCCCATTCCATTTGAGAGAGCGAGAACTCGAGGGGTTGTGCCGAGCACCATACCCTTGGGCTTGTAAGGGGCTTGGTCGAGCCTGCGTGTGTACTCCTCACGGCAGATCTTGAGTATTTGTTCCTGACACGTCGTTCGCATGGCATCTTTGACGGCCTTGATCATCATCTTGTCCAGCCTGGACATTGCGAGCTCCAGCACCTTCTTGCGCTCGTCGTTCCATGCGTCTGCTTTCTCGCTGAAATTGTCGGATGCGAAGTCTTGAGAAAATTGTCGCCTCAACTCGCGCTCATCCTGGAGGGCTACCTTTACCTCGACTAGGCCCTCTTCTTCAGCCCTCATCATCTTTAAAAAGATTTCCGGCTTCCTGGCGATGTCCGAGCTATGGAGATTGGTGATGTATTTAATCTCGTAAAAGGGGTGGGAGTCTTCGATTCTGCGTAGCCCCTTCTCTGTACGGCGACAGGTGAAGACGGCGTTCACCACGTAATGTTCGCGCATCCACTTGCGTAATCTCGGACTCGAAAACAGCTCTTCAGCGTACAGTTGGCGAGCAGCGTTGATGACTGCGTCCGCAGTGGAGAAGTCGCCGTCCGTCAAGCTATCTGCCAAGTCGACAGGGTGCTCCGACGGATCATCAGCGACAACTCGTTGTGTGCCCGACGGTGCGTTGGAGGCCGCATTGAGCCGGTTGGACACCACGGTCTCAGGCGGCAGGCCGTAGGCCAGGAAGAAGTCATAGGCCTTGCTCTTCCGTACCCGGTCAAACAGAGACGACCTTGCTCCCGGCCGCTTGAGTGTCTCACCATCCGTTGCGGTGACGTCCTTCAGTTGCGTTGAATACTTGAAGTTGACGTAGTCGAGCAGATCCTGAAGCTCCTCCATCTGCTTTGCTTCCGCGATTTGTTCTTCGAGCATGGTGTCTTGCACGTCAATGCCACGGAGGCTGGCAGCGTTCTTCTCCAACGCCGCTCGCTTCTCGACGAAACCACGGAACTTGGTATCGAGCTCGAGGATCTTCCACAGGTCATCCTGGTTCAGGAGCTTCTCGGCTTGAACCACGAATTCGGAAGAGTCCTGATCACGGCGATTGTAATCGGGGTTTCTCGCTTTCCGAGCGTGGATCAGATAGTCCTTGCGGTGCTGGAAAACATAAGGGACCTCGACCGAGTCGATGATGAAGAATTCCAAGACCTTGCTGACGGCCTTGGCGAAGTGCCCTTCCAGCATTGGATCCATGCTGAATTGTTTAAAGTTCCACAGCTGATCCGAGATCCATTTGGTCTCTTCCTTGAGGTCCGGCTGTATCTGGGACTTCTTGAAGGGTCTCCGGTCAAGCTGGAATCGTTCGGGTTCATCGGTGGCGCGAATCTCGTTGTCCTCATCGGTCAGGAGCCTCTCGGTCAGCTGCGAGGGCTCAAAGACGTCCTTGAGTTCGAGCTGCTGCTCTTCGATGCCTTCCTCCTCGTCTTCCTCTTTCTCAAGAGCCCACAAGTACTCTTCGCCATTGCCGAAGATTCTCTCCATGTCTTCCAGGGCCTCTTGTTCCAGGTCGGTATTCTGCATGACGCTGCCGACAAGCAGGCGATCGCGCCCACGAGCGACTTCCATGTCCTCCTGTTGCCTGATGCGCTCCTCTTCGTCGCCATAGTCGTCCTCGATGAAGTCCTCGAATTCGTCAGGCGCAGCACGGCTGTGGTTCGGGCGGGCATAGTGACGCTCGTCACCGGCCTCGTCTTCTTCGTCGAACAAGGTAGCAGCTAGTTCAGCCGGTCGTTTATTGTAACGATCCTCATGACCCCGTTTCAAGCGTTTATATGTTGTTGACTGTTGTCGTAGTTAGCGCATGTCATGGTGGTTCTCATCGGCATACAAGGGACGTTGATGGCGCACCTGGGCCTGTTCTCTGCTCTGGAACTCTGGGTTGGCCTCACCAATGAGGTCTAAATCTTCCTCGTCGAGCTGAGCTTCCTCGTCACGTTCCGCTCGCCGACGCTTCCTACGCCTTCGGCGCTCTCGCTCGCCGGAGTCGTCGACGTCTTCGTCCTCGTCATCGATGAAACCTTCCTGTACCTGCGATTGGTATTGAAGTGTCAGCTGGGGCCTCGCCAGAAGCGAACAGCTGAGCCCGCCACGGCACGAACCTTTTGTATCTCCTCTTCATCATCGTCATCGTCTTCCTCCTCGCTGGAGTCGTCTACGTTTGTGCGCTCTTGCCGGCGGCGGGGCTGGACGTCCTCGCCATCTTCATCTCCGTCGAAGGAGCCCTCCTCTTCCTCTTCGTCCAGCTCAGCACGGTCGTCAATCAGGTCCATGGTGCTCATCTTGACAGACTGTGGTTGATGCCTGTTTCTTTGTTATGGGAGGGGGCGCGATGTGGTTGACGAGGGAGCTATGGAGGTGGGCTCGCGCAAAGCAGGTGATGGTGGAGGAAGGCCGGCAGGGAGTGTTTGGGGCCAAAGACAGAAGATGCGACCTGTCTCTGTCGGGTGAGCTCGATGGGTGGGTGTGCAGTGGTGGCAGAGGGCCAAGACTGGAATATGGTGAAGAAGTTGGCTACTTGCCCGCCTTGAATGCAAGGGGAATTTTTGGAGCCAGCAAGGTGAGCTCAGCCGTGCCTACTCGGTACAGAGCGTTCACTTAGGTCGGCTTGCCGGCCGCGGGCCAGGGCGGACGGTTAGACGGGTTAGGAGTTGACGCTAGGTGGGATCGGGCCACACCTTAGCATTGGATCTCTGAGCACGGCCGGGGATAGCCCTGGGGTGACAGACAGACACAATTGTATGTCTTCGGATGCTGTTATCACTTTTACTTGTTAATACTGAGCTGTGCCATTGCAACCACAGGCTTCCATTGCCTGGCCTTCCATCCCAGCACTGTGGTGAATGCTTGGTATGTGCCTGCTTCAACATGCATCGCTATTGGACCACAGCAGCCTGAAGGACTCTGTGCCACTGTCATGGCTTGTATGTCTGCACCTGCTTGGCCCACACGCAATAATGAAGTGATCCAGAGGGCCCTTTCTTGTGTTGGCAAAGCCTGTTTGGCAATAACTCGGTGCACTCCATCTCCCAACCTCAACCACCTTCAAGCCCATCTCTTCTTACCTACTACAGGAGGGGAGGCGGGCAGCAGCTGGTTGATATGGGATTCGTCGCCTGCTGCCGCTGCCCCGTGTCATGCAGTCTGGGATATGGCCTTGTTCTATCAATGTGATACAACCCCGAACCCTGGGTCTGGGTCGTGGGTGGCAAGCCCAGCGTTTGCTCCAACGAGAAACGCGCTTGGAGCCTGCCAGACCCCTGCCGGGGTGCAGCACCTTTGGGAAGATTGGATGGCCAATTAAGAGGCCCAGGTCCGTGTTTGAGACGCCAGCCCGTTTTGGGCGTGCCACACTCATCAATGGCTTAACTCCACCACGGCCATTAGGAGCAACGGGATGGCGTCCAATTCCTCGCCAGCCCCTTTTCCGGTCCCCTTATTATTGGTTAGGCAGCCAGAACAGCTAGACAGATGCGTAGGTCGGCAGGTCGTGATACCCGCCGCGGTCGACCTGCATTCTAGGGGAGCGCAGCGCCTGTTGTACGGTCTATTGCCTGCATCCCCGTGCCGTACCGGAAAGCCAGGAACCCATTATGCCTATACAACAAGGTAGTGCAGAATAAGCGAGGTGTCGTATCCGCCCGCAGTATCAGATTTTGTCTGTTTTGGGCCTCGACTCTTCCCTTTGGAGCCCTTCTTATGGGGGGAGGGGGGGCAAACCAGCGTTGGATCTCGCCCGTGTCGCCCGTGTCGCCCGTGCGAAGGTCCAGTCGACACCCCACTGCCTCGGACGCTTGCACTGATTCAGTGGGCCCAATCCGACGAGACTTGGGCAGGCCTGAGCCAACGAACCCCTCGACCCTCCGACCCTTCGACCCTTCGACCCTTCGACTTTGGCGCTTGCCCCAGACTTGTTTCCTCCTGTTCTCTTCTGCTGGCCAGTGTTTCACTCAAAGGCAGGGAACACACTCTCTGTTCTTGTTCTCGTCAGGCTGTTGCTGTTGCTGTTGACATCCTCATCCAAAGGACAGCAGCTGGCGTCTGGGAAACAAACAGCGTATCTAGGTAGGTGTGCACCTCCCCGCCCGCTGCAGCTCGCTTGCACCTTTGGACCGCTGTTAATGAAAGCGCCCGGCACAGGCTGCACAGCGCGCCCCCGATATCGAGACCCTGCCGCTTAGAAAGCCCCCACCAAGTGACAACTACATAGCACCCATCAGCCCGACCCCGACTGCCCGACTGTCCGACTGCCCAACCGCCTCCTCGACCTGTGTTTTCTCGTCTCTCGAGGGCTCGACCTTGTTGCAACGACACTGACTGGGAGCGAGCTGCGCGACCGTTGGACAACTGCCCAGGACGCCACCACGCCGCACCCACGAGCTGGCAACTGGCACTAGACAAACGGTCTACCCGTCAAGTCTACCCCCCAGTTTACCCCTCCAACCGCGCGAGGCTGCATCAGCCTTTGCACCCTTCCCGAGGCCTTGTACGAGGGTCCCGAGACGACCTCGCGTCTCCTTCGACCAACAACTACAAGCCCGTTCCGGAAAGCCATTAGGGCCCAGCCACAATGGCCGACTTTGCGCCTCGCTCCATGAAGCGCAAGAACGTCAAGGGCCTCGCCCTGACGCCTGCGGCTCCCAAGCCGCCACCAACCTCCGAGAATGCAAACTACCGCCACTCGAGGAACAACTACTCGGAGGACACCTCCGCGCAGCTGGAGATCGGCATCGAGTTCAACCTCGACCTGCGCCCAGAGGACCTTGAGATCATCAAGGACCTGGGCTCTGGAAACGGAGGCACCGTCAGCAAGGTCAAGCACATCCCCACCAACACCACCATGGCTCGCAAGGTAAGTCGCCCCTCACCACCCGTCTGCTACTGTCCGGCATGTCTGATAGCATCCAAGGTGATCCATGTCGAGGCCAAGAGAGAAATGCGCAAGCGCATCGTCCGCGAGCTTCAGATCATGCACGGCTGCCACTCCGAGCACATTGTCACCTTTTACGGTGCCTTTCTGAACGACAACAACGATGTGATCATGTGCATGGAGTACATGGACGTCGGGTAGGCACCCCCTCCCCTCCCCTCCCCAGCTGCCCTGTCAAGGAGTCGAGGACTCTGTGCTAACCCTTGGCCCCAAGCTCGCTCGACCGCGTCTCGCGCGTGTTCGGTCCGGTCCGTGTTGATGTACTGGGCAAGATCGCCGAAGCGACCCTCGGTGGTCTGACCTATCTTTATTCGAAACACCACATTATGCACCGAGACATCAAGCCTTCCAACATCCTCGTCAACTCTCGCGGCCAGATCAAGCTTTGTGACTTTGGTGTGTCCGGAGAGCTGGTCAACTCCGTCGCAGACACCTTTGTCGGGACATCTACCTACATGGCCCCAGAGAGGATTCAGGGCGAGAAGTACACAGTCAAGTCTGACGTCTGGAGTTTTGGCCTGTCGATTATGGAACTTGCCATCGGCAAATTCCCATTTGCTGCTAGCGAGCAGCTGTCGGACGCCGAGAGCGCGCCGGCTGGTATCCTCGACCTGCTCCAGCAGATCGTCCACGAGCCAGCCCCCAAGCTCCCCAAGAGCGATGCCTTCCCGCCAATCTTGGAGGACATGATCCAAAAGTGTTTGCAGAAGACGCCCGACGACCGTCCGACGCCCGATGAGCTTTTTGTGAGTTGTTCCCGCGGCGCAGCCCACCGCGCAGAGAACTGATGCTGCATAGGAACGGGATCCCTTCGTCCAGGCCGCCAAGAGAACGCCTGTCGACCTCCGAGAATGGGCAGTAAGCCTGATGGAGAGAGACAACCGCAAGTCTCACCTGGCGCCCCAGCTCTCCCCGTCTACTCAGGATTTGCTTCGCTCGAAGGACTCTCCAGACCCGGCCGTGGATGACCGCGCGTTGGAAACACCCACATCAGGTGAGATTCCCATTGTGGGCGCTATCATGTCACCTCGTGACCAATATAGCAGCGTATCGAATCGATCCCCGACACGATCAGAACGGGGGGCAGGGAGCAGCGCTGGCCGATCAGGTGGACCGCCTGTACATCCGGGACTAGGCCAACGCGGCGCGACGACAAACTCGATACCGAAGATGATGCCTCCTCCGCCTCCGCCCCCTGGTCGGCACAGTCCCAGCCCCTCTGCCGGCTCGATCAACAAACAGACCTCCTTTGCCCTGCCCCTTCGCCCTCCTCCCCCCGGACCCCTACCACCTCCACCTCCTCGGAGACAGACGCCGCAAGCGCCAGACGAAGTTGGGACCAGCATCCGTGGAAGCCGACGACAGGCAACTTTTGGTATTCCGCAGGGCTCGAACAGTGCGTACGGAATGGGTTATCCAAACCAAGTAAGGCGAGAATAGGATTCTCTTTCTTATGTTCCCAAGCAACCAGGCACCCGACAGGCCCGCGAGCTGGCACCTTCTAACTTTCGCCTCCCAACCCCCTCGAGGATTGATCTCACTTTTCTCTCTGATCTCATTGAAGCACAGTCAGGCTGCACAAAGCTTTGAGAAAGAACCCAGATCTCTCTCCTTCTGCTTACGTGGTAGTTGTTACTTGCACAACCCTGGCGTAGCCGGCTTCGAAGGATCTGTGTGCAGGCAATATTTTGCTCGGCCCACCTTCTGCACACGTTAACGACAGCTCTTCCGATCATGCCTGCTCCAACGAATCTTGCAAGGCACGCCAAAGCAGCAGGAGTGGAAGGTCTAGGCCAGTGGTCCATTTTGGCATTTGCGATGGACGTTGTCCTAGGGGTTTCAACCATATTGCAGTGTTGCGTGGTGGCAAGCGTCGAGAAAATGTGTTCAAGGATTGGCACTTCTGTCTATTTGGCCGGCTGACAGCGTTTTGGAAGGGGGAAAGACAAAAAGGCTGCTGCTATCTGTACGGCGCATAGCCCAGACCTAGAAACTCTGAATACGAACGGTGTGGTTGGATGCTCGGCACATTTGGTGTACAAGCCTTTCTTGTTCAGTGGATCGGTTCTCGACTTGATCAATTCCATGTGCTTCTTGACTTGACACATAACCCTGTCTTCATCTGAAGCTCAGAACAATATTTTCGCGCTGGACTTGGAAGCCTGAGCCCCGATATTTGTCTATAACTTAGGCCTCATGCTGATATCAAGAGAAATCGAGCATCGACCTTCACACGTGAGACGGTGGGACCCCTTGACTGCTGGCGCAAAAGACCGCCCGGCCAAAAGGCCATAATAACCAATTCGGATTGGTTACTTCCCAGCAGTCTATAAGCCCGTACCGTCACAAAACGGAGCCCACAATACGTATTGGAGGTGGGGCCGGTACTATCTGCGGTCCTCTGATTCCTATATCTGCCTCCCCGTAAATCCCTCCTCCAGGTGGCCAATCAGTTCGTCCAGCCGGTTGATCACTAAATCGGTATGCTCATGACTGGCCAAGTGCTCATTGGCCGGGTTGACAAGGAGCACCGTTGCCGCACCTGCTCTGCGGCCGGCGGTCATGTCGTCAATGGAGTCGCCTACCATTATCAAGCCGCTTGCATTTCCTTGCCATTTCTGACCTTCGCCGTCCAGCTCAGCCACGCCATTATTGCCGCTGTCCACGATCTCGGACTTGACCTCGGCACTGTCCGCCATGAACACCTTCTTTAGCTCACCCTCGGTGCCGCCCGCGGGGGCGAGTCGCACAAGACCCCACGACCGAGCTATGTGGAGGATACCAGCTGGGTCTGGCTTAGGCGGCCGGAACTCACGTGTGATAACTTTTGCCTGTGTCAGTAAAGTGCCGCGGGGCTGAGGGGGCAAACTCCAGGAAAGCAGACAACGGCGACTCACTCGGGTGGAAGGGCTTGACGGTAGACAAGAACTTTGTGAGTAGGTGATCGACGGGCATATCAAAGTTGCGGGTGCAGATTCCCTTAGGCAGGGACTTGCTGTCGATATAGCTCATCAGCTCGACGAGGCCCGGCTGGGCCTGCTGCTTGGACATTGCCGTGCGTTCGATGTCACGGATTGATTCCTGAGGGCTAGGTCAGTTGCGGTGAGGATGCCTGTTAGGGGTGGGTCTTATCCCTCACCATGGCCTTCTCTCTGTCCTCTGGCGTGGGGAGAGAGTAGATGTGTTCGAGTATGTCGACCTCCTTGGAGATGGACAGGGCGTTGCGCATCTCACCAAACATGTAGTTTTGTGGTTTGCTACAAATCATGGCCCATTAGATCATCAAATCGCGTCGAGCCTCCCGCACGTTGCCTACAATAAATTCCAAGATCCACGAGATCCAGTATAACGGGGATGCCGTGAGTCAGATCTGGACTTCCAGGAAAAGTTGCTCGTAGGCAGAGCGTTCCTGCAGCAGAGAGAGGCAGGATTGAAGGGATACCCACCAGAGTGTTCCATCGACATCAAACACAATGCCCTATACAGCCAGTATTAGAAAACTGTATGTGAAGGAAGACGTTTAGAAGACAGGATTTCCAACCTTGAGCTCAGGCAGGTGAGTATTCCCTGCTGCCCCTTCCTTGAGGGGAGCGAATTTCCTTGCACCAGCCATTGTGGAAAGAAGTCTTCGCATGGAAAATTCAACGCGATGAGAAGAGACTTGCAAAGAGCAGCCTCGTGCTCAAAGCATGTAAGAGGCCCTCAAGCGTGCGTTGGCTGGCCTGACTCGGCTCGCCCTGATGGCCACAAACTGTTGTGCAGAAGTGTGTGACTTGGTCGGGTAAAACTCGTAGAAAACTTGGAAACTCAGAGGACAGAATTGAAAAGTCGGCGTGAGATCAATGTGAAATACAAATGAGCAGCCTGGGCTGCGACTGGACAGTGGTGACGGACGTGACTTGGCAGCAGGAGCATTCGATGTCGAGATGCTTGGTGCACGGACCCTCAACGACGCAACGCCTGCAATGGGGGAAAGTGGATCGGCCAGCGTTTCCCAGGTCTTGCCTGAGAATTGCGACACAGTTATTATTGTTGTCTCTTTCTTTACTTCTCCCTTTTCTTCTGTTTTCTTCCCCTTCGGTTCGGGGCGCATATAAGCGCTTCCGAATCATGCTCCTCAAGCTGAGCTGAGCCTTTCGTTAGACTGCCCACCACAGAACTTGAAGGATTTCTTTCTGTGAAATGTGATAGAGATGCCTAGATCGTTGAAGATGCAGGACTCGCCGTGCTGTTGCTGTTGAACTCACCAACCAGCGATATATTCTAGATTTTCAAAGTGGCAACACACAGTAAAGGCTTTGACTCTTGCCTGACTCGCAAGTCGCGAGCTTGACATATCGACATGGTCATTCGGCTGAGTCCACGAGGGCTAAAAGTGCCTCCTATAGGTGCAAATCTTCTACAGCAGTGCGCATGACGACCAGCATGTCACCACGAACGGCTTATTCGAAGAGATGCTTCACGCTGTACTGAAGTACACGTAGGCAGCAAGCCGACTGTCGAGATCTCGAATAGCAAAGTTCTTTCCGCATATGAGGATGGCAGCCAGGACTATTAAAATGATGCCTAGAGCATCATCTCACAGGAGGAATAGCGCGCCGACACCCTCGCCACTTTTCCCAGTAGCACGATGACCCTTTGTCTAATAAGTTGGACAACAGCAGCATCAGTAGTCGATCGTGGGCGTGTGTGGGGTAGCATGAGAGAAGAAAGAAGAAGAAGAAAAATGATCACAACTCTGTGTGGCAGCTGTCTGCAGTTGTCAACATAATTGAGCCATCAAGACGGCCATATTGCTCCGGTGGAGGTCAGCAGTGACCATAGGATTATCGGGATGTGACGTCGGTGGTGTTCGCCAAGGTGGCGGCAGTCTAGATTCGAGACCAGGATCACAGCTGGGCAGCTAGGCAGCTGGGGTGAAGGTCCGAAGAGCTAGGTGGGCAAGGACATACAGCACCACTGCAAAGCGCCCATCTTCTCCGCATTTTCCAGCGGCACGGCTGCACGGGTGGGCTGCTGGGGCACCAAACGGGTCGATTTGCTTGGTCTGTGCGACCTGCTCCTACACAGTAGCAGTCGTCAGTCGTCAGTCGTCAGTCGCGGGCCCATTCCAAAATCAGCGACCACACCGTCAGGCCCTTCCCAGCCCACCACCTCCATCCTCTTGCAGCCCAAGTTGCGCAGTGCCCGCTGCCCACTGCCCACTGCCCCATCCAGTCCCTCTCTGCATCGAACCACAGCTTACCCACATTGTCATGGAAGGGGACCATGAGCGCCATTCTCTCCAATAGGACCTCCAGGCGATGTGCAAGCAGATCGCATAGAAGAAGGAGAGCTTGCAATGAGCTCGTCGTCCCCATCCCCGCCGGCCGGCCCGCCAGGGCCTGCTGAACGGCCCTCAAAGAGGAGTGTGAGCTGCCGGACCCGCCCGTCTCCCCTCAAAGAAGTGCTTTCCTTCTCTCTAACACTCGTCGCAACGCCAGAAAATGCCAAACGGCACCTTCATCGACCCACAGACGGGCCAGCGATCCCGCCGGCAGTTCACCTTGCGCGGTGCCTTTCGTGATCGCGGTCGCACCAACACTGGCGATAGTCATGTCTCGATACACCCATTCTTCTCACGTGAGACCTTCTCCGAGAGGTTGGATGCACTCGGCCATAATGCGAAGGCGTCCGTCATCAACAGCTGGGCGTGGCTCAAGTCCCCCAGTGGGAGGGGGGTCCTGAAATGCGTCCTAGCCTACTCCCTCGGCAGCTTGTTCACGCTGTGGGAGCCGCTCTCCGACTTTCTGGGCCGGCCAGACGGCAAGCATGTCGTCGCCACCATCACTGTCTATTTCCACCCTGCGAGGACGGCCGGCTCCATGATCGAAGGCACCCTCATCGCCATAATAGCCGTTGTCTACGCTGAGATCATCTCTATATGTTCAATGGCTACCTCCGTCTTCTTCGGCTCAACCCTTCACATGGTTGCCGTCGCGTACGCCCTGGTGCTTCTGATATTCGTCTGCGGTGCTTTCGGGTTCGTTGGGTGGGTAAAGCAGAGGATGAACAACCCTCAAGTGAACGTTGGCAGCACGCTGGCTTCGCTGTCCATGATCAGCATCCTGACAAAGGAGAACGCTGTGCAGGAACACGTCTTCTCGAACCAGAAGATCGTCCAGGTCTTGAAAATGTTGATCTGCGGAATCTGTATTACGGTTGCGGTAAATCTTACGCTTTGGAGGACATCCGCGAGAGCACAGCTGCGGGACGGCATGACCAAGGCCTCGAGCTCCCTTGGCGAAATGCTGACTATGATAACACACGGCTTCCTGAGTGGGTCAGAGGAGGAATGGTCGACACCCGAGTTTACCAAGGCTTCGGCCGGGTACAACGCTGCCTACGCCAAGATGTCCAAGAATCTGAGGGAGGCGAAATTCGAGCATTATTTCTTGGGCGACGAGAAGATATACCAGCTAGACAAGGCTGTCTACAAGTCAATGGAGAACCTGGCACAGTCGATCGGTGGATTAAGAAGCGCAGCCAACACTCAATTCGCCTTGCTAAAGGAGCCCCCCGAGCCCGGTTCTGGCAACGTTTCTCCCGGCCAACTCTCTCCGACCCTCTACCGGACCTTTTCGTCGAGTATGAGGAGCCATCTTCCGACCCTCTCAGCAATCGATGAAGGGTCGGACGAGAGTGATGACGAGCAGTCCATTCACGGTCCCCCGTCAAGCACCCCAACTTTCCGCTCACCAAGCGACATATTCAGTCTGTTTATCGCATTGCTTGGGCCCTCGATGAAGTCCTTGGCCTTCACATTGTCCGAAATACTTAGCGAGCCGCCATTTGGAGAGGCGCCAGACTACGATATTATGATCAACGACCACTTTCGACAGAGTCTCTTCGACGCGCTATCATTATTCAACGAAAATCGAGCAAAAGCGCTTGAAGAACTGTACAAAAATATAGAACACGGACGGTTGAGGTCCGATAAGATCAAAGCCGACTTTGAGGAGGTGGCTGCAGCATGTGGCCATTTCAGTTTCAGCCTTCAGAGCTTCGGCGAGGAAATGAGTAAATACCTAGATGTCTTAGACGACCTCAAATACGCGACAGAGCACAAGCGACGGAGCTGGCAGTTTCTGGCCTTGTGGAAGGAGTTACATCAGCGGCAGACCAGAGCCCCTCTACTGCCTTTCGAGGTTGAACCAGAAGCGATCGTGAGGCCGATCAGGAGGTCGCAGCTGCCGCGAGGTGTTCCTGACCAGATGATTCGACGCAGGGACACCTTCAGCTGGGAGGCAGAGCCCTCAGCCAGCGATGTTGTCAGAATGTTGTCACAGAGATTCCTGCTATTCTTGCGGTTTCTAGCCCGAGATGACAGTAAGTGTGCTGTTGGTGGAGCGTTCTTGGACACATACTGACCGAATGCCTGCGCAGTTCGCTTTGGCATCAAAGTTGGTGTTGGCGCTATGCTCTGGGCCATGCTTGCCTTCATTCCCGACACCAAGCCGATATACATGCATTGGAGAGGCGAATGGGGTCTTCTGTCTTTCATGATTGTGTGCTCCATGACCTCGGGCGCCGCCAACACCACGGGTACCACCAGATTTCAGGCGACTGTTTGCGGGGTGATATTCGCAGTGATCAACTGGACTGTCAGCCAAGGCAATGGTGTGGCACTCCTCTTCCTTGGCGCACTGGTCGCCTTCGGCAGCTTCTGGATCGTCATCGTCCAGAACAAAGTTTCTTTTGGCCGAACAGTTCTCCTCGCTTATAACGTCTCTTTGCTCTACGCCTACCTTATTGCGAATAGAGTGGACGACGATGACGACGATGAAGGGGGGGAGACGCCCTACATTGGCCAAATTAGTCTGCACCGAGCACTTGCCGTCTCCGCAGGCATCCTTTGGGGATTGATAGTTTGCAGGCTCGTTTGGCCGATTTCGGCGCGCAAAAAGTTCCGCGAGGGTATCTCAGTATTGTACCTACAGATGGGTCTTATCTGGAAGCGTGGGCCATTGGCTATCCTTCTACGCAGCGACTGCTCGCGATCCTACCTCAAGTCGGGCGAACAGGCTGCACTACAGCGGTATGCCTCGCGACTAGAAGTATTCCGACAGTCCGCCGTATCCGAGTTTGAGTTGCGTGGGCCGTTTCCCTACGAAGCTACGGGGCGGATCATGCGCAGTACGAACCGGCTGCTCGATGCCTTTTATGCCATGAGTCTCGTCACCCAACGCCGTGGCCAACTCTCGGATGGAGAGAAGGCCCTACTCCTTTTCACGGCAAGGGAGCGTGCAGTGCTCTGCGAACGCATTTGCCATGTCTTCCAGGTATTGGCAAGCTGTTTGATGCTCGAGTACCCCCTGACAGACGCGATTCCCAGCGTCACTGGAATCCGAGACGAGCTACTTGGCAAAATTTTCCTGTTCCGCAAAGAGCACGCTACAGCCATGAGAGAGAAGAAGGAGCGGGAGGCCGCTGAGGCAGGAGAACCACCACACCGGGACGTCAACGGCACCGACGACAACGGCCACACCAATGGTAATGGCGATGCACCGGGGTCGCCAAAACCAATCGCCGTAGCCCGGCGTGGCAGCAGTAGCAGCAAGAGAAGCCACAGCATTGGCCATTCGGCACTCAGTGGGAGTCTGGCCGGCCAGGTACACCTCGAGGAAAAAGACTACGCTCTGCTGTATGCGTACGCGCTAGTCACAGGTCAAGTCGCCGAAGAGCTCAAGATTGTTAGAAAGGAAGTCGAGGGCCTGTTTGGCGTGCTGAATGAGGAGGTGCTGTTGTTGCAATAGAGCCGGAAGGATTTCTGAGCACGTATTGTGGACGGCCACCGTCGGCTAGCAGATAAATAGCCACGGCAGGCTTGATGAGGATATACATGATGGAGTTCAAGGATCCGGGAAAAGTATTCAGCATTCTTCATACACGAGACTGTGCTGGAAAGAGGTAGTGGTTATCCTGTTTGTTCGAGCACGGTGTTTCGGTCGTACTGGATGGGCCGCAGTACAAGTCATACCCAGAGAGAAATTGCATAGTGACTGTTTTCGAAAGCAGTTTTTCATATGTGTGTTTGGAATCACCACTTCTTCCAAGACCTCGGGTGCTTTAGTGGTCACCGCACTTCTCAGAAAGAGAATTCTGAAACGGCTGGCCGGTGCTCACTGGTGCCCAAGTAAGACACACCATGCGCATTCATTGCCAGGACGTGCACCAAGATGTCTTGTCATGACCAAGCCTTGAGACAAGGTAACTTGGCAAGGCTTGTATGCTCAGCACAAAATATGATTTGTCAACGGCCTGTGGCCCAACGACCACATTTCCAAGATCAGCCTACCTAGGGACCGTTCTAGCTTCGGGTCCCCCAGCACAACAGTGCAGGCCCTTTTGGGAGCCAAGATACTGTGTATGTATCCCCGGGCACAATTCAGCGACGGTATCCGTACGTAATGCCAATGCCGGGGAAGGCGTCTACTCCGATGTACCGCACAATTCAATGCTAACTTGTTTGTCATATGATTATTGCCGGTTAATCTCCTCCTCGCGCACCTGCCTGGTAACATCCTGTGTGATGCCAGAGGAAGCAGCCCCTCCCCCCGGGCGCCCCAAACTGGTCTGGCTTCGGCACCGGCGCTTTCGGCGCAATGCGGGCGGCCCCTAGGGATCCGCTCTGACTCGCTCGCCACGCGTGGGATGTACTGGGCCGAAAAGGTACGACTCGGATACGTGGACATCTCTTTGCTTTTTCCCTCCTTCCCCCATCTGAGCCGAGGATGTTGCGTGCGTTGGTTTGGTGGCCGGCGATGTATCCCAACTGGTATTTGCCGCAATAGGGTGTGGCAGACGCCAGCTTGGAATGGCTAGGGTTGTAAGAGGTCTCAAGGCAGCTGGAGCTTGTCTTGGCCGGCTGCAGCTCAACTTCATGTACTCCGTATGGGTCAGCTACCACGAGGCTTGTCACCGATGCAACCTTGTTTGTCGCCTGAGGGTGTGTCGGTCACGACGGGCTTGAGTCCTTGTCACTTGATCGCCTTGGCTCGCATTGTCATGGGTTGTACTTTTATTTTACACAGCAACTGTCGCCGCAGTAGGAATTGTTGTATGCATTACCGATCAGAATAGATCCCACATTTAAACTGCAAAGTCTAATCTACATGTATCCGCATGAGCATTAATTGAATTACACACAGCCATCAATGCCCTTCACCGCAATGTAACTTGTCTCGACGCGGTGTATGACTAGCACTTGCACGACATGGTTAGCCGAAAGTATATGCAGGTATAATATGTAGCCTTAGATAGTCCCCCACGAGAAGCGCGGTTGCCATCAGGTGGCTACAGCACCTGCGTTTACAACCAAAGGGTGTAGGTAGCTATATAGTGATAGGCTGTAGGAGCGGTGTGTGGGGTGCCTTCACCATAGGCCTTTTTGCTGACACCAGTCTACTCCTACATAGAGAGGTTTCATTGCTTATCCCGCACCTGCATTCCGACGATCTCCTCCTAGGGTGTGGGGTTGTCTGTTCCTGTGCATTTGGTTTATATAGCCAGCATGGACACTCCTCTCCTATCTGATGGGGCAGGGATTCAACCCGACTACCAGGCCGTCAACTCCATGATGGCCGCACAAAGAGTCAGCGAGGCCGCCCTGGTCCAGGGGCCAGGGGACACGAAGAAGCCTTGCAAAATTGGAAATACCTCTGATGAGACCCGATCTGCCGTCGATGACAACCTTGTCGCTAACCCGTTTGCGGACCCCGCGGTTGCGGAGCACTACAGAGCAGTCTACGAGAAGGCGCAGTACGAATGCCGGCACGCATTCGACCCTGAGCTGGAGTGGTCGAGGGAGGAGGAGAGGGGCCTCGTCAGGAGATTGGACTGGCACGTTTGTACATGGGCTTGCATCATGTGCTTCGCTTTACAGGCGGACCGCGACAACCTGGGCCAGGCAGTCTCGGGCAACATGTTAGACCAGCTGGGACTTTCCACCAACGAGTACAATTACGGCCGGACGATTTACTACGTCTGTTTCCTCCTTTCCGAGGTGCCGTCTCAGCTCATTTCGAAAAAGTTCGGACCTGATAGATGGATTCCTGTCCAGATGGTGGTCTGGTGCGTATCTAACTAACGTTACACATAATATCAATATTGATATTGCGGGATAATGGGGATAACTCGACTGACGACATGACACAGGTCGGTCATTACCTGTACCCAGGCTGGTATGACGGATAGGAATGGTTTCTATGCAACAAGAGCATTGTTGGGTATTTTTGAGGTATATACGTTCCAGAAAGAACGTCTCAACACCGAAGATCATCGACTGACATCAATAAACAGGGAGGGTTTATCCCGTATGTACCTTAGAGGCTGCCCCTTGTTGTGAAGCCGATGGGGCCTCTTGTTGGAGCGAATTTCCTCATTATTTAGGATATCATGCTAATTGAAACCAAGCGACCTCGTTCTCTGGCTCTCATATTTCTACACCAGCCGAGAACTGCCGATGCGACTAGGCTTCTTTTGGACAGCAAATAGCCTCACTGGTATCGCCACATCGCTTCTCGCATTTGCATTACTTCATATGGATGGTATTAAAGGTCTGGCTGGATGGAGATGGTTATTTCTAGGTATTGTGCCCCCCCCCCCTGGACCTGACCGCGCATACCCCGGCGCCGCTGGATATTAGGGAGAAAGAAGCCATTTCTGACGATCTCACAGTCGAGGGGTTGGTCACCTTAAGCGTTGGCAGTAAGTAACTTGAAGCCGTCTCTGCGTGTGAGCATTCTCGCTCTGAGATGCTCTCGCACCTTTGATCTGATGCCACAGCAGCTCTAACTGAGTGGGTCATATTGAACAAAGAGAGAAGGATGCTAACCAAGCCCCAGTCGCGTCTTTCTTCCTCATGCCAGCCTCAGCGGTCCAGACGCGGACTTGGTTTCGCCCGAATGGTTGGTTCACCGACCGAGAGGAACGCATAGTGGTGAATAGAGTGCTCCGAGATGACCCGTCAAAGGGCGATATGCATAACCGCATGCCAATTACTCCTAGGCGGCTCTGGCAAGCTGTTACGGATTACGATCTATGGCCTGTATGTGTAGCCCCCCGACGGATGATGCTCAAACAAAGCCCACAAAAGTTACCTAGGTGCTGACATGCCCAGCTTTACGCCATGGCCACAGTGATATTCATCCCCACTAACCCGCCGGAACATTACCTCACCCTGACGCTTCGTGAGCTCGGTTTTGATCCTGTGAGGCCGCCCCTGCCCGTCGCCAAGTTGTGAAGCCTGTCTGACGATTAGCAGTTCATCACAAACCTTCTCGTGATCCCGAGCACAGCCATGGGCATTCTTACCCTTCTGGCCATAACCTGGGTGAGCGAACATGTCGACGAGCGAGCGTTTGTTTCCATGGTCCAAGGCATCTGGAGCTTACCCTGCCTGCTGGCCCTTCGCTTCTGGCCCGGTACTATGGTTGATGCGCGGGGCACCTACGCCCTGGTCACTGTGCTGCTCAGCTTCCCCTACTGCCAGGCAATCGTTGTCGCCTGGACGAGCAAGAATTCTGGATCGGTGCGCACCAGGGCCATCAGTGCGTCCGTGTTCGCCATGATGAAGCAGGTGGGATCCATTTCCTCGTCCAACATATACCGAGAAGATGACAAGCCGCTATATCACCGGGGAAATAGCATACTAATTGGGATCAATGTGTTGGCGATTGTGCTGTTTCTGTTCACCAAGTGTTACTATGTCCTTAGGAACAGGTGGAAGGCTCGTCGCTGGGAGGCCATGAGTGAGGCAGAGCGACGGGACTACTTGGAATTCACCAAGGACCAGGGCAACAAGAGGCTGGATTTCAGGTTTGCCCATTGAACAACCAGGTGGATGTTTTGAACGCTCGTCGTCATCTGTTGTGATAGATTAAAGCATGTAAGGGCGGTGGTAATGATATAGATGAATTTGTGCAGGCTGCCTAGGTAGTTACCGGCCCGCTGCCCACATGCCCACGATTCAAAGGAGTGCGTGCCCAAATGGTCGAGCAGATAGCTCACGAGGTAGTCGTCGAATTCGGACATGCTTGGCTGGTAGTCAGTCGGTCACTTTGATGCCGACACGATGTTCGACCGAGGGCCACGGCATCCGGCTCGTGTGGCTCACGAGATGGAATTACCCGCTTGTGGTCCAGGACTCCCGTGCCTTATTAGTCGGTAACGCCGGATGAGGCGCCCCATGGCGCAGGGAGGCGCAGGAAGAGTGAGGGTGCATGTGCATGCATGCAGGCTGCAGCCATATGTAAGAGCCGCCCAGCCGAGCGGGCGACTGCTTATGACGTGCGTGGGGCTCGCACAAGGGCTATGGGTGGGGTGTCAGTGCCAAAGTTGAGGTCTGACAGACAGGCAGGCAGGCAGGCAGGCAGGCACAAGAGGACTGGGGGGTTGCTGTGCCAGTGCTAGTGCCAGTGTGAGTGTGTGAGTGTGAGTGTGTGCATGCCGTGCGAGAAATGAACCAGAGCTGTTGCACAAGCCCCGAGTGCTAACCGAGATGGAATGGATGGGATGGTCAGAGTGGCCAGAATGAGGATTGGCAGTGAGCCTCGGGGGTCTTGTAAATGAGCCCTACCTGGCTGACCTTCTTGCTGTGCTGCTACCTAAGTACCTACTTGAAGTACCCATGTACCCAGGCAGGTTCGTTAGCCCAGGAGCACTGGCACTCTGGGAGCTGTCAGATCGAAAACGGCAGATTCTAGCGAGCGGTGAAATCCCTCCCAATCTGATGACGGAGTTGCACAGGTGTCCCGCGCTGGTGGGCAATGTGCAGAACAGGGAAAGTGCTGCCTGCTAAAATAATAAGGGGGGGGGGGCACGGGAGCTAAGCAACGATGCCACCCGCGCGGGTTTTAAACGGTTACGTGGTCCGTCGTCAACAAACGTCCCCCCCAACAGGCGTCGTCCCTTCCCTGCTTGAACTTGCAAACCAGCCAACCCGACCAACCCCCAGTATTTACTTAAGTACGTAGTCGCTCAGGTCAAATCCTGGGCTGCGCCGACTGCACTGCATCGTCAGCCTGCCATTGCCGGAGCCCTTTTGCTCGTCACTCGTCACCCGTCACCCGTCTCTCGTCCCGTCACGGCTGCGACTTGCCTGCTTCAAGGTCCACCCACCTCCCGGATCGTCGTCACTGGCAAAACCTCGACGTGCTGTCCCGCCCACCAAACATCCCGGCCACAAGAAAAAAGGGGGCAGCCAGTCGAGCTAGACCGTCCACAATAAAATCGCCCCTGCTTCTCCCGACAGTGGCTCGTGTAACTCGTCCTATGGAGCGTAGCCGCCTCCGAGCACACTTCAATTGCCTTACTCTACGTTAGGTGGGACCAATACGCGAGCGAAACCACCGCCAGCCATCATGGCCGGTATCGAGCAGCTCGAGATTCACTCCAAGGTGGGTTGCGCGTCTGAGCCAGCACGGGCTACTGTAGCTGCTACCTCGCGATCTCGACAACATGAGGCTGACGTGCTGTGTGGCTGTCGCAGTCATACATTGTCCGATGGGTTAAGGTAGACGAGGGCCACACCATTTCATGGAGTGTTCAGCCGCACAAAAAGTCCATGTGAGTCTGTCTGCCTTGGGCTCCATCTAATTTTTGCTTGTGCCCATAGCTTGGTTCCCAGATACTGATAAGTCCCGCCTAAACCGCAGCAATTTTGGAATTGTCAAGCACCCCGGCAGCGGCAGCACCAACCTCACCATCAACCAGTCCGAAGAAGCGACCGACGCCCTCGATGGCACCTCTGAGAGCGGAAAGAAGGGCGTCTTCGCAAAGAAGGACTCGAGCAATGCTCAGGAACAGTTGACAAAGAAAGGCTTCAGGGTCGTGCATTGGCATGGAAAATGCGAGGCCGACAAGGTATCCATGGGCACTTGGGACGTCGATCACGATCATGGCGGCATGTATGGCCTCATATTCGACAACACCTTCTCGAAACAAACCTCCAAGACTGCCACATTTGTGCTCCTGACGTACCCTACCGGCGCACCCCCGCAGACTGCGCGTAACTTGCCCAACCTGCAGGCCGGTAACAGCGCGAGCGCCAGCAGGACGAGTTTGGGAAACAAGGGCGGCCCAAGCCCCAGTCTGAGGCCCAGCGCGGGAGAGTCGGTGGATAGTCTTCACAGCCAGAAGACAAGGGGCCGGGCCGCATCCAACGCGCGAAGTGAGGCCGCCAACTCTATGACCTCTGGGAATTATCACACCGGTGCCCTGCTGAAGAGGAGGCGCAAGAAGGGCCAAGGTTACGCGAGACGGTTCTTTTCGCTCGACTATGCGACCTGCACCCTCTCCTACTACCACACTCGGAACTCTTCCGCGCTCAGAGGAGCCATCCCATTGAGTCTGGCAGCCATTGCCGCGGACGAGACAAGGAGGGAAATCAGCATCGATTCTGGCGCCGAGATCTGGCATCTCAGAGCCTCCAATGACCGAGACTTCACGGACTGGGCACGAGCGCTGGAGAAGTCGAGCCGGATTGCCCGGGGCCTTGATCCAGCTTTTCTGGAGCCCGAACCGGTGAAGCGGCAGGTAACACGGCGCTCTTTAATCGCCCCGCCGAATAACCAGGAGGAGGAAGACCGGGAATGGCAGCAGGTGGAGGCTCTGGTCAGCCGTGTCGTTGGGTCGCGCGACGCGCTCCGACGGCTTGTTAAGGATATGGCGGCACAGAAGCAGACCCATGGTCCACGGCCACCGTCATCCCATCTCTCTCCTGGGACCCCGACCGTGGCGGAAGAGGGTGATTACTTTACGCCAATGCCGGAGAGGAAGCCCTTCTGGAAACGGAAATCTAGCGCCTCGATAACACCGGGGATGCAACCTTCTGTCTCTTCAGCCTTGGCGGTACCCAGCCCCAACACTGCCGCAACAGCTGTCGCCCCTAACGGGACGACCAAGGAAGAGAAGAGGAGGTCGAAAGCTTCTATCCCAGATGAAAGCACGACGGCGGAGCACTGTAACGCCCTGCTCGGAGACCTCGACGCGGTCGTGGCAGAATTCTCTAATCTGCTATCAAACAGCAAGCGACGCCGGTTGCCGGCAGCGCAATCTGCTGCATCTCGGGTGAGCATGGAATCCACGACGTCGGATGAGTTTTTCGATGCTGAAGAGGCTGGCGATCGGTCGCAACTTCTCGTCATCGATCACCAGAGCGAAGAAGAGACCCCCGCCTCGGAGGTGGACGAGGCCGAGGTACACGATGCGTCGTCCGTCTCTAGCGTTGAAGGAGATGATGATGCCGCAGGTCGTTCGGAGAATCAGGATGACTACTTCCCCAGCAAGCCAAAGTCACTCACACCTCTGCCGGTGACTGATCAGGTTGCGCGGCGCAAGACCATTCCTCCGGCCAAGGTCATGCCTCCCAGCCTAATAGCTTTTGTGCGCAAGAATGTCGGCAAGGACCTTTCAACAATCAGCATGCCAGTCTCCGCCAACGAGCCCACATCTCTCCTACAGCGTGTCGCCGAACAGTTAGAATACGCGAATCTGCTCGACCAGGCAACAAAACAGAACCAGCCTAATGAACGTATCCTCTACGTCGCTGCCTTTGCCATCTCTCAATTCAGCGGGAGTCGCGGCAAGGAGCGTGCCATTCGCAAGCCTTTCAACCCACTGCTGGGTGAGACGTTCGAGCTCATCCGCGGCGAGAACGAAGTGCCTGGTGGACTTAGATTAATTGTCGAAAAGGTCACGCACCGGCCAGTCCGGCTGGCGATGCAGGCCGACTCGTCGCTCTGGTCCTTCGCACAGAGTCCTGCACCTACACAGAAATTCTGGGGCAAGTCTGCAGAGATCACCACCGAGGGCCGGGCACGCGTCGTGCTGAGGTTGCCTGACGGCACCGAGGAGCGGTACAGCTGGAACATCGCCACAGTCTTCCTCAGGAACGTAGTCATGGGCGAGAAGTATGTGGAACCTGTAGGGAATGACATGCATGTCATCAACGAAGGCACCGGTGCTAAGGCTGTCGTTGAGTTCCGCTCGAAAGGCATGTTTGGCGGGCGAAGCGAGGACGTACAAGTCGAGACGTATGATGCTTCCGGTACACATACCGGTCTGTCGCTGGCGGGCACATGGACGAACTCTCTGAGGAGAGTGGAAGCCGGCAAGGCTGCCGGTGGAGAGATCTGGCGCGTAGGGAGCCTGGTGGACAACGCGGCGAACACCTACGGCATGACAACCTTCGCAGCCAGCCTCAACGAGATCACACCTCTCGAGAAGGGCAAGCTGCCGCCGACGGACACAAGGCTCAGGCAGGACCAGAGGCTTGCCGAGGAGGGAAAGCTGGACGACGCGGAGGAGTGGAAGGTCAAGCTCGAGGAGGGCCAGAGGGCCCGCAGGAAGGTTCTAGAGGACAAGGGCGCCGAACACAAGCCCAGATGGTTCACCAAGGTGGCCACGGTCGGGGATGGCGAGGAAGTGTGGAGGCTCAAGGTTGGCAAGGATGGGTACTGGGAGGAGAGGGCCAAGGGTCAGTGGACAGGCGTGGAACACATCTTTGACGTCTAAGTCGTCAGCTGTGGGCTTGGGCTTGGGCAAGTGCATCTGTATATTTCTGCATTGCCATTTCTCTAGCGGTCAAATTCATCCCTGCCATTCGAAGCGACAATAATGTTCTGCCTACTTGTTCGGCCGGGATTAACTCGCACTGCAAATTGCCACGGGCGGCCCAGCTAGTAGACCCGTGACACATTGAGCAATGATGAAAGAGAAGAACTCCGGGGCTAGCTACGACCTGGGACTCGATAAATCGAACACATGTCAAGTAGATGTAGTGTCTACTACTGACAGCTCTCCCTGGCCGCTTGAAAATACTGTACCGCTTTGCGTAAAGCCTGAGATCTAGAATTCGAATGGACAATAGAATTTCTCTTGTCTCGGTATACTTCTCTCTGTCATAACTACATGTCTCTTGTCACGTCACTCTGATGCCTCAACACCGCATGGCCCCTGCCTCCCCCCCCCCCCCACCCGGCATCTCTCGACCGCCAGGATCATTCCGCTTGAAGGCCCTTTCATTTTTTTGAGCATCTTTCCAGGCTTGTTAGACATGATTCCTGGAATATAGAGCCTTAGAGCCCTTGGCACGTCTAGAATCAAACACTGCCCGGAATTGCCGGAGGTGAACCAGTCGATTTCTTGACTCGCCTTAATTCTGTGAAACCGGAAATTCGTATACCTACCTAGGTAAAGTCGGGCTGCGACACCCCGTCCTAACTAGTCATACCACCCGAATATGCCCAATCTCAAGTTAATTGCATGTTCGACATGCAATTAATCCTCATAGCTATGAAATTTAACTGCATCATATTACTCATGCTGTCATGAATCATGCGTTTTCTTGCCGCCCTTGCCCTCGCCGCTGGCTACAATTACGACCGACAACTTATCGATAGTTCTCTCTGCCCCTGTCTGCCATGTTCTAGCTACCCTAGGGTACCTAGGTATCAGCTCTCCACCAGAGGATAAGGCATCCGATAAGACCATCCCAACACATGTTGGCTTTTAAGAATGGGTAATTTGCTTGCTTCGCTTGCCCAAAAGATGTTGCAGCTAGGTGGTGTAAATGAAGTTAATAAACTGGAGGGCTTGGATGGCTGTAGGTATCGCTAGTTGGTCAGGAACAGGCATGGGGCAGCTTCCAAGGCTGGTAATACGAATACCCGGTTTCTATTTATTCTATCCCTGAAAGCTTAAAAGACATTAAGGGTACTTAGCGACAATAAGGAGACATGTGCTTGCTAGTCAGTAACCTCGATGTCAGAGCATATAAATCAGCACTCCTGAAGTCCTTCATGTTCACCGGCTTTGTAACGGTAGCACCTTGAATATTTGTGCCATTCCACCATCGCAAGCAAATTCAGACCTACCAATACTCTGAAGCCTTGTCTGGTTCACAAAATTCACCGTATTTCTTTGTTACAATGAAGTTCTCCCTTCCTCTCATCGCCCTGGTGGCCGGTCTCGCCGCCGCTGCGCCCGCCGTCGAGCTTGAGTCCAGCAGTCTGGAATCCCGGCAGTTGAAATGCCCTCCCTGCGACGAGTTCCATGTTTGCACTTGTGGTTTCACACTAGTAAGCTTCTCTTGTTTCCTTCGGTTTCTAATTTCATCAAAAATATCAATGTGCTAATTTCAAATTTCTAGTGCAGTTGTTCGCCCAGCTAGAGGCTCGGACTAAGACACCTTGTTGTAACTTTTCTTTCGCGCTGGTTCAAGCTACAGGGGAAACCCTGGGAAGACACTGTATTATTTGGGTGCTAAGGATCAGCAGACCAGCTGGTCACGACTGTCGATTAGCATTTGGGAACTTGTGCCTCCTAACTACATGTTTCAGTCATCCACGCGATGCAAGGCTCTCACCTACTGAGTACTTCAAAAGTAACATCAAATTCTTAATTAAAACCCTTGATTGACGTGTAACGTGTAACTCAACTCAGAAGCCACTACGTAGTCTACTGCCCAGATTTAGATGGTTCCGTTAATTCCCATACTTATAAAACGTACTTAAGTATGTAGCGCCTTCCTACAGTGGTCAACGCTCAAGACCCAGCGATGTAGAAAAAGACACAATGCCAATAACGGAGTAAGAAGACTCTGCGGGCACATGGTCTCAGCCTCGTGCCGCACGTACACGTGTGCACAGACAAGGCTAGGAGGCATCGCTCCCGACGGCGCCGCTGACGCCCTCTCTGAATCTTGCTGTTTCTCATACTGTGTCGACCAATCTCGTTGTACCCTATCCAGAGCTCGGATAGGGCACCCTTCTCGCGGCCTCAGGTCATGTTCGCAGTCGCCAGAATCATCAGCTTCCAATACTTGTTGATGCCATACTCAATGCAAGTCTCAGCCGCTTTCAAGGCTCTTTCGACTGGGTTCCAATCAGTATGACCAGGGATATCACCGTCTATTTAGAGCTTACGGTCTTCGAGCGCCAGCTGTATATCCCAATCTTGTGTGGCGGTGGCCTCACATAGTGGTATAGCTACTATGTATATAGGCCATGTTTAAAGAACCTTAGTGCGCGCTTCGGTAGGTAGGTAGTTCATGTGGAGCTGTCTACTACTGTACAAGCTGGACAACACAGTTCACAGAGTTGGAGACGCACTCTGGGACAATCACTCTTTGTGTAAGGAAGTATGGTTGCCTGTTAGGCAACACTGTGTGTGACTCTATAATTAGAGCATTCCCTCTCAGAGAGAGGAATTAGGAGTCTAGCTATGCAAGCAAGCCAATGAAGGATGTCTCCCAATTCACAGTACTCTGTAATGAATAACCTTGGAAGCCATGTTGTACTGTCAACTCTGTTCTCCGTGGTGAGAGGCTTGGACTCTTACCCCTGTCAGGCTGGTCTGTGCATTAGCGCTTATCGCTCTTATCCGTGGACCTGCCGTAGCCTACAGATGGCCTCATAATTCCACCGCCACCATCACACTCCTTCTCGATTCTCTCGCTCCTTCCTGACCCATTACGTCGAGTTTCTAAAGAGCCTTAAGAGAACTGAAAACGGGCTTTCAACTACGGGGACGTGCCTAGAACAAGCGAGAGCATCACCGACAAGACAAGATGGATCCCTACTCTTCGGAAGGCGAATTAATCAACATCCACGCTGCGTTCCACCAGTACCAGTATCAATCAGTACTCGACGACTTTGACCCATCATCCTTCTCGGCCGAGAACCACCTGCCCGCGCGGGTCCTCCAATTGCGCGCCCGCATTGCGCTTGGCCAGGGCCAGGAAGTGCTCAGCGAGGTCGCGGGCGCCAAGGAGCCCGAGCTGAACGCTGTCGGAGCACTGGCGGAGCTGAGCCTTGGAAAGGAGGATTCTGCGGCCGCATCGATCGAGAAGCTGCTGGCCGATGGTGGGGATGCCGTGGCTGAGAATGCCATCGTGCAGGTTGTGGGGGGCACCGTGCTCGCGAGCGTGGGCAAGGCGGACGAGGCGCTGCAGCTGTTGGGCCGCCACCAGGGGAACCGTGAGTTCTCTTGCCAGTCATGATTGGGCAAGCTGACAGCGAGACTGACGTTGGTACAATGCCACAGTCGACGCAGTTGCCATGATTGTACAGATCCATCTGCAACAGAACCGCAACGACCTGGCATTGAAAGAGGTCACTGCCGCGAGGCGGTGGGCCCAAGACAGCATCCTGGTGAACTTGGCAGAGTCCTGGGTCGGACTGAGACTGGTATGAACTCCTTTTCTTACGTGGGCATCACGGGCGGGCAGAAGAGCTGATTGATCTTTTACCTTCATCCTAGGGCGGCGAAAAGTACCAGCAAGCATTCTACGTCTTCGAAGAACTCGCGCAAGCACCATCCACCTCCTCCGTTCAAACACTCGTCGCGCAGGCAGTGGCAGAGCTGCACTTGGGAAGGACAGAAGAGGCCCAGTCCGCGCTGGACCAGGCGCTGAAGAAGGACCCCAGCAATACCGAGGCGATTGCCAACTCGCTGGTGCTGCAGGTGATCATTGGGAAGGACGCCGGAGAGCTGACAGCATCCCTGAAGAAGGCGGCGCCCGAGCATGCGCTGCTGAAAGACCTTGAGGAGAAGAGCAGTCTTTTCGATACGGCGGCGGCAAAGTTCAGCGCAAAGGTCTCGGCGTAAAGGGGACATCATTACAGGAGCATGTGAGCGGGAGACATGTCACTCTTAATTGCTTATGAGCAGCGGAAATGGAAATGATAGACTTGATCAAACAAATCGCTGCCCTAGACCAAGAGCACGGTCGGACAGTTCTGGCAGTGCTGACATTGGGGTATGCATCTTCTGTCCTTCGAAACTCTGGGCAGTGCCCATCCATCTCCAGTACATCACAGCGCAAGCGAGGTTGGGCATTTGGTGCTGAGCACTCCCCGAGTGCTGATTTGGGATCGTCCTTTGAAGCAGACGAGACAGGGGGATAACAAGGGAGGGTTGGCTATCCCCGGCGTGACCGCGGCAGACTTGTTGTATGTGGCCGCGTGGGCGCGTGGGCGCGTGGGCCATGGGGCGTGGGCTGTGGTGTGGTCAGATCTAAATAAATCCTGGGTGTATGAGTGGTTCAGCCTTGTTTGGATGTACGGACTTTACAGAGCATCCGAAGCTTCCGAACCGCCCACTGTCGATGGAGTAGATATGTAAGCAACATCTGTCCGAAGGCGCGAGACCACAACTCTTCCTCTAATTTACTCTGGTCTCCTCACCTGAATAATTTGGCCTGACCTGTTTATACTCAACCTTCAGGACTTGTGGGCTTTTGTTCTGGCCATCCCAAGGTCCACGCTGTGGCGGTCAGATCAAGGGCGCCGTCGCCACTACTCGATAATGCTCAAGTGCTCAGTTAGAGCACAGGCGAGCCCCTCACCCTTCCCATACACAACACACAACACATCGTCTTCTTCACTGAACTGTGAGCATTGATCCCTGCTCGTGGCCAAGATCCTCATGGCCTCCATGCGCACCTCCAGCCGGGCACTCGTTCCCATGTCTTTATATCTTCGGGGCCGCCTTGTACGGGATGCTCTAGAGCTAGCGATCGGTTGGCTGCTGGCATCTCACTTTCCGTTCACCAACTTGGTCGTCTACGACGGCTCTTGCGATGATCGGCCTGCTACAAGTGTACGGCCGGGGCATCTCATCAGAACATTTCATCAGAAAAGCTGGTTCTCGCAGCCTTGGTTATGACTCCTACGTGCAGGAGTCGCCAGCAGCCTGGAAGAAACGCGAAACCCAAGTGGGTTCGCCTGCCGACATCCTCAGCAAGGGATGATGCAGCCAGCAACATCAACATCGAAACCGAAGCAACTGTGTGCGTCGTCGATCTTACCACAACCACGACCTGGCCGCCCGGCGCGTTCAACGTTGCCTGCGCGATCCCGACTCCACGAACCCAAGCAGATGACGCCTTCGTACTCCAACAACTACGCGCCGCCTTCCTCACAGAGACCCTGGCCCTGGGTCTGGGTGCTCACGTTGCCATCCGGATGTTGACAAGGTGGCCGAAGCTGCGCGAACCTGGAGGAATTACTGTGGTACCCAACGCCAAGACGGATATCGACAGCTTGGGAGCCGAGATCACATTAGGAAGTTGAATCCGCCCCCGGTCGCCATTGGGTTTACGAACATGTGCTCAGGGTACACTTGGCTCAATAGCGGACGGGCTAAGCGATGGTGGCTTCGGAAACTCGAACGACAGCCTCTCCCAAGCAGTTGGAACCGAGCCACGGCTGCCACGGCGTGGGCTGCACGATCCTTCTTGCCTTCGTCCTGTGGGTGGCGGAAGGCAGGCCGTTGCCAAAAAGAAATCACTCACAACAGGTGACATCGGGCGGCTTGGATTGCTAGTGCATGCGAGGCCGTACTATATCCCAAGAGAATGGAAATGAGGACATGCAGGTCACAGCCATCAGAAGCTGCACGGCTCCAGGATGGTGTGCAACCCTGCAACCACCCGCCGGCGAGATCGTCCTCCCTGAGCGCCAGAAACAATGCGATAGCCGGCCCATTTGGACGAATTGTGTGTGCGAGCGTGACAGCACAGCGGTCAAACAATACAGGACACATTCGACCCAAGATACCCCCGGGGATTACCGCAGGGCGGACACAGGAGGAAAAGAATCCAGTCGTTAAACGCACCCACCAGCAACACAACCTTCCTCCAGGCTAGTGATAATTTGGGTGCATGTGCGGGACTGGACCGGGGGGCTGCAAGAGTTCACCGAAAGAGATGAATGGTCCCGGAGGAGCGGAGGCGCGTCGTGCTAGCTGCTGAGGGGAGTTCGCCGAGGCTTTTTTACCGAGCCAAGAGACGCCGCAAGCCATCGAATGTCTTGCGGTTACCCCGGAAACTCCACACAACGGCGATTCAAGACAGGCTCTGCGAGCTGGACAGGCTGGAAACGTGTCCCGTGTCCCACCGTTCACCAGAAATGTGGACGGCACGGACGACCCACGGTGACCGGATGCCAAGGCCAATTGGACGTGGTCCCGCGCTGGTCACGACCATAACGGGCCACAGACAAACCGGAGGAAGGTACTGTGGCATTGTCAACTCCAAGTGGCGAGATTCAGAGAGCATTTTCAAAAAGCACTGTGTAGATTCGAGGGGCAAACCTGGCAGAGGCCGAGGCCAGGGCCACGGGCCGGCAACCTGATGGGATGGGACAAGGAAGCAGCAGATCCCAACGACATGCCTGTGTGGCAGGACATAGCTGACGGGAGGCAAGCTGTCTGGGCTTGTTTCGGTACGTACATACATGATGGGATAGAAGAGGTGAGTGGAAAGGTGGGAGAGATTGCTGTTGTATCTCAAACCGTTTCATGGTCGAGGCTTTGAATCTGTTGCGCACGCCCACATTGACGGGCAGACGCAGGTACGGCACCGTATCAAACAGGCTTTGCAAAATATTGGACCAAGCTGTCGTTGACTTTTCCCCTCTTCTCAAAGTACAGTATCTCTCCTTTCTCGCCTCCCCCCCCCCCCACCTTGTCCGCTCTCGTCTACCTTTTTTTTTTTCGTCCTTGCCGACCGCTGTCTCTCGGCTGGCCTCTGTCATCTGGATTCCACTTTCAGTAACACTTTCAGTGTGTCAGAGACACCGCCCAAAGTCCCGCAGGTGCAGTTCGTGCTTGGCTGGGCGAGGCAAGCTGGCAAGTTGACGAGGTGTTTTCGGTGGGAGGGCGGGGGCCAATGGCGGGGGCAGGCGACTTGGGGGGCGGTGGAAGTGGGGCTGAGGCGCAGCTTCTCTCGTTTCGAGAAGCTTGGAAGCTTGGACGTCAAGTGCAGCTCGAGCCAAGCGGGAGAGTGCGAAATGACTCTCGGGCCCTAGGGCCGGAGAGGAGCGACGATTGGGAAAGGCGGGCACTGGAGCACATGGGAGGAGCAATCTGGAGCAGTCTGGAGCAATTTGGTTGGGATCATCTGGGATCGCCTGGGATCACAGGATCAGTGAGGGACATGCAGACATGCAGACATGAGGATTCAGGGTCCTGGGGCCAGCTTGGCGGATCCCATCGCCTGTCCCTTGGATAATTGTGGTTCTGGGTCTGGGTCTGGGTCTGGGTCTGGCTGTTCACTGTTCTCTCCTCCCCTCCGACCCTGCGTGTTCCTGTTATTGATCTTATTTTTGACAGGCAACAACCGGACAGCTCCCACCCAGTGCCCCCAGGTACCCACTATGTGTATCGCCCCCCAGAAAGACAGCTCTCTATCTCCTTGTGTCTCTCCTTGGAGCAGTTCCGTGTTGCAGCCGTCCCGATCCACCGCTGGGCCGCTTGCCGGTCTCATAGTCTGCCGGTCTGCCAATCTGCCAGTCCACTCAGTCTGGGGCATCCACTTTGGCCACTCTCCTCCTACTCGCCTTCCCTGCTGCCAGGTTCCAAGACTCCAGCTGCCAGGTTAGGCCCCTTATTGTCGTCCCCAGTTTTCCTCTCATACCTGCAGGGTTCCTCGATACGGTAGGTGCGAAGCCGCCCGCCGCGGCAATGGTCCTCTTCTCCTAGTACGGGTACCCGTATAGGGAGGATACGTGCGGGTTACGGTGCTGCGCGGCACACACACACACGCCTCCACGCACACATGCACACACAAACACACACACACACATGCGCAGCGACCCCCTACAAGTTTTTTTCTTGTTGTCTACCCAGACAGCCAGAATGACAAGGGGGCACGAACGGGCACGGAGAGCAGGAGCCTGGCAGATTGACACTGCCGTGAGTATGCCTACCTCCTCCTACTCCAGCCCCGTCCCGTCCCCGTACGCACCTCCCTTATATATCGCCACCGCCCAGCTTGCGCAAGTGGGTGGTTTGGCCTGTTTCTGGTCCCTGACGTGTTTGCTCTCCTTCACCCTGCTCTCCGTTTGCTCTTTGTTTTTGCAGTCTAGGTAAGCAGGCCGTGTAATAATAACCTTGGATGTTACTTGCCCATCCTTTGTGCGCGCAACTGTATCTCTCTCTCTCTCCGTCGCACCTGCCTTTCAACCTGCCAGAGACATTTCCCACCCTCGACCGCCTTCCCTTTGAGAGCTCCCAAGGGCCGTCCCTACACCTTGGCCTGAGCTCCTCCCCAGCCTCCTCGGCCCCAGCAACCCAGCCTCAAGGTTGCCCATCTGGGCTCACTCGCCATACCATGAACGACCGCAACCGTCTCATCCCGGCGAGCGAGGTCAAGGAGCTGATCGATGATGGCAAGCTCATCGTCATCCACGAGGGCTACGCCCTGAAGCTAGATGGGTGGATAAATAAGCATCCTGGTGGTCGTTTGGCCATCCTCCACATGGTCGGTCGTGATGCCTCGGACGAAATCAACGTGTAAGTTTTGCGACTATGCTGTCTTTGGCAATCCTCCAACGCACCCCCGACGACTACCGACAACCCCAACTCCTTCACCCGGGCGGAGGTCAACGAATGTGCTCAAGTTTGAGGTCTCAAGGCCCAATCCTTTTTAATATATAAACCCTGCCACGGCCGCACGTTTGAATTTGGCACACATGCAGCCTTTGCCCGCGCATGCATGCAGGTCGCATTGCTTCCTTAGCCGACTCCGATGCTGATCAATCGGCGATAATGCAGGTACCATTTTGACAAAACCCTGGCCATCATGAAGGCCTACCGCATTGGTCGTGTCCAAGAACCCTGGACCAACCTGGAGCCGCCGATTCGCGCCGGCACCTCGGTCTTCAAGAGCCCTGTGCCAGAAGCCTACACAGACATCGTCGTACCTGATGACACCACTGCATCTGCTGTATTCGACCGTGCTACTGCCACCGATGACGACAATGACGACGACAACAATTCCATATTCAGCCAGTCGTCCAAGCGCGATCCCCTCAGCTCCAGCAACTCAAGTGTTGGCGCATCTGACTCCGACACCAAGCCAACCAAGAGTGAGGATGGCGAGTTCAGACGCAGGAACGTCAACTCAAAAGCCACAGCGGCTGCCAAAACCGCAGAGCTTCTGTCCGCAAAGGGTCTGTCGCGCGAGGCATACACGGCTGCCCTCGAGCAAAAGGAAATCGCCGACGGTATTCGTGACTATCCCTCCTTGGATATGCAGACGCAGCAGAATATCAGAGAACAGTACCGGGCCCTCCACAAGGCTATCCGGGACCAGGGCCTGTATCAGTGCCCATACTTGGAGTACGGTAAGGAGCTGGCCCGGTACTCGGCGCTGTTTGCCACGTTCCTCTACCTACTCCGCATCGAGTGGTATATGTCTTCTGCAATTTTCCTCGGGCTTTTCTGGCAGCAGATCATGTTCACTGCCCACGACGCCGGCCACCGTGGGATCACTGGGAATTTTGTGGTTGACACTATAATTGGCGCCTTCATCGGCGACTTCTGCTGCGGCCTCTCTATTGGCTGGTGGAAGAGTTCCCACAACGTCCACCACCTGGTCACCAACATGCCGGAGCATGATCCTGACATCCAGAACATCCCTCTGTTTTCCAACACGCCTACGTATTTCAAGTCTATCCGCAGCACTTTCTACGATTTCACCTTCGTCTGGGACAAGGCTGCCGATGTTCTGGTGCCATATCAGAAATATCTTTACTACCCCATAATGGGAGTAGCACGCTTCAACCTCTATATGCTATCGTGGCTTCACTTGGTCTCTCCCCGCGCAGCACAGCTTGGCTCTGCCTGGTGGACTAGGTGGCTCGAGGTAGTCTTCATGTCATGCTACTGGGCACTTTTCGGATACGCTCTTGTCTGGCGCACGTTGCCCGACTGGCCGACACGGGTTGGCTTTGTCCTTACGTCGCATGCGGTGACCATGTTGCTTCATGTACAAATCACCCTGTCGCACTGGGGCACGCCGACCTCTGACCTGGGACCGACCGAGTCGTTTGCCCAACGGCAGATCCGCACAACTATGGACGTCGACTGCCCGGAGTGGCTTGACTGGCTGCATGGAGGCCTGCAGTTCCAGGCAGTACACCACCTGTTTCCCAGAGTCCCTCGCCACAACCTGCGCAAGTGTCAGACACTTGTGCGCGAGTTTTGTGCAGATACTGGCATCAAATATCAGTGTAAGGGATTCGTGGAGGGCAACAAGGTCGTACTAACACGCCTGCAAGAGGTTGGCAAGATGGTGGACATACTCGTGCAATGCCAGCTGCATATGGCAGAGACTGGCGAGAGCGGGTTGCACTGAGAAATGGGTTCCGTCATTCTGTTAATAGAGCGCTTTAGAGCACATGCTCCGATTTTGTTCACTTTTCGGGGGGTGCTAAGTTTCACCCGCACTCGCATCACAAATGTGGTACACAATGTAAAAGATGTGGTAGAGCGACTAGAAGCGCCTCAGGCGAGTCCCAGTAGATGGCCAACCAGAATTGCGAAGAGATGTGTTCTCTATTTCACTGTCGTTGACCTCGTGTTGCATTTGCGTTGCCAGAGAAGAAAAAAAGAATACAAAAGAAAACAAAAGAAAAGAGACAAAGGTGTACCGGAAACTACTGGTGTTTGCAGCACAAACGCAACACACCCCGGTGGTCAGACCTTCTGTTGCCCTAGGTGTCCTGGCATAATAGAGGATGCCAAAACCACTGCATAACCAAAACTATCACATGTCAGGCAGGTATGCAAATACACACTTGCAAAAGTGGAATTCAATCCAGTTTCAAGCAACCCGTTTTTCCCTTTTCCTTTTTTTTCAACCCCCCTTTTCTGATTTAAGAAGAGAACGGAGATTCGCAGGGCAAAAAACGGAGGGTACAGGGCAAAAAGTACCGCCAGCCAATCAAAGGGCTTTATTCAACCTTACCTCACTACCCACACCACCCTAACCAAGTCCTTTTAACACCCTAATCTACAAACCTACCAATCTATAAGAAGGAGACTTATTAAGAGGAGATTTAGGTACTTAAAAATTCGCTAAAGCGCCCTAAGTGACAACAAGGAAACAAACTACTAGGGTAGAAGAAGCAATAAGGGCAAGTAAAAGCAATAGGGGCAAGCAAAAGCAATAAGGGCAAGCAGAATCAATAGGGGTAAGTAGAAGCGATAAAAGTAGCATTTATATAGGGTAATAAATGTATAGTTAATGACTATATATTGTTGTTTTATATAGTAGATTAGTGGTGCAAATTAAGGTTAGCGCACTGGGGGTACACGTTGCCCTGTACCCTCCGTTTTTTGCCCTGCGAATCTCCGTTCTCTTTAAGAAACCATGAACTTATAAAACTAGAGCGGGTTCTTCAAAACTTAGGGGTATTGAAACTTCCTCTTCTTCTTCTTTCAGATAAATGTTAACAAAAATGGATTAACTTCAAGTTAGAAGTATTTTTAATTTTTACCGAAATCGCACCAAAGCTTTTGCAGGCCTGTGCGGTTGTTCTGGTCGTGCAGTCACGATCGGAGCTGATAGTCACATACCTAGGTACTTAGGTACTTACTGTCCGACCGTCGGGCGGACAGTGTTTCTAAAACCACAAGCCAAAGCCGCACCTACGGCTTTGTTTCTCAGCTTCCTGGTAGGGAGTAGGAGGTATGGAGTAGAAAGTGTGATGCCTCCAAGAACGGAAAAAGTAACCGGCGAACCAACACCCCTGGAACTTTCGGATTGGACCCTTTGGACCCTTGGACCCCTAAATCCAAGAACCGAAAAAAAAAACAAACAGTACCCGCTTCACCGCGTCTTACCTGATTCATGCGGTACCTACCGCATGGATGAACCTTATCTGGCACCGGCTAGCCAGTTCTCGCTGTGTGCCGAGATGCTTGGGGGAGTGGGGGCGTGTCCGGCCACAGGCCATGCGGCCGAGAGAGGGTTTCGGAATTTGGATGTGATGTGTCGTTCCGCGGGATGTCATGCGTTGGCGCTATGTGAGGCAGGTACAGAACGTACCTGCATTAGACGTTTCCTCGACTGGTACGTACACTCTGACCTAGGTTTCAATGTATTTCAGGTTGTGGGTGTTCTGGAAACGTGTGAGCCGGGTGGGGAATATTGTTTCGCAATTTTGGGGTGTCGTCCGAGGCTGACACCGGTCTTCCGGCTGGTGGAGAGTTTTATTTGGGTTGCACTGTCCGGATGCTGATTTCTAGGTAGAGTTTTCTGTTTGCATGTGTTGTGTCAAGCCAAGAGTGATGATCAGCAACATGTGGTTTTGTTTTTACTCCTACGGACCTGTACAGTCCCTTCATGAAGCAGGTGCAAAAAAAGATGCGTAAAGACCCAGCTCTAGATCACTTCAAACACCCATTATATAATAGGTGACAAGGAGCAACTGCTTCTCAACTAGAATTCAAACCGACGGGCGGATCGTAACTGCTTTGTATGCAGTAATTGAGCCACTCTAATTTCTGAGTGGCAAAGGCCAGATGAGGGACCGCTTGGTCAGACACAGTTGGGGTGCTCGAGCAGAACTTGAATCAGCTGCCATGAAACGGCCACAACCACAGCTCTACGGTCTGGGGCTAATTGAAAAAGAAAAAATGCTCTGGGTATAGACAATGTGAATCAGGCATGTCTATAAAACTATTGAATTTTGCTCAAACTATTTTTCAAATGCGAGATACTTCCGCCTCACAGGCAGGACGCATCTTCTTCAAGGCTTAGGTGGGTGATAATATGATGGTGGTGCAAAGTTGTGGCTTGAAATTTAATTGCTGATACCTTGCTTGTAACGTCCATACATATGTAATCTTTAGGCTCTATCTGGGCATCCTGAAAGTTCGTAAGCCAAAGAGCAAGAGCACTGCAATAACTTTGAATATCTAGGCCCACTCCGCTCTTGTCCACAAGATTCAACATGCATGTAGTTCACAGACACGGGCGGTGTTATACAGTCTGATAAAAAATCCTAGGGTCTCGATTGCAAATACAATGGTTTCCACCTCAGATTGCCAGTCAGGCATGTTGAGTAGGTGTTTAACCATGTAAGCGTAGAGTTCTTCACATTCCTTTGAGAAGTATTGCGGTTTCCACTTCAGGTCTAGGATTTATATTTTTGTCAATTTCGACTCTTTAAAACCATCAGATTATTAACATTTTCCAAGACATTCATAATGCATACAGGTATATAGCGCTTCCTTACAACATTGAACAGGTCCCACACTTTTTAGTAATTAATGCCCACTAGCTTAAGCATGAATTTCCCAATGTGATGTTTATTCTAGTCTTGTGCTGTATAACACTTGTGCTCTCTTCTATCTATTTTTTTCACTCACTTTTTTCAAGCACTCGGTCTTTAGGTATGTAAGTGGATGAGACATTGTATATGCTTTTATATATATATATGGTGGAAAAGAACAAAACTAAGCATTATATCTTTATGTGTGATCTTATGATGGAAAAATAAGTTGAGGTTACATATATTTACTTATAACTGTTAACTCATGATATAATCCGAGAGATTGGTCTCCACGCCCGCGGCTCAAGGGCTCTGACATGCTACTCTTCAAAAGGCAAATAACCCGACTCGATTCCGCCTGAGCAGAAGAACTTGAAGTTAATTTGATATCGTATTTGCGGTCATCATGTGCTCATTGCGGATGATTGTTCTCCGGATGAGCATGGATGAAGCAAATGTTAATGCTCTCACTATCCCAAAGTTGCAGCTGCGTCAGTTGCAGTACATATTTGCTGGGTCATGATTACACGGCAACTTGTAAGGCTGCAACTTTCCAATGCTTATTCTTTATAAGTTAGATACCTAAGTATAATACGATACAGGTGTTTTTTTTCATTCTTTTTTTTTTCAGCATTGGACGTCTCTTCAAAGTCTTTTTCTGTTCAGGCTACTGCTGGAGCCCGAGATGGACTGAATTCCTGCGTTGTTACGTCAGGGTCCAACCCAGGACCCTCAATGGCACATCTAACATTGAAGCGACACTGGGCCGCAGACTTTGGAATCGTCTTCAAAGTTGCTCTTCTGCACGCCCATAGAATTTGGGAGTTAACTTTCTCGAGTCTTCCAAGGTCTCTCCGATGGGCTCAGTCTGACATCATCTTCGATCTGTATGCGCATTGTCACACGCCTGGCCGTGAGTCAGTGCGATGGCACACAGGCGCATACCTCAAGGTATGCTCCCCTCTACTGTTTACTCCCTCGAAGCGTAATGACGGCATATTGTTCACCGGCAGATGAGGACTCCCCTTTTGACTCCGTCAGATGGTACTATGTAGAGCATCACTATCGTATGCAGGTGGGGCGTCAGAGCAATGGCCGGGAAATGGGCTCCCAAATGGATTCTGCTCACCGCTCCCTGGGCCGCGCTGGTGCACGCCGCCAGGGGACTGGCCTCGCAGTCTCGGCTAGGGCCTGATCCTGCCTGTCCAGACCACTCCAACGACCTCATCTGCATGCAGGTGGGACGTGAGTCGGCTTGCAGGTTCAACCTCCCCTTCCCCCCGAATCCCCATGGGGTCAAGCGCAGCTACATGCAGTGCCAGCGCTGGCGGTTGAGCGAGCCGACGTTCCCCTAAGCGCGATGACATCACTTGAAACCTTCTACGAGGACAACGATGACGGCACAGTCACTTTCGAGCCGCTTTGTTGCTCTTTCAAGCACATCCAAGGGCTGCAACCAGGCAGGCATATGTCGAGACTGCATCGCGATTCCCGTTGGATATTCTCATCAGGATGGCCAGTGTCGCAATCTCTGACCTGGCCTGCCGGCCTGCGCCTTTGGTGCCTGTCAATCCGAGCAGTCTGGCCACTGGCGGATCCCAGCTTCAGGTCGGATCTGGAGCAGAGCCTCCTCGCCACCAGCGAATGAACGAGCGGCCAGGGCCTCCAACTCTGCTGCAGGCGTGGCCGCCCGAGTCTAGCCCGTGAAGATCTCCGGCCCTTGGTCGTGGGACATCCTTGCCAAGCGGCCGAATTCCTGGTGGCCACCGAGTGCTGAGCAGTACTGAATTGCCGCAGCTATTTTGGAAAAACCCAACAAATCCTTCCCACCCCGATCCAACGCCCCTTATCTCTCCTCCGCCTCGTCGCGTTGGCCTCAAGTGCTTCTGCAACACTTCGGCTGTGCAGTGGCGATCCTCTTACCGGGATGAGCGGCAGAAGGAAATGCATCAGACGAGAGGATGCGAAAAGACTGTTGCATGTGCAGGCTGTCTAAGCATGCCCCCCTTGCAGCATCGTGGGGCGTCGTCGACAATTTCGTTCGCTGACAGGATTGTCTGGATGCCCGGCCTTAGCCTGCATCGTGATTCCGGTCCTTCCATAATCCCTAGTCTGCTTCTGTTATGGTCGTAGTGATAACACTTAGCGCCCCAGAAGTCCGCGTTGATGATGTTTCCAATTGTTTCCTCGTATATATAGCGTCGTCCCAGGCCTCTCACCTATCCATTTGGCCCCCTCTCTTCACAGCTCGCCAGTCTCATCCATCCAAATCACCTGCGTGTAGACTATACATATACTCAAGTACACCATCCGGCAGCGTCTCCGTAGCCACTCCTAGAACTCATCCTCAATGGCCCCAGCTGCCATCATTCCCCCGGCCATCGAGGTCAAGCGAACACAACTCGAGCCCACGAGTAACAAGAGGAAGATTGTGTGTTTTTCAGGTACGAGACTTGAAGAAACCTTGTCTTTTCTGCATTTACTGACGGATTTTGCTCGTTCCAAGACTTTGACGGCACCATCTTTATGCAGGACACAGGCCATGTTCTCTTTGACAACTTTGGATGCGGCTCCAAGAGACGGCAGGTGCTAGATGAGCAAATCAAGAATGGCGAGCGATCATTCCGCGATGTCTCAGAAGAGATGTGGGGGTCACTCAACGTCCCATTCGACAACGGCTTCGAGGTAATGGAGGAGTCACTCGACATCGACCCAGACTTCCGCGCCTTCCACGCCTTCTGCCTGGAAAACTCCATCCCGTTCAATGTCATCTCGGCGGGCCTCAAGCCGGTGCTCCGCAAGGTCCTCGACACCTTCCTCGGGGAGGAACAGTCAAGTCACATCCAGATCGTCGCCAACGATGCCGCTATCACCGAAGACGGCTCAGACTGGAAGGTCATCTGGCGGCATGACACGGAGCTGGGCCACGACAAGGCGCTGTCAGTACAAGAGGCACGCGCCGCCGCAGAGGCCGAGCTGGCCGACGAGGATGGAGTGATTCCCCTGGTCGTCTTTATCGGCGACGGTGTCTCGGACCTGCCCGCCGCCAGGCAGGCGGACGTCCTATTCGCACGTCGGGGGCTGCGCCTGGAGGAGTACTGCCGGGAGAACGACATCGCATACGTCCCCTTCGACACGTTCGCAGGCATCCAGACCGAGCTCGCCAAGATCATCGAAGAGGACGAGAGGAAGACGGCCGGCAGGGGCTTGCCCGCGCGTTTCAACCCCCGCGCCAACATGTGGCGTCGTGTGTCGAGCAAGTCTGCCGTCCCCAGACTGGTTCTCATGTCGCCTACCAAGGAGGAACGCATGTTCCTGTGGCCCGAGGCCTTTACGGAGCTCAAGACCCCGGCCCTGGACGTCACGAGGGAGCTGGGTGTGGTTGGGGAGGAGCAAGCCATCGCTGTGCCGGCTGCTTAGGATGTCATCGTCTGGGCAGCACCACTGGCGTATTCCCAGTAGTACATAGCGTACGGAGTTCCAGGTTTCAATCAAATTGGGCGCAGACAATGAGAGGCCTTCGTTGGTGCTGATGATGAAAGTTGTTCCATTTAACAAAGCACCCGCGTGCTTATCCCTTGGCACTTTGGCCTATCATTTTATCCCACGAAAAGTTGTCGAGCGAGAGAGCCTACCCTATTCCCCAAAAGAGGTCATTCTATAAGGGTTTCTAACGTGAGAGATGATCACTTCTGCGGTTGAGAATTGTCTTACGGTTCAAAGTCTTTTGTATTTTTTGTTGGGATGGTTCCCCAGACGAACAGAACCTAGGTCATAGTAGACTCCCTCGAAAGACTACACCTGATATGAGGCTATGCCACCAGAAGAGGAGGCTACACATCTAGATAAGATCTGATTTGCAGGTTCATATGGCAGGCCTGTCCCTAGAAGTTGCGATAACCTACTTAGGTACCTACTTCAGTGCCTAGGTACCTAGGTAAGTAAGCTGAGCCGGTAGAAGGAACGCTAGTCCGTCCTACTCAGCCGCACTGTGGCTTCGCGCTCTGAGCCAACATCAAGTCATCAGGCAGTCGCGGCTTCTCGTCCAGAGTATTGATAGTTATGATTCCATTGCCGGACCTCTCATCTCATTGCTTCACACATCACACCAACCTTGGAGTACCTACGAGATCACGTACCTCCGCCACCTACGCACGAGTCACATCATTCGTCATATTGTTTGGCAACATGGAAAAGCGTAGGTCGCTAGGACAGCCTTCGCCCGGGCGCGCACCGCCACCGACATTCCTCGAGGCTACGACGCCGGCCGGGCCGTCGCAAGATGCATCGTCCTTCCAGACGCGGTTCGCGTGTGTCACCCTCAACATGATGGACCGGATACGCTTCATCAACTTCAACGCGAGCGAGGTCAGCGCCCTCAGGGGTGTCCTGGGGTCGGTGTGGCCGATCCAGGACGTGCGCACATACGGCGGGGCCGACGAGATCAAGCTCAAGGGGTACCCGTGGCAGGAGAGAGTCAACGGAGACGACCAGGCGCGACGGCTCGTCAGGAGGATGCTGGAGGCGCTCTACGACATGGGGTGGGTGCTGCAGGCGGCTGTGGACGCATCGAGAAAAGAGCTCGACAAGGGCGAGTGACCTACCTTGGCGCCGTCGGACGCGTCAGCATTGTGGGAAACATGGCCATCGACGCTAACAGTCCACCGCACATAGACTCGCTCATCTTCAGGTATCAGAACCCGCCGCCGCCGCCGTGCGACTGGCTGAGCATCTCGTTCGACTGGACGGACAAGATGAAGATCGTGGACGCGCCGCCGGGGGACCTGGCCGAGGCTCTGATCGCGGAATTCAAGGCGAAGTACCGGCTCAAGAGTCACGAGCTCGAGGGCGGCCGGCTGAAGCTCAAGTTCCACGGCCAGCCGTGGCAGGCGTCGGGCGAGGAGACGGTCATGTCCAGGATGCTGCTGCTGAGCCTCCTCGGGATCCTGGAGAAATTTGGGTACAGCCTGTACGCCAGCATTGACCAGGTGAACGGGTCGGGGGTCGAGGCGGACGTGCTGGTTGTGACGAGGCAGAAAGGATGGAGGCCAGGAATGCCGATATGGCACCGATGACCGGCCCAACAGACCATACAGGACTAAACAGTACTTGTGCAGTTGTCCCACAAGAGTTCAAAGCATGGGAGTAAGCATAAGAGCAGGAGTAGACGTCGAGAAATGATCACGGCCCATTGCTGTGTACATGGACGCTCTGGCCGCTAACAATGATAATGGTGGTGTTCCCACAATCTGGCAGACCCTGCGTGCAACAGGGCTGATGGCTGGCGCGAGGGGCCTGAGGACGTGACATGACCGCGACAGACTGGGGCAGCTGTCACGGCAGACGGAGACAATGTCGTGGGAGGAGCCCCACCCGTTGCGTCAGCGGGGTTGGGATTGTCGAGGTAGGAGAGTGGCCCCGAGGAGGAGCAAGCTGCCGTCAGAATCAACCGAGGGCTGGGCCGGGCTGCTTGCCGCCGGGGTGGTTCGATTTCAGGATTTCGCAAGGGCTCACTGTCCACATTGCGGCTGGAATGGCATGATGCTCTGCCTCTGCTGGCCAATGACAGGCGCAGCGATATGACTTTGGGCGGGGTGTGATTGGCTGCGGGCAGGATGCAGCTTCTCAATATGGAGGGTGGGCTGTTTTGATCTGGCTGGTGGTGCCGAAAGCATGCACCACCCTGCCCAAGTACTCCGTACATACATTCGGCGCAGGTAGCTACCGTGTACGGAGTACACAGTAATAACAAGTAGTCCGTAGTAGTGCCTGTGGGAGGTGCCTGGGCTGGCTGGGCTGGCTGGCAACATGCAAGCCTGAAGAGGGTGCATCAGACTCTCCTTTTTCCCCAGCTGCAATATTAATTCACTTGCATCCCCTGGGATCAGGTCTCTGTCGTCGCACTTCCTGCTGCTTCCCTCCTACAACCATTTCCTATCTTCTCTCCGTCAACCCAGCTTGGAAGGCAGACAACACCAGACCAACCAAACCAGACCAAACCAAACCAACCAGCCGATCCATCTTGGCCCCTCGCCCGCTTACAGCAGCAGCCACCATGTCTCCCACTTACACCATGTCTGCACACCTGTGCAAGCAGATTGCTGCATCCTGGAAGGAGATCAGGCACCCGCTCGAGCCTGCCGGCACTGGCGCCCACTTCCCCTCCAGCTTCCCGCGCGCCTCTTCTCCAACCGGCTCCGACACGGGCAAGCGCTCCATGGACAGTGACCGGAGCGACTCCTCGGCCCCCTCCATGACCCGAACTGCGTCCAACTCGAGCTCGACCTGGAAATGGAGCACGCGATAAGCCCCGAGCCTGCTCGTCAAAGCATCAAACACACATGGCACCTGGCTGGTGTACATCTCAGCAGTGCACCCTGATAATTACGAGGATGCGCCCTGCGCGTAGCGCGGCCCTCGCAATAACCCGCCCACATGTCGTCATTTCCCACCCAACCCTCCAGCCCTCCTGTCAATCATCTGCCTGCCGGCCGCGACACACACGGCGGCACTGGCCGATGGACGAAGCAACGACAAGACCAAAATCATCCCATCGAGATGACTCCGGCCGCGGGACGATGGGCCCTTTGCCATACCTGGCCGGAATGCCATCATTAACGCCTCATACGTGGGGTGAGCCGGTGTCTTGTGTCACTCCAGACTGGGCTGGCTGGTCTCCCAAAAAGGGCCGACCATGACCGCTCCCTCGGGTGGGGCCGAATTACGTGCTTTCCTCATGCCCAAGTACTGAAAGGGGGATCTGCATACCGACGTAAACATCACGGCGAATAGGGGCATGAACAAGGAATCAAAGGGGCTTCTGGGCATTCAAGGCGTTGGCGTTCAACTGTGGCTCAGCAGTCTGATTGGACCCTTTTTTTTGGTACCGTTCTGTTGATTGGATTTTCTTTTTTTTTTTTACCCCCTGAATTAATCCTTCGGAAATGCGGTGGAGGACAAACCCGGCATGACAGGACGGATTTAGAAGCATACTCTTTTTTTTTGATACCCTTGAGCAATAACACCACAAAATCAACCATTGATTTGAAAAGAAAAGAAGAGGAGAGAGAGAGAGAGACGGTGAATTTCCCTCGGATGAACTGTCTCATGTGCCCCTTGATCTGTGACGGATCTACTGATCTTGGTCTCAGTCTTTATCTGATCCGATGATAATGCACTCATGGATCCCCACTTCCAAGCCTGGTCTGCAGGAGCGATCCTGCCGATCTCCAGCCCACGCTGTCGGGTCTCACCGAAAAACTTACGTTAGGCGGCTCAATTTTCCCCCTCCACCAGCCCTTCGTCCTCCACCCGTCCTCCACCCGTCCCCCCCGTCCTCCACCCGTCCTCCGTCCTCCGTCCTCTCCGCGACGGGGAGGAGCTCCTCCCGGCCCTTCTCACGGGGCTGTGTGCGCCGAGTGTTCTATTTGAGAAGAAGCATTATTTGTTGCACATCACAGGCAGGCGATTTTCTCAGGCAATGTTCACTATACTTCAAGCAATAGGTAGCAAGTCTTGGTCAAGTGTAAAGTAAACCATATACTTAGTAGATAATGATTGATTAATCTTGTTCCAAGTGGAATGGGGGCACTTTGAAGCCTGGAAGCCCGTGTAGCACTTCTCTTTGTCATATGTATGTGTATATTACTGTAAATGCTAAGGGCAGTATTTGTGATAGGGTTATTACTTTACGAGCTGTCCGGGCCCTATACCACGAAGGGCATCAATTAACAACTTGAAGTGCCCAGGTGCCGATATGCTCAGTTTGAGGCTTGTATTGTCACGTATTGTCACGGTACCCACTAACAAGCCATGATCCACCCCAGATAAACAACGTGGCTTCGCCAGCGGCTTGCAGTTCTTAGTCTTACTCTCTTTTCACAACAATAAGTTCACAACCTTGATCAACCTGCCAGCACTGTGACACATTGGACGAGCAGTTTGAGGCTATGCTAATACCAAGTGATAATGTTTAGGTGAGATTCTGGCGAGCTGTTTCTATTTTCTTACACAATTGGCAGCGTTCATCCGATATGCATACCCAGGTATCTGACATGTATTATTGTCTATAGGCAGCACTCAGACCTTCTTCTTGAGCATAGCAGCCGCATGCTCAAAGCCCAAGACCTTGTACTCCGTGTCATTGTAGTATATCGTATTCACATCTCCAAGGATCGGCCCGGGCACACTCTGGTCGTGTGACCCAAACTGCCAAACCTGGTCGGCCGCAACACCGCTCTTGACCACGGTATCCTGCCACGGCTTGTAGATGGGCGTGTGGTTGCCGGGGAATGGCGCACCGTACTCTTCTAGGATGACAGGCTTGCCGGACTTCTTGCCAACCTCGTCGTGCTGCAAGATCCAGTCGTTACCCCAGGGGTACTCGTATCCCCACGAGTCCGGGTACAGGTGGAAGGTGCCGTAGTCGAGCGTCTTGATGCCCAGATTTGCGACAAAGTCGACGCCCTCACCGCCGGAGTAGGCGTACGACCCGTCGTCGCCACTGAGGGCAGTCCCGGGGGCAAACCAGCCCTCGTCGCCTAGCGTGACCATGTGGCTTGAGTCGAGGCTCTTGATATACTTGGAAACGTCCGTCGCCCACTTCGTGATGACCGATGTGGGGCAGCCCTTGCAGCGCGGTTCGTTTCCGAGCTCCCACGCGAAGATGGCGTTGGACTTCTTGTACCTGTTGACCAGGACGTTGATATAGTTCCGATACACCTTCTGCGATGTCGCGTCTGTAAACCACTCCGTCGCGTTAGCTCCGAACGCGTTTGTGTAAGCCTTGATTCCGCCGTAATCGCCCCAGTTGTTGATGAAGTTTAGGACCAGCTTGACACCGTGCCTCTCGGCTGCCGAGACCGCGTAGTCGAGCCTCTGCAGGCCGTCGGGGCCGTAATTAATGTAACTGCCAGTCGAGTTGAGCACCTGGAAGTAGACTTTATTCGGGTCCGCGTTACTCGGATCTGGAAGCGTGTTCACGTCGCCAAAACCCCAGACACGGAGGACTTTGTACTGGGTCTACACTCGCACATCAGTCGGTCCATTCGGCCTCGTCATTTAGAGATATCCCCATACCTTGGCCACCTGGCTGAGTGCGATGTCGATGTCATTGTTGTTGCTCAAGTGTGCAAGCCACCAAGCATTGCTTCCTGTGTTTTTCAAGCCGCCTGTCAGTCACCCCGGGGCCGTTCATAATTCGACGTGGCGCAGAAAGCCTCGGACTCACCGGCAAAATAACCCTTTTTGCCATCAATGTTGAAGAGTCGGCCTGATACTTTGGCATTTGGGCCTTTCACTTGGCCAATCGGATATGATGGAGGTGGCTGCTTGTTGTCTACGTGAATACCAGTAGAGGCAGGGAGCGCTGTAGCCGCGAGGGCCAGCACACTCCATATCAGCGAAGCCTTGAAGATCATGATTGACTATTGTTGAACGATCTTGCCTCGACATGGCGGGCATCTCAAGGAGGACGCACCCAGAAGCGGCACACTGGCGTCTACTTATATCATAGGCTGCACGCACTTGTGCGCGCGCGGCCTACCCATGATGATGGAGTCCCGCAAAATATTAGATAATAACTCATTTCGGCGCAGAATCCCGAGTAAGAAGGGCCATGATATCCCTTTGGCCTAGTCTACCGAATCAGGCTCAATGGTTGCACCCAAGCGAGGCTTTGTAGAGCCCACAGGACTGGGTTCTCCGCACTCCTAGCACTTGCGGGCTTGGACAAGTGTGGACAAGCCCCATCAACCAAGACTGGAGAAAAGATCTTGCACGAATTGCGGGGGCTTGGAGTGGCTTGAGCATGCTTCCGCGATCCGGGTCCACGGGAGCACATCCGTCGCGATTCCGCACAAATGCTCCAACTTTCTTTTCCAGCTGCGCTGCACCACGGAAACGCGTCCAACAATGCTAGCCCCCGCCCAATAGTCTCATATGGGGCTTTAGTCTGACGGGAGCTAGCGGAAAGTGGATACTTACTTAGCAGTGGCGAAATCAATGATTGACTCCCACGTGGTTGTGATGCAACTGCACGTGGTTTTGTTGGAATCCAGGAGGGCATATAATTATGTCAAACCGTGCAGAGAATTGTGGGTGAACTCATTTCCCTATAAGTTGCCCTAGGGCACGGGTTTGACAGTATCAGTACAATCAAATAGCAGCAGCGTCAAGTATACAGCGGGTTGTCACGGCGCCGGTAGGCTGGTCTCAAGATTGTGGATTCATTGTTAACTGGTTTCGCCTCTATTCCGCATATGTTCCGAGGACATACATGGCGCCTTCATTCGTTGCATACAAGGAGGAAGAGGACTAGGCGCTACGAGCCGCTGGCGAAGCCGTGGCGTTTGTACAGAGTGGGTCGTGACTATGGACTTTGTTAATTCACCTGCCTACCTACCAGCTAGGTAGGTAAGTTTGTGGTAGGAACAAATATTCTGTGTGACAATATACGTAAATAGCCTGTGTGAACCATTCCAGACACGCAAGATTCCCAAATGCTATCTCAGCCGTCCGCAGACCACCAGTTTGGTTCTGAAAGAGCGAGGACGCGACATCTGAGTTTGTACGTCGACATCGCAAAATTTAGCTCAACACACCGCTCATTGAGAGGACGAGGATTGCGCATCCACGGCCAAGATATGCAGCATTATAAATCTGCTTCCGAGTAAACGTTGTTTGGATACTTCGGCTGGATCCAAGAAGCTCGGCAGACGCACAATTTATGCTTCTGATGAGACGAACAAGAGCCCGCAAAGAAGACTCACAACCGAACTGTCCATAAGATTCTGGGCCCGGGACTCGTTTCAAATCCAGATTACACATACACAATTAAGCAAGTCACAATAATTCCTTTTGATGCAAGTCATGCTTCACCAGTATCCTCTGCTTACGCTGCTCATACTTCTTTGCAGCTGTGGTAATTGGTACGCAGGGTTGAACGGCTCGAAACCTACTTCTAGGTTACGGTTCATATAGTATGATTGTCCGAGCTTCGATTAGAGCAGTGATGGCACTGCAAATTTCAAATATGGTTAACAAAAGACTGAGTGACTGATTGACCATAGTCCCAATCATGTGTGGGTCTCAAACGGGCTCGCCATCGTCTGGGATGCATTTCAAAAAAGTGCCCTCATAATTGTTGAAGCAGGACAAGGAAGGTGGTCAGTTCAAAAAAAATCCCCAATGCCCTGGGAAAACAGCACTTTGACGTCAACTGGTTCTGTTGACTGGCCCGGGTCAGTCTCTGCCTCCGATACTAGTACTTGCAGTCATTGGTCAGGCCATGCGGTACCTGGGTAGCCATCTGCATCATTTATCCACACTGTTATCATAGGTCCTTGTTCAAATTTATGGAGCGGGGCCAGTTCCAATGACACATAGTGCTTGTTACTGAGCATTGCCTTGATCATGAGATAAATGCGTTCCTGTGACACGAGGGCCATAACTGTGATGTGACCCTGGTCTCCGATCTAAACTTGAATATACGCAGTGAGAGAAATTCCCCGCGGTTTGATAAAATTTCTGCTACTTCCGCAACGTTACTAATTATACACCGCCCAAAACTGCGTTGTAGATCATGGAAACAAATTGTATTCTCCGAAGTCTGAATGATACGTGACTCCGCTTGCACCTGCTGGTTCAGTCCCCGAGCCCTTCCGCTGCATAACCATAACCAACGCCGAATCAAGATACCTCTCAATCTAGGTAGACTGATACAGCCGAGTGAGGTGAGCTTGATGAGAGCCCCAGGAGTCCTACACGGAGATAATAATGACCACATTGAATGTGTACAAGACCCCCCCCCCCCAAAAAAAAAAAAAAAACAGCAGAAATGACGCCGCATCCGCTAGAGACAGTTTGAACTCCTTAAAAACGACTTGTTCCATAACGCCATGGCCAGAAAGATGCTTTTTTGCGGCGCATTTTCTCCCATTCCCAAATGAGCGCCTCGATATTCCAGGGTACTCCGCCCCCGAGGCTTTTGGTTGTCCCAAAATTCTGTTGAGATGACATTCCTTGACCGCGAGGTGCATGTTGTCTTTGACTTTTAAAAATCCGAGGCATGTGTGTTGGTTTAGTGAGTGAGTGAGTGTGAGTGTGTGTGTGTGTGTGTGTGTGTCCTCGACCATTAATGCTGATAATATCCATGCACCCAACCCCTTCTTTCGAATATCCTGGGTTGCTCCAAGTTAAGATGTTTCCTTTCGGCAAAGCCTGGCTGGCTAGTGACGAGAGGACGAGGAGCTGGAGCCGCTTGACTTGCGGTAATAGCCCCTATCGCGGAAGCCCTGGATGATGACCTTTGCGGTCTCGTAGTCATCCGGATCGTAGGGCTTCAGGCCATATGAGAGCATGAAATGGTGGATGTTGTCCCAGCCGCCATCCCTGATGATGCGGTAATTCGTCCGGTCATCCTCGATCTCCTGTGCAGCCCTGTCGAGGTTGTGGTGGGCCTTGGACCTCTTCTGGCTGGAGGACCTGTGGTGGCCGGAGCCCCTGGAGCTGTGTGAGCTCGAGGACGAGGACGTCGAAGTCGTAGACGAGGGCATTGTGGTGGATGGCAGGAGGGGTGGTTCTGGTGGCGTGTGGCTTGGTGGCTTGGAGGCTCAGGAGCTGATGGGCATGACGGCAGGGCACGAGGAGGAGCGGAGAGCGCGGCTCGGGTGAATAAAAAGGTGTCGTGACTCTGTGCACAGACGGAGGGGAGCTCGAAGCTGAAACAGATGACGGTTGGGCGCAAGGTTCGGACCGGAAACCATAGCTGTCTTGTGTCACCCGACAGCCGAGTTATTTCAAGAGCCGTCCCTTGCTCGCTAGAGCCGATACGGAAAGCTCGCATCGCCTGAGGGCGACGTCAAACTTGTTTACCACAGAGCATGGCCTGCCGCTCCGCCCTGTCCGCCTGTCCCGGGCGGGCGCATGAGCTCCATCCCAGCTCCATCCCTGTCTGCCGCGGGTTGAGCAGCGATATGCCACATGGTGTCGACCAACATCAGGCTCAAACGCTGGGCCGACACACGGACAGGCCTACCGCGAGGCGAGGTTGCATTGAGGAAACAAAACAAACTGAGCGCGGAAGCCTTCCCCGGACGCACGCGGCGGGCTCCGGGGAGACAGCCCTGGGGGGCACATGTGCAGGGACGGGGCCAGGGACGGGGCCAGGGACGGGGCCAGGCACAAGAGTCACGCCTGCAAGGGCAGAATGCCAGAAGGGCAGGGGAAAACTGGGACCGTGGGCAGGCTGGCAGGCAATGGAGGCCTTGACTAGGCTTGACACCTCTCGGGCCCCCTGACTATACGGCAATATGGTTCAACTTTGGGCGGGCCATATAGGGGTCCAAAAGTATGGCAAGTTCCCCGGGTGGGCTTCTCAAACCCGTCCATTTTACTTCCATCCGCCGCCCAGCCCTCAGACAGCTCGAGCCTCGAACCTCCCGGATCCCCTTCCGCAGCCCGCGTACCAGCGGCATTGGCGCCAACTGGAAACCTCGTGTTTTGACAATACTCAGCCTTTCCGAAGGTGGATCTCGGTGGACCGCTGCTCGGGCTCGCAGGCTCGCAACGGCCCTCGACACCGTCAGAGGGCGCCGACTTATGTCAGCACCGCGCCCTGAAACCATCGCAGCCGCCTCGGTGTGTCTGATCACTGCGGCCCTTGTCGGTTCTCGACCCCCGGCGCACTGGCATGCCGGTATGCTCACGTGCCCCGGCGCAATGAGCACGATGCCTCAGCGCAGTGACCAACGTGGCAAGGGACGTGCCAAAACCCTGAGCCTTGCACTCAAGCTTGCACATGTGATTGGTATGGGCCCGTCACCTTGGGCGCTTGGTTGGCTTGCAAGCTTCATTAGGGCCGAGATATTGACTGCCAGTGAGTCTATTCACATACTACTTAGCTAAGTAGAGAGGCGATGCTAGTAATGGTCGGTGTGACTTCATGTCTGCCTAAGTAGGTGGGTAAATGTTCGACGGATGCCCAACTTAGCAACGTCGCATGCATCGCACACTATTGCGTGGTGGCACAGTTGCAACGGACAACTTAGACACCACCCAGGTCACCAGTGATTCAAAGCCAGAACGGCACGACGCTCCCAAGGTTCCGAAAGCTACGGATACATACAGGCGGGCCCCGGACCACTCATCTCGATGCACGTCGTACTGTTGATACTTTGGAAGAGACTTCCAACATTGACCACAATGCACATTCGTCTGGTGTAACCTGTTCGCGGTATCGGGTAGATCCGAGTGGGAGAAAGACACCTCTTGCAGGGAAGTGCCGAGTTTGAGAAACGGGCTGACGGCCAGGTCTCGTCCCTCTCGTCTCTGCATCCCGAGGTCAGCAACGAGTCCGGGGTTTCTCCTCAAAACCCTCCCGGCGACAACACCATACGCTCAATAGCCCAGACTTGCAGCTCTCCGCAAGCACTGCTTCACGCGGGCTCCAACCTTGAAGACGGATCCCACAGCCGGGGAGTTAAAACCGCCCAGCAAGTCAACACTGTGCAGGGTCGCCACACAAACCTTGGAAGTGATGGAAGTTCCAGGCCCACAATGGCTTCAACAAAATCTGTGAAAAATGAAATCCAAGGGCGCTTCAGACTCCTCTGGGCCTAAGCCACGTGATTGTTATTGCATGGCTGACATGCCTCGTCACATCCCCAAGCTCTGAGTCTGAGACATTGTAGTCCTATTTCGGACACAGTGCCACCAGAACACGTCGATCATTGAGAACGAGGGATTTGTCCACAATGATCAGATTCATCCCAGCCAGGTCAGCCGCCACAATATTCAATAGAGCGGGTGTGGAATGAGACCAAGGCTGGGAGACCTCACGCGTGATACACTCACTTCTTTCAAGAAAGGTGGCCGAGGAGCACAAGGCAATGAGGCTGCACATAAATACTCCGGCTCAGAATAGTACACGTGGGGACGGTGTCAGTGACCAGCGTAGTTTACATGCATGTGCCCGATGCAGATCCGCCGACCAAGATGAAGCTCTCCCCGCATCATGGCGCCATGATGGTGCTCTTGTTGGAGACCCAGCTGGAACGAGTGGATGCGTTCTGGAGAATGGGCTGTTCTACAATTCTAAACGGGCGTATCGACCCAATAGTCAACCCTGGCAAACTAAGCTCTCACAGCCACACCATCGTTGGTGGAAGCAACATTGGCATCGACAGCTCGTACGAGACCATGATCAACAGTGCCTGCACTTCTTGCGAAATTCAAGCGGACAAGTCAGCCTACTGGGCTCCTATATTGTGTGTGCTCAGTACCTAGGTGGCCGGGCGAGACTCACGCCCTGTTCTGATCCGCCTTTCTTATCAGAGTCCCGGGCTGACGGAACACTGTTAGATATTACCAATACGCCGATGAAACTTTCCACACTGTCTACCAATCCGGATCAGTCGTCTACTATCTTGGTCGTGGTCCGAATGTCGGGAAGACTGTTCCTTTTCCAGAAGGTTTCAAAATGCTCAGCGGCAACTCCGTGGCCAGGGCTTTTGATACCGTGACCTATGTTAGTCTACAGAAAGCGCCTGTCATGGCAAAGAGGAACCGGCGCGATTCGGGGCATGTCTGGACAGAGGCTAATTCCAAACCCACAGACCAAGGGCGACGAGCACAATTCGCCACGCCTTGTCTCTGAAGCCATCAATTTCGCTTGCCTAGGAGCCAACAAGGCCCTTCCTGAGCAGAACGGCCTGATCAACACGCACTGGAAGCCTTTCGAATGCGTCAATGGCCTTCGCGCCCAGATCCATTTTCCCACCTGTTGGAATGGCCTCGACCTATACAAGACTGATGGCTCCCATGTCACCCACCTAAGTCAGATTGACAATGGCGTCTGTCCACCAAGCCACCCCATACAGCTGCCTCACATTTTCCTTGAGACTCTCTACAGTGTGGACTCCATTCCGGGAGATACTGTGCGTACAAGCATTTTCAATCTACCGCTTCAAACCACATTATCAGCCACTCTTTTAGGACCGGTACTAGATTGTTGACTGTGTCTTAGACCGGCGGCCGTTTTGTCTTCTCCAATGGCGATCCAACAGGTATGTCTCTCACTTGCCCACGCGCAGTCATTTCGCCAACGAGATAGCCAGTTTGCTGACAACCTCCCACGGTAGGGTACGGCTACCATGGTGATTTCATCAACGGCTGGAACTCAACAGTCCAAGCACTTGCTGTGGCCAATTGTTTGGCAACAGATAACGCTGGTCAAATCAGCGCTTGCCCATACTTGCAAGAAAGCGATACAGACGGCTACAGCAGAATCTGTCCGTTGCGGAAGTCCCCCGTCAACGAGACAGTCCTAGGCTTGCTGCCGAAGCTCCCCGGCTGCAACAAGATTACGGACGGCCCCTCGAATGCGACACCTCAGGACTCAGCTTGCCCGTCGTCTGTGGCACCGCCTTATGTCACTCCAACGGTGGACTCTGTGGCTCAATACACAGTTCGACCACCCGTCGGCACTTTCTATCCCCTTGGGACACAGCAGAAGTACCTTGGTTGCTTCAACGACACAGCTGATGGAAAGAGGGCTCTCAATGGGAGGCAAACATCCATGGAGTCTCTCGATGTCTCAAGTTGTCAGGTATACTGCAATTCGCACGGGTACAGGCTCTCCGGCGTCGAGTATGGCTCCGAATGCTTTTGTGGGGATACGATCGACAACTTCGCCAACGCCGACCACCTGATTGGGGGATTTGACCGATGCACATGGCTTTGCAGTGGAACCGTCGCAAGAGAAAACGGCACACAGGAGGTTTGTGGCGGCTATGCTGCCATCTCCATTTACAACAACACAGACCCCTCACTCGGCAAGTCATCGTCGTCGCAGCCGTTCCCGAATGACTACCTCGGGTGTGCCTTCGATGGGTCGTCAACGCGCGCTCTTCAAGGTGCTTCCACCGCTGGATCAGGTATGACCATCGAGGCATGTGCAGCTTTCGCCCAGAAAGGGAACAGCGGCGCGGGTTACAGATATTTCGGAGTCGAGTACGGCTCGGAGTGCTACGTTGGAAACACGCTCATGCCGTCTGGCAAGATACTGACTGAGACCTCGAGCCCGCCAAGCAGCTCGTGTAAGATGAAGTGCTCGGGAAATTCTTCCCAAATGTGCGGGGGCGCTGGTTTGCTCTCTCTGTACCACAATCCAAACTACATAGCAAACTCGGCAGTCAGCCTGAGCATCGGCGACTATCGTGCCGCTGGATGTCTGACCGATCTCCACTCCGGACAGGGTTTACGATCTCTGGCTGCTACCTCCACTTTCTCAGATGGGACTACAGAGGACAGTTGTGTCGCCTATTGCCAAACGCAGGGTTACCGGTACGCCGGGTAAGCAGTTCAAGCTACTTCCCCTACCCAATGCTGACGAACACAGCTGACGAAAAGACCTGTGATCAGCCTAGAGTACGCAACACAATGCTTCTGTGATGACGAAATAAGGAATCAGGGTGAAGTGGTTAGCTGCAGCAACTATGAATTGATGGCTTGCAAGGGTAATGCAAGCCAACTTTGTGGTGGCTCAAGCATCATGAATCTTTTCCGCTCTGATTGAGGTAGCTTCAATCTCTTACTCCGATTGACTGGACTCTACCGCTGTCTCCCTGGCTCAACTATCAACTGAAAGGGCAGGCAGGTCGTAGAATGCGATATCAGTACTATAGATCGCCCGAGAAACTTTGTGAAGAGATATTACCATGTCTATAAGTAGGCCATGAATTATTGCTCAACGGGATTAGCTAGATTGCCCAACTTGATTGATATGAATAGTAATTCAAGTCAACAATGATCCCCATGCTCTGAGTTGCTGATCAGTGCCACAAGGCGGTGTAATATCCGGCTCCCCTTCATGCAAGTCTGATGTTCTCTTCATTTTCAACGCCAGAAACACTGCCTGTGTTTAGTCACCAGCGAACCATGGAGGCAGCCTGCGTTGTTCTCCTCCGATCCTATAGCAGAATTTCCTCGAATTCCTGCCTCAAAGGAGGAGCGCGAAGAAGAATGGCCGGGTGCGAAATAGACGACTGTTTGTTTGAGAACGACCTCGGGTGCTACGGATATTTTGCGGTGTCGTCATCATAGCATTCACAAGCTCTACCACCGCTTTCGCCTCGAACTAAATACTTCATCATTGAGCTAATTCAGTTGAAATAATATATAGAAGTCTGCGGCAACAAATGCCCAGAGACAGTGGCGTGCCAAGCAATATCATTGCTATTTCTGGACGCCGGTTGTGTACCCTAAACCTCGGGGCGGTATCGACACAGAATCCGCCAACCTCTTGGTATCCACCGGGTTAGAATAGGGACTGTATCCGATATAATCGGAAGCTGAGTCCCGGCTTCAGTCCTTGTTTGGTACTGCGTCATGGACAACTGGCAGTGTTTGTCTGTCCGTTTGTTCCCGAGGTACGCTACGCCTTTGGCACCAAGGTTACAAGCTGAACCATCGTCCTACGTGGATATGTTGTTTGTGCTTGCTACCATACTGGGTATTTAGGAGCTCGAAGAGCTAGAAATGTATCCATCGGTTCGTTTGAGGGGCAAACTTATGCAGTGAAGCTATGGTTGGACAGCACTGGTAGCATCACACATATCTTGTAGTTAGCAAACTATAACATAGCTAAGCTCTCACTTTATATATATATCTAGGTAGCATTTTATTCTCTTCTATATAGCTTTAACTACATTATTATTTATTCAACTATTAATTTATTTATTATCTTCTTAACTTTTAAATTATTTATTAATTTATATTAATAAAATATCTTATTATTTAATTTATTATAATATTTTAATTAATATTATTATTTAAATAATACTTTTAATTTTATTTATATAATATAAAATTAAAGTTATATTAAAGATTAAGTTTTAAATATTTATATATATATATATATAAAAGAATAAAATTATATATAAATAAACTTCTTTTAAATATAAAGTTAAAAGATTTATAATTATAATTTTTAATTAATTTTTATTTAATTATTTTATTATATTATAACTTAATTTAATTTTTAATTTTATTTAAACTTTTTTAAGTTTTTAATATTTTTAAAAGAGTTAAATTTAAAAGAGAGCCCTTAAGTTTAAATTTAAAATTCTTATAAATTTTAATTTCGTTTAAATTAAACTTATAATCTTTTATTTTTAAAAATATTATATTTATTTTAAATATTAATAACTTCTTTTAAAATAAAAGTTTATTTTTATATAATTATAAAGTTAATTATTGATAATTATTTCTTCTTTTATAAAGTTATTAAAATTATAAACTTAAATAATAAAGTATAATTACTTTATTTAAAAGTTATATAATAGGTTAAATAACTACTTTTAAGTAGTTTTATTTATAATATAATAAAGTTAATAAATAGGTATTTATTTATAAAGTAGAGTTAAAACTTTTAAAGTAATAATAGTTTTATTTTTATTTATTTTAATTAACTTATATTAAATTTATATAATAATTTTATATATAATACTTAATAGTATTTAAATTAGTTTATAGTTTATAATAACTTTAACTTTTAATAGATTAATTTATATTAAAGTTAATAATATTTATTTAAATAAATATAACTTAATATATTAATATAAAAGGTATTTTCTAATAATAAATAATATTATAAATAATTATAAAGTTATTATAAAAGTTTTATATAAATAGTTTATAATTTATATAGTTTTACTTTTATTTTATATATATTTAAGAATATATATAGTACTTTTATATAATAATAAGCACTTAAAACTTAGTATTTAAAAGAATATAATATTAATAATAATAGTTATAATATAATAAATACTTATAGCTTTAACTTTATAATATATAAATAAAATTGAAGGGTATTATTTTAATAATAATATTAATTATAAATAGAAGTAACTTATAATTTAATTATTATAAAGAAGTTATATAGTAAAATTAAATCTTTAAAATAATTACTATATAAATAAATTATATTAAAAGAAACTTAATTAAAGATTATCCTTTAAATATATATATATATATATATATATATATATATATATATATTAATGAGACCTTTATTAAATAAGTATTATAACCTTTATTTAAATATATAACTATTAATTTTAAAAGGATTTAAAATAAAGAAATAATTTATAATATATTACCTTTAAAACTTTTATAATTAAATATTAAAACTTTTAAAAAGTTTTAAAAATAATTGATAAAAGATAAAAAAAGTATAATAAGCTTATTCTCCTTTAAGTTTATATTTTTATTATTAGTAACTATTAACTTCTTAATAATATAAAAAAATAATAAAAATAAAGAAAAGAATAGATTTAAAGTTCCTTTATAAAAGATTATAAGGATATATATAAAATTATTAAAGACTTTATATATAAGCTTTAAATTAAAGAAGAAATAAGTAGTTAAATTAAAAGATAGTTATATAATATAAAGGAAAAATATAATATAGTTAAAGCTATTTATAATTTATATATAAATAAATATTTATAAAATTAATTTATTATTATAATTTTATAATTTTATAAATTATATATTTTATATATAATATACTATTCTTTTAAGAATAATTTTAAGTTTTATAATATTTTAAAATTAAAAATTAATAATAATTTAAAAATTTACACTAAAAATATTAAATATTTAATTTATTAAAAAATAATACTAAAATATAATCTAAATTTTTATAAATTTAATAGTTTTATTTTTATATTTTTTAAACTTTAATTAGTTAAAGAATTAAAAGTATAAGTTAAGATTTTTAAGGACTTTACCCCTCTAATAGGTATATAAAAGGGATACTTTTAATTTAAGTTAAAACTTCCTTTTTTAAAGCCTTTAATTAGTTAAGACTATTTCCTCTAATTTCTCTATATAATTAATTAAACCTTTTAATTAATATAAACTTTAATTAATTTTTAACTTTTAATTAGTTTATTTAAATTTAAAGTAGTAATATACTATTAGAGTAAGTAAATAGAGTAAATAAATAAAGGTAAAGTACTACTATATTTTTAATTAATTATAGTTTAATATTTATTAAAAAGGTTATTAAAAGGTTTATAACTAACTACTAGCTATAAACTAATTATAGCTATTAAAGGGTAATAATAGTTTTATATAAAATATAATAATAATTTTATATAAAGTATAATAATAGTTTTATATAAAGTATAGTAATAGTTTTATATAAAGTATAATAATAGTTCTATATTTTAGCTAATTATAAATAGATATTTATTAACTAATTATTTAAAAGAATAACTTTTATAAACTTTAAAGAAGCTATCTATATAATATATCTTTATATATAAAAATTATAATATAATATTTATATATACTATTCTTTTAAGAATAGTTCTAAATTTTATAATATTTTAAAATTAAAATTAATAATAACCTAAAAATTTATATTAAAAATATTAAATATTTAGTTTATTAAAAAATAGTATTAAAATATAGCCTAAATTTTTATAAATTTAATAGTTTTATTTTATATTTCTTAAACTTTAATTAGTTAAAAATTAAAGATATAAATTAGAATTTTAAGGATTTTACTCTTTTAATAAATATATAAAAGGAATATTTTTAATTTAAGTTAAAACTTCCTTTTTAAAGTTTTTAATTAATTAAAACTACTTTCTTTAATTTCTTTATATAATTAATTAAATCTTTTAATTAATATAGATTTTAATTAATTTTTAATTTTTAATTAACTTATTTAAATTTAAAGTAATAATATATTATTAAAGTAAGTAAATAAAGTAAGTAAATAAGAGTAAAATACTATTATACTTCTAATTAATTATAACTTAATATTTATTAAAAAAGGTTATTAAAGAGTCTATAACTAGCTACTAGCTATAAGTTAACTATAGCTATTAAAGAGTAATAATAGTTCTATATAAAGTATAGTAATAGTTTTATATAAAGTATAATAATAATTCTATATAAAGTATAATAGTAGTTTTATATAAAATATAATAATAATTCTATATTTTAACTAATTATAAATAGGTATTTATTAATTAATTATTTAAAAGAATAACTCTTATAAACTTTAAAGAAGCTATCTATACAATATTATTAAAAATAAAGAATAAATATTTTAATTATTATAATCTTTTAATTAAATAATTTAAGCGACTAACTAATAATAGTTACTACCTTTATTATAATATATAAGGATTAGAAATGAAGCTAACCTTCTCTTCTACAAATCTAAGGATTCTACTCACAATATCTCACATTAAAGAGAGCTGAGTTCACGTAAGAAATTCTGGTAGGCTGAAAATCAAACTTTATAAACGCTGAACCCTGCATGTGAAGCTTTAGAAACTAAACATATCTTTAGACGCTGCCCAGTCATGCGGACAGGTCTGGGTGTGTCCTACCGATTGAGGTCCCATTTTTTAGCCGTTCAAAGGTTATTTTTACTCTGCCAATTGCCTGAAAATTACCCACCCTCAAGTCGACCTTCAGTGTTCTGCATACTTTTTTCTTGCCTTTGCTTACGCGCAGGAACATTATCTTGCACTTAACAGCTCAAGACCGAGGGGCGGAGATGGGATCGTTCGTATCCGTTGAACAATGCGAGCTCTACTATGGTGTGAACATGACTTGTAACTCCACCGTAATAGCTCGAGGCACAGTGCCTCCTAATCCTGATGTTGCCGGAATCGGAGTGAGTCTACTTCTCGACCTTTAGCTACATAACGTGGATCACTTATTAGCCTGCCTTCAGATTATATCAGTGTTTATCGCGGTGACTTGTTTCGCTCTCGCTCTGAGCGCCATCGATATTATCTGGCGCACGTTCAAACTTCACAAGAATCTTCCTTCAACTTCGCCGTAAGTATTGCCCTTCCCCCCACTGACAATTCCTTTTTGACAAACAGCACTGTTCTTTACTTTCATAGAGGACAACTATGTAGCTTGACCGAGATATGCGAGGCCTTAATCCTTTCATGTAGTGATCAGCAGGTCTTCACCGGCGGTGCCTTCGCAATCTCACTTCGCTACTGGAATGGTTGTTCGGTGACTGCCTATCACTATAACATAGTTGCTAATATGTTGCTGCTGACATGTGCGACACACCTGATCTCGATTTCCATCGTCCGCAATTACTGGCGGAACCTTTGGCAGAGCACTCTCAGAGTCTTACTCATCTCGGCAATTCTACTTGTCACTGGCTTGATCCTCACAAATCAAGATGCAGACCTCCGTACAAAGTTCCCTACCGATATTCCAAATTCGAAGGAAACACAAGCTTTATTCCTGCCCGCCGCTTGCTTTCAAGCCGAGTCTCACATGCTGAGGACCATGGGAGAGTCACTTGGCGGGACAGAAGAACTCCGAAGAGGAATTTTTCAAGACAGCCCGAACAATCATATACGAGGTTGGGGATTTTACATGGTCATGCTGCTTTGGTATCTTCTTGCGTCGCTTGTCACTTGCGTGCGCCGTTTCTATCGCATGACCGTGATGAGCCGGGCTTTTGTTCCCAATTGTTTCTCTCACTTGGTGCTGGAAGAAGATGGTGGTTTGAACAACAGGCGCCGCAAACTCTTTAAGTGGATACATACTATATACATGATTTGCGGTGTCGGCCTTGGATCAGCGACTGCAATAACGTCAGCTGAGTTCATCATGAGATTGAGAAACTGGGTTCAAAAGTCCGGCTGGCTGGAAACGGACCCGACAAAGTTGCAAGTGAGCCCCGAGGACGATGCGACTTCCTTCGGACAGCAAGTGCCCATCCTCCTCACCTTTCTGACAGTATTTACAGCCGCTCAGACTGTCAATGGTAGGTGAAAATAAATCACACAATGACTTCTTGAGCTTTTAAATTAACACAGTTGCAGAACTATGGGACAAACGGCGCATTGTACACTCGGGCCACGGTGCAAAACCTCAGGGCAAATTGAGTCAGAGCGATTTTCAGGAGAAGCCACCAGGGCCACCTGACATTGAAACTACGGGCCAATACGGAACAAGGCTCCTTAATCAACGACTCTGGGAAGCCGAAGGCCATACCGGTACCCTGCTGCCGTACCAGCCAGCGGCAGACCACATACGCATGGTGCACCCGGACCGGCCTCCCTGCAACATCAATGCGAACACAACGCCTAGCAACGCTAACGAGCCAGGAAATCGTAATGTTATCAGCCCTGGCTCGTCCAGCTTTGTTGAGGGTACGGATGCGCTCGACTTTTCTTCGCCAGCTTCGAGCGGTGCCGGTAACCAATCGCCACTGAGGCAGACCTCGTCAGCAACACCGCCGGCGCACAACCTCTCCAACCAGGCTGCTCTCCTGAACCCAGATCTGAGGACAGGAGTCATGTGCACGTCGGAGCCCAAGTCTTTCCTGCCTTATTCGCCACCGCAATCGAACGCAAATCCTTCAGGGACGACTGCGTATTCATGATCGTAGAGCCTGTTCCGAGTCACCGTACTTCAGCTGTGGACTTCTCCAGAGACAGGATTCCCACGGCGTATTTGAAACCCACATTTCATGAACCTGCGCTGTATACAGTCATTGGTTACACGAGTTCGGGTCGCTTTCATCGGGAAGCAGTTCAACCTTGACGAATGGCGAAAGTGACATATGTAGGCTTTGCCAGCCCCGGTCACTTGGGTTTTGAGTTGTAACCTTGGAACACATCAGCATAATCTGTTTTGAAGTTTTGTGTAATCAATAGCCGCGCCTGGTTTGTGTGTTATTTTGCACACTTTCAGGCATATAGCGGGTTTTAACTACCTAGGTAGAATTGAGTCAGCATGTTTCTGCTCTATAGTCTTCACCTTTCCACCCATCAGATAACACAGAAGTTTCTTGTAATTGACGTGGAGTATTATTTCCCCTCATACATCATGTGACGTTTCAAGTAGTTCTAAGAGCATAGTTTTAAGAAGATAGTTCTGAAAACAACTCAGTCTCCAGTCCGCATTGTAATTCTCAAGCTGTAAGTCTAGGTAGTGTTGGGTACATAGGTAGGTCAAATTCAATGCTTGGGAAAGCTGTTGCCTAGCGGACGGATGGACCATTCACCTGAGTGCCAAGCCCTTGCAGGATTCTCAGCCACAGAATCCCTCTAAGCTCCGGGCGGGCTCAACAAGCCCTCCACTCCAAACTTCTCGTTCATAATGCATCGATTTGTCACATCAGCAGTTCAACTTTAACAATCTCTGCTCAGCCCCCGCCCGAGTCACAAAATGCAGCATCCCGTAACATCTAGCACTGCTGCAAGGAGTCATCTCTATGCTCCTCTCGACCCTACCATTCCCGAAATCAGGGTAGTAAAGCTACTTCCATCGGAGGATTTTGCCGCTCCTGTCCAGTGCCAGCTCTTGAATCGCCCTTTATTCGAGCAAGATAGAAGCTATGAGACGTTGTCGTATGTTTGGGGAGCTCAAGAATTTAACGCAGAGATTCTGCTGGACGGTGAACCACACCTAGTCACTCGAAATCTTCAGATGGCCCTGCGTTATCTCCGTCTTCCCAGATCTCAGCGAACAATCTGGGTGGATGCAATCTGCATCAACCAGAATGACCCAACCGAACGTTCCCAGCAAGTTCGACTGATGAAAGATATCTACGCAAACTGCGTTGCAGACCTCGCTTGGATGTTGAGCTACGATTATACGTTGAAGCCGCCCGAGACCGGCCCGGATGGAGCCAGCTCGGCACATGCAGTCCATCCGACCGAGGTAGAGCAACTACAATATGTTCAAGACGCGATGGAAAAAGTTGGGGCAGGGCGTAAGTTTTATTGGACTCGGAACTCGACACATTCCTTCCTTGTGACGTTGCAGTCAATGCATGCGCTGACCTTCTCGCAGTACAACTTATGAAGAAAATCAGCCTGAAAGATGTAGAAATTTTGGACGAGATGAAAGTGTATGCAAATTCAAATCGCGTTGACTTCGACAAGTCAAAGGCGAGGGGCAGACTGGTCAGGACCTTCGAATCCAACCCTCCGAGCAAGGTGGATGAGTTTCTCCTGACTTCCGAGCATTCGTCGGTTCTTTCACCCGCCTTCCACCAGGCGGCCATCTTCAATCGTGTTTGGACCATGCAGGAACTCTCCCTTGCACCCCGCGTCATCTTGGTCGCTGGTCATTACCAATTGGACTGGAAATTCGTGGAAGGATTCCTGGGAGAAACTGCATATGCAGACGCATTTCATGCACTATTTGGCCACGGCCACTTTTCAAAAGCGCTCCACAGACATTTTGCTGGAGCACAGAAGGTCGATCACCAACGACGAATCACACGACAGGCTGGCTCCGAGTCTACGCTCCTGGACGTGCTGGCACGCTTCCAGTCCAATCAGGCGACGGATCCAAGAGATCGGATATACGGCCTGTTAGGATTGGTCACGGACAAGCATGACATTGTGATTGACTACACCAAATCGGCCACCCAGGTTTTCATGGACGCTACCGTATCTCTGATCAACAAAGCCGAGAACCTCGACATGGTTTGCCAGACAATTTGGACAACTAGTACTGTTCTAGCCACCTCCAGGCTCGATAGGGGCGTGCCAGATCTGCCGACGTGGGCTGCTAACTTTTCCCTACCGTTCCAGTCTGACGAACACTCGCGAATCCTGTTCGCACAGCGAGGCATCTATGCAGCTGGGAAACATACCATCGAGACCCCTTGCAAGATTATAGGCAACCAATTTCTGCAACTACATGCCGTGATTCTGGGCCGCGTACAACAAGACATTGTTCTCGAGAATCCTAGGCATGTTTGGAACAACCCCCATTACCTTGCGCCCCGCAAGTGGCTGAAGGATTCTGGAATGATGGTCTCGAATACAGAAAATAGCAAGGATAACCAGGAAACCTACAAAAAGACAAATGAAGCCGCCATTCGTGCTTATTGGCGCACGCTGTTGATGGATTGCGCGGCGTATCCTATCACGCGCCTCACCAGCGAGGACATCTTGGTTGCCGACGCTGCTTTCCGCGAAATCCTACAGGATCCAAGGAATGAATACATAAATGGCAACTTCGGTTCTTCCAGAGGCAAGACAAGGGACCCCCAAGACCCTGACGATGATATATTCGAAGACGGTCTGGAGCGACATTGGAACCAGCTTCCCGAGTCAATGAGACGTATGTGGACCCGAAATTACAAGTTCTGGACGTTCGCTATAACTGAGAATGGACTGTACACCATGATACAAAACGCTCTAGCGGGAGACGTCATCGCTTCAGTCGAGGGAGCCAAGGTTCCACTGGTGTTGCGCGAAAATGGTGACTTTCGAGGCAAGAAGACGTACTTGCTGGTAGGATCGGCTTATGTGCACGGGTTCATGGATGGAGAGGCTTTCATCCCGATGACTGGGTTTTGCTTGGAAGAAGAGCAGATTCTCGTTCAGTGATGTAGAGGGACGAGGGTTGAGTTGACACGTGTCTAGGAAAGCCCATGTCTTGAGTCACATCAGGGTGACAAAACTACAAGCGCGAGACGACTTTATGGAAGATTTGAAGTCCGCGACAAATTTTGAGCCCACTGTGAAATTTCCTAGCCACTGAAATGGCCAGGCTTTGGTGCCGAAAACGGCGGAATGAATAAAAGTTGACTGTGTAGCACGAAAGAAGCGATCTGGCAGCCGCTCCTTTATTTTGATGAATTCGGCAGACCTCTTCCATGTCTGCGGCCCTTTGTTGTGAGATGCAGCATGTTCGGCAGCTGACGTCTCACACGCTAGTTAGGAATTAGAGCGAACGTCTGCACTGAATAAGCACTTGCATCAAGAGATGTACCTTTCGAATCGTGGAAACTCTGTATTACTTGGTGTTTGGAGGGGTCAAGGTGATTGTTCGCTGTGCGGCTCAACACACCGAGAGCTCCACACAAGATTTCGACAATAAGCCTCATCCTGGAACAGCAAAAGGCGAATCGAGTCAACTTTGTCTGTCATGGCCGGCCATGCGCCTGAGAAGACTCCCCCTCGAAATTATAGGAGGACCCGCCGAGACCAACTGCAAAGGATGCTGAATCTTCAGAGGAATTTAAACAGTATTAAAGCTTGTAAATGCCCTGAAGATTGTCGCGGGCTAGGCCGTATGCCACTTCTAGATACGGAAGGCAGAAATACAGGCGACGACCGTCAAATAAGTGTTGATCCTCCGGCAGAGACTAACCCAGACGGCAGCAGCAGCAATAATGATCCGCCCAGCAACAGTAATAACCGGGACAGCAACAAACAGGACGACACAAGGAATACATTTGTTCACAACAGCTTAAAGTGGGATACAGCGGGCGATATATCAGATCTTTATACCAGCGGTGCCGGACAGGTAGATGACGACTCGCTCTGGTACCACGACGACGATGACAATGACGATGCGCCCAGCTGGCTTCCAGGGGTGGATGGCCAACAAGGCAATGGCTATCTACTCGGTGATATCAGTCGCATGACAGGGACACGCATGAAATCAAAAACTCTAGCCAGGGCGGGGGGGTCAAAATCTGTCACCCTGGAACGAACCGGCGAGGAGGGAAATCTACGTATGTCTCTACAAGTACATGCTGACCCTCAGGGCTACCGAACTCGTGTGGGCTACTATGCGGACCTTTTCCTCAAACTAGCCGGGCCAATTCAAGAGGGGGATTACAGTCGAGAAGAACGTCACATTGGTTTTATTTCAAGTTGGCGCCTCTCCAAAGAGCCAAATCAGTATGGACACGAGAATTACCAACCATGGGTCACGGAATGGTTGCGTAGCGAGTTGGGAGATAAGGACGATGACTCAAGGCCTTTCAAGGAGACGCTGAGGCTATTATATGATGATACTGGTAGGATACGGGGGAATATCAATGATGAATTGATACGTTCTGCCTTGGACGAGACTGGAAACGAGCTCGTATTTGTTGAAATGCTGTGGATCAAGTACAAAGACGACACTACTGGAATGCAGGTGAGTATAGGCTTGGGTTCACACCCAGGTAGGCGGTGACACTTGGAAGGTCCGAAGGTTAACCATGGTCCAGTACTCCCGCCAACGTATTGCACCTCACGCTCTAGAACTATTTTACTCACTTCTAAACAATGGCACTCTACCAGCGTGGTATACAATCAATCTGCCCATTACGTTTATTGCGAGGGCCGGCATGCCTTCGGACGACGGCCTGTCAGAGATGTGGCTCAACGAACATCCCAGGAATTCGGGTCAGACCGAGAAAGATTACCGTGCTAGGATCTCAGACCACATAGAGGCTTTCCTCCAAATTGTACAGCGTTATGGATACAGGAAGATCAGCAATGACCACCGTGTAGTGGTGCTGACGGTTTCTCTCCCCCAACGACTCCGGGTAGTCAACTCGACGCTTGAGGATGAGACCGCCCGACCCCAACTGGGCCCGAAACAGATCAAACCACAGGCTGTATTGTCGAGTATACGATGATGGACCAATGATGACCTTGTGTGTGCAAATTGTCGCACATTAAGAGACTGTGTACTCATGGCCAACTCCGCGGGAATCTACTGCGGTCTCAGTCTATTACGACAATTTTCGCCACGCCCACAATGTGAACACAAGGAATCGAAAATTATTTTCATCGTTTTGAATATTTATCTTGTAGAATTTTAATCCCGCAGTTGGAATTGATGTTGTGTCTTGTCGCCCAGTACAGCTGGCCGAAAGAGCAAACTGGCTGGCCAGTCTAGGGTATGATTCAAGATATAGCTGGGCGTGGGTATGAGAACCCAATAGCCAAAACTTCAGTACTTGAGAATTTGGCGAAGATGCAGAATGAGTATATGTTAGATACATGGTATAATACAATAACTTCAATAAGCGTGATAAACTCAAGGTTTGGCCGCTCGCGTTGACGCAATTCCGTTGACATCAAACAGTGAAAGGTCCCGCCAAGAATTATAGTAACTGGAGTAACTTTAGCTATGCACTAAACTCTAGTATTTAGCAGCATTTGATTCAGTTGAGCATAAATCATGGTACCTTGGGGGGCCCACATTCTCAAGAAATACCACCAGATGGTGAAGCTACTGCCATTGTTCTTTCCACAGCTTGTGGATCTCTTCAACGCCGATATCTGCCAGATACTCTCCATAATGAAGGATGATCTTGGCCCCCTTCTCGCCACTCTTTCTCACCTTCCAGGTGCCCCACTCTGCTATCCCCTTTTTAAGCAAATACTGATGAGAAATTTTGTGCTCAAGGTCATCATTAAGCCTCTTTAACTGTCGGGTTTTCCAGTCCTCAAGTTCGTGAACAGAAACAGCCACGTACTTCAGACCTCTCCCCCTCAGCAGCTCGCGCACCATGGCGTGCGAGCTGACCAGGATGATTGAATTTGGCGAACCTCTGGCGTTGGCCTCGATATCCTCGACATATTTCTCCGTCCCAGATGAGCTCTTGAGATCGTATGCGGATGAGTCTAGGTCAATGGGAGGGTGCTCTTATTTTGCATTTTGTTCGGTGAAATAAGTCTTGCCGACACAGGGCCAAGCAGAGATCATAATTGCTTGATCGGTCTCAAAGGTCATGGTATCAAACTTTGCGCGGTCTTTTATGGCTTTTTCGCACTGCCTACCTAGGTACTCATCCTTTTGCAACAGGGCAGGAGGCTGGACTTTCTATGTTGGTCGCTGAGGAGACACAATGAACCAATTGAGTCTGGAGACCAAAGGTGCAAAGTAGGAAATGTTTCCGGTTAGACCAAGTTGAATTATGGCCTCTGATGATGTATATGAGAACAAAGCATGTGCCTTAAGTAGAAACCGCATCTTGGCAGCCAAAAGCATTGCCTAGTTGAACAAAGTCAGCATTTATTTCAAACAGTATTAACAACCCGCTGAGTGCAATGGGAGGTGTGACTGCTAGCCACATGCCTCGATCATCTGGCCAAAAGAGTATAATAACTAATCTACCTAATTAGCTATTCCTAACAGTATATAAGTATTGTACTATTACTACTCTCTTTAAGACTTTCTATAAAGCTTTAGGTATATAAAGATAAAATTTAAGTAGTTTCTAAATAACTTTATTTTAAATTAATTTATAAATATATAAAAAGTTTAAAAGTTTTAAATAATATAATATTAATTAATTTATTTAAATTACTTTTATAATTAATATTACTTTTTTAATTATATAATTATAAAAGCTATAAATTAAATAAAACCTTTAAATAAAAAAGTTTAAATTTATATTTTTAAATTAATTATTATAATAAAAGTATAAATATTAATTATATATTTTAAATATTTAATTAAAACTTTTAATAATTAATTTATTTAATTATTTTTAATAATATATAAATATTATATTATAAGAGTAAATATTTATACTTTTATCTTTTATTATTATATACTCTCTATTAATTAAAAGTATTATATATAAAAACTTTATTTATAAAAGATTAATTAAAGTAAAGAGAGCGAGCCTTAAAGTATATAATAGAGAGTTATAAGTAAGGTTAATAAGTATAACTTAAGTTTTTAAAGAATTAACTTACTTTATTTATATCCTTTAATATTATAAAGAAAGAAAGTTTATTTATTTAAATCTTTATATTAAAAGTTTTCTATTTAAGTAACTATATATAAAAAAAGAAATTAACTTAGAGTAATTTTATTTAAAGATAAGATAAAGTAAAGAGAATAATATAGTGTAACTACACCGTCTAACCTCATATATGCCGATTATAGATTGCTTCCATGGTACCTAGGGAAACGAGATAGATATGTAACAGTGAACCTAGAGTAAGCACCCGTAATCGAACAATACTATTGCTGTTATTGTAACGTCATCTTGAAACCCCCTCATAACAGATTCCTTGATACCAAGCTGTTGCATCTCCTAGCGTATATCGAGCCCGGCCCAGCTTTCTCCTTGAGTGACGCGTCAAAGTGAACCACATTGCTCGCTCCGCATACATGAGCCATCTGCGGCGGCTGCACAATAGTCCACTCGGGAATCACAAAGCCCTCGCCGCCTGGGCCGGGGCCACCAGGGCTGGACCGGACGTACGGGCCAGCCTCGGAGGACACGACCAAATAAGGCCCATGGGCTGACACCCTTTTTCTAGGCTCGCACCCTGGCGACAACGGCTCATATGGGCTTCGGGACGAAGGCGCCGTGGGGCTCGGAGGCATCGGATATGGCGAGTTAGGGCTGTGAGGGCTGCTGACGGATATCGTGTCGTTGCCGCTCCCGACGTATGAGAAGCGAGCGCTCGCCCTAGGATTGGTCTGCACGCCCAGCACGGCGACGCTCATGCGCCTGCCGCCCTTTGACTCGTCCTCGAAGATGGTATCCTCCTTCGTGACGGGTGTGGTCTCCTCCAGGCGCAGGACGACCCCAACGGCCCTCTCGTCCTCGACGACCTTGGGGTGCCTCTTTGCGAAGTAGCGAGCGTATTTGAACAGGCTCCAGTAGCAGCTCGCGACGTTGACAAGCGTGAGGACTAGCTTGTACGGCATGTAGTAAATCAAAAGCACATCCCAGCCGATCCGCTCGTTGCGCATCCGCAGGTGGACCTCGTTAAAGATAACCACATTGATGAGATAAAGCACGATTGTGCCAGCCAGCAGAAACCCGCAGAATGCGGGCGAGACGATGAATGAGATTGGCAGGATGAATGGGGTGAAGAGGTACAAGAGGGTTTCGTAGACCTCCTGGAAGACAAACAGCTTGGCGCCGATTTCCCACCAGCCAAGCTTCCAGCTTGTCAGGATGTAGTGCATGTTGTACCACATCCCGTTCACGAAGAAGAAATTCCACCGCAGAAAGCGCTGCTTGAAGACGGTCATCTCGCCGAAGCCACCGCGGCTGCCTCCACTGCTGAAGAACACAGCGGGCGGAGTCTCCGTCTCGACGAAGACTGACGTACACATTTTGATCCTCCCGCCGAGGCGGCGACAGCTGTGGCCAAAGAACCAGTCCTCCGAAACCGAGAAGCCTGGGTGGTCGTGAAATGTCTTGATGAGAAACCTGCGGTCCCAGAGCGAGATGGCACCATGGGGGAACGTCGCGCTGCCCATCTTACCGGCCAAGGCCCGCTGGAGGCCCGAGATCTTATATTCTAGGTCTTGCGCCTGTTGACAGTATGTTCCTTTGGAAGACCCGGGCCCAACGCTCTTGATAGTGTAGCCGATGGAGCGCACCTTGTCGGTGAGGCGCTCAGACACAACGGGGAAGTTGGGCGGAAGCGCGCAGTCATCATCGATGAGCAGGACATTCTTGAAGCCCTTGGCTGCGTAGCACCCCACGAACTGCGCGACAATCTTGGAGCCGACGGGACACCAGATGTGGTTGACGCCGTACGGAATGCAAATCTCTTCGGTGTTGTCGAGGGGCGTTTCCGAGTTTCCGTTGGCGATGACAAAGATGTGCGAGGCGGGGAAGACCTTCAGCGCCGCTTCGAGAGTAGGGCCGATGAGATTTGCGGATTTGTAGCAGGGGATGAGAAGTGCCGTTGTCGCGACGCCCGGTATCGAGGCCCGGTCGAAATCGTCCGGGTGGTCCACGACTGGTGGCTCCCTCTCGAAGAAGATGAGAAGAGGAGCAAACGAGTAAAACGCGGCGATGGCGATGGTGATGGACCAACCTCCCGCGATGACAAATTTCGTTGATACTAACCAATACATCCAATAGACTGCCCCTTTCCACAGAGGCAAACCGATCAAGACAAAGTAGATGAAGCAGAGCAATATGGTGTAGATTGTACACTCAAACAGAACCTCCACCCACCGTTTCCGTTGCAGCTCGACACCCCTGGCCTTGGCTTTCTCGTAAACCTCGGCCATTGAGCTTCGACGCGCGCGGCCGATGACGTTGCGCGCAGTCTCCTGCACCTTGTCTGGCACCACGGCATCGACTACCCTCCGCACTGTATTGTTGCGCCTCGGAACATCTTGTGGGCCGTATGTCGACTCCTCGTCCCCCCAGACCGATGATATCACATCGGAGGATCGGTCCTGGAGCGGAAATCGGTGCTGAGGTTTGGGCTGGGGCCCAAACTCCGGAAACGCCTCAGTGTCGTGGCTTTGTGTTATCCCAGCTTTGACGTCTTGATCTGCCGTCCTTTTCGGGTACACAGACCGGTGAATGGAGCGTCTGTCGCGATCCGTCACCGGGTCGCTGGTTTTCCTGGGCCTGCCTGATACCCGAGTGTCGTGCCACGACGTCCTCTTGTCCGAGGGTGGCAAGAATGAGCGCCTCCTATATTCGTCGAGGACCTGCTGGACCGGCCCGTACGTGCCCTCGTCCTGGTCCGGATCATGGCTTTGTGGATGGCGGGGTCCACTGGGAACGAAGCCATTGTGTATGCGAGAGGGTTGTCTTCGGTGACCGCGGATGTTGGGGGTGTTCGAGAAGGACGGATAGTCGTCCCCTCCTCTCCTCGAGGCGGAAAACAACCTCTGAGGGATGATGACATCTTTCTGCACCTTGACCGACGCAGACCTCTTTATGCCTCCACTCATTCCGAACTAGAACGATCGTACGCTGGCTATAGCCAACAGTGAAGGGCTGACGAGCCAAAGAGTGGAATAAATGACTAAGAATGGGGGAAAGAATGTAATGGAGCCAGAGGCTCTCCTTGACCGAAGGGATGGGTCAATATGAGACAGGGAATCCAAAAGAACAAAACGAATGTCTATAGTCCAGGAGAACTCCAGATGGCTGAAGATGCAGCGAAAACAGGAGAATAAATGAGCGAGTGTCACCTCACACAATGGCGACTATTGCGCAAGAGAGACAGCCCATGCCGTCCTCCCAGCTGGATCTGTCTCTGCCCTAGTGATCGACAGCATGGATTACTCGCAGCAAATGGAATCACCACATCGTGCACCGCTGCGGTCTCTCCCCTGCCGCATCCTCGTCCGACGCCTTCTAAAGTTGAGAGAGCAGAGGAAAAGGTCTATCCCAGGCTGCCGGGTGTGCTGTCCCACCACAGAGGGGACGCGTAGCTGGGCCTTGTGGCGCCCGAGTCAACCTCTTGTGAACCCAATCTTCTCAGCCTCAGTGAGGACTGCGATGTGGGTATCCGCAGGGCGACGAAGGGGAAGAAGAGGACTGGACCCACGCAGCCCCATGGGCCACGGTGCTGCAGTTGTCGTTTGTCATGGGAAATTTCGGACATGCCCCATCATACGCTCCTCCGCGGGCTCTGTCGCACGAGAATCAGCCTGTATGGCGCCTGGTGAGAGGAGGTACCGAACACAGCCAAGCTGACCTGCGTGCGGCAAATTGGTGGGACGACGGCCCAAACCCGAGGCGTCCGGGCAGCGTACTTCATGGTCAGCGTCGTATTGTTGCAAGAGTTGTAGATCCTTTTCATGCCCGGCAAAGGAGAAGAGAGAAGGAGGGAGAAGGAGCTGTGGAGCCGAGTAGTCGTTCAGTTGCCGGGCTGAAGAGATTTGTTGAACAAAGTCGAGTCATTCGGAGCCTAAAGACCGTGTTTTTGGAATGACGGCCATGAGCCTACTCACCTGGGACAACCCCTCATGCCCCCTCTTTCCCCAGCGATTCTGTCTGTCACCTCATCCCATGCAAGCAAGGGAGTATCCACGTGCTCGTGTACATGGTTGTGGTCATGTGGCCCCGTCCGTGGCTTGGGCTGGATAATATCACGGTGCTTTTCCTTGTCTTCAGGTGACCCTGAAGACTGCCGTTTATGCCCGCCCGCCTCTGTCCTTGCCCAGGTGGGCACGCACGTCTACGGGCAATGGTTGGACGCATGTTGGTAGACAGTGGAGGAGTAGTCCTCGGTGCACATTTGCAGCGTGGTTGTCATTCTGCCTGCGCAGCCAGCTGTGCAGTCAGATTTGGTAAATTACCACCGAGTGCCCACGGGCGGGTGCAGCACAGGCTACGGAGGAAACATCCGAAGACCATGGAAAGCTAGTGCATGTTGTGGCACAAAGCATTCCCGCCATCTCCCAGTGCTCTGGTCGGATGACCACACGCGGTACCAGGTGAGGTGGAGTGGTGGGGACGTGGAATCCATGCAACTGACAGAATTTTGAGATGAACGTCTGTCCGCTGCGGTTCTGCTTCTTTTTTTATCTCTCCCGACTACCCGACTAGTACGGAGTAGTACCAACCTGGCATCAAGTCAACCATCCATGACCCGAGACTGCCGATGCTTACCTACCTAGGTACACATGCTCACCGGCCGGGCACGATACAACCAACCTTGCCCTCGGCTCGTCCTAGCATGGCCGCGACTATTCCTCAGCCTCAGTAGTACAATAGGTGCCGCGTCGCACGGGCTGGGGCTGGCAGCCCGGTGATTTACCTGTGTCCCGAGTCCCGAGTCCTGACCTAGCTGAAGAGCTGCTCCACCCACGTGGGGAGACGACATCGCCGACTCGGTTCGGGAACTTCCTGGCTGCCTGTAAGGCCCCGTGTCAGCCTCAGGCCCCACTTGCTCTCCCATCTTCCGGTCGACGGCCGGGCCCTCCAGGCCCAGCACCACCCGACAGCGGCGGAACCACCAGGCATGGCTTCTCTATCATGGTGCAAGACCTTGCGTGTACACAAGAGGTGAAATACCACGTATCTTCCTTGATCATTTACATTCATGGCTGTTGTTATTAACGTGACCGACCAAGGCATGAGAACATGGGCAGAATCCAAACAAGACAGGATCTGCCTGGCCTGCATACGTCTCCCGCTACCGGTCAACGCGACCTCGTGTTCGCCGCACCACACAATCACATAAGCTTTCGCTTGACCTCAACCCGACGACCGACTTTGCTTTTTGCCGTCTTCCAAAGTTTTGTCGCGGCACCTGGCCCAAGCCAGTTACATGACCAAGCAGGCGCCTAGCCTGAGCCCTGCCCGGCAATCTGGCTAGCGGGAGGCGACTCGTCGCTGTCGTCCTCCAGGTTGTAGTTGCCTTGAATGCGTCTCTTAGCCTCCCACCTTTCCTGCTCCGTGATGTCCTTCTCATCCTTCCGCATGTCGGGTGCCCATTGTGCCTCGCTGGGAGAGTGTCCTACAGACATGCCAACCCGAATCTGCATTCATGTTAGCTTGCACGGAACTTAAAATCGCCCACAGGGAACAGCATACCAAGGTCTCGAGAGCGCCATTCGAGTTATCCACCAAGTCATCGTCAAACACCATCTTGCCCTCTTCGAAGAGCAGGACGATCGTGCTACCACCAAACTTGAAGTAGCCAAGTTCTTCGGCTCTCTTTACATGCTCGCCCTCCTGCCTCGTGATCACGGTGCTGCCGACCATCATCGCACCCACACAAATGACCATGACGCGGCCATGCTTCTCGCTGTCGATCGGCACGATGACGCGGACGTTCTCACCGTAGACATCCAAGGCGGACCGGATGGCCATCGGGTTGACCGTATAGTATTCTCCTTCGATGAGCTTGGGCTTGCCCATGATGCCATCCACGGGGATGTGGAACCGGTGGTAGTCTTGCGGCGCAAGACGGAAGATACCCAGTCCGCCCCCGTTCTCATACCTGGCCGCATCTTCGGGGTATGCATCTCCGAGTAGTCTCTTTATCGAGAACTCACGGCCTTTGATCCAGACGCCAGTGGCGACATCGACACGGTTGAAAACCACAGAACGACAATCGGCAGGTGAAACAATAATGTGTGGATTCTCCGGCGCGGAACATGGCCGGGCACCTGGTTTGAGGGCTCGATAGAAGAATTCGTTGAAGTTCTTGAATTCCTCCAACGGAAGGAGAACCTCGGACATGTCGAGCTTGTGGAATTCAATAAATCCCTCGATCTCAGCCTTGGAAGCTGGATCGTCGTACTTCTTGCCCTGCTTGATGCTGAGGCTCTTTAGAAGTTTGCGAACTTGTGTCAGGTTAGCAGCGAGATCTCTGGTGCACAGTGGAGGGGGCAGGCTTACTCCTCTTGTTCTCCATGTTGTTCGATTTCAGTCCCTTGTAGAGCAGTCTGATACCAAGTCTCACGTACACGCTCATCTTTTCCTCACTTATCTGTCCTGTTATGCGGTCCTGGACGAGAATATTCGCAGAATTGGCGCCCAATTTGTACCCTCCGTATGAAATCTTCGTGATGACCTTGGAGTACCACTTTCTCTGCGCCTGGCTTGCGGTCACAAATCCAGCCATTACGAGGTTGTTGACCTGGCGCCAATCCTGGCTGGCGCAAGTGGCAATGTGCGTGATGATGTCCGAATCAGTCCGCTTGTTCAAACGAGGCTGATGGCAGATGGGGCATTCCCTAATTTCAACCACGTGCTCTTCCCCGCGATCGTTGAGATCATCTCTCTCGGCTAGCACCTCGCCTTCTTCTCCTGGGGTGGCGAATTTCGGAACGGTGATCGTCGACGTGGATGTCTGACTGCCGGGCGCTGTCTCGGGACCGGGCGCTACCTCGCTGGAACTCGGCTCCTTTCCAGATGATTGCCCCTTCGCGAAATCAGGCAATCTGTCCTTGAGACGGTCCGTCATTGTTGGCTTCGGTTTCGAAAGGAGCTGATCTTCCAAACAGATGACGGCCTCGTCTGTCGTAAGATCGCTTTCACCGCTGTTAGCTGCATGTGGGAAGCGTTTGAAGAAGCTGTCAATGGTTGAGTCTCGCAATGTCGAGCCGAGCGTGTCGAGCATGGTTGTCAGTTCGACCTTGCTGATGGTTCCGTTCTCGTCCGTGTCATACTGCTTGAGCATAGATCTCCAAAATTGTTGCCGCAAAGCTGGGTAGGGCATGTATTTAGCCCGTAAAGTAAGAACGGGGTTGTGCTTCGCCTCCCACTTCTCCATATTCTTCATCTTCAGGGGGACGTCGAACAGCACGAAGTCAGGGTCTTCGCCGTCTGCAGCCGCCTCTGCCCCAGAGCCGGTAGCAGCTGGGTCAACAGGCGCCAAAAGTCCGGGATTAGGGACAGGTAGCTGCGTCGATTCCGCCACGCCGTCGCCCGGTGCAGAAGGCGGGACCTGGGACATTTGTGAGGGGTTTTTGCTCAGGGCAGGCCGGGCAGATTTCGCGAGGCTCTGCTGAGAGTTCGAGCGTGATATGCCTAACCTCTTGAAACGAGACTTTTGCGATGAGTTGTCCGGCTGCACGTACTCAGGCGGGTCTCTGAGCCTATAGAGTCCAGTTTCTGGATCAGCAACAGGGGCCGTCTCCATGAGATCCTTGAGGGGGAGAGATGTGGAAGCAATGAAGTCATTGCCGGTGTAGCGATCCCGATCGATGACTGTGAAGGCGAAAGAATAGCTTTGCTCATGACCGAGGACGTTGAATATCATCTTCTCGTTGAAGACCGGGTTCAGGTTGTGTCGCACAACCTTGGTCCGGTATGTCTTCTTGCCGAGCGACGCGACCACGAAGGGGTCCATGTCGAAACCGGTCTTTGTGAAGTTAGATTCGGGAGGGAGATCGGTGATCTTGACAACCTCGAGGAAGATGATGCCGACTACGTCACTGCGGTCTCCATTGGTGAATTCGTACGGGTTGTCGCGCTTCTTGCGCTTCAAGCCCTTGATCCGGAGCCGGCGCTTTCGCTTCTCGACACTCTCAGGCTTCGACGGGTCTTCCTCCTCGGGTGTTTCGTCATCGTATATGTCATACTCAGCGTCGTCGTCGTCGCTGACATCCTCTGTTGGCCTCCGACTGATGGGCGGGGAGGGGGAGGTGCTCGGCTTGGTGGGCGCCAAGACCGGTGTGCGGGAGGGCGTCGGGTTCTTGGACGTTGGGTCGGCTTCAGGGACCGCGCTGGTGAGGGCTGTGAACTTGGCGGCAATGTCGGCATTGGTCGCGTTTGGATTCGAGGCGTCGTAGAGGGTGAACTGCAACAAGACCTCACCAGAGACCTTGGTGCTGGTAGCCTTCTTGCCCTTGCTCTTGTTCTTTAGAGGAAACCACTTGGGCTCTTGCTCATAGTGGCCGTCTGCGAATATTTCCTCGAGAGCGAGATCGAATTCGCCGAGATAGTCCTTGCCAAATCTGTCCTTGTCCCAGCAAATAATGTCGAGTAGCAGGTGTCGTGTTTCGTTGACGTGGAACTCGCATTGTTCGTTCCAGTGTGGGTTAAGCGTCTTGGACACAGAGTGTGTTTGGTGCCTGTTTTCACCAAGGGTTAAGACGAGGTACTGCGTGTAAATGTCAGTCTAATCATTCTTGTCGGTCCGTCACCGGGGGGGAGGGGGAGGGTAGGATTGGCCCTACTGGATCCGAGGTACCACTTCGATCCGCTGCGGCGAGGTTCCGTGCCTAGCATGCGCGTGTTAGCCGTTTTCCTTGCAGGCAGCTGGAGCAGACGTGCGCATCAAAAAGCACAAGCTGTTTACCTTGAGAATTACAGTGTTGAGCATCAACCCCGTCTCCTTGCGGCCGTCTGGGCTCGCCGAGTCTCCTTTGCTCCTCATTGGGCTGGCGTTACGACTATTGGTGGCCGAGCCGGTATTCAAGCGTGATGACGATTTCAGGCGTTGTGGTATGATGTGAACCATATTCAACAGTCGTAATGCTAAGCGAAGCGGTTGCGTTCGAGGAAGAGGGAATTGAAGTTTCCGTCGTCTCTCGAGAGTGTGCTGGACAGTAATTGGGCGATGTCTTGTCTTCGTCGAGGGTGGGCGTGCAGGGATGGCTCCAGGGAGAGCTGGTCTTGACGTCAAAGGTGGGGGGGAGCTTCGGGATTGCGGTATTAATTCTCAAAGCCGACTGTGAGGAGGCGGGAGAGGTGACGGGCTAGGGGCTGTTATTCGTGTGGGAGGGCTATATGGTGGATGAGGTCGAGTCTTGAATTCTACTGCATGTGCATGATATCTGATGTTGTTAGCGACGAGTGGCGGCGGCCATGACATGGCGTTCGTGGGTTGGGCCCAGGGGGAGGGCTTGACGAGTGGCTGCTTACCTGATGAGGGTTGCAGTTGCGTGTCTTCAACAGCTTGTACGTAGCACAGACCAGAGAGGCAGTGGAGCAATAAATTGGGCAATTTCAAGACATCTATCTGACCAGTTTTAGGCAGAGACAGAGCGAGATGGGACAGTCTGGGTGCGTGGCTGGGTCCAGGTGCATCTGCGAGGTCCGCGTGGGCATCGCATCTGCGTCAGATCTGGCTGCCGCTGACTCCGACCACAAAGGGTATGCAAGGCTTGGGTGTTTCAATTGCCTCAACGCCTCGCCATGGCAACGCGAGGAGGAAGGAGAGCGAGGGTTGAGGAGGGCTGACGGGGAGGAATACACGGGGGGGGCGGCGGCGGCGGAGGAGTGGGTTTCGGAACGAGAGATGCTCGCGTCGCCAGAGAGAAGGAGGTGGATTGTGGAACGGGGCAGAGCTGAGGGCAAACGGGACGGCCTCTACTGAGCAAACGTCACACCTGCCGCTTGGGCTGGGGGAGACTCAGGGAGTATGAGAAGTACACACGCAGTACTCCGTACCCCCGCACCTACCCAATGCTGCCGGGGCAGCAGGGTAGACGGAGCTGCCTGGGTACGGAGTAGGTACACAGCACTGTGTAAAAGGGGGCATGCGCTTGGCCGCTGGCCGCTGGCCGTTGGGCTGGCTGTCTGGCCGGCCGGTTCGGTTCCCTGGCAGCCAGGCGGAGAAGGTAAGAAACCGCCGCTAAGTCCAAGTACCGCCAAAACTCTCCATTTTAGCATCACGATTATTCCATAACCTTATTATATATACTTGGTATTAGCGATATTTTCATATTTAGAATAAGTATTTAATTCAACTGATATAGATATGTCTTTAGGAATCTTTGGTTGTGGCTATAAACTGGGTGGGAAGCTTGAAGGGTTTTGATCCTGGTACATAACCAGCGGCGGGTTTCTGTGTTCTCCGTCTGGTAGCTTGTACCGCACCCTCAACCGCAGCTGTTAGTGTCAGCCAGATTGCGGGCCGCCCGAGCGGTGGTCGAATCCCTGCCGAGGCACATGAAACCTGCTGATTACACTCTCCCCATGCCAGATCTCGAACCAGGGGTACTAACAGGGACTAGTGAGGGCATGGTATCGCTACACCGACGGATGCCCGGCGCGTTTCTGGCTCCCAAAGGCTCGTGGTCCGCCCCTTTGGTATTGTTGATTGAACTGCTGCTGGACAAGGGGAGGGGGGGAAGGGGCAGGTAGTGTAGTTCCCCCCTCTCCGTTCCCGAGCAGCCAAGAGTCAAGACGCCGAGGACAGCTGCCCCATTGTGGCAGTGTGGATGATGTCTACCTACTTAAGTAGGTACTCCGTACACAGTCAGACAGCCCGACACTCCCATAGGTGTCCTCAACTGCCCGAGATCCCCGTAGGCCTGGTGGGCTAGGCACACTGTGCCGTAGTGCCGTGGTGCCGTGGTGCCGCGTGCCTGGGCCGAAGCTTCGCCCATTCAGCCCTGTCCCGCCGCCTCCGATTGAGTTTTGGCAGGAGCTCCAAGCGCCCAGAATCAAGCTGTCAGGCTGGTCCCGTCTTGCCGCTCTCAGTCCGTCAGTCCGTCAGTCCGCCAGTCCGTCGCCAGTCCGTCCGCCTGTGCAGCTCAGCCACCCGTCCTGCCTCGGCACCAAAGCCCCGAGTGGTCGAGCCGTCTGGCTGGTGATACCGCGGCTTCGGGATGCTACACAGCGAGATGCATGCAGTCTTGTCTTGTCGTGTTCACTGCCCTTTCGCTTCCTTGTTGGGATTCTAAAAGCCGTTTTGCCCATCCTTTTTTTTGTCTCTGAAACAACACCTCGTCCTGTCTAATATCGCTGTCTTGAATTCGAGACAGCTGATTCAATGCTGTGTCGGGCTCACCTTGCTTCTCCGACGCAGCCTCTCTACCCTGCCCACTAGCACACGAAACCTTGGCTGGCTCAAATGGATAATGCCCAAGATCGCGCATGCTTGCATGAGAGCCCACTCGTCGTGCAACAGCAGTGGAGACACTCGCATGTCAGTATTCTACGTTTCACACGTAGCAATCCCGCTGGGAGGGATGGGGACCATTTCTAAATTGAGTCCCAGTATGCACCAACAATACAATGCATGGCCTGCGCAGTGGCCCAGATACCTATGCTATGCTAGGAGTCGATAGACGTGGTTGGGTACTGATACTCATTTGAACGTGACTGCCAAGTTTTCTGTTATGGATCTCTCCATTCCTTGTGACTTCTGCATTTAGTTCAGTCTTTTGATGAGTGTCTCTTTCCTAAACACTGGGTCTTTGAGCGCTTGTTACTGTATGAAGGGACTGTTCGCTTTCGGGGTATGCACACGGGTTTAGAACGAAACCAGTCAGTCTAGTATTCTTGACTAGAGGATGTGCATAGAAGAGAGAACGTCAATAAATGAGAACGGATATTCACAGAGTAATAAATGGATAGTTTAGAGCTAAATTCAGCTAGTATAAGGCAACTTTTTTTTAGAAAAAATAAAACTTAATACTTATTATAACTTATTTTATAACTTTATTTTAATAATATTATTAAATTATATTATAATTCTTATTCTTTATTATATATAAAAAATAAAATTTATATTAATATTTTATATTAATAAAATATAAATAATAATAAATATAAAAATCTTACTTTATTATATAAATTATTTTATTTTATTTTATATTATAACTTTAAATAAAATTTAATTTTAAGTAAGAAAATATATATTATAATATAATAAAAAATAATTTATTTAAAAGTATTAGTTTTAAAATTTTAATTTTTATATTAATATAATTATAAAATATTATAAAAATATAAATTATTTTATTAAAATAAAATTTAAAAATATATAAATAATTTTAATAACTTTATTCTTAATATAATATATTTATTAAAGAGTAATAAATAGTTAAAAAGTTTTAAAAAATAATATTTATAAATATTATTTATAAAAAATAAAAAAAATAAAAAGTTACCTTATACTATTTATTTTTTACTGTGCGAATATCCGTTGTCTAATAAACTGTGAAGCTTCTATGCTAAAAGATTACTAATGCGGCCAGACCCTATCCATTTGACTGAGTCGAAGAACGGAACTACCTAGGTAAGGTAGCACAGCTATACATTGACACGCTTTGGTCCAATGTAAGTACAAGTTCCACAATGACTACCAGTTATGATATGCGATAATTGAGCTTAGTGACTAGCTAGGTAACAAAGAAGCTGTACATGTGAAAGTGGCGGGGGGGCCAGGTATCGGTTTTGAGTGACAGCATCAACATTGAATATCTAGATAGTGAGCCAGTCTCAAGCAATCTTATAACAGAAACTTAACAAAAGCTGGTGCAGTTGGTATCATTCGTTAGTTTTACTGGCCTATCCACCGAGCACTGTATCTTGTTCTACAGAGACGTAGAGCGATAGATCAATGTCTTCTCACTCGTTTCATGGCATTTGCCAAGTTGTTACTGATCTAAAAGCAGAGCTACCCTCGGGGCTGCCAGAGACCAGCTATGTGAAGGCAGCTTCTGGGCAACTCTTTCAAAGTTCAAATCTTTACTTAAGTACATGCCGTATTCCTCATTCTCTACTCTTGATCAGCCATGTATTTGCCCATTTTTGATCCAATTAGCCCTGTTGTGTGAGATCAGACATTCGCACATGCAAAAACGGAGAGTACGCCCGCACGTGCGTACAAGGAACTTAATACATGTTGCCAATGAGAGCTAGAGAAGAGCTGGGACGAGTTGGAGCTCCAAAAACACTTATTCCCTTGAATGCCAAGCCGATTGCCTTGTAGGAGGTTATCCTTTAACAAGTTTTAACAAGTTATCCCATAGAAGCACGATGTCCTATAGGGCTTATAGGCAACAAGGAAAGCACCAAACCATTACGCTAGCAGTATTCTTCGTGATGTTAGTACCAATAAGTATATATGAACAGATGTATGGGTATTTAAGAAGTTCGCCTTAATATCTTGTATGGCGAGCCCATAGTGAAGTTGAATTGACGCTCATGGGGCTGTATTTATACCAGTTGACCACCCTGTCTTTAGGGGTGCGAATCTCCGAGCACTATTATTCTAGACCCTCGCTAACATACAGAAGATGACCACGAGAATGAGGACCCTTGCTTTGATTTCAAATGCTACTTTACAAGGTTGGCTTGGCTTTTGCGGGTTCAATAGCTGCGCAAGCTTGCGGTACGCAGACGCACTTGTGCAGACGAAGCGGTTAACCCACTACTTTGATACTCCCTTCTCAATCGTACGATTTCGTCCAGCAGGTCAACGTGAAGATCAGTTAAATTGTAATTTTTGAAAGATTTTGTCGGAAAAAACTTGATTACTGCTGAACGGCCTTGGAATGTGATGGGTTGACAGTCTGTCGTGCGTTCTCAAGTGGATCTGCAAAATAATTATGACGATCGCCATCAATTGGTTTGTTCAAAAATCAATTGATTGTAGGGTCCGATCATGTTGCATGACAACACGGATACCTAGGTAGGGCTCCACCCCATTTTCGGTCGGTCGCGTTCATAATCAACATGAGGAGGGCGGTAAGTCGTGATTCGTGTGAAAATTGGCCTGCTGATGCCCGGTTGATCCGGATAAACTGTGCTCAGTGTACCCACAACACCACTTCAAGTTATTGTCGGCCTTATCGCACAGGGTTCAAGATACGCAAAATTCACCACAAAAGAGGTTTTCAGTCTCTCGGCCACGTTCGGTCTCCGAAGATACCTAGTTGGGGAAATGTCCAGGGACTTAGGGCCGATGAATCGCTCTATCTTGGATGGGCCCTTGTACATCGCACAGCAACTCGAGGATAACTCTCTTTGACTTGTAGCTGTAATTCGCCGCTAGGACACATGCCAACGGCTCAATCATATCATACTTATTAGCCGCACCCAGCAATCTGCGTCCTATTCGATGGACGAGTGACGGTTTCAGTCACATGGAATAGGGGATGGCACGTGGCCGCCCCGGTTTTTATCCCGAGGGGACGGTCCGCCCCAGGGTCCAAATCGAGACCCAGAAATTACTGATCACAGCTAGCAACAGGAGATTTGCGAACCTCCCTGCTGATCAACCGTTCCCTAAGCGATTGGCTGGAATCAAACACCGCGTCCCCGTCCCTGCGAGGATCAGGGGCTAATTCCGAGCGTGCAGAAATGAATCCTTCGCTCTCAGTTTCTTTTCTGCAACTAGATTGCTGCGGTAACATTCCCCTGCCTGTCACCACTACTCATGCGCCAAACCTAGTCCGCGGTTGTTGATAGGGCCCCAGAGTATCGGTGGAATCGATCCATCATGTCGAACAAGATGTCCATGGTCAAAATAGCCGTCCTCGGCGAGGGCGGCGTTGGCAAAACCTCACTCACCATCCAGGTAGGTTCGCAGGTCGCTCGAGCTCCCCACCGCCGCCCCCCAGCGTAGGCCACCTGCTCATGGATCCAGATGTCGCACCAACATTTCGTTGAGGAGTACGACCCCACACTAGAGGACTCCTACAGGAGACAATGCGTTGTTGATGATGAGGCATGCCTGTTGGAGATCCTCGACACGGCTGGGCAGGAAGAGTTCACGGCGCTGCGGGAACAATGGATACGCGACAGCGAGCTCTTCCTCATCGTTTACAGTGTCACATATCGCCCTAGCTTCGAAGCCGTACAGAAGGTATTCGAGCAAGTCATGACAACCAAGGAGAAGTACGCCGCGCCCGGCGGCTTCGACGCCACCCTCATCGTCCTGGTCGGAAACAAGTCAGATTTAGACCACAAGAGGACCGTCGGCATCAGCGAGGGAAGGATGTTAGCTAAAAAGCTGGGCTGCGGCTTCATCGAGACCAGTGCCAAGACCCGGACGAACGTCGAGGAGGCTTTCTACAAGGTCATACGCGCCGACCGCAAGAGAAAACGAGATATGAGGGACCAAGAAGACAGCCGCCACAAGTCCGATTTGGCAAGCCTCGGCATCGATCAGCCCAAAACGAAGAAGAGCTTTTTCAAGAGAATTTTAAGTCGCAATTGAGATGACGCCGACTATCGACATTCAAGGCGTTATGGCGGTCATGCACACTCGCGATCTGCAAGTGTGATTTTGGGAAGGCATTTTGGGAAGGGATTATGGCTGGCGGTATCCATGGCTCTCAATAATTCCAGCCTGTTAATCCTGTGTTGGAGGACACAAGGCATGGGCTACTTGTACTTAATCAACCTTCTCTCTGAGGGGTATAACGGCGGCCAAGAGATTTCGGGCAGGCCTCCAGATCCCTGCCCTTATCATCAGGCCTGTGTGAACATCTAATGCTGGATAGAAGCGGCGCTCCTCACATCTTTACGGGGGCATGTTGCTTCGCAGGGGGCTATTTATAGCGATGGCCAGGGAATATATGCCCATGCACAATAAATTGGCATGTGTGAATGAGACTCGTCGCTATTTGGCGTGCTGTGCCGGTATGGCCATCCGTTTTCGCGGCGCTAGTTCCTTTTGTGGTCAACGCGGAGTTCGAGGTCCGGCTCGCCGTCTTCTCGTGTGACGTAGGATGCAGGTTGCTCCTCTCGCAGACGGAACCTTCTTTAGGCTGTTATTAAGGCTGATTTGCACATCACCTGGACAGTCGATTGTGTTGTCTTCGGAGAAATCGTGGACCATAAATGAGCGTACACGAGCTTGAATCTGTGAAAACCAAAAAAGTTCGCGGCATCCAACCCACACCTCAAAACGCCAAGCCGACATGTCCGAGAAGAAGAACATCGTTATTACGGGGTCCGCTCGGGGGATCGGACGTGCAACTGCCCGCCACCTAGCGCTTCTAGGCCACAGGCTGTTCCTGATTGACATCGATGCCGAAGAGCTCTCCTACACGGCCAAAACGTATATCCCGGGGGCATTGACCGGCCAGGTCAATGGCAACAAGGCCTCAGTTGGTGTTGGCCATGGCGCTTGCGATCTGAGGGACCCTGCAGCCATCAAGTCGACAATCAAGGCCGCGGCTGAATACTTTGGCGGACGAATTGATGTGCTGGTCAACAATGCCGGCATAGCGAGGGCCCAGTTTAGCGGGGGCCGCAGCATGGCAGACCCTTCCGTGTTCGACGAATGGCAGGCCTACATGGAGACCAACCTCACCGCGCCCTTTCTCGTCAGTCAGGCCTGCATACCGTTCATGACGATCCAAGACGACGGGCGGAAAGAGCACGTCGATTCCGTCATCAGACCAGAGGCTGCTTACGCGGCCACGGAGAGACTCACGGAAAACCACCGGAGCACCTTTTCGGCACGCGCCAAGCAGGGCCCATCAATCATCAATATCGCCTCTTTCCGTGCTCGCCAGTCGGAGCCCAACTGCGAGGGTTACGCAGCATCAAAGGGCGGAATCTTGGGGCTGACACAAGCTATGGCTATCTCGTGCGCCCAGTGGGGAATCAGGTGCAATGCCGTTCTCCCGGGATACATCTATGTCCAGCACGAAAACAAGCAAGCAGATGAAATCGAGGGTCACGAGTGGTGGGCCAAGGATGTCCCCGCCGAGCGACACCGGAAGCACCCAACGGGTCGCATTGGGTATGGCGAGGACATCGCAGAGACCATTGAGTGGCTCATGGGTGCCGGTTTCGTGACAGGACAGGAAATTGTCGTGGATGGAGGCATGAGCAAGATTAAACACGTGGATGCTTGACTCGAACTTCTCACATTTCACAGGCATCTTGACCTCATTTTACAGCTTCAAATCTATCATATATCATCATTTTATTATGGAGTATCACACACTTACCCTGCTACTGGAGAGGTGCTGTTACATCCAGGTGGCATTTGAGTTGATATAACTGCAAGAACAACTGCTTCGCGTAGGCAGACATGAAACTCTCCTAGATCAAGCTAATGTGTACATGTGGGTTGAGTTCTTCGTCTCCAGTTCAAGCATAAACAAGCTCAAGGGGCATTTGCTACTATTGAGACCCTAAAACCTAGCAGTCTTGACCATTTAAAACCGCCGTCAAGATGCTGGCCACATGTACACCATGCGTAATTGAATAGGCACACATTGCAAGAGTGTTCAAAGTAGTGGTTTCGTTTTTAATCCCCATACATGTAAAATGTACGTGGCGCCTTCATACAGTGGTAAACGCTCAGTGTTCAAATTAATACACTAGATTTCAGTTCAGGACAGCCTGAAAAATAGCATTCAAAAATAGGGTATGACACACAATGTCGTCGAGGGATCAATATGTAAAGGTCACACACGGAGCTGCGGCAGAATGTGTATGAGATCTACTAATCTTGGCCCAGTATAGCTCACCGCAAAACCAGGAACGGAGCGGGTCGGATCGCGACGGCAGACGAGATGATAGGTAGAGGCGGGCAATGATCTTCACACTAATGACAGACAGTAAATGTGTGGTATGGATCTGAATCTAGCTTAATTTGGTACCTAGGTATATAAAGTGTCTTTGACTAGCGGTGGAGGCAGATAGCTCCTAAGACGGTCTGTCTACTGAGCAAAGTCGCCTTGGCCAAAAGACCACAATTTCCAAGTCCCCCGTTTTGGAAATCCAGTAGTTATAAGCCCCGGACCGTCACAGCTCCTGGAATGTAGTAAAGTCGAAAGAATCCTAACCTTCCACAGCGCCAGACCTAGTTATAAGATTTAATAGCAAGGTAAACAAGCTATTTATAAGGAGCTATAATATCTAGTTTAATTCTTAGTTAAGATATTAAATTAAAGTACGATAAGTATTATAACTTAAGTTAATTTTATATTATTAAATAGGTTTATAATTAAGTAAAGATAATAATATATTATATATTATTATTTTAAAAAGTTAATAATTTACTTTTAATTTAATAATAAAATTAAAAAGTATTATAAATAAAAAATAAAAGTTTAATTTCTATTAAACTTAATATTTTATATTTTTTATTTTAATTATTTATTATTTAATTTTTAATTTAATTATTATTATATATTAATTTATAAAGTTATAAAAGTAAGGGATTATAGAAATTTTAATTTCTTATTAACTTAAAAAATTTAATATTAATAAATTTAAAGATTTTAAGAATTTTTAATATATATTAATATAATATTAATTATTTAGTGTAGTTTCGCTTCTATTCTATATACGTCCAAGGACATACATAGCGCCTTTATATAATAGTAAGCACTTAAGACCTAGCGCTTAAAAAGAATATAATACTAATAATAATAGTTATAATATAATAGTAATTATTTAATAAATTTTATTTATAATAATATTCTATTAGCCTTTTACTAATATTTAATTATAATATCTAGATTTTATTTAAATGTTAATTTTTCATATAATTATATACCTATATTAAGGACCCCCCTCCCCCTAGTAGGTATCGGTAGTGGTTACGTTGTGATAGCTACTTGATTACATAGATGAGAAGGTAACTAACTGACTCAACTTTACAGAGGTTCATGCCTCCTCCCTCCAGTGTTACGTATCTTCTTGCCGCAAGTGAGGGTCTCGGAACACCGTCCGTCATTAAACGTCTCCATGGGCGACATGAGCAGGTCCAGGCTTGCTCCTGGGCTTGACCAGTTGACTCAAATCACCCACCGGCAGCTGGAAGGGAAAATCAACAGATTCAAGAACGATGGCAAACAGTATCCACCAGCCAGCCGCGCAACAGACGAAAGCACATGCTCCACTGGCCTTGGAGTTGTCAATTTCATGGCCTTCTCGGTGACTGATAGGCAGAAGCTGCCACACATAGGTGGACTTACAATAACAAAATCATTAGCCGTTGAGGCATTCCCAGTAAAGTCCTCAGCGAGTAGCCAGTATGCCGCAGTCAATAGGGCGAAGGTAAAGATCAGTGTGAGGAAGATGATCACGAAGCAAATATTCGTTCGAAAAGCACAAACGAAGAAGATGAACGATACTACCCCCATAAATACGAGGAAAAAGCCTATAAAAACACAGAAGTGCATCAGCAATTTTGACATGGGAAAGAGGACTCAATATTGCAGCACGCTGATAATGGCCACAGAGGTACCTTACCGAATCCAGCATTGAAAGCCTGTGTCGTAAGGCCAACAGCCGCAGCCTGTCCAGCTGGAGCAAATGAAGAGAAGGCGGCGAAAGATGGGTTGAGTGTTCCGCCGAGAGACAAGAAAAAAGCGCCGAATGTACAGAACACGACGGAAGGAAACGTGTTCCCGAGGAAGAACTCGAGGAGTCCAGTAGTGAACTGGAGCAGACCTCCAAAAAAGAAGAACTGCGGGCTAGATGCGATCAGCATCGAGACCCTCTAGGTGCCGGTCCGCAGCAGAAAAACTTACATTCCGTTCGAGCCACTGCTAGAGGCACCTCGCCATTGCATTAGATCACAAGATAGAGGCGTTAAGGCGAGGAGGAATCCCACGAGACCACTATCATGGACACGGGATTAGCCAACTTCAATATCGGAGCAGAGGGGACTTTGCTCCATAACCAGGAGAACCCACATAGGAGTCGGGTTTCCAAAAGTTTTCCTCAACTGGCCGCTAACATCTGTCTTAGGGGCAAGATAGAGTTTCTCGAACAGCTCCGCTGAAATAGAGACGGCACCATTCGTTCTAGCCTCTTGTAAGGTGGCGCCTACATCATCGTGGTAATCGAACCGGGACTCTTGGATATCAGGCTTATTAGAAGTTTTACGACCGGGCATGGTTGCGGTGAGAGGGGGCATCGAGCGGTTCAGGTGAGATGGGAAAAGTTTAGTGCGGTTGCCAACGGTGGCCTGTTTTGGTCTCCAGAAAAATTTACCATGATATCCCAGAGGCCCAACCACTCTATATGAGGAGGCCCAGCAGCTCGGGATTCGGAAATCCCAGCACACACAGAGACTACCACCTTACCTCGTGTTAGCTACCATCGGCTATCGTCCCACCTGGACAGTCTATGGCTTCCCAACGCACATTGAGTTCAACAAGAGCCCAAACCAGCATGGGCTGGTCGGTCTGGAGATACTGATTGGTCACATGCCAGCGGGGAGCCGTGAAACTGAATCCTCCGCGAGTCCGGTAATACCTAGGTAAGCATCCTGCCTCTGCGCCGGCTGGCTCCTGGACCCCAGCACGGTCAAGTAGGCCAAGATAACTCTAACTACCGAAAGAGCCCCCTCCTGAAACCAGTCTCAACATCTGCAGTCGATTGAGGTCGAGAACACAAAATGCGGGGATCGTTCTTGAGGGCTGGGTGAGCGACGTCAGCTTACACGTGCCCACCAATGGGAACAGCTCGAGCCACAAAGGTTGGGTGGAGCTGCTCATGACGAACATACACAGGCGTTTCGACTGGCGTCGGATAAGACATGATTGCACGGAGAGGCATCGTGTCATTGCGTCTTAATCCTTAGAGCCGCTGGATCCCTCAAGTAACTGTGGCCTGAGATGTCAGAATTCGTTTGTGTAGGAAGACTGTGATACTCAGAAAACCATGACTCTGGCAGCTGCATTGTAGAGCATAACTGACAAGGTGTTGCCAAGGCATGCAGGGGTTCCAGGATCAGATTCCCGGGGTAAGTTCGTCCCACGCAGGGTTAGCCCTCGGAGACATGGCAGTGAGGATCGGCCAGGCGGATAGGTCTGTGTGGCTTCACCAGTCGTATGACAGCTGCGGGCAATAGCTTAGTTCACTGACCCAGTGACACTACCTATACAAGTGAAGCCGGGACTAATAAGCAATTGCGGATCCGCAGGTCTAAGTTCCGCCCGCAACGCTCGAGGCCAATATTGAACTTTCGGGTGGCCGGACACATTCCGGGACAAGGGATGAAAATTATTTTGCTCGTAGAATTTGTCCTTGGGCACTTTCAGCACAAGTGATGCAGAACCGAAATCCAAACGGGCTGGATCGAGGGGTTATTGACGTGCGGTATTAAAATATTGGAATGCTTTGCAATGAAGGAGAAGAAACAAAGAAACGCTATCTGACCATGAACTCAAGGGAGCTTCTATCCGATTATGGTATTAGAGATGAACCAAAATTCTCATGCAGTGTGCAGCCCCGGAACGCCATGTAATGACCACCATCCTGCCTACAGCTTATCATTAACCTGTATCAATCCGGGCGCGGCCAGCGTGGCCGTGACGACATCCCCAGGCGTAGAGAAGTCCGCCCTTGTCGTCAAAGCGGCGACAGAGAGACCATCCATAATATTCGCAACGAAGGGAAACTGTGCCTCGAACTTAATCGCCTCTCCATTCCAGGAGACGTTGGTCACTGGCTGGCTGACTGGCAAGTTCTGTCCCGTCAGGTAGGTGACAAATAGCCCTTCGCCGCCTCCACCCACGTACTTCTTGGCGCCTTCCACGCCCGCCAGGTCCGCCTCAAATGAAAGCGGCTGGTCTTTTGCCTCGACGTCCAGGCCGCCGGAGCCACTGATAACACTCAAGGGCGGGAAGATGGGGATATCGATCTGGCTCACGTCGAACGGGCAGCTGTCCACAAAGCCCTGTAGAGCGCTGAAGGCGAACGCAGCAACGGATGTGGTGAGGAAGGGCTTCTCGCTCGGCTTGAGGCCCAGAAATGTCCTGTACCAGCCGTTCTGCTCGCCCTCTTGGCCTATCACCGACGCAACTCCGCGAACGGGGCCGGCGTCGCCGTTGGTGGCCAGCAGCTGCGAGGCATCCTGAAGTGTGCCGAGCACCAAGGCTGTGAAGGTTTCAGCGAGGGTGATGGCGGAGTTGAGATCAGACGTGGGAAATTTGTATGAGCACGGCGGAGGGGCGAATGTGCCGAACTTGGTCAGGACGTTGTGGGCGTTGATGGCATGCAGCTCTTCTTGCTGTGATGCGGGTGAGCATTATGGCCAGGCACTGAGGAGGGCAGGCATATGACTTACAGCTTTGACGGTCTCCAAGATTGAGAGCAGCTCGTCTTTCTTGTTGCTGTCGCCCACCTCGAATCCGGCGACGTCGTTGGTTATGTTCTCGGCGAGAGAAGAGAAGAAAGCTGCCTCAAAGTTCTCGTTGAAGGCAATGAGCTGGAAGGCGGTCAAACTGCCTGGGGCAAGCTTTGGCGGCGGAGGAGCGTTGGATAGCTGGCCACCTGCCTTTTGCTGGATGGCCGTGAGCTGTTCGGGGCTCGGGTTGGGAAAGCCATCGCCGGCAGGGACATTGTAGGATCGAGGAGTGGCCGGAAGAGCAGTTGAGACTCCTGCCAAAGCGACAAGATAGTGCAGCATTGAAGTAGGATACATTTTCAGAGCTTGGTTTGCGAACAGCAGCAGCAAAGATACTAGGTGATGGTCTGTGAGACGGATCGCAGCAGAGATGGATGTGTTGGTGCCTTGGGCTGGACCACTCCATCAAAAACAGGCCATGCAGCCGGCTTTTATTTACAAGTTCGACACTACCATACTGTGCCATCGTGTTCCATTTGATCTGTTGACCGCAAGGCGTGCATCGTTGGTTAACTCCTGCACTGGTCTAATGTGCTGAGATTGTGGCTCATGAGCACGGAAGCCCGGAAGCAGACCAGGCCTGTCAAATTAAACAAACCTAAGTACTGCTGTTGACTTGTTAGTAGGTAAGCTTTCCAATAAGAAGAAAGACTACCCGCGCTTGCTCCCGCGGCTGGGACCCGCGCCAAAAGCCAGCTGATAGGGGGCGGAGCAAGCAACACCCACCTAATTGCGGCTGTGTACCCGAGTACGGCCGCTGGTCAGCCGTCAATAGACCCTAAGCGCGATGGACAGATGGACAGGTATAACTAAGCGCGGGTCAGCATCTCGGAACTCTTCCCTTCCGGTGGCTTGGCAATATACGCTAGGGCACAGTCGCCGGATAGTCGGGCAGCCGCGTCTAAATTTGATGTTTGAGTAAGTATGTACTTTAAGTTCGTGGCTACAAATTTCTCCCATGCCATCTATTATGGACCCAATGCTGTGTGGAGGACACGACCAAGATCCCACTCAAGGCAAGGCTCCGTCTGCTACAAGGGCCGAGGTCCTCTCAAATTGGTGACTGACAGCACGAGGTGACCAGGTACAAGGCTTCAGAAGTGAATGCTTTAGTCCCTGTTGCCCACCTAAAATCGCCGTTTATCGAATTGGCTACGAAGATGTCTCGACATGCAAGCATTCTAACCACTGGCAATTTCCCTCCCCCTGATTAATCTTTCCAACTTGGATTGCAAAAAATGTGACGTTCTGAAGGTGTTGGCCTTGGAGATACATATCAACTTGGTGTATCTGTCTTGATAATAGCAAATGTGTAGAAGTTGCCGACATCAATGTATCTCGATTGGTCCTTGCTGGAGAAGTGACATATTGGTTGGTTGCCGCTGGCCACATGAGTAACCTCCACAACCCGTACTGAAACACCAGTACACTTTTAGTCGTTGGTTGTTGTGTATGTAAATATGTAAATAGTGAAACCTATCAAGGTCCAAAGCAGTCTTCAGCCACTTGCCACAGCTCCAAGTCCCACCTCTTCCCCTCATGGGACTGCTTTTCTATTTCACAGAAGCCTGCCGATCACCTGGCTACGGCAGGCATCCATCCATTTCACAATCATTCAGATCACAGAGTAACAAAAAAATGCCAGCAGGTTACCTACTCAAAGAATTTGTTTCCAATTTCGTCTCAATTGCCTCTGCTTTCAGAACATTATGTGACCGCCCCAGGAGACAGTCTTTTTGTTTGCAATAGTCTGCCAGCCTACGTGGCCAACAAGGATCTGTGGGCTTCAGGTGATGACCGCAATCATCAATTCTGCAGACATGAAGGCTCTGATCAAGTTGGAGATACTGGCTTTGAGCTCTTGGCGTCTGACCACTCTTTTCTTGGCCTTGGGTTCCAGAGTGGTTTCCTACACCGGAGGGGCACTTGGTTCCAGGTCTCGGTGCTGGCGAGCGCCCATACCAAGCGCCTCAGATCTCACATAGGTCGACAGTTAACGTGGGCGGCCTAGATTCTAACCACCCCCCAATTCCAACCGCCTTTTCCATATAAACTTATACTTTTCTACCCCCCTTTATTAAATTAAAATAAAATCCTATAACCCTAACCCTAAATTTAGAAAATAGTATTTTAACTTTAATATTATATAAAAATATTTAGAAATTTATTTTTATACTTTAATATTTTTAAAAAAAGTTTTAAAGTTAAAATATATTAAAATATTAAGAAATATATAGAATTTTATATATTAATATTAATATTTTTTATTATAAACTTATTTTAATTATAATTAATTAAATAAATTAATTATAATTTTACTTTTTAAAAAACTTTAATTAATATTATTATTATTAAAGATTTATAAAAGTTTTATTTAATAAATATTAATAATATTTTTAAATTTAAGTTTTTATTTTTATATAAAGTTTTTAAAAATTATAAAAGTATTTATATTTTAATTAAAAAATAATTATAATTAAAAAATAAAATTTATATTATTTATTATTTTTAATATATAAATAAAATTTTATATAAAATATAATCCTTTTAAGTATAAAGTTAAAAACTTATAATTATAATTTTCTAATTAATTTTATTTAAGTATTTTATTATATTATAATTTAATTTAACTTTATTTAAACTTTTTTAAAGTTTTATAAAACTTTTAAGTTTATAAATATAAACTTTAATTTAAAACCTTTAAATTTAAGTTTAAGATTCTTATAAATTTTAATATACTTTAAATTAAGTTTATAATTCTTTAACTTTTTAAAAATATATTAATTATTTTAAATAATAATAACTTTTCTTTAAAATAAAGGTTTATTTTTATATAATTATAAATTTAATTATTAATAGTTATTTTTCTTTTATAAAGCTATTAAAACTATAAGCTTAAAGTAGTATTATATATAGTAATAAAGTATAGTTATTTTATTTAATTATCTCTTAGTTTAATAAATTAATTAAGTAACTACTTTTAAGTAGTTTTATTTAATAGGTGTTTATTTATAAAGTAGAGTTAGAACCTATATATATTCTTTAAAGGAATAATAGCTTTTATCTTTATTTATTTTAACTAACTTACTTAAGTTATATAGCAATATTATATATAGTATTTAATAGTATTAAAATTAACCTATAGTTTATAATAACTTTAAGCTTTAATAAATTAATTTATATTAAGGCTAATAAGCACAACCTAATATATTAATATAAAAGGTATCTTTTAATAATAAATAGTATTATAAATAATTATAAAATTATTATAAAAGTTTTATATAATAAACTTAATTAAATTAATTTTTAAAAGATATATTATATTATATTTTTTAAAACTTTAACTATTTATTTCTAACTTAATAATAAAATTAAATAAAAATATTAATAGTTTATATAAAATATAATAATAATATATAATTAATAAAAGTTAATATTAGTTTTATTATAAATATTTATTATTTTATTAATAGTTTTTAATATTTTAAAAGTTTTAACTTTTAAAATTCTTTTAAAAATATTAAAGTAATAATTATATAATAGATAAATAGAGGGTTAAGTAGTTAGGTCTAAAAAGAGTGTATTTAATTAGTTACTTACTATGTTAGCTGCACGCGGGCTAGGGCGAAGGCCCTAGCTATAGACTAAGAACCTGCTGACTAAGCCGCTGACTAAGCTAGAATCTAGTTGACTTACTTACACCCTTAAGGGGCTCTTATAAATTAATTTAATTTAGTATTTTTATATAAATTATTTATATATTTTTAATTTTATTATTAAATTAAAAGTAAATAGTTAGAATTTTAAAAAGATAAAATATAATATATTTTTTAAAGATTAATTTAATTAAGTTTATTATATAAAACTTTTTATAATAATTTTATAATTATTTATAATACTATTTATTATTAAAAGATACCTTTTATATTAATATATTAGATTATATTTATTAAAAGTTAAAGCTATTATAGACTATAAGCTAATTTTAATACTATTAAGTACTATATATAATATTATTATATAATTTAAGCTATATATAAATATAAGTTAATTAAAATAAATAAAAATAAAAGTTATTATTCCTTTAAAGGTTTTAACTTTATTTTATAAGTAAATATTTATTTATTAACTTTATAAGTAAAACTATTTAAAAGTAATTACTTAGTTTATTATACTATTAAATTAAAAGATAATTAAGTAAAGTAATTATATTTTATTATTTAAATTTATAATTTTAATAACTTTATAAAAGAAAAATAACTATTAATAATTAAATTTATAATTATATAAAAATAGATTTTATTTTAAAGAAAAGTTATTAATATTTAAAATAATTAATATATTTTTAAAGAAATTAAAAGATTATAAATTTAATTTAAAGGAAATTAAAATTTATAAGAATTTTAAACTTAAGTTTAAAAGCTTTCTTTTAAATTTAACTTTTTAAAAAAATATTAAAACATTTTAAAAAAGTTTAAATAAAGTTAGAAATTAAATAAAATTATAATATAATAAAATAATTAAATAAAAATTAATTAAAATTTTATAATTATAAGTTTTTTAACTTTATATTTAAAAAAGATTAATATTTTTATATAAATATTAAATTAAAATAATATATAAAAAGTTTAAAGTTAGGGTTATAAGACTTTTTTTAGATTTAATAGAGGGGGTTAAAAAGTAGGTATTTTAATAGTGTGTTTATATTAAAAAGTAGGTAGTTGGAATTAGGGGGTGGTCGGAATGTGGGCCGGGGACGTTATGGGCCTTGCTCGATCTCTGTTTCTCCGTTGAGAGGTTCCTTGACGTCGTGAGTTCATTCCAGGGTGTGAATTCGGACTTCGGGAATGGGTGTTTTTGCTGACTGTCGGCGGATTATTATCTCTGTGCAAGATATCACTATAAAATTCACTCAGAATCCTACCGACCTTGATCCACCCTATGGTCAGATGAGGTGTCCAGTACTCCTATACATGGGGAACAAAACTCTCAGAGTAGTCTGGTGATGGCTGCTCGATGGATGGCAACCCCGCGCCTTAACACCCTTGGAAGCCTCCCACCTGGGTCGGACCCGTGAACGGTTGTTAGCGTTGGATGAGCAAATAGCCAATATTGTAGGGTGATACTGTGACCAGCCCATGTGAAGGAGGAGTCCACAATTAAGGCTTTTGGAGAACAAGTGCACACTTGATTGCCTCAAGTGAGCTTATGATATTTATCATTCTAAAATAAGTCCATAGTCTAGCCACTATGCTTGTACTCACCGAACTCCATGCTCTATGTTCTACGTCTAAGTGTGCCATATTTCGAATTCGACTTTGCCAGCCTCAGCCTCACTGTGTTTCCAGGCCATTGTCTTCGTTCAGGAACCAGGGCATCTTCTGGGAGTCATACTTGTGTAGACCAGGCACAGACAACCTTCGTTTCAGATCCTTGGTGGCCTCTCGGATGGCTTCCTCGATGTCGAAGTTCCATATATGGTTAAGTCGCTCGTTCAGCTCCTTCTCCATCTTGCCGAAGTCTTTGCCGACGTCTTTGGTGAGGTATTCTGCGAGGTTCCCTGCTCGGCGGCTGCTCTGCACATGCCATTGTGTCCGCTCGCGCCTGTTGGAGTCGTACGCCGCAAAGACCTTCTCAAGCATCTCGGGCCCCTTGATTTCGGACATTGATAGGAGGGACGCTAGAACCGCAGCATCTTCGATGCAGAGACCCGCTCCGGCTTCATGATGAGGACTCGAGCCGTGTGCTGATTCGCCGAGCAGGCATATACGGTCTTTGAAGTAGGAGGAGAGGGTATAGTCGCCAAGGTCGAAGATCGCCCACTGTTCATCTTGTCAGCCATCGAGACTCGCCGGCCTCTTGGGAAGAGGCCACTCATGACGCGTTCAAATCACACACCCGTTCAAAATTTCCTACTGAAAGCTTGATGAAATGTTTGACATTCGGACCAAACGCACGGAAGTCGTCCAGTGCTTCCGCTTTTGTTGTAGGCAGGCAAACCGGCGTGTCGCTTGGCCACCCTCCACGGTCGTTGGTCACATAAGCCAGAAAGCTCATATTCTCACCCTCATCCACAGGGAACGTCAAACAGTGTCGGTTCTTCCCCAACTGTAGATCTTGTTTATTAGTCCTTGTCTTGGTTGCAGGTGGGGGCCTGGTCGTCGACTCACTCACCCAGTATGTTGCATTCATCGCCCTGTCCACACCCAATGCCATTGACGCCTGTGACATGGGAACGAGGCCGCGGTAGGCGTACTTGTGGGTATACGATGCCATCGCGGCAGGGTGATCTTCGCCCACCATGATGGCTCTTGTACGGGATCTCACGCCGTCACAGCCAATGATCGCGTCTGCTTCTGCTACAGAACCATCTGCGAACTTCATGAGCACTGTGACGTGGTGATCAGCATTGTCCATTGCATACTTGAAGGCACATGCACGTGGTGGAATGGCGATTGCTGTTCCGGTTCCGAGGACTGCTAAAATACAAGACGGATAGTCTTTACACGCCGCAAAAAAGCCGTGACCACATGTGCAGCGTGTTGCTTACTCTTTCCAGATCCAATCCTATCGTCCAATACATGCTTGAGCTCCTTCTCGAACCTCACCGTGTCTCTTGGCAGAAGCCTGACCAGTTCGTCCAGGAAGCGTGCACAGGGCACGACGTTGTGTCCAACACCTTCGGCGCCAATGATGGAGAACAGAGGGTCGAGGTGGGTTGCGGGCTGGGGAGACATGCCGTCCACAAAATCGCCCCAGGAGGTTCGTTTCGAGAGGGACTGGTTGCGGGTCGAGACGAGGTTGTAGGCGCCAAGGACACAGCGGTCGACGTGCTCCATGGCGCGCAAGGCATTGCGGCTGATGGGTACTGCCCCGCGGATTTCAGTAAGCTCCGAGGCAGCCTCGTAGACAGTGCAGCCAACCCCCCGCTTGTATAAGGCTATGGCGAGGGTGATGCCCGATATGCCGCCGCCGATGATGGCGAGGTCCAGAGGCCTCGGGGGTTGGCTCGCAGCGGCGGCCATGGTCTCGGATTAGACGCCTACTACTAGCTTGTACTTGGACCGAGGCCGCGGTCGTTTAGACGATGCTCCACGCGTAGTCAGAAGGAGCTGCTCATGCCGGGCGCTGGCGTAGGACGGTCCACGGCTGTTGTCCAGATGTCTCGCTTGAGATTGTGTAATTCGTGGTGATGCGAGTTGGCTGTTACTGCGGTGGCTCGATTACGGTGGTGGCCATTCAAGCACAGCTTTCTAAAAGGTGGCCATCCCTTGCTTGCGCCCCCACGATATTTATTGCTCCCATCGTGCACGTACTGGTGCTGGTCCGCAGCCAAGTGACATGAACTATGTTCCCACGACTCCGACAACACGCAGAGCAGACAGCTCGGCACCGACCAGACGGTGCAGGCCAAACCGGACCGTGACGTCATCAGTTCGTAGAGGTGGCCCCACGTGCAAATGGGCGCGAAGGCGAAAGCTGACAAGGAGGCGTTTATCTGCGATGTGATGTCCCAAGTCCAGATCCGTGTCACCATATGCCAATTTGCCGAATCTACGATTGCCGTTAGGAACTACATCTTTTGCAGAATCCCATACGTGGACATGGCGAAATTGGTGACGACATTCCAGTGGTTCACATCCAGAATCAGTCCCAGTCCCCAACATTTCCATCTTTCCGTCACCCCCTCACCCCGCTTACCCAAGCCAACGACCAGACAACCTACTATGTACCTAAGTACCTAGGTACTACTTAAGTAGGTAATAAAGCTGCCATTTCAATGTTGCTCACACTGTGCTGCAAGGTCTCACCTGTGCATCATATCGTGTGTTGGCTCCAAGGTTTCCAGAACTTTCACTGTCCACATCGGCACCTTGTCACTTCTGATTAATTGAACATGCCCGTTGCATGACCAGTATGTGCTTGAAACAGGCTGCTTGATAGCATGTCTCAGTTGCAACACTGTTTGAGTCTTGCAGGCTGGTCATTTCCTGAAGTCCTTCAGTGGCACGGGTCTGTGATGAAGACAGTTGCAGAGCCAGGAACATACATCCAATTAGCTGACTCGTCAAGCAGCTTCCTTCCTGGGTACACTTTGGAGATACTAACAAGTGGGCTCGAGGGTGAGGCCCCAAGTGTGTGTGCTGGTTCTTTTTTTTGATATGCCCACTGTTGATGGCTTCAAAGCTCAGCACTGAGAGAGATACTGGGGATCTGCAGACAGAGCCAAACTGCGCCTTCCATTTCACAATGGACCATTTCATGGCATGGTGCAGGCCGGGTTGGCTGGACAATCCACTAACTCCTCTAGCTGGCATCAGAAGCCTTGCACCTCGACCGTCAGGAGCGAGGCACCTGGACTGGAGGCAGAGCCTAGCAACCCGGGATGCCTGATTTGAGGCATATGGTAGCGGTGACAAGTAACTGAACCCCTTGAACTGGCCAAGTAAGTTGAGACGGTACAAAGCCCATGTGCAGCTAAGATCCAGCTAGCATACCTACGGCAAAACAAGCTCAGGCTGCCTTTGCAAATTAGGCTTGGACAGAGGCACCAACATTGAGTGAATCGACATTTGTGGATAGAATCCCAAAATCCTATTTCGTTCTTTCGCCCCGTACCACCATTTCCAGGTCCCTGTCACAGAAAGGCAGCCGTAACGACACAGCATTGTCCTGCATTCTACAAAATTGAAGTCAGCCTACCCACTTCTTCAAGTCTTTTTACCAGCCAGTTCTATCAAAACACCAGAGCAGAATGGAGCAGCCAGGACGTCAGCAGGGTGATGGCAGCCCAGCACAGCGACAGGCTGGGGACCTGCCTCGGCCTTCGCAGCAAGAGGTGGAGGTGGTAGAAGTCGAGGACGACAATCCAGGCACCATGCTTACGAAGGAAGCCAAAGCGTACCTCTCCAAAGCCAACCAGGAAATCAGGAATTCCGAACTTTTCTGCGAAGACATGCAGGCTGCAGTCAACGAGCTGAGCCAATACGATGGGAAATTGTACCTTGATGTGACTCAAGCATGGGATCTCATCAAAGAATATCAAAAAGCGGCAAGGAACCAATCGTGGATTTACATCTACAGCCAGCGACACAGCTGCCATCGCACTAGGTACCACATTCAGAAGATGACAGAGCAGCTTTGTATCTTTCGCGCACACCGAAACAGAATCACGGACCTGTATCTGGCGCAACTACCGCTTCCCCAGAATCCAGACGCCCAGCGACTGAGGGATCATTTGGGCCGGCACATGTCTCTGCTTCGAGAAGATGTGAAGCGGCTTCTTCAGATGGCCAAGGGCGAGCCTCCAGTCGACGGGAATCAGGCTGGAGCTGCTGGACAAGCCGTGGGGCCATCACAACCAGCAGCACGTCAAGGCTAGGGTTCAGACTCCAGGAACGTTCCCTGATTTTCAGGAAACGCTCAGCTCCAAGTTTTAGAGCAGATGAGAGTCTTCAGGGGAGAGCTGTTTGGTAGTAGGGCCTTAAACACTACACGAGTGCATAATAGAGACATTGGTAATCCATATGCAACAGTGCAGTCATTACGTATCGATTCCATCTTACACTATGAGAAAATGAGCACTCGTCCTACTCACTTGGAGCAAACAGAAACTTACCGTGCTCGGTGAAGCTCATGTTTCCGGTCTTCTTCGCCAGGAAACTACAACACAACTCCAGTCACGCACGGCACTTGAGCAGTGCCACAAGTACTACCACCCTGTGGACGGTATGCGGGACTAGCATGCGTAGAACATATTTCCGGGCATCTCATTGAGTATAATGGCTATGGACTACCTACTTGTGGCAAAGGCCCGATGTATTTAGCATGCTGGGCTGCAACATTTTCGGACCCCCTTCGCGTTGTAGACATGCTAGATGATGTGTGGCACCGCCAATTCCGTCCCTCGATAGGGACTGGATCAATAAATACAGTACAATCCCCGGCCAAGTACAACCACCTCTGATAGGTTTTCCGCCACCTACTCACCTTGCAGCATAGCAGATGATGACTTGCAAACGAAGCCTCTTAGGCGGAAATCTTGTCACTGGGTTGCCCTACCTATGGCTACAGATGTTCTGTTTCTCGAACCATCAATTGATGTGAGTCACTCTCCAGTAAGGTCAAATTGGCGGATCAAATACGTCAGAACCTGCAGTCAGATCCGTAAACACTCCGATCAGGCGGGGGTAAATCGTGGAGAGTTGAGAGATTACAAGGCTGTGCCTTGGGCAGGAACGCCCCGGGAACTTTGGAAACATTGTTTCAGCACTGCAAGTCCCTGAGTGCGGCCCGACGGGTTGCCAGAGAATCATGGTCCAATCCAGGGCTGCGGCCAAGTCGTCTTTCTAACGACCTTCCAAGACGGATTCAGCCATTCCTCAATGGTAGTATCACTTCCGACTGCCAGGTACCAATGGATGCAGGGTCTACGTCGCCTGACCTCGGCGATAGCGGCGGTTAGAGCGGCGGTTATGGCGGCTCAGGCGTTCATGCAGGCCCGGTGCGAACAGCACGCACTTGAGCTGGTGTGCATGCCTTGGTCGTAACCGACCTCGGGAGCGCCGGTTGATCCTGGCCCAGGGTCACGTCTAAGCCAGCAGTAGCTCCGAGCTGGTGATCAGCGGGTCAGGCCAGCATGCCTAATGCCATTCTCTCAAGGCCCATGGACATTCTGACAATGCAGCGGGCCATTTCAGGAGGTCAGGAATTCGTTATGTGGTTCCTGCAGTTGATGCAGTTGATGCCGGTCATGTGTGGAGAGCGCACCGAGCGTGTGCATTGGCGCGCATGGCGAATCCATATCTGAAGCGTCACGGCCATTTGATTTGGCAATTGCGAGAACTGGTGGGCCTGCGTCGCCGACGTGATTGGGCCTCACCCCTCTGTGGATGAAGCTTCGAAATTTTTCGGGCTGCAAGTACTGGCCCAGGGTGGAGTCAGGATCTGGAGGATGTCAACGTGGCCGCGGTCAGTTGGCGCCACATAGATTAAATACTGAAGGTTCATCATATATGGATGCGATGATTTAAAGGAGGATCGGACGGAAGAAATCTTTGCTGAGCGTCGGGTCTTTCTGTTGAAATCGTGGCCGGCGGCCTCCCAAGAAGCCTGTCTGTCTGACCTCGGACCCATACCTGAAGGCATAAAGAAGAATGGCCCATCACCAATAAGGCAGCAGCAATTTTACTCGCCAATCCGATAAGCACATCATCTCGCGCCGGCAGACCGAGCCCCAAACCTATCCGACAGCCCCAGGGTTGTTACTATATCTATATCATCAGTTGGTACACGGCTGGCCAGTATCGACACGGGTCTGAAAACTGAGAGAGAAATCTACTGGGTCCAAAAGGTGCTGGATTCAGTGGTCTTTTGTGGACTTGCTTGCGAGAGCTTCGAGAAAGACAACAAACAAGTCATCAGACTGTGGGGGCAAAGCAGTGTAAATGTGCGTTCATTGTTTTGCGTCTAGGGGAATAGCCTGCATAACCTTCGGTTATCACGCCTGTCCATCGCGGCTCTGCTTGCTTTAGAGTGCATTTTAGGGTTGCTGATAGTTTGATCAGTGGACCGTCTTCCCAGCAGACTCATCAGTCCATTTCGCTTCGTCAACTACGTCTTGAATCGCACAACTTGGAGTGTACCCGACCGATTGCCGGCAATCTACGACATACGCAACAAGATACACTGCTGTTCATGAAAATCCAGCATTCCTTGTGGAATACTTGACTCACTGGGACTATTCCTCTTCTCCGATTCCTGGTGCATCTCAGCAACAAAGAAGACAGTTTGCTCCATCGAGATGACTCGCAGCGGGTATGACACGGTACGTGACAGCTTCTCTATCACTTTGTGGGCCAACAGAAAGGCATCTATCTTTGGCGATAAAGATAGCACTGTGTAACTTGAACTTCCAAAGTTGCCTTGTTGCGTAGCCTGCGAGTTGCGGGCTTTCACTACGCTCCCTAGTCTCCTTCAACAGACAGTCCGCGAGGAACAAATTCTCAATGTACTACTTACATTGTCTGAGTACTAACTCCTCATTTTGAAGACCGGTATCAGGAAGCCGCCAGTGAAACAATAAGTCGACGATCTTGACTCTCCTGTCTCGGTATTGCTATGTGCAATTGGGGGTTTTCGTTTTAGGTCTACTTTCGGGCAAAATCTACGGTTACAGAGGGTGGGTATGAGAGCATTCAAAGGAAGCGGTCTTTTCTTTTCAACACAATCGTTTATATTTGTTCGGTGTTAAGGGGGAATTGCATGAGCATCTGGAAGCGGTAGCGAGAGGACTTTGGGGGTAACGGTACGGGTTCGGTCAGGTCAAGCATTATCAGGAGTTCCAGCATTACCTATACTATTACCGCGACACATCCACATGCTCAAATAATTCAGATACGGCTTCACTACGGCCTGAATCCTTCAGTACTCTGCGAAAAATTCCGAGATAGATCACAAGATCAAAGCCCAGGCACAGAGCTGTGGTCGAGGCTTGAAGCAAATCCCAAACAAAAAGTTGATATACAAAGAATTGCCATACACGAGGTAGCTCCCTGGGAATCAGTCTGAAAGGACTTGGGCGAGGAGCACTCGGGCTTCGAGTCACTCTAAAGGCAATCCTCGTTGCGCAACCGTTGCCCGGGTCGCGTGCCGGAAACCGAAGTAGAGCCAGGTATGTTCAAGCTACTGAGATGTCGTCCGCCGATGTCCTTGCCAACTGAGGCTGCGATCGGACTTTATCGATGGAATTGGGATCAGTGGATTAATTTCCGTATTTATTATTGGCTGGTCCTCTTTCAGATTCTGGATTACACTCAATAAACACCTACTAGTATATCGTCAACTGGTAGCTAAGAGCTGTCTATAGGTTGTCATTCGGCTCCGCCAGCTACTGGTTATAGTACAACTATGTGTGGAAATGAGTGAGCTTGCCCATTCCCTAAAAAATGAAGCAAGTTATAGTCGTTATTGAGGCGAAATTTAAGACCATACAAGCTGAGTAGGTATAGACTGTTTGAAAGTGTGGTAATCTTAACATGGGGTAGACAAACAGGCTATCTCGGTATTATAAGCTCTCTCTCTAAGATAGCTATACAATGTGGGTGGTTCAGTTCTGATATTCACATGTATTAAGTATATATAGCGCCTTTATTTAGTTTTCTTCTTATTCCCCTAATATCTCAAGAGATATATGGCGCCTTCATGTAGCAGTAAACGCTTAAAGACCCAGCTTTTACAAGACACTGAAAGCATTGAGAGCCACCGCCATACTGATAGTCCGTTATTATTTCCACGCATTTAGGCTGTTGTAGTTGTTTGGAGGAGATTGGCAGTCGACTGGCAAACGTTGAAATGCCGAGTACAAGTCCAGCTTAGAATATACCGCCTCGCCTTCCGATGTCATCCCTCCCGACACGAAATGAATACCATGGGATACCGAATATTAGTTAGGAAATACGTATTGTATTCTCTCTGCATTGTTATTGGCGTTGTAAGTTTTTTGAACGCTTGGTCTGCTGTGTTTACCACGGTATGAAGGCGCCATGTATGTCCTCGGACGTATGCGGAAAAGAAGCGAAACCAGATAACGTATGGGGATTAGATACGAAACCACCCCCACTCAAATGGGGGAGTGAAGCGAAAATAAAAGAACACGGGGATTGTCCAAGCTTTGCCAGAGCGAGCGAGCCGGTAGGCTCGTTCATGGCCCCCCCTTTCTCCCGCGGCTAACCAGGAGAAAGGACAGCATTGGTTTGAAGATAAGTAAAGAGAGCGGGTAAGAATTATGCAGTCAGTGGCTTTTCTTGATGTAACGACCTCTAAACCTCTCGAATTTTGTGCATGTGACTTCCAAGGTTGGTAGTAGTCCGGCAGCTGGCTTGACTTCAGGAAGGCGTGGCCCCCAAACCCCACCTTCAACTTGACAGGGTTCGGGTCTAAGCGGCTGTCGGACACAGCAAAGCTTCCAGCAATGGACATTGATTGATAGCTTCGACATTACCACAGCACACCTCACAGACACCGCCAAAAACGCGTGTTTCCTCTGTACTGGACCCCCATTCAGTCGCAGAAAGGTTCTTGTACACCGGTTCACAATGTCAGCACCTCACACCACGCTCAGCGCCGCGGCAGACGATCGCAAAGCGCGCCTTGCAAAACTCAAGTCCCTAAAGCGCAAGCAACCCGAGGACGAGATTGCACCGCCCGAGTCAGATCGCATAGCGTCCCCAGCGCCGCAGGCCGCTGAGGCCCTTGGCGTAGATGCAGAGAGCGACAAAGACGAAGATGTCTCGAGAAAATACCTGTCCGGGCGCAACTACGATGCAGAGACCAAGGGACCCAAGCTGGGGTTCGAGGCGCCGCCGACGCTAGGGCCCGAGGACCAGACGCTTGAGGAACAGGCGGCTGAGCTCGAGGCCGAGGTGCGAAGGAAGGCGGCCGAGGACGCCGCGGACGACCGCGGCATTGACCTCTTCAAGTTGCAGCCCAAGAAGCCCAACTGGGACCTGAAGAGAGAGCTGGACAAGAAGCTGGAGATCCTGAACGTCAGGACCGACAACGCCATCGCGAGGCTCGTAAGGGAGAGGCTTCAAGAGAAGAAGGTCGAGGCGCAAAACAAGGATGGGAGGCTTGCAGATGGAGAGGCCGTCGCTGCTGGTCTCGAGGGTGGAGAGCTGGAGGAGATCGTGAGGTTGAGGGAGAAAGAGGAAGAGGCCGAGGAGCAGAGAGAACGAAAGGCCATCGAGGCGGAATGAACAGGCGCGAGGCGAGAACTTTGGAAGTTCAGAGGCTGCAGCAGAACATGTTTGCAGTAAAAGGGAACCGTCATTCGGTATGGATGGAGTCAGATGAACAAGATGTTACAGCATGGGAGGCGTCAAGAGGCAGACAGGGAGCCACATTCTCAAAACGGCGGACAGTGTTTCTTTTATAAGGTAGAGTACGAAAATGATACCCACATCTATCTACCTATTCATGGCCTGGGTCAATGCTAATCGCTTGCTAAAGGGGCTCAAACTGCGCTCTCGCGGGGGCTCAGGTGCCGGGGGAGGTCCTCTGTGTCTATCATGGCCCTCGTCTCTGTCCCTGTACCCCCTGTAGCGACCTTCCTCCGAACGGCGCCGATCTTGAGGGTCCGATCGCCCTGGTGACCGCGAGTCGTACCTCTGCTGTCGTCTCGGCGCTGGTCTCTCATCGTCGGAAACAGAAGGGCGACGGTTCTGATGCATAGATGGCCGTGTGACTCTTTCAAAAGAGTCGTCATGAGGACCTCGGCGCGTACCAGGGTGATCAAGAGGCTCAGGGGACTCGTAGTGTCGACCAGCATGTTGACGGTATTCTGCATTTGGAGTGTGGGAGCGTCTACGACTGACGTCACTGACAGAATCGAAGGACCTGCTTCGCCTTGTCCGCCGTGAGGGCGGCGAAAACTCCTGGCCCCGGCGAGAGGACGGCGATGCTCGCCTTCGCGGGGGCGGTGACTTAGAAGACCTGGTAGAGATGGATGAGACTGAATCCACAGAGCTGGAGCGTTGGCGTTTGGACCCGGGCTCGCCTCCACCAGGTCCATCATCGTCGTCTAGCTCTCGCTTGCGAGTTCTTTCGGCCTCCTTCTTTGCCAATTCCTCGTCCGCAACACCCTTCCTGATGTAGGATTAGCAAAGCGCATAACGGGAAAGGGAACAAAGGGGGGGGGCGTATAAAAAGCCGATTGGCATACTTTCGTGTAGCATCATCGGGCGTGTCGTTGGTGAGCTTGGGAACAAGCTTGGGGTTGAGCAGCTGCTGGGTACGTGACGGCCTGGGGTTGTAGGGCCGTTCCTGAAGTTGGACCTTGCATTCGTAGGAGTAGTGGCGTGCTGAGACGGTCAGCCCTGTGAACATAGGCAGAAGTGTGAAAGCAAGGCAGACATATCTCGTTTCAAACACTTTTGGCATTGAACGTTGGCTGGCGTGGGCTTCCTGGGGCCCCCACGGCCCCTGTACGAGTACATCCTGGCGATCGCTCAGGGCGTGTGTAAATGCGAGTGTGACGTATGGCTGTGAGTGGGTATTTGACCGTGAGGAAGAGGATTAAGGCAGGGAAAGATATGCAGGTAATCGGCTGAGGCTTGGACTACCACCGCTTTTGTAAACGTCAGTCTATGTGGAAGCCTCGTCCGGCTGACGGTTGCCAAACTCGGTCAGGTCGTCGATCATTTACCTTGACCCATACGAAGTGGTTGGCTGGACGAGATGAACCTCTTGAGGTCGAACCTGGGGAACCTTGGGGCCATCGCCCCCGGGGCGTCTCTCTCGCTCTTGGCCTCAGGCTGACAAGCCCGTCACGTGGGGTGCCCGGGGGGGCAGGCTGACTAACCGTCGGTCGTGTCCAGGGAAAAGTGGCAAGGCAAGCAGGCAAGCAGCGAAGAGCAGGCAGGGACAGGAAGGACTGCCACGGGCTTTTGGCGGAGAACGACCCGCCCTGGACCTGGACCTGGACCGTGCCCCTGCCCCTGCCAACTAGCTCCCTTTTCCAGTCCAAAGAGCGGGAGGTAGTGGTGGTACGCCAGTACTCATCCCACGGAACCCGTCTGTCAAGTCGAGGCCCAATCCAATCCAGCCAGTCTAACTAACTTTCTGCCGAGATTGAGAGCCTCTCGCTGAAGCTATTTACAATCTTTTCCTTCCCGCTCGCGCACGATGAGAAAGGGGATGGGAGAATAGCCACTGTACCTCAGCTGCCCTTTTTTTCCTTTCCCCCAACTCGCACTCGTCGACCAACCGTGGACGGACTGCGGAAGTGTCAGCGCCGCCCCCGTCCGTCAGATTCTTGTATGCGTCCTGGACGACCGACACCACCCACACAGCTCCTACCGCCCATCACCACACCTGTACCTGAGGGCACGGCCGTTCAGCTACTGGTCCCCGTCCTAATCTGAGCTCGCACGGTACACTGGCTGGCAGAGCTGGCCGCGCTGAGCCTGTGCTTCTTGGAGCGCCTCATCCACCACTCCTTCAACGTATTGGTGCGACCGCAGTTCCATCTTCTCGGCATCGCACTCCCCATCCTCACCTCTCCCGCCTTGCCGGCAAGCCTGTAGCCTGCCCTACGGCCCCCGCCTCACAGCCTGTCTGTCGCCTTGCACTTGTCGGCCTCGCGACTGCGGCCTATCCGTGCCACCTCCACCACGCGAAAGGCGCCCAAGGCTACTCTTTCCGTCCCCTGACCGACCGAGGATAAATTCCTGGCAGGACAGTCGACAATCGATTCGACAGATCAAACCCACCAAGCAATGAACCTCGACTCTCGACAATGAGCAACTGCATATTCTTCTCGATCCGGACCGCTCTGATCCATTTTGTTTCTTAGATTTCTTCTACTGCCCATCCTTGGAGTTCATTCCTTGAGTGCGACTGAACTTTGCGCATCTGGACGACCACGCTCGCTTCCCTGGGGTACCAGCCTTGTCTCCGACGTTCGCGACGACCAGTCTCTACTAAATATCATTCCAAGCGCCTATCGTGGCAGCACGAGCGACTATGACTGACGTCAAGAAGCTCTCGTTCGCCAAGGTCGGTTCTCCTGGCACTGACGTCCCCTTTCTACTTTGACTGACATGGAACTGCCAAAGGTTCTTGCCTCTGCGCCGACAGAAGAGAAATCGATATCGTCCTCCACACGGGATGCCGCGTCGCACCCTGTGACTGAAGCTCCGTTGCCGACGTCACCCAAAGAAGGAAGCGAAAACGCGGCAGGGGACCCAATTGTCCCCAATGGCGACCACATAGTCAATAACCCTACAGCGACGGGTGTTGAAGGCGGCTTTGATGAGAACAAACTTGTTGATGGTCTGGACAGTTTGAAGATTGAGCCTTTGGCCCCGAGCCTCGTGGTCAACGGCATTAATTCGGCATCAACCGCGCCATCGTCGAAAGCTCACAGCCCCTCGGACGAGGTTTCCCAGAGGGCAGATTCCAGCTCGGAGCTGGGTACCAAACCTCCTAGCCTCGATGGCAAGAGCATCACGTCGGGGACGACGTTCAACGCGTTGGACGAGAAGGAATCGCTTCGGCCTGACGACAGCGCGAGTGTGATGGCCGCTGATCAGGATGACGATGTCTTCTCCATCCGTGGCTCCCTCATCACTGGCTCTCGCATGGGCTCTGAGGTGGCTGCCCGCGTCTATCGAATTCAGCTTGGCGATATGCCCCCACGGAGTGTTGCTCCTCAACATGTCATTGTCGAATCCGGCAACAGCGCAGCCACGGCGCCACAGTCTGTGTCCGTGGAGCAACAGCCCGTGACAGATGCCAAGATTGCTCTCGTTGGCGCCACGTCTGCACCTGATGGAATGTATGGACAGAACCCTGACGAGAAGCTTCTCGAGGCAATGCAATCGCAGAAAGACAGATTCTTTCTTTTAAAGTTGGAAGAAATGGTCATCGACTTTGTGCAGGATTCAAAGTGAGTTGAGGCCCTTGCCCTGTCACGATCAGCTTGCTAATACACCCATTAGAGAACCTTTCATGGACCTACCTCCATCCAATTCCTTCTGCAGGATGTTGACCCACAAACTGGCTGATTACTATCACATGACGCACTCCTTCGAGGCGGGCGCCGGAGCAGTTCGCATTTTCAGAACCCCTTTCTGTAGGGTACCGCCCTCATTGGCCAGCATAGCGCAAAGCGCTTCTGCCGCAAGTACTCCTCCGCCAATGGTGATGCCGAAGAAAATCATGCGGCGTGGAGAAGAAGGGGAATTCGGCCCAGGAAGCGCTGGCCCGTCGAAACCAACCTCGGAGACTGGAAGCGACTCAAAGGATAAGCAATCTGCGAAAGAAAAGTGAGCCTGCCAGCCAACATCTCCCCCCCCCCCCCCCACACACACACACGCCACACTCGTTTCCAAACAAGCGACGAAAGGCTGACATGATGTGACAGGATGTCTAGAGAGGAGAGGGAAGAGGCTTACAACAAGGCACGGGAGAGGATTTTTGGAACAGCATCCACAGAGATCTCCACTCCTGGTATGGACGGACACCCTCTTGTTCCTTTGCCTCGATTACGCTGACATCCTTCTAGAGAACGACGATAGCACCGGCGTTTCTCGCGCCAGCTCCGTATCAATGCGAGACAGGATCAGCGGCGCAAAGAAGGCAAAGAAAAGGAGAGACTCTGACACATTTGACACTCGGTCGAACTACGTCGCTTACGCTCCCGCATACGGCCACCCTCACCAGGCGACATGGGCTCAGCCTCATTACATGCCAGTTGGTGCCCAGGTAAACGGCCCAGTACAGCCACAAGCTTTCACACCCGGGGTTCCAACCATGTACGGAGCACCGAACCAGCAGTTCCCTCCCATGGTGCCGGCGACTGGTTATGGCCCGCCATATAACAATATGTCGAACGTAAGTAATGGCGTGACCCGGCACGTTTGCGTTCATGATACCACGAAATGTGCTGACAACCCTTCTCGAAAGTATGCCCAGCCTCCCGGCCCACCGCGTTATCAACCGCCGGTGAATCAGATGCCTCCCGCACCATACGGATCACCTATGCAAGGTCCGCCTCAACCACAGGCTGGATGGCAACAACCTCCCAGCTTCAACTCAAGCCCTTACCAATCTCGAGCCACACCAGTGGCGCCGAACGGGATACCCTACGCTTATGGCGCGCTTCCAGCCAATGTCAATCCGAGCGACCCAAAGAGTCAACACCCAATCCCTGGCAGCTTCAACCGCCATGCCTTCAATCCAAAGACGCAGTCTTTCGTACCTGGTAATGGAATGGGACCGATGCAGCCGCCGCCTGGGCCGTATAGTGGCTATGGGCCACAGCAGGGCAGTCCTCAGATCACGCCTCCTCACCTTCACTACCCGAGCTACCAAGCAGGTCCGCCTATGGGTCAGCCTCCGTACGGCAACGCGAATGGTTACAACATGATGCGCCAGGGGTCTAACAATTCCCTATCTGCCTACCATGGTCCGCCACCCAACGTGCAGCACCCGCCTCACGTTCCGCATGTTCCTCATCAGCTGCCTCCCCATCCGCCAGCGCAGGGACCGCCTCACATACCCAACAAGCCATCTATGCCACAGGGCTTGCCCATGGCTCATGGCCAACCATATAGCAATCTGCCAACTTATGGCAATCCTGCGTCGCTGCCGCAGAAACCCACCACCTAGGACTTTGTTGCATCGGGATGGTGTTCACGGATGACAATTATCATGACGGCGTCACGGGATATTCTGAAAGCATACAGGCGTTCAAGGAGGGTCTTCTGGTCTTGAAAGATCATCATCATCATCATCGTCATCATTTGAGAAATTGCCAGCGTTCAGGAGTTCGTTGTCTTTTCGACCTCGCCGGACAAAAATGTTGCACTTGCTAGAAAGACTGATGATGGCTCTCTACTACAACCACACATAGAACAACCCTTAATGCGATACAGGTTTCATTTCCTCCCTTCACGGGTCAAGTACATCTACACAGCGGTCATCCACTGTTTGGTTTGTCACGGAGCCTACATTATTCCCATCCCCAGAATGAGAAATGTGTGTACCCATAGATTCAGTGTCCGGAGAATTAGATTTTCTTTTCCGCGATACCGACGGTGATCTAATCCCGCCTCTGAACGCCAAATCTTGGGAGATATCACTTTTGGATTGCAAACAAAGCCAGTGTTTTCTCTCCAAACCCTTGTCAACCCCTCTGTTGCACCAGATCCCACCATGGGTGATCCGCATGACCTGGGTCATCCCATCCCTGATGGCCTCGTCCTTCTATAAACCCATGCCCACCGTGGCCTGTTCAAATCCGGGCGGGCGGGGTGCTAGCACTAATTTTGTTGTGCTCGTGCCGCCTGACTTGAACGTACGTTGCACCTTTGGCTCGCCCTTGTTCGCCCTCAACATCGGGGCTGCTGACCAGGGCCGCGGCTCCCCTACTCGCCGTTCTCGCGCGGCTCGCGCGGCTCCCTGGGCTCCCTCTGCTGGCCGCCGCCCCTGCCTCCACGGCTGCCCCGCTTGCCACCCCTGCCTCCACGCTCGCCGCGCTCGCCCTTGCCGTCCTCGCCCTCCTTGGGAGGAGCGCCTTCCTTGTGCTCCATGGTAAGAGCGCTCGTGGCGAGGCGCTGCGACAGGTCGATCTGGGTACGGATGGTATTGGCCAGGTAGCTCACCATGAGGACGTCCTGGATGTGGTTGTTGAAGTCGTGCTCGATGGACTCGGGGGCGACCTTGGGAGCCAGGGAGAGGTTGTTCATCATGAACTGGCCCAGGGCCTGGTTGGGGTCGCGCTCCTCGTCGAGGATCTCGCCGACGTAGCCGGAGGTGCGCTCCAGTAGGTCCTCGGTCTGGGCGATGGTGGTGGCGAGGGCCTCGATGTCCGGGACGAGAGGGGCCTGGCGCGACTCGTTGTTGGCGGCGGCAGCAATGGCCTCGAGGGCGGAGCGGTCCGCATCGCCCTGGGACAGCCTGTGGGGCACCTCGATGAACAGGCAAGACTCGGCCGCGCGGTCGGGGTTGACGGCAGCGGGAGCGGAGATGTAGGCGTGGGTCTCGATGTCCTTGCCTGGCTCGGTGGAGATGGTCAGGTGGACGGCGGGGTGGGGGAAGGTTCCCGTCTCGGGGGAGGCGAAGAAGTTCTGGATGAGGGCGGAGAAGCTGTTGAGCTCGAGGCTGGTGGCGTACCAGCCCAGCAGCGTCTCGCGGGGGCTGGCCTTGAGAGACAGCTGCAGCATGGTGCGCTGGTACTCAACGTCGACCTCGACCTGCTCCTCGTTCTCGACGTGGGGGATGGCGAAGGTGTTGCGCACCTCGACCTCGGTGCCATCCTCGGACCGCACACCTATGAGGGCGCCAATGACGCGGGGCTGGGGTGCGTCTGGCGAGTTGTCTTCTGGGGCAGTGTCGTCGCGGCGGATGGCATGGTCGAGAATGGAGAGGATTGCCTGGAGGGCAGGGACAACAAGACATCAGAGACTGAGCACACGGCAGACAAGTGCAACAGGGGGGGGCGCTTACTTGTGGCTGGAGGTTGACGGTCATGGGGGAGATGTTTGTGTTGAAGCCTGGCGCGGCGGGGGCAATAGGCCGGGCCAGGTGGAGGAACTCCTCTGAATCAATCGCCATGGTGGAAGATGTTGCCTTGAGGCGGGCGCCGCGACGTGCTTTGCAAAAGGTGGAGGTCGGATACGTGAGGCCGGGCGGGTGACGGGACGCAGAGCCCAGAGGGGAGGCGGTTGTGTGTGAGAGTGGGTGTATAGGGACCTCGATCTTGACCTGAGTCCTGCTCCTGGTGTTGCATGCAAAATTCCGCCCGGTTTTGCTCTCACCTTTGATCCGTCGTGTCAAATTGTGGGGTCCTGTTTGGTTTGTGTGCGCTAATCGGAAGGCCCTGGGGGGGGTACACCACGGTTACCTCCACTAGCGGGCGAAGAGTGCCCGGGGCCAAGTGCTTTGCAGGTAGCCGCCTGATAAGATAACGATTTTATTTTCAGGAACCCTCCAGGGTCAAGCGGCTGTAAAAGGAAGAATTCCATACATTGCATCAACTCATTCACTCTAACATTCTGTTTCTCTGTGGGTTTCCCTTGCGCTGTTTGGCCTGTATTTTCCCCCCCTCTCTCTCTCTCAGAACTCCTACCTCCGCAATCTCGCAAAAGCACCATGGCTCCTGGGGGTCGGGCCGGCTTCCGTGGAGGTTCAAGAGGCCGAGGAGGAACCAGGGGTGGTAATGGCAGGGGAAGGGGCAGAGGTGGCAGAGGCGGCAGAGGCGGCAGAGGAGGTGCATCTTACTCACGCGGGCCAAAGTTTGAAAGTACAAGAGTGGAATACAGGTTGGTACCCGCCTCATAACTGGACATTTAAAACCCGTATCACGGCTAATGTGAAGGACGACAGCGACTCGGAAGATGAGTCTGAGCAGGGGGGGTCAGGTAGCGAGGAAGTCGACGAGGATGTTGTTGAAGACGTCTCAGAAGATGAGGCCGACAGCAAAGCAGCCGCTCGGCCTTATATGACCCTCATCAAGAGCCTGACAGATGAGGGCACTGCACCCCGGGCCAAGAGGAGAAAGCTGGTCCATGAAACAGCGCAGCCCGAAGCCTCAAAGGACCAGCCCGAGGATGAGAAGGCGAACGTCGACACGGAGCGACTTGAGGATGTCGACTTTGTTGAGGAGCCTGAGGAGACACCGGAAGAGACTTTTGCCGAAGATGCCTTTGACCAGGATGACGAAGACGAGGTCGAGGACAGCTCGGATCCCTTCCAAGGCCACTTCAGTGCCCCCGACGATGAGACCGTAGCGAGAAGACTACAGGCGATCGGAGAATCAAAATGGGCCACAAAGAAGGTAGCGGCAAATGGCACGAGAACGGTGCTCAGCATACCCGACACGGGCGACAGGAAGGATGAGGTCTCGGCGCCAGCGCCAATCTCAAGCGCCTCGGATCTGCACCTGAAGCACAAGCTGGCTGATTCCATGAAGGAGAGGCGGAAGCTTGATGGTCTCGAACAGTCTCTTGCACCGCACGTTTTTGGCTATCGAGACTTGCTCTTCTGTCAGAGGTCACTCAACAACGGGAAGAGCGTACGGCGGCTGGCTTGTCTCCATGCGCTCAACCACGTCTTCAAGACCCGAGACCGGGTGATCAAGAACAATGCCAAGATAGCTCACCAAAAGGACGGGGAGGAACTCGAGCTTCGCGATCAGGGCTTTACACGGCCAAAAGTCCTCATGATCCTCCCCACGCGGGAATCATGTTATAAGATGGTGGAGGTCATGACGGCGCTCTGCCGGCCTGACACGCAGGAGAATAAGAAGAGGTTCGAGGATTCATACCATGACAAGGATGATCGGTTCTCGGGCGAGAAGTCGGCGGACTTCCGGGAGCTCTTCGCGGGCAATGATGATGACATGTTCCGCATTGGCATCAAATTCACCCGCAAGACGATCAAATTCTTCGCACAGTTCTACAACTCGGACATCCTATTTGCCAGCCCGCTAGGTCTGAGGATGGCCATTGGCTCCGAGGATGGCAAGAAGGTCGAGCACGACTTCTTGTCATCTATCGAGGTGGTGATCATGGACCAGGCCGACTCCCTCCTGATGCAGAACTGGGAGCACGTGGAGTACATCTTCGAGCACCTCAACCTGCAGCCCAAGGATGACCATGGGTTCGACGTGAGCCGAGTGCGCAGCTGGTACTTTGATAACCAGGCGCGCAACTTCCGCCAGACACTTATCTTCTCGCAGTTCAACACGCCGGAGCTGTCCAAGCTGTTCCGGGTGCACTGCCAAAACTGGGCGGGCAAGACACGCGTCGAGCCCGAGCACACGGGCGTTATCGGAGAGCTGGGCGTCAAGGCGAAACAGACTTTCTCCCGCATCGATCCGCCCTCCGTTGGCAGCGAACCTGAGGCGCGCTTCGACTACTTCACCAAGGCCATCGTGCCAACGCTCGTCAAGCGAGCCAAGGACGCCACCGGCACCCTCATTTTCATCCCGTCTTACCTGGACTTTGTACGCGTGCGCAACTACTTTGCGACGAACCAAGCGGTGGAGAGCCTGACATTCGGGGCCATCTCCGAGTATGCTACAGTTCCCGAGGCATCACGGGCGCGGTCACACTTCTTTGCTGGCCGGCTCAAGGTGCTTCTCTACACAGAGAGGGCGCATCACTTCCGGCGTTACCTGCTCAAGGGCGTGCGACGGGTCATTATGTACGGCCTTCCAGACAACCCGCTCTTCTACAAGGAGATCACCGGGTCCCACCTGGCCAGGGCGGAGCAGGACCTGGTGATCGAGGCTGGGCAAGGCAGTGTGCGGGTCATGTTCTCCAAGTATGATGTACTCAAGCTGGAGAGGATCGTTGGGTCGCAGAGGGTCGGCAAGATGATCCGGGAGAGGGGTGACACGTTTGACTTTGTTTGATGGGTTTGATCTCTGTGGGGGCACTCTTTTGAAGTCAGGCACACACGTCTCTATCTCGGGGGGTGATGCGAGCTCTGGTATCTTAGCGGGGGGTAGCCGCCTTTAAGAACCCGCGATATATATCAAGCCCAAGAGGCTATGGTGTTGTCGTTGCGCCCATATTTTACAGTTCATGTGTATCCCTCGTAGCAACAGCCCCCTTCTCAGTCCAGTTCGTCGGCCGCGCTCTGACCGTTGGCAGGCCGTGGCCGCCGCACCTTCGGGGTGTTTATGTGGAACTTGTACAGGCTGTCCTGGATGGCCTTTTCATTCTCGGCGCGGTTCCGCATGGTCTTGCCCTCGCGCTCCTTGATCTCCTCCACGAGGGCGCGGAACTCGGCCTCGCCGTCCTTGCGGAAGGCCGTGAGCTTCTTGATGTTCATCTTGGTGATGTGGGAGCTGTCCCGTCCCAGCACCTCGTCGCGCGCCACCGCCGCCGCAGTCATGGCGAAGCGCATATCACGCTGCCCGTCCACCAGCTCGAGGATCGCACTTGGAGCCTGGTCTTTCCTGTCCTTGGGTTCGGTGCGCAGGACTCGCGTGTAGCCGCCGGGCCGCATGAGGTAGCGCTCTCGGAGCTCGCCGAAGAGCTTGGGCAGGAGGGCGTCTGGTGTCTGTCGGTTGGGACCATGGTCAGCTCGGAGCCCCCACGTGAGACGGGAGTAGTCTTGGGAGAGCTGGGTAGCGAGAAGGGCAGCAACGTACGTATAGGATACTCTGTGCCTCCCGCCTTGACGTCTCGTTGTTCCTCTTTGCCAGGGTGATGAGCTTGTCGGCTAGGCGCTGCGCCTCCTTGGCCTTGGGCCATGTTGTTTGTATCGACTCTTGCTTGACGAGGGAGGTGACAAGGTTGCGAAGGAGGGCCTGTCGGTGGGATGAGTTGCGGCTGAGGGTCCGGAATTTCATGTGACCACCTGCCATCTTTGCTGGCTGTTTGGAGGGATTGCTCCCTCACGACGGTTCTTTGGGCTCCTCGCTTCCCCCAGGCACCTGCAGCTGTGCTGAGAGCTGTAGTTGGTGGTTGTTGGTGGGCTTTTTGACGTCGGAGTTGGCAGGTCGGAGGTGGGTTTGTCGATGGCGGCCGGTCGTTGATACTAACACCCGGACGGAGGGTCGCGAATTTTCTGGCCGGCGCATCGGGAGCTGCAGGCCTGCTGGGTTAACGGCTGCAGAGTATCTACCCAAGTACATGGAGGTACCCGGGTGGGTACCTACCCAGGTATGTATACTTAGGTATACAGAGCCAGCTCGCACATAGTACCATCTGTTGGAATAACACCACTCATGGTACTTGTCAAAGGAAGAGGATGGATTCAATCTGACTTTTATGGTTGTTGTTTTTTTGGCCATCCATATTCCATATACTGACTGAATCTTCAGACTGCTTTGCAAGAGGTACCCCCCCTGCAACAACCCACAAGAGACTTGCTGCAAGGTACTTAAGTATCCTCCCCCGGCAGGTCTCACGGGCCACGACTGACCTCACTCGTCCCCTGCAAGTGCTCTTGTTGGAATCCGACGCTTGACATCCATCACCCCATAACATGAACTTTTTCGACCTCGTACTCCCCCCCTCGTAACCTACACCTCTCCTACGCTGCCGAATCCCTCCAATTGGTCTCAACGAGGCACAAACGAGGCACAAACGACGACCGACACCACCCGCCATGGGCTTCACCACCGGCTTCGTGAGTTGGGCCCCATTCTCCCCTTGCGAACCCACCAAGCTCACAAACTCCCCACGATGTAGACCGGCGGTGTGACCCTCGTCCTCGGCATATCCTACCTCAGCCTCCAGGCACACCGGCGCACCCGCGAACGCCAGGCCGAGACCCTCCGCGCCAATGCTTACATCCTCAACTCCCTCTCCTACATCCCGGCCACCGCGCCGCCACCAAGGACGGTCGCCGAGGAACTGGCCCTGCTGGAGCAACAGCAGGAGCTTCTGGCGCGTGCCGAAGCGAAGAGGAGGAACCTCTCCGCCAGCAGCGAGGGCTTCTTCGACAAGGCAAAGCACAGGTGGAACTCCGAGATCGAGGGCGCCGTCCGGTGGGCCGCCAATACCGACTGGGTTTCCGTGCGCGAGGACGCCGAGGTCGCGGCGTCGAGACTGTGGGCACGTGCCAGCGGAGGCGAGGCACCCTCCGACTCAGCCCGCCGAGCTGCCGCCGCCGTGAGCAACGAGGCCGCCGCGGCCGCGACGACGGCGAAGGGCGCCGCCGCGCAGGCCACGGCGGTGACGGGCGACAAGGCTAAGGAGGCCAAGGAGGCCGCGGGTAGTATCTGGGAGCGCGGCTTTAAGAAGAGCAAGGAGATCGCCAGCCAGGCCAAGGCGGGGATCGCGAAGGCCGAGGAGAAGGCGCAGGACGTGGTTAGGGGCGCGGCGAAGCAGACAGGCCAGACTGACATCGATAAGGTCCTCCAGCAGAGATATGAGCGGAGGCCGGACGAGTCGTTCAGCAAAAGCCCCGAGGAGCTGCTCGAGGAGAGGTACCGACCCATGATGGAGCAGGACAACACCAAGTTGAGGGGTGTGTAGGTGGGCTGGGAGCTCGCGAGACTATTCGAAGCACGTATCACTCCATGTCAATATGCCAATCCGGTGTATCACTACACGACAGATATCGTGGGCCTTGATACTCTTGGTGGGTTAGGGGTTCTTGAGGGTATCATGATCTAGGCGGCCGTGTAAGCAGTGCGGCCGTCCTCTTCGGAGACAGCCTTGAGAAGTTACGCCCAGCCAGAATGTATGAGAAAGCACATTATCCAATGCGAGGTCGAGTCAGGCCTTTTACATGCTCTCTCTCTCTCTCTCTCTCTCTCTCTCTGATATAATTCACATAAAGACATTCACTTGTGGTCTTGCATGATTGCAAGGGCAAATGCTCCGAACACAGGGACAGCAGTAGTCACATCGATCTGTTTTCATTCAAACACATAGTTGCTACCTGATGGTATAGGCACCACCAACTCCAAAGGATGCCCGGAACGCCCTCTACATTAAAACCATGCCAACGGAACCGGTGAGGGAAACCCGGCGCTGGGGACCTCCCAAATGCGCCAGCTTCTCACAGCCCAAAATCGATAAGGACCGTGTTTATATGCAAATATACAGTAACTGTGGCCCGGATCGGTGTCCGGGCCAGGATCAAAGACCACCAACCGCCATCATGACCGCCCATGGCTCTGAACCTCTTGCTCCTTCTCGGGCACTATACAGCGGTTCTCGAACCACTTGGCAAAGCGGACCACAGGGGCGTCGACGGAGCGCCAGAAGAGGTCTGCGGCCCAGATGACGCTGGGGACGACGAAGACGGAGGCGAGCATGAAGCCGGCGTTGTAGTGCCAGCCGTCGATACCGGTGACGCTCCAGGCCCAGCGCTCGGTGGCATAGCCGACGGTGTGGATGACGGGCCCGTGCATGAGGTAGATGGCGTAGCTGATGCGGCCGAGGTACTGGATCACGGGTGTCATGAAGACGCGCTGCCAGGCGGGCAGGTGACCCACGCACAGCACAAACAAGATACTGCCCACGCACTGCCAGTATCGGTACTTGTCCGAGAACCATTCGGGAATCAGGGACGTCAGGTACACCCACCCAGGCGTCCTCGCACCGTGGACGTCTGGCTGCGACATGAGGTACAGCGCTGCCACCGACAGCAGCACCCACGCCGCCGTCTTGAGCTTCAGGCTGGACACCTTGGATGAGGGGCGGCCCCTGCCGACCAGATCGAAGGGGGTGGGCTCGGTCACGGGCAGTTGTTGCTGGGAACTGCCCGAGGCGGCGACGGCCGCGTTGGACAACGGGTCGCTGTGCGCGCCGCGGATGACGTCCAGCTCGGCAAACAGCATCCCGGCGTAGAACAGCACCATCTCCCAGCGGTCGTTGCGGTATGAGAACCACACCACCAGGGCGAGGAAGGCGAAGCGCACCCCCGCCCGCAGGCGCGCCAGCCCGATGAGCGTCAGGAAGAGCATCATGCTCGCGCGGAACTCGACGGGGATCGTCCACAGGTGCACGTCGTAGTAGGTGCTGCCTCCGTATGGCTCCCAGCCCCAGATGTGCACAAAGTTGAACATGTTCCAGGCCCAGTCGGAGAGCTGTTCCGAGAGGGAGCCCTTCAGGTCCGGCGCCGTCTCCTGCACGTTCTTCATGAAGGTGCTGTCCCGTGAGAAGTCCCTCGTCCACTCGTACGCGCCCAGTCGCAGCAGAACCACAACCATGAAGGTCGAGATAGCTGTCGGGAGAAACAATCGGATGGCCCTCCGGAAGACGAAGCTGGCCATCGTGGTGGCGAAGTTGTCCCACTTCTGTTGTCGGGCCAATTTGATGGGCTTGAGCGACAGCGCGTACCCGGACACGACGAAGAAGATGGCCACCTGTGGTGGTCCGGCATACAGGAGCCGCACGAAGGGGAGCTTGAAGAAGGCGTAGTTGTGCTCCTCGAAGCCCCATCCCTCGGCGATGATGAAGCATGTGTAGAGGTAGTGGCACAAGAACACCGAGAAGGCCGCCATACCACGCATCCCGTCGAGATAGGCCGTGGGCCCAAGCTTGTCGGAGCCATGTTTCCTGTCGCGACTTAACCTGCTCTGGACAAAGGACGGGAGGAGAAAGAAACCTGCACGCCGCAGGACTGCTAGGTACGCTGACATCGGCGGTGGCCGTCGCGGGATCGATAGTGACGACAATGTGGACCTAGCTATATTCGCCCATGCCGCGGCGGTGGGGAAGCGACTCTCGTTGTCTGCCTTGCCGGCGTCGCTGTCGACGTCGGACAGGTTCTTCTCATCCAGTAGGTTTATACTCTCCTCGTACGAGAGGGAATGTTTCGAGAAAGCATGACCATTCATTGTCCAGCAATGCCAGATTCCAGGTACGTATCTGCGAAACCAAGAGACAGGAATAGCAGAGTGGAAAGTTTAATACGTGGTATAGTGAGAGGGGGAGGGTGTAGTAAGTCTTGAACAGAAAGGCCCTGCCTGTCGGAGAAGGGATGAAATTCAGAAAATGGACATGAGAGAGTTGAGACTTTCGTCCCTGGCAGACGCGAAAGTAACAGAGGAAAAATATCGATTGATGATCTGCAAAAAGAAGAGAAAGCAAAACAATGTGACGGTTTCGCGGGAAGAGAGAAGGTATCGTCTGTATAGGACCTGGGCCGACTGTCACCAAGTAATAGCTCTTCGGACGGTTAGTAGTCTCAAACAAGAACAGCGGCGGCCAAGCGACGGGGGTATGTGGGCTGGGTAGGAGTCGGAGAGGCCCTTGCGAGTGGTGTGGTGGTGAGAAATCTGGCTTGGTCAGAAGCTTGGCCGCTGGGAGCCGGGACCCTTCACGGATTGTTTCAAGTCGATGGGTGATAGATATAGCCGCACCAAATCGGAGGCCCAGCGAAGTTTCAATGCCAATTTCTGAAGCAAGCGCTGGCGCTGTGGGTCAAGTACTAATAAGCATAGGCAGGAGGTAGCCACAGCGCAGGCAGGGCGAGTGTCAGCGTCAACGGCATCGACATAAGCTGTGGACGCCTGCTATTTTGATCAGCATCCGCCCTGAGGCTCAGGCTGCTCATGACGTTGGGATTGACCATTGCACAACCTGTCAGTAGTTGATCACCTCGGATCACTTCAAAGTTCCAGGATTGTGGTTTCGGTTTGAGTCGACGGTGGAGATGATCCGATGGAAAGAGAAAGTGATACCGCGGTACGCATTAACCCTTGGGCATATGATCGTTGACTCGCAGCAACGCGGCCAATCCAGTGTGACTTTCGCATAGCAAAGGCTTCAAACTGAGTAAGTTGTGCCTCGCCTATCCCTTGTACCCCCGCTCCACTCAATCTCGACTGCCCAGTGCCCAAAATGCAGAGACGAGAGCTTGCGTATAAAGGGTTGCCACTTTCAAGGTCTAGCAAGGCTGACCCAATGGGCGAATATCGCAGTTCTGTCCTCGCTCACCTCGGTTGTTTTGAGGCTCTCAGGCCGCTCGACAGGGGTTGTGTCTTGGCTTTTCGGCTGTCGATCCCGGCTCTGGACCAGTAGCGTACCGTTGGCTTCCCCACCGTGCCCACCTCCTGACAGCAGACCTGTTCCAGATCTGGGGATCGCCCGCTGCGGTTGGTCTTGGACTGTTTTGGAAATCGAGCTAGCCGGGCATGGGAAGGGATGGGAAGGTTGACGATCCACTCTCCTCGGCTATGTGACACAGCGCACACGAGGACGTGACCGAGTCGTATGGGCCTAAGTTTCGCCTGAAGTCAAGTGGTGTGTGTGCCCCGACGTGTCCCGGCCGCGATGTATTTGTAAATAACGATGTCAGTCACAATCTCTGAAATGCCACGGACAGGCCGCAAAAAATCAGCCAATCCCATGAGTTTGCTTGCTCAAGCCAATTACATTGAGTTTTCCGATGTCGAAGGTCCCATTTAGACCTCGTAAACTTTTGCACCGTGGGATCCCACCACGAGTCCACATGTACTTGTGCAGTAGAACGCCCGAACTCCAGCTCAAAACAGTGTCTATCATCCCAAGTACCATCAATCTTAAGTAGACAGCCAGTCCAAAAACTCCGGCGTGAAATAGCTGATCACTATTGTTGCTCCCGCCCTCAATATGCCCTCTGTCGACTCGAATGCCATCGTCTTGAGGTCGAAGACGCCGGCTTTTGCAGCAGCGTGGATCATGGCGAACTCGCCACTGACTTGATAGGCGGCAATAGGAAGGTCTTTACCGAGCTCCTTGGCGTCGGAGATGATGTCGAGGTACTGGCTTGCGGGCTTGACCATGATCACATCCGCACCTTCACCGATGTCACGGACAATCGCGCGACGGGCAAGACCGCGACCTCCCGGTGGCAACTGGTAGCACTTCCGGTCGCCAAAAGAAGGGCACGACCCAGCGGCGTCGCGGAAGGGGCCGTACAGGCAGCCAGAGAATTTGGCGGCATAGGACATGAGCAGTGTTTTGTGTGCTATTCCCTCCTCGATCAGCTTGAGTTTGATGGCGCGGATCCGACCGTCGTTCATGTCTGAGGGCGCGACGCAGTGGGCGCCCGCCTGGGCGTAGGCAATGGCGACATCGGAAATACGGTCGACGGAGAGCTGGTTGTTGAGGCTTCCGTCGTCCCGGAGAATGCCGCAGTGGCCGTGAGAGGTGTACTCGCAGAGGCAAACATCTGCGGTGATGTACAGCTGAGGGAAACGCTGTCGAAGGAGTCGGATGCTGGTCATGACGGGGCCCTTGGGGTCGTCTGCGGCAGTGCCAAGAGCATCTTTGGTTCCCGGGTTGAGGGGGACACCAAACAGCATGACAGCACGGAGGCCCTTGTGGACGAGCGGCTCGAGGAAAGGGATCAACCTGTTGATGCCGCGACGGTACTGATTCGGGAGGGATGGGATGAGGACTTCCTCGTCGTCCTGGTCGGAGACGAAGAGGGGATAGATAAGCATGGACTGTGATGAGGGCTGTCAGACTAGAGCAGGGGAAATGGCGGTTGGGGCGGGACAGGGCCACGGACCTTTGTGAGTTGCCTCTCTGCCTGCCATGACCGAGCCAGGGCATGGCTGTAGCCACCGTGGAGCTGGCTGGAGATGTCTCCGGAGATGCTCACGCTCGTGGCGGCAGTGCTGGTGTAGGACATGGCACGGGAGATGTGGGAGGTCCTGGAAGCCATGCCATCCATCGTGGAGGCGGCCGAGGTCGTAGAAGCGTTCTCGCGGTTGCGGGCGTCAGCAGCTGACCGAATCGAGAGGTCCTGTACGAGACTGGAGAAAGACATGATGCTGATTGACGTGAACGTGCGCCACCGGGGTCGGCTCGACGATCGGGTGCAGGAGGCGGGCGGGGGGTTGTCGAGGAATGCGTGAGGAATGGAGGGACAATTGTCGCAACGATGCTCCAGGGGGTATATGTACGGAAAGGCAGTCCTTGGAGGAGGGAAATTTGAGGTGGCAAAGGAGGAGCCGATGGCTACTCTGTATGTTCGGGGGTCGTCGCACAAAAAATTGGGGTCGGTCAGCAAGCGACCGCCGAGGGTGACGGCGTGTCCAATTGGGTTCGAATGAATTGGATTGGGCGGCAGTCAGCAGCGGCTTGGCCCACTTCTCGGTGCTCGGCTTGAACTGGAGGATTCGTCGAGTGCGGAGCGGGCTGAGAGAGGAAGCGGGAAGCGGGAAGCGGTTGATGAGCGAGGTGTCTGTCCCTGATTGTTATTATCTTGGTTTTCGGAAGGAGCGGGCGCCCGACTTGACGGCCTCGGGGTCCTACCGGCAAAGTCTGGGAGGCCGGGCCCACCAGCCAGTCTAAGCAGGCCAATTGCAGCCCAGACATCTCCAATGCCCTGAGATGCCTGCTCTTGCAAGTGCCGCGGCACTGTGGGCCAAGCCGTTCTGCCGCTCTGCCGGTCAAGCCGACGACAACCATGCCATTCCAATTTGGCATACTTGCCCATAGGATTCTGAATCCACGCTCAACTATTTCAAGTCACAGAGTTTAGGGTCGCCTTGATTGTGAGCTGACTGGGCCATATAGATTATGTGCGAGTGCGTCCTTGGTAGCAGCAACCAACAACTGTCGTTATACTAGATCATGACATCAGCCTCGAAGAGCTAACCCCCAAGAGTTTATCGAAGGAGATGCCGCTCCTCCTCGTGGATCTGGGGAAGAAGCAAAGTGACCTTGAGCATGGCTGGCTCAGTATCTATCTCGGGTAAGTACCTAGGTACCTGGCCTAGTTAGGTACCTAGGTACCTACTCAAGTAACTTTACATGTAAAGAGACGTCGGGCTGGTCCGTGACTATTATGACAGTGGAAATTCAATGTCCAAGGGAAGGCACTCACTACATGGGGCCGCTTCCTTCCAGCCTCCCAGGCGCATCTGTGGGCCTCAGACGTCTTCGTCCCAAGACAATCTTCCAAGGTTGTCTGCCTTCCAGCACCAAGCCCTGTGCCCGTTGGACCGCCGTGGAAAACCAACTCGATCTCTGAGCCCAGTGGGAAAGCCAGGTGCCTGCAGTCTGGTCGACCTCCCTGGGTAGCCTCGACTTTTCCAACACTCACTCACTCCTACTGGACTTTCCAAGTGCGCTGCTTGTTTACTCTCGCTCCCCCATCCCTCCAAGCATCCGTTCGTTACCCAGGTTTCGCCTGCGCGCCTTGGAGGCTTCTTGGTTGCAAGCGCCTCGTCACGCCAGCCGCTTACTTCTACCAGATATCACCTGGATAACGACAGCATCACTCACCCTTCGTTGGCCCATCCCATTGACCACGCCTGCCCGAGCTTTCACTTCTTGGGTCGACTATGCCTTTGCGCTATCACCCATTCTTCCACTGAGTCGGGGTTTCCCTGCACAATCTTCAATGGTGTTTGGGCACTGGCTGTCATACCGCGACCATGTCGTCCAGTAGCAGAAGGTGGAAGAAAGCATTGCTTCCCACTCTTGGGAGCCGCCGCAAAGGTCGTGAACCTACCATCCGCCTCCCTACTTCGAGAACAGGTGCGTGGCTCATGACACAGATCTTCGAGGTGCAGACCTCCAGTCCAGCATTTCTCTGACAGGCTACAAGTGTCCGATATCAACATCGACGTCGCAGTTACAATGATGGGCCACAACAAAGGACCCTCCACTACCTCTGCGAGCGACGAGGTTGATGAGAGAGTTGTCAGTGCTTTGTTAGAGACCACCAGCGAGGCCGACGCCGAGAACCAACCTGTCGTCGCCAGTAAGGTAGGACTAAAGACTTTTGTCCATATCATCGTCAGCAGAAAAGCCATTCTAACCTGAAATATGTGTAGAATAGAGCAGTCACTCAGAGTCAGACCGAGGGCGTCATGCCGTGTACTGAGGATTCAAGTACCGCCGATTCGCCCACCAGGATTCACCTCAAGGTTACCAAGCTTTCCACCCCACCTCGCAGGTCATCGAGGCGCAATCCTCAGCCCGTCGCCCGCGATTTTTCCAGAGCGTCGCCAAAGCGAAGTGCAGATGGACTTGTGCGACCTTTACCCAAGCTCCGGTCATCAAGCCATCTTGGCCGCGAGACTCTCCAAGTCATGAAATCGCCCCCGATGTCTTCAAGTAAGCAGCAGGCCAACCGCAGCGGAAGAGACACGATTCGAACGAATGGAAGCCACTTGGACAAGGCCAATAGTCCCCTGGCACCTGCTTTTGCTGAGAGAGAAGACCTAGTTCGAAGCGCCACAGATGCGACTGGGCTTGCCACCTTCCCAAAAATATCTCGTCTCAGAAAGAACAAGGTCTTTGCCAAATTTGCAACTGCCATTTCGGATCATTTCGGTAAACAAGAGAACCGAAAGGATGCTGGGAATGGCGTAAAAGAATCGAATTCTGTGGTCAGCAACGAGGCCATCAGGCCCATCTTGCACGGTCCGCCATTGGATACACTGACACTTGCTCAGCTGCCTCTGACCGACATCGAAGCGACTTCCACATCCGCCGATCGCATTTCAGACGAATTCTGCAGTCGGGAACATCGCCGAGGCAGCGTGCCTGTGGCAAGAGCCCCGGCGGCGCTTTCGATCCCTCAAAAGCGGCTAACAATGGTTGAGGGCAGTCCGCCCTTGGAAGACCCCTTTTCAGAGGAATCTCCTCGACGACAGTCGACCGAATTTCAAGCTCGCTTGAGGACAGTACAAGCCTTCGGCGCTCCTGGCGGAACTGGGCCCATCACGTCGCTGAGCGACCCGTTCTTGACCGAGGCAATCATGGACACCAGCAACAACTCCATCCTGAAGACCCCTCCAATCGGTAGTTCCACGCCTAGAAACCAAGCACGGGATCAGATTTCTGCCCGAGCGCCTAGCAAAAGCGCCCAAACTGTCCCAGGAACTATCTTTGAAACGGCCGTGGCCCATCGCGATTCGCGAGGCACAAGCATTTCCAGGTTTGCTGCCACACGCGACAGCCCAACCAAGATGAGCAATTCGCCTGAGCGTGCTCAGAGGGACATGAGCAATTGCTCTCCCTCAAAGACTCGTGGAAGTTCTGATTCGACTCGGTTGAGCTCATTTCCGCCTGGATCTACCATTCGACACGTGCCGCGTTCGATGGGTCGCCTGCATGGACTGCCGGATTTGGCAGCCTCAGCGGCTCGGCGAAAGTCCCCCAAGGTCGGACGCAAGAAGCACCCATCACCCAGCAAGCGAGATCTCGACCTTTATGGAAAGTTCATGGAAGAGAGCGTTAGCCTTGGCGTGTTTAAGGACACGGATGAGTTGGCCATGAGCTTCAATTCCTGCACGGTGACGAACAGCCCGGCTCTGACGCCTCGCGATAAGAACAGCCTGATCCGGGGCTCAAATGACAGGTATTGTGATTCGGGTAAGAGTTTCAGCCCGAAAGGACCCGTCGCTGGCTTCGGAAATAAATCTCGCAGCCGCATTCCACAACCAGTGGGCCAAAGTGCTCGTTCCCGCACAGAAACGGCTCTTGCTCGGGACTTTGCACCTGTCAACCACGGCGACTCGACCGCGAAAGATGAGTTACAGTGGGACTCATCAGCATACATCGTAGGGCGCGGACGTGAGAGTCGTTGCCAACGTTGCGGAAGCACTTCAGAGGCACTGTGACCGAGGTCACTGTGATGACGAACTCAAATTGGCTGTGCCGTGCAGAGCCTAGAAGCAACGTTCACTTGCCAGCTCACGTCACTTTGAGTGATGATCCAAGGAATAGTGTGGGTTCCCCGCCTGAATGTTGAGTTTGCTTCCCGGAAAATGATGAAATATCATGTCAGGGCAAACCGAAGCTGGCCCTTCAGGATTTGCAGGAGATTGATGAGGGAGTAAAATCGATTATGCGTCAATTGTGGACGCCTACAATGCGAGGGTACGACTTAGTGAAGATACAGCACAACTCTGGCGGCAGTATTAACCATTGAAGTGAGACTATGTTTTAATGAAATCTCGTCGCGCCACCCTTCCCAATATCAATTCGCATGCGATTCACATGGTCTTGGTGTAACCTGATGATATCTTCATTTACATATCTATCATGTGTGGGTATCGTATCATATCAAACACTCGCTTCGTCCCATCACCCTCCACTTGCTTGCTTCTTGAAAATTACAAGCTGAAATCTTCAAACACGTATCGTACAGGCGCTTCACATCAAACAAATGCCGGCAAGAACTCATATCATGTTGGGGAGCTCTAGTAGCGGTGGCTGCCACGCCCGTCGGTACCATGCATGCGGCGAGTGCCAGCAGCCTGTATTGCATGCCAAGTTAGCGAGCCGTTGAACCATGCGACAGAGAGATGACGAAAGAGAGAGAGTTTTGAGTGGTGGGAGGAGATCTCACCTTGACGGCAGGGTTCCTAGTCAGAGTGCCCTTGAGCTTCTTGAGCCCGCCGGCGATCTTGTCGCCCAGGGTAGCATGGCGCTTCTGGTGGTGGACCTTGCGGCGGAACAGTCCGCGGCGCTCGGTGGTGGTGCGGGAAGCGTACTTGCGAGCCATTTTGTTGCTGTTTGAGTTGGTTGTTTTGGTAGTTGGGCTGATGGAGTCGAAGACTTCTGACGTGGGGATCCTTCTTGGACTTGAGCGTCTGCTGTAGTGGATATTGTGTTTGTGGTGCATTGGGAAGATGGGGAGGGGGGCAAAGAGCTGTTGTGGGGACGGCAAGGCGCTGATTATATACTTGGATCACCGGGTACTGTTCAATGTGTGTTTTGGCTGGTCGCATCCCTGGGTTCTTTCATCATCGGTCAGTCAGTTGGGTGTTTGTGCGCCGGTGCAGTCGTTCGGGTGATGCCATCCCGGAGGTGATGTCAGCGCGGTACTTGGTGCTGTAGGTCTGGCCTGGCCCAGATCAGCAGCCGGGCTGCTGGGGTGGTGGGTGTTTTTGCTGTGTTGTTCTTGGTCTCACAGCAATCCAAAGTCGTCTAGGTGCGCTAATCTTGCACAAAGAAGCGCTAGGGCCATGTCCTCATTGACGGGGGCTGAGAATCAGGTTTTCCCAATGTCGATTGTCGGCCATGCTGAGAGCGACCCTGTGGCTCGCGACGTCATAGCTAGGGTGTATAATACGTGATTGGGCAGACGGGCCGCTTAATGTGGGCCCAGGACCCTGGACCCTTACGGCTGGAATGCACCAAGGGTCAGGCGGGTGTGGCTGTTGATGTCACCTCCACAGTTCCACAGTATGTATTCTCTCCCCAGCCTATTCATTCCCTGTTTGAGACGGGCGTTCACGCACCACTCCCTCAGTCCCTTTCCGCTTCCAGAAATGTGAACGCATCGTTGGCAGCGCGTGATGGCCGGTCCGCAGGTCCGCCACCCGGCCGCGGGATGATGTCGACGTTCTGTCGTTGCTCTGCCGCGAGGATGCCTGAAGGGATCTGCACACGCGCATGCCCGAGCGCGTGACCGTGGAGGGACTGAGGGACTGAGGGACAGCACATGGACGGGACGAAATCCTGACGTGTGATGACCGCGGTTATGCTCGACACGTCTTGGCTGGCTGGCTGTCTCCTGTAATCCAGTGGGCACGACCGAGAACCCTAAGCTTCAGAAGTTGACGCAGTGGAACGTGCGTGTTTTCCGTACCCTGCTTGGTCTCAAAAATCCGATCCGCTTGTACGTAGATGAGCACGACGGGTCTCTGCCAAACTAGCTAGATAGATGTTTCTACGCCCAGCCGTTCCATGGACCTGATCTGCCTTCGCCGCCTCTGCCCCGGGGAACCGCCCACGGACCAAAGCTTATTATTCCGACATGCTCCCAAGCTTGTCTCGGCCGGTACGGTTGGAACTTTTTCCGTTTCCAAGAGAGGTCGGAAAACGCATTACCAACCTTGGAAGATGCCGACGGCTCCAATGAGCTTGGCTGGCTGATGGAATTAAATTCTTGGCAGTGCCCGACTCGTTATTTCGCCGGTGATATTGGCCCCATAAGCTGGGAAATAAGGGCCGAGTGGTCTGGCCCTGACTTATAAGTGGTTCATTCGAGCAGACACGGCACTGTATGAAGAAGGCCACACGCCCACAAGCTTCGATCTTAGATCTCACACCGTAGCAGTGGGTTTTAGGGCTGACAGCCCTTACGCAAAACGACACTGCTAGAACAAAGCAGAGACCTCGAGGATCATGCTTCCATGATTTGGGGACTATGGTAGCTTGTCAACCAGAAGTTCTGAAGTTGCGGCATCCGTGGATTCGTGGGGCCGTTTGGACCCAGATCCGGACCAGAATCTGGGACCCAGATCCGGGACGGCCCCACTTCCAGGCTGAGAGGAGGTCACCTATAGACTAGGCTATAGTACTATGTAGTAGGCACATAGTCCACAGCATCCGTACAGCGGTGCGCATGTGGCCAGAAACAGAGTCAACAAGAAGATTGCTTCCCAATGCACAATCAAGTCAATCTGGCACCCAATGTGTCGCGAGAACTTCCATGGAATTCCCGCCTCATAAAGCCCAGGGGCGGCGCATGACTACGGCCCCACTTGCTTCCATGTTACGCCCAGGCTTTAGGCTCAACTCTGATTCAGTGCCTCGAAATATCATCGTCAGCCAGCCAGTCCCAAGCAACCTCTTGTTCGCGCCAGATCCAGGCCTCTTGTGTGCGGCTAGGTGGCAGGGGGATGCCAGACACTTCGGCACACCACTTGAGCACGTACATACAAGACCAACCCAGCAGCCCCAGGTCCCAGGCACAGGGTGCCGGCGCCCTCGGGATCTGCAGAGTGACAACTTCAAACCATCACTATTCTCTTCCCATAAACGTAAAACGAGGCAGGCAGGGACATGCAAGACTCAGCCCTACGTACATACCGGTATCCTGTGAGGCCAGCACACAGGAGAGACACCGCCCACCTGTGCACCCCGTGCTGGCTGCCCCCTGAACCTCATTTGCAGCAGACTATGGACATGGGTACTCGATGCTGCCAAGTGCTGAGTCGATACTGCACCCTTCGGCGCCAGCGCTGCGGGTTGAGTGCAGCAAGCCTCCCCGGCAGCCCGGCCGAACTCTCGTTCCCACCTCGCCAGCCCGCCAGCCCTCCAGCCTCGCTCCCGGGGAGATCAATGGTGTCAAACCATACTACCCAGTACCTATATCTCTAACCCACGGTCCATCTTGTCGATCACAAGTTTGCCCAATGGCCGAGAGGTCCAGTCCGCGGTCCCGGGCGCATCATTCCGCCACCGCGAACCCCAACACGATCCAGGGCTGTCCTGACTCGCCGCGCGCGCGGAAGCAGCCTGCTGCGGGCGTTTCTTGGCCGCGACGACTCATCATGCATACTCTGGTACATGGAAGTCGAGTGGGAACCCGCGGCTCTTTCGTCCCAAGTCGGTGGGTGCCCTGGCCAGCAAGCATTAATTGACCAGGGCCGCTGGGCCAGAGATATCTTTAGATGTTGCACCCATCCCGGTCTACTGCTGCAGGACCTGGTCAAGCCTTACACAGGCGGTACGGAGTATCAAAAATTCAAGTGGTGGTCCTGCATACCCGGCCTTGGCTCTCCTTACTAGCCGGACTAGGCGATGCAGTTCCGGGATATATTGGACGAGTGCGCAGCGCGGTGGATATTGCCCGCCGCAGAACACGAAAGCGAAAGCCACAGGCCCGGCCTTTGGTGTTGTGCAGGAGTGCCCCCGGTGGCTGGATCGCAAAGGAGAGTCATGAACCAATATCTTTCGGGGCCACCTCTACGTAGCCCGTTCCTCCCCGTTCCTCCCCTTCCACCTGCTCGAACCTGTGGCTGGATATCCGCAGCCCAAGCAGACGCTGGAACATGTGTGTTGGACGACAGACCTGGGCCGAAATTGCACATCCCTCATCCCGACCGACTAGACCTCCGAGCCGTCCCCGATGTCCTCCAGCTGGTTTGAGTGAGGCAAAGGGTTGACGCAACTCCCAAGGCGAACCGAAAAAATGGCAACGAACATGGAAGACATCGTACAGAAGGCGGCCCAAGCAAGGTCGTTCACCCACGATGGGTTTATATTTCTGGGAATCGGCATCGCTGTCACGCTCCTTCGGACTTGGGCCAGGTGGGACCAGGCCGGGTTCAAGAGATTCCAGGCTGATGACTATCTGGTGTGGCTTGCGCTTGTGAGTTGCATGCCGAGCAGGAAAGCTTTAGCTGCTGGAACAGATGGAATGGGTCACTGACAGAACGGCTTGGGAAGATCCTGTACGGCGGAGAGACGGCTAGCAACTACCTATTTGTCAAATTCAGCCAAGGTCTTGCGAATAACGACATGACAGACGAGGAGAGAGCTGCTCTCGACCCGAATAGCGACGAGTTCAGCATGAGGTGCGCTGAGCGGGACCATGTCCAGCGGGGATGGATTGATACTGACACACGGCAACAGAGAAAGAGGGTCAAAGGCGAATTTCGCCTCTTGGCCACAATACGCATTGATCATGTGGTCTCTGAAGGCTGCAATGTGCGTCTATTACCTGCGTCTGATGGTGAGACCCTATTGCATGCGTCAACCCCATCTCAGCAGTCTGTGGCGACCCAGACAGCCGGAGAGGGCAAGGCTAACATCCACTCAGGAAAGATCAAAGTACCGCAATAGAATCTTTGTCGGGTTCGGTATTATCGGCATAACATTTTTCTTGGTGATAATCGTCATTTTTGTCTCTTGCATCCCGATCACGAAATGGTGGCAAATAAACCCCGATCCTGGACGTGAGTACTGCCTAAGTCGGCAGCATGAAATGGCACGCGAACCGATGACTGACAGGATCTTCCTCTGATATCTGCAGCACTCTGCTACTCCGTGTCGTCCCCGGCCATCCTATGGACGTTTATGGCAAGCAACATCGTCACGGACCTCTACATCATTTGGCTTCCAATGCCGATGCTCTTCAAGTCGACACTTCCCATGGCCACCAAGATCGCCTTGGCCACTCTCTTTGGCTGCGGCATATTCGTCACCATTGCGGGTATACTGCGGGTAACGTACATAATCTATGTAAGCCGCTGCCGCGCCCTTCTTTCTCGTGTTGTCTCCCACAACACGTCCTGCATGACTGACATGCCCATCACAGTCGCCGCATGACCTCCACCGCATCAGCTTCTGGGCCGTGCGGGAGACATTCGTCGGGATTGTAACGACAAACCTACCTTGTATCTTCGTGCTGGTCAGGCGGTGGCTGGCACCCTTTTTCAGCTTCTTCCGGACGGGAAGCTTCGGCAGCAGCGGCAAGACGAAGTTATCGCGACCCAAGAGCGTCTGGGCGGGCCAGAGCCAGGCGGCGCACGGAGTCACAACGCACAAGTCCCCGGCGGCCTCGGTGTCAGCCGCGGGGCGCGGGGGCCAGGGCTTCCATATGGGCCGGATGGGCACTTTTGCGATGGCTGAGGGCAACAGCAGCCAGGAGCGCATTGTGCAGGACTTCCCGGACGAGGGCGAGGGCGGCTTCGGTAGCAGGCTGGGCCGAAAGGTCTCTATCAAGAGGATGAAAAGCACAAAGGACCGCAAGCCGTTTGAACAGGGGGTCGAAGTCGAGGGCATACAAAAAATGGTCGACATCACGATCGTGGAAGAGCGCAGGCCCGCAGCTTCGTTTGATGTGGCCGACGAGGAGGTGGGCCGGACCACGCGGTCGTTCGACTTCCCCGAGCCTTGTGGGGAATCGTATGATAGGAGGTGAGGTGAATTGTCCTGCTGTGTTACTGATTTCTACAGCCTTGGAGAGAACCAAGGCTGCTGCAATGTACGAGATACCCAAAACAGAGCTTGTGCCTTGGCACTTGTGTGTATTGTTGGAGTTGAATCTATTGAATTTATCGGTGGACATGTGAAGCTCTGCCCAGCCCACAGGCCTTCGCCATCCTGGTCCGGAAGAGAGTGATGACACTGACCGAGGGAGGATGCCGGCCTGGCTCTCAGGTAAGCCGCGTCAACACATGAGCGTCAGCGGGCCAGCCGATGCCCAAAGAAAGAGCCTTCAGCTATGCTGGGGCCTCGTTCAAGTTTTTCTTGATAGTCGCCAAGTCATGCTTTGAAAAGCCCAGCTCCTTGGTGGCATACCCTTCAAAGCCGCCATACTGGCTCCTGACAGCCTCTGCAAAAGCGTCCCAGCAAGCACCCTTCAGGCTGACCAGGTTGTAGAAACCAGGAACCTCGTCAAAGGCGCCCGACCCGTCGTCACCCCCCTCGGCGCCTTGGCTGTACTTGACGGCGAACGCGAGCAGGTGTTCGCGTGCCACCTCAGTCCCGATGCGCGAGAGCAAGAAGTCGGTCTGTACCGTCTGGGGGTCATAGCCGGCCAGAGTCTCGAGCAAGCCTGCCAGAACGCCGGTGCGATCCCTGCCGGCTGTGTTCAGGACAGCACAGCGCCGTGGTCAAGAAGAGAGACGCAACACCCGGGGAGAGGGAGGCACTCACCTGTGCAGTGGAACATGATGGGGTCGGCGGGGCGATCCCTCACGCTGGTCAGGACCTCTCGGAAGCTGGCGCGGTACTTGTCCAGGACGTCCATGTACATGTGGGCATAGCCCTTCTCGCCGTCGCCGTCGGCAAACAAGCCGACATTCAACATGGGGTTGTCCTCGGCGCCGTCGACGCCGTCGCCGAGCCAGACGCCCTCGATGCCGTCGAGGGCCGGGTCCGGGGACTTTGCGTGCTCCTCGCGCGACCGCAGATCAAAGATGCGCCTGATGCGCAGGGTGTCACGCAGGACGGCCTGGCCGTCGGCGGAGCGGGCCAGGGCCTCCAGGCCGCCGGTGCGGAAGATGAAGCCAGGGCGGATGCTGGCGCCGGCAGCAGGTGGCCCATGGCCGTCGTCGCCGGCTATGAGCAGGCCCAGGTCGCGGGTGTTGAACGTGCCGGGGACCACCACGAAGGGCGGGGTCTGCAGGGCGGCCAGGAGGACCGAGGCCGGGATGGGGTTGCGGACGTCTGTCTCTGCCAGGGACCGGAGGGCAGTGGCCATGTCTAGGCCGGTTGTTTGGAGGTGGGGTGTGGGGTGTAGATATCGACGACAAATACCGGGTGGGTGGGTCTTGTGTGACGACCTGATTAAGCGCAGAACAGAGTGGCCCGAGCCCCGCGAGGGACACTCTAGGCGGAGTTTACTCTACTTAGGTAAATTAATATAATATATTTCTTATACTATAATTAATTAATTCTTTTTATAAAATAAATCTTAAATTAGAAATTAATTAAATCTATTATTAACTTATAAAAGAATTTAATTATTATATAAGGATTAATTAATATTTATTAATAAAAAAAAAGGTTAATTTATATATAAAAATTAATTATATATAAATATATAAATTAATTAATATTTAAAAGGTATATAGTTAATTTTAATTTATATTTTTAAATAATTAACTAATATTTAAAAGTATATAATTAATTTAAATATATATTTCTTAAATATAAAATTTATAAAATTTATTAAATATTAACTATATACCTTTTAAATATAGTTTTAAATAGGTTTTTAATATAATAGCTTTATACCTCTATTTATATAATATTACTATAATAACTATCTCTTTTATACTTTATTTAATTATTAAAGGATTTTACTTTTTTATTTATACTTAAAAGTAAATAAATATAAAATTCTATTTATTATAAATTCTATTTATTATTAATAATATTTATTAATTCTTTTTATTTATATAATATATTATATAACCTTAAAACTTTTTAATTTAAGTTTAAATTATAACCTTTATTTATTTTATTTTATAATACTTTTATAATATAATAATTATATAATTTTTAAATTATATATTTTAAAATAATTATAAATAATATAATTATAAATATAAAATTTAAAATAAAATTCTTAATATTTTTAAAAATATTAAAGTTATAATAAAATTAAGTTTATATATTATTTTATAAAAAAGGTATAATTTTAACTATTAATATTATTATAATATATTATAGAGAAATTAAATAGGTTATATTAAAAGTATTATTTTTTTATTTATATTTTATAAAATATATACTTAAAATAAATATATACTTTATAAAATATAAATATAATAATAATAATTAATTACTATATAAAATATTAATATTATTTATTATATTATTTTAAAATATATTAAATAATTAGTAAAAGTTAATATACTTTTATTATTAAAAGTATTAATTTTATATTTTAATAACTTTTACTTATTATATTCTCTACTACCTCCTTTTACTATTATACTTTCTTTTAAATTATAAATTAATAATATTTAATACTATTATTAAAGTAAAGTATTTTAAATATATAATATTAATATAAAAGTATATAATAAATTAATTAATATTATATAATAATATAAAATAAAATATTATATTAAAAGTAAATATTTATAATTTTAATATTAAATCTATTCTTTAATAATAAAATAATAATTTTATATATATTAAGTAAACCAATATAATAATTATTAAATAACTTTTAAAAAATAAGTTATAATTTATATATTATATTTATAAATTAAAATAATATTTAAAATATTATAATAATATTTACTTTAATATATATATTTATTATATAAATAAAATAAATAATTATAAATTATAGAATAATAATATCTTAAAGTATATATTTAATATAAATAAGAAATTCTTTATATAAAGTTTTTATATTATTTAATAATAATATAAACCTTTTATATTATTTAATAATTATTTAAATACTTAATATTAAAGGTATTATAATAATATAAATAATAATAATACTAATATATTTATTAAACTTTTAATATTATTTTAAATTTTTAATAATATTTAATTAACCTTTAATAAACTATTTTTATTATAAAATTATAAAAACCTTTTATTAATATATTATATAGTTTATAGGTTATATTTAAAATTATTTATTTATAAGTTATAATATTTAAAATTAATATTAATAAGCTATTTAAATATTTATATTATAATAACTTTAAATTTATTAATAATTTTTATAATTTAACTTTATAAAAGAAAAAGGCTCTTTTATAAGGTTTAAAAAAGTTTATAAAAGATTATAATAAAGTTTTATTAATATTATAAGTATTATTAATTTAATATTAATATTAAAAATAATTTATATAAAACCTATTATATTATAAATATTAATAAAAATAAAGGCTTTTCTTTTTTAAAAAAAAATAATATATTTTTAATTATATACTTTAAAACTTATTATAATTAACTTAATATAAAAGTAATACTTTATAAGGATTTATATATTTATAAATATTAGGCTTATATATAGTTAATAATTTAAATATTTTTAATATTATATTAACTTTCTTTATAATATTATTATACTTTTAATTAACTACTTTACCTATTTAAAAGTTAAATATAATTATCCTTTAATTAAAATTAATATTTAATAATTTTATATTATTTATATATTTAAATAAAAATAAAAATTAAATATTTTATTATAAAATATAATTTACTTTTTTATTAAAAGTATTTTAAATATAAAAATTTAATAGTTAACTATTAATAACTAATAAAAATTTTAAATAAATATAATATTAATTAAATTATTATAATATTTAATATTAATAATAAAAATTATAATTATAACCTTATATATAAATATAAAAATAAAAACTTAATAATAATATCTTTAAAGTAGTTATAACTTTAAATATAATTATTAAATATATTAATATTTATTATTTTATAATTAGTTTATTAAATAAACTTTTATACTTAAAGTAATTATATATATATATTAAGATTTATAAAGGTATAAACTAATTAACTTTTAACTTTATTAATATATTAAATATATATTATATACCTTTTAATAACTTTAATTAAAATATAATATTTATTAGTTTAATTATATTATTATTAATATTTAAAATATTAGAGAATTTATAACTCTATAAATTTAAAAGTATAAATAAAAATAGTAAATTTATTATATAATAATATAAAATAATAATTAGTTTATAAAATATAATTAATTTTTATTACTTTTAATATAATAATATAATTATAAGTTAATAAAAAAATAACTTTATTATATTATAAAAGGAATATTAAAAAGAGTTATTAATATTATAAAGTTAAAAGCTTTTAATAATAAGGTCTTTAAATCCTTTAATATTATTAACTTTATTATAAAGTTTATAAATATATTAAAAGAATATAATCCTTTTAAAATAATATTTAAAATAAGCTTATAATTATATATTATATTTTAAAATACTTTAATATTTTTATAACCTTTTAATTATTAATTTATATTAAAATTTATTAACTTATATAATATTTAAATATAAAAATAGTTAATAATTAATAATATTAATAAATTAAAGATCTTATAGAAAAACTTTAAGAAAACTTTTATATTATAACCTATTACTTTTATATAAAATTTATAACTTTTTTAAAGGAGTACTTAATTTTAAAGTTTAATATTATAATCTATTAGTTTTAATTTAAATAATAAAGGTAAAAAGTATTTATTTATATAAAATAATTTAAGTTAATAATATTCTTATTATATTAAAATTAAGCTTTCTTAATTAAAAATAAAAAATAAGTTTATAAAGTTTTAAAGTATATATATTATTATATAAAACTTAAAGCCTTTTATTAATTATTTTTATAAAATAATAACTTACTAAAAGTTATTATAAAGGTTAATACTTTATTTAATATTTTATTTTATATAGTTAATTAAATATAAATTTATAACTATATTAATATATATTATATAAAAATATAAACTCTTAAATAGTTATATATTTAAAGAGAAAGTATATTATTTCTATTTTAACTATATTTATTATTATTTAGGTAAGCTAATTTATAATTTAAATAAAATAAAAAACCTATTATAGGATATATTTAATAATATTTAAAATAATAAATAAATTAATAATTATATAAAAAATTACTTTAAATTAGTTTATAAATATTAATATTATATTATATATATTATTTAAGGTTATAATTAATTATATATTTAAATATTACTTTAAAATTAAATAGTAAATTTAATTATATAAAATAATAATAAAAATAATTTTAAAGGTAAATTATATAAAATTAATAATATTATTTATAATTAAAATAATAAATAAACTTATTATAAAAAATTAATTAATAATAAAATTATATACTATTTTCTTAATATCCTACTTATTAAATATAATTATACCTTTATTAAAATAAATTATTAAAAGTTAAAATATAATATTATATAAATTATTTAAAATAATAATATAATATATAAATAAAAGTAGTTATATTAAAAATACCTTAAAAAATATTAAAATAAAAGGTTTAATATATTTTAATTTTCTTAACTCTATTAATTATTTAAAAGTAAATAATATTACTTTAAGTTAAAAGTAAAGCCTTATATCTTTAACTATTAATTATATTATAAAAGTTAATATAATAATAATTAATTTAAAACTTTTATTAAATAAAGTTTATATTTAATTATTTATATTATATTATTAATAAATTTAAAGTTATTAATAATAATTAATTTAATATATTTATTAATATATATATTTATTATTTAGTAGAGTATAGAAATATATATAATAATAATTATTATAAATATATTTTATTTAATTTAAAGAATAAGGGTTTAAAAAAGTTTAAAATTAAAATAAAATACCTTAATAACTTAAAATAAATACTTTACTATCTAATTATTAAATTAAAAGTTAAAAATTAAAAATATTAATTTACTTAAAACTATATTATTAACTTAAAATATAATTAAAGTTTTTATATTAAATAATATAATAAACTATATAATATATAATATTAATTTTAAAAATATAAAGTTTAATAATATACTAATTAATTTAATATTTAATAAAATATATACTTTAACTAACTTTATACCTTATAAGTTATAAGTTTAATTAAACTTAAATTAATATCTATTATATAATATTATTATAAATTATTAAAAATTAATTTTAATATAAAATATTATAAATATAATATTAAATAAAATAAAATAATATAATTATTATTTAAAA